ATGTTCAACTGGGGAAATGTGGAGTCGAGTCTATTTGTTTCTATCATTAATGCGGTCCGTGTGGTGAATCTCTTCGTGGTTCTCCCCGTTGTCGCCCGGCTCTTCCGTACTCCATCTGAAGACGACGGCGTGATACGCGGATCGGACATGCTGGACATCGTTCTGATTCGTTTGTCAGTTGTGTTCGACATTCTCGGGTACGTTGGCTACGCGCTGTCGAAACACCCATCCGTTATGATTCTCTCCGGTGCTGTTGCGTCGCTTGGTGGAATGGGCTCGCCTACTTTGCAATCGTCTCTTACCAAGCATGTCCCTCACGACCGTGTAGGACAGATGCTTGGTGCAACGGGCCTTCTGCATGCCCTCGCCAGAGTGGTCGCACCCACTATTTTCAATCTAATTTATAGTATGACCGTTGCGACTTACCCACAGACCGTCTTCGTGTCCCTTGCGGCCGTGTTTGGCATTGTATTCATTTTGGGTTTATTTATTCAGCCACATGGTATGTCTCCCTGCATTTCTGTCTTTTGTCCTTAGAATGCCTGACTGACTGTTCAATAGTCACCCTCGACGACAAGCCGATATCGGAAGCCACGGTTGAGGCTAATGAAGAGGGAGAGAGCGAAGGCGATCGGCTACTCATCTGATGGTTTATTATATAGGTGGTAATAGATTGATATACAACGTATCGTGTTCAAATACGGATTAAATTACCCGTAAATCCTCTCCAATTCGCATCTAGACTGGGCATGGGTGGGCCCATACTCCGAGCAAAGAACAAGGGCGATCAGCTGATCCGGCCGGAGTAAAGTCCGGCGGGCGGCAGAAGCCCAACATGCAGTTTGGTGAATTTCCGAAAAAGTAGTCCGCCCGACTTTCTCCTGCACGCCGAAGCTCCAATCACCGTCTGCTCCAATCGCTTCCTCCTTACACCAATGGCTCAGCAGGGCAACTAATCGATCCATCCCATTACCCCCCCCCTTTACTCCCTCCGCCTGAAGGTCGCTGATGGACGACTGGTGATCCCAGCGTGATCAGCGACCACGCTTCAATCATGTTCGCCAATGCCGCAAATTCGACACCGGCCGTGCCATCGCGCAATGCCCTTCGGGTCCTTCGTCAACTAGCATTTGCCGGATCAACGGTTGGCAGCTTCTGTGGCGTTGCAGTCATCACCTACGATGTCCACCGTCGGGTCCGCGTGGCCGAGCAGATCATCGAGAACAAACGGACTTTGCACACCTCCGCGCCGAACTACGATGCGACCGCTTCCGCTCAACGGCTGGCGGTAATGATGGAGGCTGCCGAAGCTGGTGAGTTCATGGGCTTGGCATCTTTGAAGAGTAAGAAGGGGACTTTGTCTGGAGACAAGGAAGAAGCTCCCAGACAACCAAATGCAAATGATGCCAAATCATCAGCTCAACACGGAGCTCGTCACACTCCAAAATGGTTTCAGCCAGTCCCGAGCAACGCCAGTATTCCGCCGATTTCAGATAGGCCCACCGAAATGCGCTTGCGGGCTGAGAACCGGGTGGCTTTGGCTCGAGAGGCCCGAGAGGCCGACGCTGCACGAGCAGCCGGCGAAGTTCCACTGGAGGACAGAATCCGAGAGTTGATTCAGGGGGACCGAGAGATCGAAGCTGCACAGATCTTTATGGACAATGCGCCGGCAACTCAGGGAGTTACGATCTCCATGGACAGGCGGGACCTCATGCGTCGCCTGTTCGCTGCCAATTGCATCAAGGGAAACATATTCATTGCACGATCTCTGTTTAGGCACATGGAAAAATGGTCAGAGCTGGATTCGGAGATCTGGGCAACCATGATGCATCTATTGGCCAAGGAAGGGCACGTCGAATCCGTTGGCGCCATCTACGAGAAGCACCATTCCAAACTTACAGTTCCACCTCACTTGTTGGAGGTTATCATTCGAAGCCTTCTTGAGTCACGGAGGTTGACTTTAGCCAAGCGCCTTTTCTACGCACGCATCAAGCATGATGAGAATGGAGGGTTGTGTGGCGCATATCTCGATGGATTGTGGAGGAAGACTCGCAAAATAGAGCTGCTTAAGACCGAGTTCAACAAGATCCTCGCAGCACTCGCTGAGTTGGATCGAGGACCAACCGAAAAGGTCTTCAATCCGATGGTGAAAGCGTACATTGAAGCAGGCGCCTTTGAAGCCGCTGAAGTATTGGCTATGGCCATGCCTTCCGAGTTCAACGTTCAACCTGGATGCCGTACTCTAGGCCTGGTCTTGTATGGCAAAGCCCTTCAGTGTGATTGGGAGGGTGTGATGAGTGGGCTGCGTGAAATGCACGAGCTAGGGTTCACCAACGACAAGCGGAGTTTCGCGGTGGTCTTTGATCGCGTTTTCCTGGAGTACTATCCCACACATACCGGTCCTCAGATTTTCGACTTCCTCATGACTTGCATCAACGAGTTCAAAATTCGACCAGACAAAATTCTTCATCGGCATATACTCGAGGCCATTGTTGAAAGATGTGATTCCAGCTGTGTGAGAGCTATTACTGAGATGGCCGAGGAACGAAAATGGAACTCGGGAGTTGAACAGTATGAGCTTGTCAGAATATTGGAAGCCCGTCGCGTGTCAATGCAAGACACGCCGGTGGGTATCTGGCGCATGTTACAGGCTGCCAAACAGCAGTACGGATCAGTCGCGAGCAACCGACGCCTGATGGGTTCTGAAGCTGACAACTTTTCTTTGCGGGACCATGTCCTGCAGCCCATCCATAACGACGCCGACAAAACCTTCCCGGAAAGCATGAAAAACCTTGTGAACTCGAGGTCCATGAACACCCATATGTCGTTAGCAAAGCGGCAAGAACATCATATTCACGCCGGGAATTTCACGAAAGCGATCTCGGCCTACCGACAGGCCAGCAAATCTGGACACCCCATCAAACCCATTCACATTCAATTGGTCGTTATTTCAATACTCCTGGATGGCGGCTTGGCGGGCTTGAAAGATGCCCAGAAGCTTATCAAGTCAGAGTGGCCATACTGGTCCAGGATTCCAAAAACCCAATTCACAACACGATTCCCTCGCTTTGTCCCGATTTTCTTCCAACAAATTCTTCAAGTTGATCACGCCCAGACTAGTGAATCAACCCTACTCCACATGGCCTTGTTTGAGTTCTACAAGATCTGCGAGGATGCACCCATGTTCAATGTCAAGCATCATCTGTCTGTCACCATGGCCCGACGCCTCATCGTGAAAGACCAGAGTGAGACCGCAATCGGGGTGCTCACGGCTGTCTACATGTCCAAATGGCGCAGGTCTCATGGGTTTGACCAAGTGCAACTCAAGATCCTGATGCGTGCTTATGCAATGACAGGCCACATCAGGGGTGTGTGGTGGTGCATGATGACAGCACTCTCTCGTCAAGAGCCCGTTCTCGATGACTTTTTAGTCGAGGTCAAGCGTTTGATGCCTCTTCTGGAGAAGCAATACTCTCAACACGATCCACAATCCCAGGTCGGACGCAACATGAAGAAGCTGGATTTTATCAGGGAGAGGCTGGAAGATAAGGCCGCCGGTCGGCCATACTGGAAGGCTCAGCAGATCTCCGTATGTCCCGAGAAGAAAAAGAGGAGACGAGCTCTCCTTCCCACGGAAACCGGGAGGTTGTATAGTCGCCTGCCGTCCGCTCCCATCTCAAAGATGGTCCAGACGTTCGACGAGGAGATTGAAATGGACTTCCTGCAGAACCGCACGCAAGTTGACTTCTACACACTACAGAGGGCTTGGGATGAGAATCGGATGGTCACCGAATGTCTCGTGCAGCCCGAAGAGGCTGAATACCCAGCGAACGTATCAAAGGGAAAGTCTGCCACGGCATGAAAGCTCTTCTTTGTATATACAAGATAGATCATGTACAACATGTATACTATGTCCAATTAAATCTGAATACCCTGAAGCCCCTTTCAGATCAGTAGTACCTGATAATCATCATCGCCGCGAGGTCTTATATCATGATTGTCGCAAACCCGTCATACACTGTACCTAATCCCTTCAATAAGACCGGGGGATAAGATGATCTGGGTATATCTCATGACAAAGTTCGGTGCTGGACTTAAGCACTCTGGAAAAGGAAAGTGGGTTCGAGTGCGCTTGGTGTAGTTTTGAGCTACATCCGGCACAGCTTTATTTCTAGCACCATTATTTGTCAGGCAGCACCCAGTCATGTGGTGCAGATAGAATGAAATGTAACCGGTTTCCTCCTTTTTGGTGATTCACATACAAGAAGGCTTGAATTTTGAGCCCCTGGGATCTTCGTAAATTGACCCGGACAGGGTAAAGGCTCGTCCGAACCCAATTATTCGGTCCTGGCGGATCTCGTTTACTTTCGACGGACAATCACGTGCGACAAGGTTCCTTTTCGAATGAGAACACTTGTTTGTTCAATTGCAAAGCAATTTTCCCCATCGCAAGAGGCAGCCTAGAAGCCCTGCGTGCCTAACCTGCGGGGTTTTGGAGTTCGCTCAATTTTGTGGATGCGGCCCGGTACCCAGAAATTGAGATTGAACCTGTTGATCCGGGGGTTTCACCCTCATGCACAATATCTCTGGACTAAATAGCATACTGGCTTTGCATAATTTGTAAGTCTGAACAAATTGGTCTGATTTCATGAGAGAATTTTATGGCGTCAAATCGGTTCGGAGCCGTGAACGCCCGGCCAAAATGAATGATAACGCTATCCAGCAGATGATTCAATTTCGAGTCAATCGATCTTCGAGAACGCGAAATAACGCAGCACTGTGAGGAATTCGATAATGTTCTCGTCCCTTGCGACTGATAATTGGTCTCTTTTATAGTCTCATCAACTATATATAGTTCCTGCTCGTTGGTCTCTCAGATAGAAACAGCTTTCCATCCATCCAGACTCGATCATCTCCATAAGTTCAAATAAATACTACGCTTCATACCTATTTATCCTTTATCTTTAATCTCAATTCAAAAGACCTTCCAGACAACGAAAATGGTTGCCGGACGATTCCTTTTCGTTAGTATCCTCGCTTTGAGCCAGAGCGCCCTCAGCCTGGCTGCAGGCTCTGGTGCATCTGGTATTCTTTCCAGCATCAACACCATCTCCGACGAGATTGTGAAGCTTAACTCCACTCTGAACGGATTCGCCGACAATGCTCAAATTACTAGCTCTGCCCTCAAGCTCCAAGGCGGAGCCTCCGACTTGCTGAAAGACATCAAGAACGGAGCCGAAGAAGCCGACAAGGTCTCCAGCCTTGAGCCAGCTGACCAAGAGAAGATTGCAACTGCCATCGTTCCTCTCTCGGAGAAGGTTGTCTCGTTGATTAATGGATTCGTTAGCAAGAAGCCTGTTTTCCAAAAGGCTCTTCTTGGAGGATCCGCCGATGGTCTTGTTGAGAAGGACTTGAAGGATTTGAAGGAGGCTACTGATAGCTTTGGCCAGGCGGCTCTCAAGTCCTTCTCCGGTGTCCCTAAGGATAAGGCAACTTCCGTTTTGAAGGAGATTGATGAGCACTTTGCCGATGCGATCGAGACTTTCTCTACTTAGAGAACGGGGATGGGCCTGGCAAGAACGACAACGGAGTGGAGTGAGTGAAATACGCATCGGGACTTGTTATGTTCAATATATCGATATAGCAAAGAATGACCCTTTTCTCAAGTACGGTGCTATGAGCCATTGGTGGCGAGAGGAGGGACGAGCAGTGGGGTTTCCTTTTGGCGAGCTAGTTAGTCTATGGTGCCGTTGCTGAATCTCATCCTATTTTGAGCCAAGATTGCTTTCATCTGATTATGGGACAACAATGCCCCGAGTATTCTGGGGAACATACCGCATATGTTGGGACATATTCTGAGAGAGTGCGGAGAATCGGAGAAGTGGATCATGGAATTGTGGTAGATCATGGGGAAATTGAAATCTAGCCTAGATATATTGTGCATTGCGTGATTTCAAGTTCAATAAAGGAGCAACATTTCAAAAATGAATATTTGACAACTGGCAAAATGAACTAAAGGTTCATACATCCTGTGAAACACTCACTCCATTTGCCTATAGCACACCCTAGAGCTTCGAAAGGTTGAGAATCTCCTGGATAAATCTTCTCTGTATCTAAGTAATACTTCGTAAACGGATTGTCTTCCAGTCTGATACCCAAGATCAAACCCATTGTGGGAAACCTATGCGGTAAAGTTGCAGGCAGCGAGCCACAGCAGTACCCGTGGCCCGCATCGAGCGCAGCCAAGAAGTCGATAAACATCCATCATGCGTGTGCCACGCCTTAGCGGAGAATATGTAGCCTCCAGCGCTATCCGATCACCGAGTGTTTTTATATGCAAGGTCGCCGATGATATTCTCAACGATGCACGACGGCGCTATTTGCACAAACGTCCAAAAGTTGCACCATTGAAGCGATATCAGCAGGGAAACAATACCAAGCACCACTCCGCCACATAGACTTCTTCCTCCCCAGCATTGATCCCTTCGTGAAAGGCACAGGAGTATTTCCGATTCCCCTCAGCTCACACAGCCAAGTCAACTTTCTCAGGCTAACAACGCGAATTGTAATGCGTTTTCCAGTGCTATTCAGTACAACATTGGTCTCTTTAATTATTTTTTACGGTGGAAGCTAACTGCTATCCTTCGCTTATGTAGATTGATTATTAACTATTCTGTAAACAAGCACTTTAACGGCCCTGTAAGAACTAGTAGGTATAATCTTCGAACCTGAAATTCCACAAAGTCTTTGCCGAGTCATCAAATCCATATCCCTTGGAACTGGTTGCCCCAATATGCTGAAGCAACGAGGGAACCACGGCCCAGCGTGTCCAGCCCTCATGATCAGCTATCTTCTCCACCATCATGTCTACTAGCCAATCGGTTGTCAGGTCCGTACGCTCAAGCAAGTCGGGTATGATGGAACGAGGAAACACGAGGCCCTGCGAGCAGCATCCGTATTTGTTCATCTCATGGACGCCAGGGGATATGGGCCACATTGTCTGTTTTCCCGCCATGAAGTGGAGCGCAATAGCGGCAGGGATAAAAATGCACGAGATGATCCAGATTGCGTTGGCTGAAAAAAATTTCGACGCGTTTTTGAAAATTCTTTTGCCAGCCACCATGATCCCCGTAAGCGATGCCCAGATGATGAGCGACCAGGCCAGATATGTCGGCCACTCTTCCGAATTCCAACCAAGAAGGTCATCGACATAGAAGAGCCGCATGTATACCCACTTTTTATTCGTGGTTCGTTCCTTGACGATATCGAGAGCCTTTAGGGCGGACGGGAGCCAGCCCTTCACCGCTAATGTATCGTCCTCGATCATCGCCACGTATTCAGCGCCAGTATCGTAGCATGTCTTCATCAAATGCGTATAATCGTAAATCGTCTTGTTGCGATACCATCCACCTTCCTCCCACTCTTTAAGGCGATCAAAGTCGGGATCGTCTTCTTGATACGTCAGCAGGCGGTCTGCCAAGGTATCAACCCACTTCTCTGAGTAAATTGGATGTTTCCATGGCTCTGTGTTGCCAATAAGAAGGATCAGGAAAATGTTGTTCCTCTCTTCCTCACTGAGACCGTCCAAGAGAGATGCCACTGTCAATCCCACGTATTGCTGTCCCCTTCGACGGACAGTTGCAATTCCAGCACATATCACAGGGGGTGAATGTTCAGGTTCAGGCCTTATTGGTTTTCTCAGATTACCGGCGTCGCTTAAAAACTCTTCTGCCTCTGCAATTCTGGAAGACGAATATCGTCGCTCGTAGGCACGGATGGGATCGAAGAAATAGGACGTAGGGTCTCGATAGCTGACATTATGATAGTAGCGAAGGGAGAAGAGGTAAAGTATGGCAAAGGTGCAGAATAAGACGCCTGTATTCGAGAAAGCGAATCGCCCGAAGCGAAGACGTAAAACATCAGCCATGCCTACGTCCAGTCGTTCGAACAGGACGCATATGGGGAAAGAGAGCGGTTCACTCTGGTCAGCTTGCAATGAGGGGGGAGGTTGCGAGGTGAACAAAAGAGCTCGTTTCAGTGCCGGGTGCTTAGACGTATCGGATATGTGCGCGCATCACAACAGTGCAACAGTGCCGAGGATCAAAAAACAACGTGCATGATATGTAAATCGATAAGTGGGAATAGGAGAGTTAAGAGTGGATCATTCGGAAAGGAGTTTCACTGAAGTTCATGTGGCAGGGCTAGGCTTAATCGGATTATCTTGGTGGACCGTGCGAACTGACCAATGAACTGGGTGGCCGGATTGCGCTCGGATGGCCAACCTCGCTGTTTGCGCTGGCGTAATCCACGTGCAAGGAAACATCCCAAAACACTCGTACGGAGTGGTAAAAGCGATAAATGACGAACTCGTATTCTTAACGGTCAGAACCTATCTTATCATTTTATAGCAAGTCAACATTCATATTGTTTCTAAGGGGGCAGGTTTTATTTAGGATGCTTTTCCTGAGTAGTGATTCGAGTACGTATAATTGAATCGATTCGGTTGAATAGACAACGTAATTCGCTAAGTGTAGAATGTTCATCGGAAAATAGCGAGTGTATAGCCACTGATTTATTCGATGACTGTCCCTCCAATTTTCATACGAAGAGGCTGAGTTTTTTATGACTTCGAACATTGCCTCTAGCCTGGTGACAGGGTATTTCTCTCAACTGTGGATTACGCCGGCACCTGATCATCTAACTTAAGCTACTGCACTGCAGCTGTTCAAAAAGCCCTCCAACAAAGGGGTTGTAGTGTCCAATACAGCCTGTACGAATTGCCTTGTTATACTCCAAACAACAGTCCATCAGACTATGGCGCGATTTCATCCGTCGCTGTATCCAATCATAATGAGTCTCTAGACGCCCTCAATTGCTTCACATACATGGCCCCCAAATATGTCTGCAACTAAACTGTGGCTTCAATTAACACCTCCAAAAGGTACATTGCATGCGTTAGCGTGTCTCGGGCTCGTTTCTAGATGCACTACCGCGCCTCACCAGCTTTTTTAACTGCCTTCCTCCCCTCTTCCCCTTTCCAAGCTAAAATCATGCCGATTGCAATTGCGGGTTCCCAAGTTCCCACTTCAGCAATTTAGCCGTGACTTTATCTACATCTTTTACAATATGCCGATATATTATTGACAGGACTTGCGTACGAATAATTTTGGGACTGGATTGACTTCCTATCAACTCAATTTTACTTTTTTACATGAACGTATTGTACTCCGTCTTATTCGCGAAGCACTACGTTTAGTACTCGGCAATTTGAGGGCCTCTCCTTGTGCCGACTGTGCTCTAGGATGTGGATGCCTCACTACATATTCCGAACGGCTAGAAAGGCTGTCGACTATCCGGGTATGGCCAAGGATGGGAAAGAAGAGCCCGAGAAAGTCATTATCACCGAATCGATACCCACAGCACTTCGACGCTGTACCTGGCACCTCATCCCTATCTTGTCCACTATCGCGATAATAACCTTGGACCTTAAGGGCTATTATCTGGGAGCTGATCTTATGTCACCGGTCAGGTCTGAGACCATTAACCTCATGTTCCTTCAATTGGCTGCTAAAGGCCATGAGATCATGATCGTGGCCAGTCTAGGTCTTATTGTTTTCCACTTTGTTCGAGAAGAACTGCTTTTTGAAGATGGATTGCCGCTCGGGCTCCTAGGTTCCGGCCTCACTTTCAATAACCTTGAATTTTTTGTGTCCAAAGAGTTCTATGGCACTTTGAGATATGTCGTTGACTATGGTAATAAGCCCAGAAAGATCCTCTTTCTGATTGTCGTCGTGGTGGCTGGGCTTATAGCTGCACTTGCTGGGCCGGCAAGTGCGGTACTACTCGTACCTAAGTCCCAGGATTGGGCAGCTGGAGGTACTGAATTCTACATCAATGGATCTGCGAGCGACCTTTGGCCGGATGACCTATCTGGAGTCATGTCGGAGCTTCGGCAATATTGCAACCTCAATGACTCTACCCGACTAGGAATCTGTCCGGCGGGCGGGTTTAACTCTCTTTGGGATCACTGGGGTACTGCGAACTTTGCGAATTTTCGTGCTCTGGACCGTTCATACGCCAAGGATATCTCTGGGTCCAACTTCTACTGGCCAATATCCAGTCCGTTGTCTCAAATCCCACCTCTCTATGTGCTAGGAAATAGCAGGGATGCCGAAAGTGGTGCAACTACCCTCATTCAACCACATGCAGCAACAGTGGTAATCTTGCAAGCCCTAGCGACAGACTGGTGGAAAGTTTTGACAGCCCAACGAGGCATGTCTCCCGATCAGGTTGATGACCGGGAGATTTCTGCCAAATTCAGGAGTGCGATCAGCGTTGTCAGATGCGCAACCCCGCAGAATTTGTCGCTCTCAGACAAGACGGTGAATTTCCCATCCCTAGATGGTCGATTCAACTTCGCCCAAAGCTTGCCATTTGTGGTAAAAGATCTCAATAATACTGCTGTGAAACATTTACGTTTCCAATGGGTCCACCTTCCGGTTAAATTTGGTGCAGCTAGCATTGGAGGAGTTTTAGAGGCCCCGTGGGATTCTAACAAGACCTCGAGAGCTGTGATCGGTTGTACAATCCAAGCTGGATGGGTCCCGGCAACTATGTACACCAACAAATACAATTTCTGGACCGGATGGTATCCATGGGATATTCAGTATGGAGACCGCACGCCTGCCTGGTTTGCCACATCTCAGACCGCTACGAATGGTCGAATAGCTCTTGGAGATGACTGGCTGAATCTACTGACGCCACCAATTGCCGACTCTGATCTTGGACTTTGGAGACCGTCCACCATTGAGAGTTTGTTTTTGAATGCCGGTCTGGGCTCATCTCTTAATACGCTTGTTGCGGACTGGCTTGATACGAGGACTGAAGGATTGGACAAGCTTGCGCTCATTGAAGCCATTATTTGCAGCGTGATTGTGGATGGTATTAGTCGTACCGGAAGCTATCGGGTATTCAATACTTCAGAATCAACATCCGAATGGTCGCTTGCAAACTACAACCCCTTGCCTGACTTTGATAAACGCATCCTGAGGAATAAGCCTGCTTTGAGGATTCCTGCAGTCAGCCCCGAGAGTCTTACAAAGATTGAAGCAAGCATGCAAATAAGCGGTTTCTCATTCAAAGGTTCTCTGGCAGCATATCTTGCCATGGCAGTCCTTCTCACCCACCTTCTTATGGCAACCGCTTATGTTATATATGTGATCCGTAACAGACAGACATCAAGCAGCTGGGGGTCCGTTTCTGAGCTCATTGCTCTCTCACAAAACTCCCAACCAGCATTTGATGTTTTGGCAAACACCAGCGCTGGTATTGAGAGCCGCAAAACATTTCTGCAGATGGTGAAGATTCGAGTGAGGGAAGTTCCCAATTCGTCAGGCAAGAGTGAACATGTTGAATTCATTTTTGGTGACCATGGGAATGATAACTCTAGCTCCCAAAGTCACCAACGAGGTCCCTCTGAGCACGAGCTAGTTGAGCTACGCAATCATATCTCAACTCATTCTGTGACTTGGCCTCTCAATGGAAGCGAAAACCACGGGGAAATCGATATGGATGCTTGGAGTACCTCGACTTCTGCAGAGAGGCTTGTACCTGGTGACAGAAAGGACAGGGAGAATACGGTCCAGCCTGATGTAAAATATAGCTGAAATGTTATCTGGGATAGTCTGAAAGCTGTAGACGCTCTAAGATCCCAGCATGCTGTGTCATTGCTAGGGTCATCCTTTCCACACTTCCCATTCACCATATGGAACAGTAAGTGTAACGCCGGAAGGTACTATCGTATATCTCGGGATTAAATTACTTACCATATGGAGTACCTTTTGCTGGCTAGTACTCCTCCCTATTCAATTAAAGATTTTGTCAAAGCGTCTCTTACCACGGCAGAGAACGCATCCTCCAAGGCGCAGTGACAAACATTAATCAAGTGCTGCAAATAAGTTGCGGACAACTCTTTACAGCACCTTCATCGGACTCCCAATACCACCGCCTGACGTTCCAAACCACTATTACAGGTTACGCCTATGGCCTTCGCAGCACAACAGGCATCATTGTTTCAACACTGGTTTCCATCATCGTCCTCCTATGCTACGTCGCGATTGCAATGACTCATGTTCTCTACACGCTTTGTAGCTCAGGCGTTTTTGTCTCACAGTGGGAGAATGTTTTAGATTTGGTGGCACTCGCCTTCCACTCAAACATTACTAATATACCGTCGATGTATCACACAAGCACGGGTATAAAAACAACAAAGCCTCTGAAGACATTAGTCGTACTCAGGCCGAAAGATAGGGACATTAAGATAGCTTTTGTTAAAAAAAAAGGTTGAGAACTGCCGTGAATTTATGGGGAACGTTGGATAAGTGTCAAATAGCACAGCAAACTCACGCCTCGAAGTCTACCGCACCAATCTGTATAAATCCGAAGCCGGTGAATTTGAATTATATAGAACTAACAATGTTCGTTTACAATAGATTGTCAAGAGGCACGTCCTCTAACCTTTCAACCGATCATCAAGTCATATCCACCGGGCATGTATGTTCATTTTACTCGTGGCTTTATGCTATCAGTGCCTTATAGATGGGAGAGATGTTCCAATGGAAAAGGCAAGCAAACCTTATCATGTTCACCGACTACTGCAAAGCTATTCACTTATCAATCTATTATTCAGCTATAATTGAGGTGAAGAGGGATCTTGTTTTAGAGAGACACACTTTGAGCTTCTGCTGTAGTCCTACCCCAGTCACACTCCTCTACGCCATATCTGCCATAAGATTCTTCGCTGTGCTTCAAGAGACGAGATAACCAAAGAGCAAAGCGGCAGGAGCATCCAATCCAACAAATCTATCTCATCAGGATAGAAAAAAAGACATACAACAGCCAGGATTCGCATGTGGTCACCCACCATACTACTAACTGGCCGGCGTGTGGTTTAAGTACGGCTGAGCGGACGGGAAGCCCTGTTCTCCACACCCTATGGTCGTATGTACATGTTTACACACATCAACAAAATATATTCTCTTTGACTGTCTGAATTCCGACTTACCGTGTACCACTTTAGCGTCGCTCGACTGGGGCGAAACAGGGTGAGTGTCCAATAGATAGGGGGCGGGAGAAGACAGGTGAGGACGGGCGATCACCTGGGTTTCCATCCACCCTTCACGGAGAAAACATTTAGATAAACAGAATTCAGTTGCTCATCTAGAGCACACCGTCAAATAAAGACTTTGATGGGCTGTCTCCGTTCATTATCCCGCAAGCCTCCCACGATGGACGAAATTACGAGTAGACATTTCGCTTCCACAGCCGGACGGAGACATGCCTTAGCTAATTCCCACGCTGTAAGAAGGAGATTTTTGAAGCCTCCTCCGGCAGCGATAGTGCGCTCGTACGTCTCCTGGAGTCTATCAAACAACATCAAATCGGTTCCTGAACCCTTATGTACATGCCTAAATACATAAAGCCTTGGTCGAATTTTCTTTAGCGTTAGTAGTAGATAAGGATAGCCTAACTTGAGTAGATTAAGATGAGTAAATGGTGGACTATAAGTAATAAGCACGTTAATCCTATCTAGTACTGAGCTAGCCTATATATCCTGATTCCGGGGATATCAAAAGGCCTAATTACCGTGCCTGATAGTGTAAGGACTCCTATAGACCCTGAGCTGACGACTATTCGGATAGATTGTTACTTTATTATTTTCTAGGTAAATAATATCGCCCTAATTAAGCTGAGCTCGCTTAGAGGCTGCGTGACCTGATGAATCATCCTATACTAAAATTAAGTAATAGCTTATGATTGCTAGTAATCACGATTTTGATAGGATGAGGTAGGGTGCGTAGCTAATCGAGTGCGTCCTAAAGTTCCTAGAAAGACCCGGATTGTGTGAGATCACTAGTATGTATAAGGACATCTCCATCCGGAACACTGATTTGGGCGTTATGAGTATCGGAGATGCAGACAATCGCAACAGGACTTGTAAGTGGCATAGCTAGAATAGGTTTATGCCAACTATAAAGCGTTCGTGAGAGGAAGACGTAGGGCTGGGCCAAGAACTTTTACCATAGTCCTGGTCGCTGTCGATGAAGGAGTTCGTGAAGACTGGACATGATTGGAGACTTGAGACCCAGGAATTCCTCGGTAGTAACGGGGGGGGGACACACGAAGAACTGTTCTGTTTGGAAATAACGATGCCAGAATCTCGCCTCGATCTTCCGGGGCCGAGACACGAGGAAACCATTAGCCAGAGTTGACGTCGACGTCGGATTATATAATCCCTCTGATGCAGAAAGTTACGATATCGATTATTTCATGCACCGCCCTGCTTGCCATGGGACCGTCTTTGGCCTCTTACAAGACTCGGAATTATATGTTACCTCGATCGCTCTCTCGCCATCTCCCCACTTTTCCCTTGATCTCCGGATCGGGAGACCGGTGTCCAAGAGACGTCTGCTTCTAAGTAATAGAGAATGTAGGTCAGACGCCTTTTCCGAAGTCTATATAGCACCAGGTTTTGGTCACATAGGAGAATTCCATGGACTGACCTACTTACGAGATAATAAAATACATAGACGTTAACGATAATGTTGGGTTTCTCTCTGTCGCGTTTGCCGCTCGGATATCCCGGTCGGATCGTTTTAGCCCGATCCCCACGGGGTCCATGGGTCTTTCGGCATTGTTAGCCTACCCGAAGAGCAAAATTGGGGCTAGAATAACCGTTTCTGTTGATGGCGGGGGGGGGGGGGGCAAACGATCTTTGCTTAATAACTGAATATCGGACGACCCCAGACGTAAAGTGACTCAGCTGTGTCCACTTGAGCAACCACGATTGTCCACTTTGGATGTTCACAACCTCGCCACATGCCTCGCGCTAATCCGACATTGGGCACAGCGACTCGTTTTCGATGTACAGTCTGCCCAAAAGAATTCTCCCGACGCGAGAACTTGATAAGGCATGCCCGCGTCCGTCAGTCTTCCCCAACGGGTGTTCCTGCTGTGATGTAGTGCTAAAATTCTTCCCCCTACCAAGATAACCCTAAAAAACTGCACTACTGCTCTGTATGTGGCAAGCAGTTCACAAGAAGTGATGTCCGTCAACGCCATGAAGAGATCCACAAGTCAAGGCGGACCCCTCCGGCAGCCTCGTCACCACAGTCGGCGGCGATGCCTGTAGAGGGGCTTCGAATGATGACACCAGACATGAGGACTCCGGGAGCGTTGGGCGAGTTTGAAAGCAATGTTGGCTCCGCATCTCGTAGCATTCATAGGGCTGAGATTCCCGTCAGAAGTCCAGCTGAGGACAATACCATCCCAGATCAGCTGTCTAGCTGGATGTATCATTCGGGAAATCTGGAGAATATGTGGTTCGACGATGACTTGTTGACAGCGCTCATGGACCCGATTATGATGCCGGGCGTCGACAATCACTCAGCCGATACGGCGATCACATTACCTAGTACTGCAAGGGCCTACGCCCTGAACACCAATATGCCCTCAGAATCCGAGCCTCAATCACCTCCCAATGAAGCATCTGAGGAGGATCGATGGCCTTACAGCTGGGATCCAGGCTCTCGGCCTATCACTGCATGCAAGCCTATTCAGATGGATAAAACGCACCCCCTACGGCAAAATCACAACACACAATTCGATATCTCCGCCGAGAGATACAAGGCTCTGAAATCATTTCTCCAGCGACCGGCCCGCAAAGGCTTCGACTTTCACACTCTGCCGTTACCGGGATTGGGGATAGCAAACGTGTTCATTCAACTTTTCTTCACGCACTTTGAACATCAGGTCCCAGTGATTCATCGTCCATCCTTCAAGTCTTCTGATAACTTGGCAGATCCATTATTAGCAATCATGATTGCCATAGGAGCGACATACAGTCAGCTACGACATTCTTGTCGCTTCTCAATTGTGTTGATCGATGTCGCCAGACTGAGCACACAACTGGCGATTGAGCTGGACAACAGAATGATGCGAGACCCGATGGTACTCTATGCGCTGGCGCTAATATGCTACTCTGGCATCTGGTGTGGAAACAAAAGGCTCTTTGAGCTTTGCGAGAGCCTAAGGGGGACGGTTATTACTTACTGTCGCCATATGCAACAAATGAGGCTCACTCCAAGTACCGCAGGACCTGAGACTTCAGCTAACAACCCGGATGAGCAGTGGCATAGGTGGATATTGAGGGAGACCAAAAAGAGACTGGCATGGGTCATATACGGTCTCGATTGTATCTTTCCATGCTTGCTCTATCTTCCAGCCTCATTTACCCTGGCAGAGTTCATGAATATGGAATGTCCATGTGATGAAGAATTTTGGCAAGCCGCAACTGCTCAGCGCTGGAAACTTCTGCTTGGATCAGCCTCCATACCCCCCACGAGACCTTTTGCTTCGGCCGTCAGCCCGTTCCTCGGGCCACTCAACTTGGGACGACCTCCGGAGACCAACATCCATATGACTCGCTCACCAACCTCATATTCGAATTCCATTGGACTCAACTGCTGGTCCCGTCACCTTGTACTCATCACGATTCAAGTTCAGATCTTCGAGCTATCCCAGCAGATTATTATGGTCTCTGATGCAACCCTGGATACCGAAATATGGCAACCACAAGATGAAAAATTAGCCAGCGCACAGTCTTTGGGTAACCCCCCCTTCGAGTCCTCGACGAGCCCAAAAGTCAAAGACCATTTTGTCCAATTGGTCACAAGGTGCTCGGGTTCAAATCCCTCGGGTCCGGTACAAGAAGTTCTAGGGTCGCTCGCAAAACGAAAGGCCCACTTAGAGAGTACGTTGAAACACGCATGTTTCCCTGAGATGAGCTTTCTAACCGATTATTAGGTATGCTTTTAGCATGGGAGCAGGCGTTTGCAGTGTCCCCTGCTGCCGACAGTTCGGTGTATCCGACCTCGAAACACTTCCAAACAACTGCCACCACACATCTTGAGATCAGCTATTTGATGCTTCATGTTCCAATTTCGGATATTCAAGACGCGTTGGGGAAGTCGGGACCGGGCAAAGTGATCCCTGCAATGGAGATTATGCGCCGCTCCCTCGCAGAGCATCCAGACATAGTGGCATCAATATTCCGAAAGTGTCTATCAACAGTGAGCGAGCTACAGTCAAAACTGCTGGATCACCATGACAGGTCCATGAGGAATATCATGGAACCTGCAAGTGTCATCAGCTGTTTCCTTAGCGGGGTCTATGCATGGGCCATTCTCCGCTCATCTGATCGGGAGCAAGTGATGTTTCTGCAAGAGCAGATTCCAGGTGTAACTGGTTCCGACGCTTTTTCTGCGACTGTAAAAGAAGTGATATCATGGAAGACCAATGAGCAATTGCCTCCGGACCACCTTGGCGCCAGAGCAAACCTTATTTTACATGGCGTGGCAGACGTACTTGGAAAGATGGCACCGTGGAGCGCTTCACTCAATATGGCGCTACTATTGTGTCATCGTGCAAAGGAGCTTATGATTTATTGAAAGTATTGAAAATAGAATTAGATCATGTTCACTTTCAAAGCAGATCTTATGCCCCCTTCAGTGAGGCCAATAGATCTATATAGCTAGATATTATGGGGTAGGTTCCTTCAGGATCAACAGACCAAGATTTGCTTTTCTCAAGCAGGCGATCAAGCCTGCGCCTGCATTGCCAACTTGTGACTTGCAAACTGTCGGATCGGTACCTTTGCCTCGTAGAAGCTGTCAAGATCTTCAGTGGACAAGCCCGTAGTATCAGGGACCAGCATGTAGACTCCCAAAAGAAGCAACACCGAGCTCCCGGCGAAGACAAAACCAGTTCGTGCTCCCAAATTGCCCGAGTCCACATTGTACATGTATGGAACGACAAACGTGATGATCCAGGTGGTCAAGGTTTGGGACATCATTCCTAGTGACATCGACTTGGCGCGGAGTCGATAACTGGAAACCTCAGCGGCAATCGACCATCCCGAAGCCTGCATGAAGGCTGCCTGCAGGGAAATGAGAATGTTCCTAAATTTGGGTCAGTAATTCACGTTGAGATCTTGGAATAATCGCATTGCCTCACATGAGAATTGCGATACCCCACTTGGGTCCATCGCCATTTCCGTAGTATAGAGCTCCAATCACCAGGTTGAACACAAGATTGATAACAGTACCCCAGAAAAGGATGTGGCTGCGTCTGAAGTTCTTGAGTAAAATCCCGCTGGCAATGATAATGATGATTGCGAGGCCGAAGCCACCAACAGAGATATCGAAGACGTGAATGGCAGGCAGGCCAACAGAAATCAGGAAATAAATCGACTGAGACAGGAAAGGGGCGCCACCAAGATTCACAATGCCGAAGAGGAACATGATTGTCAGAGTGCGCTTCAGATTTGTGCCTTGGAAGCACTCCACATATCGTGCTTTGCTGGCATGTTGTTGCGAGCTTTCCTCTTCAATGGTCTTGCTCAGGTAATTGAAGCGTTCCTCCCGATCAGCGCTATCACTGTAGATCCAATCGAGTAGTTTCTTCGCGTTTTCTTGCTTGTTGTTCACAATAGAGTAGACAGGAGATCTAGAGCAGGTTGTCAGCACTTTGAATGTGATATAGCATACACTTGCAAGGTCCTTACTCGGGTGCCAAAGCAAAAGCAATGGCGACAAGTGCACCGACTCCCCACTGGATCGCGAAAACCGTGCGGAAAGAATGCTCTGACACATCGGGAACGAAGATTCGAATGACGCCCATAGCCAAGGCCTGCATGATGAGGATAAAGATAACCAGTGCTTGTTGAACAGGTGGGACGAGACGAGGAGAAACGATTTCCGACGCATATGTTGTCCCGGCAGCCATGGCCATACCGATTCCCAGACCGGATACAATCTTTCCACCAAGAAGGGCGCTCCTGGTATGAGCAGTGTATTGTACAGTTGCACCTGCCAGGGAGATCACTCCTGCAATACAGCCTGACCACTTCCGACCGATGCGGTCGGCTAAAAGTCCAGTGCCAGTAGCCGCAAGAGCCTGTGCCAATGCCGACATAGATGTCCATAGTGAAGTCCAAAGTGATGGAAGATATAAGCCAGAAGCGTTGTGCTCTCCGAAGTATATAATGAACGCGGGCATCGAGATTGCAGCCCCATTCACGATCGTGTCATAACCGAACATAACAGCAGCCGTGAAAGGGATGCAACCTGAGAAATTTGTTAGCATTTGGTAAGTCAAACTCGGTTTTGGCTTTTTGTCACTCACAAAGCAGAAGAGCCCTTCCATGTCGCTGGAGAATGTCTCGGAAGCCCAAATTCTGATCAGACTGGAGGAATGCTGGTTCCTCCCACTCATGGTGCGAGGACGACGACTTGACGAAATTCTCGGGCATCTTGATCAACTTTGAGCAAATGAGCAGATCTTGTTCTGTCAAGTCGATCAAAGGGGGCCTGACATCCATTTATGCATTCGCAAATCACAAAGCAAGCAGAATCTGGGGAAGTCCGGGGTGTAGCTAGACCGGGGATGAACGTGGGGAAAGTGGACAGTGGACAGTGGATAATGGACAACTCGGAAATCCCGAAACTGGACTTTACCCAGAGCGGATGTGGATAGTTTGTAGAAACCTTGTATAAAACTGCGGTCTGAGATGAGCCTGAAGTCGAGTTATAAGACAAGAAAAAGACATGTCTCTGGAACAGCTAGTTCAGTCCCTTTCCCTCGAGGAAAAGGTCTCGCTCCTCGCCGGAAAATCATATTGGAGAACGGCCGGCCTGGCAAAGTATAACATCAAGCCTATCAAGGTACAGAATTCCCAGAATGAAAGATAATTTTTTTTTTCTAAAACGGCATGCAGTATAGCGATGGGCCTAATGGCGTTCGCGGAGAATCCATTCATGCCTCAACGAAAGCCACCTGTTTCCCCTGCGCTGCATTGGTTGGGTCGACATTCAACCCCGATTTGGCCTACAAAATGGGTCAGGTTATTGGCAAAGAATGCAAGGCGAAGGACGTTGGTCTACTTTTGGGACCAACTATCAACTTGCATCGTTCTCCACTGGGTAAGCTCTCGCCATTATAAAAGCCGAAAAAACGTAAAACACTTGCTAATCATGAACAGGAGGGAGAAACTTCGAAGCTTACTCCGAAGACCCGACCCTGTCCGGGCTATTGGGGGCTGCATTTGTTAACGGGGTCCAATCACAGGGGGTCTCTGCCTGTCCCAAACATTTTGTCGGCAATGAATGCGAAACCAACCGCAAGAAGTCGAATACTATTGTCGATGAGAAGGTGCTGCGGGAGTTATACGCATATGCTTTCCAAGTGCTACTCAAGGAGTCCACGCCATGGGCTATCATGACATCGTACGTTAGTTGATCTTGAAATGACAAAGAATGGCACAGAATACTGATAATGATCAATATATCAGGTACAACCTTGTTAACGGTACTTTCATGTCAGAGAATGGAGAGCTACTTCAAGGTCTCCTCCGCAAAGAATGGGGCTTTGGGGGCGCAATCATCTCCGATTTTGAGGGAGTTTACTCGACCGTTCCTTCTGTCATGGCAGGTGTTGCACTTGAGCTGCCAGGCCCTGCTCGCTTAAGGGGAGAACATTTATTAAAGGCCATTAAAAAACGCCAAATACCAGAGTCACACATCGATGGCCTGGTCAAAGATGTCATCGCGCTATCAGCCAAAGTTGGTATGAAAGATGAAACGGCCATTGAGGAAGATATCCTCAAAGATGAGACTACAGCAACCCTTGCGAGAGCTATTGCTGCAGAGGGAATTGTCCTGCTGAAGAACGATGGCAATCTTCTCCCTTTACGACCATCTAAGAAACCCCGAATTGCTGTCTTTGGCTCTCCGGCCGCGAATCCCGTTATCCATGGAGGCGGTAGTGCGTCGCTTACTTCGTCCTATGTCACCTCGCCTCTCGATGCGCTCAAGGAAAAGTTTGGGGAAGAGAATATTTATTATCATTCAGGGGTCCCAATATTCAAGAAAATCCCGTCTGCCCCGATATCCATGATGAAAGCGCCGAGTACTGGCCAGCCAGGAGTGGATTGTTTCTGGTATAATGGCTGGGTGGTGGGTGAAAATCCAGTGCACCACGAAGTTCTGGAGACGACACGAACGCTCGTTATTGAGTCGCGAATCTCGGATCTTCAGCCCAAGCACTGCAGCCGCATGAGCTTTATTCTTCGGCCAAAATCTACTGGTCTGCATGCATTTGGGGTGACTGCCTGCGGAAAGAGTGTCCTTCAAGTAAATGGCAAAACTCTCATAGAGCACCCTGGTTTCGAAGATTGCAGAGTGGAATATGTCATGCAACCTGGAGATTTTGAGGAACGAGCTAATATCTTCATGGAAGCGGGCTGTGCATATGAAGTGACCATCGACACCCTATCAACCACCGCGCCGAGCCCATCGCCAATCTTTGATATCACGCCGCAGGCTACGTCGGTAGGATTCTACGAGAACCTGAACACTCCCATCAAGGGAGAGTTACAGAAATTGGCGTGCCAGAGCGATGTTGCTATCATCTTCACTGCCAATAATAAGGAGTACGAGTCTGAATCATTCGATCGCTCTTCACAGTCCCTGTCTCCGCTCCAAGATGAATTAATCCGGGCTGTGGCTGGCGTAGCACCCAAGTCTATCTTGGTGAACCAAACCGGGTCTCCTATCTCAATGCCTTGGATTGATAAAGTCGACTCCATCCTTCAAAGCTGGTATGCTGGCCAAGAGGTCGGGAATGCTCTGGCAGACATCATTAGCGGCGATATCAACCCCTCTGGCAAACTTCCAGTCACATTTCCACGGTGCATTGAAGATACTTCATCCTTTGGTAATTTCCCGACAGATCAAAACATGAGAGTCCGATATGAGGAAGGATTGAAAATGGGTTATCGCGCACGAAGCAAGCCTGCTCCTCTTTTCCCATTCGGATATGGGAAGTCATACACCGACTTTCAAGTACAGGGGCTCGCTGTCACAAAGAGCGCTGGTTTGACTGCCGTGGATCTGACAGTGTCAACGAAAGTCACCAATATCGGATTCGTGGCCGGCAATGAAGTAATCCAGGTGTATGTTGACGGCGTTCTGAAGGCGATCCAGAAGATTTTTCTCGTTCCAGGAGAAAGCCGCGCTGTGCAAGTCAACTTGGACAAATATGCCTTGAGCGAATGGTCTTCTAGTGATAAAAAATGGGTCATTGAGCCTCGAGCATATAGTATTGAGCTCCGCCAAGACGCAAATACTTTGCTTGCTTCAACTGCTTACAATATTGAGACAAGTTTGTCCTGGAATGGGCTTTGAGTCGAGATTGGTAGAATAGCTATCGATTCCTAATTCAGTACAGACTTTTTGTTCTACCTTTCGCACTATGACATCGCATCAATGATTATTTTCGGGGCGCCGAGGTCTCAGAAGAATTTACTGATCATAGATTAGGTGTATTGAAATGATGCTTATCTCCACAGAAATAAGGGTAGGCATACCATTCTAGGAAAGAGTTGCGCCGACCTATCCTCATCCCCAAGCCCCACTGTGTTCCTTGCCCCACCTTCCAACACCCTTGATTTCATATAAAGGAGGCTCAAAGGTACAGAGATATTGCAGTTGACCAAAAATCATCCCAAATCAATGACGGATACGTGGGTTATCGTCGGAGCCTCTCGAGGCATTGGACTCGAATTTGTGCGTCAACTGCTACAGGATGGCCATCACGTTATCGCAGGGGTTAGGAACCTGTCAAAGGCCGATCAGCTTTTCGAGTTGAAGTCTCAGTACACAACGCCAGAGCGCTGTATTATCGAAGAGTGCGATATTACTAGTGAAGATAGTATTCAAGTGAGTCTCTAACCCCAATGGCTTTATAAGCGAAATTCTAACAAGAAATAGCAATTCGCTAACAAAGTTGGGGAAGCTGCCCGAAGCGGATTAAGAGTCAAGAATATTGTACTCAATGCTGGCATACTCCAATATCCGAATCGTGCAACTGAACTGTGAGTTTGTGCAGAATATCCCATTGCCTCGGTTGAAAGTGCTGATCATTTCCATAGCTCCTTCTCTGAGTTCGCTCTCCATTTGCATACAAACACTATTGGACCAATTATCTGTGCACAGAAACTTGTGAATCTTGACGCAGAATCACCACCTTCGAAAATTGTGTTTATCTCCTCGGACTCAGGATCAGCCACCATCTTCCGTGATGATGAAGATGGATTTGGAGCCTACAGCGCAAGCAAGGCCGCACTTAATCAAATGCTTAGACATATGGCGGCTGAATTAGCACGAAGGGGTGGGAAGTGGAGCAATACATGCGTTCTAGCGATGCATCCAGGTGAAGTTGAAACGTACGTCAAAGATCTGCTGTAATTTAATATTCGGTATACTGACAGTATCGCAGGGATATGGCCAACGTTAATCTCGGTTGGGAAGTGAAAGGGTCCATACAGGCCGATGAGAGCGTTTCGGGAATGCTCAAGGTCATCGAGCAGAAGGACGAGAATGGTAGTTTCTGGTGCTGGGATGGAAGAGTAAGTTTGCACCCGGAGTTTGCAACTTCAAGAAAACGGGATCCTATCTAACAATACATGTTTAGCGACACCCTTGGTAATGGTAGTTTGAACCTCCATGCCCACGACCCGCCGTCGTAGTCCAGAGGTCTCTCTCGCGATCACTCGCTCATTCTCTCCAATTTAGTCTTCAACCATCCACTTAGAGTAACCCGAGCATAGAATCAAATGTATGGGGCCGGACCTAGCGGAACATTCCCACACCATTTCCCCTATCTTCACTAGACAATATTTGCCCGCTTAGTGACATAGGGAATGCGGGACTAATCCCACGTCGATGGTATCATGAAATCTGCGCTGCAGCTCAAGTTCTTTCACACCTCTTCAAGGCGATCAACAGAGTTCAAGTCTCTGCATTTCTGCTTCTTCTTGCAGTTCCTCTCCCCATAATCATATCCGCTACCGAAACCACCGGAGCCGCGCGCAAATGTCGTCTCGAGAACGTTTGTGTTTACAGGACCAGATTCACTGATTGCCGATCAGTGGTCATAGCTGGAGGCATCATTGGCAATAATTCAAAGGCCAAATGAGATAATCCTTCGGAAGGGTCGCTTGTTAATTCTCCGTCTAATCGACGCTCATGTCCACCTCCAGCACGAGGGATATCTGCATGCCCTGGCGAGCTACGGAGTTACAACAGCCCTCGACCTGGCAATGTGACCCACAGGTAAGATGAATAGGCTTCGAGGCAATCATGGTCTGCCAGATATCAGGAGTGCTGGGTTGCTTGTGATTGCTTCCGGTAGCATTCATAGTTGTTTGCTGCTACTTCCTGCCAAGGAGGATGGACAAGGATCGAACTATATGAAGCTCTTAGCGGATCCCCAAGCCCGACTACCATGACGAACCAAATTCTCTTCTTCGATTCAAACACAGAGATCTTCTGCATCTAAAAGTCGAACTTCTCATCGAGGCTGGAGTGTCGATGGTAGACACTTTGCGTTGCAGCAACGGTTCTTCCAACAGAGTATTTCCAGTATATTGACCGAGAGGTCATCGCTGAAGGGAAAAGAGCCGATTCCACTCTTCTTCGTGAAGATTCACGAAAGATAAATGGTGCGACTCATAGTATCGATCGAGTGTGGTGTGGCGGACTTGATGATCGGAATGTTGCATAGTCGATGTTGATGCCTTGAGCAGGACGAGATCCACCGTGTATTTCGTAGCATAGTTGATACTATGGACTCTTTTACAAGCTTCCGTGCGCCAAGCTCTCCGAGAAGAGAGGTTGAACATTATAATTATTATTTGAAATTGATATAGAATATTTGCTATTTCAATACCAATTCAATTCCATTTCAGCAGTAGTCGTCTCATTCGAAGCATACCCAAATCAAGAACCTCTGAATCAATCGGTCCACGATGACCGGCAGAAACCAAATTATTTGGCTCTGGAACCTTTTTCACATGTCACGCCACCGCCCCTTTCCACGATCGATCGATCAGCCCATACTCTTCCCTTTTTCCCACCTCAACCAATCGTCCACCGTCCAATTCCCGCCAGGCTTCTTTCACCTTTAAAAAGCTTCAAGCATGCCCCTACGGCAACGACCGCCTTGCTAGTCACCAATCCAGTCCCCCCTTCCTCCTCGAAAACCCTCTCCCACCATGACCTCCACGCTCAACGGCCATGCGCCGAAATCTCCGCTATCCATACAACGCCGCATTGAACACCATGAGGCCGACGTCGTTATCGTCGGCGCCGGAATTCTGGGCTGCGCACTCGCTGTTGCGCTGGGACGACAAGGCCGCAGCGTCATCTTACTGGAACAGTCCATGAAGGAGCCCGATCGCATTGTCGGCGAACTGCTCCAGCCCGGAGGTGTAAATGCGCTGGAACGCCTGGGTTTGCGGGACTGTCTCGATGACATCGACGCGATCGACGTGGACAGCTACTATATCACATACTTTGGCGAACCGGTCAAATTGTTCTACCCCAAGGAAACTCCGTCTTCCCCTCGGCCAATTGGAAAATCCTTCCACCATGGCCGATTCGTCATGAAGCTGCGCCAGGCTGCGTTGGCTTGCGCCAACGTGACGGTGGTAGAGACCAAGGCTACGGGCCTAGTGACCTCAACGCAGGTCCAGGGACAGGTGCTGGGAGTTGAGTGCGTGACTCAGGATCTGAAGGACTGCTACTTTGGCCAACTGACCGTCGTCGCGGACGGTTACGCCTCGAAATTCCGCAAGGCACACCACCCACACACACCCAAAGTCCGCTCAAAGTTCTGGGGTCTTGAACTGATCGATGCGAAACTGCCCTCTCCGAACTCCGGCCACGTCCTCCTCAGCGATAAGCCTCCCGTCCTCATTTACCAGATCGGTACCCACGAGACCCGAATTCTCATCGATATCCCCGATAACCTCCCCTCGGCGTCGGTGAAGAACGGTGGTGTCAAGAGCCATCTGCGGAACGTGGTCTTACCCTCTCTTCCCGAGGGAGTCAGGCCCTCGTTCGAGGCGGCTTTGGATAAGGGTCAATTACGCTCCATGCCGAACTCCTTCCTGCCCGCGTCCACAAACAAGACTCCCGGGTTATTGATTCTGGGCGATGCGTTGAACATGCGACACCCATTGACAGGTGGTGGAATGACCGTTGCCCTCAACGATGTCTGCTGCATCCGCGAGTTGCTGAGCCCAGAGACTGTGCCAGATTTGGGCAATACCGCGCTGGTGCTAAAGCAACTCTCCCGCTTCCACTGGATGCGCAAGAACTCCTCCTCCGTCATCAATATTCTCGCTCAGGCCCTTTATCAACTTTTCGCCGCTAATGGTACGCTCTTTCTATGCTTCATTTATGATCTGCCCCCACTAATTGTGAATCAGATACCAACCTCCTCGCTCTCCAACGAGGTTGCTTCCGCTATTTCCAAATCGGTCCCGTGGACGGACCGGTCGGCCTCCTCGCAGGCCTAATTAAGCGACCTTTCGTGCTCTTCCGTCACTTTTTCACCGTCGCCTTCCTCTCCATCTGGGTTCTTTTCCGCGAAACCCCCTTCACACAACTGATCCTGTTCCCATTCCGATCCTTCATGGTCTTTTGGACAGCATGTATCGTGATCTTCCCCTTCATCTTCACGGAAATCTGGAGCTAGTGTGTGGCCTATTCAAGGGAAACACCCACCCGCTTATCCAACCCCCAACCTCATTGTCTAATTACCCCCTCATGAACTGAACATATTGCGTTTTGATTTTTTGCAGCGGGCATCTCTACTGTCCTAATCTTGCATTCTTGCCCCCTTGTTTACATATCAGTCTGGGTCATGTTTAGAGCTTGTCATCTGTCTATGTATTTTAATCTCTCCCCGCCCGCTTTACTTACTCTGTGCAAAGACCAAAAGCGATTCAGAGGGTTTTGTTGATGGATCCCTCCGGCCTGTCGGGTCTTTTATTGGGCTGATTCCAATGCCGCCATGTACTATACCAATATCAAACGTTACACTCCCCACCTCCTTGTGCCTGTACTTTAACAGTGTATAAAACCTATATTTATTTTCGGGACACAAAATTTATCAAAACACGCCAGCAACACGCCCAAGCAAGTTGAGTACCATAGCGTTCAATAAGGCAAGGAATCATAAAGACCTCTAAACCCCACGCGACTTGGCCTCGAAGCCTGGAAACGATCCACGTACCCCAGAATGATTTACAAAGCTAGCCAAGGCCCAACCACCTATGACGGCAAACGTGATCTTGATTGCGCAATGGGCAAGCTGCAAGGTATAAAGATGGGTATATATGTAGGGTAATTGCGCGTTCTGTTGTACTACTTTCCCTCTTTTTCCCCCTTTTGACTTGCTAGAATTTGTTCAGAACATCTACTTACTACCTAACACCTACCTACACCTCGGACGACTGCCCTAGCCACTGCTGAGAGGAGTAAGCAGTCTGATTTTAGGAAGAGCCTGTATCGGCTACTCATCATAATCGTTCCGTGTATTGTGTCTACCTACCGATGAATCCATTCTTTGTTCTGTCAAGGGTAGGGTAAGCTAGAGCTAGCTACCTACTTCCACTTACGATGAACCCTATACCCAAGAATCACACTCTCTATGCGGTTACAGTTTACAGCCTACACAAGATAAAAGCAAGGCCTTTTGATTTTTTTTCTCATTGACAATCCAGCCCAATATCCTCTTTTTATACAGAACCGAAAAAAACAGGGAGAAGATGATATGTAAACAACTATAATGTCTGTCTTGGCTTATTCCCATCCCACAGACAACCAAGTCGCAATCCCCCCCCCCCCCCTTCCCATAAAGTGCAATGGAAGAGGGGGACCATAACCTTAAAACCCCCTCAGACCAGGCGTCTAACATTCATCCCGAATGAACAAGGCAAATGAAAATAGGAACACAGATCCCATCCGATCAAGAAGAGAAACTCAAATGACTTGCAGAAAAAAAACCCGGAGACAATATTCATGCAGTTAATTCGATTCAATGAGTGTTCTTCCTCGATGAATGAACATAGAAATGGGGAATGAAGACAACAATTTGCCTGAAGGCCGAAAACTTGGAATTTGAAGAGATTTTTTTTTTCCAAGAACACAGAAATACAATGATGAGACAAGGCATGGCAATGATGGATGATGAATAGTGCTGTTGATTGATGATTGAATGATGGATGATGCTGCGCATATGCCCTAACCGACCTGTTCCCCTTGACACCGGGTACAACAAATTGACAAGACAAGTGGAAATCACAAAGAAGAAAAGACACAGAAACATTCAAAATGGCCGTTGAATCTTAGGACAGTCGTTGATAAAGTCGACATTTGCTCGACGAAGAGTTGATGTCACAAAGGTGAGGCGTAAGCTTGGAAGTGCAAGTACTTCAATGAGTTCTTTCGTTTCTTTTTTTTTGGGGAGGGACTCGTTTCATATTGTTTGGGACATCCAATTTTCCAGAGGGTGGTTTTTTGATATTGAGACGTCGATATGCTCGTGAACGTATGCTGATAGCCGGACAGATCGTGAAATAACGTCTTTTCCCTCCTTCAACCGCCTTTCCGCAATGACTCGTCTGCGGGGAGAGGCTCGGGACCACCATTGACGCCATTACGGTGCTCGGCAGCAGAGGACTTGGCATTCCTCCGGTGCTTCTTTTTCCCCGAAGTCTGCCATCCGCTGTGATTGGCCTCGTTGGTGCCATTTGTCTGGCCACCCGACTTTCGAGGGGGATGGTCATTGTTTCGATCCTTGGAATCGCCCGACAGGTTCGAGGAGTTATTCGTTGCATCCTGTCGCCCCTTGGCCTTGGGCTTATGACTGTGGCTATGGGCGTGGCCATTGACATGACCATGACCGTTACCATTTCCATGGTTGACACCATTGACCTTCTCAGATGAGTCCACGCCGTTTGATCGCCCGCGCTTCGAATTGGATGCCTGTTGACGGGCTTCATTGCCCAAACTCGCCCCAGAAGAACCTTTCTCACCCGAGGATGCCGAGGTTTTCGCCGGTGCTACGTCTTTGCTCGCCCCGGAATGCAAAGTGCCGTTCTTCTGTCGGTCTAAAGTCGTTTTCGTCGTTGGCTGTGACTGGGCCAGCTTTTCGGCATTCGACAGGTGAAGATTCTGAAGACGACTGGCGAGAAGCGCCGGTTGCCCATTGGCCTTCTCCAAAGAGGCATCGTGACCGTTGACATTGCCCGTCTTTGACGCTTCAAAAGGCACCCTCGTAAAGACAGGTGGCTGCTCCATCTCGAACGGGCCCGGGTCTTGGAAGTCTTGCGATAGGGAATCGGAGAAACTGGCTGGCGTGTTGATGTTATGGTCATCCGCAGTCGACGTGTAATGCGTTACGGCAGTATATGGATCAATCATATCCATCGTATACTGTGGGCGGGGCTCACTGGGCGGAACCGAGCCATCAACAATCAATGGACCCCGGTCTGCGGCCGGCGCGGGCCGCGAAGTTGAGCGCTGTTGTCCTGACCCAGAAGCCCGAGGTGCAGGTGTAGGCGTTTGATCAGTGCGCCCATTCATCCCGTCCGGTGAGAACGACCCAGAACGATAGTCCTGTTGCACCGGGAGGAAAGACGTATAGCCATTTGGCAGCGCAAGACCCATTGGTGATGACAACGGAGGCAATATTGCGCTCTGCTGATAGAGCTGCAGTTGCTGCGGGGTGAGATAGTAACCCATCATTTCCAGAGCCCGGCTTTCGTCCACAGAGTCGGAGCGTGAGCCGTTGCTGGGAAGGCTGTTGGGTGGCATTGCATTCTCATCTCCGCTTCCTTCGCCACCTTCAGATGGTTCGGGAACCGACTGCTGTCGAGACCCAAATGAGGTGTCCAATGGTTGCGGGATCGCATACAGAGGAGTAAATGTCGGGAGAGAAGGGGAATGCTGAGGTCGTGCAGGCTGTGACTGCGCTCGAAGGTTTGCCTTTGGCGATCCATTCACAACTGAGGCGCGTCGGGGATTCCGCCGCAGGTCGGGGTGAGCATTGACTGCGGATGGAGAGGGCGGATTCGTGGTGCTACCCTGAGTGCCCGCCGCGCTGACGGAAGCATAGGTAGGACTCGGGTAGAAGTTTTGCTGCCGGCCTGACGGTGTGAGAGGTGGCTGGTTCACGGTTCCTGACCTGGACCTTGAAGTCTCATCACCCGTGTACTCTTGCTGCTGCGGCATAGGGAACTGGATGAATGGCTGGCGAAGGAATACGGGGGGTGGTCGTCCGGTGATCAATGCCTGATTGTGGAGCTGCATGCGCAACTCTTGTTCCTGCGCCTGGAGAAGCTGAATCTGTTGATAGAGCTGATCATGCAACAGAAACTGAGCTTGTTGTTGCGCCTGTAGCGAGAGGTCGGTCGCGCTCGCCGTGTTTCCTTGCCGGAAGCCGGATTTGTTCCCAGTGTTCGATGTTCGACGACCACCACTAGCAAATCCTCCCCGGGAGTACTGATTGCCATATCGTCCACCCCGGCCACCCCGGCCTCCTCGGGTTGGAAGTGAAGCAGTGATGATTGGCCTCGGTTGGGGTGGGGGTCGCTCCCATGTCCGTTCCTCTTCTGGCGGAAACTCGAACTCAGCGCAGCAACCTGTCAAATCACCATCCGAGGCAAATTTGAACGCTCTCCGAAGCTCCATATGTAGACCGCGGAATGACGTATCATCAGCCGTGTTGCCTAGGTTTCTTGACGTGTTGAAGGGCTCCTCAACGCACAGCCGATTGTTCACAGACAGATGCCACCCTTTGCCCTCTTTGGAAACCAGCTTTCCCTCGCGTACCGAGATGACATTTTTCTCATAGTCGATTTCGTGCCCATAGTACCGAAAGAACTCGAACAACAACTGGCCGACAGTTTGTTTATTCTTGCGACCAAATTGAGTCAAAGATTCAAGATCATCGTCGAACGAGTACACCAATCCGTCCGGAGTGGCCCTCTTTTTGTGCGGGCGAGCTTGAAGACTCGGCAAGACCGGCGGATTCCTCGTTTGCAAAAAATTGATGATCAGGCAGATCCATGTATAAGAGCTTAATGTTCCGCCGAGTGCCGCATCGTTGAGGATCCGTCGTTTTGTCCAATGCTTAACACACATTGCCAATGGCCGTACTCGTTCGTCGACTTCGACGTATGTCCGAATCATGCGGGTGTTCTCCAATGCGAGGGTATTGTTGACGTTCATATCACAAGCAAGTTTCAATTCCGGATCCCAAATTTTCACAATTGGGACTTTCGCATGGGAGACACAGACAACTCGTTCCATCCCGTCTGTATTGTTCAGAAATCAAGTCAGTCAAATGCATTTTTCTGCGAGCTCACGACCGTCCAAAAAAAAGTAACTTACGCCTAGCGAGAACCTCGGCCAGCAGACACACATGTTCCAAATCTTTGAAATTCGTCGTGATACAAATGTCCACTGCTTGCAAGTCAGCCACAACCGTCCCATTTCGTTTCCTTCATGAATTGCACCAGGCCGTTTCTCTCTTGTTCACGTACCATCCGAGTCACTCGAACAGAGCTTATTTCCCGACGAGCCAAAGACATTTGCCTTGATCTCGTGCCCAGGCCATTGCTCATTAAACAATTTCTCCAATTTCCGAACGAGTTGCCGCCGTCGATCATCGCTTTCGGCAGAAGGTAACAACCGATCGTAAAGTTCCATAATATCCGCGGTCAATCGGCGCTCCTCCTCCGGATCAAGGCTCTCCTTCAACCCTTCCTTTTCCTCTGGCAATAAATCCGCTCCCAGGCTGTAGGGTATTCGTCTTCGAAAATATGCCATGGCGGTCTCGTATTTACAACCCCCGAGAGGTTTCCGCGCCGATGGGGGCAAATGTGTCGACTCGGAGTGGGTGGAACGAGGAGACGTGCTTCCGCGGGCGGGGGACGGCGACCGGGAGTGAAAGGAGAGATTGCGCGCATGCTGGTAAGGGGTGGAAGGAAGGGAGTTAGACTGATGAGAGGTTAATGAAGGCCGAGGAGGAATCTCGGACGCGTCGGGCTGCGGCATCCATGCCATGGTGCTGGAAGGCTGGTCCGACGCTATCGGTGAGAGTTCACCAAGGTGGCGGGAACACTTCGCAATCCCATCGATGTTTGAGACCATATAGCAATGTCCAACAACGCCAGTGGTTTCGTGTTGTCGGGCTCGGCGACTCGGTAGACAGGACTCGATTTTCCACACACCCACACCAGCGACTCAAAGGTGCCCCTCCGGGTTCCACTTCCAACCGTAGAAATGATCAAACGAAAACCTCAACCGCACAGCAAACGGGCGAATCGAATAATTTTTTGTTTCAAAGGGAGGCAAGTGGATTGAAAGGTGCAAATCGAATCTGGTAGAGCAAAGTCTTTTCGTGGAATATGCAGGTGAAGTGGAGGGAGGTGAGGAGGAAGGTCGGAGAGTGGAGGAGAGATTCAATCACCCTCACACGGGAGCGCAAATTTGGGTCCGAAAGAAGGTGCAAAAAGAATACTCCTCGAGGACGCGGAGTCGGAGAACAAAGGACGAATAAAATAGTTTGAAAGCAAAGAAGAGAACCTCAACCAGGAGCTCAGAGAAAAGAAACACGGCAGGAGGGCGACTGAAGATCGAGATCTCGCGGGAGGCAAAGAGGTGTGTAGTGGGAAGCACTTCACTCGCACGGGCCGATCTGTAGTAAAGCCGTTGCCAAAAGGGGAGAATTTGGAGAGGAACCGACCGGCGTTCCGAGAGGTGTAAGAAGGTAAGAATTCGAGACTCAAGGACTCGAGGGGATTGTTGAGAGAGCTGGAGGTTGGAGGTTGGAGGTTGAAGGTCGGAGGTGGAGGGTACGGGGTGGAGGGTTTGGAGGGTTTGGAGGTGCTCGCTGCGAAGGCGCTGGGAGTCTCTCCCCTTAGGCTCTTTGGCGGTAAACCCACTACCGACCGCACGTCTGCTACACGTCCTGACTGATTTTTCTTTATTCTTTTGCGCTACCTTTCTGTAAATGATGACAGATGTCAACGTGAACACATAATGCTCAGCTCAGATTATTTTCCGAGCTACCAAGGTCTCATATGAACGGGCGCCTAAAGTGGTCTGCCAACCTTTCTACCTGCGACAATCCCGCAGGGACACCTAATATACCGCGGACTCCGAAGAATGCGACTGAGAGATCAAAGGGCTAACGCAATTCGAGAGGATACGTCTAGTCTTGAGCATTATTCACTTATGGACCCAATGTTTCCATCCACTATTTTTCTTTGGATCTTTCTCATACACCTCCTATATGCCACCCCCTAAACAAAATTGATCACTCACACTCGAGTCCTCGTCCCGGACGTATTTGCCCAAACTGAGACCTGACTATTGATGGATCGACCCCCTAATGGCTGAATGATTTTCTCCTAAAAATGGCACCCCCCCCCTCATCCTCCTTCTTTGTTGCTCATCCCCCGAGCCTATCATAACTTCCTTCCTCTTGCCTCTTTTGTCTCCCCGCGCTAATTGCCCCCCCTCCCCCTTTCACCAATCCTCAGGGAGGCTGATAGGGGAGCTATGCATGCAGGTACCATTCATTGATTGAATGATGAACGCCCCCCCCCCCTCGGAGAAATTCTTTGCTGGGTTTGTCTACAAAATAATCCCCAAAGGTGGTCCTGTAATTGACCCTAGGACTAATTACATTGGTCTATTTAAGCCCGTAATCAAGTGCACCCACGAGTGACAGGACTGGGATCAGAACATCAAATCCCCCCTTTCGAATCGTCATTCTGCAACGCCCCGCGATCCTGCGCGTCCGCACGTGCTGAATGCGATAACCTAATTCACTTATCGCCCTGCCTATGACGAGTCACGACGGTGTCTACTCCCAAGTAGTTCGCGGGTCATACTCCGTATAGATAAAGAAACAACGAGCCCAAATTTCATTCCCTTGTCGAGTCCCATCTGTATCTGTATCATGGTAACTATAATTATCATCACATCCCCTAATCAACCTGCCCCCGCGACGACTCCTTTGTTCAACGAAATCTCGGTCCAGCCCCGATACTTCGGACCCGCCATACTGATGCCCTCCCCATCGGAAGCCCGAGACGCCCCCGGAACACCTCTATGAATGAACCACTACAGCCATTGAAAAGCCTCCCCGGCCGCCAGATTTAATCTTCATGGACACACTCTTTGTCGCGTTGCTGACATCAGTAATTGGCCCGGCCCAGTCGCGCTCGGGGTACCCAGTTTGCTTTTATCAACGAGTCCACAAGCCATGGATGTCATACGCGCAGGGTACTCGTGGCATGGGCTCGTAAGGGAGATATTCTCTTTCAAAGTGTCACTCTTCAAAGAACGATAGATCCAATCGCCTGCCTATCAACGCTGATCTATACGCGAAAGCGAGGCTTGATCCTAGTCCCGACCAATAGGGGGAGTCGCTAACTGGATGAACGATCTAGCCCCCCTCCTCCGGGTTCGATGAACGGTATGACAGGCTAGATGTAAAATGCAGACATTCGCTCAAAAGTCAAGGTAAAATGCCAAGCAAGTCAGTGCTCATTGCTGGTGATACACGCCGGAGGGTTTGGAAGCAACGCTCACAAGGCAGATGAGGATAGGGCAAATTGAGTTTCTGGGGAAAGCCGGGTCTCAAGTTTTCCATGGGATTGGAGTGCCGCTGAAGCTAGCCATCTTTCGGGATGAACGAAACGCCTCTTTATTTCCTGGCTCAAAGAGGTCGTGCCGTCGTACTCCGTACTGGCCAAGTCTAAGTCAGTTCCGCCGAACGCAGTCCCACCAGCTGGGTTAAGGTATGATTCTTCGGTCTGGAAAAGCACTGGAGGCATCACGGCAATGAGTGGGAACCGTAGCACGAAAGTATCTCCAGTATCTTCATCGATCGGCAGGAAATATTCCTCTTCGGTTCAATACTTTTTGGTGGGGAGTGTCGGATTTTGAATCCACTAGGGCCCTAAAGAATCTTTCACTCTCCTATTCACAATCCTCCATAAAGATGTGCTCAGTCTATGATTACAGTATATATACAAGGCACATTAATGCTATGTCTTTTTTGAATGTCTCCCAAGTCAAACACAGTAGTCAAGTCTACGACCCTGTAGAAGTAATGCTCTCCGTAGTTCAGACTTTACAGATCTGTACATAGAGAATGTCTTTCCCCCCCGGAAGAGCCCCACTTGGAGTTCTCCTGAATCGACGGAGTGATGCGCTGGTCTCAGCACGGGCCAAAGTGGATGGAGACCCGGCGGAGGACGACTCCTGCAGCAAGTTGTAACGGGCTTCATACGGAGTCCCTGGGAGTGGTCAACGGCGTTGGGGGGTTCTGCCTCGTCCCGAAGCTGGTTTGGAAAGTGATGCACTTTCCGGGGTGCTGTCCTTGCTAGAGCCTATTTCTCCTGTACTCTGTACTGTAGGGACATCCAGCCCCTCATGAGGAGGGGTAGTGATTTATTTGTTTTCTTGTCTTGCTTATGTTCCTGTACAGAGTCAAGGCTGTCAAGGCCGACCGTTACAACTTATCATACTCGTCGCTCGTTATACTTCCCCGCTTCCCTCGTGAGGCTGTTCTAGGATTGTAGTAGAGAACAGTCCAAGAAGATCTACCTAGCACTGCCTAAATGTTAAACAGAGCATTACGTTCGCAGGCGTCGTGGGAGAATTCTTGGCAAGATGCGAGTGTACAGTACCCGAACTTGTACATTGCAGTTCATCATCGTCATCGTACAGGGTTGACAAGATATAATTGGCAGTGCCGATCGTGTCAATGGGGACATCCGCCGGTGGTTGCTTATGGTAGGATTCCGTAAAGTTCCAGGCTTCGGCTTTTTGTCAGCAGGCTATATTGGCCCGCCAGTGCCAACTGGCGCCAGTGCGTGAGATGCGGCTTGGGCGGTTCTTGTTGACGCAGCCAAGTATGTACATCACGGCTCGACTGTATGAAATCATAGCTTTTCTGTATGTGATCCGTACTGCATAGTCGAAGCAAGTATTGTATACACTATAATGGAGAGGCCTAGCTAACTACATACAGTCCAGTCCAGTCCAGTCGTGGACTGTAAACTCCTTCCATGAATGTGATTATTATCATTCCATGTCACATCAATTGTCGGTTGGTCTAGGGCTGTACCGGAGACAATGACAATGTTCGACTCCAGTGGCGCAGTGGGGAAACCGACAAAAACAAAATTACCCACGACGCCTACAGCCTCGTATAAACTAACATACTACAGTATGTACTTGTATCATGGGAAGGCATTTTGTGTACCGTACAAAAAAGGATCAGGGGTGAAAGTGATAGCCTTAACAGTACAGTGGCAGCAGCAGCAGCAGTCCTCGTACAGAGTCCGGTATGTCATCGACGGTTTAGCCAAGCCGGGACTAAGACCGGAGAGCACGAGCAAGATGAAATTCTCAGACGAATCAGGTGTGAGCTGAGGGTCGGACACCAGGACGAGCAAAGACGCTTAGGCACGAGCCCCGTGCCCACATTGCCCAGTGCCCACATAACCCCCCCGGTGTCCCATCTCCAATCTCCGGTGACCGGCCCCGGTCGAGGGCGAATGAGGACCTGCAAGATTCAAGGTTGCCGGGAATTGCCGCAGAAGGCGACGTGGAAGTAAAAGGATGAGGGGAGGGGAGGGGAGGCTTTTTATGTATGGAGTACTTGCGAGTACTTGATGTAGATGAAATGTAATGTAATGAAAAAAGATATACTTCAAGCATGTCGAACAAAACCAGATAGTGGAAAAGCTGGCCAGAATAATGGTGCACAAGGTAGTTTTCACAGCCAAACCCACTCAAGCGATCTAGTGTTGGCCGTTTGTTCTGTCCTCGTGCTACTAATCGCAACAAAAGCATCCAAATGCTGAACTCCATAGTGTATTTACCCCATAGTTCTTTCTCCCTACGGTTACAATCCGCCATTTCCAAAGTTTGTTCAGTATGAGAGATGCTATATTGTGGTCTGATCACTGGTTAGCTTATTAATGTCTATAGTTCTTGGAACTCAGAGCAGAATTATTCTCAGGTTTATACTTTAAGTACCTCATGTCTAATGTACCGGCGTACTGTAGATTCTACTCGAGGATTATACATCGGATGACTACCACCTTCTTCTTCTTTCCTCTTCCCCTCCTCATCCTCCGTTTCTCATCCCGCTGCCTTGTCCACTCGTGGTAGTTTATCCCTCGAGGCTCTGTTTCTGTAAGTCTCTCTTGATTGCACTCATTTTTCCTTTTCTGTTCGATACCCATCTCTCTCTCTATTTTGTTCTCTTATTCTCTGGGGGCTACTCCCTAACCCCCAAAAAGACCCGCCCCGAACCGCCGAGACGAAAAAAGAGAAGTGCGGCACACCACGCCCGAACGAGAGGACCCACGGCTATTTTCCATTTCCCCCCCAATTTCCCTGAACTCCATCCTCGAAAACCCTCCCCTGGTCTCCTACTTGTCGTTGAGGGCTATTCAATCTTCTCATCCCTGGACTTCTATACCTCTGGGAGGAAGAACCACCAAATCTTACTTTTTTTTTTCTTCTGCCTACCACCAGGTCGCCTCTACCCGGACGGATCAACTTTCTCCGCCGCCCCCTGAACGTCCCGGCCCTCCGCGAAAGACCTCGCTCTCCTCCCACGACACTTTCTGAACGGCCATGTCTTCCTCGTACTATGAGCCTCAGGGCTGGCAAGCTCCTGCCGCGCGCCAGGCCTCATGGGAACAGCCCGTGCCGCCCTCCCGGTCAGGTATGCACACAACCATCGCCAATTCAGCCCGCACTGCGAAAGGCAAAAAAAAAAAAAAAATGCTGACTCTCCGACTTGACAGGCTCGAGCTCCGTTTCCCAGCGCGACGACAGCCCGGCTTTCTCCTCCCAATTTGACGGTATGCTCGGTCGATTTTCCTTTTCTTTTATCCTCATTCCTGTGGCTGTTTGATGATTTCTCGGCCTGAAAAAAATGAAGCGTTTGTGTTGGAATACGGTGGGTGGCTGCCGAGGATGAACGTGGCCTGACTTGTGACGAAACAAATCAAGTTGAGATCAATTCACGAATTGATGAAAAAATTCCACAATGATCTGGACTGGGAAATTCGGGCAATATCTGGCTATTCTCGGAGCCATTCTTGGGAACCGGCAAATTCGTTGCAAGAATTGAGAGACAGTGTGTATGTGTGTGTGGACAAGATGCTAACAAGTGTGTTTTTTTCCCCTTTTTAGAGGTCGACCGTGCGATCGACAATCTCGTCAAGAGCGGCAAGCTGTGGAATGCTCCTCGCCGGGACTCTATGCCCATGATGATGGGTCGTCCCTATCCTGAGTACGGTAGGTGGCCGACTGCCCCCAACCGTCGAAGGTATTAAATCACAAAAAAAACCTCCTATGCTCATTATGTCGCCCGACAGACCCGCGCACGGGTGGTGGCCCCCAGCGACACCATTCAATCAGCGAGTTCGACAATTCCCGGGCGCACCCATCGGGCAACGTGCAGGGCTTCTATGCCTCACAACGGTACCAGGGCCGCCCCAATGAGGTAGAGCAGATGATGCAGGCAAAGCGTCGGATGGCGGCACAGCGTGAACGGGAGCTCCGCAACTATCACCAGGAGCAGCAGTACAACCGAAGTACGTGGTAGCGTGTCGATTCTTTTTCCCTCTTCAATGATTCCCCCCATCATCGTCATCATCATCCTCATCCTCATTTTCTCCCATTCTTCATTGCATCTATTATCATGTATCGGTCGGCCCTGTATAATATGACTTTGTGTGGTTCTTCTCTTTTCTTTCTATCATGCATCGGTTCTGAACCTTTGAAAATGTGGCTTCCTCTTTTTAATACGTTCATTCTCCGTCTCTATAGGCCTCCTCGCCGAAATGTCAGCAACCAAATCCGATCGTTCCAACAGCCCGGCGGCTACGAGTGAAGATAGCCGCCGTGACCTCCTGGCTCGCCAGCACCGCGCCTTGTACGGCAACGAGAGTCCCGCCTTCTTTCCCCCTGGCCCCCTTTCTGATGACCACAACAGAGCCGACAGCCAAGCCACCGGTACCCCTGCCTCTGGCGCTCGAGTTTCGTCCCCCCGTGGCGTTGATCCATTCGGCCTTGTCCAGGCTGGGGGTGCCCCCCCGGAGGGCGCCTCCGGTCTCCAGTCCCCATCCCGTGCCAACAGTACCTCCTCGCCGAGCTCCGCCATCAATGCCGGCTTCACTGAACAGCCCGGTACCTCGGCATCCTCACCCGGAGCTGCCGACTCGTCGTCTTCTCGCCAGGGCTCCTCCAAGCCATCCACTGGCCCCATCGGCTCCGTGGGTCCTATCGGCTCGCGTCCCCTCCCCGGCCAGACAACCACCGCCCCAGCCACCAACCCAGTTCTGAACAAGCAGCGCTCAACGACACCTCTGCCATCGCCACTGGGCTTCGGTTTCACCCCCAGTGAGGCTGCTGCCGCCGCTGCGGGCGAGCGCTCCACCTCCGCTACCTCCAACCCGGCCGTGACCGCTGCCACCAACGCCCCGAGTGCCAAGGACTCGTCGGCCGGCGTCGGTCTCGGCTGGAGCAACAACGGCAGCGTCTGGGGCTCGAAGAGCGGACTGGGCGTGCAAGCCTCCGTTTGGGGCTAGACTAGCTTCATCGTCCTCCTTTCTCGCTTCACCCCCCCCCTGGTCACGACATCCTGTCTGCTTCTGCTTTTCGCTTCTACTTTGAACGTTCACCTTTCTTTGGGCTTGGCGTGTTTCTTGTGGCATGCATTTGCGACTCGGGGTTGCTGTCTCTGCTCTTCTTTTCAATCTTCCTGACTACTTGCTGTTCCTTCTGTGGCGTTGTGCGAGAAAAACTGGCTTGTCCATCTGCGTTGGCGGTGCAATTCGGGGCTTCTTTTCTATTTTCTGGGCTCCTCGGTACATATCTCTGGCTGGGAGTGAGTAAATGGTTTATGCGTTGGGGGCTTCGGTTCGGTCGGCGCAATATCCTACCTAGGCTTGGACTTGAGGCACTAGGAAGTGGTCTCGCTCTCGAAGTCTGTGCTAGTTTGTTGGTTCTCGCGGTCCTTTGTATCTTTGCCTCTCTGACTCTTTACTTCTTCGGATTTGTTTGGCTGGCGTGCTTATTCGGTCTGGGTTTTGACCGAGCTGGCTTGGGTGGAAGTGGATCGGTGCTGGGCTCTTACTTATTCGCGCGGGTCTGTCTTGGTGACGAGGGGTATTTATGTCCCTTCTCATTCTCTTTTTTTTCCTGGAGTCTATTCGGCTTTTCTTTGATGGTCTCCTCGGTGTCTTGCGGTGGGATCTGGATGCAAAACAAAATTTTATCAACAGCAACAAAAACGGCCGGCGAATAGTCTTCCTTGTGTCTTGTTACTTTGGGTTCTCTTTGTGCTTTTTTCTTCTTTTTTTTCTTCCTTTCTGTCTCTATTGGTGCTTTTGACGTTTCCCCATCTGGTGTTCGTGTTGAAATGGTCGGATAATGGCGCTTTCTTCCCCGAATCATGAATCTCTCGTCTCATTTCTCGGTGTTCTTTGTTTTCAGTTTCTATGTGAATGGACTGGATATGGACTTTCTTCTTTATATAAGTTGTTAATTGTGAATCTTTTCTATGCCGAGTTTGCGGGAGTAGGGTAGGGTGGGTTATTCGAGTTCTGCGGATACCAATGGGCAAGCCTAATGGATCAATTAGGTGGTATTTAGGTATGGCGCTCCGGCTGTACTCATGTATCAAACAGAATCGAGTTACTTATCTAGTATTTCGCTCTTTGGTTTCTAGCTTGCTTCTCTTTAGGGCGTGCTCCGACGGAGAGCACGAGGATCAGCTAAGGTCAGTAAAGGCGGGCGAAGCGCTAACATTATAGAACGTACCTACGAAGAGATTTATCTTTAGCTTTGTTGTGTGGTAGTGCTTCACTTATGAATACACTGGTGAAATTCTTGTATACCATAGGTATGACAGTTGCCGTTCGCTAGGTATGCCGCCGCGGAGGACGTTGCATTGCGACTCCCGTTAGATGTCCCCAACCCCAAGATATATCTTCATCACGAGTGCCACCACAAATGAAAACGAGGCGGACTGGTGGATGCATGTCAATATCTGAACATTCAGAACCAAATTGAGGTCATGGGTGAGTAAATAGGTAGAAACATGGCTTAAGTGGCGTTTAAAGGGCGCTTTTCAAGCGAATCACGCGTAGATAAATTCGTCCTCATGAATGTTCGTATATTTCAGATCAATCGTCGAGGAAATTAAACAGTTACATAATTAAGCATTAAACGCACGCACGCCATATGGCGATCAACTTCCCGGTCAAATCAGCCGCGCTAGCCATAATCAAGGTCCAATCTGAGCTCAAAAGACCAGCCGTGTGCCTTCTCAAGGTCTATATCCAGGTTGATCCGGCCCCTCTCAGAGATATGTACTCCCATCTGTGAGTCCAGAAAGACAGAAACCAAAGCAAGTTATGAACAATGAATTTTCCATCCCACGAACAGTCGCAGTCGTCTGATTGAAAGGCTTAGACCGAGCTGGTGTTGTGGGTGGGTGGGCGCTCGGGATCGTGCTCCTGGGGGTCTTGACCGGCTGGTGCGGCATGCTCGATGCGCTTCTTCGCGGTGAACAAGCCGGCAACACCGTTCTCCTGGTTCTGACCCAACCAGGGCTTCCGAGCCTCGGCCAGAGCCTTGCGGCCCAGGTAATAAATCAATTGACCGACGATGATCAAGACAAAGGCAATGGGGTACATCCAGTGGATGGAGTAGTGGAAGACCTTGATGCCGATGCAGACACCCCAGAAGTTCATGGTGAGCAGGGAAATGTTAAAGAAGGCTGCGGATGACAGGCGGAACATCAACGGAGCGAGACAGTAGAATAGCGACAGGCACAGCGTGAAACCGGTCAGGTAGCCGCCCACCTTGCCGTCCCAGACGGAAGAGTGGTAGTTGTGGCGCTCGAAGATGGCGCTCTGAACGCCGTCGATAATGCATGCGTAGAGCGAGAATTGACCCAAGACCTCGTACACGGGCTTCTTGCTGACGAAGTACTCCTCCGCAGTGTTGGTCAGACCGTAGAACGAGGCACCCAGCAACGCGAACAGGTCGCCCTTCAACTGGTGGCCGCTCGAGACGTCGCCGCCGTTGGTTCCGGTAATGTGATCCGAGGCAATGAGCACACCCATACCACCAATACAGATAACAATACCCAAGATCTGAGTGATGTGGTAGCGGACCTTGAGGAACAAGAACGAGACGACCACGACGACCACGATAGCCCAGAAGTTGATCAGCTGAGCGCTGAGCATGGTGGTGTACTGATAAGCCAGTACGACAAAGTAGTTGCCCTCGACATCGCAGAACGCAAGGATGATATATTTCCAGCCGTCAGTGTAGATCACACGGAGCCAGCCCTTGAATCCGTAACGGTATATCGTGTAAGGGGTAAAAATGCATGTCAGCACGATGTAGTTGAGCAGAGTCTGGAAGGTGGGAATGGCCCAACCCTCCTCACCCAGAAGCGTGGTGAAGGTGCCAGTAGCGGTGTTTGCGATGGCGAGCAGTTGTCTGATCCAAAGCAATTAGCATGAACTTTGGGGATTTGATCTCGTGCGTTGAATTCTGCAGGACTTACCCAAGGAATAGGACAATATAGAACTCTTTGGTCTTGAAATACGCCAAGAATCCCTTCTTCCGCTCGTCAACCTTGTCCGCCAACACAACGGGCGTCTCCTCTTCCCCCACGGCGGGGTTTACTCCCGCGACCGAGGCATTCTTCGCCTGCGACGACGACGACACACGGTCGATCGAGTCGGTCGTCTGAACGGTGACCGAGGCCTTAGAGTCGGACATGGCCAAAGAAGGTGGACGAATACGAAGCAGACGAAAAGCGGGGGACTCGCTGGAGGGCCTCAAGAGCTCTCAGACGCTGATCACCGGTTGCGGTCAGAAGTAAGGTAAAAAAAAACCAAAGGAGGAGCTTTCTAGCCAACAACGAGCGCAAAACTCCCAGAAGTCGCTCGTTTTCAAGGCAAACACCGAACAGAGGTGGTGGGATAGAGACAGGAAAAGAAAACCCGAAAGCGAAAGAGGCGCGCAAAACTCGTAAAAAAAGAAGCGAACAGCGGCGCCGGGCTGGAACCTTTCCCGATTGGGTAATCGTCGATAAGAACCTGCCACGCCGGCTGAGAAGTGGTGGTAGCCAATCACATGACAGTCCAAGTGGGGAAACTCTTTCTTGAGGTCCGTGCTGATGGGAAAGGTCCGACTTGGTTTGGCTGGGAAAGGCGTAACTCAGTAGATGGTAGTGAACGAGCAAAGGACCTCGGTAGAGAGCTTGGAAGGCGAGTCTTCTCCCGACTCGTACTTTAGGGTTTTGGGGTTAACCCCACTACGACGTGGTACGTTGGAAGACGCAGAAGAGGAATGGAAGCCCTGCCGAAGGTTAATTGCCCGCACCCCTCCGGCTTCTCCGATACATGGGATTCTCGACCCTGTTCTTGGTAAAGATAACCTGACAAATTTATGATCCATTTCTTAAAGTGAAAAGTGAATTGACACTATTGAATTGTTGGGGATGTGTACGGATTATGCTATCATTTGATTCTCTTATTTGTTTGACTAGAGCTATCGTGATCCCCCATATAGGGGGAATGGCCGCTGCACAACGATATAAACTATAGAAACTTTGTATGCAATCCCTCGCAGTCTACCCGGTCGTTCTTAGAAAAGAAGGTTCTCCAGAATTGACAGCTTGCAGCCATATGCCTAATGAGTTAAGAATAGATATCCCTTATGGAGGAATGTGTGAAGAATGAAGTCATGCATTTCGATCTATCCTTGAAGCCCCTTCCATCGTCATGCACCAACACAACGTGGTGGCCCCTACAGAGATTCTGGAAGCCCTGAGCTTTGCTTGACTCTGTTGTATCATTGAAAATGAGATATTCTTTTCTCGAATGGTATGCGCCACATACTATTTACATATTTATACGTGGCACTGTTATATGGCGATATCGTACTTCTTTTCTAGTTTATCCCGCGCGGGTCGCGTGTTGTTGCTGCCATTTTTGTCGGGCATCATCGCCCCTGGTCCTTCCGAACAAGCTCTTCATATTGACCGACCAGGAAGAACCAGAAGAAACAACGAGTCAATCTGAAAAAAACCACCTACTGCGTGCTGACAAGCCAAAATATTCTCGAACTCTCGGAGAACCTGCCGGTCGTAAACATCCCGAACTGCCCTGGCCGAGGCCCCCGTTTCTCAAGGTGGGCCCTCCCTTCCAGATCATCCCATTCCCTCTCAGCCTTTTCCCTTCGATCGTCATCCCCTCCGCAGACTCTTTCATCATCTCCACCCTTCCCCTTCACAACCACCTCACCTTCCACCCACCCCCATCACCACCTCCGACTCACCGACTCAGTTTATCTTCTACACCATCCAGCACTCATTCCCCCGGCGCACACTCATTCTGGAGACGCCCGGAGTGACGTGCAGTCCCCCTTTCCCTGCCCGATCATGGCGCTGGAGCTACAGCCGCCCGACGGTCGCAAACGGGTCAAAGTCTACGAGCTGAGGGAAAATGACTGGTTCGATCGTGGCACTGGCTTCTGCACCGGCCATATCACTGGGGTAAGTCTGAAATTGTCCTTCATCCTATCTACTTCGCGACGGGCGCATTCGTTGCTCGTTGCGCCCGCCGTTCGCTCGCGCGACTCGTTTCCGCCCAGGCGCGCATGAGTCGAAGCAGCCGCAATCCCGCGAATCCGCCAACCCGACACCCCCGACTCTTCGGCAACCTGGCTAACCACATTTTGTACTTGTTCTTTGTTGCAAACAGGACGTACCGCGAATATACGTTGAATCCGAAGATGAACCGAATCGCGTCTTGCTCGAGACCAAAATCACCAAGGACGATGGCTATCAAAAACAGCAAGGTTTCTGTCCCACCGCACCCGCCGGGTTGTATCACCGACAAAGAGGAAAGGATATGGGCTAACTGTGGCATGCGATCAGAAACGTTGATTGTCTGGACTGAACAAAGTGGCACGGACATGGCCCTAAGTTTTCAAGAGGCTGAGGGTTGCGCAGTGATCTGGTGAGAGACATGTCGGAATGCTCCGCGCCATGGGAACTGAAGGCTGACTGCGAGGCGATCTTTACCTGAATTTAGGGAATTCGTCAATTCCGTCCAGCAACATTTACTCAGCCTAGCTGCCGCGGACGATGCACTCTCCGATGACCTCGAAAGCTACCAATCGATCGTTCTACCCGCTCCCGAGCTGGGCAACCTCTCCGATATCGAACAGATTGTCCGAGCCGCCAGCATGACGCAGGCCGGCCGTGACGCGCTCTCGAAATTCATTATCCGCGATGAGTACATTGGCAAACTGGTGCCGCTGGTGACGATGGCCGAAGACCTGGAGAGTTTGGTGGATCTGCATCGCCTCTGCAACATTATGAAGTCTCTAATCTTGCTGAACGATAACACCATCATCGAGACTGTTGTTGCCGACCAGATTATCTTGGGTGTGGTCGGGGCTCTGGAATGTAAAGCACACCTCTTCTTCCACGGATCTTAAAGATCTGATCGACGACCATTCGCTAAAGCCCAACCCTTTTATTTTGAGCAGATGACCCCGAATTCCCGACACACAAGGCAAACCACCGGCAATACCTCGCAGACCAATCCCGCTACAAAGAAGTTGTGCCAATCAAGGACCCTCTGATTCGTAGAAAGATCCGGAGTACCTGGCGATTACAGTACCTGAAAGATGTGGTCCTGGCACGAATTCTCGACGATCCGACCTTCTCCGTGCTAAACTCCCTAATTTTCTTTAACCAGATGGAAATCGTTAACCACATCCAATCAAACGCCCCCTTCCTCCGAGAGCTATTTTCCGTCTTCGATCCGAGATACACCGACATTAAGCGTAAGGACGACGCTGTCCAATTTTTACACCAATGCGCTGCAATCGCAAAGAACCTGCAGGCCCCGTCAAGGGCCCAGCTATTCGCCAATTTTATCAGCCACGGCCTGTTTGCGGTGATTGCCTTTGCTGTGAAACACCCGAACCCCGCGATGCGAACGACGGGTATTGATATCCTCGTGGCTTTGCTTGACCATGATCCAGTAATGATGCGTGGATATATGCTCAAGGCTGTCAATGAGAAGAAGACGCCCCTCACCGACACCCTGATTGATCTTCTTCACGCGGAGACCGATCTGGGTGTCAAAAACCAACTTGCTGATGCAATCAAGATTCTGCTCGATCCTCAGATAGCCCTGCAGGAACCCATTGCTCGGGCTGGCCCCGACTATTTCAAAGTCCGTTCATCCAACCTTCTCTCCGACGCATTTGTGCAGCAACATTTCGACGAATCTTCTAAGCGGCTATTTCAACCGCTCAAGCAGATTGCTAATCGCGCTTCCCGTGAGTCTTCAACTTCGATCCAGACATGCAGAAATGAGTATTTAACATGCTGCTAGTTAATGACTTGACGTTCCAAGAAGTCACGCTCTATTCGCATCTTGTCGATATTCTCACATTTTTCGTCCGTCAGCACCTCTTCCGCACACGCAATGCGATTCACAGTGAATCGCTCGCTCCTCGAGTGGCCCAGCTTCTAACGGCTCCTCAAAAACATCTGAAGCTGGGTGAGTACCGTCGCTTTCCATCTCCCGAGCGTCAACACTCGCTGACCGTGAATCTTTGTTTAGTTGCCCTCAAGTTCTTCCGAACGTTGATCAGCCTCCAAGACACCTTCTACCAAGCTTTAATGACGCATAACAATACCTTTGGCCTCATTTTGGACATAGTTTACGAGACCATGCCTCGCGACAATCTTCTCAACTCTGCCTGTCTCGAACTTTTCGAGTTTATCAAGCGGGAAAACATCAAACCATTTATTCTGCATGTGGTGGAGAAGTACCGTGAGAAACTCGAAAATATCACCTACGTCGACACTTTCCAAAACCTGATCCTGCGCTACGACCAGATGCAGGGTTACGGTGCGGAGGCCGACTCGACGTTGTTCAGCCAGGATGACGGCACCCCGCGACGGATGCCCTTGAACGGCCAGCGTTGGCAGGGCGTGAAGGAATTGGACGCTGCTGAAGAGGAATACTTCAACACGTCCGATGACGAGGACGAGGTCAGTTGTTTCGCAATATTCAAACCCGACAGTTTTGCTGACAATGATTATAGTGGGCACAAGAGAATCGTGCTACTGTGGCGGTTGGCGTGGCTAACGGATCCGCTTCTCCAGTCGTCAAGCCGCTGGTTGATTATCCTGACGATGACGATGACGATGCCATGGATACAAAACCCGAAGAGCTTGCAGAGCAGTCCGCGGATGCCCAGCCATTGACTGTCGGAGATATACAGGTTGAGCCTTCTCCAGAACTGACAAGCCCTGAGCCTTCATCGCCTACAGCTCAAACACCACCTGCCCCCGAGCGACTTTCGGAGAAGCGCCGACGCGAGGAAGAGGACGAAGATGAATTGGTCAAGCTTGCTGCAGGACCTAAGCGCAGAAGCTCGACGAGCAGCAATTCCGGTGCTGGAATCCTGAACCGAAAGAAGACACTTTCTATTGGATCAATAGGCTCTATTGAAAAGGGCGGTACCCAAGGCGTGCTGGGCACAGTCACCAGCAGCGCCCCACCTAAGCGAATTGCAATCAACATTGGTCCGGTGAAATCCTCGGTCTCGGACAATGCCACCTGCGGGGAAACTGTCTCGAGCGAAAGCAACGAGAAGGAGAACCGAGACGACAGCCAAGCTGAAGAGAGTGGCTGATCACGTCTCTCTCTCTCACTTTGTCTGTGCAGTCAGGCGATGCGATGTCATGCGATGATATGATCACTGGGGCTTAGCAGTCCCACATGGTCTGTCTCGTTTCCCTCCCCTCCAGTCCCACGCCTCTATCTACCCCACCTGCATTTGTTTTTACGAGCTAGATACCAGATACAGCGCGGGATATTCACGTCCCAGTGTCCTTTATTGAGCTTTATTGAGCCTTCTACTCCTTTTTGCCATGCCTTGCTGCTTTTGGCGATGCTCTTTTATCTCAACCTGCACCTCCGCCTCCTCTGGCTTTTCTATCGATCTCCCTCTCCGTCTCTCTTCTCACGCCTTCACATTTTTGTCTCCAGCGGTGCTGCGTGATGGCCCTCATACCTATGGTGTTGTATTTCTTTTTCTGAACCGTGCGTTCATGGGATGATCGAGTGATGTATATTGTGTTTCGCTCTGCCGGCGTCTTCTGGGCAAATGGATGCATTGGACGCGGCCGAGGCTGCGCTACCAATCTTTTTTCTTGTTACTTGTTTTCTTCTGGATTTTTCTTTTCACCGGCCTTTGTGCCTGTTTTAGGGGGGTTAGAATCTGGGGCCTGGGTCAGGCTGGGAAGAATAGGTTGCGATGGATGCAATGGGATGGAGCTTGGGTATGTCCTCTGGTTGGGGGCTATAGTCGGGAATTAATGCAGTTCATGTGCATTCATTATGGTGTTTGATGCCTCGTCGTAGGATGAGTAGGTTTTTCCATCCGTAATAAGATCAATCGTAGGCCGATATGAATGGACTGGTCGATGGAGCTTGGGGTAAGTGGCTTGTAGCTTATTCTGAAGCTTAATTTGCCCTGCAGCTTACAGTGAGCTAGTTTTCCCTTGGATCTTGGCTCAGGTACGGCACAGTCTTGGAATTCCTTGGTTCTCGTCGCTCTGCCATCTTGGAAGCCTTGAAATTTCAACGGACATTTCAAGAGGATTCCTCACCGGCAAAATCCACCTCGGCCTTTCAGACAACAGAAGATCAACTTCAATTTCAATTCCACCATTGGTCCTCTCCTCTTCTGCTTCGCATAATGACTCGAAAGTTCTGCAAAACGTCCAATATCAGTTGTAGGATCACACGGGATCATGTGATTCGGCTACAATACCTATCCAATACAGCCTAGTGTGGTCTAGAGCCGGATCCTCCATGGTTCGCCTTCAAATGCGCCGTATAATCAACTACAGGAGCCCGTGGAAATTTACATCTACACGGGACCTCCGACATAATCTCACAAATATGGAGCCCCAGATAACACCGAATACATTCTGCACGTATACCGCGCTCCCGAAGGATGCCACAACGACAGTTTTCTTCATATCCGGGAACCCGGGGCTGATTGGTTACTACCACCCGTTCTTGTCTCTGTTAGGACAGTATCTGGCCAATTCAAGAGATCAGTCAAGCACACGGAATGGCTTAAAGAAGATAGACTCGTCTATTCAGATCTACGGATGCAGTCTCGGTGGATTCGAGGTCTCACCGGCTACGACGACCGGAAATGCCCTTCGAGACGGGAGGTCCAAGTTATACGATCTGGAAGATCAGATCGTTTTCGTCCATGATAACCTCAACACTCTCATGAGACAGAATGCTTCTTCTGCCAATGATACATCCACATCTACAGCTAGGCGGAAAGTCATCCTGATGGGCCACTCCGTGGGCGCATACATCGCGATGGAAGTACTACGTCGACACCGTGAAGCCAATCCCGAATCACAACCAGATAATCGGTATACGGTCGACTTTGACATTATCGGCGGCGTGATGCTTTTTCCAACGGTGAAGGATATCGCACATTCACCCTCGGGGCAGAAATTGACGGTTCGTGTATTCCTGTTCCCGTCCATCGTGTGATGTTGACGATGTTAATTGCTCTACCAGACTCTTTTATCATTGATACCGCATCTGGCTCTGGTAGTCAGCTTCTTCGCTCGCATATTAACCACCATCCTGCCAACGTCGGCCTTGAAGGCCCTGGTTAAATTGGTCATGCATAATCCACCAGCCCACGCCCTCGATGCTACGACCTCGTTTTTGAAAAGTGCAGGTGGCGTGCGTCAAGCCTTGTAAGATATCCACTCCCAGCAGCTTTCCTACTACTTTTCTTCCATTTTGGGCGGTGTCTGATCAATGGAATTGGAAAATAGACACATGGCCGCCGACGAAATGCGAACAATTACATCCGACAAATGGACCGATGATGTCTGGGGCGTGGCACATGCGCGTGAACCGCTGACCAGGCTGTTTTTCTACTTTGGTCGGAATGACCATTGGGTTGCGGAGAAGACCAGGGATGAGATTGTTGCGGTTAGGGGAGGCAAGAATGGGGATGAAGAGGGGGAGGGACTGGGTCCCCGGATGTTTGTTTGTGAGGAGGGATTGCCACATGCTTTTTGTTTGAGTAAGTATTTCTATTCAGAGGCCTGGATTAGGTTGACTGGGGTTTACTAATTGTTGGGCAGAGCATAGTGATGTTATGGCTCGGAAGGTTGCGGGGATGATTCGGGAGATTGGGAATGCTTCAGGGAGGTAGTCTATAGGGGCTGTGATTTTCTGAGGGGTTTGCTTGCTGTAAGCAGTCAGTTCTATGACCGCGATATGGATTGGTAAAAGTAGAATCGGCTAAGAATATAACTAGAGCTGGGCAATGGGCATTACAAGTCTTGCAACGGGTATCAAGTGACATTTCCTTCCACAATACATCTCCCTCTCCACACTAGCTCAAGGCAAGAAAAAAAAACGACGATGCCGTGGAGAACCAAAGACCAAGTCGTACGCCATATTGTGCTGAGTATGTGCTGAACGGCACCAAGGCCGGAATCAAAATCGAAATCGTGAATCAATACCAAATCCAAACAACTTCCTTCTACTGTCCTTGCCCGTTGCCCTGGTATGCAAATCCGGCTCTGCGGAAGAGGTCGCCGAGGACATCTGATTGTGCTTGTGGGGGAGCTGGTGGTTGTTGATGCGGTTGAGGTCCCATAGGGTACTCTTGAGGTTGTTGATAGTACTGCGGTGGGTACTGCTGCGGCGGGGGCTGTTGGTACTGCTGTTGCGGAGGATGCTGGTAATGCTGCTGGGGTGGCGGTTGCTGATATTGCTCCTGCTGAGCTTGTTCCTGCTGTTGCTGCTCCACTGGACCCATATGATGCGCACGCACACTCCACCCATCATCTTGGGCACGTTGCTGCCCGAAAAGGTCCTTTAAGGATATTTGACGGCCCATGGGCACACTCGCTTGAACCTCTTGTAGAGGGGCCACCTGAGCCTCGGCTGCAGCTGCAGCGGCATGGAGACCGCGCTGGCGAATAGCTTCCAGACGCTCCCGCGCCAGCTTCAAGCTCTGCCCTGCGTGGGCGGCGCACTCGCGAATCTTCTCCGCATTGATCGTCCGCGCCTGTGCAGTTGAGCTCGGCGGTGGCTCTGAGTAGATCCAAATACCGTAGATACGTAGTCCGGGCGTGCCGGTACCATTTGACGGACCAGCCTGTGGGGTTGAGGAGTCTGCGACGCCATTTGTAGCGTTGGTGTCGCTCTCATCTGCCTTGAGAATCACGTATTCCTCCGTCAACTCCACGTTGTCGCCGTCCGTCAGTTGCAGGTCAAAATTGTTGAGCCCACGTCGATTCAGTACGAATGCAGTGTATCTCTCCTCGCCGAGGCTACCCTGGGTGAGCTGGCAGACGAATAGCGTGCCTTCCACGCCGTTCTTTTCCCATTGTCGCGTCGTGGGGCTGAAGATGTATACGACGGCATATTGAGCGAGTGAGAGGATGGAGGTGATGTCTGGGTTGTGGCGACGCAGGACGGCGAGGTTTATCTCCTCGTTGGTGCGCGAGGGAGGAGCTGGCTGCTGCTGTTGTTGCATGTCGGAGAAGTAGGCGGCGTCGGATTCATAATCGGTGAACTGGTTGTTGGTGGAGTGATTATTATTGCCGGGATGATTGTTGTTATTATTTCGGCGAGGTTTTCGGGAATTCATTGTGGGTATGAGGTGAGGTGGAGAGTGCGAGAGTGGACAGTCAAGAGCTGTGGGTGGTGTATTTTCTTTAAAGGGAAAAGTGGTGGAGGGCTGGGCGATTGCGGGCATATCGTCATCGGGTCCCGAGCCCAAGTTGATCCAGTCGAGCTCAACTCCGCCTCCCCCTCCTGTTCTTCCCCCGGACACAACCTTCGACGACTGTCGCTACCGCGATTGCAATTGTACTTGTTTCATCTGATCGAAGTTTGGCTTCAACTTACATTTCTCCAAGCCTTCGCATACAATTTGCGCAAGAACGTACTTCATGGCGCTGCTTGCGCTCCGGACCCTGCCGCACTAAGCTCCGCCACGAGATGACCCCTCGAATACGAACATCCCCGAATAATACACCTTTCTGTTCCGATAATCCCACTCTCATCAGCCTCCACAGATCTATGATTGCTACGGACCCTTAGAACAAGGTTTTGCATATTTCCGGAATTGAGTACCGCAGGCGATCTACACACTATCGCTTCTCTATATAACTTGAGTGTATAGACATTGTCGCATTCATTATCATAGCGTGCGCGCACTATGCGACGGACCCAAGCTGTTGATTGACACGCGAACCATATCTCACATCATCAACAATGTCGGCCCACGAGCAGCAGACGGCGCCCCCTCCCGGCTCCGATCCGCGTGAACATGCGGCCGAAGACGTCGAGGACACCAACAACCCAGGACTTGATTTACAGTCCTTGTCGCGTGCGGTCAAAGCAAGAAAGGCAGATTATACCCGCCGGCAATCCGTCCGAGTGAAGATTGGTACATGGAATGTAGCCGCCATCAACGGTACTGAGAAAGACATTGGAAAGTGGTTCGTGCAGGGCCAAGGCGTTTGCGAGCAGCTCTCCGGCCTGAAGGGCTCCCAGTCCCGCCGGAATGACACTGCGAATAAATCTCCTCCTCCAAACGAAGACGGTGAACGGAAGAATGATAGCAGCGGCGCTGCACCTTTTCAGTTCAGCCAGGAAGAAGTCGATCTCTATGTTTTGGGCCTACAAGAGATCGTTGATGTTTCTTCTCCGGCTGAAGCTCTTCGGCCCTATACGGATCCCGGACCGGCGAGCAGGTGGAAAGAGGCCGTTCATCAAGCTCTTCCTCCGGGATACCAGCTCGTCTCCGAGGTCCAGCTCTTGGGCCTTTTCCTTACCATCTATGCATCACCTGCGATCCGCGACAGCATCTCTTCGATCAGTAGCACGTACGTGGGTACAGGACTGATGGGGTATATGGGCAATAAAGGCGCTGTTGCGACTCGGTTGGTTCTTGGAGAGACCACACGTCTGGTCTTTGTGAATTGCCACCTAGCTGCGGGATCAGATAAAGGGAGTCTGGAACGGCGCAATTGGGATGCTATGCAAATCACCCAGCGGGCCAAGTTTGAGCCTGTGGAAACCGAAGGTGAAACCCAGGAAGGCCAAGGTGATAGCATTGGCGAGGAGGACTTTACTTTCTGGTTCGGTGATCTCAACTATCGTCTCGACGATATCCCAGGAGATGACGTGCGACAAGTTCTTGCTCGGCATACGGAGAACTCGTATGACGCCGCGCTACAAGGGAAGCGCCCCAAGTCCGACAGTCGTCGCAACTCACTCACCTCCGACTCCTCATCCGAAAATCGGCCGCCATCGCTGCCCGAAGGAGGGGAACTGCCCGAACCCGTAACTGATGAGGAGATTGATCCCCATAATGATCCCGCATCTCTACAGACTACTATTTCATCTCTTATTACTCACGACCAACTGCGAATTCAACAAAAGAAAGGCACTGCTTTCCACAAAGGTTGGCGAGAGGGCCAGATCTCCTTTTTGCCAACGTACAAGTACGATGTTGGAAGTGTGGCGTTGTTCGATACTAGCGAGAAACACCGTGGTCCTAGCTGGTGTGATCGGATTCTCTACCGTACGCGACGGGACAGACTCAAACATGAGCAGCTGGACCGGGAAGCCGAGGAGGCACGGAAACGAGACAAGGAGATGCAGGCTCGTGGATTGGACAAAGCAGTTGCTGATGATAATGTGCTATTTGATTATGATCCCGAAGCTGATGGTCAAGATGGCTCCGTTGGGAGTGGAGATTACGGCTCGGACGCTGATGGAGATGCCGATTCCTCCTCTTCATCCGAAGATGCGCCGCCAGAGTCGATTCACCAGCATCAGTATATCTCTCACCAGGGTATCCTTTCCTCGGATCATAAGCCATTGGACTCTATCTTTACTTTGACCTTTGATGCTGTCAACCCCATCCTCAAAGCAAAGGTACACCAAGAGGTTGTTCGTGAATTGGACAAGGCCGAGAATGAAGCACGGCCGGGTCTTACAGTCGTTGTGGATACCCATGTCGATGAGGATCGATCGCAACGTGATCCGAATACCATCGAGTTTGGGCAGATCAAGTACGATGTTCCAATTCATCGGAGCTTGACCGTTGCTAACACAAGTGGTGCACCTGCGACTTTCTCATTCGCCGAGAGGTCTAGTCTGGGCGATAGCACGCAAAATATACCGCCGTGGCTGGACATCCAGGTTCATCGCTCTGCCGACCACGAGCCGGCCCCAGGAGAGTCATCTAAATCTGAGAGCTCTCATACTTTGCTTCCAGGAGAAGTGGCTAACATCGACGTCACGGCGCATGTTCGAAGCATTGAGCATGTCCGACTACTCAACTTAAAGAAAGCCAAGCTCGAGGAGATTTTGGTCCTCCATGTGGACAGCGGCCGTGATCATTTCATCTCTGCCTGCGGAAAGTGGCTGCCAACTTGCTTCGGTTGCAGCGTTGATGAATTAACACGTATGCCCGAGGAAGGTGCTCGCTCTCTCAACGATGAAACTGTATTGTCCCGGGAGAGGGGAGCGAATGAAGTACGACTGTCAGCACCTCGCGAACTCTTCCGGCTGACCGAATCGATCTCCGACTTAACGGAACGCGCCGTAGCCGAATGGAGTATGACTAAAGGCGAGTCTAAAAAGGAGCAAGCACCATGGACCAAAAAGCCTGGCGGTTCTGCGTGGCCATTCCAGCCGGATACATGGACTCTTATGGATCCAAACGATCGTGCTACCCTTCTTGCTTCAGTCCGCGAATCTCTCGATACCAACGGCTCTCTGTCGAGCATCTTTGCACCAGAGACTCCTTATTTACATAGACTGGAGATCTTGTCCGAAACCCTCCTGACATTTCTCAACTCACTCAGCGACGGCATCGTCACTGCCAATGTCTGGCAGCAAATGGAGCAACACATGATCACTCGCGAGAAATCCAAAGCCCCATCTCTATCATGGGAAGAAACGCAAGCGTGGGTCTTGGAGAGTCTTGCCTACTCGCCAGCACATAGCGTCTCCTTCACATTCGTCACCTTTATGCTCGCCCGTATCGCAAACGAGGTAGCCCCCGTTCCCTCTACCGCATCAACTTCCAACGACCAAAACCGGTCAACCGACGAGACCGCCAATTCCACAAACAACCAAGAGCAAAACAGACCTTCAGAATCTACCTCTATATTCCCAACACCGCCCACCCCAGCTGCAGCTGCGGCTTTCATATCCGGGGGAAGCTTCCGCCGCAAACCCAGACTACCAGATCCTGAAATCGCGTCGGATAATTCGAAAAACGCTGCAGTACGTCGACAAGCCGTCGAGTCGGCATTGGCGGATATCTTCGCGCGCGTCTTGATCTCAGCGGCTGTTCCTGTCCCGGCGAAGGATAAGGAGCGACGGGCATCTGATGAGCGGAGGAAGAGCATTATTGAGCCATTTTTGAAGATGATTGGTGTTGACGAGCGGGGTCCCTCTGGAGGTCGATAATTGTTTACTTGTATGGACGTTCTTGTCTTGTTCGATTGTATATTGATTGTCTTCTTGTTTGGCGGCTTTGACTGATTGGGTCTCGGGGATTTGGTAATTGGAGTGGTTTCTTTTTTACTTCTTGGTAATGCCCACCGCGACTGTCAGGGTGCGAATTATAGACTTGATGTTTTGCAATGTCTTTCATGGAAATATAGGTTGAACGATCAGGCAGTATGTACAATCCCGATATGCCATCCAATATCCTGTAGGTAGCAATCCTATCCGCAAACCCATCCCGTTCCCCCTTGAGCAGGGCCAAGACCCAATGAGAATGAAGCACCAAGATTGAATACGAAGAAGCCCGAAAATGAACTGAGAATATAAGAGAAACAGAAAAAAAAGGCCCGAAAACGAATGCACATGTCAAAAAAAAGAGAGTTCTACACCCGCCAAACTCGACGATCACAGCCTACCGCACAGCTCCCCATACAGATTCAAAAGACTGCTGCTGCTGGGAATTCCTTCCAGGAGAAACGGCCGATGATTTAGCCTGGGCAGCCTGCGACGTATACTTTGATCCAGCGACCGCTCTAGATTTGCCCTTACCACTTTTCGAACGCGGTTGGGGACTAGGCTGTGAACGACCAAACATCCGCTGTGCAGCGAGCATACAGCGAGAGGCAATGCGCCCGGGGATATTAAAGATAGAAAACGCGATCTGGGTGGGAATAACGACACAAGCGCAGGCCCAATCGATGAGAGTGAAAGCGTAGCTCTGGCGACGATTTTGACTCGCGCGTTGCGCAGCTGCAGCGAGGGCAATTGCGTCGCGCGTTTGCGCTTCGAGTTGTTGAAATCGGGTATCCGTTTGGAGGGCTGTGAGGGCTGTACGTTTCTCGTAGCGGCGCACTGCGCGGTTGAGAGCTTCGATGTCTGGGCCGAGGGCTCGGCGGGATTCGACTACGGCCTGCGTGATCAGGTCTGGGGTATCTTTTGTATCTGAGGAGGATGATGACGCGAAACGGGCAGCAGCGGCTTCGGCAACGTGCGCTTCCAGTTCTTCGAGGCGCTTGCTGAGATCGAGGACTTTCTCGCTGTTAATATCGTCCTCGTAGTTTGAGGCGACAACGCGTTGGAGGTGAAGGGTTCGTGCTTGGCCGAGCTTGAGAAGATGGGCGAATGGGCGTATCTCGGCTGCGAGGAGGAATATGGTGAGGTTGTAGTTTGAGACTAGACCTTCCGAAGGTCGAGAGAGGCTGGATCGGATGGCATGTAGGAGCCAGGTGCCAATGACTGGGAAGACGAAGCATGAACCGAGGGCGATTAGCTCGTGGATCTGAAGTTCTTTGATAGCTTTTGCTTCTGCTACGGCTCGCAGGTGCTTTTCAGGGTTTGGGCTGTCGGCTTGCGAGTCTATGGCTTCTTCATTCTCATCAACCTCGGCAAGCTCTGCCGCGATGGGATTGAAGGTATCACGTTCCCGTTGATTTGCCTGTGCTGAGCGATACCAGTCCCTGCATATCATTAGCATCTATTGGTGTCTCGCATTATATAACGAGGATTCAAGGGGTCAGACGCACCATGGCAACCGAACGGACCAATTGAGAAAGATAGCAGCCAGCACTAACAAGGTCACATCCGTGACGAAAGAGCTTCCATTGTGAAAGAAAATTCCCGCAATAGCAGGTAAAAGCGCTAACACCAGCGGTGCAGAGTGCCAATGCGACTCCTCTGAGGCAATGGCGTCATCTTGATCCCTAGAGACTCGCGGGAGAAACAAATCATCGGTAGACGATCGAATAGAATTGCGCGCCTCAGATATTGAGTCTGATAGCGTTGAATTGCGGCGCTGTGCCCCCCAGTCGGTCGAGGAGCCTTCTATAAAAGTTGCGGCGCGCGCGGAGAGGCCCCGGCGGCGGATCGAGCTGGCGGCGGCTGGGGTATTGCGGGGCGGAGGCGCAAAGGGCGGAGGTGATGATGAAACAGGCGGATCGGACATCGTTCAATGTAGAAAAGATGGTTGCATCCAGAGACAGCCAACGAGGGAGTAAATCAAGGGGTGTTTACAGGATACACAGGAGAAGCAGTAGTTCCTCCGAGAAGGTGGAGGAGTTCGCGAGTTGGGCATCTGCAAGTGACGTCGGCTGAAGTACCGAGCAAAAGTTACGGTATTGGAAAGACAGACTGGATGAGTCAGCAGCGTTGATGGGAAAATAACAAGGGCCTTATCTAGAAGTCATATACCAAAACTGTGTCAAAAGAAGACAATACTGGAATTTAAGACCTGTGGTGAGAAGATATACTACCGATGCAAGTATATATTGGGTTCTTTGATCTATGAGATAGCACTATAGGCCCATCCCTTTGTACCTCGACAGGATATAATACCCGTTAAATACAGTATTCTCAGGCCCTCAGGCCACCACCACTTCTGCTTCATCGACCTCGGACCCCCCGTCAACAAGTCTAGACTGCATGGCCAACATAGACCATGTCTAGCTAACCAACTGTGGATCACAGGCAGATAAGCCATGATCGATTCCGCCTGACAACGGAAGGGGTCGATCCATGGGGATCTGAGCGAATCCATGGCCCTGACTGGAGGAATGAGCGGGCCCCCACGGCTCTATTCAAACCCCAAAAGGGTAACGCTTCGTCTGACTTCCCCCCAAAGCAGCAAAATTAAACTCTTTCCTAGCAGCATCTTTCTTTGATCTTGAGTTACCTGCTAATTGAGCTAGCCAGCTATGTCTACTTCAATGGCCAGGTTCCGCCGCTGTCGCGGATTCGCATCGCAAAAATTGCTGCTGGTCTTAGCACTGCTGCCAACATACGATCTATCCGAACTGTGCCTTCGCATATTCTCCCCTTTTTTGCGAAGATGTCTTGATCCAGGCTACTCTCTGGTCCTATTCAACGCCTCAAAAGCAGTTTTCCAAGGGAGTCCGTGTTTGGTACAGGCCACTCTTCCTGAGTAACCTAGCCCCCTGGGGTAGGCTGCACTCTGATACACTTTTGAGCGGCAGCAGATGGGTGACCCCTCAGCGACTATTTAGTTCTCAGCCTTTTCTCGAAACATACTCTTAGAATTGACTGGATTATTGCTTCCTTCCTTCAACAATTAAGCACTCGTCCATTATATCACCCTCGGAAACCCGTTCAACAGATCTCCAATTCAACCCAAGTCCAGATCCCTGCCGTGAACAGTCATGGATGATATCGATAAGCGTTACCCTATGGCCACGGTCATTCCGGTGCTCTCGTTTCTTTCAATTGCCGTCTGCATCACGCCGCTTATTCTGCATGCACAGAACCGCAATCTACCCGCCTCGAGTCTCATTTGCTGGACTATTCTTCTGAATCTGTTCAACATCATCAATGCCTTTATCTGGCCTACGGACAATGTCGACTCGTGGTGGGATGGAACTGGACTTTGTGATGTCGAAGTCAGGCTCATGGTTGGCAGCTATGTCGCTTTTCCTGGTGCCCTGGTTGGCATCTTCCGTGGTTTGGCAATCGTCTTTGATACTGCGACTGCTACGCTAGTTCCGAGCAAGGCCCAACGCTGGCGTAAACGGGCCATGGAGCTGCTCTTCTGTGTAGTGGTCCCAGTCATTGCAATGGTTACCCACATTGTGTGGCAGAAGAGTCGGTACTTGCTCTTTCCAATTTCGGGCTGTGTGAATAACTTTGACGAGAGCTGGGTGAGCCTCGTGCTGGCATACATTTGGCCGCCCATTATCTGCTTGATCGCCGCGTACTACTGCTGTAAGTGACCTTCATTTTTATTCATTGCTCTAACCAAAAATACTGACTACTCACTGCTCTAGGCCTGGTACTCATTCGTATGCGCAAATACCGCAGCGATTTCAGTCTCATCCTGCGTTCCGCCAATAGCCGAATGAGCAAGTCCGGCTTCCTGCGACTGTTCTTCCTTGCTTTTACCATGCTCGTGGCCATCTTGCCTAGCGAGGGTTATGTCGTCTACTACAACTTGATCCTCTCTTTCCCCTGGCACCCATACTCATGGAGCCGAATCCATGGACCGGAGTGGTACCAAATTACCAAGTATCCGACCCAAGGACAAGTCTTTTTCGACCGCTGGACCCCAATTGCCGCAGGGTTCATGCTTTTCATCTTCTTCGGCTTCGGTCGTGATGCCACCCGTATTTACCGCATGTTCCTCTGGAGCATCGGCTTCGGATACTGCTTTTCCAGCTTCGCTCGTCCAACTGACTCGCAGGCTACCGGGGGCTCTCATTCGACCACTCTGGTTGGGTCGACCCTCAGTCGAGCCAAGCTACTGTTCAGTTGGCGCAAGGGTTCTGCTTCACGGTATGATGTTTCTCAGCTCTTTTCACTCTAAAGAACCTTCCTAACCTGCTAGTAGTTCCGGAAATGAAAATACTCTATCTTCCCATCCCGACATCTACAGCCAACTCGAAAAGGGCTCCCGCTCTCGATCCCGCTCCCAGCACAGTCGCGGCCGCAAAAGTCCCACACGACGATGGTTCCGCATGCCATGGTCTCGCTCCAAGAATGGAGGCCGCCACAATGAAGACACTCTGTTGGATGATTTGTCTGGTCCCTCGCAAACGGTTTGCACTACTGCATGGGCGGGTACTAGTCAAAGCCGTGCTAGCAGTGAGATTAATGTCCCTGCTTCCTCTGGGAGCAAGGAAGGCATTAAGGTGAAGCAGGTCATTAGCCAGCAGAGTCAGATGGAGGTCTAACCGACTCATAGTGTGGATGGATTTCTGCAAGTGACTTTTCTTGATTCTAGACATCTTCGTGCCCAGTGCCAGTTCATCATGTACTTTTAGATTGTTCTTCTCGATTCAAAGCCTCGGCCAAGGCTAGATTTCTGGCACAAACTCAATGCACACAGTTTCAATTACATCCGTTCGAAACCTTCCCAAAATAGTAGTCTCTTTTACACTGGACACCACCATTTAGTTGATCCGAGATAATCCACATGGGAAAGGAGTGTATTCAGGGTATACTAGTACAGTAAAATCACAGGGTAAGATAGACAAGAGATCCGACTTTATGGGAAACGATCCGTACCAGGCACGCATACACATGGTCCCGGTCAGATCTAGTACCCAACATCCAGATACTTAGATCCACACACGCTCTCCAAGAACGCCAGAAATTATAGCCGCATCGATCAAAGCCGACTTTATGTGAGCTAGGGGTTGAATGGGTAGCCCATCTAGTGCTCCTCGGAGCTGTTCGTGGGGCGGCTGAGGACCTCGAGAGAGCCTGTGTGACATGCGAGTTAGCTATTGAAGTTCTTCTTATGGTAAGAATACCTGGATTTGATGAAAGGGCGGGGATTGGGCCGTACGCTGGACAATGTTTAGATTGGAGTGCCTCTTGCCATCGGCATCCTCGTAGCTGCGCATGCTGGCATCACCCTCCAGGTAAACGAGGGTCCTATAGATCGCAAAAGAGATATTAGCAATCCATATAAACAATCATCTAATCTTGAAGCTCCACGAATGCCAAAAAAATTCCCCATTCAAGGAATCCAACACATACCCCTTGGGCAGACCCAGAATGAAATCCCGCTGCGAACCCTCGGGCAAGAAGCTAGCAACGCGGAACCAGCTAGTCTGACGGTTCTCCTTGGAGCCATAAGAAGTACCGATAGCGTACTTGATGACGTCCTGCCCAGAAGCAGTTGCCTGCAACTCGGGCTCGGCAGCCAGACGGCCGGTGATGATCATGCGGGCAACGGAGCGCGAGGCGGAGGAGCTGAAGCTGCGGGAGGCCTGGGCGGCGGTGCGGACAAGACCCATGGCGGGGCGGAGAGAGGTGAAGGCGGACATTGTGAATTTGTGGAAGAGATTATGCGGTGATGAGTGGTGAGACAGTGATTACGGTTTCTATTGACTTGAAGGGATTCGTGTTGGGTTGGTGGTTGATGTCAACGCGGAACGCGCGCGTAGAGAGTCATGTGATCGCGGCTGCATCGGAAGTTATTGTCCTCTTGGAAGTATAAGGATCTTGCAGTCGGTCTCTCATAGTTGTTACTTTCTACTGCAACGTGAATAATGCACTGAACCATTCAAGTGCACATTGAGCCTCACTTATTCCGTCTCTATCAGTTCTCCTCACTCATATTTGGAGGAAATCTGTGACATTCGCTCCACCCTCCCTTCCTGGCCAAATCCGTTATAATATCTCATCCACTCCGAATATATGGCTGACGCTCTTTTTTAGACGTACTGAGGTATGAAACTGGGATCTTCTCTTGCTGTCAGCTCTCGTTGATGTCCCTTATGGGTATCTCGGCGATAACCCACGATGAAGATAGGAGTTCCATTGGGTCGTGCATACTGGATCCATGAACAAACTGCATATGATGGAGATCTGGATTACTTCGTGTAATCGTGCACCCTGAATCATAATGGCGGAAATGACGCGGAAGACAGCGCAGGCGAGCTCATTTTTCACCACGGAATTGATCATGGCATCTCGAATATTGTCTTGGCGGAGCTTGCAGACATCTCTCAAATAAACATCCAAGATCTCATTATCATATCCGTCGAATTATGGGTCACTAGGCGACTGATCGTCTTAGCAGAATGCTCTTGTGGAGAGACTGCCAGCTATTTCTCTCGAGAAATGGTCGGGGCCAATATATTGAGCGTCAAATCGGGATGCTTGAGGCCTCGCAGAGTGCCCAACATCCCATAGAACGTCACTTTCCTTTTGTCACCCTTTGGACGATGGATAGTAATTAAAAATTCTCCAAAAGCGGACAAGATATTTCAATTTGAACGCTATTTGTCCTGTTTACGTGCTTCAGGCTCCGAGAAACAGATCAGATCAAATGCCCTTTCCTACAATCATCTCAAAAATTTCTGGCGGAAGAGCCTGAATCGATATGGTGGGAGCTTGAGCGATATCGAACATGTGTGTGCTGGCAGGTATCTAGGGGCAAATTTGTGTCAAAAAGGAACTTAACCATGAGGCCTTCAATGTTGAGTGTGGAAGGGAATATACCGTCAACATTGAGCGACGACGTGAACATTTTACAGTCTATACTGTTTGATCTGCATGTCGCAGAGCCTCAATACCCTTTCCCTGATGGCTTTTTTAAGCGACGTTATCTGGCCATCCGTTAAGTAGCGCAGGTTCATAAGCGACATTTCCCCCACTTAGCGTCGTTCCAGCCTCCTTCTTTCAAGGAGATTTCCACAGACTAGATCATGACCTAGCGAGACTTTGACAGAAGGCGCCTCGAGATGTCTACTGAAATGCCTGATAGAGCACTTGCGGGTTGAGGAATCTTCTGGCGAGCTCCATAAACAACTCTCACGAGATCATGAAGACGTTACATCGGGCCTTAGGTGCATTCTCATACCCCATTCGAGCTCTTGAGCAAAATTCTAGAGCAAGCCACCTATCATCGCTCTGCCAAAGAACAGCTGGGGTGGATGCATACCACGTGATGACTATGATCTAGACTCGATCATGGCTGTCGCTCTTACGCGGCCTTTCAGCCAAATAATCGTGCCTTGCTACTACCGTGAGGTCATACCCGACCATAGCATGTAGCTCTTCCCTCTGGCTTTGGTTATTAATTCGCACATTACAACCCAATCCTTCGCTTGGTCTGCACTGCCGATTGTTAAATGTGCACATACCAGTCAAGAAGAAAAGCGATGAGATAGATGATGGCTGTGGACTTGCTGAGGACCTGCCGTCTTTTCAGCCTATGGAGTCTTGGTTACTTCTGGAACTAATACTGAATATTCGTGGGATCTTATGGATGCGTTGAATGAGGAGTTTCAGTCTTAAGGTACAGCGATTACCTATTGGGAGCTGAGAACGACATGAGAAGATGAGGCTAGGAATCATGCGGTAAACCATATAACTGAAGCCAAGACTTGGTTAAAAATAAGAAGATAGGAATGATTTGCCTGATATGGATGCTTTGAATGATGGATTTGAAATGACCGTGGCGGCATATTGGGGTCGGAGATTTGAAATAAAGACACATGTTCCTGCTAGAGAACCATCACAGCGAAATTAGGTTAAGCTTTTGGAATCATAACTCAGGCTTCCTCTAGTAGATGTCTATTTCACTCGTCTGGCATGTGTTCGCTTGTCATTACGCTATATTGGTTTTCCCGGTCTCAAAAGCCGAAGAGCTTCATGAAGATCGTTATCATCACATACGACAGGCTGTCCCCCTATTCCATACTTAGGACACCATTGAAACCCACTGTTGAACTGATATGCACCAAATCAGCAATTTGAGGCGAGCCCCTACGCTAATAGCCTCAGAATACGGGGTACAAAAGTATGATAACGATAGGCGTCGACTTGGGAATACCTTCTCTGGTCTAGCGCGCGTAAAGTGTACAAGTTTAGCATGCTCAATAGCCCAATCTGCGAAGTGGCGCAAATCTCCCTCACCCCAAGCCATGGTTTATAGCAGCGATCGCGGGCGGCAAGCGCACAATTGGCAATCTCCTAACCGGCTCATCGCCAAAGCTTGCCAGTAAGCGGTCGTTAAGAACGCCAGTTAGGGCAACCGGCGTGCCGCTCGCGAAGGTTCCGAGATAATAAAGTTGGGGCGAAGCCGCCCCCTCGGCACTCCTAGGTTCCCATAGGGTGATATTAGTGGTCTCGAGAACGCGAGCAAGGTTGGTTCTGGGCGGGATCGAATTGATAATACGAGGGCCGGACACAAATAGCATGAATTCTTTCCATGGATGAATGATCTCAGAGTGGATATGCCGTAGCGGTTGTCCCCGTCGAAATGTTTGGGTCGAACGAACCGTGCGGTCTCCCCGGCAAATAGGGACACAATTCCTTTTTAGGAGGGACCTTTGCATTAGTAAACAAACATTTCTAGTCCTCTACCTTGTTGCTTTGCTAGGCTGATCGTTCGGTTTCCACGGAGTATGATTGACCGTAGTCTAGATGCTTCTGATCTGACGTAGTGCTATCAAATGTAGCAGGCAGAGACGTTAGCTGATGGGTCTGTGGCTGACGAAAGTACACCCGCCAGCCGCGGTGTCCAGGACAACATATTGACGGTGAGCGAGCTCACTTTCCCTCGTTAATTTGTCTTTGTATGTCCGAGTCGGCAGTTGGGTCGTACACTGGTAACGAGTTACTCTCGCATACAAGGCTGTCTTATCGACAATGGTGTAGATATTGAAATATTTGTTGATCGGGTCTACCACGATATTTCCCTCTCATATTTCATCTTCTCTTTCCATCTGGGCTCAATAAAAGATGTGTAGGCTAAACCGTGTCAAGCACAACAGAGGTTAATGCTTCGGCGGCCCTGAGCGGGAAGAGGGGAAAAAAAAAAAAACTTAGTTTTCTTGGAACAGAATAGCGGAGCCATCGGGGAGAGGAGCCGCGCGGTAACGAATGGGATAACTGATTTCACCTGGTGGGCCTTTCGCACTTGCGGCGCTGCCGACGTTGTTGCCCCTGGCGAAGCAACGAGGGACAGACCCTCTCTCCTCACGCCGGCTTTAGAAGGGATCAATCCAATATATTCCCTCCTAGCCAACAGAAAATCGACCATTGACGAGGCTGTTCTCGAAAGACAACGGCCAACGTCTAGGCTCCCTGTAATATAGAGCCAAGACACCAGACTAACCAACTAACCCTCCTTAGCCAAACCACCGGGACCTGGTAAGTGGAAATGACAGGTTCAATATCCCTGAAGGTTAACGGGTTCAAGTTGAAACGTGAAACCTCCGACCCAACAGAGTGGCCGGGCCCGTGCTTCCCGCGTTAGTTGCAATGCTCGTCGTCCTGTTTTGCGACGCGAATGGACGGGGAGCCAGCGATGTGGGCTTGTGCCCGCAACGGTGGAGATTTGATTGACCCTCTTGATGTCGGGTATGCTATCACAGTATTTTCTGTCGCATTTCCCTTTCTCGAATAGTCGTGTCTTGGAATGTTCTTTTTGTATAGTACTGTAGAGGATTTTCTATGTTGATCGCCGGCTTGCTTTCGGCGAATTTTCTGCACTGTCCACCAATCTCACGAGCCCTGTTTGGAGCAAGGCGTGCGATCTAGGCCCAATTAACTTGTCAGCATGGCGGAGTTAACTCAGGAAGTTTCAAGAATCGGGATTAAGAGCCTCGGGTAAAATCTATTCACGAGGGGGCCGCTAGAGTGTGGGTAGAGCTGTAGCATAATATGGAATAATATGCCTTCGCTATGAGATCCTCAATGGATAAACCGACGGGCAAAAGAATCGAGTCCGTCGCGGATGACATAGCAGTTCATGCACAGAATAGGAAGTTCGCAGTACATACAAATTGATGCCGGTCTCTTGCAGTCGCATCACCGATGCTAGTGCTGACTCGGGAATACCTCCGCCGCGACAGGGTGAGCACGGTGCACACCAAATCGGACGATTGACTTGTTTTCCAACCGTGCTTTACGCCAATCCCCTGCAAATGGCAAAAAATATTCATTATATCTAGAATAGAAGAAGCAAGGCCGTTGACAGATAATTCAATCATCTTGTAAATTGGTCTGTTCTGGATGTACCCCTGATTATAGGATTCCCGCACGTTTTTCCTTACACGTGGTATTCTATTTGAGTGGGAGACACGGCGTGTGGGAATCAATCCGATTGTTTCTCATTTGAAGTGGCTGCGAAGTACTGCGTAATAATGTAGTACACATACATAGTACAGATGAACAGGTTAGCTCTAAGGGTGTAGCCAGTCAAAGAAGGGCGAATTTTCCATCTTGCGGGCAGACGCATGTGAATCTGGTAGGATTCCACGAGTCAACCCGGCTCCATTATCTTGCGGGAGCGAACATGGCTTTGCACCTGCAGCTTTCCCGCGGTGATCCATAATCAAATACTGACCAGCAGGTTTCCTTGGTTCAGCGCGGGGCGCGTATCTCGCCACGATCTATATCCATAGGAACCGAGGAATGTGGACTGCTGTGTTTTCATGTTCATGATCGAAGATTGGCTATTATCCAGTCAGTATACATCTATAGGTACATTCAATTGCCTGTCAGTGCCCATACAATCCAGAGCCAACCTCAAGCAGATCTATCCATAATCTAGCCGAGATTAATAATAATTCCTACACGCCGGCCACGGACAACACTTATCGAGGATAACGGGTTGTCAGAGGGGGCGTTTGTCATTATTCCCTGCATCGTGGGCGTGGTCCACCGTTTCCCGTCCGTGCACGGCGGCATACAAACGTGCATCGAGTCTTCTTTCGGCATCTAGCGCACACTACCGTGCTTCTTCCTCTGTAGCATGTACCGAAAAGAGGTCGTAGTCCTGGCTACTAACGAAAGAGGAGGAGAAGGAGGGAGAGAGGGGCCCTATTTTCGGGGAAGGCTTGATCTAAATCCGCGCGATATGACTACTATACGGAGTACACGTACCCTTCTTCCGGTCTCTCCCCCTTCTTTTTTCCGAATTGAGAGGGGCTATCTGGTCAATCAATTCTGGCTCTGAGCTGATATCTGGCGACCTTCGTAACATTATTAATGACTGATTCGTCCGATACTATTGCCTATGTCCTATATCCTATACCCCCTTGTCCTATGAAGTTATACAGGTCCTTTAAGGCAATCAAATTAAGACGAAAAATATAACATGATCCCCTTGAAAGCTAAAGAACCCCCCTGATCCCAAAAAAAAGAGTTGTCAGAACCGTCCTCGGAATTTCCAGAGCTGTGTAAACTGTAAATTGGTCTTCTGAAGCAACCAGGCGGCAGCTACTCCAATTAGTTCCGCAGTCCGTACCTGGTACCTCGTTCCATCGAGTCCTACTGCGGCAGCTCCCTCAAGATGGTGCTTATGGTGCGTACCGGGTACCGCGGTAGGTTTGGCTCAATCTTCTTCCCCTCCGTACTCGTTTCCTCCCCCACTTCCGAGGGTCGCAACTCTGTGCCTCGCTATCGCTAACCTTTTTTCTGACTTGTTAACTTCTCTTCCTCTTTTTTAAGGGGTATCGAACTCTTTGCAACGGAAAATCCTTCTGCATACTTGGCCCTTCCGTCTTACTCACCAATGCCTAACTTATGACGCTCCGCTATTGGCGATACAATAGCTTAAGACTCCGTCTTGGTTATACTAAAATCATTCCCTTGTCGCCGTCATTCCCTTTTCCCCCCCCACTTGATGAAGGCTGGACGGGACGAACGAGCTAGGAGACTAGAGGATCCCTAAACCGTGGAGATTGTCTAGAGTCCGGCCACCGACCGCCCCGCCCGAGTATTTTCGGAGCTTGGGAAAAAAAAAAATAATTGCCTTTTTATTTGATTTTATCTCAGATTTATTTATTGTTTGATTATTTTGATTATTATTATTGGAGTCTCAATTCCATTATACCCAGAACCCATCTCCAATTCTCGAACAAAAAAAAAAGTCAACACCTCCCAACAATCAACGGACCATTAATCGCCTGCTAGAGAAATCCCCCGCCAATGACCCTGACAATACTGTGAATTCAATCCGACTATTATTTTCCGTCTCCTTGTCACCACCACTGCGTCTCCACACTAAAATCGCGGGGCGCAGGGGAATAAAAAGAAGCAAATCGCAACAGAACCCAGAATCGAGGAAAAACGGACGACGCATTACGGGCTTTAACGAACAACGAGAACGGAACCCTCCGCCGCCATGGGCCTGTTTAAGCGCAATTCCAAAAACTCGGTGCAAAGTGACAAGGACGAGCAGGAGTCATTCGTCTCTGTGAACAGCGCCCGAACCTCCAACACTTCTATCCGATCCCCTGGATACAAGGGCAGTGGCCTACCGGCTTCCATCCCCGAGATGCCCATTGCGAAACCGCCCGACCCGGCATTGGACCCCGCCGCCTATCTCCGCAGCATTCACGCCGTGCGCGAACGTGCTAATATTGTCCTCGATGCGGCTAAGCGCAACCGGTTGAACCATTTCGACGTTGACATGAGCAAGTTCAAGGCGACGGCGCAATATGTGGTGTCTATTATCAAGGTATTACCATTGAATCACCAAGACATCGGCTATGACTAGTTATCCGTTGTGACTAATTCGAGCCACCACAGCGAGACTATGCTCCCGATTATCAGAATATCCCTCCACACGGCCGCTGGCAACACTTTGACGTCGGTGGTAGACCCCGGATCAATCAATTGCTTCAGTCTTGGCCTAGTAGCATTGACTCGCAAGAGCGTACTCGCCGGCTGATTGACCTGTTCGTGGTTTCTGTGCTACTAGACGCCGGTGCCGGCACCAAGTGGTCATATAAGTCCAAGGAGTCTGGCAAGGTGTATTCGCGTAGCGAGGGTTTGGCCGTCGCCAGTCTGGAAATGTTTAAATCTGGCCTTTTCAGCAGCGATCCCACGGAGCCATGTCAAGTGGATGGAGCGGGCCTTAAGAAGGTTACCGTCGAGAAATTGGCGAAGGGGATGCAGCATTCAGAGCAAAACCATCTGGCCGGTATTGAAGGGCGCGCTGGGCTATTAGTACGCCTGTCGGAGGCACTCAACAACCAGGACTTCTTTGGTGTGGATGCACGACCTGGAAATATGCTAGGTAGGAGGGCTTTGCTATTATGGATTTTAACAGCATTTCTAATTACTATTCGCAACAGATTACTTGCTCGGACACCCATCGACACTCGCCTCGTCGGTGCCTATCGTTCCTATCACTACGCTGTGGTCTGTTCTCATGGACGGCTTTTCCTCCATCTGGCCACCTTCACGGACACAGATTGATGGCGTGGCTATCGGCGATGCCTGGCCGAGCTCACTCCTTCCTCAGTCCCCACCCGCCCCTGCATGGGAAAACATCATTCCGTTCCACAAGCTGACGCAATGGCTTTGCTATTCGATTATGGTGCCCATGTCCAAGCTGATGGCCATTCATTTTGCCGGCAGCGATCTCTTGACTGGTCTGCCCGAGTACCGCAATGGTGGTCTTCTAATTGACATGGGTCTTTTGAGCCTGAAAGAAGCTGATATGGAACGTGGTCTCCGGTCATTCAGGGAGAATGCCCAAATTAAGGGTCAGCCTAATATGGAGGTGGTGCCTTTGTTCTCGACCGATGACGATGTCATTGTGGAGTGGAGGGCCGCCACCGTCGGTTTCTTGGATGAGCTCCTGGACGAGGTTAACACTCAGTTGGGACTCACTAGTGCAGAGGAACAGCTCACCCTAGCACAGATGCTAGAGGCTGGAACATGGAAGGTTCGTCTTGTCCCTTCACGAGATAACGCGCTTGAGAATGTTCTAACTGATTACTATAGGGCGGCCGTGAAATCGCCGAAGTCTCCAGGCCAAACACCAAAGAGCCACCCATCATGATCCGCTCTGATGGCACCGTCTTCTAATGCATTATACGTACGAGTTAATGGATGATTGGATAACTGACGGAGCACCGATCCAACCCTATACTTCTTTTCTTACTCGGGATGGGTGCTCTGACCTAACTTTATGAACCGTTGATGACCTTCTCTTTCCTTCTCTTTTGTCTTTCTTCCGCTTCATTTCAATCTTCTTGATTACGCTTCTTTCATGGATGGCCTCCTCGTTGCTTGTGTTTGTTTACAGCTTCTTGGGCTTCTGGATGGTTCCTTTTCTTCTTTTTTTTTTCTCTACTTCTTCCGATCGAGGCCTTTTGCATGCATAGTGTCGCTGTATCAGCAGCACGCAGTTGCGTTTCTTTTCCGGATACCACCCTTTGATTACATTTTTCCACTTCTAGAACTTGCTTACAACAGCTATTTTTGTCCTTTTGCACCCTTTATATAGCTGCCCTCTTAACATGTGAATTCTTCTGAAGCATCTTTGACTGCATGCAATCTCCTCAATACAGACTTCCTAATCTGTTCAAATCCTTGCTACTGTTGCCATCCGGCTACCTAGGGTGTATGCATCGATATACACAGGAATTCGTCTGCCCAGTAGGGGCTTTCCCGTCTAGGCTGCCGCTCCGGCTTGAAAATTTCAGCACGGGGCTCATGCTCACTGATCAGGTCAGTGTGTTCAGGTGATCGACCACTGACAAGTTACGGCGGAGAACTAAGAGAGGAATAGTTCCATCGTGAATGGAGTGCGAAGCCCTTGAAGCTAGTCATTGGTGGCTCACAACTCAATTGCCGATCTCACTTTTTTATCGAATTGCCGATCTCGCTTTTTATCGAAAGTGATCAATCGAGCCCGCTCGCAATAGTGGGCGTTAATGAACATATTGCCCAAGGCCTAGAACCACTGCGGTAAATCACTTCGTTTGCGCTCGAGTTCCGAGATTCGGTCATCAACTTCGGTGGCCTGCTTAATTAACGGAGATAGTGTGCCTTACTGATCTCTTATGCCTAAAGCATCCTTAATATCGTCCTTTAGTCCAGTATGAAAGACAGTCAACAAAAAAGATTAATTGCATTGAAGAACGTGAACAATTTCCATAATTTCACCCACGTATGTGCAAATCGCACTATCGTTTCCCTAATTTCCTGAAGTATACCAGCGCAGTCGCAAATGGAATCCCAACCATTCCAACATTCGTCCATTGAGCAGCCCTGAGTCCTCGCAAGGCTTGGCCGTTTGCAATTGTCGTTTGGACGACTGTTGCAATAGCTAGCCCCAAAGCTCGCCCGAGATTATTTGCTGTTTGTAATAATCCACCCCAAGTGCCTGATCTTCGGGAGGCAGAGCCTCAGCTACCAGCAGGCCGATCACTAGCCAGACAATTTCAACACTATAGCGCAGTACCATGGCTGGGAAGCCAAACGCCCAATATGTTGCCTCGGGGGGGATGAAGGGAACCGCGAACAGGAACGGAGAAATTGCTCCGCACGTCAGGTCGAAAAGGAGAATATAGAATCCCTTTATACGCTTCAGTGCTAGGGAAATCACGAGGGAAACCAAAACTGCATGATCATATTGAATAATAAAGTTAGAACCGGTGAAGCTAACACGGTATAGATAGGTAAATATAGGTATGATGACTTACGACCTAAGACGCCGGCCGGAACGAATTAATATACGGTATACAATTCACTTAGCTTAAGGTAGTCCTGATAGCTAAAATATAAACATTAAATTTGATTACAACGGTTAAAGCTAGAAAGACACCTATAAGTTCGTCGTATATACGAGAAAACTATTGAATGATCTATAGAAGCATCCAACGAGTAAGAATAGCGCCGAAAATTTGCCATTCTAGAACATAGAAACTCTCAGAAGTGGCACTTAGCTATATCCTTTCTCTATATACCTTTACTAGATTATAAAGGAAGTAATAAAGACTGCAGAAAGCACTATAAGCGCTATAGCCTAAGGCGTTTTCTAGCTAATCTCAGGGCCTTCGGATATAGTAATTAGCAAGAGGAGAAGGCCCGTGGAGATTAGTACAGCCCCGAGCCAGTCGACACTATTACTCTTAGTATGGTTTTTCTATAGCGGAAAAGAAGACGTTAAGAATGCAGCCACACATATTACTAGTGCCGATAGTAAAGCGGGAATCTAGAATACCCATTTCCATCCTAGAGAGCCTCCAATAATACCACCTAGTAGACTCCCCATCATAGAACCGAGAGAGGTAGATCTAATAACAATAGCATAGGCCCTCTTATGGGTCGCACCGGGTGGATATATAGTACCCATAATACCTAGTCCTACGGGAATGATAGCAGCGCCACTAACTCCTTATATGAGACGAAGAAGATAGAATGGGATTTCGCTGCGATAAAATAGGAGACAGAGGGTTAAGACCGTGAACAAAAGAAATCCAACAAGATATACCGGGCGATGGCTATAGACATCTGCCGCCCTACCCCAGAAAAGCATCAGACAGGCGAGTGAAATATTGTACATGGAAATGATAATACCTTAACGGCTAGATAGGATGTTTAAAGCCTCGCTTGTTGATGGGAGGATGATGACCACGGATTAGACATAGAGAACATTTGCATGTACATCAGCAACTTAATCATGGCGGAAGATGGCTATTGTGACAAACAGTAAGAAATCCTGCGCTGGCTACAGTACTAATCAGAAGCACACTTCGTATACTCGATAGACCAGGGTAAATAGCCGTCTCGGTTAAATCCTACGCTGTGTTGCTAGTTTCGACATTAACGCCATCGTTAGAGGGGCGAGGGTTGTACATAAATGGTATGAAGAACTTGATGTTATAGGTATGTTCGGAATTGAAGGTTTAGCATTGTATAGTATGATGCAATTTATATCTACTTGGGATTCTTGGCCCCCTCACATAAATATATTCTGGTGCGCGTCCTATAAGGAGGGAATCGGCTTCTATTTCGGTCAGCCCAGACGGCAACCCCGCGGTATATGGCAGACAGGGTTTCCCCTTTAAAGCACTAATAAGATAGTGTTTTACTGTGTTGATGTCTTAACACGGTTAGCAGGGCCCTTGGTCTCTTGCCAACCACGCTGCGCAGCGATAGATTATATACGATGACATATCGGCTCTTCGCGTACTATGCATAATACCTGATAATATAATATGAAGGGTAGAGAGTTATAATATCTGGTAATACAGAGGCATCACGTTTCCGAGGATCACTGAAAATTGCAATCGCATCATCGTGCTAATTATTACACCGCGCACAACGATTCGACCATAGCGCTCTATGATTACACTCCTCGTGATTTTGGCCTTAGTGCTATGCCTTTTGGTATATTTTAGCCAGACCTAAACAAGGGAACTCCGAAAATACTGAAATGAATGAAAGTCAAACAATCCAACCTTCAACAACACAAATATACCCAGCCCAGCCCGTGGAGCATTCTCTCCTAGGTAAGACTCGGCAACCTGGTCAGACTTACATGGATTTATATTATAGATTGCACAATCTTGAAAAATTCCCCGATATTTTGCCATTTGTCTACGAAAGTCGTGTCATTGTTGTACAATAGGGGGCAAAGTCTGTGTGCATACCGCTTCCGCCACCCTACCCCATCAAATATATATATCCCTGGTAATATATCCTACACCACTAATTCTATTAGATCTAGAAGAAATTTTGTATGCCGAATAATTAGGTTTATATATAAATTTCCCACACTTAATATTTCGTATAATACCTATCATTTACACACAATCTATCCATCCTTCTCCCTATACTTAATATTAACATATCAATCTTCGCCTAATCTAATATATCCTATATAGTACCCATACACTCTTTAAGATAGGCCTAATCGGCTTTGATCTTCCTATTTACATCAGATCTGGATACATACGGAAAACTTATCGCTTAAGCATGTTCCACGGCGGTTTAATAGGGTTTAAATGAGGAGAGTGCTTAGGCTAATCTTCAACGTATATCCCGGATGCTCTTTAAACCACTCTTACGTATCCTTCGCGACATAAATCCTTACGTTATCTTGCTAAAATGTCATTCTAGGTTGATAGATTGGAAGGAGACCTTCTTTGAGCGCTTCCATAGACCTCCAGCGTGAAGAATAACAAGATTGTAGGTCGTTGTTGGGGTGATGGGTGGTGGGGCTAAATGCACACAGACTTTTGCTAGGGTGGTGTATGAAGCTTTATTCATTGAGCGAGCCCAGCAGGGAAAACGGAGTATTCTTGACCTCGAAAGATATGACCGCGCCAGTTTGGAAGCATTCCCGTTCAAGTATTGAGAGGAATTATACGGCCAAGGGGAGGATTACAATCAACGACGAGCCTCGGGGCAAGCCACAGAGCTGTTTCGGGATCAAGAGACAGCCAACGAATGACTGAAGCAGATCGCTCCTCTTAGAAACGTCAATGGGGTGTGGTTAGGCTATGTTCACAAGATCATCAGTCCATTCGGGCTTCTCGAGGTAACGCAAAGCGTTTGGCAGATTCTGTGCGGGGATTTGGGAGATAGGGAGCTGAATAAAAATCTTGTTCATTTGTATCGAAAACTGCTCAAAAGTATTGGACCCAAATCCCCGCCAGCCACCTGAAGTCCAGGCATGCGTCGCTATGATTTCTAAGCGCCAGGCAAAAATTCATGCACCCCATGACCAAGTCAAAAAAGAGAGTTTTGGGTATTGCAGTACTAATATAAAACTCCGCAAGATATTTTCAGCAGCGGACGATCGATCTGAAGAATAAGTATTGAGTTAAATTTCATTGAGAGATCCAAGAAGTAGTTGAACGCTGTACGTGTAGTGCCGATTAGTGACTTGAGCGGTAAGTTCCTTGGCGTCGATCGGTTGGAAATTTTGCCTCTGAAATATCATCAGTGACGAAATAATAGATTAGTAGTCCGTTCACTCTAACTTGGTCGAATCGCTACGTTTTTAAGTAAATTAGGTCGATTTCGTAAAGGTGTCGGTATAAGGAGCATTGAATCCCCCATTACCGCTTGATACGACATGACGACGAAATGCCTAAAGATCTTTAGCTAAGTAGAAGATGGCATAAAAGGATATTTCAATTCTATGAAAAGGTTCGCAAAATGGCCATACTAAACGACGAAAAAAACTAGTCATTCATCTAGCAAATACACTCACATCACATTTACCTCCACAGGTTTCCCCACTCTGGCCAGAGTACCAGGATAATGAAGAAGAATGCTTCTAGGCGCATAAAATCTAAGATAAGGCAGGCCCTCTGATTAAACAATATCTACTATGCATATCCTGCTTGCAAAGGGAAAGATCGTCAAATCAGTGGCAAACTATCAATCCAACGCTAACTCTTTGTTACTCAAAGGCGTGCTGAACAAAAGCGGCGAGGGGGCGAGCACCAGAAGGGAGCGGATCGCCTAGCGTTGCCGGACATGATCTGGTGTATATGCACAACGTTACGAGAACATTAGCTCTCTCAGGAACACGGATCAATAAACTTTTCGTAATTTCCGACACACTCCTAAGCTCACAATTAAGGTTCCCCGGTCTTCGTGGAGCTCCCCCTGGACCATCCCATTAGGTCATGTGATTGTTCACCGGGGCGAGGTTGATCCGCTTACTCCGCATTTGAAGGCTGGAGCTACACGACTTGCTTTTCCTCTGCAGTCACCCCCAATTCCCTGGATAAGAACTGGTCATGCGCTATTCTTACTAAGGACATCCCATCGGTCAACCTGACCTTCCTCTAGCTTTAACGTCAACCTCAGTCGTCTCCCATACGTACCCGAACCCGCCCCCGCTCTTGCGGGGCAATCATCCGAGCTCAGCGCCAGCCCAGCAGATCGCCAGCATGGACGCCCGCAAGAAGAAGAGAAAGGTGCTGCTTATGGGCAAGAGTGGCTCCGGCAAGTCGTCTATGCGCTCAATTATCTTCAGCAACTACGTCGCCAAGGATGTGCGCCGACTCGGTGCGACGATTGACGTCGAGCACAGTCATGTCAAGTTCATGGGCAACCTGACCTTGAATCTGTGGGACTGCGGAGGGTGAGTCGCTGCATCGCATACCGGGCACAATTGCAGATAAGATCTCAGCTAACCGGGGATGATCTTCTATCGCTCTCCAGGCAAGATGCCTTCATGGAAACTTATCTCGCCTCCCAGCGCGGCAATATCTTCTCCGACGTTGCCGTCCTTATCTACGTTTTCGACATTGAATCGCGCGAAGTCGATCGCGACCTCGACACATATAATGCGATCATCGAAGCGCTGCGCGAATTCAGCCCAAATGCCTACGTCTTCTGTCTCGTCCACAAGATGGATCTGATCCAGACCGAGCACCGCCAGCGCATCTACGAAGAACGCTCAGCATTGATCCGTTCCCGCTCCGGGCACTTCCGTGTCGATACCTTTGGCAGCAGCATTTGGGACCAATCGCTCTACAAAGCCTGGGCAGGCATCGTACACAAGCTCATCCCTAATCTGACGGTCATCGAGCGGTTCCTGAGCGCTTTTGCAAAGAAGATCGATGCCGAAGAGGTTATCCTCTTCGAGCGGTCAACTTTCCTCACTGTCACATCCGTCTCCTCCGAAGTAGGCGACCTCAACCCTATCTATGACCGCCATGAGCGCCTTTCCAATATCATGAAGGCATTCAAACACTGCGCCGCCCGGAATACCCTCACAACACCCGCCTCCGCCGGCTTCGTCGTCATGCACACCAAGACTCCCCAATTCAATATCTTCCTCGGCCGTTTCACCGATAACACCTACATCTTCCTAGTTGTACCGCCCGGCGAGGCAGCATACAACTGCGCAGTGCTGAATACCATGCTCGCCCGTGAGGGCTTCTCAAAAGCAGCCGCCTCCGGCCGGTCAGATGGCTTCCCACTACCCCCGCCGGAAACGCCCGAGGATGCCATTTCGAACGGGGTGGCTGCTCACGGCTGAGCCATGTGAAGCCCATTCAAGCGTATTGATTTTGTAGCGTTCTTATGTGTCTTGTACCATGTATAGCCGGCATATCCTGGGGCCATTTGGTGATACTCTTTTTTTTTTCCTTTGTTTGCAGAAAAGTCGGGGGGTTACCTTTTACGAGCGCTGATACCTTTGATACGGCGTTGCGGTACGAACAATACATGATTTATTACTTCGTCTTTCATACTTTCCCAGATCGTGGCAGCCTTGTTACACAGTACTGCGCATCATTTGCAGTGTTTGTCTTTACGTGGTTGGGGGTGGAAATAGAGTGTATCGTCGAGTATTACAAAGTAAGATATTCGCCGGAAAGTGCCATCTAGATAGGCTAGAAGATTGTCTTTAAGATGTACATTCCACTAGTTAACTGGCCCGCAGAGGTCTGGAGCATGAAGATTTCCCCAAAGGTTAAATTACCTCTTGACCTTGATAGACATACAGATTCGACTTGATGTGCGGAGAAAGGCAAAGCTCTGTTGGGAGGCTATCTATCGCAACCTAAATCTGCACCGCGAATGATGGCAAACGAACAAGGTCTTCTCTCAAAAAAGAAGATATCATACTCATCAGAATTGCCTCCACTGGTTACATGACTTGAAATGCTCATTACTCCCAGTGCCCCCGGTTCCTCTCAAAGAAGTCCTTCAAACTCACAGGCCTCTCAGACAATAGCTCCAGACTGCTAGTCAAATCAGCTCCAGCATAATACCCGGGCTCTTCGAGCAAGACCAAATTCTCGTAGATCTCTTCGACCATGTCCGGGGGCAGCGATACAGCGAGGCCAGCCTTGAACATTTCACTGGGAATAGTGACCACGCTGAGGGGTTTGCCGATGACAGATGTAAAGTCTGCCGCAACTTGCTCAAAACTATAGTAGTCACTCGCAGCATAGATGATATTGGCATTATCCGAAGGAGGGTGTTGAAGAGCAGCCCGGACAAAGTTTCCTAAAGAATGTCAGTCATCCGGATTCTAACATGCAGATGCTGGAATATCTCACCTGTATCGATACCAGGATCAATCCATGGAGCAACGGTCCGGGGGGATACAGGCGTAGCCAGAATAAACGAGCCATCCTCCTGCTTCCGAATAAACGAGAATATTTCCGTCATGAATATCCCCGGCATCACAAAGCTAGCCGGTATACCACTTTCGCGGATGTACTCCTCGACTTCGGCCTTGCCATCGAAATGGGTGATATTGACCAACCGTCCCTCAGTTGCCTTGGCTGCATTGATCAAAGACGAGAAGATCAGATGCTTGACACCTGCTTTGTTGCAAGCGTCTGTGACTATCTTTCCTTGAAGGATTTCTGGCTTGGCGGACATTGTGTCCCAAAAGTTTGTCACCAGGTACACGGTATGAGCGCCGTCCACTGCTTTTGCGACGTCGGCGGGCGACGACATATCTCCCTGAATGATCAAAGTCAGAGTCTTGTGCTCTAAAATGATATTGACCACTCATTTTTACACACCTGAATCAATTCGATTCCTTGTTCTGCTAGAGCTTTGGCGTTTGGTTTGCACGGATCGCGAGTCACTGCTCTAACTCGGAACTCATTAGATAGCTTCGGGTCGGCAATGATAGTGCGAATAACAGAGCCACCCTGGGTACCGGTGGCTCCGAAGACGGTGATCAATTTGGACATTATGATTGAGACCGCGAATTTTAGAAAAAGAAAGGGTTGACTTGTAGCTAATCATCTTTTCTTGTTCACAATCTGAAGTCATATACCATGATGATTTCTTACCGTTCTCGGTATACTTGATAATGCTTCTGGAGAATCGCAACTATTAGACCGACACGGAGAGTTAATTGTCCCGAGATCGAAGCTAGTACCGCAACATCAAGGCTTATATCTATCCGGAAATAGTTAGTTCTGGTCAGATTCTAAGCATGCCAAGCAATAGAGGTGACTCTAATCAGCACTTAAATCAGCTCAGGATGATTGACTCACAGTTTTTCTCTTTTATGAGCGTCTTCACTGCACCATTGGGACCCTTCCGGATCAGAGCATCGGGGGATCAGAAGTGCCATTTCTGACTCATGCACTAACAAGCTGGAAGTATTGTTAGAGTACCTGATCAGAATGGTGGTTGGTTGACTTTTGGCCCCATTGCGGCTATGCATCAACGAGCCACTGCTCAACTCACTATGCATCCACTTGTGCAAGATCAATGCAGCATATTGATGATAAATCGAATAAATCGATGAATATGATAACATGATTACGAATAAAGCCATGTTACATACTTGGTGGGAGGACTCGATTGCCTGGTTTTTCAAGCGCCAGATGATGCGTCGTCAGCCGGAAGTCGGCACCTATTTCTACGCACTGATCTGACTGATATCCCCGCCTTGCGTACAGCAAGTGTAGACGTGCAGTCTATCACAGATCAAGAATCAGAAGATTAGACAAAGGCAATATTGCCTATCAAAACTCAGCTCAAGGGCTAAACTTGAAAGACGGTGAATGTCGCTGATGATTGGCTACCTAGGCTTCAGTGATGCTCCATCCACATCTATGCAAAATACAAGAGACAGGAAAGAACGTCGGGATTGAATTATCTATCGGACCGGCCGGCCTCAGCGGAGTACAAAATATAGCCTTGATGTTGTAGAAATGTGTAATAAAAGGTCGAAGGGGGGTGGACGAGAAAGGGCTGTACAAATCATTCATGCAGAAATCAATAGACGCCTTGCCTTATTGGACGTCCGGCATGCGGACTGCAATATCGCCTGATTGCGTAATGTAGCGGACCCATGGGAGGGAGGGGTATTGCAGCTGGAAGGATACGGGTTAGCCATGGTCGTTCAGAGGGACTAGTATGTACGAGGACAAAACATACCTTCGGCTCAGTGATCTTCAAGTACCGCACTTGAATTCCGGAAGTGGTAAAGTAGGGGATCTCGAACTTGACGTTGATGGGCCGCTTCGCCTTGCCCATCGCACCAGCTCCGCCCATGCTGCCACCAAAGCCACCCGTCATGCCACCACCGTGCTCGTCGTCTCCTTTCACGGAGGGAAGACCCAGCTCCGCTCTCATGAGGAATTCCTTGCCACCACCAAATTGCTTGATCTTCCAGATAATTGCTGACTTTTCAGGAGCGTAATGAACGGTTCCGATGTTGGTGCGGAACCGGGGTGAGTCTGCATCCTCTGGAACGGGGACGAGAATTTCAACGTTGTTTGCGGTACTGCGGCGTTTGAACTGTGCCTTGGCCTATATCAAGGGACTCAAATTTAGTATCGAATTGGCAGAAAGGATGCCTGCAGATCAACCATACCTTAAGCATATACTCAATACGCGATCCCGAGTGCGACTCCACCAAACACTCCACCCAGATCAGAGGCTTGACCTGGGTGTTCAATCGGTAGCTCATAAGCTCGAATTCACCATCGGGGGGAATGAAACTAATCGTCCGGTCATTCTCAAACCGTGACAACCGTACACATTGGTGAAATTTGACGTCCTCCATCTCAACAGCCTTGCCCCGCGTGGCGCGGCCCGTCGTCTCGAACATGGCCTTGTCATTCAGACCCAATCGCAATTCGGGCATGCCACTCAAGTAACACTTCATTTTAATGGCGCCAAGAATCTCAGAGCGCAGGACGTTTCCATTGGCCGAAACCAACAGATTTAGAGACTCGACGACGTCCAGGAAGACCTCGTTCTTGCGGTAGCGAATGCCTTCGCTTCGCCAGGAGACGGCATTTGTGACTGCAATGGGTGGCCGTGCTTGGACCTCGAGCTTGTGTGATTCTTGGGTGATGTATCTGTAGTGGGTAGGATTGCGCATGTTAGCCCCCCCACCTCTCCACGTGCTACTTGACAGTCACGGATCGATTCCACTTACTCTTGTAGGATTTTGCTTTCTGTCGTCTGCGGGTATCCAAAATCCATCATCTCGTCCAACAGTTCGTAAATGATGACAAAATTATCCCGGATACTCTCCTCCTCGAGAACCTTGAAGTATTCGGTGAAGACCTCCACAAGCTTGTGGAGGAAAAGGAGGATTTCGGTGGCATTTGTGTTTCGTTTGGTCAATGCGAGAATGTACAGGTTGCTGTGACGAATATAAAGGTACTATGATTCGGACGGTTAGTCCGCGTTGGTTCCATGTAGAAGCGCACACAAATTAGGGGGACAATAACGCGGGCAGGAGAGATCGAGACGCGCGGAGAGGCAGAGCGGGCGGTGGAACGTACATTGACACCCTCGTGGGAGAAGCAGGGAGGCACGGCCGAGGATTCTTCTTCGGCTTCGCTAAGAAGGATGGGGAACTTCTCTACCGCGGACATGGGGATATCCCCGCGATAGTTACGGGCCAAAAGGGTCTGATGAGCTGTTAGCGCAGTGCCCCACGGGAATTGACCAACAAATGCAAGGGCTATAGCTCAAAAAGCCAAGTGACCTGCATGATCAACACACCTTGCCCTTCAGGTCCAGGAAGAAGAGAGCCGACGCCATGACGTGTCAATGGGGGGGGGGAGGATGGTGTGTCGTGTTGTTGGGTATCGAGGCGATTATTTGGTCTTGGGGTCGGAGGTGGAAGAACAACAAATGCGCATGCTGCACCCTACTGCGACATGATTGATGCGAAGGTCGACTGGGGGGAAGAGCGGGTTGAGAGGACAAGAGAGCTGGAGGTTGAAGCCGAGAGGGAGCCAGAACATCAGCCAGTTGGAAAGCAACCGCCAAAAGGGCCAAAAGGGCCAGTCGCCCGCAGTTGTGGTGGAGCCGCACCCAAAGAGGACTAGCGTGCGTAGCGCGAATCAAATAAAAATCTCTTCGTCGATTCCTCCTTCTCTTCTTTTTCTTTCTTCTTCAACGCTCTCAATAGACAGTACAAGCCAGTACTGCGACTGCCCGACATTCTGTCGGGATTAGCTCGTTGTTTTTAATTGCTGGACATTGCGATACAGAGATGCGGAGACTAGGCATCGTAAAGAGGGATCCATAAGAGCTGGCCGTGTATTATGCTCTGTTACGCGGGCGGTGTCAGAGGAGCCGTACATTTCTTAATTACTTTCACGATAGTGTCAATCAAGCATGTTTTCAATTGATCAAAGTGTGGTATTGTGCAATATAGCCAATGAACAGAATAGAAGAGAAGTTATAGTACATGTACGGCCGTATGGAGAAAAAGGGCGTGCCCAGTCCAATTCAGCCTCCAACCATCCTGCAGAAATATCAAGTAAAAAATAAACGCCGTGAAAATGCTGCGGAGGGTTCAGTGGTACATCCCCAAATTCCCCAACCCCGGCAGGCCCGTCCCAATTACGAGACGGTCTTGAGGCCGAGTGGCTCGAGTATCCGTTCCTGGGCCACCTTGTTGGCAATGTGTCCACCCTTCTCCAACGAGACTGCTCCAATGACGGCGTACATGGTGTGCGCCAGAACGAGTTCGAGACCGGAAGCCTTAAGGTCATCAGGCTGTGGAAGATCGAAGTTAGCTAGGGTACTCGGAAAGATGTGATTCACAGGGCAATTTCGAACCTTGCGAGGAGTCCACCGCAGGACGTTCTGCATTTCGTATTTTTGTGCCAGCTCGGCAAGCTTAGACCGTTCGGTCAGGAAGCTCTTAGTCTCCGGGGAGAGGCTTCGGAGGCCATCCAAGGCCGGGTGAGAGAAGGGCGTACGGCCGTGGGGGTCCGTCTTCGTGGAGGCGTTGGCAGCCTCGGGGTTCTGTACCAGGGCGAGCGAAGCCTGCAATTGCACAATACGCTTGCCTATCCACCTAGTTAGCCGGCAATGTCACTCAGTACCACCCAGAAAGATTTCTCCCGTACCAAGGAAGGCCAAACGGTCATTGAAGCCCCGACGTCCTTGATCAAAACTCTTGTGTGTCACGGCCAGCCACTTCAGCTCGTCGGAGAGAACCTGGTCCCCGCCATTGCCCAGCATGCGAATATAGAACTGATCCAGCAGAGCAGGGTCCGAGTTCACGTGGAAGAATGGGCGCTTCGAGTGCAGCCGGAGACTGAAGGGCGCCTTTGCGCGCGGCGGCGTGTACGACCATCGCGGTTGCTCTGCCTCGCCGGTCGAGGATTCGGGACCCGTAGCGAAGGTGCGACGGGGAATGATGGTTGCGAGGGGGCGAGGGGCCGCCTTGGAGGCTGAGCATGCGGTCCTAGCCGCTCGAGTGGTCAGATTCGAAGCCATGGGGTCGGGTTGGTTTGCGGAAGTTGATGGTCGAGTCGGAGGTGTGGAAAGATTTCGGCCTCGGCGGTGTGATACTGCCGCTTCGTTCCAGTTGGTGTTGATGGGCCAATGTTGACCTCCCAAGACCAATTTCAATTGAAATCCTGGTGTCGATGAAAATCCTCAAGCAGTAATTCTTCTATCAGAATTATGAGCAATTTGGTCACCCCATTAAACATGCAAACTGAAGACAAATGCATCCTGAAGCGCCCTTCACCGCTGCTGCGTCCCTATACCGTTGCGCCACATGCTTCATCGAGTGGCTGAAATCGAATCGACTTTGGAGCAGCCGATGCATTTCTTTCTGGCGATGACAGCGTACCAGGTTCTATCAAGGAACTTTCATTGGTGGTGGGAGATCGTGGAGTCCCGACTCTTCCATGTTTCGAGATCAACGCGGGACCGTTCAACCACAATGGCTAGTCCACTTTACCGCCATGACTTGCAGGAGTGTCTCCTAGCGGTCAAGTCTAGTATGGAAGCTCAGTGTTCGAGAATCGGTTGTTTTCCCATACCGCTGTTTGAGAACACAGCAATTTGGTCCGCCCAATCGTTGTTGCACCCATAGACTAGGGAAGTGGAGTAAATCCTACCATAACTGAAGTAGTCCTGTGCAAATTTGTCCCTGTGGTCAATTATCGCATGCTCCCGGCTGATAATTTCAGGGTTGCATGCTTTCAATGAAACTGACACGCATTATCTAAAGCCTCCTGGGTCAAGGTAGCAGTGGGGACGGAGACCCTACTGTCATATGTCCAGCAATATCCCCTCTGGATAAATTGCTCTACGATAAGCCTAGTCAGGCAGCTTCTATCTTTCATCGACTCCACATGAGAGAGAGCAAGGCCCGAGAACACTGCCAGGTAACCCTATCCAGCTATCCGACTGGGCAACAATCCGGGAGAGCAACCTCACAAGGTGGCACAACCATCTCTAGGCGCGGCTCAACCGCCAGGTGCTCGGGTCCCTTGCCTTCTCGAGGGAACGATCACACCAAATTACAAAAGCAGTAGTTTTCTAGATGACCTAAAGGCCAGAGTAGAGTTTAGAGGAATATTCGACGTTATTCTCCCGACTGGACGAGCTAGGTTCCCCCCGTCGGTCCCTAGTCACTCCCCTGCAAAGAAGCCAGGGACGGGTCTCCCCAGACATTCAGCCGAGCTGCGACGCGGTGTTGAACAAGATCGGCCCATGCGCCGCACGGTGGATAGTCGATTTTGAGACTGCTTGATGTCGCGGGTCCAGACGTTGGCAGCCGTAGAGCTGGGCGAGGCGCTGTGGTTGGTTCCCCGCATCCCCTCCCTTATCCCCAGTCGGAGAAAAACGGCCCTGCTGTGTGCCGTTGTACCCGCAAAGCTCTCTTTGCATTTCTCCTACAGGGTTGACCTCCTGGTTCAGGTAGGAGACTTTGCTTTCGTGGTAGGGGGGGGAGACACAGAGGGATCCACGTGCATTGATAGCTAGACATATCTGGCGTTGTTTGCAAAGAAGGCCTGTTGTATATGCGCATTCTCCTGTGGGAAGTAGGGCAGCTTTGAATTTTTATGCAGTCCATGATTGTTCTCGAAATCCGCAGAGGAACTATAATTCTATTGTCTCGACTTTTGTGGGTGTCAAACAAGAGCCTGGAATCTAAAGTGCCCATAGAGAAGATACATCACAAAACTATCAAATTATAGGAAAGCATAATTCCAGAAAAAGCATCGCTCACCCCTGTGACATTTCTACCACCAGCTCCGATCCACACAAATCAAAGTTCCAGCCACACAACGAAGTTGTCCAGCCAGAGCCCCTCCAACCGTCGGGTACAGAGATAAAGCGGCTAGTAGCCGCCGCGGAAGGTATTCTTAGGGTCATTGCTGAAGGCGCATTGAAAGGAAGCCACCGAGCCTCTTGCCGTTAAGAAAATGATTGCTGCAAGAACCCGGCCATCGCTCAGACCGCCGGTGCTACTCCACTAGAATCTGCAGTCGCTCGGGAAGGCTTCTAGGGTCTGGGGAAAGATTTCCACCGGCGAGTTGACCCGCAGGAAGTATCTCTGTTTCATCTCAAGCTGTACTCTCCAATAATTGGCTGGACGAGGCATGTGTCGCTCCCTTCATGTCTTATCTTTAACGCGGTATATGTCCGCTATGTATAGTAGCCGCAATCTGAAAGTAGATTTATACAGCTGGAAATGCAGGATACTATACGGGGCGTAATTGTACGGAACAGATGCGGGTATGTGATGGCTTCGTTCAACGGTTTATACATCAAGTCCACTGCCTTTCCGTCGGGCCCTTGCAGCCTTCTCTACGAAGAAGAAATTTCAAGCCGTTGGCGGCTGGACAGCCATACCCGAACCCGAGGCCTGAACGATGCAGCGGGATTGTCACGTCGTTTACCAGAGAGCTTCTGCTTCTGTGATGCTTGATTGGGATGTCCGACAGGATGGCGGTGTACGACGGTGTGGGTGTGGGATGGCATCCCAAGAGGCCCCGGCTGTTCTGGGGGTTTTCTGGAGCTGTTTAAATAGGGTAGACTAGTCGGGGTAGATGTTTCCATTCTGCTTTCTTTCTTCTTCGTCAAGATCGTGAATTACTATTGGATAGGTCGAAGCTTGAGATTGTTCTTCATACTGCGATTATATCAAGAAATTCCGACATTCGCTTCAATCATTATCCTTGGCTCGATTCCTTCAAGACTCATATTCTTCAATTTTTTTTCAACTTGTTTTCATACATCTATGATGGCTTGCTCTAGGGTCATAATCTCTCGGTCTCAAGCTACCTACCCGTGCTCCAGTCAGATGCCCAATATCGGGGGAATGCCTGCCAGTGATCACTCAGTCCAAGATCCTCCTTCGCCACGCCCATTTCCCCCCAACCCACCACCAAGCCCTGCCTAGGTTTTTTAAAGGGTGTATATGTTCTTAGCTGGCGTTGGGGAAAAGACAGGCTATGGAAATAGGTGAGTCCTTTCCTATACCGGAACCGAACTAGTCCACAATATATAACCGCAACCCCACGCTGATACTTGGCATTGCAGATCACATTTTGGAGCATTCGATTGCCCGCATGACATCCTTCCGGGTCATGCTATCAGGGAGCCCTGATAGGTTCAGCCATAATTTGATACATTACACTTGCCATGTTGTGATGGTCCTCATGTAGACCGTTTTATCTCTGTGTTGTTTGGAAGATGGAAAGGAGAAATGGGAAATTGATACTTGCCAATGGGCTTGATATCTTCTGATCTTGATGCAAACCATCGAGTCATATCTTTTCTACTGGGTTACCCTCGAATGTTAGCCCTCATTGGCATATATGGAGTGTTGGTATTGCAAGAAATCGATTTTCAACTGTGCATTGTGCTCTGGGACACATCTTGATCGAGCCAACACGCCCCCTCCCCTTTCCAAAGATATCTAGATAGAAGATAAATAAAGTAACAGGTAGAAGAAAGAGGTAATCTGCGCCTAGCTCGCGCCACGGGATCGAATTTCATGTATAGATTGCTCGACCAAATTCATTTTACTGACACAAGGAAAAATAACTCAAGCAGGTAGGTATACCGGGTAAAATTTAATAGAATGCAAGAGCCAGAGCGCTGGTGACGCTCAGGCCGACAACGGTCCATCCAGACTTGATGATAACGTTGTTGGACAGACCACGGCCCAGATCCCACATCAAGTGGCGGAGGCCGTTGAAGGAGTGGTAGGTGAAGGGGAGGGCCATGGTGGCCTTCAGGATGATCTTTGCGGCGACGGGGAGAGCACCCATGGCAGCAACCATGGAGGCGGACTCGAGGTGCCAGCCGAGAGCGGGCGAGGCGAGGTATGCGGTGGCCCACAGGTAGAGAGAGCCGGAGAGGGCGACGCCGGTGATACGGTGCAGGGAGGAGCCGATCCAGCCAATCTGGGGGCGGTAGATGGCCAAGTGAGGAGCGACGGGGCGGTTGAGACGCTGCTTGACCAGGATCTGGGCGGGGTCCTCAGCGTTGGAGGTAACGGACCTGGATATCAAATCGATCGGTTAATCTTCATCAAATTCGGACAATTGCGGATGACGTATTGCCGTTCGCGGGGAGTTGCCAATGCTGCCATCGATCTCGAGATTATGGCCATTGAGTCGGCCAGGTGTGAGAGACTGACCTCTTTTGCATGCTCTGTCCGAGGGCGACGGCGGCCGGGGAGGCGCGCATCATCGACTGCATGATGAGCGGCTGCTGGACGGCAACTGTGAATCGGGACGGATTGTCAGCGGCATTTCGCGATTGATGGGAGGAACCGCAAGTTCAGGGCAATGGAAACATACGCCGTCGCAGCGATTGCTGAGCAAGCTTCTGAGAGAACATGATGGTCGTCGTCGTCGAGTTCTCGATGTTGAAGAGGAAGAATCCCGTCGCGAGCAATCGGAACGGACTACCTCGGGTTTGGAGCCGTCACGGGATTGCCGGCCGGGAACCAATGACGGCGTCTGCAATTACTCTTCGGAAGATCCTTCTACCCGGGGTAGTCACGTGCTCCTTAGACTCCTCAAGCTAAGAGCTAAATGGAGAGAGTCACATGACCATTTCTCGCTTGTGCGGGAGTGTGTTTTCTTGATTCTCGGCTCTTTTTCGCTTTCTTCCTTTCTTTTCCTTCCTCACGAGTCTCCGCTCACATTAATGTACCGGCCCGTGTCGGGATGAAGTTGATGTGCTCAGCACCCTCTGGTTTCGGCATTCTGTCGCGACCGTCAGGGACCTTTGAGATTCGCAGAAGGAGCTGTCCCGTCGTTAATCGCCCATTTGGCTCTTCCCATGAGTTCGATGGGTTTCATATCAGGGTTACATATCGTGCCGTAAATTATTTAGATTGTCTATTGAGAAATATATATGTCCAGTACTCCGGTCATGGACTTTTTACCGTTAAAGCCTTTGCTATGCGATGCTAGAATACCACAGGTGTACAGACACTGTCGTCTTGTATCACTCTTGGTTGGCCGTAAGGCCAACGAATGGCCTGTGAAGTCATGCTTTTGGCCGATAGGTATATCTATCGATCTTCTGCCCATGTGCCAATGCACTGGTTTATGATATAATCAAATTATCCGAGATCCATTGATCTTTTAGTATTGAGTAGTCGAGCTGCTTTCTGTGCCCGTTCCTAAATCTGAATTGCGGGAATCACGGGATGCTATCACATGCTGTTCCCTTGAGCCACAGAAGGGCCATAGAGGATTACCGTAGGGGATTATGCTGGATGAAACACAATTTCTAGAATAAAGAATAAAGGTACAGGATCATAATCGACACAACACCATTAACCCCGGGTCTCTAGGATTATCAATCTATTCCCCCGCTGTATGCCCGTATGCACGGGCAGCCACTGCGCTGATTCGCCCGACGTCGACTAATCCGATTAATCGTCAGGCCACCGGCCACCGAACCTCGGCAACTCCGCCCGCCCTGACAGCAGAGGTCCGCGGCTACCTGGGGTTACGGGGGGCTCTTTTTAAATCACCTTTGTCCAGACGTTTGTTTCTGTCGCCTACTTTTATTTTTATAATCCGCATATTTGCCTTGCGTGTACTCATTATACTTTTGGAAAGACTCCTCGTGTCAGTATTTCAGCTAGAGACATTCGACGATCGCTCCTTCTCCAATTTGATATCAGCCTCGTGACTTTACATCTGAAAGATGCCTTTCAACACAGCCCTGACCCGCAAGCTGGGTATTCGCGGTATGCGCCTGATCGCTACTCGGTGTTCTTTATCAACTACTAATGAAAGACAGTCCCCGTTGTGCAGGGTGGTATGCAGTGGGTTGGATACGCCGAGCTGGCCTCGGCTGTCAGCAACGCCGGTGGTCTGGGTTTGGTACGTCGCGGCCTTCCTACAGCATCATAGATGATTCCCTTGAGATTCTAACGTCTTGCTTCTAGCTCACAGCCCTCACCCAACCCACCCCCGAGGACCTGCGCAAGGAGATTCGACGATGCCGCGAAATGACCAAGTACCCCTTCGGTGTCAACCTGACCCTCCTCCCCGCCATGGTTCCCCCCGACTACGGTGCCTACGCCCAGGTCATCATCGATGAGGGTATCAAGATCGTCGAGACCGCCGGCAACAACCCTGGCCCGGTCATCAAGCAGCTCAAGAAGGCCGGCATTATCATCCTCCACAAGTGTACCACCATCCGCCACGCCAAGTCCGCCGTGAAGCTGGGAGTCGATTTCCTCTCCATCGATGGCTTTGAGTGCGCCGGTCACGTCGGCGAGCACGATATCACCAACTTCATTCTCCTGAGCCGTGCCCGTCAAGACCTCGGCGTTCCTTTCATTGCTTCCGGTGGCTTCGCTGATGGCCACGGTCTGGCTGCTGCGCTGGCTCTCGGCGCCGAGGGTATCAACATGGGTACCCGCTTCATGAGCACTGTCGAGGCTCCAATCCACCAAAATATCAAGGAGACTATCGTTAAGGCGCAGGAGACTGATACCGCCCTTGTGCTGCGTCGGTGGAAGAACACTTCTCGCCTGTTCGCTAACAAGGTGACTCAGGACGCTCTCAAGATTGAGAAGGAGAGCACCACTGGCGACTTTGCCGAGATTGGACCCTATGTGAGCGGCAAGCGGGGTCGTCAGGTCTTCCTGAACGGTGATCCTGACTATGGCGTAAGTTGATTGTTGTTTTGCAAGGTCATATCTGTTCTGTGTGTTCTAACAATTCTGCTAGGTCTGGACCGCTGGCCAGGTTATTGGCCTGATTCACGATATCCCGACCTGCGAGGTCCTGCTTCGTCGTATTGAGAAGGAGGCTCTAGAGTCTATGACCCGTACCCGGAGTCTGTACAGCGATGCTCCGGCTGCTAAGCTGTAATTTGGAATGATTGTTTGGCTAGTTCTTTTTTGTTTATATCTTCTTGTCATTTGAATCTGGATTCAGTGATGCAATAGAGCATGTGTAGGAAATATACCGCTATACGATATGCTTGTTCCTTCCGTCATTTGTAGCTGCTTGTGATTTAAGACACCGCCTGTTAGTCGGCTGCGACGCCATCCAGAGATCCATGGATGATTTCGATCACCATTGTGAGGAATTTCTAAACAATTACACCGCTTCTCTCAAGGGATCGACTGAACTTGACTAGAAAACATCGCTGTGGCTGGGTGGCCCATGCACTGCATTCCCAGCTACAGCTGCATTCTGGAGCTTTGCCCGGGGCGACAATCAGCGCGGTCTAGCTCGGCTCAGACATTCCCCTTTCCAGAATAGTAAAGTGCCCGTCGACACGGATAGTGCTTTGTTCAATCATAATAATTGATCTCCTGGATGTTTCGACCATTGAACCGTGAGAGCTGCCAAAAGATCGGATGAAGTACGATGGTGTAATCACTCGTGGAGGCCCAAGGGATGTGGAGCCTCCTTGCATGCGCCCTTGGGGGATCGCTTTCGAGAATGCATGAGGTCCTGCATGCGATTGGACTTATTTTGTCCTTTAACTGCCTCTTCGATTTGCGGTAGGACCTTTCGAGCTGCCATTTCCAAGTTACTCTGCCCTAGCAACCAATGCCATTTGGGGCTCGTTGGAGCGTACGCGGCGACAATGCTAGGTAGAGTGCTCATTTGCTAGTATCACTGATGTAATTATCTGTTCTTGATCACCGATCCAACTTCGCATTCGAGAATGAATTGAATCTTTGGCAGCTTTAAGTCATAGCATCCAAGTATATGAGCTCCAGCCGACTTCAAGCTAGGTGATCGACGTTGCACTGCAGCAACTAGCTTAACGCAAAACGAGCATGATCTTGATCGTAGCTCTACTCCGTCAAGCTACCCGGGCTCAGGTACTTATGCAATAGTTTACGATGCAGCCCCAGTGTAAACCTAGCTATGATGCATCCCCCTTGCCCCAGATCTGCCACCCAAGTAGTTTATCAACTCAGCAATCCCCCACCTCATCCCACTCCCTCGAATACTCAACCTATCACTCCTCACGTCATACCCTCGACACTACAATTATGGGCTTCATTACATCCATGGCTCGCTGCGTGCGGGAAAACAAACTCTCGCGCAGATTATCAAATGCAAAGCCACAACGACTGGACGACGACTCGAATGATTTGATCAAAACAACCTCCCATACTGCCTCCGTTGCCCCCGCCGAGAGCATTGCATCCGCATCTACTATGGTCCAGAATTCGTCTCAGGAACCGGTCGTCCCGACTGAGTCCCCAGCTCATATGAAGCAGCTAGATTACTGGGACTTGAATATTCGTACGATGTTTGATGAGGTGGATTCGCTCGATCCTGAAACAAGTCGAGCGATCAGGGCTTTATCCATGCCCGAGTACCCGGTGCTCAGGATGGATACTATTCAATCACCGTCCGATACACCGACGAAGAAGCTGGATGATGCAATTGACCCGGGCGAAAGGGAAAGCTCCCATCGAAGGAAGGAGGGAAAGTCAAGGAAATCTCGGATGAGCCAGGATGAAAAGAGCAGAGGGGATGACCAAAGCCAAAAATCTTGGACAGGATCCAAAATGAAACGATCGATGACCGGTTTACTCAAGAGACGATCACTCAAAGTTTCACGAACACCTAGTTCGCTCAAGACCTTGCGGAATCCAAACTCGCCGAAGTGGATCGATTCTTCGAGTATTGTGGAGGAGGACACTTCGGATGAGAAGGATGAGATGAAGTGGATGGAAGCGAATGGGTTGGGAAGGTTTGACAAGAAGAGTAATGGGCTCTGGACTGGGGAGGGAATGAGAAGACTGTGGTGACTTTACAACGTACATCAATGATCATGGGAGTTGTATACATGAGATATGACTGGACATTAGTTGGCCATCCTGATCCATCTGAAACGCTCATACTCTAAACATCTGTACATCGCTATTAGCGAGACAGTACATTGACATGAATAAATGCTTTTAGACCTCGGTTTATGTATGTCTTCGTCCGTAATCTACTTTGATAGTTATTAGACCACGTTATTAGGTCCGAAACTGATCTTACTTTAAGACTTCCCGCGGTACCACTCTAACTGATTACGTTCCCTTTAGGAGTGATAAATTAAAGATTTTTTTTGGAACAGGAGGGTTTGAATGAAACATGACTCGCAACGCTGGAGGTAACTACTAAGCACCTTATCGCAATAGCCTGGCGCCTATCCAGTTTATCCAGTTCCTGCTGACTTAAAGAGAAATACAGATTCTGGTACTAATTATAATATGTGGCACTGCCAAGCGCTTACAAACTCCTGTTGAAAAAAGTGGTCATGCTAATCTATGTCTTAGCTCTCCGACTTTCGACTGAAAGAAGTGCCTCAGCGATTCGGCGAAAAAAGAGATAATACAGAACTCTCATGTTCTCACTCAGCCCTGCCATCTATCAAAGGCTGGACCATATTTGGTTGCATTTTCTATATTAGGCCTAGAATGTACTGTCGTATATTGTGTATATACATCGCCTAATCAATCTATTTGATTGCTACTTTTGACCAGTTTAATTATAGTATGGTTGTCTGCTAGGGGAAGAGAAGACAATGTATCTATCTGCTGTTAGTCCGAACTTCTTTCGTATAGATCAAACAGCAAAATTGAAACCTTTGGTACTCACAAAGCATGAATAATACCAGGAATATCACCCAGTAAGGTCAGTAATATGTTGATACAGAAGTCTGCTCCGCATCCTCTTCGTAATAGGACTGCTATTGGTGGCAGAAAAACAGCCAATATACCAAGGCAGATATCCCTAGTGAAAAGGGTCAGATCTTAATGCGTTCTTTCTTTGCATTCCCATGTAGGAAATTTGCCTTTCTACACTTACGAAGCTGTCACTGGCATATTGCAGGAAATACGCCGTTGTGATCGTATTTTCTAGTTATCGAATTTCTGTATCAGCCGGCAGCGTACATTAAATAATAACAAGAATCTAATCTCAAATCTAATGCAAGCTGATTAAGTTGACGTCATTATCGTTTCCGTTTTTGGTAAAATACTAAAGCACGTAATCAACCACGTAACCACTTTTGGATACACTGAACCAGATTAAGCAGGATTTCAGGTTATTCAAGGTCTGGGGTTTCAAAGAGTTTGGCTTTACGCGGTGAGTATGCACTCTGAAGGGTTGAACGGGGATTGGATCCACCTCACACTTTTTATCCCATTCCGAAGCAATTTGCCGGTTAGAAGAAAAAGAAGAAGTAGACAGATACTGTACCAACTCCAAAGCTTTGCTCTATAAATACGGAACATAATGTGTCAAGTTGTTCCGGCCATAAATTTCTGTCAATAAGCCATTGTCTCTACATTAATCTCTTCGCTGCGGTTTGGCAGACACCATATCCTAGGTACCACAGCAGAAGAGCTTGGTGATATCTTAACGGAGGTGTTATTTTTAGTAATACTGAGTGATAAAGAGGGCAACTTTTCTATGGTAGACTTGTTGATAGGTCGCTAGAAATGCCCAAGGGTATTTACTGCAGCAATTCAGAGCAGAATCTAGTCGTTCCAGGAAAATTCAGAGAACAGCCAGTTGCTAAGAAAAATTGAGTCTGCAATGAGAAGATTTTAGTGACTTAGAATTGCCCATGCCTTTCTAGGAGTAAATATGAAGGTGTACCAATTGACCGGCTTTGGCTTCCTACAATTCTCATCAAGGATCCAATACTATGTACTCTACAGCGCGTTGCGTAATCTCCTGTCTTTCGGTTGACCATTTTCCAGTCTGAGGATCGTACTCCAGCAAATAGAGGGCCTCTTCATTTCCATAATTTAAGTGGACAAGCTCAAGATTGGGCTCATTGTAGTGACCCATAAACTCGAGGTCGAATCTCAACTCTGAACCTGGCTGTACCGCGTCGCGAACGTGAATGATGTATGGCTCCGTGCGAGCAACACGTCGACTGCCCTCAAGCCTGACAGACTGAAGGAAAGTAACAGGGGTTCCGTCACTGTCAACTCCAGTAACTTCCACTTTGCGCCGATCTTCCTCTTGCATCTCAATCTTGACTATGAGACGTCGTCGTAGGATGAACGGCGGGATGGGCAAATCTAACTTCTTCATAAGCTTAGCCATCAGTATGTCTGTTTCAGTGAAGATGCGATAATCGGTAATATCGTCTACTGGTGTCTTTTGCAAGTTGCATATGGCGAGTTTTGCGCCTTTGCGCTCTCCAACTATCGTGGGGATCTTGCAGGCTGGGGTGACCGTTAATGAGGATCCCAAGACGAGACAGAGATCGGCTAAATCCGCACGTTGGTAAGCTAGATCTAAGTCCCGCTTTGGGAGATCTTCGCCGAAGTTGATGATACTATCGATCAGGGTTCCGCCACAACGTGCGCATTTGCGACCTGTTCGGTGGTCGTGGATGCCATTCTCATAGGTCGAAACAGCGCGGAAGTCTGGCCGGGCATCATTAGTATAAATTTGTCTCCAAAGGATGGAAGGGTCACTTTTTTACCTCTAATGTACTCCTTGTTGCAATCGCTACAGGCTTCACGATTGCTGTTCCCGTGTAATTCGGCAATTTTCTCCTTTACAGGGGTTAATGCCAATGCCTTATTTCTAATAAAGGGATGGTGGATGAGGGCCACACACAGGTAGGATGCCACTTCGTCGATGAAGTCCATCACAGTTTTGACTGACAAGAAGCTTCAAAATTCCTTGATTCTGTAGTTCTACGAGGGCCATATGCGATATCGTGGGTATGGCTTGCAGAGTGTTGGCGTGCTTGGTTCGTGGCTTGCCTTGAGCTCGTAGAGTCCAGTTGCCATCAGGGCCACGAAAGTCAGGAATTCCTGTAGTATTTCATCAGTGGTCATTCGAATTGATGTTCGAACGATGGTTTTATTACCCGCAGATGTAGAGATTCCTGCACCGGTAAACACAATAACATGCTTGCTCCTTTTGATTTGCTTTGCGAGAGCCTCAGCTTTGCGATCTACGGCAGCGAGGGACTCGCGACGATCCTCTGCTGCGACTTTTGGCGCTGTATCGGCCATTTGAGATCCTTTGTCTGATAGTTGAATTCAAGGAATGGTTCTGATGAGGCACTTGGGTTCGTGCAGGCGGATTGTTATGGCGGGCGGGAATGAAATAAGCCGCACAGGCCCCGAAGTATAAACACCGAGCTGGTTGGTCACTAATCAAATCTTCCCAGTAGTTATGATTTAAGTGCTAGGTACTGGCATTATTTATGGACTATTCTGTGTGTACTCGCGCCAAATGCTTGCGATGGTAGGTGGGCTTTATGATGCTGAAACTGTGGTGGGCGTAGCTCGACAATGTACAGTTGCCAAAACATTGAAAATAGAGTTGCGCCATAGAGAAGGGAGAGAATCGAAGAGGCTCCGCAATCCGAACTTGAGATTTAATGCAATTGTTTTAGTTTCATCAACTTTTTTCCTACTCAAAGAGGCCAATGAGAGATTTTGACCTGGTGTCTCGCAGAATGCAATACGCGTTTAAAGTGTCCAGGCTAAGCCTGTACAGATGGTAGCTGGAAAAAGTCCACAGAGCGGCATATACCACTTAGTAGCCCGAAAGCTATCATGGAACATATTTAACGAAGAGGTATTGCACATTCAAACATGCGACTTCAATTTGTACAGTATTGTCGTCACGTTGGAAAGTCTTCAACTACATCATACCTAACTCGCGCTAAACCGTTTTTAGCGCGGGCGGTGAGTCGATAGGTCGCAAGCTTCGTGAAGTTGCCCTTCTCTTCAGATTTGACCCCGGTGCGCCGATGATTTAGCGCATTCTCATCGACGCTCATTCTGCTACAGGGGAAGCAGTGCTTAACGACAGGATGTCTGCTCAGCCACAAGTCTCGGCGACTCCCACGGAGGACCGTCCAGGCTCTGCCTCTGCGCCTGGCACACCTCAGGCCCATCCAGAGGAGAAGCTTGAGACCAGGAATGAAACGGAAGATGATGACCACGAACACACACGACCAGAAGATCAGCAAGGAGATGAACATGAAGAGGAGGATAAACAAGTGGATACTGAAGAAGCCGACAAAAAGCCCGAAGATTCCAACACCGCTCCACCGTTGCCCGACGAGGTACCTCCGCCACTCCCCGATGAAGCACCGCCTGTCTCGGCAGAGGACGATGGGTGGGAGCCCGTGTGGGATGGAAATGCCCAGGCATTCTACTTCTACAATCGGTACACCGGACTCTCCCAGTGGGAGAACCCCCGCGTACCGGACGCGACGGCCCCAGGCACAGAAAGCGCCAGCACATCCACCATTCCGGAACCTCCAAAGAAAAAGGAACCGATACTAGGAGGTTACAATCCCGCGATCCACGGCGACTACGACCCGACCGCTCCCTACGCGCAACAGCATGAGGAACCTGCGCAAGAGACCGGTGGACCTGCGATTGATCCATCCGCTGCGTATGCCGCCACGGGTACATTCAACCGATTTACCGGCCGCTGGCAGGCGGACTCGATCAACCCAGAGAACTACAATGATGAGAATAAGTCTCGGCGGCAGATGAATGCTTTCTTTGACGTGGATGCTGCGGCCAACAGCCACGATGGCCGGAGTCTCAAGGCTGAGCGCAGCGGCAAGAAGTTGAGCAAGAAGGAGCTGAAGATGTTCAAGGAGAAGCGCCGAGAAAAGAAAGAGGAGAAGCGGAGGGCGTGGCTGCGTGATTGATTGGGATTGAGAGCTGAAATCGGGATGACGAAGTAGTGTGTTATACACTCTTGTACTTTTCTCCTGATATTGTAGCATAGCAGGATGCCATTTGCATATTGGGACTTTGAGATACCACCCACACACTCGGGCGTGGGAATTTGGGGCGTTTATGGTTGTTTCTTTTGCTGGGCTGTTTCAAGTGCATAGAGGCGGGCAGCTTATGCTTTGCTGGACTTGACAAAATTTCCCAAACTGCATTGTATGATTATCAATGGAGATGAAACGAATATTTGAGCTTGTGTATTATTATTAGAATTCTCAGGATTGTTGGAAATTAAGCGCCATATTGCTCTTCATACTCTGTAGATCCACCGATTGCATCAAACCCCACCATGAGTCATGTGACCTGCGATATCAAAGTTTCTTTTCGGATCATTCACTTTTGCTACCAGCCGATTTCAAGCGATATAGAATAAGCACAGAGGTAAGAATCATCATCTTCCAAGGGCATAACATGTACTGTCAGCGCCTTCGATGCACGAAGTTTGAGGCCAATTACACATTTGTGGGCTGAAAAGCGCACAACTGATCAATATTCTTATCACCATCATCATGCATACCTTGGGATGCTTGGACCACTCGATAACGAAGATCGAATCTGAATTCTCATTTTAGCTTCATGATGGATTGCTCTGAATATTGATTCAACCACACAGAAATGTCAAGAACACGCACGCTAACAACTTTGATAGGACATATCAAATTCTCTGCAAGTCAGAAAAAAATCACCACCAAGACACTATCAAATCAGTGACCGGGTGTTGCAGCAAACCCTCGGGAAAAATTCTGTCGAGTTCTCATCTACGAGATCTTTTTCAAACATCACAATGTCTGCCTCTACGCCAAAGCCCAAGCCGGCGGTACCCGTCGCGCTTTCAGTCGAGGCTATCGACGACCTGATCTACGATGCCCGCGCTGGTGACCTGGAGGCTCTGAATGCCGACATCGCCACTTTAGCCTCCCAGCACAACTGCCCAGAGTCGCACATCGTTGCGTCCGCCATCGACATGGAGGACGAAAGTGAAGGCGGGACTGGCTCCTGCGTGCTGCACTTCCCCGCCGCAAATGGAAATAGCGGTATGACCCGTCCTAAGAATCTTACCTTGCCAGCACTCGTGGGAATACACTATTCATGAACATTCAACTGATGAAACCAGAAATCCTCAACACTCTTCTCCAAAAGCTTTCCTCGCTGGATGCAGACCAGCGCACGGCATTCGTCAACCACCGCAATCACTCTGGCAATACGCCCCTGCACTGGGCTGCACTGAACACGCACCTGGAGTGTGTCAAGGGCTTAGTTGAGGCCGGTGCAGACGTCGCTATTAAGAACGATGCCGGTCACGATGCAATGTTCCTGGCTGAGCGTGCGGCTTGGACTGCTGCCGCGGAGGAAGAGGGTGAGGCGGATGAGAACTCGGAGGAGCCCCAAGAGATTGAGATGACTATTGGTGAGGAGGGTGAGCAGAAGACTGATGCGGGGGAGATGTCTGCTGGCAGACAGGTCGTGGAGTGGTTGTTGAGTTCAGAGAAGGCGGCGGGTCTGGAGAGTAGTGCTACTGAGGGAGAGAAGTCGACGTGATTTCAGTCATCCGATGGACGATTTTGTCATGTTGATGTTCGTTATGGATATGAAAAGCATTAAAAGTTTGATTAGATAGACGCAAGGCATTCTCTTTATGTTCTGGAAAGGTTTCTCGTATGGTTGGTGTGGATTACATGATCTTCTAAATCTAGACCCAAGGTGTGTTGATGAAGATCATATCTATAGATTCACTATAATATACAGGACGCTGATGGATATTTTTGTACAGATGTAAATGCAAATCATCATTCACGCCGAACTTTCCCCGTCACACCACCGTTGCTCTGCGGCGACACAGGAAACCAGTCCACAACAGACCCGGTCGAGTATGAGCCCTCTGTTGGCATCGCATTGTCTGAGTCGATCTCGCGGACCTTGGCGTCAAATCCAACCTTGAACCGTCGGTCTCGCCAGACAACCGTAACACCGCCATAGACGGCTATAATCCAGATAGGCAAGGCCAGTAGTTCACGACCAAGCCAGGCGGCGAACCACTGCAGGAACGGGCGACGCGTGGCTTGAGAAGGGCGGCGATTAGGCTGCGCGAAGATGGGTGTGTCCTCGTCGACTTCGATGGCCTTTGCCGAATGTAGTTTGATGTAAAGGGTCCAGTCGACTAAAATCCAGAGGGCTAAGCTCAGCGCAAAAATGGCAAAGAATGAGGTCCAGGTCGCGAGCTCAGCGGCAAACGAGTATCCCTTCTGCTCGAGGTAAGGTGCTAGTGCGGTTGTGATGCCCCACGCGCCGTAGATCGAGCAGACAAAGGACTCGGTGCCTGGTTCGACGAGTGTCGCAAGGAGTACAGTGAACTTGCGGACACGAAGCCACCGCACTCGTCGAGCAATGTAACCTCTTACACTCATGTTGGCTACGGGCTGGATCGCCAGGTCACCAAAAACCATGGCGTGTTTACCCCAACGCTCGTCGAATTCCTTTTCTTCCCGGATCTTCTTCCGCCAAAGCAAGTCACCGATCAAATGGTCTTCACAAATATTGTCGGAGAAGTAGTCAACTCCGGGGTGTCGAGGGTTGCGATCTCCCGGGGCCGGGGCTGTGAGGTAGTCCAGGTGGGAGCGACGGAACATATTCGACTTGCCTACAATGCATGGCGCAATGAGGACCGTATTGATGGCCGTATACATCTTGGCGTGTGACGAGGAAAGGAAAAGCTCCTCCAAACGCCCTCCGCCCGTTTCAATGGTGCTCGTGAACCCATCTTCTGGCCGCCTCGACATTAGAGACAGGTCTGCGGCTCTCGGGACGGTAGCATCTGGACGTGCGTCTAACAATGCCTGTCGCTCGCCACTCAAGTTGTTCTCGCCCGTAACATCCACCGCGACGGGCAGATGGTGTACGAACTTGAATTTCTTGCCTAAAGTAGGCCCCGTTCCGCACAGTCGGTCCACCATGCGACCACAAACACCCTTTCCGACCCAGACATTGCAGTCGATGATCCAAATGATATCGCCCTTCGCTTCACGGTATGCGCGACTCATGTTCCGAATCTTCGGGTTCGGTCCAAGTGCGTAGGCATTAGGGCCATTCCCCTGCAACAATGGATCCTCCTCTTCCACATACACACGCGCATCGACATCAGGAAAATCGGCAAGGAGCTTGCAAAGGGTCGGATAGGCTGGGTCATCGCGCGTAGCCACGCAGAGGCAGACGGTAAGCTTGTCACGCGGGTAGTCCTGGCGGAAGGTGGCCGCAAGGCAGTCGTACAGATGAGGCTCGAGGCCCTTCACTGGTCGAATGGCCGTGACATGAGGGGCGTCGGGATTAGCGGCCAAAGATGAGCGTCGGGGTCGTCGCAAGAAGTATCGCCAACTGGACACCAAGAAATCCACGCGTTAGTCACAGCCACAAACCCCATCATTTCCACACTAGTGTGTCCCCGCGTGCCTGAGACCGCGGGGCAAGCACAACACGAGAGGATGGACACCTCACTAATTCCCCTCGAGGATGTCTTACATCTGAAGATAGCCCAAGGCACAGACTATCAGTATAAACATATACCAGACCAGACCGACCCAGCCCGCCGCAACGGACACGGGCATCGCGCCATCGCCGATGGGCACTTCCAGGAGGTACGAGGTCGGCTCTAGCATGAGACTCGGAGGGGGAGTTAATAGATGTCGAGAGGCAAAGAGGACATTCTAAGATGGGAGGAGTCCCCAAGGCAGGAGAAAGAAGGGAGAAGGTGGAGGTGGAGGAGGAGGAAGAGGGTGAAGATGGGGCAGAATCTCAGAGTGGAGTCGATGGCATCGCCAATTCGCAACTCGGAAGTCGCGGCTTGTCTTGTTATGCACCGCCCCTAACAGCTATAATTTCCCATCGGCCATCAATCCTGCTGCCTGTTTTTATAATACAGAAGGATCAATGGGTTATTCAATGCCAGCTCATAACGCCTAAATGAGTATTTAGCTTACTCTAAGATTGTGTGGTAAGTAGTTCTTATTTACACGGCTCTACTTCATGGGGATACGAATACGATGTAAGATACCGGAAGAGGCAATAGCTACTAGTTGTATTCATAGAATATGAAATAACGTGTATAACGAGCACAATTGCAGCTAATCGGCCAGGTAGTGGAGTTTCAGCTGGACTCGGCATCTGACTCCCATCCTCCCCCGTCTACTTCGTCTTGAGACGAGTCTTCTTCCACTTCAGCGAGGATAACTCCGAGATCACGCACTCGTTTAGCTTCCTCCTGGCTTGGAGAGTCAACCTTGTGATCCAGTTCATTCATTTCTTCCCACCAAATGCTTTTCAGGAACCCATAAAAGGAGAGATTCGACGTTCATACATGATCTGAAACCCTGTCATCAATGCCTCAAGCTGTGCAATCTGCTCTCGCCATTCATCGTGTATTTCCTCAATCTCTTCCTGCTCCTTCGGTTCCCAGTAATAGTATGGCATAGTATGGTAAGGTCAATTACAGTCTGGCATAACCCAGCATTTTCGAGGATGATAACACGTGTGTGGGATTCCAAGGATGTTAAAGGTTAGGACCCAGATAATCGCAAGAGCAGCCTGAACAGGTACATTCTCTCCTAACTGCCTGACTAGATCCTATATAAGTGATACACTTCGTATCGCACTTGAAAAATAGAAGGAGTTGTGGATGGGGTCGCACGTCCAACGAGTAATGGCAAAGCAACCAGCCAAAGAACAGGGGCAGTCGCATTCGTCCTGGCTTTCGTCCTGGAGAAGTAGATTGAAGGTGCGAAGACTTGTTTTGTCAAGGCTAGTGAGTAAATTGGAGCCAGAACCCAGATTTCCTGCCATGAGGTGTATTGCTGGTATACCCATTGCTCTACGATGAATATCTGCGCCATGAGAGATTAGCCAGTCCGCAAATCTGAAATCGCTACAAAACATGAGGCTTGTGCAGCGTTGGTTGTTTGCTTCGTCGACATCTTTAAATCCACCATGCCATAGTAAGTCTGCCATTTCGCAATCGCTCTCAATTGAGGCATAAACCAACCAACCACGCCATCCTACCTCCCAGTCAGGAAACCTGAGACCGATGGCCTGTAATAGGTCATATGCTCTGCTCGCATGGCAATCAAGGAGAGTGTCTGACTTCAGATGTAGACTAGCGAGTTCCTCGTTAGAAAGGTGATTATCTGCCAGAATCTGCAATTCTCTCCTTTCCTCAACGAGTGCATTGACCATCAGCTTCATAATTTCAGAATCATGCCCCCGGAATGCAGAATGCAAGTGCATTGACTGAATATAGAACCATCTACTCGATGAGAGAATCATCACACTTTCCGGGACGTGCAAAAAGCATGCGAGATGCAATGAATGTTCTGCGGGCAATTTCCCAGATTGCAAAAAGATGCGAAGTCCCTCCGGCCAGTAAAGGTATGGATTTGGGATCTCTGAGCATGCGATAAAGGTCGGCGTCTCAAGAACTGAGCGTAAAAGCCCCTCGTCGCGTAACATAAGAGGTTCAAGGATTTCCGGAACGTTGCAATCTAAACATCGAAATCTTAGATGAAAGACTTTTGCTCACTAGGATATACGTACCTCCGTTCCTGGTATACTTCATGATCTGGTTGGCTAATTCGAATCGGATGGCACATGAGACAGCGCCTGCTGGGCCGTCAAACCAATTAACAGCAAATGTGGAGTGCGTTAAGTAGCCGCCTCTATCCATGATGAGAGCAAAGCAGTCGATCCAGTGTCTTGGCATCATCTTCCCATCTCGTTTTACATCGATGAAGTTATCATACCGAGTGATTTCAAGAGACAGGCTATCGGCAAAAGTCCTTCCTTTACTGTCAACTGTAGTTGGCAAGGTGACGGACGAGGAAAAATCCGTAAGGAGACGGTGGGCGCTCTGTATCATGGTTTCATTCTCTGAGCGGAGAGACAAACCGATGAATTGAGCCAGATACTGTATTGAGATTCAGATATAGTTTAATTGTTAATTGAAGCGAATCAAGTACCCCCATGGAAAATAGTTTGGCCCACTAAATTCACATCCGTCGGGGATGCTTTACCCTCCTGATAAAGACGGAGAAGCTTCACGCGTAGACTCGTAAAATCTTGAGGTCCATAACGGTTATGAAGATCGCCTTTCTCTTGGCCCCTGTGAACCTCACGCCGAAGTCTTGAGCAATGATCGTTTACGAGGTTGAAGGCCGGCGAGTCTCTCACTACTGCATGAAAGGCTATATGCGGACTGATGGCGAAGCCACCTGCCCCCGTCGTAATGCGTAGAGAAGCGTAAATTGAGTACCGCAGGAAGTTGTTGCAAATTCGGTACCGCGATTGGATAGTTTTCACTGTTTGATATGGAATGAAATGTGGACATCCCGGCTTATGCGTGATGACGGAAAGAAAGCCACCAGAGGCAACGCAGAAACAAGCTTTCTTTATTCGATGGTCTCGAGGTTGTAGATCCATGACAAAGCGGTTCATATCATGGTCCTCTTTTTTCTGCTTATAACAGAGATATCGAAGTGTAGAGGGTTCAGGGAGGTTCCTCGTTGAGTAATGGCTAATCGTTGATTGCTGCAATGAACCAACATATCAGTCAGCCCCTGTACATGTGAAAAGAATGAGTCGAGCGATCCCTACCATTTGTTCCATTCGTTGATCTAGCCTCGACAAAATTTGATCCATATCATGATGTCTCTGTTCAATGCCTTGGGCCAAAGTCAAAGTCTGGCTAGTGTTCGCGACGATATCGATGGTCGACTGTTGAATAGAAACAACCCTAGTTTTACTATCCAGGTTCAAAGCACTATATAATTTAGCTCCACAAGTTACACAGCAGGAGTAGAATGAGCATACATTTGCAACAAAGCCAGTGCAGTGTCAAGGTTCTCCTGCAGCCCGTCAAGAACACTTAAAAGGCCCACTAGGGCGTCACGCCGGAATGGGTAAAGAGCTCGTTTCGAAGCGGTCTTGAGTGCTGGGAAGTCTCCTTGCGCAGCTTGTGAAGGGCCATTTTGAAGCTTCGAGGACGTACCATCAAGCTCCTGGATGGCACTTTCACAGTCTGTGATCATACGAAGGGCGACTTTGAACTTGCCCGCTAGCGGAGGATCGATCCGACCGGCATCTGTCAGGATATCGCGAAGGCCCTGCAGAATCGACTCTAGACCTTCGATCCTGCACTTGACATCACGCATTTCTTTATCCGCAGACTTGTATTTGTTGATGTATGATGCTAGGCCTTGGCACACTTAGAGACCGAGGGATATCACCCCAACGGCGCTTCCTGCCACGGAAACTGGATCTCCCATAATGAACCATGTACTGTATAGGCTCGGATCTGAATTGGCAGAATTGTAGGTAGATAGTGGAGAACGTGATTGTTTGTGTCTTTTGAATGGGAAAAAGCCACAGGATCTAAGAGGCGGGCGCGATCAGAAGGAGCCGCCGTCAAAGCTGATTTCGCTGTAAGCGCCGCAGATGAGTTGTCACGGTTTCTAGCTGCAGCTCGTATTGGACCGTTTACACACAGCCACCTAGCACCTTGCCCATACATCTCTCTTTTAAGAAAGCGATTAGAAGAACAATTTTGTAGTCAACGCCGCAAAGAAAGATGCTATATTCCTGGTATATTCTCCACCTATTTTGTTGTTAAAATATAACCAATGAACTCCTTCCGAAACTCCCAGCCCTAGAACGATGAAGACCAGCCTCAAGAATAGACGTCTCAGGTCTTCTTCTTCTTCCGAACCAAGCCTGCACTGAGCACATTCACAGCAGCTGGCTGCGGCGCAGTCGATTCGGAGCTGCCTGACCCACTTGGCTGTGCTATGATTGCCTCGTTCGCATCCTTCTTTCCAGCATCGCCCTCTGGCTTCTTCCGTTTGCGAATAAGTCCACTGTCGAGAAGATTGTTTGTTGCGATAGGCTGGTTGGCCGTATCCTGTGGACTGTGGGTACCCGTCACCCGTTTGCCCCATGTCAATTGATCCGCGAGCGAAGCGACTTGGTCGATATAAGACTTGGTACTGGCCACAATTTCGTCTGCGTCGTAGAAATGGTCAAGAACCCCGTCCATCATCTTTTTGTAGTCTGCTTCATTTAGCACGACGTCTCCACGCCCCACTTCTGGCCAATAGAATGGAACCGCGTTTGTTGTTTGAAGCTCTGCTGAAGATGCAGCGGGTGGGTGCTCGAAAACTGTCGCTGGAACAGTGTGTGGCTTAGCAGACGTTCCGGCGGCTCCAACGTCTACCTTTATCTCAGCCACGGAATCTTCTGTCTTCGACTTGCTAGCATCTTCCTGTGACTGTTGCTCTCCGGATGAGGATTTGGAAGCCTTCTCCACAGCAGCTGCTGTGACTGCACCAGATAGATTGCCAGTCTGGCTTGCCATTGTGGTAATATTCGTGAGACCTGGCGGATTGATAACAAGCCACAGGAACCCAACCAGCCGACCGGCAGAGCACTCCTGACGGAAAGACATCATCTCCCAAAACTGATCGAGAGACTTGACGCTCTTCCACTGGCCGGTACTAAGAGGTGTATTCTCGCCTTCCGCAGGCTGGGGAAGTTCATCATCAAGGTCAATTAGAAATCGTGTCTTAGGGTCATCCGGAAGCCGGGGCACAAGACAGCGCGGCGGTGCTGATGGGTCGCGACACAATTGCTGAAGAGGATAGCTGGCAAGCCATCGTGGCCGGTCTTGAGGATCAAATTTGGCGGAAGGAGGGAAAAAGTTGCGTGTCTCAAAGCGGTCGCATCCGGGTACGATCAAGTACGCAGTCGCGGAGGCCTTAGCTGCTTCGACGGTCGCGTGCGTTTTTGAGTCCTTTGAGACTGACTCGGGTTCATGTTCGCGGAGAATTGGATCGACTGCGCGACACCACCACTTGATCAGGCCGCGATCGTCCAGTACGTGCTTCTCGGCATTTTCGATGCTTCCAGGGAAAAGGTATTGATCCTGAGCACGAGCAAACAAGGACACTACCAGGCGAACTCCCGGTCGCTGGTGAGATCGCGCCAAATATGATAGGAATGTACTCGAGACGAGTCTCAACACAGAAACTTTCTGTGGCAGTTTCAATAGGTGTAGAAACCCGGTGGAGTCGGCCTTGGAAACAAAGATGTTTGTTAGGTGGGCCGTGTTATAGACCAGCACCTCCATTCCGAATACGATGATCTCTGCTCCATCATACTCGGAGGACTCAATTGAGACCGATAGAAAATGATTTTCGCAGAACGTTGACTCGGCATCCTGACCGGGCGCAGCCGCAAAAAGAGCAGCGGAAGGGGCTGGAGTTGAAGAGACATGGCGGACGGTCAGCTCGGCGCCGGTGGGGATCACCTTGGCCAAGAGATCTGCCAGATCACCATCCGGAGCCATCGTGCGCCAGTACCCAATTGGATTTTGCTAATGGCGAGGTTGGAGGAAAGCGAACGCGGATCCTCAAGGGCGTTGCGATTTTGCCCTGTCATGGCTGGTCACGTGCCAGTGGCCATAGCAAAGGCCCTTGAAGCAGTATAGTCGATAGCTCCGAGTATCATGTTACAGCATATTCTCAAATATCAGAATTTAAACTGTAATATATGGTAAAGCTTACTAAACTTGAGCAAATTGATATTAACATGGAACTTTCCGCGAGTGGTTCCCCGCTCAACCTATAGGAGAAACCTGAACTAGGACTGAACTAGGAAGCCAAATGTTGTTTGAAGCGCGATATGAGAATTCAAGTTGAATATTATCGAGACTTGTGCATTGCTCAAATCTAATATTGAGTCTATAAGACTCATAATATCAAGCAAATATCAACCCTTGTTGGCGTATGGTGGAGTGATTCTTTCTTACACATCTCTTTCCATATCTACATTGGGAAGTCGCGAGATGGAGATGGACCTTCTTCGTTCTTATCTGCACCATCTCTCATTTGCAAACTTACTCAAGCACTCTCCGTCACCTTGAACGGCACCAAGTCCTCCGGTATCTTTCAAACACGAGTAAGGAACCCCCCTTGAGGCAAGTGACGACTACAGAAAACCAGGATACAAACGATGATTTTCTAGGAACCACTGAATTCTGTTCCCAAAATCCAACAAACTTTGCCGATTTAGAAGAATCTGCTACATGACGTACGATAAGTACGCCAGGTACGAGAAGTACTACGGCATATACGACAAGTGGGATGAGTCGCGGTTCCGATGCGATGGTGAGTTGCCCAAACACACCCAGAACACCCAGCCTGCAACGTTGAGAACGAGAAACTAATATGCAGCGTGACTGCGAATAGAAAACAATATGCCAAACAAATGTACACAGTTGCAGGTTCGCTACAGCTGCGGCCATACCCTCGGCGGCGAGTTCATCAAGTGTGTTCGTCATATCGACATCGAGGACGAACGTTGCTCCAACCGATACATCCACTACATCGAGGCTAAGCAGTCAACGCACAAATGCCGCACTTGTCTCAGATCGGGATGAACAATCTGAGTGAGATACTAGTTCGCATCGAGGCGGCAAGAAGACCAAGCCGTTCTAGGCGCCGGTGTTAAGGCGCTGCTATGCAAATAGGCGTTACATGAGTTTATGATTCCCCGTTTGAACCTGAATATTTATTTTCAAACCTGACTCTCATGGTACATGTAGATGGTGCAGATATACTATGAACTGGTTCATCGACTCGCCTAAAATTCTGCAACAACAGCGTCGAGATCGTCGGCATTCAGTAGAGTAACCCCCTCACGCAAGAGTGTTCTCCAAACAAGGTTCCGCTGGCGAACCGGCCAAGAGGGTGTGTTCCAATATCTGGCACCAATGCCACGCTTCGTCGCGGTGGCAATCTGATCCCGAAGTGCCTTGAGCTGATCCTCGTTCAGAACTGGATCTGTGTCCCTAGTGATCTTACCAACGGCCTCTGCGAAATTCGTAGATGCGATGGGAGATACTAAACCAGTGATGTCTGTGTACTGGGAATCGTTGAGATGTGCCAGAGGTGCGTCAAAGAAGTAGTCACGGTTCGCAACAGGGGCAACCATATCTAAGGGGGTATCGCCTGTGCCAATGACAGTCACCGGTCCGTTGGTCAAATTCGTACCACCCTCCAGGGTAGTCAGATAGCCTCTCTCGCGCAGTGGCTCTAAAGCCTCAATGACGGCCTGGAAAGTCTCATGACCAGAGGTTTTCACATCGACAAAGAGATAAAGTGTCTGGTCGGGTGTGGTATCCCAAACGCCACTTGGTGTCAAAGTGTTAGTACCATGAGAGCAGATATTCGGCAGGGGCTTCTTACTTTCGGGTAGGCGATGTAACAAATGGGCTCTTTGGATTTTGTCGTTCTAGGATATCGAGGATCGGGTTGATGTAGAGGGATTCCAGCGTGCGCTCATGAGTCAAAGCAGATTGATCGTGCCCGACCTTCTCTTATTAGCGATAGCTCGGAATAGTCGAACAAACCTCATTGGGTGAAACAAACATATAGGGTCCCATTATATAGCCAGACGTCTGCTTCGGTAGAAGTGCAACCCTTGGACAATCCTACAAGTGATGATGTCAATAGGGATCTGCATGGCTAAGGGCGTGGTCTTACCAGTGTAGAAAGGTCTCTCTCTCCAATAGTCACTTGTTGTTAGATTAGTATTATGCTACAGCAAGATTGACCTTTGAGCGAACAAGCTAGAAGACGGTCTTACTTATGGGAGTGAACCGGGATCTAGCATTGACGTTAGTTTAGAGTTCCTCAGTAGAAGGCCGACCGGCAGACACGAATGATCCTTTGAATGGGACCACATAGATTACTCACTGGTAGTAGATCTCTCGTTATATCGGTTGGATAGCCATAATCCTTGCTGAGATGGGTGTTTTTCAAAATACTCTGCAGACCAGAGGTAATCTGGCCGATGACAGGGTCTGGGCTTGAACAGACCACGACGATGATAGTCAATATTAATACAAGTGGAGACATCATAGCTCCGAAACGAGTGAAATCAACGGAGTCCAATCATAAGAATGTGATTCCTCGAAATGTCTTAATTCTTTCTTGCGTTCCCCGATAAAGTGTGGAGGGAAAGATGTGCTGAGGACGCGATCGGGGGAGGCGGAACGCGCCATGTGCACGTGTTTGAAGGGTGCTCATTCCAAGTATTCAGCCACATCAGCTAGATGACGGACAACGAAGGGTTTATCAACGATGAGCTCGGGAGCAAATCACTTTCTACCATTGTAATTACTGCAAAACATCGAGAGCGGATAATGAATAACGCCTTAAAAGCACTTCCAAGGTATCGATACAAAGAAACAGTCATTATGGAAGAGAACATTCAGAAACAGTTCATATCGTGCAAGCGATTCTATGTACGTCGTGAGGTCCTCCCACCCACACTGCCTCAAATTTCCCTTACGCTTGGGGAGGCACCACTTGCAGATTCTTGAGACGCCGAGTTGCGGCCCCGGAGACTCAGGTTTCCAATGCGCTGGACCAGGTTGCTGCCCACAGCATCTACGGCACCCTTGGGTGCGAGTAGGGTAGGACCTTGAGCGGCCGCTTCTTGCACCCTGAAGAGTCGAATAGCAGTACCGTTCCAGACACCGACAGTGCCTGGTGTAGCACCCGCGGCAGACCCCACGACCATCTCGCTGGAGAAGATGAAGCCCCAAAGGAGCGATTCATACCATCCCATGGAAAGGGCTGACCATTCGAAAGAATGCGCACGTACCGGTGTAGGCTCTGAGATAATGCTGGTGATTTGGGGCTCCTCGGCGAAAGACGGCAGGTTGTGGATCAGAGTGCGCGCTTCTGGGCTAGATGTAGCTTGCAGAGCTGCGTCGGGAATGTGCGGCGCGATGGCGGAGATGATGGTTAGAATAGTATGAAGCGGAAGCTCCGGCAACCATGACTCAAGCTGGGATTGTATGTTAGCATCTATGCCGCGATTCAATGTCCGTAATAACTTACCCAGGCCACTGTCGGCGTGAAACCAGTCGACGATGCAGAGAACAAGGCAGACATGCTGGTCTGGCTGGTCATGCTGTTCTGTCGCGAGAAAGAAGGACGCCCAGCTGGTAGTTTGCCTCGTGCTTTCTCGGAGATACCCCTGATTTGAGATCCCGTCTCATCGACTGTCGAGGCAAACGAAGGCCTGCGCGATGTTTGAGCGGACGGTGAAGATTGTGAAGGTGTACGTTGACCTCCATCTTCCGCATCGTCGTCAGAATCATCATCTCCGATAGCAAATGCGCTATTTTCTTCGGGAATGCGTGACAAAGGTGATCTAGCACCCGAAGGAGCATGAAGATCTTCTTCTGAATGAGAAAGCGTGGGACTGGTAACAAGGTCACCCGAAGTATCTCCGGCTTTGCGCTTTTCTCTCTGGCGTTCGATTTCTTGCTGTCCACTTTCCAGTGTGAATGCTCGAACAGCTTCGAATCGATCCTTGTATTTGAGGATCGCGTAAACAAGGTACGGGTTTTCTGCACTCGTTAGCACAGTGGAATGGAATTAAGGATCAATTGTGGTTCCTCCAAGAACGTACCAGCGAAGCCATGCTCAACGACGGCATTGATGAAGTCAAGCAAGGACGCAAGAAGAGTGTGGTTTGTCTCATTGGCCAGCAGGAAACTGGGTGCAGACATTGAAGAGAAAAGCTGAATCACCTTGGAACAGGCACTCGGGGAGATATGCTTGATATGAGGGGCCACATTGGTAAGGATAATAAGAAGCGCCGGATAGACGGTATCCAAGTTTCCTTTGCTGGTAGTCATGAGGGTTTGAATCGACTGTCATAATTAGCATCCTGGCTGTAATTCAAGGGAAATCGATCGTACCATGATAAGATAATCGGCATAGCTGCCGCGGAACTTGAGAAGCCGGATAGATTGCGGTAAGGTTTCTTGTGCCTCAAACTTCATATTCAGGCTCTTTCCGAAATTTGGCTCGGCACTCAGGGTTTGCAGAATGAAGATGCAGAGTCGCACAACTCCTTGCTTAGACGGCTCCGTCCTGTTTTCCATAGCATAGAAGATGCAAAGAATCAAAAAGTCGTGTGAGCGATTAGAGTCGATGATGAATGATCGGAACCGCTTGTTGCATTGCAATGTCTCCCAGAAAAGAATCAATATCTCCGGAGCCCATTTGACTGATCTTTGACTACCAGGGAGATATGAAGTTGTGGCTTGCATCTATACCACGGTTAGTACGAGGCATAGGGCAGGCTCAGGGACCAAGACATACAGGCTGATTCAGAATCCTCGTCATCCCCTCCACAAGGAATTGGAAGTCTTGAGGTCGGTGTAACCTTCCGAAGTAATGGCGATAGTAGTTCTTGGGTGGAGCACCACGGCCGTCTTCTGGAATGGGATACAGGAGGAGAACGAGGAGAAGCTGCAAGCTGTAAATCACCAGGATTTGCTTGGGATCTTTCCACACGACGTGATCATAGGGGACGCGCCATGCCGCAGGGTTATATTTCATAGCCTAGCGGTAAATTAGCCTCCGTCAGATGATTTTAACTCAAATTGAACGTACCGTATTCAGGAGAGAACACAATAGTGTCAGCACGGATTGCTTATCTTGGCAAGTGGTGATGTAGGTAATGGCCTTGACACCTTGCACGGGCAGCGTGTCTAGCATGGTCAGCTAAGCGTTCCCGGCAAGCTCTACGGAGATAGCACTCACTCGATGGCAGATACATTGCCTTTCCAGTCATTGTCAGCAAGAGTCGTAGAACCTCGCACCGGTTGTTCTCCAGGGTCTTGTTGGATCCCATCGTCGTGTTACAACCAACACCACTTTGCCAGATCGAGTATGAAATCTTGCTCTTCGCAGTCGGAAGTACAGGGATAGTGAAGTCTGCGAAGAACAGGAGGTCAAGCAGCGTATCGATCAGCTCCTCCGCAAGAGGCTTCACATCCTCATATTCCTCCACGTGCGGAGACAGCCCATCCTGCTGGTCCGGCTGCGCTTCATCGAACAGAACTTCCCCAGCGATTTGTGCCTGTCTAGTCTTCTTCCTTCGACGCGCCCAGAAGAACTTCTCTTCCCAATCCTCCAGGTGTTCGGCTTCATAGACAAAGGGGAGAAGGCGCGTTAGGATCCGAATGCAGTTGAGCACATCGCGCTCCGGGGCAAGGTCTGGATCTGGAAAGGATGGGTGATTCTTGAGTATTATCAGTCGAGATGAGACCGAAAGTAACAGGGTTTCAAAGTTGGATAAGGCATGGTCGCGCGTTCGGCGGATGTCAGCGGGCGTGAATAAGCTGAAGACGTCCTCTGTAGATTCGGGAAGTTCCCAGAACTTTAACAATCAGTACCAGTACTGCAAAAGGTCTATGGCCAGGTGTTTCATCTTCCCATGACTTACTCTCGTCCAGTAGGGGTCGTCTGCGGGGATCTGCTTTTCCTCCGACAGGCGGAAGATGCCCTGCTTGAAGACAAGCTTTGACTCCGAGGCCCCCATAGCTGCAGAGACCGGTCGCTCAAAGCGAGAGCTTCATGTAGGATATCAGCTGCAAGGCCCGAGGTTGTTGGGAGTTCACGTTGCCTGTTATCGCCGGGTATCGTTGGTGGTTATGTGGGTTCCTGGTGCGGAGTCTTGGCCAGAGCCAGCTTGGCCTACCGAATCTGCCTAAACAAGGTTGTATGGTGACTTGCTGCCACAATCCCCACACGCCCTCGGGCAATCCCTGGTGGAATAATAGCTTTTTTAGGGTGCAATGTTGCTTCCTGGTTGTATCGTATCCTGTCATTTATGAATTCCAGCTCGCTTGCCACACGTGTCCACAGCGTGTTGTTTCCATGCCAATCCAATTATATATTACAGGCAACCATTACCAACTACGAAGGAGATTCAAGGAAAGTGGAGGGCAAAATTGTTTCAACATTCATTTCAGTACTGAAGACCCGCTCAAACCCATAAATCAAAATGCAACTCCGAACCGCGCCGCCGATGATACAGAGGTAATGACTATTACATAGCGCCGTTGCTAGCGGATAGCCTCCGGCTTCTTTCGTAGAGCCACTTGTTACTCACACCCAAGCTGCGGCGTTTTCCACTTAGTGGAGAAGGAGTGCTAGGTCCGATACTAGACATGCTGGACATGTTGGACATAGTGGATTCCCCGAACGAGTTACTTCGAGCCAGAGGTGACGAGGACCCAATGCTCAGTCTCCGACCCGATTCTCGACCTCCAGTCGCAACGGCCTTATTGAACAAGGGACTCGATGCCGGTGAGAAAGGCGTTCCAGATGAGACACGGCGGTCTGTATAGGTAGGGGTCGATGTCAATGGAGAGGTGGCCTGGCGATTCGCGCTGACAGGGCTTGCTTTGCGCGAAGTTGATAGGCGGTAACGAGGTGGGGTAACGTAGGTAGTTCCGGGAGTAGTAGGAGGCGCCGCACCTGGATCCAGGCCCAAGAGTGCACGTTGGGTAGGGGTGAGCGGGATATCGGAGAGGTCATCCTTTGGCTTGAAAAGAGGGTACAAAGCCAGGAGAATATTGAAGAACAGGAGCGCCTGCAGGAGAAACAAAGGGAGGTGGTGGTAGACAGGGTCACTGTCGAAGATCCGGCGAGCGCTGTTGAGAGTCCAGGTAAGACTGACAGTCCATGCGGAACGACTAAGGACAGCTGACTTACTACGACTTTAATGTACCCCCGAACACCCAGGTCGAGATCAGAGTAGCTCCATTCCAGACCACACTCCGCAGGTTCTTATCATTGAATGTTGCAGCATTCTGGCGTCGCACAACCTCACTCAGTTGAGGGTGTCGCCATTTGCCTGGAGTGCCTGGCCCCTCCGAGGCGGGAGTTGCGACGGGCGCAGCAGCAGGCGCAGCTCTGGGTGTAGACGGAAGGGATTGCGTAGCCATAGATCGCAATTGAATAGAAACACAGGCAGATAACGTGGGGTCGCAAGGAAGAGCAACAAACGGTAGAGGGGCTATAGCTTGTGATCAGCAGAAGGCCGCCTTGAGCACTTGAGCAGGACACGGGGGAATAAAACTTACCTTGAAGACGGAGATTTGGGATTGGACTTACCTGGGATGCGAGAGAGAAGAAGAGGCGTAAAAATTCACACAGGCATTGGCATTGCCGTCAAAAGAAGTGTCGTTCAGAAGATCATGCCTCAGGAGATGTTTTGATGGTTACAAGTGGCTAGGATCAGCGAAGAAACAGACGCCGTCACGCGCGTCAAGATTAAACGCCGGTTTTTTGGTTGACCCGACCCGCCGCCTCTTCCGCCTCCCGCGGGACCCCTCAAACGTCATCGTGTTATCCGAAGCTGATTGTTGACATCCTTACAGCTTTGGGTGATCACACGATATTCGACAATTCTGATTGTGGGAACCGTTCACGCCACACTGCTTCTCGATAGTTTGTAGCCTTTCGACTTTGCGAATCTAGTCTACCTCGCTTTGACAGTTCCCGACGCTCGTTACCGTCAATTAGCCGACATGGCCGACCAGACGCCAATTCTGGAGAAGCTGGATGCAGCACTTTCGGAGCTTCTTGCAGGCTGGAACATCTACACCACCGTCTTTGCTGGATTTCTTGCTGCATACGCTATCTATTCGGTCGTGTCAAACCAGGATCCCGATGTCCATCCGTACCTACTAGCTCGTCAATCTACAGCATCCCCCATCCGGCAGACCGGCGAGTCGGCAACCTACCGCAGCCTTGAGACACCATATGGATTCCCTCTCCGACAAGGATTGAACGTGAAGGATCCGGGAGCTCCCAAGTGGACTGCTGGTCGACGGGGTGATTTGCGCGATATTTGGAAGACCGCTCTCCGTGGAGCTCTGAATGAAGATGGTACCACGTCTGGAAAACAGGGCAAAATCTACACGGTCCTTGGCAAGAATGCCGTTGAACACTCTCTTGCTCAGGTTACACAGGAAATAAATGTGATCGGCAGTCACCTCCAAAAGGCCGGGGTGAAGACCGTTGCTGTTTGTCTGACCGACTCTATCGAGCTGCTGGCTGCTATTTTTGGTATGGCTCGCTTCCTCAACCTAGATTGACGGTGAACTAACAAGTGGTATTATAGCCGGCTCTTTCTACGGATTCAAGATTGTCCTTGTTCCCCATAACCTGCCCGCGGAGACCCTATCGAGCCACCTGCAGAATGCCAAGGCTGACGCTCTCATTGCTGAGGCTGGCTCGATGGACCTGGCCCTTGTCACAAAGGCAAACAAGCAACTTTCCGTCGTCATCTGGGTTGCTAAGTATGGAAACCGTCACATGGACTGGCATGAAGCTCCTAAGGATGCTAAGAGCACTCTCGAGGTTGCTGTCTGGCATGAATTGGCGGAGGAAGGCAAAGATCTGGCTGGCTTCGATGTCCCCGAGTATGACCCTACGACGCCAGTCCCTGCCGTCAATACCGTTTGGCCATCGGAGTCTCAGTCTGGCGAATTCATCGATTTCAAGCAAGAGGTGAGAAGTGGATGCTCCAAGAATCACCTACAGAGTCACACGAGCTATATGCCTGGATTGAAGTGGGCAGCATTGATGCCTCTTTGACTAACGAAGAGTCACTTGGTGCCCCCGAATTCGGACGAGCGTGGCTTTATAGCAGCTTGCAAGATTGAATAGATCGCTAACTTTTGGTATAGAATCTTGTGGCAGCCATCAGTGCTCTGGGTTCCGCACTCTCTCGCAACCAGCGTTTCAACTCTTCCGATCTTGTCCTCTCAATCGATTCCCTTTCTCGCTCGTACCCTCTCTGCCAAATCTTCAACGCCCTATATTCAAATGCCTCAATTGCCTTGAACTCAGTTGCTGGTGAGGATGTCGACTTTGCTCTGGCCACCAAAGGAGTGTCCCCAACAGTGATCATTGCGTCTTCACGCACCATGTCTGATTACCATGACCGCTTCATGAAACCAAACACCGGCCTGGTCTCTTCTTTGGGCCGGTGGGTGCAGGCTCGGACTCTGGATGCAGGCAACATGCCATCCCGTAACCTCTTCAACCGAATTTCCCAAGTCGGCCCAACTGCGGAACTTACCCTGGAAAAGCTGCGCCTGCTCTGTATCTCTCACCGTGTCGATGCTGATGCCTCCGTCCGCCTGACCTCGGAGCAACTGACGGACCTTCGAATTTACATGGCTGCTCGCATTGTATATGCTCTGACTGGACCTGGCATTGCTGGCGCTATCGCCCAGACCAATGTTTTCGATTACAGGGATCTTAGTGGCCCAAGCCACTTTGGAGGTCCTCTGAGCAGCGCGGAGATCACCCTGACTGGCGTCTCCGAGAACCAGGCATCCGAAGAGAACCCGGAGGGTCAGGTGAGTTTCTATTTACCACTTCAAGCTCCTTGTGGCCTGATCACTCCAGCTAATACCAACAATTCTCCTAGATCTCTGTGGCCGGTCCCGCTGTTGTGGGTGGCAAAGCCACACTCTCTGTACGAGGACGTATCGGCACGGACAACACCCTTGAACTGACCGCCTGAAGCTATCACTTGTGACTAGCATGAGACAGCCCCCTTCAGTCCAGCGTTTTTGTTCTCTTTCTCGGTTCTTCTGAAGATCCAAATGAATGGATGGCTACCAACCATTTTCTGCGCGAACATAGCCATTGTAGTACACAGCGTAGATTTCGGCGAATAATTCCAAGTTAATTTAGTGGAAATACAATGTTGGCTCCAATGTCGAAATAATAGTAATATACACTTGTAAGGCTCTCTATCCTCGGACCCGGCGATTATGCGTTAAGAACGGCGCGCACCGATTCCTGAACGGAAGCCTGCTCCACAACGTCCACAAGACTTTCCAGCTCGCTCTTCGCCTCGGCGAGACATGCCGTGACAGAGTCATGGAGCTGCTTGTCCAAAGCAAGTCCGTGAATCGGGAGGCTCAATCGCAGTCCATTGTAAACAGCAATGACCTGCTGGGCCCGCTCCGATGCAGAGCCAACTTCACCCGCAACCTTGCTTTGCTCCTGGAAAATAGGCCAGGATGCGACCAACTTGCGCACGTAACTCAAAACCTCGTTCGCTTGGTCCTTGCCACCGAACTCATCGATCGCGCGGGCGGCGCTGAGTTCAAGAAGCGTGCCAGTAACGAAGGGCTGGTACTTGGGGTTCTCAGCCTTGGTAAGAGAGGGGTGCGTGGCAACGTCCTGATCCATCAAATCCACCGCCTGCTTAGCCATGTTAAGTGCCTTGGTGACGGCGGGTCCCTTGAAGTCGGCTCTTTGCGCAAGAACGTGGATATCGTAGAAAAGGCGTTGCACGACAGTCAGATCGCGAAGGTGGAAGCCGGTGCGGTGTCCCTGGCGGATACACTCCATAACGATGGAGAGCTTGCCTGCATCACTAGCCTTGCGAATAATCTGTGCGTATCGGTTGTTGTTAAGTCTTAGGTTCGACATGTAGAGACCGCTCAGGAACGGGACAAGGGCCTTCCATTCGTTGTTGGCGGCGATGAGCCGCAGTGCCTCGTAGGCGTCCTTTTTCGTGGGCAATTGCTTGATAGTCATAGGTCGCAAAGTAAAATCTTCCGTCTCGCTAATTGCAACGGTGATGGGCTCGTGCTCCAGTCGCTGCCTGTGCTTCTCCTTGAACATGTTTCGACGTTGCTGGTTCGGGAGTCCAGATGGGATGAAGCGGTCTTCACGGAATTTGTAGAGAAGCTGATCAAGTTCGGGAGAGGAGGTCGGGGAGAAGCTTGGGATTGCTGTAGCAGTAAGTCATGATCAGCATCTTGGAAACCAGCCAGTTTGGTGCATGGGCTATGATTTTACCTGACTTTGCGGCATAACCGCGAGATTGGGAGGCCACGGACTGGCGCATGCTGCTCGACCAACGGGCAAAAGTGCCCATATTGAATTGCGCCATATTCCAAAATGGCAAGACTTTCACCTGAATATGCCCGAATAAAAGTAGCGAGTCAATGCAACAGAGCGCTTCTCACAGAGCAAAGTAAAACGCGAGACAAAAGTCGAGGCGGAGAAGATCATCGCCGAACAAAATCGGGGCTTGGCGGAAATTCTGCCGGTCCGTTCCATCCAAAACTCGACTCCGACTTTCTCGCTCTTATCCTCAAAATTCATCACAACCATGGCGGCTTTACCAACCATGCGGCCACTGGGCTGCTTGAGATCCTTGCTTAAGACCCAGGAGGCTATCCAGCCTCAACTGGGTCGCCGATTCCTCTCAACCGCCTACTCCCAGCGCCCCCAGCGCGTCCCTCTCCCTCAGAATGTCCCCGAGCACTTCCTATCACAATTACCAATTCGCATGCGCCCCGAGAACGGTATGTTCAGCACGCAGAAATACTGACTTGGGAAACAATTTGACTGATAGCCTGTTCAATTGTAGCCCCAAAGCCTATTAAGGTCTACACTCCTCCCCCTTCCGCCCGCAAAGCATGCAAAGACCCCATCGCAAAGGTCACCGAATCGCAATTGGAAACCCTCGACCCCAAGGGTGAGCGCAAGGCCCTGTTCGACTACCGCCGGAACCCCCGCAGTGTCAAACCCGGTGATATTGTCCGTGTCACATTCAAGAACGGCGACCCATTCAACGGCGTCGTGCTGAGCATCAAGCTCCGCGGAATCGACACTTCCATCCTGCTCCGTAACGAGCTTACCCGTGTTGCCGTCGAGATGTCGGTGAAGGTATTCAATCCGAATATTCAGAGTGTGGAGATTGTCCAGCGTGCGCAGCGCAAGATCCGTCGCGCGAGATTGTACTACATGCGGTTCGTCAATTACCATTATACCCCAGAAAGTGCCGGCTCTTGGATAATTTTACTGACTGACATTTTCTTCTAGGTCTCGCAAGCACGACCGCCGCAGTGTCGAGAATGTTGTCAACGCCTATCTTCGCCAGAAGAGGGCCTTTATGGGCAAGCGGTGATTGTACGAGTATCCTGGGCGATCCAATTAGCATATTTAGGATGTATTATTATTTGTTCATATCCAATCTGTTTCAATTATACAATGTCTTCCCATACAGACTTCGATGAGTGCAACCATATCAGGCCGCGATTTACCCTCGACTCGGCATTGGGCCCAAGACTGTTCACAAATCCCAGTCTGCACGGAGTGAGCCCCACGTCGAGGCTACCGGATACATACCCTGACTGATACAAAGAGGAAATGATGACATAGAGAGATTTGTTGAGAAGATATTGTGTACCGCCCCTAGTGTACCAATGAAGCTTATCCGTGCTAATCGATGCGTCTGTCCGAAATACCTCCCTATGCAACCGCCTTAAAGTCCATTTCGTTATATGTCATTTGCTACAGCGAGCATTAATCATCCAGCCGGCTGCCTCATTCCACTCATCATTCAGACTGTGAGACGTCGGGCCTTCAGATACTCGTAGTCCGGCATTGAATCCCAAACGGCCTTCTCGACCAGTCCGGCAATTTGCTCGCCAAACTCGACCTTCCACTTCGCAGCTTCCGCGGCGATATCAATCTTCTCCGGTGCCTTGTCCTTGACAATGCCCTTGGAGGCTTCCAAGGTGGATAGCATAATGGATGCAGCCCGCAGATGCATGTCCAGTTCCGCGGCATTAGCAACTTCATCCGGTGCAGCCCAGCTCTGGGACTTCTTATAATCGTTGCCGCACCACTCGAACTGCAAGCACTCCTTGTCGAGTCCGGTGTGATCACAGAACTGGAGAACAATCTCGGGACTGTGAATAAGATCATGGGCATCCACGACTGGTGGTGGGGTCGGGACATCGGGCTGCTCCAAGCACCAGTCATACAGCAGGCGAGTCCAGCGAAAGCTCATGTTGCTCAATGAGGAGCCTTTCACGCCGTCTTCATCGATGAATCCCTGTGCCGCGAGCTTCTTCATGGCACGGTACATAGAAGGCCAGGCCAAGGCTGGGTGACGGATGATAAAAGCCATCTGCCAACTACGCAGGTACTGGTCTGACAGGCAAGTCTCGTTGGACTTGGAGTAACTTCGTGTCGGGCCATAAGAATCCGCAATGTCGACTCGCATTTCTTCGAAGAATTCTGGATATTCCTCGCCGGTTGTCATTTTGTGTTGTGCGGCTGGGTTGAAGATCCAGAATGCGTGTTCCTTGGCGAACATGACTTTGTTCTCATTCTGGGCCCGCGTAGAATAATCTTCCAGTTCGTTCAGACATCGCTGGAGATTAGCCTTGTATCTCTGTTTCTCCTCGGTGGACCAATTGCCCGGCTCCTTGGCCAGAGTACCATCTTGGGCAGCAGCGGAGAAGGCTGGGTAGAAGAAGTAGCCATTGCGTGGGTTTGTGAGCAAATGTGGCTGCTTGGCGATATTCAAGATCTTCAAGAGCAGATTGGATGCAGTACGGGGGACACTGACGAGCAGAAGCCGCTTGGGCGCTGGCGACGCGGAGGAGCCATTGGATGAATCGTTGGCGTGAAGAGCGTTGGTCACAGTCATAGCGCGGATCTAAAAGTAAACAAAAGGATTTAGAGGTGTGGAGGCCAATAAGCTTAACTAGGTATAGAGCAATGGGAAGGCTGGAAGGTGGCTACATTCCGGGGGCAGATGGCGTGATTAAATATAAACATCGATCTTCATGCCAGCCTCAACAACCACCAGAGCCGGAGAAATCGGACACTTTTGACACCTCGGACCCCACGCTTACCCACAGCCTCGTTTGATTTCTTTCATACAGCAACGCGAAGGTATCCATTCTGGACTTGGGCACCGCTGATCGCTCCTGGGTGAGTGGAGCATCAGGCCCGCTGCTGGGCTTTTGAGTGGCCTGATTTCCTTGGATCTGCATTTTCGCAAGCCTTCTAGGATAACGCTGGATAATTAGTCCATACATTCTTTTCGTCTTCGCTTTCGGGGCGTCGGACAGTCGGAGGGCCGAATGGTAGCATGTTTCATTATCAATCAAGTGTCCCAGCCCTGGTCAAACTGGGGTTACATGCAGAACGGCCTCTTATCATCCTTGTGCTAGGGTAATATTCCCACGCGAGAATTAATTCGTTATGTGCTTCCGCTGACATAGCAACTGTTGAGAGAGAACTCAAAGGCAATTTGGGCTACAAAAGGGAAGTGGGTAGGTATCAGTCTGATTGCCACTGAACAGGCAGGGTACGGCGAATGCAGCCAAATATAGAGATCCAAGACAAGACCGACAGGCCTGCAGGGCAGCCTTCTGGCCCCAAACGCAGAGATGGATTTGTTGTTGAGCGAAGACTTCGCTACAGCAGTAATTAGTGCTCCACAGTTAGTCAGTTTTGACTCAAGTCTCTTTTGCAGTCTAGTTTACGGATAAGCAGTCATCCGAGCCCATAGTTGGGAGACTGGCTGCCTTTTGCTTCGACTGGCGGTCAGCGTACTGTATTCTTTGGTCCCTACAGGTATTGTCAGGACCCCGCCTTCATAATTCGGTCCATATTTTAGCTCGTATTCGGTTGCCTGATGTGTCGGAATCCACTGGCATAAACCTGCTTCTTGCATGAACCAGCACGCCTAGACATAAGCGACAAAAAAAGTCTAGCCAACAAAGACTCGCAATGGTTGTGAGCTTTGCTTTATCTTGTCAGCTTGAGAAGCATATAACCTTGGATTTCCTCCGTTTCACATTTCCTTTCTGTCCACTAGGGGTTTGACATTCCAAATAATGTATAAATAGTGACTGGTCCACGAGAGAAATCACGCAAAGTTGCATCGCAAATTACTTTCACTCGCGCTTCTGACAGGCTGTGTCAGTGGTGGAATATATATCCGCCGTCCAGATTTTTTTTTACGCTCTACCTGTGATCGCCCAGATGTATTTAGGCCACCCTTTAAGAAAATCAAATGCTTTGCGTTAAAATAACACCCAGTCTAATTGGAATGTATATTCTTGGCTTGGTATACCGTAATGACATACGCGGAGCGATTCTTCGTTAGATTTATAGAGAATACAAGTACTGAAGTCTCCGAGCCCGACAGAAAGAAACATATAATGTCAGTATTATTTCATCGCGCGTGTCCCGGTTATACGAAGGGTGACATTAACGACACGACAGAGTAGTTCATGGCATGACAAGGCTAGTCCTAATGAGGAACCCCCCTTTCAATACAAAATGATACATTCGTGATTCACAAGATACCTACCGAGTTATTATGTATAATTTATATTGATACTTCTCGTTAATATCTTTAGCGACTGTATACGCGACCTCTATCTGTTTATCCATATAATGGACTAAGTTATCATTCTACTCCCCCTCCTACTATTACCCTTTTTTAAGGTCTTTCTAATAGTCTTTTCAAAGGTCTTTTCGAAGGTCTTTACAATGTCTTTTTTAAGACATAGGCTTATATATACATAAGGACTCTACTGGTATTCTATAAATCTCGAATGTAGCATTCTGTATTGAAGGGGTAGCGCTCATCATTAGGACGAGCCTTATCGTGCCATGAACTTTTCTGCCATGTCGTTAATGCCATCCTATACTAACTCTATCGTTGAATTATAGTGGATGAAATATACCTTAACTAAAGACGGTAAGGTATTACATATAACAAGCGTTAGTAAAACTTTATAAACGAGAATTCTTTGAAAGTTGTCTCCTCGATATGGCGAGTTAAACATAAAAGGCTTATATCTAACCTGCTTAAAGCTTTTCCTCTGTTAAGCTCTTACTCTATTCGCACTTTCATTACATCATTTCCAGAGGAGTAAACTCGGGGTTTCGGGATTAGGATACATGTCCATCAATGAAAGTGAGTTTCTTGTTTACGGAATTGAATTTATCTCCGTGCATCTAGAATGACCTATTGACTGCAAGCGGTTTATGCTGTTTTAATGCGGTAACTATAATTGCGACAGTACCATGGTCCAAAATAGCATAAGACAATGTTTGCACCGCGGCTCAATATCCATCTACGATCTCCATCCTTTTTTTTTTTTTTTTGATATAGTGATCTAACAGCCAGTGGGTTTTGTAACTAGGCTAGCTGACGGTGATATAGGGACATTCTAATATGCGTCATAATTGCTAATCTTGCCCAGTTTCCCATTAGAATAGGCTGTTCTCGCCCCGAAAGCTGGCGTGAAAAAGGCATGCAATACGTTCCAGAAACCGGGCCTCGAATTGCCCAGAGCTCATCATTATTGGGTTAATCACAAAACGAGCTCACGGAATCTCACAAGCGATGGACGCCGTGATATTTAAANCTTTGTTGTACGGGAAACCCTGGCTGTTCTCCACCTGCAGTGAAAACATTGATGATCAATTATCAAAGCAGGTCTGATCTAGAATATATTCGCAAGAATGACTTCTTCCATCCCCGCCAGCATCGTCTCCGACACGGAGTTGATGAAGAACCAAAAGTATGCCAGCGTCATGGACCCTGCTCACCAGTTTGATGTGCTGCAAAACCAAGATGGAACCTCCCTTTTCTTCTCCATCGGCGCCGATGAAGTTTTGTACGCTACTCGAGAGACCGCGGCATCTCAAACTGGCTGGATCAAATATGATATCTCAAGCTCCCTTGCCGGCAGATTTGCGCAAAAGACAATTGCCGCCAAGCAGTTCGCTGCGACTCAGAGTCCACGTTCCACAAGTAGTGTGGACTTGGCCCTTGTCACTAGCGTCAATGGGAATGATTCTCTTTACATAGCTCTGGATGTTCCCAATACTCCGGAAACGTGGGAAAGTTTTCCTTACTGGGTGGATGCTTCATTCGATGCCCAAGGCAGAGCACCACCTCTCCCGTTTACTATAGCTGACGTATATCTGATGAACATCCCTGAGACGGGAGTACTATGTTTTGCCGATGTGATAAGAAACCCGGCCGATAACACCCAGGTGGTAGATCGATATTACATCGATGTCAACTCATCCCCGAAGTGGACCTTCCACCCCCTACCGGATGATATCAGTGCCGGTTCTGTGGTTAGTTGCTTAGGCAAGCGACCTGAGGATCCGGTCGGTGGCATCTACACCTTCGGATTCATTGGGTCCAATCAGGATCTGATCTATACGCCCGCAGCGACCAAGGACAACCCCTTCCCCGAAAGCATTCATTTGGTGATACCGCCTCAGGCCACGACTATTGCGTCCATGTTAGACTCTTCTGGGAACACTTTTCTGTTCACTATATGGCCCTTGACCGCTACAATCTGGGTGTTCAAACCAGACCAGCAACATAACGGCGACTATGCGGAACTAGCAGTCGACTCGAATTTCTTACGTCAAACTAACATCCTATACGGCACACAGACCCTCACTGCGACAAGTGCCGGTGGTCGCACAGTGCTCTGGGGTCTTAACAGCTCGTCAGAACTATACAGTCTATCGTGCCCGTCTGGGTCCGAAACAGACCCAAGTAAATGGTCCAACCCCGTGCCGATCTGCTACGATGTCCTCCAATTCGCACATTACCTGAATGCCTACCAAAATGCGGCGAACAGCGTTTTGTTCGCTCAAACCTCCGAGGACCAGTTGATGCAACTGACACAGAATCCGAACACCTCAATCTGGGCCGAACGCAGCGTACTCCTACCTGCAGATAACGTCAACTCGATGATTGAATTCAACAGCTACACTAGTCACATCAAGGTTGCAGATACCAACGGCATGGGAGTCCCTAACTATCCTGTTTCCCTCAGCTCCTCCAGTCCCACTTCAGTAAATGTCAACGATGTCTACATGATCCTCCGGCCTGATGAGATGATCCAAATCTTGACAAATTCGGCCGGCGCTGTCACTATCATCGAGGAGACACAGACACTGTCAGGTACAACGATCAATGTCACGGTCAGCGTGAACGGTCAGAACATAGTTGAGATAATCGACCCGCATGACAACGTCTGCCAGCGACTGTCAACCGTCACTTCATATGAAAGTCTGCTTGCGGCGACTGTGACTGACTCCAATGGAGTGACCTACCCCCTTGTGCCCATGTCATCGGTGGCGTTGGACCAATTGTTATTTGCAGCAGACGAGTTCAAAACCCTACTGGACATCAAACCGCAGCTACTTGTCAATGGTATCGCGAAAAAGAAGCCGGCATTCATGACTGATGGACCCGCGAAAAGCGGTCCCTCCAGCCAAAGCATTGGCAGCTGGTTCAAGCTTCTATGGGGTGACATGGTGCGGTGGTTTAAGAAAGCGTGGAATACTGTCAAGAGGGCCTATACCCAGATCATTGACGGGGTATGGCACTTTATTGTCGAGGTTGGAGAGGATATATATTCCGCAGTGATTGATACCGTGGCGGCTGTTGTTGGCGCAGCAGAGTACGTATTCAACCAGATTGCAGTTGCTTATGACGAAATTGTCAAATACTTGGGCTTCCTTTTCAATTGGGACGACATCAAGCGCACCCACTTCGTCGTTAAAAACATTCTCAAGTTATCTGCCCAGCAGGTGACCAACTCAATTACCGACATTGAAGATGGAATCAAAAGCTCATTCGCCACAATCCAAGAGAAGGTCGACCAATGGAGCGATCTCCCGGATTCTGGCCAGACAATTGGCCAGCTGCAAGCATCGCAGTCAAGTGTCCCGTCTAGTGACAGCCCACAGGCAAATTGGGCGCTGCACCATGCCACAAGCAATCTACAGAATGCACAGTCAGATCATGACCCCAAAGTACCAGTTACGAAGGAGCTAGAAACTGCCTTCAAAGACCTGTCCAACTTGATGACCACGGAGGAGGGAGATATCATCGCCATGATAAACAGCCTTGTGGATGTTGTCAAGGACTTTGCATCACTGAGCGCAACACAGCTATTCGAGAAAATCGCCGGAATTATAGTCGACTTTGTTCTGAATACGGTCGAGAATTGTGTGTTAACGCTACTGGATCTAACTAAGCTGTTCACTGAAGCGTTTTTCGCCGTCCTCGACGCACCTTTGGATATCCCCATTCTGTCTCCCATTTACAAGGATATTACCGGTGATCAGCTCAGCTTTTTGGATCTCGTCTGTCTCATTGGTGCAATCCCAGCAACCGTCATCTACAAGGCAATCACCAATACCGCTCCCTTCGCGGCAAACGATCTCACCAACCAGTTGATCACGGCGCCCGACTATGCTGCACTTCGCAATATCTTCGAAACATCACAGCCTACCTCGGAGCAGCAAAATGCGTATGCGAAATACATGGCCATCGCAGGTGGAGGAAAGTTAGTGGCGGTTGACAAGGCCGAGGTATTCAACATCTGCACCGAAGTGTCCAACCTCGTGGGGTTCACATGCAGCTGGATCGTTGATTTGTGCTCGGTTCTTAAGTTTGCAGGAGAGACCCAAACCAAAACAGTACAAGGCATCAGCATGGTGTCTTACCTGGGGTATGTCATGCCAGACATAATGGGCGGGCTTCAAACCAGCCGGACTTGGTACAATGGTCTAAATTGGGGTATAACCGGGGTCAGCATCCTCAAGGTCGGGGTTGACAATATCCTCACAGATGAGACTTATCAAGATACCATTGGGCCGCTCGTGGAGGCCGGACTCAATGTGGCCTGGGTTGTGCCCGCTATTGGCGACTTCGTTGAGAACAATCGAACGAGAAGCGCTAAAGATACCTACGCGGGCAACATCTTGTTTGATCTTGGCGGCATAATGGCCCCGGGCACCTCCAAGTCTCTTGTCGGCCCGGAGGCGGCAGCAGTTTTTTTGGCCGTCCAGAGTGCTTTGACTGCAGGATACGGGATTTGCTGCTTGATGACGACGGATGATATGGCTAATGGGGACTAATCTAGTCAGTCGCATTGGACACGCAACTGGCCTCTTCCTAGTGCTAGCGCAAAAAAGTGTATTGTGATTTAGTCAATTGGCGTTGTCTTGTCTACCTGAGCTCCAGAATGTCAGAATCCTTGTGATATACGTCATTACCCTTCCGTCCGCATATTTAAGAAATAGTCAAAAGAAACAATTGAGACATTTGCTAGCACCGATGTTGGAGGCTCAACTATCTTTTTGAGTTCCGGGCGTATTTTAAGATTGAAAATAGTTAAACTTTGGGAAAGGCTCTCTTTTGGAAGGAGTCTGTTCGTCTTGTCCTAGGTAGAACTCGGCAAGTCCCACGGGATCCGTCCATGGGAATATCCATGGGACTGAACCTGATGTTCATGGGGCGGCCGTCCATGGACAGACTTTCCCATGGGACTGTGAGCAATCCAAACACTAAGAAACCCGTGACTCGCATAATTTAGGTAGATTTATACTGTATTTGAGGTATCCAACTTGCGGGATCTACCCCGCTATGAACATTCAGGGCTTCAAGTGTTACTCGCCAAGAGGAAAGGAAAAAATGAATAGATTCCGTGGCTTACGGAGGTAGCGAAACTAGAGGGACATAGAGAGAAAATGTCCTTGAACCCTGATGGGAAGAAACGCACGAATCTTGCTTGTCTGCGTTTTCCTCGTTCCGCTCTCGTTCGCCGTACTCAATAGATGTATCGGAAACTGCGTTTAGTGTACTGGTTAGTTTCGTATCCACAAGCAAGGAAGGGAAGACCACGCACTTCAGGTTCTCACGGTCAGTCAAATCCAAGAATGCAGTCGAGTCTAGATCACGACCCTCCAGACCACCTGGCATCTGCGACTGGATCAGGTCCCGTTTCTTATTCTCCCGCCGCAGAAGGAAGCCGAGGGTGGTTATGAGCACCGCTTCGATAAGATGCGAGACAATCATCGACCAGATACCAAGTGGGTATGTGGGTCTAGATATTTATTAGTGAATCTTCCTGTCCGTCACTTGCTTCAACTCGATTCACTTACGCTTGGTCAGTCTTGTAGAAGAACGGACCGGCAATATTACCGGTGCAATAGCCCAGGAATAGAACGGCGTTGGTAACGACCTTCTTTGTGTGCCCTGGAAAAGTGATTAGTACAAGCCGACTAAGATGTCAGCATCTTGATGGTGGGAAAGTGACATACCGGCCGTGTTTGCGATCTGCATGCTGAGAATTAGGACGAAAGCAGCATTGTAAGGCCCAGTAAGGTAATAGCAGATCAGTCGACCCACACTGTGATGCGTGGGAACGAAGCGAAGACCAAAGGCACCGATAAGATTTGGGATCAGGAAGATCAAGACGAATACGCATCGTCGATTTTCAAATCGATCGTTGAGGTAGACACATGTGAGAATCGAGAGTGCAATCAAAATACCATAAGGGATCTAGAGGAAGGCATTGGTACATGATTCGAAATGAAGAACGAACTAGTGATTGAACTTACCTGCATAAGCGTTGTGACCAGAGTAGAGAAGCCAAAGCCCTTGATAATGATGGTTCCAAAATTTGAAATGCCTCCATTTGGAATGTTGCCTGTTCTTTGATTAGGAAAGAAAGAAGAGAGTACAGGGCGCGGATTGTTTAACGTACAGACACAACCCAAGATAAAGAACATGTAGAGTTTGTAGTCCGTGAAGGCCTCGATAATTTGATATGGCTTTAGGTGTTTGTTTTCCACACCGGTCTGATTCTCTCTGATGCGATCAACGGCGATCCGGCGCTCCCTTTTCGTCAGACCAGGGGCATTCACGGGCGAATCGGGGAGGAAGATGAACATGATGATTCCCCAAGAGGCGCAAAGAGCTCCGCTAGAGTGCAATTAGCGAGGGAATTGAGTGGAGGAAGAATCGTCTTCTTACATTACGATGAATTCGTATTTCCAGGAAGGCAGGGCTCCTCGAATATGACCAATTCCATATCCCATGAGGCCACCGAGGGCAATCCCAAGCCCGTTGGCAGTATACCATAAGCCGATACGAACCGGTTGTTCGCGTCGAGTGTACCACATGCTGGTTATCAGCATGAAAGCCGGGTCTGAGCAAGCTTCAGCGGCTCCGCCGAGAGCTCGGAGGGCAGCAAGGGTCTCGAAGCTGTTGCACGCTGCTTGGATCATAAGGAAGACGCCCCTTTCCACAATAATATATCAATAAAAGGTCATATATTTGTCACGAGGGCATTTACTCACCACAAAAAGATATTGGCGCCCAAGTATTTGCCTGGATACAAGATTAGATGATTCTTCACATATACCGAGTCCAGGGCGAGAAAGAAAGATACCGATTGGAAGCCGTTGCATCAAAAAATTAGTTGGGAATGCCCATGCCAGGAATCCAAAATAGAAGATACTGCTCAGCCAGTTATACTGAGTACCATGCAAATGCAAGTCATCACGAATACCAAAAATAGCCGCATAGCTCAATGTCGTCTTATCGATGTAAAAAAACGCATAACAGACGGCAAGGTAAGGGAGAATCATAAAGTCGATTTTCCACAACAACTTTCTAGCTTCCACAGGATCGATCTCTTCATGGAGCTCGTCAGGATCTTCAAACAGTGCCATGGCTGTATCGCCATCGGCGGTCTTGGCAGTTTTCCATTTGGAGTGTTGTTCACTGCTCTCAGTGTGAGATATGCCAGGGACTTCAGCGATGTCAGCCTTGGACCCTGGTGTCGGCTCCGTGGGGACGTTATTGGCCATGTTGTATGAGGTACTAGGTACGGTAGCACCAAGGAACGAGGATATATTCCGAGTGGTAGAAGAAGCACGATACAATGGTGGAACGACAGCAAGTCCTCAAGCTTTTGAAATAATTGCTGCATAGAACCACAAGTGAAGGCTCAGATCAAAACAAACGTGGGGGCCCTTGATCCTTTACTTGCAGTGTGACTGTGAAGTGGGCTTCACCCCCATGTATCTCTCGTGCGAAAAACCCGGATGTCTAACCCCGCAAATCCAAGAGCTTCCTCGGATCCACACGTATACATGCGGGGAAGGTCCATCATTAATATCATAGGGAACCGGAATTACTGCAGTGCTGGATAATCTGGGGGTGGATTCAGTCTTGGCTGATGGACAAGACTCTCGGAAATAGGCCGCGATCTCTGCATTCCATCCAGAATGGGCAGTCCTCGTGCGACCGGGCCCATGAGCAAAGGCTCTCTGTAGTCAAGAAGGCAGCCAGACGCCGAGCGTGAGTGGCCAAGAAATGCTCTTTAATGATAAGCGGAGGAAGGCCGAAGATCGGCGAGGTCGCCGGCATACGACTTCCTATTGACGAGAATCTGGCGAATAACTCGCTAGATACCTGCTGTAAGCGGTCACTGGTAGGTGGAAAGTACTCCCTGCCTCGGAAGATCGGGGATAGACTGGCTCGGTCTCGAATATATCCGAGCAGCGATAGTTCGTCCTGCCAATTCTGGTCAAGCGGCGTGGGGGTGATGAGGATCTAGGTTCACCCAGGGTCTGAGGGGATACTCCACCCCCGGCTTTTGTTCTAAACTAAGTTTTTGATAACAAGCTAGGTACTCCGGATTTGTTATATTAAAGCAATGGATATACTAAGCCGAAATAGGAAGGATGAAAGCGACAGGAGCTTTTTTTTCTTCATCGCAGAGTATCCCCAACTTTTTCTTTCGTGTTGAAACCTCTCCTTATGCCTCCTATTACGAGATATGCAGTGTGTTTTTTTATTTTCCCAAAATGGATGGGTTCCCGATCGTACCCTTCTCTGGTCTCACCCTGCAACCGTCTATCTTCGGTTGAAGTTCAAGAACCGAGACTGTTGCAGCAAATTAGTATAGTTTCTCAACAACCCAAGGAATGGCATCTTCTTACCGCGAAGAACAAAATAATCAGATTCGACCCCACAAACGCGAGGAAAATGCCCAGATCGCGCCACCGGTTATCAAAATCCATGCTGAAAGCCGAATAGAACTCATCTCCAATCTTATACGCGCAATACTTGCACGCCTGCGTCGCATTCTCGAGGAGATACCCATTACCCCCGCGCTCAAAGAACGGCTGCATATATTCGCCACAGGTCTGATTAGCCGGTGCTTGGAACGAGTTCAATTCACCAGCAGAGCACTGAACAGGGCGTCCGTGAAGTTCCGTAACAACCATGCCGCCAATCAAGCGAGTGAACGGGTCAAGCTGGTAGAGCCAAGAACGCCAGAATTTTGGCATCTGGGGTTTGGGAATGGCGACGCCGCAGAAGAGCGAGAATATGATCACAACCGGGGGATTGAGTTGCGATGCAATGAAGCTGTTGGGTGTCAGAGCCGAGATCATTTGGCCTAAGGTCACGGCGAAAATCTCGGTAATAAGGACCATGAAGAATTGGTATCCGGCACGACTGCTCGCTGATTGAAAGCCTGGGATGTAGTACAAAGGCAAGAAGAAGCAGACAGCACAGATGATGCTGTATGGAAGCTCCGCCATGACAATGGAGAACGCAAAGGCGAATTGACTGTATGTCTTGGATGCAGACTCACGGTAGAAGATTAGTCGTGACATGTCGTACTTAGGCTGGACTTGTTGAAGGATGATCGCGGGAAGCACTGTGACGTTGAAGATGACAAAGATTCGATATTGAAGCGAGGATCGAGAGTCATCGAGGTTCAGGAATGCCAGACCGGTGATGACGGCGATAACGACGTGAGTGAATAGCCGAGTAAACCCGTAGTTCCGAGATCGCCAGAAAGAGAGATGGGTCCGTCGTCCGACAACCTTGACCTGGTGCCACAGAGGAGAGGCATACTCTTTTTCGACCATGTTCTGACCTTGGTGAGCCGTCTGGATGACGGCCTGGGCCCGATCTGACTTGATTTGAACAATCTCCTTCTTGATTCCCTCAAGCTCCGGCGAAGTACGCCACACATCACCCCAGTCGCGGTCACCGAGGCGTCGTGTTTGGCCTGCACCGATGGCATCAAGCATCCACTCAGCCGGGTTAGCATCATGGGGACAATCAGCACCGTTGCGACGGAAGTAGTCCAGCAAGACGTGAGAGTCAGGGCCAATGTCTCCAAAGTAGACACACTCGCCACCCTTCTGAAGAAGCAGCAGGCGATCAAAGTTCTCGAAGAGAGCAGAGTTGGGCTGATGAATGGTACAGAGGATAGCCTGGCCAGCCGCCGCGAGTTTCTTCAAGAATCGAACAATATTGAACGCAGACTGACTATCTAGGCCAGAGGTAGGCTCATCAAGGAACAGCAAAAGCTCAGGCTTGGCTGCCAGCTCAACACCGATGGTGACCCTCTTCCGTTCTTCAACAGAAAGGCCGGTCTCGGGGGTTCCAATAATTGCATCCGCCAAGTTCTCCAACTCGAGCAGGCTGATGATCTCTTCGACATACTCGTACTTTTCCGACCGTGGCGTTTCAAATGGCTGACGCAGATCGGCGGAGAAGCGCAGAGCTTCTCGGACGGTTGCCATTGCTTCGTGAGTATCCAGCTGCTCAGCATAGGATGTACCTCGCTGGAAGGCCGTTCCAGGGGCTTGGCCGTCAACCAGGATATCGCCGGAGACAACACCAATGTTCTTTCGGGCGGCTAGAACGTCCAACAGTGTGGTCTTTCCAGCCCCGGATGCGCCCATCAGAGCAGTCAGTTTGCCGGGCTGAACGTATCCGTAAACGGAATTCAGCAGTTGCCGAGTTCCAGATGGAACTGGTACTTCATAGCAGACGTCTTCCCAGGTAAAGACCGAGGTCGAGCTGATTTTCAGGTTAGCTCCCGTGTCCGCTGTCTTGGCTTGCCGGTTTGCTTTTCTGGTTTCCAAAGCCTGGTTAAGTTCCTTGCGTTCACTATTCTCCTTCTGGAAGAATGTAATTGTCTTGCCACCAGCGCCAAATTGGACAGTCTCGCCAAGATACAGGTTGGAAGCCAGGAAAGCTGCAATCAGAGCAAGCATAATTCCAAAATTCCGCCAAAGATCGCTCTTTGCGTAACTAAAGGTAGACAATAGGTAGTTCGAGCCCGGAATGATGGCGGATCCCGGCTCACCACCCGCAAGAGTGCACACCTGGTGAGCAATGTCAGTATAGCCGGAGCCACTTGGCACTAAGGAGTCCTTTGTACAAGTCATTGTCAGGCGGCTGAACTCATTGACCATGAGCGATGCAAAGCCGAGACCAAACGGATTGAGATAGTAGATCCACCTCAGCCAGACTTGTGCGCTGGCCCATTGAATGAGATAGCCAGAAGTCAAGACAAATAGAGTGATAATCACTGCAGCAAACTTCATGGCATAATCAAAGTCGGGACAGAGACAGCCAATCGTTCTGAAAACAACAGTCATGCAGACGTATCCGGTAAGAATGATCAAGACGAAGGTGAAAAATGCACCCGCATCAAGAGCAAGGCCACACATAAAGTAGACAATGATGGCAAATATCAGGATTCGTGCAATGGCAAAAGTTGTATCGACAATGATTTGAGCAATAAAGAGTGCAGTTGGTCTATAGAACGTGAATGACCGGTGCTTATTGACGATGGATCGACCGATCATAGTACCCGCAAGCTCAGAGAAAGCCTGGAAGCCATTGAACAGTAGACTGATAAACAGGAGACCGCCACGTGTGAAAGCACCGGCACTGGTCTCGGGCTGTTTCAGCCACACAGTGCCAAGAATAATTGCAATACCGGTAGATGTAATCCAGGACACAGTCAAAGCGAACTTGTCTTGCCATTTGATCAAGAACTGCCGTTGCATCAGGGCCCAGATTTGAAGATAAAGAGGAATAGAGTAGACAGAGGACTTGGACGTGAATTTGCGTTTGGCTTCTAGGTTGGCAATTTCGAAGTCATTGTAGACCTGATTTTCCTGTTGAACCTGCGAGCGGTACGCCTGCATCTCTTCCTGGAGCTGCGTGCTGAATGAAGACTTCTCAAAGGCTTCCACCAGGGCCTGGGGGTTTGAAGGCACGTCCTCGGCGCTCCTTCCATCTCGGAATTCCCGCTCAAAGGGATCAGTGCAGCCAGTCAAGTAGTCGGGGGTTGTCTGGCGAGGTTTTTCTCGGAAGCCTAGTCCCTCAAAGTATGCACGAGCTTTGTCCGTAGGGCCGAAAAAAACTTGGCGGCCGCTGTCAATGACAAGGACCTTGTCAAATTGCTTATAGATGTTCTCGGATGCCTGATAGAGCGAAACGAAGGTTGTAGTCTTGTAGATATTGGTCAATATGCGAAGTGACTTTGCAAAGTCCAGCGCCGTCGAGGCATCTAAACCTCGAGTGGAGTTGTCCCAGGCCAAGACTGTAGCACTAGTAATCTGAAGAGACTAATTAACATTTAGAAATTTTAGTGGCTCCGGAGAATTCTTACCATCATTTCCGCGATACTAACTCGCCGTCTCTCGCCACCACTTACGCCGCGAATAAACTGGTTTCCAATGACAGTATTGGCAGTGTGCGCAATGTTGAACATATGCAGCAGCATATTGGTGACTTTTTCCTTGAATTCGGCCTTGGACACACCATGGGGTCGCTTCCCGGGGGTCTTCGTGTCTAGCGCAAACCCAAGCGTTTGTTTGACGGTCAAAGTGGGCTGGTGGATATCATCCTCTTGGTTGTATACAGCCTCGCCTCGGAATCTCTTTGCAAATTCCTCGGATGTAAAAGGACCATACAGAACCTCCCCATCGACACCGGTGTACCCAAACCGCTGATTCGCGATGACTTTGAGAAATGTGGTGCACCCAGAACCCGGTCGTCCGAGGACCAGCACCATCTCTCCAGGTTTCGTCAGACCTCGGAAGCCCTCCAGGATATTGTACTCTTTGCCTTTATTTCCATAGCCCAGCATCTGCATGATGGTCTCGGGGAAGTTGAAGAAATCAATAATCGCATCGGGGAAGGTTTTTATGAACGTCTTCACGCCGCCGATGCCGCGAACTGTGAGATTGTCCCAGATGACGCCTGTTGAGAGAGTTAATAAACATAGGAACCCGAATATAACAAGGTAAAATTACCGATATGTTTGTCTTTGATCCCCGCTTCCTCCTCTGCGGCTCGGTTGCCTCTTAGGGTTGTCTCCAGGTCCCATGGTTCCTCCGAGTCGGCCGAGCTTCCAGCCTTTTCAACGTCTTCCAAGGTGGCAGTGGGCTTCGAGGCCCGGGATGCCTGTTTTGACAGTCTACGAGCTTGATGCGAAATACTGGAAAATTGTCTGTTGAGCTCCGAGAATTCAAACTGGGCCTTTTCAACATCAACACCGTCCTGAGTCATTGTCATGCCTTGTGGGTTAGAAATGCGAAGCTCTTCCCGGCCTTGCTCATAGTTGTTGCTTGAGCGACGGGAATCAGTGTCCGAACTCGTACTCGCGTCGCCCGTTGGCGACTTGTCATCCATGGTGCTCATCATTTACAACAAGAAATAAGGAGGCATGCAACCGATAAAGAATTGATTAAAGTAGTGACTTTCAACAGCTCAACCCCCAGCACCAGTAACTTTTGCAAGGCCTGCGCAGTCCGAAAGAAGTCGACCAGAATAGGTGTACTGAGTGGGAGGGTTTGGGCAAGCCGAATCAGATCCAGATATGTGAATAGGAAGGAGAAGAACCTCGAAGGGAAAAAAACGTAAAAAATTGACATGAAGCCAAGCCCGCCAGGCTAAAACGGTCCATACTCCGTAGCGTAAACCCCGAAGTCCGAATTAATTCTTCGAAATCACGGACCTATGCCATGTGCCCACATCGGCCCCGCCTAGACATGGTTCCGGGGATGTGGTGGAGAGGCCGGGGTATAATGTCTAGACAATTCGACCATGAGAAACTAGCGGTGGACATGTCAACGATCGGGATAGGGCGTGCATGCGTTGATCTTGACTTGATTCATGGATTCAGCATGTCGGAAACCCAACGTGACCATCGATTGTGCATGCAGGCCAGATGGAAATAGTGCCCGCCATGCGGGAAAACCCCGGAGCGTGCACCTTTGCCCAGAGCCCGCGGCTGGCTACTGGCTCAGTGACTGGCTCGAGGATGTGGGGATTTGATGTCCTTAAACGGCAAGACGGCAACTTCCGGTGGCGGATCGAGTCCGCGTTGCTTTGGAATCAGCCATGAGTTGCCCAGGCTCGGAGAGTCGTAGTAACCCACATGGCGGGGTCCGATTTGGGTTTGGAGGCTACACGTCTGTTCTGGCTCATCATGACTCTTGTGATCAATCCGAATTGCGTTGCATAATTGGTGCTTAGGCTTTGTAACCTTGTTATCTGGCAGGTTGACGAGGCTGATGAGATAGCGATTGGTAAACTCCGGGCCAGGCAGCCCCGTGTCGACAAAGAAGACCCACTGAGGAGGGTTCGGGTTTTTTTTCGAAGATTGTGGGGAGGAGCCGAGCTTTGGTCGGGGCGCGCGGGGCGCAGAACCAGTTAAGAGGGAGTGTTGAGACAGAGAGGAGAGGACAGGGGGATGACCGCCCAGGGGGTTACGACTGCCTAGATCGGAGCCCGGAAATTGCCGGTGGAACGTCTCCGTGCTCGATATGAAGCATGGACTGAAGATCGCGTTGGAGAGTAAGTATTCATTCTCTATTGATAACTAAAACTTGAGCTAGAATCAGTCGCAAAATTAGTGAATCCGGCCATGACAAATGAATTAAGCTTTTCGGAGTGTTTGGAACACGAATCAGGTCATTTTGGAGGCCTTTGCAGCCATGACTCGGTGCTTCGTACACTATAGGGAGGAGAGGGCCATAACTCTGAATTTCTTCAAAGACCGTTCACCACTTTCTTCCGCCCTAAGTACATTTCATGCTTACTACATCACTAGGAGATTAACGTAGAGATTAACTAAGAAACTATCTATAAAACTTTGTAGGAAACCGTCTAGAAAACCGTCTAGGAATTATCTAGGGAACTACCCTTCTATCTTAGTTACGAGCGTAATAATTAATAGGATTAGGTAAAGAACTTAGACTATAAGAGGATTTAGTGTTAAATTGGTGATTATATCTATATTTTAGCTCTAGTAATCTCATTAGTTATTTCTTCCAAATCGATCTCGATTGTTTCGGCGCGGGAAATCACTTTAACAAAGGGTATTTAGGATATGCGTAGATTATATATGGGAACGGATGCCTGAAAAAGAGATTCTGCCGCTTCTTGAACTACGAACAAAGGGTTATGGCCTTCTCCCCCCTACAGTCCGCCGTAGTACAGGGGCCAACCCCAACGACTGGCTTGGACAGCAGTTGACATAACATCTGCTAAAATCCTCATAAACTAAATGTGCGGACTCATATCCTGATTAAGTATTATCATATAGATGCCACTGAAATGACTAAAATGTCGTAATTGGTGTACCGAAAAAGCAGATTCTGCACACAGTTCTCATTATATTCTGCACACGGTTCACATTATATACCCCCAACTATGGCATTGATCTCGAATGATTTCTTGTTTCGGATACACTCAACTATTGTGATGATCATCAACCTTTGATGATTCCCCTCGATCACAGAAGAAATGCCCCTTTCGTCTTGGCAATCATTTCGTCATAATAAGATTGAAACGCGAGCCAGCCTTTCTCCGGTCCCCCAACCTGCTTTGCTGTAAACTCAGCCTCCTCATCATTGATGATCTTTTTCTTGTGTCCACTGCCTCGCTCAGCCGCATCCACCAGGAGTTGGGCGTGGCATGTTTTGTCCAGGCTAATAAACCAGAACGCAGCCTCATCAACTGTTCTACCAACCTATATCTTGAATTAACCATCTAGCCTGATTACTTGATGATGACGAATTTTTGACTCACTGTAAGTAGGCCATGGTTTTGAAGAATCACAGCCTTTCCGTTCCCAAGAGCCCTCAAGATTCTCTTCCCCTCCTCTCGATCAAGCACGACGCCGCCAAATTCGGTATAGACTCCGTGGCTCTTGTAGAACCGGAGTGCGTCTTGAGTTAACATATCGAGCTCTCGACCAAATGCGCTAAATGCTTTCCCATAAACTGAATGAGCATGACAAGCTGCATTCACCTCGGGTCTGGCTCTGTGAATCTCTGAGTGAATTGCAAAAGCGGCCCCGTTGATTGGCTCATCACCAATAACGACCTCGCCTTCTTCATTGACGAGAATCAAGTCAGAGACTTTGATCTGCGAAAAATGCGTTGATAATGGATTCAGCCCTGTAGATAATTCGATTAAAATTATCAATTCCCCGTTTCTTTCGGAATATTAGTATATCAAAAGAAATACATACAAAAATGATCAGTCAAGATCGGATCACGGACAGAAATATGTCCTGCAACCCCTTCGTCGAAGCCTTTATCGGCAAAGATGCGAAAAGCGGCGGCAAGATGCTGCTTTCTGTAAACCCTTTCCTCTTGAAGCGTATCAAACTGGGGCTCTGTGCGAATCTTGAGCTTTCTGCCATCTTTAGCTCGCCCAATGGCCCCAGTGGTGACATTGGTACTCTCTTCATTCAGAAGAACGGTAGCAGAAGGAGGCATGACTGCTGGAGATGGCTCAAAGGATTATCATTTGTTAAAAATTGATGGAATGAACAGGTGACGTCCTAGACCCGTGTCCTTGAGGTCAGAGTCATCGTAATTCTTTTAAATTAGGAAGAGCACGTCAAATATACTGGGTACTAGTACTTTTTGGCTTGTACTGGATAATTATCCGCCAGACAGCAGACCCCTCAGTGCTGATTAATTTGCCGAGGTTATTGTAGTAAAGTGCGGCCTAAGGTTTTATTTCAGCCAGTAATCTGCGGACTTGGGTTATCCTGGCGGGTCTAGGTCATGCAGTTAAATTTAGCTTTGAAATCACTGAGAATATGGGGCGTACTGTAGTGTAATGAGTTTGAGGAAATATTTGACTGACACCTTGTTTATGTTTCATCACTTCAATAATTCCAGCTAACCAGCCTCGATCCTAAAAAGGTGTAGACAGCTTCGGAATATAACACACCTGCCGATAAAAGTAGATTGGATATAAAGGTTGACATGCTCTAGCTTGACAAGTCAAAGTGAAAGGGAGCATGTACAGTGGGGCATTGAAGCGATCTCATATCGTCTCCCCAAGTGCCACAGACATCCTGATGATTCTCTATACACAATTCCTACACGATGAACCTCGATACCGAATTACAGACAAGTATATTGACAAACGGGAGAAGCTTGAAAAACTATCCTTGATTGCGTCACAGATTGTGTAGCGCAAAGATTTCTGTCGGGCCTATCAATGCCTCGCCAAATTCATTACAGTAAATAGGCCATGCATCAAGGTTGATCATATCAGTCCAGGACCCATCTAATCGATATTTAGGTCAGGTTTTGCATTGCCATCATTTTCAGCAGTGAAAAGCATTGTGTCACGTTGATGATTCTCGGGGCGTCGCAGTTGCAAAGTTGGAGCGGAAGATGAGGATGTGTTCTCTTGCTCGCAGAGACCTAAGGCAGTATGAATATGCGAGCATAAACCCGTTTATCGTTATCACGGCGTTCCATAGATACTGATATAATTCAGAGAGACCCTGGAGAATGCCTTGAGTTGCCATAATACGATACGCGATTTTAATCATTGTCAAAGCGTGGTTAAGCGAGGTTGCGGCGTGGGCGTCTGCTTTCGGAGTAGGATTTGGAACAAGTGGGTTACTGGGGAATTGTATGAACACGCGGTGGAAGCAGGTTATCACGTTGTGATACTGGAGCAATGTTAGTATGCTAGTAGGTTGACTGGAGGCTGTTCTGAGTCTTGGTCCTCGACGGTAGGTGTCTCTTTGGATTCGGGTGGTAGGTCAGGAACATCGAAAAGCATGTTTGTAAAGTCTGTTGCCCAAGGTAGCTCGTCGAGCCATGAAGCAGCAAAGATGATAGATTACTTGCTCGCCATGCAATGTGTGTTGGCCCAGTTGCTCCACTCGGCAGAGAAGATGAAAAGCGATCAATCGAGTCATTGGCAAGGGTGCAGTTTGCGTGGCATTGGGGTCAGTCTCAAGTGTATACTGGAGAATTGTATACTGGAGAATCTGGTGGCATTTACATCAAGAAGGCAATTGAGTTTCCACATTTAGGAGTATGGCTTCACTCGGTATGAAATTTTGGCTGCGTATCAAGTGGTCGCTTCTGGAAAGCATGTTGGAAAAATTTGCATCGTGGTTGAGTGATCGTTCTGGTTTGATATTTCCATCGAGCTGTACCAAATTGTTTAGATTGTGCTAATCCGACGACTCGGGCATTACATCCCTGGAGACTTTGAGTCCTATGGAGACCCGGTAGCCATACAAATTTCGCCCGCCCCAATATATGCCAAATTCATTAGACGATCAAAATATCAGTCCTTCTTCCTTGGTCTAGTGGTCATGATTTCCGCTTGTCACTAATACTGATAAGCGCGGGAGACCGGGGTTCGATTCCCCGAGGGAGAGTTTGTTTTTGCACTCGTCGACCTTTGATCGGGTCTTGCAACATTTTTTGACTCATATTTCGTCGGTCTCCATAAAAAAGAGAGCTGTGCCTGGGGGTTCTACGGTGACGATATCGCCGGACTGCGGCGGGCACGAGGAACCACTGGCGAAGTGGTGCAGTCTATGATCGACATGGATTTTTGAGCCACGAATGCTGTACTAAATAATCTATTCGAGCGGTAAAAAAGCTCTCGACTGAATGTTATGCTCATGATTTATCGCTCGCTCGACTCCGCCTATTTAACACAAAGTCAAGTTGCTGCCGTGCCATTCTTCACTGCCAAACCCGAAAAGGCATTGATGACTTTATGATATCCTTTCAAAAGCGAGCAGGTGGGTATGAACAGATGAGTTGTGCGCTTCAGGTGGAATCGGTGTCGGGTTCATACTCACGCTACTGCTTGCTATCTAGCGCGTGAGAGTAGGTACAGCCCAGGTTCTCTCTATTGTATCAAGACATTCTACTTCCGTCATCTCTTCTCTAGTCCTCTTGCTAGCTAATTGGAGTTCAGCACTCAGTAGCCAGGAAATTCTAACTTCATTGGAGTGACATCAGCTTATGTTTTGGCGTAAGCATAAGGCAGCCAAGAACACGTGCATTGGAGGGGTCTCCTCCATTTAATAACCGCCTCCTCTTCTGTGGCCTGTTTATAGCTTTATATTCAATCATCTTGATCGACCAAATACCTTTTTCCTGCACTTTCTAGATTTCATCAAGTGATCGTTTATAAATACGAGATGGCCGCTGCCGATGCAATCCCACCTGCACAATATTTTACTTCGCTCTCCCGCAACTACAGCCGTCAAACTGGCAACTCAACCCGTGCCTTATTTGCCTCGATTGCAGGACGCATTACACCGGCTATCACACCATCTTCAGTAATCCATGATAATGCAGGTGGTGTCGGCACTGCTACTTCAGTGATTCTCGATAATCTCGCCCCCACCTCTCCCGATGACATTCCAGAAGTCTTGATTACCGATAATAACCCTGCGATGATTGCCGCGGCGAGCGAGAATTTCATGGAAATGAATTCCAGAATCACGGCAGCCGAGGCAGATTCTCAAGATTTAAGCAGCATCGACGACGCCAAGTTCACTCACTCTATTGTCAACTTCTCGGTCTTTCTTTTCCCGAATGCGCTTCAAGCGCTTCGTGAGATTCATCGCACTCTCCAAGCTGATGGCGTTGCGGTGCTACTGACTTGGAAACGATTCGGATTCGGCTCCACTATTCACGTCGCTCAGAGTCTCGTTCGACCTGATCTGCCGCCGATCCCAATCCCCGGGTCACAGTTTATGAACCCGGGTGTGTTGGCCGAGCTTGTTATCAAGGCTGGATTTAGTGAGGCAGAAATGCACGTCTACCAAGATAACACCGTAAGGAAAGATGAAGACCTTGAAGGAATGAGAGAGTTCATGTTGGCGGATTTCTCCAGGGTAGTTATGAAAGACTGGACAGAGGGAGAGAGGGCAAGATGGCCTGCAGCCGTCGACGAGGCCATCCGGAGGGAGGTTGAGCAATATGGGGGTATTCTATTTGAGTCTTGGGCTGTAATTGCTCATAAATAGGCTAAGAACACGCTAGGACGGAGTCACAATATTGACTCTACCGAAAATCCGAGTTTGTTCTACATAGCAAATTGTAGCGTACTCGACATCCGTCCGAATTAGAACAATTCCCAGCAGCATCTTTTTGTAATCCACGCAAATTTGGGGATCGCTTTGTGTGGCGTACTAGGTGCTCCTGCTAGACCCTTGTTTTATTTGCTTATACGCCTAAGACTGCCAGAAAGTATTACAAACCCTGGTTATAAGAAAGTACTGTTTTCGAGGATTGACTTGACTGAGACCTAAAGCTCCAAGCATCCTATCATGACTGGTATTCATTCGCGCCAACTACGAACGGTGATGCAGTAGCCGTGACCGGATCATCTGGGTGGACTCGGTTTAAGTTCAGCGCAGACGTTCAAATATCGAAAGGCTCTACCATGGTGGGCTTGAATGAACGAGTTTATGCGTTGACTAAGGGCCTGATATCAACGAAGAAGTATAACAATTCCACCGGAAGGGTCACCCTCTCAAAGCAAGAGGAAGATGCCACTGTCTTACATGCCGTGATAGCACCTGGAGGTATTTAAAGCAGTCAATGGTACCACCTGTCGCTTGCTGTTAAATCCAGTAAGCTCATTGTTACTTTGACTGGGCCTTATGGCATATCGAAGACTAGTTTTGACAGCGTAAGTAATAGCTCCAAGCAAGGCATGGTTGGTTTTCGGAGAAGGAGCGGAAGTGGGAGCTTCAGGAACTTTCAGATCATTAGTCTGCGATAGACCTTCTTGTGATTGGCTATGCCAGTTTGAGAAGAAACGTAGATGGGAAGATTTGGTGGAGAAATACCGCGAAACAACCTGCACTTGAAGCTTGGGAGATCGAAGTTATCCTATCAAAGTCACCCACTGCAACTATGAATTTTGAAATCCCTAGGCTCACTGGTTAATACAGATTTCCCTTTTAACAACGCCTTATAACTCGTCTGGCCTTCATGCAAGCCGGCTGAATGACTCGCCATTGGTATCGGTTAGAGCAATCATACCGCCACTGGAACAATACCCAGCCAGCCACCACCTGTATAAGCGACACGGGCCGTCCCTATCACTTTTGTCGCCTTGCATGCTTTTCCTTAGCATTGGAGGGTTCATCCTGGTCCCATGACTCTTTGTACTGGTAGGTGAAGTGGCAATCTCGGGCCCCACATAAGCAGTAATGATTCATGCTCATAAGCAGTAACTTAAATTAAGAATTCAGGGTTTGTGATGACCCATACTTTGAAGCTGTAGACCGGACAAACGCCATCTGGAAGGCAGGAATCGTGGATTCAACCTAGACTGGGAGTAGACTGAACAATTCAAATCACCCTAAGCACCCCACAATCAAGCTAATTTGCAAAATAGACCAGATACACAGAGATATAGAGACACGGAGATATCACGATATATAAGGAGAGAAAAGAGACTACAGTGTATCAAGTGTCGAGTCTCTGACCGAAAGGCTAATGGAAAGAGTGGTAAGGAACAGGTAAGGGATATCAATCATAAGAAACATCAAAGAAACCGTAGAGTCAGGAACGTGATGAAAAGCCAGAAGAAGAAGCCATGCGACAAATAGTAATGAAAGTATGAGGTACTTCACCCTCGTCAATTTCAAATCCAGATCACGTCTTCTCCGTTCCAGTCATCTGCACATCCTCCCGGGATGCTGACTCTGGAACGATGCGCTGCTTGATGTCCGCACTGTACATCTGGGTATCTGGCGGGGAAGGCAGCTCGTTTTGTTTATCCGCATCCGGTGCGGCTGTGTTTTCGGGACGCTTGCGTCCGAGGCGCTCACACCAGTGCTCAGCACTGACGAGGGTGTCGTTCACCACACCGCTGACCTGGCCCAAAATATCCAGGCCTTCGTTGGCGAGAACTAAGATGCGGTGGGCACCGACGGTCGCATCCGAGGAGGCAGCGGGAGAGTCGGGAGGTGGCTGAGATGTGCTTGCCATCTGGAATCGGTGGGGAAGAGATGTGAGGTGTCGTCGGACGAGGTGTCGGGCATTTTCTGGCAGAGCACCCCCAGCGTACTTTGACACAACGTCGACGACCTGCTTCAACGTGGAGAGGACGTCTGCCTTGACAGCTTGGATGCGCTGGGTCAATAGAGAAGCGCTCTCTGCTCGATCCCCACTTTCAAGATCAGTCTGCGATTGCTGCTTGTGGTTCTCCCACTCCGTCATAGCATTCTGGAGAGCGACAATGGCTCGTCCAAGACGTCCATTCGCCCAGCGAAGCCAGGTCAAACAGTACTGTAAGCTGCGCAGCGACTCCTCGCTCATGGCAACTCCCAACCCCGACGTTGAGATAACTAGTCGACTTTGCCATGTCGGCGGGGTCTGTCGGCCGGGTTTCTCCTCGTAGCGGGGCGATCGCATCTCATCATATGGCGGTAGCGTCTCCGCCATGGAAAGATCCGACGAACTACGAGTGCGCGCCGGTGTCATCTCGTTCTCCGGTCCCTTCTCCTCGTCCACTTTTTGCGATCCGGCCTCGCCGCTTACCTTGCGACGTTTGCTGGCAGGCTTCGCTTCGGACCCAGATTCTCGCCTTTGCAATGCCCAGCGTAGACCACTCTCAACGCCCGTCTTGCGACCAACGGTTCCAACTGTATTTGCGACTGGCGAACCAATGTTGCGCTCGATGAACTCGGCTCCGGACTTGAAACGCGCCGAGTATGATTTGGAGGTAGTATAAGCGGAAACGGAGCCGTTGATGGCGGAGGAGATGAGCGGGTGGGAAGAAGTGAGTAGCGATAAGAGCGGCTCTGGTTGTGGTGGGTCTGGCGATGCTGCTGGCAATGTCTGGCGCGATACTCGTGGGGATTGACCAAAATCTGGAAGGATGAACGATTAGCCGAGAGGTCTTGTCTAGCGCCGAGGTTGTTCTGAAGCCTGTAGCGACGACGGTCACGATATCGCAGCTCAGCGGCTTTGTTTTCCCGCCAAGTTGCAGGCAACGGAGTGAGACGGGCGTTGACATACCAGAGCGAAGACCTTCGAGGGCTTGGGCAGCCTCGAGGTCATCCATAGAAATCACGCTGGTAGCACGACGAGAACGATCGTCTGCGGTAGTAGTATCGAGATCCATCACGGCGGAATGGGCATTATGTAGGGCTTGTAGTTGTAGTGGGTGTAGAGGTGGAGGAGCAGTCGTGCTCCCGACGGTGGTTGCCAGATAGGAAGAGGAAGCGGGCAGTTTATTCGGATTCGAGGAAGCCGGTGAGTCTGGGACAGTGGCGATGGGGCCAGAAGGTTTATCGGCCTCCATAGCGGGACTTTTTCCGGGGGATTGCGAGTCTGACCAGAGACTACCAGAGACTCCCAGAGGGTGTTCGCTCAGTTCGCGAAACTGCCCAATCCGATGCGCTTTGCACGTGAAAACGCCCTCCGCAAATCGGCTTAGGTAAGCGTGGGAGTGGTACCTTCACATGTCGTCCCAACAAAAAACTGACTTCATCCCAGGCCGAATCTGTGCTTTTCATTCGATCCATTTCGCTGATTCGGCGTTTTCGGTGGTTTGTGACAACTAGTGCCACTGTCCTGTTCTTCCCCCGCCTATCCCTACTTGTCCGAGTATGCCGGACGTCGCCGCACTGCATACTGCATACTATACAGGAACAGACTATCGCTAGTCTTGGTCTTATGCATTATTTCCCCTCCTGATATCCCGTACCTGACTATGCTTCATATCCGCTATACTCGATCTGAGTATCTGTTTCAAAGAAATAACGAGGAGGATCATAGCTGAACCACCCCCACGGCGGCTAAATAAGCGTGTCCTTTGCCCGGACCAGTCTGCCCCGTTGTATCACATGCCAGCCAATGCTGGGATATCCGATCTTCGCTCGAGAGCTGGAGAACCATTTGCCGTAGTCATTTCCCGAGAATTATCTACCTCCCTATTCAAGGTAGATTCGACTGCATACTGACTTGCTGTCTACGACTGGATCGCAGATATTTTCCGTGGTCATTCGGTACTTGATCAATACTGGAGTACAGTATGACTATCGACAACACTGCTGTACAGTACTATAGGGTACTGTACCTAGGTCTGTAATGAGAAACCACCAACCGGATTCACATTTGAAAACCCGTCGGTAACTCAAATACGATAGAGCTTTCTCATAGGCGCCGGGCGCGCCACACGTTGGGGTGAGACCGCAATAGTAATCATTCCATTGCCCAAAGAGCGTGACAGCCACAGCCCTTAGCTTCTACAGCCCGACCGGCACGAACATGTGAAGTGGGGGGTTTTGCCTCAATAGACTGCTCCCCTTCCAGTTTGGCAAGCATATAGCACTGATGTGGTGTCCAGTGTAGCCCAAAGCCACCTTTGAGGATGGGTGGGTATCCCAAGTATTCAACTCCCTGCCTTTGAACCTCTGCTCCCTTTAAGTAAGATCGTATAGAGATCACAGAAGTTTTATGGAGAGATAATAAGCGCTTCCAACCACATTTGCCCCCACCCTTACCCACTTAACCGGGGGGTCGGGAGCTTAAATAAAAGAGATTATCAGATAGACCAGGGGTGAAAATACAGCTAGAAATTAAATCGTCATTCAATTCGCATCCAATCGATTCGTATAGAGATTATCTCAGAAACCAGCGGAACCCTTTGGGACCGCTTGTAGGAAGTGTACGGTAATGAATGGGGATAGTGTGCCTCGCCGCCTGATTCTATCACAGCCACAACTCAGCACGTAATAAGCTTCTTTGCGCTCTGTTACAATACTCTTTCACCACCCTCCCTCTCGTGCCCTTCTCATCTCTGTTTCTCTTACTGGCTCGTGCCTGTTCACCTGCACTCGGAGAAATAGCCCCAACGGTTGTCATTATGAAATTCAGGCAGATCATCAGAGGGTAATCAGGCTGATACATGATCACAAAGCAACTTCACGAGCGTGTCTGGTGTCTTACTATGTTTATTTAGGCTTGTCGAGGATTACTTTTAACTATCTTGGTCTTTGCGACGTGGGAGTCTGTTTTTTCTCTTATCATTGGTGGATCACGACGATCGTATCGTGAGTCCAATATTTGTGACCTGTGCCCCATTCGCTTCTAGCACATGCAATGCTCGCCACGACTGTAGATCAGTTTACTTATGCCGATCACTAGCTAGGGCTGAGATGTACAAGGTTTCCGAAAAAGGGAGGTGGTAACCAGCTCTGAATTCTTCAATGTGTTCTTCATTCATGTGCATCTTGGATTGTACACGTGTTTCTCTATGTGCACATTTTCATATGCCAAATCCTTCCACTGCAGTAGACCCAGGATAAGTTGACTCAGAACGATGCACGGGTATCATTGACTAGCAAACCAAAAGCCATAGACATAACTGATCTTCTATTCTTCACTCCACCGACATCCCATCATCCATTTCATCAAGATACTTTGCATCTTGGCTCATCAGAACCGCCTCTATAATAGCATCTTCCCCTTCATACTGACTATCCTCAACCTCGGTATTATGCACAAGTAATTCCCCCGCCACGAGGCGAGAAGCCATCTTCTGATTGACCCGCAGACAGGCCACAACCTCATTGGTAATAGTTCGAGATGGCACGCTAGAAGCCTTCAATTGGCACAGTGTATCGCCAAAGGCATGGAATGGGGAGAAAGAGTTTCGGTATCGGCGGTAGGCACATGAAGCTAGCAGACAGCGCCATTCATGGGGGCTGTTGCGCCATGTGTGCGCGAGAGGATGCGATCCTACTTCCGGGGGTGATAAGGCGCGTGCACTTTCTGCGATTTGCTGAATTCGAAGCGTGTAAGGTATTTCGCTATTCTTCATTGTGGTCCAGTCTTTGTGTAGCTTTTCGATGGATTGGGTGACCTGGTCCAGAATGAAGCTGAGGTCGCTGCCGGATTCCCGGTCAATCTTGGCTGCTTCCGAGGCCTCGAGCCACGGGCGAAGTAGATCGTCGTCTACCTCTTCGGCGGATTGCGATTCGGGGAACCGCTTCTCAAGTTCAGCCAAGATTTTATATCGCTCTTTTGAAACGACCTGAAACTTGAGGTAATCGATAATGTTGTTCAACTTTGGCTTTTGGTCCGAATCTCGGTACGCGGGAGGAGGGCGTCCACGTGGACTAATCTTCTTACGAAATGCCTGCCATGCCTGCTCCGAGAGATGAACGCCGCCTTTCCGTCCATCAACCAAATGACTGAGCAGGCAGGCAAGCTCCTTAGCCTGAGGGCAATCAAGGGATTGATGATAAGCAATTCTCTCATGTTCAACAGTGCATCGTCCGAGATTCGACACGGTAAGGTTGAACTCAAAGGCACCCTGCAGAAACTCCTCGGTAGAATGTACCTCGGACATGGGGATGGAGTACTTAGTAAGACCAAAGTGATCAAACGAGAATGATTCCGTCGGCATATTAGAATTTCGGAAACCTTGCACGAGCATCGGATCCCAGCAGACCCATGGCGTATCACCATCGTAATCACCACCAGAGAGCATATCAGCCAGAGGTTGATCGCCTTTCGTGGGAAACACAATAACGTCTTTGAAATGGCGGAGCTCGCTCTTCCAAACTGCCCGGCGCCGCTGGATATCAGACGGAACATGCGCCGGAAGTCGACCGACAAGAACATCCATACCCTCCAACAAGTTATCTTCAAATTGGCCATCCGGGTCTTTCCAATTTTTCGAGAATCCAAAATGAATTTCATCCGGTTCAAGAACCCCATACGGATCAGCGATACAAAAGGCATACGTTGAAAGTGGAACCTGGATATGAAGGTCTTCCGTATACCGATCAAGAAGATCACTCAGGAAGTAACGAAGACGCTTGCGAAGAGGGAAGAATGTCTGTGGAGCGAATCCCGCCTCGCATAAGTGCATGATAAATTCAGCATCATTGGTCACCCATTGATCCAGCTGTCGGGCCTTGTTGGCGACATTTTCACCCGAGGGCCTGAGGTCCTGAAGAAAAGCCCGGCAAGCAACGTTGCTATTGCGATCGAGCACATCCGCGAGTTTCTCGAACGGTTCTCGAATACTTTTTCTAGTTAACTCGGCAACATAGTTTCGGCAATTTCCACCATGTGCGAGAATAGTCAAGAGCTGGATGTTCAGATCAACGGGGTTCAATGGTTTAGACCACTTCACGACCTCGAAGGTCAATTGCTCAGGGTCAAATGATCCACTCCAGTCTTGAGGATGAGGGTGAATCTTCAATTGAGTATCGGATATCTGGATCCAGATATCGTTGCCATCACCCTCACCAAAACTACGGAGAGATGATGCATGTCTATCCACCATCCAGAGCCCTTTGGCCCCAGCAATACGGCCTTGAAATGCACTCGGAGTGGCACCGGTGATACCAAGCTTATCACAAATGGCATTCGCCAGACCTCTTGACATGAGTGCACAACCGTCATTCATTTGAAGTTTTCGCGAGGGGTCATCTCTCAGACGGACTACTTGAGATGGTCTGAGTGTCACAGAAGCAAATGTTTTTGAAAGGCCCAGGGAAATGCGCTGGAAGAGTTTACAATTGCTCTGACCACCGTTCTCTGCAAAGGGCATGTGCCACTCGAGCAGATTATCCACACTCATGGGGGTATGCGTATTGCTCTTCTGGTGCGGAGGTGCAATAGGACTCGTCCGAAGAGGGTTGTGGATAAAGTCCACTCCGTCCACAGCAAAGAAATCGATCCGAAAGTGGGGATCCTTTCTAGCTTTACCTTTGGACTTTTCCTGTTCCACAAAGAACGGTCTCCAAGTTCGTCCCAAGCATCGGTGGTCATGACGGGTCAGCCAGAAAGCGATACTTTCGCGAAGCACGCTTGGATGATCGAGGAACTGGAGATACTTGGGCGGTCGAGCCGGAGCCGGCAAGGTGAGCGTCATAAACCGATCCGACCCAAATCTCCGATGAAATCGACACGTCTTGTCCGTCTTCAAGGGACCGAAAGTCAATTTCAGAATCCCAGGCTCGGATTCCGAACACCACTCGAGATTGCCGGACATGATGACTACCTCGGAAGCTCTCTCAGTCTTGAAGTCTTCCACTGCCGCATCCCAAGCCTTGGCTGGGGATCGCTCGGGGACAGGACGGGCGCAGCGCTGGGTATGGCTGAGGGTAATCCATTCCCAGAATGAATCCTGGCTCGCGAATGGAGCTTTATCCCCCCAGAGCATATTCTTGAGGGGAACATTCCATGCTCGCCCGACCCTTTCCAGCTCGTAACGGAATCGCAAGGGAATCTTCTCGCTGAGTGTTTGCTCGAATGCGAACGGTCCATAACGAAGAAGATTGTCAACCAGTCGATTTCGAATGGCAATCTTTTCGTCCTCCTCTTCCACGTCGGTCATGGTTTGATCTTCTATGCTCGCGTCCATAGTTCGCTCCATCCAGCCTACCACGGAATCCGCGTAGCTTGATAGAGTCACAAGTGGCTCGGTGATATCCGTGTCGAAAGACCGATTCAATCGAGATGTAAACACCGACGACACCGAGGTCGTTGTCATAAAGCTTGTGGAGAGTTCATCCCTGACGGACGGCACCACATCGTACCGCTTGATAGGGTCCCTGCGGCGGGCAGGCTGGGATGCAGTCAATCTCTCAACAAAGCTGGAGGGTGGCTTCATCCTCTCGAATCGACTATCGGGGGCGGCGAATTCAGGGACATCCGAGTCATTCGCTCCATCGTGCATAGCCAACTCGAGTTTCGACAAGTCCAGCCCGGGCGATCGGACAGGCCCGACAGCTTTCGTAGGCGAGTTAGGCGCGGTATGAAACTCGTCGTCCCCATCTTCCTCCACGTCAATTAATCTCCGCTTTTTAGGTGAGCCCGACTGGGCGGATCGATCTGTATAACTTTCCGAGACGCGTTTCGCTCTCAACGTCCCACCATCCGCTTCCCAGATCTCGTCGTCGACTAGTCTCTGCAAGTACTCCAGTCGCTTGTTTCTCTCCTGATCGCTCAGTATCGTAGGTTCTTTACTGTGTCTGCGCCTGTTTCGTGTCGCGTGCGCACTCGCTGCCCCGGGCTGATTCTGCCCGTCCACCCATTCGGCGAAGCCATTGATCAAGCGATCGAGACCGGGTCTGCGTTGATAGTACAGTCTTTTAATGCCCTTGTAGACCCGCCAGCGAAGTGAAGTTTGGGTCTCAAGAGCTGACGGAGAAGAAATCTTTGGATTGGGAATTTCAAGGCCATAGAGGTGATTCAACCTGTCAATGAAAGGGCCGACATTCTGGCGGGGATGCTGTGGTGTGATTGGCATCTTCACGGTCGGGAAAGCAGATTGCTGACAGGGGGACCGTGACCCAATATCAGGCTCCAAGTCAAAAGAAAGCCAGGACTCTAGAGTGTGAGTTGGAGTCTGGAATGAAGGGAAAAAATTCGAGTGAAGATGCAATTGAGACTGTTCTTGCTTTGAATTTCAAACTCGAGTCGCAAACAAATCAGCGCGGGGTGTAAATAAACCGCCAGTCTGGACTTTCTCGAGAGCCCAGCAAGCGCCCCAATTTATGGGCCACTCGTGCCCGGACAGGCAAAGCAAACAGTTCCCGCTGTAGAAAAAGCAATATGACAGCCACCGTCCGTTGTCAATTTCCCCGCGCGCAGGGGTACAGGGTTGGTCAAAGAAATGAGATTGATAGCCTGCACAGGCTGTCCCTAGGACCGGGGCTGCTTAGCGGCAGGTTGACCTCCAGCAAGTTCCCCATGGGCAGCTGAGGGGCAACAACATGAATAATGAGACGGACTGAACAGAAGAAAGTAATGACAAGGGCGTCTGAATCCATAAATTCTTGATTTAAAACTTAAATCATGCATTGAAGGACTAAACGATAACGGACACCCAAAGAACCAATACTCGAGTCGTATATATGGCCGCGAGTTCCGAACTCTACGACCACCTTGATTCCCTGCTTTTTCTCCCCAACGATCATGACTCGATCCCTCGTCCACTATCAGATTGTTTGTCGGACCAGAAATCAGCATTCTTCGGGTTGATATGCTTGCTCTTCAAGATAAGCTTGTGCCCAACATACAAGGCAAAGTAGACGGGAACCCCGGCATACGCAGCCAGGAATTTGGGGGCATCGAACCAAGTCTTCGAATTCCGAAGGTGCAGTGAATTGAAAATCATAGTCGATGAAATGAACACGCAAAGCACCAGGGCCAACCAAGTCCCGGCAAGACCGAAGCGCGCTTTAAATACCAGCATATCGTCGGATATTCCTTGTGCCTTGCGTGCCCGCACAAAACAGATGTGGGTAACGAGAATGGATATCCATGTCAGAAGGCCGAGCATCGTGACCAGATCCAAGAAATATGCAAAGACCATGCTCGAATCTTTGGAGACATTCAGGAAGGCCAAGGTGGACACGGATGCCGATACGGCTAGTGCGTAGACGGGCACTTTGTTTCGATTCACATGGGACAGGAAAATGGGGGCGCGGAGTCGGAGGGCCAAATCGGACAGCGCTTTTGTAGCCAGATACAGATCGTAGGTTGCGATGGAAAGAATGAATAGCAGTATAAAGGCATTCAACACGTGCGGCAGAACGGCGAATCTGACATTGATCAAGGCGGCCACGAATGGAGAGGCAGCTGCCTTCCCCTCGGAGCTTTTATAGACGGACAGCTTGACCCTGCCACATGGAAGGACCATGCCGAGGAGAGTTATACCGAGAAGGTGAAAGACGACAATCCGATAAAAGGTATGCCTGATGGCACGGTTCATGACTTGGGGTACGTTCGGCGACCGAGCAAGGATACCAGATCTCTCACTGCCAATATACGCAAAGGTAGCAGAGGACATGGCTCCGCAGGTAGAGAAGAAGATCTCTAACATGTTGCTATGGGAATGATCAAAGGTGACTGGTTGTAGCCAGTTTCGAAAGCCCTTTGGATGGTAACCTGATACGCCTCCAAACACGAGCACGAGAGACAAGATCATGAGGCCACCCATCACGAGGAGTTTGAGGGCCGACACATAATACTCAATCTGACTTGGCAGGCCGTGGCTGAGATAGTTGAGAGTCACGATAAGGAAAAGAAAGATAGTGATCCACACTCCGGGGTTGACTTGACCAGGAGCCAGCCATAGCTTCATTACAAGGGTGGCGGCCGTCAACTGATTCGGGGTGATCATCGCGTACTTGAGCCAGTATCTAATTGGGTACCATTAGTAAACAGGGTATGCCATGCAACATGCAAGATGAACTGACATCCAACCCAGTGTAAAACCTAGCGCCGGATCACAAAAGCGAAAAGCCTGATCCGCCACGGTGGATGGTTTCGGCAGCCATGCCGCGACTTCTCCCAGCGCAGACAAGACAAGGAAGACGGCGAATCCGACAAGCGTATACGAAATAATCATGGCCGCTGGCTATCCTCTGCTGTCAATGATCAAGCCCATTTAGAGGTATAATGCTACTCACGCCGCTCCTAGGTCGAAAGTCAGCATAAGCAGTTTACAGAATGAATGGAGGTAGAAGTACATGGCCAACGTTCTTCCACTGCCGACCATCAACCCGGTGCCAATAGCGGACCCAATGCCTGTCGAGCCGAGATTAGCAAACCCATTTGGTGAAACAAGGGGGCAACGAACTGATGAGCCCTGCTTGTCGCGGTGTCAAGGCTCCAAAGATCTCCGTGAACCCAGTTGCAACCTCCTTTGGCTTCTCCGATGAAATTTCTGCTGCTGGCGCTGTTACATCCGGGCAGGTAACTGTTACCTGCCCTTGGGAGCCATTAGATGACCGATTTCGACGTCGTGGGTGGGGAGAGTCCTCCATTGCAAGTTATTGTGGAGCATTGGATAACGAAGTTTGTCAAGCAATGGATCTTCCTAGACGAGTAAGACGACCAAGCCGCGGCCGTCGCGGCTAGTCGAAGGAACGGAAAGAGCGAGTACGTGGAAGGTGCCAGCCCGGCAGTAAGTCAATAATGAAATATCCATGAATCGGTAATTTTTCTTTCTTCTATATGCAGGAACGATCCGCTCCGTAGAGGCGGATCAAAACTCAAGGGGGCGTATGAAACAGTGCAATCCAAAAGAGTACACACAAAGCAACCCTATCATAGCCACGCAAAGTATTCCATCTGCTAAAGATCGATGCCCCATGGCCACCGTCTATGATTGTATTCACCGTCCATTCCGTAAAAACCGTATGATCACAAACGCCCAAAGTCGTCAGGTCAGATAAACTTCAAAAAAAAAAAAAATTCAAGACTTCCTAAATGAAAACCAGCAGGGAGCCAGCCCCCCATTCCGTTCTGTTTCGGAACCCGTAGGCAAGTTCGATGGGTGAGAGGGGAGGGTGTATATCATGAAAGAAAAAGAAAGCCTTGTTGCAAAGACACGAGAAAAACCATCCTAATAGTAAAAGGTGGCCGGGAGCGGTCGGTGGTCGTCACCTGGATCAATCTGAACCGGAACCCGGAACTTAGAGAAGACACAAAAGAGGCGTCTCGTTAACTCATCGCGACATGAGCGAGTCGCTCGACTCCGTACGGGGGAAGATACGAGTGTAGAGCGAGTCGCTGGACTCGGTGCGCGGGAAGTGGCGCTGGTGCTTGCGCGAGATGACTCGGTCTTGGTAGACACCCTTGGCGGTACCGCGCACCACGGACTCGAGATACTCGCGGAAGTCGGTTGGCTTGAACTCCGGGTACAGCTCGGGGGTCAGATGGTAGCCGAGATACCTGGCATACTCAGGGTTGTTGTCGCCACGGATGCCCCAGGAGTATTGATATTCGGCGAGGTATCGCGGGATGAACTTGATCGGGTCGAACGGATAGGTTTCGCTGGCTTGCCGGGCTGCGAGGACGCGGCTGCAAATAGTCTCCTCGGAAACCTGCGCAAAGAAAACAATGAGTATACGGACAATCTGGGGGGAAATGGAATATCAATGTGGTGCATAACGTACGTAGTTTCGGTCGACCTTCTCCTCGCTGATCTCCTCCATCAGGCTGTAAATCTGGTTTTGCGTGGAGACCAGGTTGTAGGCGAGAATCTTCTTGTTCAAGGTGCGCGGGTCATTGATGATCAGAGCCATGTAGCGACCGATATCGCGCAGGTCGGTGAGCGCCGTTGGCATGTTTCCATCGCCGATGATCTCATCGTTACCGGAGGTCATCGCATAGTCGACGCGGCCGGAGAGAAGGCGAGGGTAGGAGAGCTGGTACCACCAACCGACATCAACGATGGTGTAGGGGAGCCAGAGTTGGCGGATCTGGTTGTAGACAATTTCTTTCTAGAATGAGAGAAGAGACGTGGTCAGCTAACGCCTAAGAGAGGCACGTCGCACGACGTTCAGAAGCTAGCCATACCTCGTCACGCAGCCACATCACACCCCCGGGCGGAGCCACGGTGATGAAACCACAGGGAATGAATCGCTTGACACCGCACTTCTTTGCGGCCTTGGCGAGGGGGATCTGATCTTGCTGCTCCGCAGGGCCAACACAACTGATGACGACATCGATCTCGGCCAGGACTTCAATGAGCTGCTCCTCGGACGCCTTCAAATCACCCTTGCGGATTTGGATTCCTCGCTCCTGGAGCTTCTGAATAGCGGGCTTGTGAACGGAAATGGGGCGGACAAGGGCATGAACGTCCTGTGAAACGAAAACGATACATGGTCAGCGATTGCTAGATTTAGTTTGCCGGGGAAACGGCTCTTGGGGATGGGAATCGCGTACAAAGGAACCATCTTCAATGAGACCGTTGGCAATGGAACCTCCGGTTTCACCCGCTGCGCCGACCAAGAGAACCTGGGTCTTCGCCATGTTGGGTAGGCGTTATCAGGCGGACGAATATTAAGGGATGTCGGGGACGGTCGCGGAGGTTGTCTTTGGGTGGGATGAGCAAGGTGGGGAGACGGGAAGGTGAGTTGAGAGATGAAAAGAGTCAAGAGGAAGAAAGAGGGAACGGGGAGGGCGGAACAGGAAATCAGGCGCTGGGCGACGTTGTTTTAAATTCCCTGTCCACCCAACGAGTCCACCGCAATCCACCCAAGGATGGTTCCAACCCACTTGGACTCCCACTTGGACGGTGGGTCGGAGAGTGGATGTGAGTTCCCCTCGTTTTGAGGGGGAGATTTTTCAGGCTGGCAAGGGACGTCATGGTTTTCTGTACTATTGTATTGACGGGATTGATGGCTTTGTCCACTCTTGATCTTATAGGGAATCATTATAAGTACTCTAACTATCGCCGTGATTCCTCATCTCCTACAGTTTCTCCGGCGGTTTCAGCCCCTTCGGCAGGTCGGTCAACCTTCAAAAAAGAAATTGGCCTCTTTTACGGGCCGGTGGCTCGGGACCAGAACCCTAACCAACGTCGGGTGGCCCTTACGTCATATTCAGACGGCTTCCCGGAAGACAATGATGATGTTGGGCTTGACAATATTCTTGGGGAAGAGAAATGGGCATGGCGCTCTCGAGGTAATTAGAATTACGGACTCACTCCTCAAGTCAATTCGAGACCACAACCAACCCTCAGCTTGGGCCGTCGAAAGTGTTTAGCTGCAACGATAGTCGCTCCAAAATGGGGCCATGGGATTTGTCGTCTCGGACTGCGCCTTTTAACTGGCAGCATCAGATCGTCATTCGTCCCCCCTCCTTCTGAACATGCAAGAATCCTCCTCCCATCGTGCACAATTCCCGACCATCACCCCCACGTCAGCGATCTTCAGATCAGCAAAGCGGTCTTGGAAAAGAAGCCAAGTTCTGTCCAGTGGCACATGGTGGACTGTGACGAAATTGCAGCCAACCCCGATTAGTCAACGGACGGGCCCTGCGCGCTCATTGGCGGGCCGCATCTCAAAAAACGGAGATGCCCGTCCACGGTCGACCGAGCTCCGGTCACCATGCGGCTGCCCATGGGAGATTTGAGGCAGTCGAGGGGCTGTGACTGGGACTAGTCAACCTTGACTGGATCGGTTAGGGGCCGAACTTATTCGAACAGATGACTGAATGTCCCATATGATCCCATAACCAATACCACACCAGCATGGACATGGACCAGGGGGAAGGATTGCCCAGCCACAACCGCCACGGGCGCGGGAGATCGGTGCCTGGGCGTTGGAACGGTCATTTCTTAGCTGGACACACATTGTTCATGGCCTTGTGGATGGTAGTGCAGTCCACATCTGCACCCTGGCGCTGGGATATGACCCCGATCATCACTGTCCCGGATTTTCACAAGCGTGCTTTCCCCCAGCATTAATTGAGGGGGTGGGGTGGGGTTTCTTTGTGGTCACTTGGACAAGCTGGAAGGATTCCTAGATCGAGTAATCAAAGACGACGATCTCGTAAACTCGACGAGGGACTCATATTCGAGAAAAGTAACGAGTTCTGAACGTGGAATCTGTGGTTAGCCGCCGCTTGATTCCAAGGCCAACAGAGGACAGGCTAGAGACGGGAGTTGGCTTGGGCCTGTGTTCTCCATAGGCCATGCACCAATTTGAAGGTGATTGGCGATCAACCAGTAATTGTGAGGCAGATCCACCTCGAGACAGGATCTGGATAATTATGAGTAAGCAGCGACGATGGAAGTCTAGTTTGCATCGATTCCATCGTTTCCACCGTTTCCATGATATGTATGTGGGTACACTGTAAAATCTCAAGAGTCGATGGACAAGGACGGTGGATGAGGTTGGCAATCAACGTGACCTACAGATTAGGGCAGGTGACTTTGTGACTGGAGCATTCTCCATCACGCACCATAGAACCTAGAAAATCATCAGAACATCTACCAACTACCGTGCTTGACATCGAAATAAGCACGCCACAATTTACAGGTATGCTGTAACCAGCGCACTTCGTATTGGAAAGGTGGAAAGGGCGGCTGGGATGATCGAAGTGTTGTATCAGAAGACCGTCTTCTTGAGACTTCTGCCGGCTGGTGATTGTATTTATAGACGTCGCTCGCCCCCTTCTTGGTGGTTCCATGTCAACGTTGAGGTATTTTGAGTATCCTGACGGAGCTTTTCTCACTACTCCCAGGTCCAACTTCGTGCAGGCCTAGGCACGTTAATTGAGCTGCTGCTCAGTTAATGATGACCTCTAACTGGCCGCGAAAGCGACTAGCCTCAGTGCCGAGCGTTTGTCCGCTCCAAAATGGTGGAGTACGCGTCATAAATCAATCCATGGAGTGAAAAGTAAATAGCCAGACGCGCAATATTCTGGGATGTCAATACAGCAATATGCGAAATCAAAATCAATCCTCTCATGAATTGTTTCTCGAACCCTACGTTCAAACACACTAATCTGATTTGGGCTACTTTCTCAGCAATCCCAGTTTCCTTGTGATCGTATCGGCCAACCATAATAAGTGGGCCATTTTTATAAAACGGCAAGAAAGAATTTTATACAAGCTAGCTCCCTTTCATTGGTAGCTCGCCGCGTAGATAATTGCACTTGCTCTCGTGCATAGCTAATCTTTGCTTCTTTTGGCTTCTTGACTTTGACCAATCTTTCCTAGCAGCCTCCCACAGTGTAAAGAACCCAAGCCAAAGACCATATTCCCAACAAAGTCCAGCCATAGCAATGGTGTGAAGACATCTCTACCAGGGCCGAGTCCAAACCAGAAATTAAATGCAACATACGGAATCATTGCAAGACCGAAAATAGTAAAGCTCTTCTGAGACATATCGGCTGTACCTAGGAGCAAACCACAAGTCATCGCCTGAGCCCCAAAACAGCTCATAAGAAGCGAGGTCGTACGATTCACCAAGGCGTAGGGAGGGTTGAGAGAGAGTCCAATTACTGAGGATGGCTGTAGAAGACACCTGAACAGCAAAAAGATGAGTTGTTAGTTGGCATCTATTCTCCTAAGGCTGTTTAAATTGGGAAATTTTTAGCTGAAACCGAGCTTACCAGGCGCCCATACCCGAGTAACCAAATGCCATTGCTGTTTGAATGCGATGGACTGTTTTCAATTTTTGCGCGTCATCCTCGGAAGCCATGCTGATTGATATAGGTCGCAGTGTCGCTTGCGAGATAAGAAGTCAGGCGCGTCAAGTAAACCAAGCCCCTTTCGTGCTTGAATGGAGTCTACACCTGGATCTTTCGCTCTAGTCTTGCGATAATATGACCTTTCCCACTAGATCCGTTGATCCTTCGGTCTTCTTGGACTTCAAAGCTGATTAGATTAAGGAGGAAACGAAGCGGTGGTCAGATTCGGAGTTGCGTACTGGATCCTCGTAATTTCCCATACCGGCATGATAGAAATTCCGGTACCGACTGACCAATATTTACAAAACATGTTATATCCATATTCGATTTAGCGCATCATGTGACTAGGGTTGGAAAGAGTAGCTTTTTGTTTCGGACATGGAAGGCAATAACGGTCGCAACTGTAGTTTTACGAAGTTAACAAACTCGGCAGATTTTCGACGTTGGAAGTTGGACCGCGCTTACCCGGCAGGAGGTTGCCAAAAGCCACGGGTAGAAGGGTTCGATGTGTTAGGGTCCTGCGGCCCCCGACGATATTTATTTGACTGACCGCGACGAATTGACCTTGCAATCGCTCGGAAGGTCTAACACACCATAATGTCCCTTACAAGTCTGCCAATCGAACTTGTGAATAAAATCTGCAGCTATCTAGAGCCACCGGAGTGGGCCGCACTCAGATTGTCTTGTCGCTCCCTTTACGCAAAGTCCCTGGATGCATATGCAGATCGCTACTTCAATAGCATTTGCTTCATCGCCACTGGTGAAGGCATTCGAGAACTAGAGGAGCTGGCAAAGAACGATACCTTTTCAACACATGTCCGGCAGTTATGGATGATTCCGACCGTCTTCGAAGGTCGACACGATCTGGAACTTGAAGATTCTAAGTTCAGAACTTCTGGGTATTCAGAGCGATCTAATCCCCTTAGTCGGCATGAGGATGAGCTGCGAGCTTGTTATGCAATATATCAAACCATGAAAGCCGATAACCAGGCTCTTCTGGAGTCAAGCACCTTCAGCGCTAGGCTTCACGCATGCTTTACTTCATTCAGAAACTTAGATTCCGTCGGACTGAAGCATTACGCGACGAGCTATTTACTCGATCCAAGGCAAACGGAATTTCGGTGCCTAGGATTGCGAAATCTAAGAGATCAAGTTGACTATGTGTTTAAGCCCTGTAACTCAAACCATCTCCAATGGCACTTTCCAGCCAATATCAATTCGCTGGCCTTATCGAGGATGTTACAAGGTTTTGCTGAATCCAACCAGAAAATCAGAGCCTTAAACACATGTGGTGCTAATTTCTGCGGCTCAACTTCCCCTTATCATTTCCTCACGCAAGAGCATTATACTTCTCTCCTTCGAAAGCTCGAAAACCTGGAACATCTTCATATGTGCATCTGCTACAACGAGAAAGAGCCGAGTCGCACTTCAATTTCAACTTCACCTTCACCCTCAACCACATATCTTGATCTTCTGATTTCCGTGGCACCCCGGCTTAAAAGTCTCTATTTCTCCCAATGGGATCGGTTCCAACGCAATATAAGTGAATCTTATTTCTTGGGGCTCGCTCAACACATCAATTTCACCCGACTGAAAGAGCTTCACCTTCACTGGATTCAGATTGAATCTGAGTCTTTCAAAATATTTATGACCACCGCCAAGGAGACGTTGAAGACTCTCACACTCAATTTGGTATATTTGAAAGAACACCTGTTAATAAATTCCGAGTCTACTGGTTGGAAGCATGTTTGGGAATTTCTTGGAGAAGAGCTATCACTAGAAAGCTTTTACATGGCAAATATTGGCTGTGACGGCCATAAGGTGATGATACAAGGGCCCGGAGACTCGGTCGAACCGACAAGTTCCGTTCGATTCAGTGCAGAAATGAGCAGCATTTCCTTCAGCAAATGGATTAGGCAGCTCAAGCCAATTTCAACTGGCCCGGACTCAAGAGTCAGAAGATATCCAGGTTTATATCCCCCTAAGCCCCAGACGTCGTGGAATTCATTTTTAATAAATAACTGCTAGACATGTTCATGGTTTTGCAGCGCCTGTTTCCCCGTTATCACTCCTGTGTGAGGCAGGCCGAGATGCGACCCCGATCTTTGAGATTGTCACCCCGAAGCGCTGTGCCCTGAATAATCTTCCATCTACCACAGCTATATCGGCGTATGGCTCTCACAAGAGATCTCAATGGTTGCGTCAAACGTGAAGTTCTGGCTGGGACTGAACAATAATCATAGTCGAGTGAACAATATCAGATCGATTACACCGGTAGCTCAGAATTGGAAGACTAAGCCTCAGAATTGCGTAGAAGCTCAGAATCATTTTTTCCATTCAGAGCGCATTAAGAGCCACCAATTGATTCAACAAAATAATCTTCAAGAAGTCCAGATTCTTGCTTGTGACCTTATCCCCTTTTCAATTTGAGTGTTTCCCCTTACTCTCTTGCAAGCTGCAGAGCTGGCTTTGATTGGAAAGTACGTTCAACGATTACAGTATCTCCAGTAACAGGCCTTGTTAAGGTCAGCAGTCACATTCAGAGTCAAGTCATATTCAAAATCACAGAAAGGTACTTGCGTTTCGACATTCTCGGCCGAGATGGTGTTGCGAGCATCTCTAAGGGGAGGAGTTAGTTCATTATCTCAGGAGATGGTGCTGGACGGTGGTCTCATACAGTCAAGCATGATTCATATCCAGGCCCGCAACGATCTTCATCCAGCGGGATGACTGGGTCATTAGACTCATTGTCAATTTCTTCCAAGGTGGAGGCCATAGCCAGTGCGGCGAAGAACAAAGCGAGAATTGCCAAGGGACGCATTGTGTAGCATGTAGATAGTCGAGTTTATACTGCCCAGACTGGTGAGTATGCTCAAAATATAAATATGAAGACTGCTTCCTTGCGTTTGTTCTTGCATTAATGATTCCGTTGGGCAATTTATATCCAGCAAGTTTTGGGAGAAGCATGGGTGGTGTGCAATATGACTTGCATGTACCATAATGTAACCTGGGACGAGCTTGAGGGCACACGAGTGTGAAGGAAAGATATAGGTCTGGGTTCCACAATCAAACCGTGAGTTTCATGAGTGCCTATAAAGGGTAAGTCCCGGCTGTTTCACAAAGCATTTTACACTATGGGGTGAATTTAGGGTAATCCGACTCCTGCAGCTAGAGCGCGCTTTCGACAAGACAACTTTTTGTCAGAACTCCTGCCCGCCATCGCTTAATCACTGCATTCCACACAATTTATTCTTCATGAAGGAGAAGTGACTAGACAAGTATCCCGAATCATGAAGAAAATGCATTCGTTCTGTTAGGCTATTAGATCATTGGATTTCCGCTTTCCAACACTTGTAGTAAACCCTACTCGTCAAGAACCTTGACTCCATAAATCTGAGAAGTAAACTCTTATGAAAGACCGCCAGCTTTACTCAGACGCAATATCTCAGAAAAACCCTCCGATCCGTCTAGCCGACTCGGGTAAAAAGGGCCAACCCCGAGGTGGCCTGTGGATCCGGGTTCAACAAAATCCTGGGGTACGTCTTGTACAACCTTGAGGCACTCAAGCAATTACACATAGCGAATAAAAAGCTTGCATTGACTCCAAAATTTCACTCCGAACTGGCGCAGTATGCATGTGGGACTCAAATGCACCTCGCCACGGGGAAAACCCAATGCTGACTCCGGTGCTACATCCTAATCCACGGTAAACCCAATGGCCCCATACACGTTGAAAAGGCAACGAAGCAATATCCCGTTCCACTCCCAATACCCATGCAACATGAATGGCAAATGGGATATCATAACGTAAAACAAACCCAAAACGCCAAAAACGCCTTTCAAATGCAACGACCCTCTAGAACCCAGAACTCTGCAACAATCTCCCCGGTCGAAGCGTTGGTTCCGAATGTGCAATCCTCTTGAGTTCGCGTACATCCATCAATTCACCCCTACAGTAAAGCCGGACCGTGATAGTAGCCTTCTGCTTCAACAACAGCATCTCCCGCTGCTTACGTCGCTCCTCCATGATAATTGCCCATCGAGCCCGGACTTCGGCCACGCGCTTCCTTCGTGCGGGCCAGGCACGCTTCCACATTAGTGTTTGGTGCATCATTTCCAGGTTCTTGTCATCCGGCCATCCAGCGTGCTTGCACCCCAAGAGCCAGACTTGGTGTTGATTGACGGGTTTCATGTTATCGATGTCATGCATCTTCCATTGCCAGTGGCGGAGCTGTTGCATGTCGTCTGCGTTGCGGCAGAATGCGAGGATTCCGCGAAGAGCGAGGTAGTGCTGGCGGATGTGGAAGTCGATTTGATAGTGGGCGAAGAGGACGGCAACTTCGGGGTCGATGTCTTTGGTTTCGTCAAGGATGTGGTTCAGTGTTTGTTCGACTAGTTCGTAGTATCGCTCGCGCTGGGCGACGGAGATGTGTTTCCAGAACGACGGGTCTTCGGAGGGGGATTGAGTATTGGTAGGGGAGATGTCGTCGTCTCTAGAGTTGTTGTTGAGGAAGAAAGGTGGGTAGTGGGAGGTAATGTATGAGCACTTCTGGATGTCATCTGCCATGCTTGCTTGTGTGACCGCGATCTGGCATGTCGTGCAGTGTAGTGCCTCTTCCAGACCTTGGAGCTAGAGCCCAGCGAGTATTAGTAGGCCATCCTTGTTCAAGAGGGAGGCTCGTAACGTACCAGCTCTATATCTGCTTTTCTCTCCCCTTGAGCTTCGATGTTCTGCATATTTGCGAAAAGAAAGGCAATTCGCGTTGCACTTGAGTGTTGTATTGTCGATTGGCTGACCCTCTAACGTGTTGAGGAATTTGTACGTGGTGAAGGAGAGAATTCGCAACATTCTCCTTATATCGTATCCAGGTGAAAGCGCGCGGTACAGAAAGACTGGGCCACAGAAACAATAAACTTCATTGGGACTATCATATGAAAGAACCGATCGCGTTGGAAATAAGGTTCGGTTGGCTGTCGGGAGATTCGCGTTCCAGACTCTGAGAGAAGACAAAGATCCTTTGTACTTGGAACCCGAATATAGATCAAAGGTAACAAAGCACCCAGAAAGTGTATGGCCAACAAAGACCAGACGCAGAGACAGTCAGAAATCAGTTCCATCAAGTTCAGGCAACCCGTCCTGCCCCGCGATTATAAACAAAACCCCCACGGTCGCAAGGGCTCCGGTTGTCCGCGATCAAATGACGGGTCTTACGCTCTGAGCGGGTGCGGTCATCTGTTGTTCTGTTGATAAACGCGGTGAAGGCGCGGGGGGGCGTGACGGGGTCACTAGGTTTCATTCGATCCCCGTTTCTTCACCGCGACTTGATTATCGCCAGTTCCCCGCACACGCGTCCAGCCGATAGATTCCGATGACAACGCTGACAACACGAGGCTTGACCAAGATGGATGATAGATACTCGAGAGATCCTGTGGCCAATAGTATGCGCATTATGGCTTACTATTGCCGAGCTGTGCGAAGTGACCTTGCTCCCCAGCAGGATATAACTTAGATCAAGCAGCTGATTCAGCGAAGCAGATAGCAGGGGAAGGCTCATAGATAACACTTGATCATATGTTTACATGTAGGTAAGCACAGTCCCGGCCGACCAAGATCCGTCGGAAATAAAGTCAAACCTTCAAGATGCTGCACATCTGTAATGTATAAGGAAATCCTGTGAAAGGTACGCCTGCTGGAGCCGGCTGGATAACGAGCTCTCTTGTGCAACTACGGACGGTTTATTATGCAGTGCCGGTTTCTCTTAAAGTATTCTCTCGAGCTTATTGCGTCAAGAACAAAGTCTTCCTTTATATCGTCACCATTATAAGTCCATCGTTGCAAGTCTCGATGCCATAACAACCAGACTCTGCGGTATTGATGGGCTTTGCGGGCGACTCGAAGCCTTCGAGCTTGGTACAATACCTAGTTCTTCAACGCATTTGGATCTTTAAAGCAGGAAGAAGCATGTGAGGGGCACTGACAGCGTAGCATAACTGATTACCACGGATTTGAAGTATTATCAAGGGCTGCGACAGGTCTTGATGGCAGTCCACGAAATGCCATAGACGCTCCCTCGAGCCTAGGGGACTGGCAAAAGTTCTTCATCCTGAGAAAACTCAAGACCCATTACGGGCATCTGAGGCATCCTGTTTTGGAGGCTTAATCCCTAGTCAACTTTGTATTGATTGATCGTGTTCTAGCTGTTACATAGAATTTCGCCTGCTTGATGTCAGTTCCCCAATCTCCGTAGCAACTAGATACCATAATAGTGATATTGCAAGTCGACTGTACAATTTCTCATGGCCATATCTTCCGTCACAGGCAACCACTGGACACTCGTGAGTTTATCTCAGTTCTTCCCAGCGCCATCCACAACAACCACAACTCCTAACCAACCAACATACCAAAACCAGACGCACCATGACCGAGAAAGAAAAGGCGTCCCTCGCATTTCCAATGATATGCATCCTCACCTCCTTCGCGTTCACCTCCTACCTCTACCGCACCTGGTTCTCACAACAATTCCGAGCTGGCAAACGCCTCCTCCGACGTCTCTCGCGTAAATCCCAGCGTCAATCCCGCCGGTGGATTCAACAGCTACACCGCATTACGGACAACCGGCGCGAAGAAAACGCATGGAGAACCTACAACATCCTCGAACCATCCACTCAAGGCAGTGCAGACCACCTAGTGCGCACGACATACTCTACCAGCGGGCGTCCACAATGGGACTCTGATAACACCAGCACAGCCTCATCTTCGAACCTAGATGAGGATGAGGACTCGGATACGGGCAGTACCGGAGAACCATCCCCCCTCTCCTTGCCTACACCGTCATTCAGACCGACATGGATCCTCGATTCCTCGGGCCAATACGTCCTAAACCGTGCCCCCGCGCCACTCCCCCGCGCAACATGGGAAGTTGAACTCGACGAGCGTAGCCAGAATGGTCGCGGACCCGGTGCTTGGCTGGATAGGATGATTGACTGGGTTGTTCGTCGTGTCGTTGCGGATTTCGATACTGAGATGCGTGACGAGACTGAGCGGGCGAATGTTGATCGTCGTGGAATGAGGCCAGACGAGATCGCGCACGTGCAGAAGCAGATGGAGATGTAGGGTTGCGTTCGGGGTGTGTCGAATCACGCGAGCTGACGTAGGTGGGGGGTTGGACTGCTGGGCTGGTGATGTGGAAAGCGCGGGGCTGAGGGCGGGTTGCTTATCGTGGAGATCCCGGAGATGAGGGGCTTGCATGTGGTACAGGGTGCTGATGAAAATAAGAATTCGAAGCTTTTTCTGTGTGAACTTGAAAGGAAGGTGTGTAGCTGGGCTTAGGATCGCTAAAGCTGGTACTTGCAAAAAGGTTAGATTAACTTGGGGGCGCAAAACGATCTATGAGAGAGTTCATGTCCCTGAGTACACCAAGGAAAAATATTTGATCCAATCCTTTCCTCTCAACGGCTTCTTTTGTATCAGTTCAACCTTCTATTTCGTGTATCCATGAATCGTAACCACGTAAGATAAAAAAGCGACGCTCGATGTAAAATCTAGACATATTTCATCATTGCGCGATTTGTTTATGGGGCGCAGTAACCGCCATCCACAATGAGATCGGCGCCGGTGGTGTAGGTGGATGCATCCGAGGCCAGGTACAGATAAGCACCCTTCAACTCGTGGGCCTCACCCTCGCGACCCATGGGAATCTTGTCCCGCCAGATATTCTTGGTCTCCTCCGGCACAAAATTGGAGATCTCGGTGGCAATGTAACCGGGGGAGACAGTGTTGGCGCGGGCGAAACGGACCCATTCGACGGAGAGGGACTTGCCTATATTACAATTAGTAGGAACACCAACAATGGGCATTTACATAGAAATCAACGTACAAAGGTGGACAACACCGCTCTTGGCTGCGTTGTAGGCAGCCTGCATCTGGGGGAAGTTGACAATGTGACCGCTCATGGAAGCAGTAGCGACGAAGCTACCATAGGTGAAGTTGGTGAGCTTGTTGCCGTTAATGTCGGTGCCTTCCTCCTTCTGGCGGCGCCAGTGAGATGCGGCAGCCCTGGCGCAGTAAAATGTGCCATCCAGATCAATGTTCACCACGTCGCGGTAGTGCTCAATGGGTCCATCCACCATGGGTCCCTGGGTCCAGGGAATACCAGCGTTGGCAATGAAGACGTCCAAGCGGCCATTGAAATCCTTAACCACAGTATCGGTGGCCTCCTGGACAGCCTTGGGGTCGGTGACTTGGACCTTGTACGCCTTGGCTGTAGTAAGTAGATCAATCGTTAGTTCCCCGTCGAATCATGAAGCACGCATGGCTAATTGAGGCAGCCACTTGCCCTGAACACCGTACTTCTGGGCGATCTCCGCTGTGCGCTCGACGGCCTTTGCGTTGGAATTGTACCACAGAGCAACGTTGGCCCCGGCCTCAGCGAGGCCATGCGCGACGGCGAGTCCAATACCGGCACCGGCACCAGTCACGATGGCAGTCTTGCCCTTGAGGGAGAACATGCTCATCAAGCTAGGGTGCTCGGGGGCAACCGTATTGTTGTGGACGAAGAGTCCGTTCTGAATTGGGCTGGCAGCCATAGCTAATCAATGATAGGCAAGATATTGTTGGGTTGAAAGAGTGAATGCGAAAAGGTGCATCTGGGCGGGAGACCCCTTTAAATGTAGCTGTGTAGGGGCAACAACACTCCGCTTAAAAGCAACCAACCCCCCCCCCCCCCCACAGGACGCGACAAGACGGTGAGCCATTGCCCGAACTTCTGGTGGAGAGAGAACTGTACAGTTGCTGTGGGGGTGTACTGTACAGTCTCTCGGCCCACCAAGTACTCAATTCTCCATTGACAGCTCGTCGTTCCTGTGGGTATGACGCCATGGGCCCTCCGAAACGGGCGAGGAGCGGGTCCTCGAGGGGGAAAGGTGGGATGGACACTGATCACATCGGCATTGGATAATAATAGAGCTGGTCGAGGTGTAGATAAATCAAATACACCGACTGAGATCCCGATGGGCTTGTTGTATTAATTCGGCGACGGCCTGATTATTTGGATAGTTGGCGGTTGAAATGTTCTCCAATTGGCTCCGAAAAGGACCCCGCCAAGGGAAAGCCACATTGCTGCCCGGAATGTAAGGTGTCTACTCCTTCAAGGTCGTTCAAGCGGCTTTTGTCACTTGCCAAGTAGCTTGACACATCTTAGGGTCAAATAAATCGTTATCATCCTATCCTGTTGGATCAATGAGTCTTGAAACCCACTATATCTCTTATTGAGCGAGTCCATCTCCATAGAGGCCCACCGCTGTGTGAGGTTCCAGTGTGCTCCAAACAAGGGGTTGAGCCAAAGGAGCGAACCATTGTCCGGAGATGCGTCCAGGTTGTTTGGGTGACGTCTCGGGTTCCAACTCCAGTTTCGACCCGTCAGTTCTTCAGTGGCTTGGTTTGTGGCTTGAGCTGCCATTGGGTCGGAACTTGACTGATGCTTCCACCTTGACTACACCATCAGCTCTCCGCTGACCCTGGGTTGCATCTATAGATCGGCCTCTTGCTGTCACCATCTTGATCAGCCATCCGTCACCATTGGAACTTACCTTGTAGCTAGCAAGAAAACGATGACTCTCTCACAGACACGATGAGAACTGGCTGGTCATTCTTCTCCGAGGTCACCTTGGTCAGGTTAATTGTTACTACATGCGGGGCATGTACAGCTAACATCGTTCCAGGATGGGGTCTCCAGTCCAACGACCTTCAGGGGGTCTCATGAACGTGCCATCTCAATACTAATATCCTCCACTTTGGCTATTCTTTAGCAAATGTCATTGGCGGCTGGCAGGTTTGGGAACAGAGTGTGGCCGCCAACATTCTTCGCGGCGTCTCGGTGATGTGTTCACATTCCAGTAGACTGGTCAAAATGTTCACATAACAAACCAAAGGCCCCATTTTGGAATGCTCGCCCTGTTGCACCTGATTGCGTTTCTTTCCCTCTGGTTATTGTGTTTTTGGTGGTTGCAAAGTCCATTGGACTACTCCAGGTTCTCTTGACCACGCCCAGATTAAGGGTATCGCATTGAGGGGATTTCGGGTATACCTCTCAAAGAACGCAACTTAACATCAACAGCGGATGAACGACTGAACGAGGCCATCTCCGCGGTTCACGCGTGCTCTGATACAAATTCAACTCGAATCAGTCACATCGACTTTCGGCTTGCCACTATGTTGAGCCTCAGCACCGTCGTCGCCATTGCCGCGTCCGGCGCAGCTTTTTTCGTCGTCTTGGGAGTCGTCGTGGTCGTTTACTGGGTGCGAGTCCGCAAAGAACGGCACGCAAGGAGGATGTTTGGTCTGAAAGAGGGAGAAAATCCTCGCAGTATCAAAACCTATAATGGGGATACGTTGACGGAAATCTCTCACCTGGAGGGAAGTGTCTTGAGGGCTCATGGCCAGCTGCCCTACGGCAAACCAAATGAATGGGGTCAGTTGGAATCACGCGAAACTTTATTGCGGCCAAAGAGCGAGCCAAAGAGCGAGCCCGAATCATCTTGGCCTCTCGTGGAACGGGCACGGTCACTTCGCAATTCAATCCGCAGAGCCAGATCAAAGCGCTTCACCAAAGGCGGGCTTCGGCGCATGGGCTCCATGGCTACTGTCAGCGAGACGATGCCTAGCCCTTCTCGGTGTTCTAAAGATGACATTCCTCTCTCAGCGGTTGAGGGGGTTCTGGAACTGCCAACAGAGCGCACGCCTCGACAGACGCCAGAAATCCCCCGGGAAGAAGAGGGTTTCCATCTGGGAATGCGGCCCATGTCTCCCGCAGCCTGGCCACCTCCAGGTCACCAACCGCAAGTGAACGTTTTCCCTGTACTGGATAACATTCTCTCGCAAAACCTGTTTGACCCGTCTCCCATGATCTTCGAAGAATCGCCCACTCGAATTCGAGGCGGGAGTATCGTCAGTCAAACAGCAGGACACGTCCCCGATCAGTCCATTCCTCCTCCTCCACCTCCCGCTGCTTTTCCTCAGGAGCGGTTCAGCTACTTGAGAAATGACTCGGTTATGCGCCTGTCTTCCATGAGCCTCGACACAACCAACAGCTCCATTCTAGATGACGGCAGAAACGGCCCCCGATCTACGGAGACCGACCTCACCTCGCCCATCTTCCCATCGGGGGGCACGTTCGTGCCTTTCAGCGCCAATGATGTCGGTGTTCGGAATGGCCGCCGAACTTTCATCGCTGCCAATACCTCGATGCCACCTACCTTCCTCGTACGTTCCTCATCCACCGCCGATGGCCAGAGAAAGATGCCGGAAGAAGCTCTATCTCCCCGTCGTAGCATGACTACGGCATCTCGAAACCCAAGTGATGCAAGCAACGGATCCAACGCTCTGCCTCGTCGCAGTGAATCTTTGTCTTCTAATGCTCCGCAAAGAAACTCCTCTCTCCGTGTGGGTACGCCTGGATCAATGGCTAGCTACCAGAACGGAAACCGTAAATCCTGGCAGTCACCAACCTCGAATCTGGCTCATGCACCACATGTCGGCCAGTTCTACCAAGAGCAACCGCCTGTATACGAAAGTGAATTGTTTGAGAACGACCCATTCTACGGCGGCTCTCCAGCTTCCAATGGCACGCTGTTCTCCGTCGGCTCTCCCAGTCAGTCCAATGGTTACACCCCTCAAAGTCCCATGCAGCGCTCCAGTCTCTCAATTAAGGGCCCACTGCCATCAGCACTCAAGAGTTCCAATTCTCAGCGGAAGAGCAAGGGACACAGACGTCAAAATTGCGTGCGTATTTCCATTCATCCACCCATGACTTTTGGAGGCCCAGCATTCTCTCCAACGGTTGAGGAGGAACCTGAAGATCTGGATGCCATGGAGGAAGTAGATCTGCGTGCGAGTACCATCAACGGTACATGGAATTCACAGCCCCCTCTGTCTGCCAATACGCCCTCTTCTTTACCCCTATCAAAACGTGGAAGCGGCAGTCGGCGCACAAAATCTGTGATTTCAGCGCCAAGCTCCCTCGGTCCATTGGCTGAAGAGCCCCAGCCGACATTGCATACTCGAACCCCTAAGAAACGAAAGAAGGCCCCCACCGACAACCCAGATGATACACCGGTTCTGATCAAGGGTCATGCTTTACCCGGAATTTTCACATCTCTCCCACCCGCGCACGAAGTCAATCTCTCGCAGACACCTTCCCCAGAGCGAGAGGACCCCCTCTGGGCAGCCGGCGATGCCCTATCTCCAACGACACACGAGAATTCGTCCGGCATCAGCACCGGTAGTCCCAGACGGCCGCCTCTCAAAGGACCACGCACCCAACCAGGCCGCAAGAACTCACCACAATCTCAGGCCCCGAAATCCATGCAGCCTTTGATGCGCCCTACCTCGCCCATAGAGTTGCCACATATCACGGGCACTCAAGGCAGCGATTGGCGAAAGTCAATAGACTCGTTGCAACGGACAAGAACGAACGCGAGTACGGGGTCCTTCCGGGGGAACCGCGACTCCCAGGGCTCCCAAGCCAGTGGCCTTGATTCATCCATGCGTCCTACTTCGCCCGTATACGGCTCCACGCGCTCAACCGTACGGGACAAGGTTACTATTTGGGAAGATGCTAATCGCAGTGCATCCCCGCCCAAGCCTCAGGCGACGCAGTTCGGGGCTGGATATACTTTCCACTTTGACACCAACCTCTCGCCGACGCATACGAAGGGAAGTATTCCACGGACTCTCTCCAAGAGCGGGAATCACTGCCTTCCCATGCATATGTCCAGTCATCGTGCACCGCCGACGCCGACGTCTCCCCGCCGTGGTATGATGACGCCTACTGGGAAGGGACTGGGTATTGGGGTAACGTGTGCTACGCCGGTCAGTTTGTATGATGGCGAAGGGTTCTTGAAGGAGTAGAGCGTTCGGTTCGGTTCGGCTATACTTATACTTGCACGGCGGTTGTCTGCTAATCTTTCGGCGTCGGGGGGTGTCTTGGATCTACCATTTTTCTTATGATTCTTGTGTTCAAAAGCCTTATACCTTCCTTTTCCCTTTTTTCCCTTTTGCGCATCGAGCACTTCGTCTCCCCCTATATTTCCTTCTCGTCTTTATGCATTTGCCTTTGCGCCTTTTCACGTGTCACGTTGCTCCGTCGATATCCACCCGTCTAGGTAGTCGTAATTGCAAATGAAGATCTAATTCTAATGTCTTCGGCTCTGTTCATAGATAATCAATTCTTAATCATGGATTTTAATTAGCTCTTTTTTTGGCTTTCCATACCCCCAATCCAATCTCTAGTTCATGATCTTGACATGTCGTCCAAACTACTACTCCGTCCTCCGCCACTTAGTCTCATCCCCCTCACCCTCTTCGCCATCCCGTCCCTCCCCATCCCCATTCTCCTCCTCCCGCGTCCTCACAGTCCCAGCACCGGGCCCCAACCCAGGGAACGAAGGCGGCTCGCCCTCCCCAATCCAATTTCCCTCTTCATCAAAGAACTCATGCATATTATCTGCCGTAATCCACCCCGAACTCCCATCAACGGGCGGCGGCAAATCCCCATCGAACGAGCCCATCCCCTCCTGCCCAAACTGGAAGAACGCATGCTTCGACTCCCCATCCTCATCCTCGTCCTCGTCGCCCGGTTCCACGGGGTCCGGGTGCAGGTTCGAGCAAGCGGAGACGGCGTCGTATAGAGCTTGTGTGGGGGTTTCGACGGGCTCGTCGTTCTCTTCGCGTGCGGCGCGTTGCTCGGCGGTAAGTTCTGGTGGAACGAGTGTCATTGTGATACATTGTTCGATGTCGTCTTCGGAGGTGGGAGCAGTGGGTGTGACGATTTGCATGTATAGACCTTGGACTTCGGTGTCGGATGCACCGGGGACGCGGAGCCGTTGAATTGCGTGGAGGGAGATTAATGGGTAGGCGATTGAGATGCCCCTTGAGGCGGAGGGAGAGTACAGGATGAATTTCCTAGGAAGGGATGTTAGCTTTCATTTGGACCGGTGGTAACGGGGACCGGGTGGCTAGTCAAGCTGGATCGGGGGCGGATTGGTTTCGTAGGATGAGGATAGTCTAAACTTACTCAGATGTCACCCAAGTGTCCACTTCTTCAATGGTCACCTCGGGACCCTCGTCGTCATCTTCTTCCGGCGCCGCGTGCACAGCGCTGGTCCCATTGGCAGAAGCGCTCTCTCCACGCAGCGCGTTCAAAACTGGTGTCGCAAGCAGATCGCGCTCCAGGATCACGACTTTGCATCGCTCACTGTGGTAGTAGAGGATGGGTGGTCCGTGGTGGAACGAGCTTGGGGTCCGCGACTGGTGCTCGGCGATGGTGACGAAGCTGGATGCTTCTGGGGATGTTTGGAGGACTTCCATCGGGTGCTTGAGATAGACCTTCTAGCCGAATTGGTTTGGCGAAAGCGTCTGATATCGAGGGCTGGAGGTGTGGTGCAGGTGGTAGGTTGCGGGAAAAAGCTAGCAGGAGCTGTCGGCGGAGGGGCGCTTTGCTTCCGCGGTTCGTCCTTGGCACTCGCTGCAGTCATCAATCTGTAGGTAGCTCGGAGTTTGAACTAGAACTATGCCAATTTTTCTTCTTCCACAGTAGAGTATTCCACATCTCAGTATATATTTCCCTATTTCGTAAACTTCTAGTGATAGTAATCTCCTGTGTACGAGAATTAACTCCCGTTCACGAGTGTTCTACGCGAGTTGCATATATATATATTCGCTGATATTCGCTGAATAGAACTCAGGTTCTGCCAAATACCTCAACCTTTACCGAATTCAATTTGGTAGACGACTTGCACATGAGACTGAACTGATATTGGTGCTTAATCAGGAAGAAAACAGTATTCTATCACCAAAGCCGGGCAATTGTTTACTACCAAGGTATCTAGTGTATAGTAATCACTTCAGCTGACAGGAGGCCACTGACGGCTGGAATGCATGGAATGTAGGAGTCGCGGATGCTTTGAAACCCCCAAGTCGGTCTTGGCGACCATGAGACATGCGAGCCGAGTCCAACGAGACCTTGAGCCGCACAGAGAAGCGGTCATAAAGTCAAGATGCCTGGCTGTAAAGTGATCGCCATCTATCGACCTGCATAGTTCATACCACTGCGCGTAGGCATTGAGAAAACACGTGACGGTATGGTATACTTGATGTTCAGTCCTGCGACATTCCCCCTGCCTCAACACCCAAAGGTGGTTTTGTCAAGTACTAATCCCGCTCAAAATTTAGGAGAGACCTTGGTGATGGCATAGACACGATGCCTTGTGATTGAGAAGATATGCCGACGCAGCATTACTTCAGTATTCATTTCACACCCAGTCCGCCAAATGCTCGATCCAACTCCTCCCCCTCATCCCGCGGCACCATGGCTGGCAGGCTAGATGAGCCCTGATCAGCGGAAGTGCTGTCCAGCAGACTTCCACCCTCGTCGGCCTTTGATACGGAAGCCCCTGCCGCTCTACTCGGCTGCAATAGCTTCTCATCTCGATCAAGCCATCCCGGCGCAACACGGCGCTTTTCTGCAAGTTCCCGCTGTCGGATGGATTCCTCCCAAGCTTGAATAGCAGCCTCTGCATCAGCGCGGGTCTTCTTCAAGTGCTGTTCGAGTGACTGGCAGGCAGCGAGGATCTCGTCTGGATGGGCTGCATGTTCGCCGCTGGACGAGAATACGTATCGCGGTTTAGCATCTGGGTTGCCTGGGCCTACCAGGACTGATTGTGGGAGAGTGGAGGGAACTGATTTGTAGGTATAGGGCAGGGTGACCGAGGCGGGAAGGTTGATGAAGGGCGAAACGGTTAGAGGCACCTGGGCCAGGAGGAGGTGGGGGCCTATATAGCATGGATGTTTGAGTATGGAGCAAGCATTGACCATAAAGCAGGGATCCTTGAAGGGTTTACTGACAGTACGAGTCGTACATGAGTGGGATATTGAATGTTTAGCACGAAGAATGTTGAGTAACGGCCTATCCCGTGGTATCCAGTGGATGTTGACATGCGGAGAAGAAAGACCGATGACGCTGTTCACCGCCCACGTCCCACTTTCCTTCTCCGATCTCCCCCCGCCCGCCCTCTCGCGCCCTTCGAAAAAGCAATGGCGACCTTGCTAAATGGAGTAACGGATTCAGAGTTGCCTAGTGCCTTAGCTATGCCGGTCATATTGGATGCATTTGTTCCCGCTGCCTGCCAGGTGGACAAGACCTGACTCGATGCATCCTCATAATTGAATGAATGATTGAATGCGTGCACGAGACACCGGTTTGCCGCTGTCCAAGGATCAAACGTGCAAGGATATGCGATGGACTTGACCAATCCAACGGCAGCTCATGCTAGCGAGATCCGATCGGGCCTCATTAGCCTTTCGGATACCACACAATTGCTGCAAGACCGTTCGACCGACTTTTCGCCCTCGCTGGCTACATTAGAAGCTTCGAAGGTTCTCTGTCGCTACTGAAGTCCTTAAAAGCATCTTAGAGCGAATTCAGGTTGTCTCCAGAGAGGGCTCTTACATTCCTCGTTCAGTGTGGAGTCATAGCAGTTCCCGTCCCCACGGTGTCACCGCAGCGAGCAAAGCGCAGAAGCTGGTAGGGATCCGACAGACTCCTGTCTAATCAAGTATAGTCAGATTCGGAGTCCCACTCGAGAACCAGGCACGTCCATTCGGCTTTTTTTTTTTTTTTTTTTTAATTCCCTGTTCTAAGACGTACCCCCCTCCCACGGTGATCTAGAGGCGGTTTTCGTGTTGGTGTGTTTGTCCTTCGCTATGCCTCCTTGCTCAGGGATCCTCCACACGTAGCGACGGCGGGATTTGTGGAATATGATATCTGATCAACAGAGTTCCCGGTCCCGCATCTAGCTGTGGGCTTACCTCAAAACAAAGCACATCCATATGGGCCTTATATAGTCCTGGTTGTACTTTCCTTTGTTACATTTTTCTGAGACGTAATATTGTGTTACCTCTGCCAGAATCTTTTCCACTTTCCTGGACTCGAGACCCGGCCTCCATGTCAAACGACATAATCGCTCCTGTTCGTAAAGCACATGTCAAGAGCTATTCAGTGGAGTTTGCTAATAATTGCTTATTCGCTTAATCAGGACAAGGATCTGCACTTTGTCAAAGACACTTATAATCCTGATGACTGGCAGTCGTATGTCCCACTAAGTCGAGCGTTTATAAGCCTTCCTAACGAATGCATATAGAGAAACGACGTCTGTTACATCATCTATGCATAGAGGATTGATGGAGAATGGCCGAAGGTAAAACATCCATATCATTACTGATATTAAAGACAGTGGATTGCTCATCAAGGGCATAGATACCAAACGCTTAGGGACAAGGGCTCACAGTAGGCGAAGAAATTTTAATATGGTCTATTGTTATTTTGCGAGCGCCCAAGAGCTAAGATTCGCAGCGTGCCATCCGATGAGCAGATGTTTGAGACCTACGAAGCTTTGTACGGCTTTTGGCAACTCACCGTTTATGATTCCCGCGGGCTAACCGTGCTAGACATCTTCTTGCTTCTTTTATGGACTCTGATAAGGAGAACCCGCTTTTTCAGTCACCAGTGGTGAACCCAAAGGTTCGTTCAGCAGAGCATCGGATTATCGGGCACTTTGATGGAACTACAAAGCTCACAATACCAAGCACATTCTGGATATTGGAACGGGCAAGGGTTCATGGGCAGTGTCAGTGTACTCACCATTTTGCAGATGGGAAAGATGACTGATATCAATCCAGCGACGTCGCCGATCTGTTTCCTGAAGGTATATCCTTCGGTCGTATCTGATATTGTTCCGTCTCTAATGGCTTTTCGCCCCAACAGCAACTGTCCGCGGCGTGGACCTGTTCCCACCCCCCGTCACCTGGATCCCGCCGAATTGTTTCTTCGAGATCGATGATATTCTCCAGTCGTGGTCCTGGCGTGAACCATTCGACTTGATCCATCTGAGACTACTCGATATAGCATTTACCCTGGAGGAGACAGACCACCTTTACAAACAATGTTACGAGTGAGTGTTCAACCCACTTACCCTGACCGTTTCTTGACCAGTACTGATTGTTGGCCCGATAGTCATCTCCAACCGGGTGGATGGATCGAGCAGCTCGAAATGAGCAGCTTTATCGAGTGCGACGATAACAGCGTGCCCGCGGACAACATACTATTTACCTGGGGACCTCGAATAACGATGGCAGCTAACAAAGCTGGCCGATGCTTTGAAATTATGGGAACTCTCCAAGAATCGATCGAACGAGCGGGATTCGTGGACATCCACACGAAAGACTATAGATGGCCTATCGGACCGTGGCCGAAAGATAAGACACTGAAAGAAGTCGGTGACATTAACTATAAACACTGGCTTATTGGCATGGAAGGGTATGGGATGTGGCTATTGACCCATTATGGGGATCCGGTGCCGTGGATGAAGGAAGAGGTGCAGGTGTACGTGGCACAGATGCGAAGGGAGTTGTCTAAACCTCGGATCCATACGTATCAAAAGGCGTGAGTTGGTTCTTGTTTGGTAGTTGGCATGGTGAGAAAGGATTTCTGGACTAACATTCTTGGTAGGAGGAGAATTTGGGCTAGAAAGTCGGTGGACCATGAGAGGGTGAAGATGGAATCTAGCCCTTGAGAACAATATGCACACTTCAGTCAAATGCTGTTCCACAAAAACGGGTGAAAAAAGCGGAGCCTCGAATGACCAGGCATGCGTTCAATACGCAGCATACTATTGACCAAAATTCAAGCTATATTACGTTTTCTCTGGGTCGATCCTACTCATTCGACTCTCAGATTGACGACCATCGGTTGGCGAGTTTTGGTTTCTCTCTAACGAAAGTATACTTCACGTGATGTTCGACCTACCCAGACAGCAAGATACCGAGGAAATTGAGTCTGTCGAAGCTCGAAATACACAGTGGTAAATTGAGCACTCTTTTGATCTCATCTTTAGCGCTGGCTACTTCCGACAAGCGCCGATTTCTCCAGTAGTGCTGGTATCTAGCACCGATCGGGTCTAGTTTGCTAAAAGCCACAGGAGGCATATTGGACCTGATGGAAAAGATACACCAAAAGCTCATAGCTCCGGGGATCTTGGGTATTTAGTAGATCTGAATGTTCTCTGGCTATGGAAATCTGCCCGGTGGAGTGTTTCTTAGTGGCCGACGGAGCTTCTCAATGATTGACTGGTTCATTTCTGGGGAAAGCTTCCAGTCTTCGGCCTTCAGGGACCGGTTGCTGCCTGAGGCAATCCATCCCATTCTTACGTGATGGCCGATCAGCTTCCAACTTTACCATCTAGGCTTCTATCAATGTTATTTCCAAAGCAGAGATCAGGGTCAAGGCAATACTCGACTTGTTAGCAGTTAGAATTATCTCATTGATCCTCAGGGTTCATCAATCAAGGCCCGGGTTGATCACGTCGTGGCCCACTCCTCCCACAGTTTGGCCACCAGTTCACCAGTCCACCAGTCAACTTGGTGGGAGTTGCTAACCACCCCAAGCGGCTGAGCCCAGCCCGCTTATCCAATTTGTTTCTCTTTTTCCCATTTCTTAACTTAACTTTCTCCATCCCACGCGACTCTTCCCCCAAACACCGATATTACCTGTCTCCGGGACCGATTCGCCCCCCAACTCTCCCCGGGCGTCTTGAATTGATCTCATCTCTTTCTCCCCTCACTGGGACGTCTATCCCGCCCAGTGACAACCCCCCCACCACACCTCCCGCGCGGTCCTATCTTTCCCTCCCCCCTCCTCTTCCCTCCTCCGTTGCCCTTCGCACCCCCCTTCTCCCCTTACCTCCCCGACTCCCGAGATTCTCAGGAACCTTGAACCTTATCAAACGCCCAACATGGATCGGAACCTCGCGCGCGCGGTGACCGAGAAGAAGCCGGTCCCTGAGATCGATTTCACATTGCATACCATGGAGGATGGCGCGCAGGTCTCGACGATGGAGCGGGTCGTCAAAGGTAAAGGCTTCATATATCTCTCAGTTGCTTCCGCCGCATCGCATCCCGATCGCTAATGCAGAGTTGGAGAAATTAGAGGTCCAAGCGCCGGCCCTGAGTACCCCTCCGGATGACATGTTTTGGTCCCCCGAAGACCCGTCCAAGCCCAATCTCCAGTACCTCAAACAGCACCTCTATCGCGAAGGCCGTCTTACTGAGGATCAGGCACTATGGATTATCCACGCCGGTACCGAGGTTCTACGGTCGGAGCCCAATCTTTTGGAGATGGATGCCCCGATCACCGTGTGCGGTGATGTTCATGGCCAATATTATGATTTGATGAAGCTGTTTGAGGTTGGCGGTGACCCTTCGGAAACGCGCTACCTGTTCTTGGGTGATTACGTCGACCGTGGTTACTTTAGTATTGAGGTAGGTTCTCCCTTGTTGGGGCGGATCTCAGTAGATCGCGTGTCGTCCAGGAAGCTAATCTTTGGTCGCAGTGCGTTCTGTATCTCTGGGCTTTGAAGATCTGGTATCCCGACTCGCTTTGGCTGCTGCGGGGTAACCACGAGTGTCGCCACTTGACAGACTACTTCACGTTCAAGCTGGAGTGTAAACACAAGTATAGCGAGCGGATCTATGAGGCGTGCATCGAATCCTTCTGTTCTCTGCCGCTGGCGGCGGTTATGAACAAGCAATTCCTCTGTATCCACGGTGGTCTCAGCCCGGAGCTGCACACCCTTGAGGATATCAAGGCTGTAAGTGTTTGATTTGTTGTCCCCCAGCTGATATGTCGTGAAATTGGTGCCAACTAACATACTTGCTCACACACAGATCGATCGTTTCCGTGAACCCCCTACCCACGGTTTGATGTGCGACATTCTCTGGGCCGATCCTTTGGAGGAATTCGGTCAGGAAAAGACAGGCGATTTCTTCATTCACAACAGTGTTCGCGGTTGCTCTTATTTCTTCTCCTACCCCGCCGCATGCGCTTTCCTGGAGAAGAATAATCTGCTTTCAATTATTCGAGCTCACGAGGCTCAGGATGCTGGTTACCGTATGTACAGGAAGACACGGACGACCGGTTTCCCGAGTGTCATGACTATTTTCAGTGCTCCCAACTACCTCGATGTGTACAACAACAAAGCAGCCGTGCTGAAGTACGAGAATAACGTCATGAACATTCGCCAGTTCAACTGCACCCCACACCCGTACTGGTTGCCTAACTTCATGGATGTCTTTACCTGGTCTCTGCCTTTCGTCGGCGAGAAGATCACTGATATGCTGATCGCCATTCTCAACACTTGCTCCAAGGAGGAACTGGAGGAGGACGACACTCCCGTGACCACTTCGCCGAGTGGCCCATCTTCTCCTCCCTTGCCCATGGACACCGAGTCCAGCGAGTTCAAGCGCCGGGCTATTAAGAACAAGATTCTTGCCATTGGCCGTCTGTCGCGTGTCTTCCAGGTTCTCCGTGAACAGTCTGAGAGCGTCAGTGAGTTGAAGACGGCAGCGGGCGGTCGTCTTCCAGCTGGTACCCTCATGCTGGGTGCCGAGGGCATCAAGCAGGCTATCCACAACTTCGAGGATGCCCGCAAGGTCGATATCCAGAACGAGCGTTTGCCTCCTAGTCATGAAGAAGTTTACCAGAAGAGCGAGGCCGAGCACAAGGCAGCCATGCAGCGTGCTCAGCAGGAGGCTGACAACGATGCCGGGCTAGCGACCATCGCCAGGCGGATTTCCATGTAAGAAATCCCGGGTTGCGTACTGACTAACGTTGACGACGTCGCTAACCGATTTACTGCTTAGGTCCGCCGGCTCCGGTCGTAGTCGCCGCAATCGCGATTCGCGCGATTCCAACAAAGACGCTTAGAAACTGGCCGTGGGTTTAGTTTGAGCTGATATAACGACACGATCTATGCCTTTCCCCCTTGCCCCCGCACCAGCGCATGTCCTTTCCCCCCTTCCTTCTGCCATGACATGATCGAGATGATACCCTGATCTATCTACTTGATCCTACCACTTTGCCAGGCTATTTCGACATGTGTGGGTGTGCCATAATACACGGTGCCTTAAGCATGGCTCCCGAACAATCTGTGATTACCTGTCTTGGGTCTTTTTCAGGGAGCGAGTAAATCTCTATTTTGTAGCCAGGCACAATGCTGGTCTCGGATCCAAGGCGCGAAAAAAGAATATCATGTAATGATGGCTTAATTTAGCACAATTTGTTGATTTCGTACATCACTGTCAAGATTCCGTATTGGGTTTGAAGCTCTCCGTAGATAAGCAATCAAAAACAGGCTCCGGTGGCCGGTGGAGCACCGCCAAGCCCCGAATGCCTGCTTTCACTTTCCGACCTCACCCTCTATCCGTCTCCCGGTCCAGGCCAATCTCTTGCGGACGCGCCCCCGATCCTCGATTAGCGCCGCAATGCCCGCAAAACTGCGCAATGCGCTCCAGAGGAGCCTATCGCGCCCTCTAGACAATACCGGTGTCTTCTACTGCCCCTCCTGCTCAACATGGCGCCGAACGCTCTCGACGCGTACCAGCGGCAGCGCCCACATCGACACTGCGCGCCGCAACGCCCACCTCCTAGATACGGTGCCAACTGCTCGCTCCCGGCCCTTCACGACCTCCCCTGCGATATCTGCAGGTAAAACCGTCCCACCGCGGTTTAAGGAGCTGTATGATGCCTTGAATGGAGTCAAGGATGCGGCTATTGAGCAGGTTAGCATCAGTCGGCTGTCGCTTGCGCTGCGTGGGTTGGAGTCGGAGGAGCCTTTGATTCGGGTTGCTGGTAAGGGTTTTCTTTCAGAAGTTTGAGTTGAATTTGTTCTTTCTATCACCAATTCTTCCGTTTTGAACAGAGCAGCTGATTCTTGCTTGTGTGGTAGTACTCGGATTGGACAATGCAGATGCAGCGCGCAAGTTGGTTCGGTTGCTTCTCGCTGACCCCCTTGGGCAGCGTGAGAGTTGGGAGGATATACTAGAGGGCTACGACTCTGATCCTTCGTGGGGATTACTGATTCGGTATGTAGCAGCTTGTTGATCCGATCTATATGGTCCACGGTCCACTGACCACCTGCTTCACGTAGGTACGGCGAGGTCTCCGAGTCTATCCCAAATGACCTCCTTCCAACCATAACAATCCGCTCGCCTATCTTGAAAAAGGGCAATCTCGAAATCCTCGTTAGTTCGATTGGTTCCGAGCCAGACACATCCGGTGCGACTTTATCTGCCGAGTCGTTCCTCGTGCCAAACGTTACCATTCAAACATCACACTCTGGGCGACAAAATGCCGTACGCTACCCCGTGCATCGCAGTATTATCTGTGGTACTGGAGTGGATGGCTTGCTCGCTTTCAGTACCTTGATAGGTCGGTCAAACCTTCAAAATGAAGTGGCATCCGTACGCGGCGCCATCGAACTTTCCGTGACAGATCAGCAACGTAGCAGTGAACGCCTGTCTTTCGTTGATCTTGAGCGTGCAACTACAGCCTTGGATAAGATTCGTGAATCCGTTCAAAATGCCTCTGAATACGAGCGCGGATGGAATGGTAGTGGTGTGCAGCCTGTCATCGATTGGCTGTCAACGACTTCTCAGGCAGTGAATGAAGAAGCCTTGAACCCTGCGCTAGCCCCGCTCATTGAATCATTGCTAGATGCAGCGGAGAAGGGAGTCGTTATCCGTGATGCCGAGGCGCTTCAGGAGCAGACTGCGGGAGTTACCCCTCCGGAGGTCCGCTCGCAACTGGAAAACGGAATCAGTACGTGGGCCGAGCAAGCTCACTCCGAGCTACGCAGCTCGCTGGAGGCAGGCTTTGCTAGTCCACGCTGGCGAGGTCTAGCGTGGTGGAAGCTCTTCTGGCGCGTCGACGACGTGAGCATGATCACATCCGAGATCCTAGAGAAACGCTTCCTCCGCCGCGCAGAGCGCGATGTCATCTGGACGTCCGGCAAGTACCAGCAGGCTGGCCTGCTAGAGGAAGCTACTCCTTCTGCCGATCCCGAGTCCAACTCCGACACGGCCCTTGCCAAGTCGACTCCCCCTCCCTGGCCAACCCAGATTCCCGACACGCGCACTAAGCTGCTCACAACGACCGTTCCCTCTATCCAAGCTCTGGCACAGAGTCTCGTCCTCTTCAGTGTCTCCACCACCACCCTGAGCTCCGCTCTCTCCGCACTCACGTACATTTCCGTCCCATCAGCATCGGTCTACGAATCATGCACCCTAGCTGCAATCGGCCTTATCTACTCTTTGCGCCGTCAACAGAAGAAGTGGGACGTCGCACGAGACTTTTGGGAGGAAGAAGTCCGTGACGAAGGTCGCACGGCACTGCTGGAGACGGAGGCGCTTTTGCGTAAGATTGTCCGTGAGGGTGGAAAGAATTTCGAGGATTTGTCTGATCATCGAACACGTGCGATGATTAGCCGTGCTCGTAAGGCTCTTGAAAGTATTCGGTCTTGAGTGTTTCGTGGGACATGCCCGTGCAATGCCGCGTTCCGGGCTCTGTACATTACACTGTGATTTTGGGATAGACGTCGATCGAGATGTACAATCTACTCTGCTATGTGCCATGACTGGGTTTTAATTGATGTGTAAAGCTGCGCAAACAAACTTTGACTTGACACTAGCTCGTCTCGTGGTGACTGGAGTAAAGATCAGTCACAGTCTGTCGTTTACTCTTGACCAATCACTTGCTTTGGCCCAATCTCACCCCAGTAAGTAGTCCAGTCGGCTTGGCGGCGACACAACCTTATGCCCTTGATCAGTATCCCATTGGTGAGCACAATTCTCCAGCCTATTAAACAAAGAGTATCAAGAAAGTATCATTGTTTCCGAATCTTGATAACATGGCCTATTCACTCGCCGAAATGTCGTTGCTTAGCTCTGGCCGCACCGTTTCTAATGGTCCACCAGTTCGTAGAGAGCACGAACGCCTTCCTTTTTTGCAGCGGGCCCAAGTTCACAAGCCGTGGACGTAAAGTAAAGTTGTATATACGCCACAGCTCGAACAACAAGTACAATTCAATCATGGAGATGCCAAGCAAAGACACGTAACCGTGACTCCGCCATCGATCGGAATCTTAGAGCCTAAGGTGATACAAGTTTAAACAACCTCGTGGGGGTCGGGTAGAGCCGATCTCACCTGCCGAGTTCGTCATGCTTCAGGGTCTGTCATCTTTCCCAAAAAAATCGTTCGTGATCAATTACCCGACATAGGACTAAGTGGATTTAGCGTAAGATGAAGGTGCACAGCGTTCACAATTCTAGTCATGAAGCCGTGACTGGGCCCTTATCAAACCTGAACTATAATTAGCTCCGGTTAGCAAAAACTGCTCGGCAAGAACCCCACATAGAAGACATGTGGCTATGTCTGAAATTATTTATTAGCAAGGCTATCGAACTGAAGGATGATCAAGGGTCCACAAAAATACGAAAGGTAGCTATGACCGGCAACTTTCCCATTAGGCCCCCCGATTTCTCCAATCAATATTCTCATACAAGGAAGGATCAAATTTCCGAAGTGCCCATTGGGCGGGTCTTGCTGACAGCGATACCATGTCTGACCCTCTCCGTCATACTTAGTAGAAGATGACTGGCTATACTCACGAGAGCCCAATTGTATAGTCCCACCTGAGACAATGTCTAGGATGTCTCTTTCGGGGCTTGTAAGCAATACTAGGACGATATTGTGGGTTCGTACATCAGCTATAACAATCAAAAGGGACTCTGGCTGCCTCCGCTTTCGAGGGTTTTGTTTTCTGGAGCTTGAGCTTGATTCCTCTTTGCTCGTGTGTTCAGCATGTGGTCGTCGACGAAACGGCCTTGGCCAGTGGCCGCTCTCATCTTCACAATCTTTTGTTTCGCCTTGATATGGATGTCATCATATCGGCCAAGCTTTGGTCATCCCGCCAGCTTGGGTTCAAGCGTTAGATACGCCAGTAATTCGACGCTGGGATTCCAAAAGATCTTCTACATCAGTCTGCCGCAGTTCGTTTATCTAGTCCCTTCATGTTACCTGTTACAAAAATTGATCCTGATGATCGGAGCGCAGACGCCTAGACCGGCATGATGCAATTACATTGATTAGCTCAATGAGTGGAGTATCGCCAACGCTCGAACCGGGAGTAAGGCCTCCACGCGGTTTTGCTAAATTTCACCACCAGACTCGAGCTGATGATTCTTGCTAGGTCAATGGCACTTTATTGCTCGAGAAGGCATTGCCGGAAGGCAGCGGAAGTCTTCGACCGGAGCAGCTTGGATGCTGGAGGGCACATGCAAACGTCTGGAAACGAATGTTAGACGAAAATATCGAGACTGCAATGATTGTCGAGGATGATGTTGACTGGGATATTCATGTCCGCGACGTTTTCACCGAGTTGAGCCATAATCTTGCGCAGCAGACTTTGTTCCCAAGTTTGTCACCTCGTTCAAACCAAACGATAGCTCCGTACGGTAAGGGCATTTTCCGACGGACACTTGTAACTTGTCACGTCGTCCTAGGCTAACGTGTTTCTGACTGAAGGTCTTGACTGGGACATCTTGTACGTTGGCTCTGCGTGGGACATTCCGAATGAAGAAAATCGTCCACCTCATCTGCTCTATCACGACCCGTTTGCGCCTACCCGAGATCAAACCGGCGGCTCTTATGTCAACGAGCTCGAGGGATGGGGAGCGAAAGTGACAAACACGTCCCGACATCGCTTAGTTGCTCCTTCTTGGTACCCCGTTTCCACGATCGGATACGCAGTCACCAAGAAAGGAGCTCAGAAACTTCTGTACAACCTTGGATATAAGGGATTCGGGTCGCCAATTGATTTGGCCATGATAGATCTCATCAAAAAAGGCGTCGTGGACTCTTATACCATCATACCGCCAATCGTGACGCGGTTTCGGACGGGAGGAGCGAAAGATAGCGACATTGATGAAGTCAAGCCGGAAGACGCTGAGGCCGAGCCGGGGTCTGAGAATCTGAATATGAGCGCGAGGAAGGCAATGGAAAGGCTTTCGAACAAAACATCTTGAATATAATGTTTATCATTTGCTAATTGACTATGTGCAAACACCACTGCAAAACAATACCTACTGCCACGCAGTCTACGCAAGTATCTCCAGTGATATAGGGAAATGCACTTAACCTAGTGACCAATGGTACCTTGAGCTTGGTTGGTTGATGATTACTTATCAACAAGCCGCGGTCGCAGGGTCTAACTATAGCTTTAAGATGCCTATTATGGTTTATGTATTGTGGTTCCAGGTCAAAGTGGTGCCCGAGTATCAAGGTGACATGGACGTTGTATCTAGCTGATCTCCTTGACAGAAAAGATCACCAATACCCAGCGCAAAGAAATCGTAAGCTGCAATCTGCCAAGGCAAATGTCACCAGTCCCACCTCATAGGACTACTGGATTTCTCTAGAAGCCATCGATCCTGCCCGCATCCTCTGTTACCAAAATCAACAGCCGAAGCTATGTCGATCCTGGTCGCGCTTACTGGATAAAATGTCCCGTGTACCTGCAGCTCCACCTGTCAATATCGCTTTATAGCGGAGATTACATTGGCGGCACAGGGGAGGACTGAGCGCTTCGAGGTGTCAAAGTAAAAGAGGCTTCTGCCAATGCATCCAGGATCTCGCAGTCCGACGCTTCACCGGATTTTCAATCGGTATGCTCGCGTATGGTAGGAACACGCGTCGGACTGTTCAATGACAGCGACTGTCCCTTGGTACGAGATCCTTCAGAGACTGATCTGAAGTATATTTCGGCCTCGGGCATCATTCAGCGCACTCCGGGTACACAATCAGCTATATTGAATGCCTAAATACTATTGCTCGATCCAATAGTAACCCGGTAATGAGGATAGTTAAGTATCCATATCGAGGCGTCGGCCACAAATTAGGCAATTTCCGGGAACCTATGAATCGGGATTCTGCACCCGTGGACCTTCACAGCCGATAAGCATTTTAATTGTTCTCTCCCGAAATCTCAAACAAACTCCCCTCGTTGGCCCATTAGCGGTTTCATGATGCGCCCAGCCACCCAATCCGCGGGTGTTCCGTGGGGCTCCCGAGACGGAGGAGATCCAACCACCAGGGTATTATGATTAGCTCAGGAACAGGACGGTTCGTTTGAACGTCTCACCAGCACAAACGGTGGAACAATCATCGTGTTAGTACGGACTTCTGATTCATCACTAGGTAGAGCGTGATACTCCCCGTTTTCGAGTCCCGTACTCCTATTAGGAAAAAGCCCACTTTGAGTGCCCGCTTTTTACCCCTGGTGTCCACGTTGGGGGCCACGTACTTTTTCCCTTTGGAGCATAGAGAGCTCTTTCTGCGCCGCTACGGCAATGTGAATGCACGTTTTTAGGACTGCTGGTCGCATCGTGAGATCCGCTTGATCGCCCCCAGGGCTTGGTACTTATTTCCACCCGCGAAATCTCGGCCTGAATGCGCGTCGTAAAGGCCCCAAGGGCGATAGAGGGGCGGAGCGGGTTTAATATCTGATTATCAAGGGGATTGGCCAAGTCATTTTAACCCGCAAAGCACGGTGCGATGAAGGAGGGCGGGGGCTTGAATTGGCGGACGTTTCTTGTGCTAAGATGCCCCCTGGTTTGAATCTTGGATTCCGGAGTACTTGACTCCCTCGTCCTGCCTCTCATCTCGTCTAGTTTGGTTTTCTCTTTGGTGCTGCCCCGGTTACATTCTCTTCTCTAGCCCTATCGTTGGGTATACCTCTCGTTCAACCACTGCCTTTCTAGGCTTGAAAGTCGCTCTTTTTCTTTTATCACGCTCATTCATTCTTCGCTCTTCCAAGGCTGAGCCTGGCTCCTATCTTTCTCTGAGAATCGAGGTACGTGGAATTACATGGAAAGGGAAACATCCTTCTCACTCATATCGCCTCCTGTATAGAATCGGATAGAGGTTTTTTTTGCTGCCTACTACTGCCTCCACCACCCTCGCTGTTTGTTTGGCTACGTCACAAAGAACGCGATTGAAGATCAAACGGTAAGTGGCATGCCATGATGATGAGCTTATCCCGCGATTGCCCCTCCTCCCGTGTGTGTCCAGTGCTGTGCCTAGGATAGGCAGTCCCGATGCAAGGGGAACATTCCTCTCCTTTCTAAGGAGAGCACTGAGCACTTCACCTTGACCTTCCAAGTTCTCCAAGATGATATTTGGAGCCTTGGGATGAGGATCGACCGGTATGGAGGAACTTGCCATTTTTCGCCGCAACATCACTATCCCGCCTGCTGATGCTGCTGTCTTCAAAAACATTAACGCTGGAGGCCCAAACTGACTCTTATCACAAAGGCCCAACTCCATCGCTCCGTCGACACCACCCTCTTTTACTTTCTTTCAACGCGCTCGCGTATCAGACCGGTTGATTCGGTCCTCCTGGAGAGTTTCTGGCATTCAGTCGTTCCCTACCTAGGTCGTCATTCGTTTCTATCAAACACCATTGTGGACGAAGCTAGATTGCTATCGCCATGATGCAGGACCTTCGCTTGACAGCGGCCTTGGTCGCCTGTCTTACCCTGTTCCCAGCCTTTACTTCTGCGTTCTGGCGCCTTCCCTGCCGTGGGCGAACTGGCGTCGCCCGGCTGGACCCCATCGTTGACCCCGGCGAGATCTCTTCCCACGTGCACGCGATTCATGGAGGAGGAAGTACGTTTATCAATTCTCACGTTCGGAGAACGAGTGGCTGACCTTCTCATGCAGGCTTCAGCATGAACTCGAACATGCAGACTCTGCGCGAGTCCAGCTGCACGTCGTGCGCCGTGACGCAAGACTTGTCTGCATACTGGACGCCCGCGCTTTATTTCATGCACACCAACGGCAGTGCTGAACTGGTCGACGAAGTCGGAGGCATGCTTGCGTATGTTCTTTTCTTGGGTTGCCCGGCTCGCTCATGGTCCTGAACTAACATATTGTTGACCTTCTAGATACTATCTCCTGTACGGAGACAATGTTACCGCGTTCCCCAGCGGCTTCCGTATGCTGGCCGGTGACCCCTTCCAGCGCAACTTCACTTGGCCAGTTCCCGATCCCCCCAAGTCCTCGTGGTCCGGTGATCAGCTCTCCCAGACGGCTCTCCGTCAGAAGGCCCTGGGCTTCAACTGTCTTGACTACGCCGGGACTGCCGAAGCCTCGCTTTACCGTCACTACATGCCGAACAAGACCTTCCTCGATACAAACTGCCCCGATGGACTCCGCCTGGAGCTGATGTTCCCTTCCTGCTGGAATGGAAAGGATGTTGACTCGACCGACCACAAGTCCCACGTTGCCTACCCTGACCTCGTTATCACCGGTACTTGCCCCGAGGGCTTTGAGACGCGTCTTGTCTCGCTGTTCTACGAGACTATCTGGAATACGTATGCGTTCAAGGATGTCGATGGATACTTTGCCCTGGCCAATGGAGACCCCACTGGATATGGATACCACGGTGACTTCATGTACGCCTGGGAAGATGGCGTGCTGCAAGAGGCTATTGACACTTGCACAAGCGAGTCGGGCGAAGTCAGCGCTTGCGAAATCTTTGATATTCAAAGCGAGACGGAAGAGCGCGAGTGCTTCCTTGACTTGCCTTCTGCGCTTGAGAATGAGAACGTCCAGATGCATGCTGACGGTCTGCCGGGCCCCATGGGTATTCAGTGGGGCCCAGCCTACGCTACTATGGCAATGGCATCTTCCTCTACCACTTCCTCTTCGTCCACCTCGGCCTCCACCAGCACCAGTGCCCTATCCGTCTCTGTCAGCGTTACGGTTGACTCTGGAAAGGTGCTTGGCCATGCTGACAATATCAATACCGCTGAAGCCACCACTAGGTCCTCTACGTCTACCTCAACGCCGACTCCTACTCCTACTACCTCAATTCAAGTCGACCAGTACACCGAGGAGATTATTTACGTGAAGCAGGAGGTCATCGTCATGCTTGGTGAGGGCGGAGTCCCATACACCACCAGCACCGGCTCTCAGACCACTGTATCCACTGCACTGGTGACTGCTACTCAGACCTCCACCGTGGTATCCTATGTTGAGAAGAGAGACGATACTCTTGCGGAACCTGAAAAACGGGATCCCAGCGCCGAGAAGGAAGCCCGACATGCTCATAACCATCGTCACCACTCGCACAAGAGACACGGTCACTAACGGACATGTAAACGTGGTCTGGGATGGGAACACGATGCTGTGCGTGGCGTTCCTTCTCGTCGATCGAATTTCACCTCGAGTGCGGTTGCAGTTTCATCGACTCCCTTGGAGTGTTGGACTATGACTCGGGTCTTTTCTATTCATGTACATGTTTGCTCTTGTAAATGTCCTGGATGCATCCCCTGTCGAGGGGTGATAAATCCATATTGCTGATACCATCAAATCTCACAAAACTTGCTTGACCTGAACATAAAACAGCGTTCGGCTGATTACGTCGATCCAAATTCGTAAATGATTATATTTGTGTAATTTGTAGTGCATCTTTCAGTAGTGAAGTAACGTGGGGGCTATAAATGGTCTTGTCGGACTGCAGTATGATGTCTTAAAAGATGTGAGAGGCAAATACAGTCTTTTAGCTGCTCTGACTGAGACAACGTAGGTTTCATGACACCCATCCTTTTGGATGATGCCTTACTCTTAGGCGACTCGAAAGAGTGACCAGGGAATTGTTATCGCTACTGTGTGACCCCTGAGCGGGACAGATGAAACGTGAAGCAGCCTCGATCATGCGGTGCGATGGTCTCGATCTTTGATGCAGCCATTGCCAGCTTCTGAGACCTTTATCTTTCGCTACGAAAAGTCAATACCCCATCACGCCATTCCCCCTCTAGATTTTCCGAAATATTTAAGTAACTCTTCAGCTGAAATTACATGAGAGACAGCTTTCGAGCTATTTAGGGCTGTCGTTGACATACAGGTGACACCGCAGCGGGCACGTTTGACGGCGACATTATTCTGGTCCACTCTGTAATTCCTGGGGTTTACGGAGGTAATTTTGTCACACTCGAGGCAGGGGTATCGTGGCTTTGCCACGCCCCTGGTCGCCATTCAGAAACCTTACTGTCAGATGGGCCTGGATTGGAATCTTCTCATCAAGAATTTGCTCGTGTACTTGTAGTTTCTGACAATTTTGAATGTGCATTGAAGACTGATGACATGCTGTAGACTACTCCAGTAAATCTCTTTTTGGATTGTTACAGAAGATGCAATCGGGTAGTATGGACTCTCTCTTGGGAAATCTCGATCTTCGAAAGCTCAGCCAGAGCGCTCAAGAACGTCTCGATTGGGTGTAGAGATGGCTCGATAAATGGCTCTTCTAGTAGGCGCATCTTACTGCTGTCTTGGAAGGGTATAAGAGCTCTCTAACCGACCTCGATTGTTTGACCTATCGGCCACTGTAGGATCTTACAAGCAGTACATTCAGCATCGCCTGGACTTTCAAATCTTTTACTCCACGATCAAGATGTTTTACTCGATAGTGATTCGCTCGCTGACTTTCCCTATTACCACCTTCGCATTCCCTCGAGACACAGCAATCGATAAGCAAGTCCAGCCTACTCATGTTGTAACGGCAGAACCACCGGGCATCACTGAGGAAGGATCCCTTCGGTGCTTTGATGGAGCTACTGTCCTGCATACAACAGATTGTACGATGGGCACACCAGTCTCCTTCTGCTACAAGCCTCAGTCACCGATCACCTGTGACCAAGGATATTTCCCTTCAGTGTGGCATCCCGATCACTGTATGCAGGAGTCGACTTGCTTCCCTACAGATGCAGACTGGATCACCACCGAATGCTCCAACGGTGCGTTGCCCATCTCGACTGAAACACTATACAGTGGAAAATTGGTCGGAGGAGATGACGCCATGATAACTTGTGAGTTGAGAACCTTAGTCTCTCATTTTGAGGTTGGAACTAATATAATTAGCTGTCGCTTGTTCGTGCCCATCGGATCAATGGCATAGCGTTACTACCATGGACGGGGCTTCTAGCTTCGAGACGTACTGTATGCCTACCCGATCATGTCCACCTGGTATGACAACGTCTTTGAGCATTAATGAGTACTGCGCAACTACTTCGGCAGCCATTTGCTCAGATTTACCAGCCCAGGCAGATCGTTGTGAATGCGTGGGCCAGGAAATGACACCTCGATATCCTGAGGGTCCCGGTGCGACTGCTACTGGGTGTGATAGCACTTAGCAGCACATTGTCAGCCGGATGATCTGGACGATTGAGTTGGTCTTTTTGGTCTTTTTGAAATCCTTGATGGAAAGTACAGTCCTTATTGATTATTTTTGATTTGAGTGGTTTGGTTGGTTAGTTATCCGCCAAGTCAATTGACTAATCCCTATGTAATTGGTAATGGAATACTGGAGATGGAATTGAAGTTCCCTCTTTGCTTGAAATTCAACTAAGAATGGAAGTATTAATCATCGTTTACCTAGCCTAACTAAGACATTCTGTACTCGTAATCTCCAGAATCTGAGGACCTGTCAAGTCGATGCTGATGTGACATCGTCTAGCGTCAGCAATGGCTGCCTTTTCACCGGGATGATATTTACGTCTGTGAACCAATGTAGCTATGGAATATCGTACAAGATAAATGCCGGTGTATAAAAAGAATTGAGGATACTTGTAGACGTCAACCAGACCATGAGACTTAAATTCTCCAGTAGAAGGGTTCAATTAGTAGATTCGCTACGGTCGCATATCCTTCACTTGCAAGAATCATCTTGATGCAGACCCATTGGCTTGTTATTAACACTGCAGTAGAGTTGATTATTCCACAGTTAGTAATAAACCCCATCTCCCAGGTTTCCCAAACGCATCTCGACCTAGAGTAGGGCTTCCTAATGTAAATCCCTTGGCATGGTGTTAACATGCTAACACCCCTCACGTTAGTGGAAAGCTTGCATGTCACAGCTGCATTCTTATTTTCTGCTACTGTAGTACACCGGAATTGCAGATCTATCAACCTCTTGAGTCAAAGCAGTTCCATCGGTTTCGATCTCAATCACCAATTAGCCTGAATCCCCACTCCACCATATTTCCCCGAAGCCTGGACCCTTGATCGGCGTCCCAATTAGGAATAAGAGACAACCATTCTGTCGAAGATACTCCCGTTAGCTCCGTGTCAACTCCGTCTCTGCCCCTCCTCCTGTTCCGGACATTAGCTTAGCTACCCCGCATCGATTATTCCCGTGAAGGTGGTGCTACAGGATGCAGTTACATTAGGTTCCTATTTCGCCGAAAACCCGATTCTTGATTTTCTCCTTAAATTGCATCATTCCTGCTCCAGATTTGTCGTCTATTTATTTATCTCCACGCCTTCCTCCTCTTCCTCTCCATCCCCCGCGACATTGAATCCATTACAATCTCGCTCAAAATGTCCGAAGGTCTTCCTGAAATGCAGTACCGGAATCTGGGCCGGACGGGTCTAAAGGTGTCCGTCATCTCGCTCGGAAGCTGGCTCACCTACGGTGGCCATGTGGGAAATGGTAAAAATCACCCAGTATCCTCAATTCGTCTTGAAGAAGTACTGACCCCGTTGAAGAGACTTCTTTTGATTGTTTAAAGGCCGCATATGACGCCGGCGTCAACTTCTTCGACACCGCCGAGGTATACTCTGGTGGACAATCCGAAATTGTGCTCGGTGAAGCTATTAAGAAGTTTGGTTGGAAGCAAAATGACCTGGTTATTTCCACCAAGGCAAGTACCTCCTATATCCAAGTAACCAGTCTTGATTTTTGGCTGGATCTAACCATTCAACTAGATCTACTGGGGCAAAGCAAACAGTGCCAACCCTGATAAGCCTCTCAACAACAATGGCCTCTCACGAAAGCACATCATCGAGGGCATGAACCTGTCTCTTAAGCGTCTGGACCTTCCTTATGTTGATATTGTTTATGCCCACCGTCCAGACCGTGACACGCCCATGGAAGAGATTGTGCGCGCTTTCAACTATCTCATTAACAATGGCAAGGCCTTCTACTGGGGTACCTCTGAGTGGTCTGCCAGCGAAATCTCCGATGCCTGGCGCATCGCCGATAGACTCGGTCTCATTGGCCCAGTAGTCGAACAGCCCCAGTACAACTTGCTTGCGCGCGATCGTGTCGAAAAGGAGTACCGCTGGCTGTACGAGGCTCATGGTCTAGGCTTGACCATTTTCTCGCCTCTCAAGGGCGGTGTTCTGACCGGAAAGTACAACGATACTACTACCCCGCCTCCAGGATCACGCCTGGCCGAGTCCGAGGATGGCTACATTAAGGGTCTTCGCAAGACTGTTGGTGACGATACGTGGACGAAGCAGTTGCAGCAGGTTGCTGCGTTGAAGCCTATTGCGGAGGAGTTGGGTATTACGACCGCTCAGCTGTCTCTAGCTTGGATTCTGAAGAACCCCAACATCTCGTCTATGATTACCGGTGCCTCTCGTGTTGAGCAAGTGTATGAGAATCTGCGTGCGCTTGCTGTGGCGGATAAGTTGACGGATGAGGTAATTGAGAAGATCGAGGCTGCGATCGCTAACAAGCCTGCTGAGGAGATCAGGAGATTCTAAATTTATTCGGTAGCTTAGAAAAGAATGCAGTCCTTGTTAGAGTCCGTCCCATTTACTATCCGTGTGGTATCTCTCGATCGATCTACTACAAGATCATCTCCCCACATTCACACAATGCCTACTCTGGGTTTCGTCGAAAGTATCTTACTACTGGCACACAAGTCCTGAATCCAGGTTGGCTATCAGAATTATACCTGGGGAAACTGCTTCAGCGTGAAATTTCTACAGGTTCCTTGTGTGACGCGACGAGCTGTTACAGTTCAAATCTCGTGGGCAAAGAATCGGAATACTGACGACGTAAGCACAAGCCTCTACGGGCAAGAAGCATACAATAAATTTGGGGAACGGGGAATGGCGAGCTCATCTTATAGCGGAGGACAAGGAAATATCTAGCAAGACCAGAGAACGTCTCCTATAGACCTGCAAAGCAGCAGAGAGCGTGGTTCTTGAAATCTTCATCCAGGGAACCTGGAATGTCGAACAATTAATTCTTCATATTTATTATGAAAAGAGTCACCAATGCTCGGAATATCCTTCAACTGACTATTTCAGCAAGACAGACTCATATTTTCATGCTTGCCAGATGTTGTGTGAAATCAAAATTTGGTGGATTTTCACAGGGCTGGAGTTACCGGGCTCAGCGAGCCCCCGAGTGAGACATCAAAGTCATTCACCAGATGGCTGGCTGAAGCTACCCCTTTCAACTCCCTAACGAGCTGCTAAACTATAACCTTTTGGTGACTCTCTTTTTCTGAATGCATAAGATACATAAAATCATCTCAGGTCAGTAGTAAACTTTGTGGCCCCCTATGGTTAGTGGATAGTAAGACACGGAATTCATCGGTTGCCTAGTGGTCGAGATGGAAATTTACGAGCCCCTCTATCAGCCATTCACTTGTATTGGATCAAGCTTACATATGACTTCAATCTGCATTATTCATCATCAGTTCTCTACTTAACTTCCAATCCGACCCTCCCTGCAGTACTTAATTCGTAACAGCAATTCATCGTGTATCAGACTCCGTGGAAGCACTGGAGCTTTCCATCTATACTTTCCGTCTTGGTAAGGTCTAGGAGTGACCCCAGAAAGTTCTATACCCAAAATGTCACTTTCAAACTCGCCACTGCTTATCTATGCATCATGCAGATAACCCTAGATCTTCGCGTCTCCTGCGAGGCGTCGGGAATCAGCTGCCAGTGGCGAAAATCCCTCATACATCCTGATTGATGTAGTTCTTTGTTACTCCAGCGCGACAATCAAAATTTACTGGTTAGTTGATGTACTACCTCTTGCTCTACTCTCCTGTAGCCATACAGGATCTAGTCAAATTCCCACAGACAGTCTCATATTAAACACTTCTCTCGGTACTCACTAATTTGAATCAACTTTCGATGGCGCCCTTCGTGCCCACTGGGAATCTATACTTCTGCTCAGAAAAGAGTACATTCTGCTTCTGCAACAATTCTCGAGGCAGCAATTTCTACCGACACGGATGTTACCTAAAAGATAACTTATCAAGACTACTTAACGACATGACCACAAACAATCTGACTTGCAGACCTTGGTACCTGAATATCCCCGCACTTTTCAGCTTATGTTCCCTGGCATCGGATGTGCTGCAAAAGCGTGAGACGGCACGGCCCTTGCGCGCGTCGATCTTCAGCATGAACTTTCTATCACGAACCCGATTGATAGCCAAGCGATAATAAGTGCGGGGCTTGCTGCAGAGGTTCGTTTAGGATGCATGACAGTTCATGACATTGGGGCGTTTTCAGCCGAATCTGTCAAGGGTCTATACCATATAGAGCTTAGTGATGGCGCTAAAGTGTGATGACAAGGAAAGAAAGAGTTGTCTGACATGGTACGCTGCAGATACCTCAAAATTTTGCGCCAGCCACTGTTTACGCCTCTACTGTATTAGGTAGCCGAGTCTAAGAGTGAGGGTCTAGCTTTGCAACTGCGCCCTTGGGTTACGCGTGTATGTGACTTAGTGATAGCAGAGTTCTCGAATCCAAGCTAGTAGTGTTCTTTCTTCGTTCACTGACACCAAAGCAAACTGGAGCTAATATGTGGCTCTAAATAATTGTTCGCTACTGAAATTTGCGCTCAATAGGCAATTTGTGAATAGATTGAATTGAATTAAATGATGGAAAGCCCAAATTTATCTTTCTGATGCTTAAAATTGTGTGGCCAACTAGAATACGACCTTGCCAGTCCCGGCATTGCCGACACTTGAAGTTTGCTCAGGCAGCCTGTTCGGTGGCAGAAGTACGATGCAGATTCTCCAGGTGATTGCTTTTCCCGCTGACTGCTGTCATATCTTCAGCAAGCCATTGCAGATCGAGTGGCGGTTGGAATTTCTACTGGCGCAGTTTGGTCTCGTATGATAGTTCTACAGAGCTGAAGCAGCATAGAATCAAGCTGACACTAGTTCCAACATGAAGGCAGAGAGATATATAAATTAGGACAAAGAATCAAAGACTACACTCAATTGCTCGAATCATCCCCCTCAATCTCTTGAAATTTCTCATCTTCTCCCTTCTTGATATCATCATGCGCGGCCTCTCTCTAGTCGGTTTGACTCTTCTCCTCCGTTCATATCTAGCATACGCCGAGAAAGTTGCGGTCAAAGAAATTGGTGATGACTTCACTATTGATGGCGACCATGTTACATGGCCTGATGGCCCCTTTACCGGAAGTCTGTCTTGCACTGGTCCTGACAAGGTGCTCAGCTTGAGTGCTGACAAGAAATACGGCACCTGCTGCCCACCGGGTGCGAGTCTCAAGGGATCGGCCAAGACTGAATGGCACTGCTGTGGCCAAGGTCACGATGTGACGGGCTCCAAAGCCGTTGGCTTTGAGTGCTGTCTGGAAGGTTCCACCTTCGATGGCAAAACATGCAAGCGAGCAAACAAGTGTACTAATGGCAAGGAGATGATCAATGGGAAATGCCAATGTTCTGATGGCAAGGAGGAGGCTGCAGATGGTACTTGCAAGTCTGCCAAGTGTGACTCGGGCATAAAAACTGGTAAGTCCAAATTGTTGGCAGCCTTTCCTTTGGGATGCTGTTTTCCCTTTGCGGGTCGACTGATAATATGCAGGTAAATGCTATTTCTTCAAGGGACGATCGGGCAACTATTTGACATTCAATGCCAACCAATACTCCGAGACTGGTCTCAGTAAATATATCAGGCCCGGCAAGTTTCAGTTCTGTCAAGATCCAACGTGCATTGCTGGCCTGCCCGTCAATCCCAGCAACGAGGTTCAAATCAAAGATCTCCACGGCACGCTGCCAGCCGCAACCGATGCCGGGCAGTGGCTGGACGGCAAACAGAACGGTGGACACATAGGCAAGACACCCGACTACTCCAAGGCCGGAAACTTCTCTATCACCAAATGGCCCTGTGGAAAGTATTGCCTTACCGGATTTGTCGAAGGAATCACGCAGGCTTGTCCAGACGTCAGCCCCGGCATCAGCATGGATACCCGTGCCACGGACTCGTGCATTGAGTTTGAGCTTCTGGAGGTACCGTGTGATCTCAGAGATGATGCCAATAACTGCATCTGGAAGAATGGCGATCAATGCTGTGATAAGATTGATTGCCGCGGCAAGACTGAATGTGCCTCCAAGCCTATACATCAAGATTTGAAATGATGGTTAATCGAGCGTCTCACAGAATTAGGTGAGCGCTTCACTTGGTTGGAAGGATTCGTCTACGCTACTCTGTTCTTGGTCACTCTTAATTCCGCCAAACTCTTTTCCTTGCTTCAGTCTGATTATCTGGGTTGGTTGAACGCTCGCTTTTTGTTTTACTTCAACGCGGAGAATATTGGACGAGAATCGGGTTATCCTGTCCAATCTTCTCAGTCTGATGAGGTGTCGTCCAAGTCTCTTGATAAACTGCCCAAGACCCCTGATGAATCCTCTCAGCATAATGAAGAATCATCTGAGTCTCATGAGGAGTCCTCCCAGTCTTTTGAGGAGCTTCACGAGGAGCTGTCTCGGTCTCATGATAAGTCCTCGACGTCTATGAAGGAATCCTCTAAGCTTCATGACGAATCATCTGAGTCTCATGGGGAGTCCTCTCAGTCTTTTGAGGAAATTCACGAGGAATTGTCTCAGTCTCATGATGAGTCCTCTAAGTTGCTTGAGGACTCCTCTAAGTTTGTGAAGAAATCCGCTCAGATTCATGAGGAGTCTTCTCAGCTCCAGGAGGAATCTTCTCAGCCTCTTGATGAATTAACCAAGACTCTTGACAAATCCTCTCAGTCTCATGAAGAATCATCTCAATTTCTGAAAGAATCGTCTCAGTTTCTTGAAGATGAAACCTCACTCCTTCAAAGTGGCAGCTACTCGGTGAATGTTATTTCGTATCAGGGATACCGTTCCTCGCCCTAGTCAATCATTAGTCGAATGAAGAAGTTCACATATATATAGCTATTTTCACCGGATTTTGTCCGCCGGGTTGGGCTTTCCTATCTGGGCCAACTTTGTTTCTTCACAACGGATGGCGCAGTCTACTTCAAGCTGCTTATGTTCATAAATGTCCAGGTGGTAGGGCCATTATACTGAAATGAGTCACGCTTGAACAATGGAAGAAAGCTAGACCATATTGACCATTTTTAAACGTTGAAAGAAGAGCTTACCAGAAGGGTCTCTACCATATTTGAATTGGAGCATCACGCTAACCCTGGGGTATTCGTATATTTGGGTAGTTTCTGGGGACTGATCTTCAGTATATAATCAAATGAGAAACTGAAGGTCTTGACACTACAACTACGAAGCCACCGCCAGGATTAAAAGCACGACCTGAATGTCGAATTCAAAGGGATAGACTTGGTGGAATAATTTATGGTGACAATTGCGCCCGTTATCAAAAACGGACGTGGATTGATATCGAGGCTTAAATACACTTTCCGCCATCAATAACCATTTCAGTACCGTTCACAAAGCTGCCCTCGTCACTACCAAGGTATAGGCAGATGTTAGCAATGTCATCTACCTCGGTCAAGCGACCCAAGGGAACGTTCCCAATGAACTTCTGGCGGTTCTCAGGGGTATCCTCCATGCCGGTGAACATGGAAAAGAGGCCGGTACCGGACAACAGGGGGGCGACGCTGTTGACTCGAATATTATGAGGACCATACTCGGCTGCAAGACCCTTAGTAGCCTATGAAAACAAGTCAGTGACTATTATCACTCTCAATGTATACAAATAACGACTTACATTTGTCACGGCGCCCTTGGAGGCATTGTACCATACCAAACCCGGCCGAGGACGACTAGCACCAGTTGAAGAAATGTTGATCATAGAGCCACCCTGACCTTGCTCGATGAATTTCGGCATCACTACCTGAGCAGCCAAGAAGATGCTCTTAACATTGACGTTAAACACTCGCTCCCACTCATCCTCGGTTACTTCGGCGGTAGGCTGTCACCGAGTCAGCTGTTTATCTTTCCTCAAATCCCTCACATCACCCAAGATCCATACCTTGTTCCGATAGCTAGTTCCGGCATTATTCACCAAAATATCCAGTCTTCCGTACTCGGAGAAGGCCAAATCAACAATGGCCGTCCAGTCGGACTTTTGTGTAACATCCATGCGCTGGAACTTGAGGTTGCCGGGATTCTGCGCAGCGACCTGCTCGCCTCCTTGAACGTTGATGTCTGCGACCAGCACCTTGGCGCCTTCTTCGCCAAATCGACGAGCAATCGCAGCGCCAAAGCCAGAGCCACCTCCTGCAAGGTTAAAGATATTATATTAGATCAGGACAGATTGTAAGAGGTCAATGGTTTTGGAATGCCTCACCGGTGACAATGGCAACCTTTCCTTGCAATCTGAAGCCTTGGGGAGACATGTTTGCAGTTGGGCAGATGAATTTTGTATGAGAAATTGAATTCGATGCAGGAGAAGTCACAAGTTTAAAAGCAGCATGAGCAAAGGAGGGGCAATCAGATGTTCGGCGTGAAATCCGTGGTTTCCCCGCATCGCGCCGAGCCCGAGACGCCGTCACGGCTGTATGCTTACTGGGAAAGTACCATTAGGCTTCTCCACCAGCTGAAAGTAAGTTTGCATTATTTGGATAGGATTGAGGTTTCCTATCAGGGCCTAGTATTACCCTGTCATCTGTGGCTGTGGTATGGTCGAGCCGATAAAAACGCACGGGAAGGGCAACCCCACTAATGCAGCATTAGCTTCAGGGACGGATATCGCCCGAAAGGTTGATCGAAAGTCATTTCACCAGATAACCGGTGATGATAGCATCTAGAGAGACTGAAAATGGGATCTCCAGGTGACAATGCGATAGGTGTTTTTGTTGGTAATAACTTCCTTATGAAATCTTTGATCGATCAGAAAGTCTCCGAAGACTTTGATGAAGAGGAGCGATCTACAGTATGCTTGGGGCCCACTCCGAAGGAAATGAACTTCGCCCGAGAGAGAATCTTGTTCTCCACTGCGTTGAAAGCAACTTGTTGGATTGAGCTGGCAGGCTAGTGGCCCATTGTGTCATATAAATTCCCGACCATGTTGTTTGTACCTTGTTGGAATAATATGATCAGACCGTCGGTGTCCTAACCGGTTGACCGAAGTGGAGGTTGAAAGTTCATGATAGTCATATAGCTTTGCAAACATTTCAGAGAAGCAAATGTACAATACTTTAATGTCAACTTCAAATCGAGACACTTAGAAATAATGTTCCTTTCAAGAGTGCTAATGTTAGGGGGTGTAGACTCGGGTCGACGTCGATATCCCCCGCTCGCCCCGATGCCTCTCATCCTGCACACATGTGGATATGAATCAATACTGTAGAATTTATACATAACTACCCGTATTGTGCTTTCACGGGCCCTCGGATCATGATCATACTCTGAAAAAAAAAAAAAAAAAAAAAAAAAAGACCAACATGTGTACAGGTCAGCAATAAAGGCCCCACGTAAATCCACAAGCCGAGCATGGCGGATATGGTTAGTACTTTAAGCTCAAGATCTATACGAGTCTCCCAGTACCTAGAAAATCTTATCCTCAGTTCCATGCATGGAGTCAAATTTTCAGGAAAACTTACCTCGATCTGCTTTGGTTCGATAAAGAGCGCCCTGGCCTCTGCGATCAGAATCGCCTCATCACCGTCAACCGGAAGAGTCTCAATCCGACTATAGCCCCAGGCCTTGCGACCTTGCAATTTCGTCGTCTCCGCAGACAAGGCAATGTATGAATCAGCCATCAAGGGTTGATGGTGCTCAATATTGAGATTGGCAGTGACCCCAACTTTGTGAGGCAGGGCTGCAAAGCAACACCTTGCCAAACCCTCGTCGAAAAGGGCCGCAATCAAACCATTATGGATGACTTGTGGATAGTCACACAAGTTTTCTCCAAGGTGCATAAACATCACCAACTTCTCCCCGTTCTCCTTACTGAAGACATATGGCGGCACGGCGATTTTCCGTGGTCCCGTAAGCGCGCCTGTCATGAAATTCTGGGCACGAAATTGCTCTGCTACTTTCAAGTGTGGTCGTACCTCCGTATACTTCGGATCATTCCGAAGAGAGATTGCGACCGGATGGTTCTGGATGAAAGCATCGATCTGATCTGCGGACTGGGTGTCTTCTGAGATTGCGGGCGCAATTGACCCCATATTGAGAATAATCGAATCAAATACGATAGACCAAAGCTTTTGTTTGGATTATGCAGGACAGTCCCTTCGTCGAAGAAAAAGAAAAAGAATAGAGGATAGGGAGGTATGAAGAAGTCATTCGTGAGCTGCGGGTAGATTACCTCGGGATTCGATCCGGGTTCCGTGACCCCGAAGCCGCCGTCTCGGGAAAAGATACCATGATCTACTCCGTACAGCTGGGACCAGACGCTACAGCTGATAAAACTTTCCGAAGATATTTGACCGTTTTAGTCTATGAGTTTCTCTCCAAGGCTTAGGGTTAGTCGATTTGATTTGGGTAGCCAATTTACTCGAATGTATTAAAAGCAAAGTATAGGTGCTGACGGACTTGAGAAGGGGGCAAGGTGGCGCACCATCGATTATATCGACTCTATTTGCAGCCCCTTTACAAATGATCACATACATCCACATCGCGAACACGGCTTGACTTCGATTTGAGGCCCTGGTGCTTCACAATTCGAACAGAAAGACCGAGATTGCGGGATGTTCTTGGTGGGGCCAGACCTATACCTCCTTCGCCGGCGGCCCCTGCATCAACACTGATCTAGGAGACTTTCGGCTGACCCTATGAGCTGGCACACTATACTGAGCTTGCTCCTGCTTATTTCTCTTGCAGTTTGCTACCCATATACGGAGTAGAGTACCCCGTACTTGACTCACAGTTGCGGGCTCCTCGTATCTCACTCGAACCGCCTCAAGCGCGGGCTTAATAACAGAGTTTCCGTTCGGACAACGCGGGGGAAGGAGAGGAAAGGAAAACCCGCGTAGCCAAACAAACTACACACGATAGATACTTGAACAGCAGATAATCAGATAGAAGTATAAACTAATCATAAGGTGTGCACAGTGCACAGTGGATAGTGATCCTCGGAGACGGTCTATTCTTTTCTTAATTCTCGCATTCTTACTGGATAATCTCCTCGTGTCTTCTCAGCCCCTGGCGGAGGTACATTTCCCCTCCTCCACTCCCGGACACACTAATTTAGCACCTGGCACTACTTTCTCAGCCCTGTCGCGCTTTCATTCTTTTGCATCTCAGATTTCGCAACTCATTTATAATGACCTCTTCCATCTCGTCCACGATGTACTGAAAGTCTACTCTGTACACGTCTTCATGTCGCGACCCCACACCTCGTTCCTCCCTCCACACCCCCCATGGAAGTGCGCAATGCGGGCGCTCCATTAAAGGCTGAATCGTCGCCAGACTCGCAATCTCCTTCGCACTCCCAATCGCCAGACTCGCAGTCTCCATTGCAAGCTCCGTCCCACAACCAACGGCCCTCGTCCGAGCCTGCTCCACCTCGAAAGCGCGTCCGCCGCTGGCACCATCGCGGATTCAAGGGTTGCTCGACGTGTCGCCGTCGCCATGTACGCTGCGACGAGGCGTCGCCAACCTGCAACAACTGCACGCGCCTGGGGCTCCAGTGCGATGGCACGCAAGGTCGTATGACATTCAAGGTCTATGGGCCATCCCAGGCGCAGGATGCGGGTCAAGCGCCTAGGAAGCAGAAGAAGGGCAGCCGCAGCCCAGAGTCATTGGGCGAGTCGTACATCACAAGTACTTTCTCTGTGAAACTCAAAGACGCAAAGGCGGAGGATTGCGAGGCCCTGATCGTGTCACCGACGACCGTGTCGCAGTGGTCGGGCCAGACTCAGTTCCGTTTCCAGCAACCCGTGTTCCAACCGAACATCCGATCATTGACCATACAGTGTACCGACGAGCACTACTTTTCGCATTTTGTCAACCAGGTGTCGACCTTGTTGATCATCTACGACACCCATATCAATATCAATCCCTATCGCAGTTACTTCCCGGATTTAGCGCGCTCGTCTCCCTCGATGATTGGCGCGATGCAGGCATTGGGTGCACTGCATCTGGCAAACACCTCGGTCGGCGCGGATCGTAATAAACATTTTCAGCAGGCAATGGGGAAGTATGGGCAGGTTGTAAAGATGTTTCGAGATCGGTACGCTCTTCCTGGTGGACAGCTTGGGATGAGGGACTTTGCGACCTGTTTACTGCTCTGTCTATTTGAGGTGCGTGTCGCTTTCAGCAGATTCAGCGCGAAGGTAACTAATGAAGACAATAAAAGATGATGGACTCACAGCACCAGAATTGGGACGTCCACCTCAAGGGCGCGCGCGAAATCTACAACTTCCTCTTCTTCCCGCATACCGGCAATGCTGCTCGCGAAGCACAACGTCTCGTCGAGATCAGACATCCTCTCCGATCATTCCTCGTCTCCTTGCTCTCGTATCTGGATGTGGCTGGTGCATGTGCGAGATCAGGTGGCACGGTGGTAACCGGAAGTTACTGGAAGACCCATGGAGGAGGATGGGAGTATAACCTCGGGATGCCGAGTCTATCTACCTCGCCTCTTCAGGATGATCCACGGTTGCTAGAGTTGCGACAAGCGTGGTCCAGCATGATGGAGGTCCAAGCTGCGATTAGCACGTTTGCTCGCGATAAAGAGTGGATGTCCCCGGATCACCAGGATATGGTGTACAAGAATATTTTCCACGAGCTGGTAACTTGGCGCGCCAGCACGCCGATTAGCCTACAGTTACTTGGGGATATGGACTTGGATGATGACACTTTGCGAGGATTCCCGTATCCCGATATGTTGGAATACGTCGGGTGCGTGGAGGCCTATGAAAAGGCGACCTTCGTTCATCTGCATCAGATAGCTGGGGCGGGTCGACCAAACTGGATCACCGACCGAGCGTACCTGGACATGCTCATTACGCGCATTCTTACCCTCATCCGCAAGCTATCCAAAGACGTGGGTCAGCTGGCCGTCTTGTGGCCTCTTTTCATCGCCGGACAGGAAACCCGCAAGCAAGAGGAGCAGCAATACGTTCAGCAAACCATGCACGAGCTTAAACGGTTCGGCTTTAGAAATGTCGACAAAGCGCTGGAGCTCCTCGAAGGTGTGTGGTTTAAACGGCGCGCGTTTCCGGAAGGCTGGACGGAAACGTTGAATGAGATTCAGACCAATATTCTCTTGCCATGATGGGAGAATCGTTGGCCCACATTCTTGGCACTTCAATCCTTCAACGATAATGCCCAGGGACACCTATAGTGCGGCATTGCCATCGCATTGCCGAGAGTCCTCCGATCTCTCCTCACGACGCGCATCCGCGTCGTGTATCTCGATACCCTCATCCCCACTCTGCTGGACTACTGTTACTCCAGCATGTTCATACACACAACATATTTCATGATAGAACACGGACGAGCTTGACACGAACTTGGAACGAAATGCTCATACGTTTTGGAGTCGGGGTTTCATTGTTTATACATACATAGTTTCTGGACACACATTATCTTTCTCGGATATACCATTGTGAATAGTTAATGGTCTCATGAATGTTTCTTGAGCGAATGTCAATGTCGAATTGCTGAATTTCAGCTTCTATTCCATGATGACTCTGCTTTTATCCTCGTCTCGACCGATACATGACCGGCTAACGACGGGGGGCCAAAGAGCGCGCAGAATGGCCTTTAACCATCTGATCGACCAGGGTTCTCAATTCTCGAGCCAAGTGGGGCTGCCCGTGCCCAAACCGGACCAATCAATGTCCAGTATAGGGCCACATCATAATCCGCGAATCACGAAGCTTGCGGGACATCCTTCGCAGCAAGTTTCCTTGTCAGGCAGTGCTTTGCGCATATCTACCCTTTGACACGATATGCGAAATGCGCCTTCGCATTCACATCTTAGGATAAGATTGTATTATTGTATAAGGATGTGAAGCACTTACCAATTCGAATCTCCCGTTTTCGCAACCCCCCTGTCAGGTCCATTCGCGCTCTTTCGGTGCCCCAACCCGCTTGCTTGATTCATTGGCGGGTCTCGGGTGGAGGCTAAAACGAAGCACTGAGAACGAGAAAAAAAAAAAGAACAAACCGGAAAAATCCCTTGCCCCAGCAAGTCTTGCTCCACGGACCAGACAGCTCCGAGTGTTCAACTGGTGGACTACAATCCTAAATCCTGTTGATCGTCACTCTCAAGTTATTCATACAGACTCGAGTCTTCCCAGCAGCTTGTAGCTCTCTTAGCTCTCTTTTACTGCCACTACTGTAGGTTTTTATCGATATACCCGCGGTCGCTGCTTAAACGCAGATCTTGTACAACAGCTCACACAATCCCTGTCAATTAATAGTATACTCTACCGCAGTTCTACGCATTGTACGGAGTATTGACTTATCGTCAGACGATCAAGAATCCCCACTATATTCCACCAGCGTTTTTGCTTGACCCAGACGGGTTACCGCGTCAAGCTAGCGCCCTCCTCCCTAAACTTCCCGCGCGGTGGGGTTCGCAGGTTCCTGTCTGACCGAGCGCGCGAAAGGGCCTATCCAGAGCCAAGGGTCAAAAGCTAATACTCAACCAATTTTTTTTCTCGTGTTTTTGATCTTCTTCGCCGGAAATACATCAAGGACCTATCGCATCTAACTCGGCAGGGAAGCGCCTTTCGTCTCTTGCGAGTCAAGCTTCTGGGTTTCGGTCTTTCGCTTCCGACATTTCTGGTGTTCTTCGGCCGACTACTCAATCGCTTCCATGGTGCATGAACGGGATGACCTCGTCGTCGGTCGCGATGACCTGATCGCCGACGGAGAGGGTGATCGTAGCTCGATTGAGGCCAAAGATGATGCTGCTCTGCTAGTAAGTGATACCAATTTCAACGCACTTCCATGTTCTCCGAAGGCTGTCTGGCTGACTGCATGTTATAGCGAACGATGGGCTACAAGCCGGTAGGTCTTGGCTTTGATATCTGATCCAAGAGATCGGCAACTGATACAATCCTGTGAACAGGTGTTGCACCGAACGTACACGTTCTTCGAGAACTTTGCCACCACTTTTGGTACGTTTTGTATGAGAAACTCTCTCCTGAAGCTTGATGACTGACGATATCATGTTCTAGCGGCGCTTTACTTTGTCGGTGGAGTGCGCGTTACTTTTAGTACTGGTATTGCCGCTGGTGGAAACTTGGCCTACTGGACTAGTTACCTGGTCACTATGGTCTTCACTTTCATTACTGCTGCCGTCATTGCTGAAGTTTGCTCGGCGTCGCCGTCTGCTGGCTCTATCTATCTCTGGGCTGCCGAGGCTGGTGGTCCCCGTTTTGGAAGACTTCTCGGTTTCGTGGTGGCTTGGTGGAGTACTACGGCCTGGACGACTTTCTGCGCAAGTATGAGTCTAATCCTTCCCAATTGTTATCAGACGTATCATGCTAACCTGAGTATTAGGCAACACGCAAGCGGCTGTCAACTACATGCTTGCTGTAGGTCTCGAATGGGTGACTACTTCAGTCATTGTTTCTAATGCCGCTAATAGGAGCTCACCGTGTTCAATGTCGACTTCCCTCAAGACACCGACAGTGTCAAGTTCCGTGCCGTTCAGTGGATTTGCACAGAGGTGTTGCTTGCCCTGGCGGCTTTATTGAACTTCTTACCTCGTATGCTATAACCCTCACCAACATCCGTCTTTTTACATCACTAACCTCCAATTGTAGCCCGTTACTTCAAGTATGTCTTCTGGGTCTCTGCCGGCTTCGTCATGCTCGATTTCTTCTTGAACCTCATCTGGCTTCCTATTGGTACCGCCCAGACCTGGGGATTCCGTTCAACTCACGAAGCCTTCATGACCACTTACAACGGCACCGGTGCCCCCGCTGGCTGGAACTGGTGTCTCTCTTATTTGGCTACCGCCGGTATCCTGATTGGATTCGATGCTTCCGGTCATGTCGCCGAGGAGACTAAAAATGCCTCTATCACTGCTGCACGTGGCATCTTCTGGAGTACCGTTGCTAGTGGTTTCGGTGGTTTGGCTACCATCATCCTCTTCTTGTTCTGCGCTGTGAGTCTCGTTTTTGCAATTTCAATATGAATTAACTAACATCCCTGTCTTAGCCCACCGCCGATGTGTTGATGGAGTTTGGCTCCCCTCAACCATTCGTTCCCCTCTATGCCGTCGTTCTCGGCAAAGGTGGTCACATCTTTATGAACATCATCTGCATCGTTGCTCTGTGGCTGGTAAGGCGTCATTCTCGCGTCCTTATGGACCCTCTTCTCACTCTCGATAGAACACCGCCATCGCTATCATCGCTGCTTCCCGCCTCGTCTTCGCCGTCGCCCGTGACGGCGTCCTTCCATTCTCAGGCTGGGTATCCAAGGTTCACGGTGGCCAACCACGTAACGCCGTCATCGTCGTCTGGGGCGTCGCCGCCCTGGTGACCTGCACCATCCTGCCCTCCAACGTGGCTTTCACCTCCCTCGTCTCGGCGGCCGGTGTTCCCAGCGCCGCTGCGTACGGTCTGATCTGTCTGGGCCGTCTCTTCTGCACGCCGAACCGCTTTCCCAAGCCGCAGTGGAGTCTGGGACGATGGAGTAAGCCGTTCCAGTTCATCGGCGTCTTCTGGAATGGATGGGTCGTTGCTATCCTGTTCTCGCCGTACGCGTGGCCGGTTACCGGGCAGACTTTGAATTGTGAGTTCCTCTTTTTGTTATGTGGAGTATAGGTGCTAACGTCATGACTAGACGCTCCTATCATTATGGCTGGTGTCACTATCCTCGCTCTGGCTTCGTACTTTATCATGCCCGAGAGCGCCTGGCTTCCGCGGAACCGTATCGCCCATTTCATTGATAGCAAGGGTGCTGCAAACGTCACTGAGACCGTGGAGGAAGTTACCCCTTCGGCTCAGAATGATATGGCTCAGAGATCTTGATGGATCTTTGAAGATGGGGGTTTGACAAACAAACAAAAAGTGTCTGATGATGCATCGCTTTGAGGTCATCTGAAGGGAAGAGAGTTGAAAGTTTATTTGAATATGTCGCGTTTGCCTTTGTGTATATGATCTATGAGGAGATGGTATATAATTTTGTGTGATTTAGATTAGGGGGCTTTTATAATGATGAATGGCGCCTACTAGTGTAAATACCAGAGTGGGTTGCTCTGTTTCCAACTTTTTTTTTGTAGATCCCTGCGTTTATGTCAAGTCTACTATTACTCACCCTTGAAAGCTCTTGGGTGATCTATAAGAGCTGATGCCCCAAGACCAACAGGTCACCCCCAAAGATAGTGCAAGATAGTCAAATTTGCTGCCGAACTTGGCCATTGGGGCTGTTTCATAGAGACAGTACTGGTGTTCATTGGTATTCTTGCGATGTTCTTTGTCTTTTCCTGTCTTTCGGGTCACCGAAGCAGGATGGTCTCTTTATGCGGATTTCATGCTTCAGTAGTACTGATAGCCATGGTTCTACATATCTCCAGAGGACCTTTACAACGAACCGTCCCCCAGCTTAGCCTAGCTGCTCTCGTATAGTATGATCACATTCCAGAAATGGTGTAACCTACGGCCTGCGCATTGATCTCTCAGACCTTGGCACCCCCGCATTATCCGTGAGTCGGAGTGTTTCATGGTTCGGCCCAACTGGCGACCCTCGCAGAGGGCTCGCAATTCCTCCGATCCACGGATAAATCGAACCACTAGAACCTTGCATGCTTTATGCATCATTTGCGGGGAAATGCCCATCCGATTGAAGACAAGGCTTGGACGCCCGGTAACCGGCGGATGAGTGTTGCAGCATTGGGTAGACTTGGAAGGAGAATACTCGGCTCATTTTGAGGGTATCACAACGTGAATTATAATATAAAGGTTGATGGAGAGTGATAATTGTCTAGTATTATAGCTTGAATAACGCCAGGAGTTAGTTATATAGGTTTACCAATGCTGCTAAGATAATGGCACCCTAAAACGTCACGGTGGAGAACGGACGATCCGCTCCGCAGTCCCCGCGGGGAGATGGAGATTGTGGCGCCGCAGGTTGCTGTACCGGGGATTTAACGGCAATTATCACCGTCACGCCAGCCTGAGCATTCTCGGATTTCTTGGTTCGTTGGACCCCAAAGGACAGACCTGATGACTCGGAACCCCTTCGGAAACCCCCTCAAGGCGCCTACCGTTTCATCGCAGTGTGTCAGGCAGTAACAACCGAAGGCCTCTGGTGTCTCTCCACATCCCTTCGACCTTCGCCAGTCGCCCACTCCCTATCCACTCTTCCTCTCGCTTCCTTCTTCTTCTCTCTTTCTTTCCTCTCTACCCCTGGCGCTACGTCTTCCTCCGATGTGCCTGCTTCTCGTCTGATCGTCCCGTGCGACACTGTCAGCCATGAGTGTCCCGCTACCCTTGCGGTCGGCACTGGGACCGTGTCTCGCAGGTCCCAGTGCACGCGCGGGGAAGTTCTTCCTGTCGACGCAGTCCGGTGGGTTTTTGTGATCTTCCTGTCCGATATACACTCGGTCACGCGAGCTTCTACTGACACTCATCTATTCGAATAGTCTCTCAAATTCGCCGGTTTACTTTCCTCACCTCTTCGCAGAAGAGACGCTCGCTTCCTCGACTCCAACCCCAATGGCCTCGTATCTCCAAGAGAACTGCTACAACTACTCCTCCGACTTCGGAGCTTGTCGCGGCTACACCCTACTCCGCGTTGACTGTGGGTGTGCCTCGCGAGATAGCTCCGAATGAGCGCCGTGTGGCTATTACACCACAGAATGTTACCTTGCTGCTGAAAAAGGGCTTCTCGCGCGTGCTCATCGAACGAGGAGCCGGCGAGGGCGCCCAATTACTCGACCATGCCTATGAAAAAGCCGGTGCGACAATTGTCGATCGGGACACGATCTATTCCGACAGTGACATTGTCCTCAAAGTCCGAGGTCCGCAAATTGACGGGCCTTTCAATGAGGTTCAGGCACTTCGCAAAGGCTCCACGGTAATCTCGTTCTTGTACCCGGCTCAGAATAAGTCCGTCGTGGATGCGCTTGCCGCGCGCGGAGTCACCGCGTTTGCGATGGACCGGATCCCCCGAATTTCTCGCGCCCAGGTGTTTGACGCCCTGAGTTCGATGGCCAATATTGCTGGATATAAGGCTGTTCTAGAAGCATCGAATCATTTTGGTCGCTTCTTGACTGGCCAGGTGACTGCTGCTGGAAAAATCCCCCCGAGTAAAGTTCTCGTCATCGGAGCGGGCGTGGCCGGTTTGAGTGCCATAGCCTCGGCCCGGCGGATGGGCGCGATTGTTCGTGGCTTCGATACTCGACCCGCTGTCCGTGAACAGGTTCAATCTCTCGGTGCTGAATTCGTCGAAGTCGATTTTCAGGAAGATGGAGCTGGGCAGGGCGGTTACGCCAAGGAGATGTCCAAGGAGTTCATCGAGGCCGAGATGAAGTTATTCATGGAGCAGGCTCGCGAGGTCGATATTATTATCACCACGGCATTGATTCCCGGAAGGCCTGCTCCCAAACTGATCACCAAAGAAATGGTGGCTGCGATGAAACCCGGCTCGGTCATTGTGGATCTTGCGGCTGAGGCTGGTGGAAATTGTGAGGCAACTATTCCCGGAGAGCTAGCTAGCTACAAGGATGTCACCATCATTGGCTACACTGATCTGCCGTCTCGCCTGCCCACTCAATCCTCGACCTTGTACTCGAATAACATTGTGAAGTTGCTGCTGTCCATGGCCCCCGAGGACAACTCCTTTGGCATTGATTTCAATGACGAGGTAGTCCGGGGGTCCATCGTGACTCTGGATGGCGAAGTCGTTCCTCCAGCTGCACCACCCACTCCACCTCCAACCCCGAAGCCGGAAGCTCAAGTGGCGGCTGCTAAGAAGGAAGAAGTGCTTGCTTTGACTCCTTGGCAGAAGGTCACTCGAGATGTCACCTTGGTCACCGGTGCCATGGGCACAACACTCGCTCTTGGCAAGGCCGCTGGGCCTATCTTCATGAGCAACATGATGACCTTTGGTCTGGCTGGTCTGGTTGGATATCGCGCTGTCTGGGGTGTTGCTCCGGCTCTTCACTCGCCTCTCATGAGTGTCACCAATGCTATTTCGGGCATGGTCGGTATCGGCGGTCTTTTCATCATGGGCGGAGGCTATACCCCCACCACTCTCCCAGAGTATCTCGGTGCTGCTTCCGTACTGTTGGCGTTTGTCAATGTGTCCGGTGGCTTCGTGGTGACCAAGCGCATGCTGGATATGTTCAAGCGGCCAACCGATCCCCCCGAGTATCCCTGGCTGTATGCTATTCCCGGTGTCGTGTTCGGTGGAGGTTTCCTCGCCGCTGCCAGCACGGGCATGTCTGGTCTAGTTCAGGCCGGATATCTTGTTAGCACAATATTGTGTATGAGCTCGATCTCGGGGCTTGCCTCCCAGCAAACTGCCCGACGTGGAAACATCTTTGGTATTTTGGGTGTCGTCTCTGGTATTTTGGCTTCGCTGGCTGCCGTGGGCTTTGATACCGAGACACTCACGCAGTTTGCTGTTGTGGCGGGTACTGGTGCACTCGTTGGAGGACTGATTGGTCGGCGCATTACCCCTACCGGTCTTCCTCAGACCGTTGCCGCTCTGCACTCCGTGGTCGGTCTTGCAGCCGTCCTTACTAGCATCGGCAGTGTCATGGTTGATATTGGTGACATCTCGACTCTTCACTTGGTGACCGCGTATATGGGTGTCCTCATTGGTGGTGTCACCTTTACCGGCTCGATCGTCGCTTTCATGAAGCTTGCTGGCCGCATGTCTTCTAGTCCAAAGATTCTGCCTGGCCGACATGTCATCAACTCGACGCTGCTGGGTAGCAATATGGCTACCATGGGAGCATTTATTACCATGGCGCCGGGAAACCCAGGAATTGCAGCTGCCTGCCTGGGTACAAGCACTGTTCTCAGTTTCCTCAAAGGTTATACCACGACCTCGGCCATCGGTGGCGCTGACATGCCCGTCGTCATTACCGTGCTGAATGCCTACTCGGGCTTTGCACTCGTGGCTGAGGGATTGATGCTCAACAACCCCCTTCTCACCAGTGTTGGCTCCTTGATCGGTGTCAGTGGTTCCATTCTTTCGTATATCATGTGTGTAGCCATGAACCGGTCTCTCACCAACGTCCTCTTCGGTGGTCTTTCCGCACCTGCCCAAACTCAGAAGAAGATCGAAGGCAAAGTCACCCAGACTACCATCGATGATACTGTAGAGGCTCTCCAGAGCGCGGAGAGCGTCATCATCATCGTTGGTTACGGCATGGCCGTGGCCAAGGCTCAATATGCTCTCGCCGAAATTGTCTCCATGCTCCGCGCCCGCGGTGTCAGAGTCCGCTTCGCAATCCACCCCGTCGCCGGCCGTATGCCGGGACAGTGCAACGTCCTCTTGGCCGAAGCGTCCGTGCCGTATGACAGTAAGTCTTGATCACTCGACAAGTTGTTCCTATGCATACTAACACGCAGGAAAGTCGTTCTGGAAATGGACGAGATCAACGACGACTTCGCCGACACGGACGTCACCCTTGTTATCGGCGCCAACGATACCGTTAATCCCATTGCAATGGAACCTGACTCTGCCATTTCTGGAATGCCCGTTCTGCACGCGTGGAAGAGCAAGGAAGTGATTGTCATGAAGCGGGGCATGTCAAGTGGATACGGTACGTGTCACTTCATTTTGACACCGACACCTTTATTACTTGCTTAATTTGTTCCCCTCGTAACTATACTGCGGCTCGGTAGCGTGGACATGACTCAGAAACTAACAATCTGTTTTTTTTTTTCTTGCAAAACAGCGGATGTACCAAACCCCATGTTCTACATGCCCGGAACACGGATGTTATTCGGGGACGCGAAGACTTCTTGCGATGGTAAGTGGATATATCCCCGCTTTTGACAGCTTAATGGGGGAAGCTTTTTCTTTGGTCTTGTTTTGTTGGGATTTTAAACTAATTTATGTCCCGCAGCTATCAAAGCGGCCCTGGAGGCGCGGAAGTAGACGTCGGTTAGGGTTTACACTCCGTGGTCCGACCACGGAGTTCTATTCTATTTTCCTTATTCTTTTTTCCCGTCCATCACGTACATTTTCCTTTCTTGGTTAATGAGGGTATATATCGCTTGGTTTTACTCATTCTGTGTCTGGTAGCGGTGGCCAATGCTGTCACCTCCTGATACCGCATTATACCATGCGTTCACGATGGCGCGTTTCTAGATCTCTAGAATGAGCCGAAGAGCGCTCAATCTTTATGGATTCACCGGACAGAGATTCGAGATTATTCCATGACAATCCGAAAATACCTGGTCGTACGAATAGATTCGCCCCCTTTTCTCTAGATTTGCACCTATACAAGTGGCCAGAGTATAGATCCAGAACGGCTATGCATAATGTATTCCAAGGTGGGGTATTTCATTCGAGGTATAGTAGCCTAAATAAAAGAGCCAATCCCAATCCTAACACCATGCACACCATCTCATCGCACCAGGGACAACTAAGACACCCAAATAACAAAACCCGTGAATCGGCCAAACTCGCACGTATCCGACAAGCCAAGCAAAGGGGGCACATCATCGCAACGGAAATCATGCAATCCTTCTTCGCAATCCGACACCAAAATTCAGCCAGGTGAAGTTAGAAGTAATAACAACCAAAAATAGGAACCCGGCGAAACCATGGTTCGGGTCCGCGCCCGAGGTATCCACCAGAGAGACTCGGACCAAACACTTGATGGAAGGTTCAATTAGATAAACATTATCCAGCCCGATTTTGGGGCACGGGGGTTTCCGGAATCGAGTTCAGTATGAGTTGAAGGCAAGACGAGACGTGGAATGTTATTCCCGTATTCGCGTAAAGGAGAAGGATGCAGTAGGGGGGAAAGAAGAGAAGATGAACGCCAGGGAACCCGAGGAAACTTGAATCGGATGAAAGCCCAGAACAAGTAATATAACAAGAAACAAATCAGAGAACCGCCGAAGAAACTCCAGACAGCAAAGAATATGAGACGGTTGGTCATCCCTCCGAAAAATAGCCTGAGAGATAATACTAAAGCTATCCAGGGGAGACGCTTCGGTAGACCTTTGGAAAGAACATTCAAAACGCCATTGCACAAAACAAAATATCCGCCCGTAAAAAAAAAACATTACCGAATTAGATATACCTCGTACCAAGGGGAAACAATAATAGAGTGTAAATCAAAACGAAAGAAGGAAATTAGGCCTTTGTGAAGGACTTTTTCCCCAGCTTCAGTCCCATGAACTTCCGTCCACCGGGTGCAGCACTATTATGTCGTGCATGACGGCGTTGACTCGATTTCCGCACAATGTGGGAATCACCATTCATCGCTGTCAGTGGCAAATGACTCTGACTCCCCGAGGTGGGCATGGGAGGTATAGGAGTCTGACCGTTGGAGATATCCATTTCCGAGCGTAGGCTGCTCATGGAATGGATGCTGGATGTGGCCGAGTGCTTGCGTGTCATGCGGCGCATCATTGGGGATCTTGGGGATAGGATATTAGATACGCTGTGCTTTGAACTGGTGTGGCCGCGTTTCGGGGGCTGGGACTGAGACTGGGTTGGGGGCTGGTAGGTGGTCGGTGGGGAGGAGGCGCAGGAAACTGGGCTGCAGGTGCGGGAAAGAAGGGATCCGACTTCGCTGTAATGATCTGGGATATAGCCCAAATCGGACGGGAAGGGGGAGGCTGGGCGGGATGCAAAGGAGGGCACGCTGCTGTTGCTGTTGCTGCGGATGGAGGCTGGTCGATGGCCGGTTTCCGTGGGACGTCGTGGTCGTGCGTTGGGCATGGCTGGGAAGGACTTCTCAGCGCCGGCGGTGCGTGGTCGTGGGCGATACATTGATTGTGGCCTGATGCGTGGGGATGGGGGTAGGAATGGAACCACTGGGATCTCAGAAACGCGGTTGATGGTTGCGCTTTGGAGAGGAGGACGGAGCGTGTCGTCGTCCGTAATGGGCATGGCAGGTGTCGTACATGTAGATTCATCTGAGGTAGACTCGGAAGTCTCCGTGTCATTCGATGGATTTTTCGTCTCGGTCAGCCGTGGGACCGCGAGCCCGTTTTCGAATCTTCCATCGAAGATACGGGACTCGCGATCTCGAGGGTTTGCCCTTGTGCGAGACCGGCTCGGTCGAGATCTGGCATTCTTAGAGCGCGATCCTAGTGAGTTGATGAACACCAAGGTCGGTCGGGTTGGGGGCTCCATCAGGGTGATCTTCTTGGCAATCTGAATCTCGGCGTTTTCCACAGAGAAGATAGACGATGGCGATGACGAGCGAGAACGAACGTTGGTCGTGGTCGGGGGAGTGTTAGGGGAGACATAGATTGTTGGCTGCAAGAACAGACTCGATGCCAGCGGAGCAGGACTATCTGGCGAAGGCAGTTCCAAAACAATGTCCTCTTCAGGGTCAAAGACGTATGCATCTTCCACGAAACTGACGTCGCTGCTTCGCTTCACGGTGTCTATAGAGACGGGACGTTGCCGCTTCGCTCCACGATATGGTGCCAGCAGCTGCTGCTCCCGGTCTGAGTCGGGGTCATCATGCGAGTTCTCGTCGGCGCTGATATCCGAGTCAAACGTCGCGGCTCGCTGAGAGCCTGTCAATGGTGGGATAAAGTCGTGGCCGCCAGCGTCCGATTCTGAAACATCTTCTTCATCTGATTCATACCGCTTTTGGAGGCTTTGCCGGCTCAGACGATGCAGAGACAGAGTGGTGGTAGGCTCGTACATGATGGGCGAGGACGTATGAGAAAGATCACAAATCACAGTACGTTTCATGCAAGAGTCAAACTGTTCCGGACAGGAGTCGTAGGAAGCGAATGATTAGATCAGATCAGGGAGAAACCAGCCCGCAACGAAGGACGAAAATAATGAGGCACAGAAATGTGACACGGCAATATCCTTTATCAAGGAAAAGTGATACCCAACAACCAACCTCAGGGAGACGTGCCAGTTTCTTGAACGAATGCCAGACAAGCCCACGAATGGAGAGAACTGTAAAGAAGAACCAGTTCCTTCTCCTGTAACAGGGCCAAGGGAAAGGTCTTTAATATCAAGTGGACCCGTCCAGGGTTGAGTAGAATGTTGAACAGGGGAGCCGCCCTCGGTTGCCGTCAAGGTCACCAGGAACAGGAACAGGAACAGGAAGTATGAAGAAATAGAAAGAGGTCCCACTCTGTTAAGAATCCACCCAGCTCGCAAGTGCCAAGTGGGAGAAAGAGAGGGGAAGGGCTTTTTTAGGGCCCATCAAGAAAGGGACGGTGTGTAAGAATCCCTGTCCACGTGTGCCAAAGATGGGTCGGGGGCTTCAATGTAGTTAGTGTCCTAGCATTTTGCTTTAGGAGGCTTGGTCTTGTATTTGGTCTTTTGTGCAGGAGATTGTCATTACTGTCCAGCGAATTTTATTTTTCCTTTTTTCCCTGTTTTTGGTGGTCGGGCATTTTTCTTATTCTTCTTGGTTCGAAGTACATACGGTATTGCTGGCATTGCATCTGCAGGACCGTGAAGAACGGCCCTGGATTGGTCGGAGGGGCCCGACTAGTGAAATCATCCAAGGGTCGCTAAGCAGTGTGATTGGGATGGGACGAGTTGACCCTTGCATTTGGGACCAGCAGGGACAACAGGGACTACTAGGACGAGCGAGGGTCGTTTCACCATTCGGCGACGCGCACTCTCCGCACACCGTGGCGGGCGCGCGAGGCTGGGAGGAAACCTAAAGCGTGGATGCTGTAACGCCGGAAAAAAAATCTGATAGATCAACGTGAGCTGTCGTTGGCTCTAGCCCATGCGCCTAACGCTGAGGCTGCAGCCGGGGTGGATGGAGATTGGTCACGGTGTCCACCAGCCCCAGAGCCTGGCGGCGGCAGCTAGATTGGATTGCTCCATGCACGGTTCAAGGGGAAAACAAAATGGGGGAGTTTTGTTTTTTTTTCCAAAGAGAGGAGGAATTCGGAGGTTCCACCGAAATGTTACGTGCAGTTGGCAGGGGAAGGAGAAATCGATAGAGAAATCGTGGCAGCGTAATGCCGAAAATGCATCGCGTAGATGTAGTTTGTACCGCACGGAGCACCGAGTCCATCGACACACTTCTTTGCAAAAGAGTACTCGGTGCTCGGTACACGAAGTCATCCGTCCGGAAAAAGACGGATGCGTAGTTTTGTTTAGCGCCAGCTGAAAGGGAGAAAAAAAGTCCCACCAGCGATCGAGGTTCATTGCGAAGCGCCCGTGGTGGAGTGACCCGACGGTTCACCTCTTGCGAGTTCCATCCAGGAAGATACTGGAAAAAATGGAGACGGCAGTCAGCTCAGAGGCCTTCGGTCCATTCGGGAATTCTCTAGAGCATTGCCAAGTTAGCCGCCGCTCCAGAAAGGTGGGGCGCCAAGTATAACCCAAACACGCTACGACGAACACTTGGGGCTTCTTGTCTGACCTCGAAACCGTGTCGATCGGTTGGAAGTGGAGCTCGGTTGCAAGATACCGAGAAAATACCCACGGTCGGCATAACGCGCAATCCGTGTGAGGCTAGCCTGAGCATTCGGTTTAGTGTTGAGTTTAGTCTTGCTGGGGATGATACCAGGGGGGGGGGGAGGCAGGAGGAGCAGACAGGAGGAGGCAGGAGCAAAATTGAGGTCATAGGTGGTCAACTGGTTGGGTTGTTCCACTGGATGATGCACCGGCCCCCCTCCCCCTTGGTTCCTGACCTTCTCGAACCCTAATAATGGGGCAATTATCTTTTCTGTATAAGTGACTAGGGGCAACTTAGTGCAATGTTCACTGCAAAAGGCACATCAGGGATACAGTGGCATGGGAAAGGAGAGCAGCCTTGAATTGCCCCTACAAAGTATACGATAGGTCATCCAGCACGGATTGGATTGTAGGGTGACCGAGTCTACACTGCTCTCCTACAGGGAGCATTCTCTTTTCGTTCTTCAGGAAGCGGGAGTATTGAAATATCCAAGGGGACAAGGACGATAATAACGGAAGTATACCACCGTTTTCCAGGAGACGACTTTCTACTTTCTTCAATACTATACATTTCTCATGCGCAATCCAGCTTCAGTAGAGGTACTGTACCTGCCTCATTAGTGCCTTGACCCTCCCACGGCCTCGATAAAACGGCATCCTCCTTCTCCTTGCATGCGACCATCACCACGAATCCGCGAATTCTCCCTCCCCCCCCAAGGATTTCCATCTCCCACCCCACCGACACTCGGGCCAAGCTCCGGCCACTCTTCGGCGCTATCTTTCTATTTATTTATAGAATTTGAAGCACGGAGTACGGGATTCCAATACGGAAAGAGATAATTGTCCACGCCCTTGACATCTATCACCTGCAACCTGGCCAATTCAACGGAATAATAGAGTACACACACCATTCTCCCGTTGCAGAAAACCCACTTCAGGGAAGGAACTCCGGTGCTAATGCGGATCCTCACTGCTGGGAATATGCTAGCGTACCTGGTGGCATGAAAACCGTTTAAAAGTGAAACGCTGAGAAGAAGGAGACTTGTCTAGTTACGACATAGTCCTGGCTTAACTGGGCAAGTCCAAGTCTGCGAACTACGGAGTACAGTCACTCCAGAGTCGTGGCGAAACACACCATCCCTCTTCCTTTCGCCTTCCGAGGAACCAGATGCCCAAGCTCCTGCTTCTGACAGCGGCATGGCTCCCCGCTCAAAATGTTGTGGCTGCTCGTACGTTATCGTTGTTCACCTACAACAGGGGGTTAATATAAAATTCAAGCGCCGGTCAGCAACCCAATGCAGTCCTGTTGATCCGGGCTTAGTTCCCGCCGGTGGACGCGAACAAACTACGCCGGTGAATAAGTCTGTTCCAGATAGAAAGTCACAGCGGTACGGTGTCTATGTTTTTAATCTCTATTTCTTTTGAAATTCGCCCGGTCCGTAGAGAAAGAGATATGCGCCAGGCATTTGGACCGCGCCAGGCGCCCACGCTTTTTATGTCGCTCACTTGGCAATCCATCCGTGGCCTGCTAGTCTTTTTCACTTCTTTTCTTCTCTTTCTGCGTGTCTTCTGGGACTGAATCTTGTTCTACTTTTGTCGACAGATACTCCAGGACCTACGTGTGCATTGTGGAGACGAAAGCATGGCTTGTACGAAACGCAAGGCGCTCGTCCAGCTTCTGGATTGAACTACTGGTGATAAGTCGTTAAGACCTTGGCTGCTCCTTGGTGCCTGATAATCTGCTAACTTATTCACCATTGACTAGAGACTATTGAATATTGACTGCGGGCGACAACGGTGGCAATTAGAGATGGAATTTGGACCATTTCCCGACCACCTTTTACGCAAAGCTAGGTTAATGATCGACCTGTCATGTCAATGCTGCACTATTCCCCACACCTCATTGAGTTTATAGCTCCCATGCTTCCGGTGGCAGGTACATAAAGCAATCATTATTGTTTATGCCGTGCGCCAGATAATGACCCGCCTCCCAACCAAGCCACCAGCCATCTTGCAAATCCCAGAGGCAGTGCAGCAAACTCTACTGGACTCCCCTGAACGCATTCCCTTGAGCAAGAACTCCGATCTTGGAGTCTACTATACTTTAACACGTCAGGTGCAGTAAATAATGATCGACCCTTGGCCACATACCAAGTCCCGACCTGTCACTTCCGAGGCGTTACTCGTACAGTACCCCCCGTTGCACAAGCCATCCATCTGCATGGATCGACAGGCCCAGTTAGTACCTGCATAACCATTGGATCCACCTCCGTGATGCTGCACATTCAGCATGAACGGTCACATCTGGTTGTCCCCTCAACGTCGGAGTGTTTGTTATGATGCTGTTGGACGAGATACACGCTCCGACGTGAGGCGTGGCAGATGCTGCAGGAGACGACTTTGCATGTAAGTCGATGTTAGTTAGGGTATGGAATCGCTCATATCAAAGCTGACTAGAGCCCTGGAACAGGTTTGTGCTTGCTTTTATTCACTCGGCAACTTGACCATTGCTCTCTCGCAGGATGATCCAGAGTACGGCAGGGTCTTTACAATGAATGAGATCGCATAACTGATTACATTTAGCATGATATGAACCAAGCATCTATAAGTGTTTTACTGACACGTCAGAACGGAGAAAAGCAATTGGGAAAAATGGCCTGCCGCCAGCAGACTGTGCGGGTGATAATGACAAACATGAACAGAAGAAGAAGAAAAAAGGGACATTATAGAATACAGCCAGGAACAACCAGGGACTGCCCGACAGTCACCCTTCCCAGATGAAGCGAAAATTTCAGTAATAAAGGGTGCAAAGTACCCTTCGTCCGCTGCTGGCATCCCCATTGCGCCTCCACAACCCGGGCCCCTGCTGCATCGATCATCAGGCCTGGCCTCATGAAAAGGTCATTCATTAAAACAAGTATAAATTGAATCACCGGCAAGCAACCACGCCACTTCTGCTTTTTTTTTCTGACCTTGCTTGCTCTTCCTCCTCGTCAGGGTGCAAATATATCCGAGGAATTTTATCGAAAATTCATCATGGGAGACATGAACTGGATTGGTTCGTCTCACAACTCAAAAAAAGCCAGGATTAGAATAATCCTAACACATGACCTCACAAACTCCTTCATCTAGGTCCTCTAGAGGCACGTTCGAATGCCTCTCTTGTGGCAAGTGCCCGTTTAAGCCTTGCGAGAGCGAGTGACGGGGCCGTTGGAGCGGCCAGTCGAGCTAGCAGAGCCGTTGGCACCCTTGGCGCTGCCGTTGGCGTGTCCGGCGGGAGAGGGGACCTCGAAGTTCTTCATGTCGATGAGAGACTTCTTGCCGGTGTTGCTGCGAGGGCGGCCGACCTTGGCAGCCTTGTTGTAGGTGGCAATGTAGAAGGAGATGAAGAGCAGCAGGTAAGAGGTGATGATACCAATACCAGCGAACGCGGCGAACTCCTCACCGGCGCACTGGCCCATGTTGGGGGCCCAGGGGAAGTAGACGGAGGAGAAGTAGGTGTAGGAGGCGAAGTAGATGAAGCCTAGAAGTGGTATGCATTAGTCCCCGAAGTCGTGTAGAATGCGAATGGCTTTCGAGAACTTACCGAGATCAATGACGAATTGGACAATCTGCAGCATGGTAATGTACTTCTTCCACCAGATGCGGATACCACGGGCGCTCTGGAAGTAGTACCAGTACATGACAACGTGGACCAACAGGTTGATGGTGATGGGGACCCATTGCACAGCAGTCAGGCCGATCAGCTGAGTGTAGCAAAGCAGGGCAGTAGCACCATGGTGGTAGGTGTGGAGGAAGGTCAAGGGCTTCTTCTTGAGGACGAGGAAGACGGTGTCCAGGAGCTCGACGTATTTGTTGATGTAGTTCAGCTACGCAGCAAGAGAAGGGTTAGTCGCGCCCAATTCTTAAATAATTTTGCGCATATCGATGCGACACTTACGTAGTAGAGGATAATAAGAGGCTGGGTCCATCCACCGCGGTGGTCGCAAATGGAGTAGAAGACACCGTGGCGGACAATGGTGGGCAGGAGCTGCTCAACGAAAAGAGCCAAGAGGATGGCGCTGATGGCGGTCAGGAGGAAGTTGTGGATCATGAACAGGGTGTTCAGCTTGAAGGCGGGGAAGTTCTTCATGACCTCACGACCTCCGAAGATAATGATGTAGTAGGTGACCAGCATAGTCGCGGTCTCCTTGAAGGTGGACAAAGGGGTCACGCCCTGAACAAAGTTGAACTCGCTGGCAGGGTAGCCCATGACCTGCTCATAGGCCTTGTCAAAGATGGGCCATAGGTGGATGCCAAACGGCCGGTCCAGAGTCGGGACGGGCACTTTCTGAAGGAAGTCGGCCATTGTGTCTTTTTTGAGGGGGGGGGAGTATCCAAATCAAGCCCGAGGAATTTGGCAATTCGAGATCGCGTGAAGAAGGCGGAAAGAAGAATTCCCTGGAGGGGCAATGAGAGATGAAAAAAACTCAGGCCACAAGTCGCAGATTCGCGAATAGGCACAGAGGAGACGGAGGGATAAGGAATGGAAAGGACCGACGATGAAGGAGAGAGAGAAAAGGGAGTAAGAGAGTGAGAGACCAGCGTTACTTTTTGCGTCCGGCGCGTCCGTTGAGTGCCCGATGTGGTCTAGCGTGGCCAGTAAAAGGGGGAAAATCCACCACCCGAGGACTCCGGAGGGTTTTGGGCAGTCCCTGAGGAGTGGATGACGATGGTTGGGCTCAATGGCTATGAGTATTACAGAAATGAGTTCACCGTTGTCTATTCTACTGTATGTTGCCTTTTGCCTTTGTTCTTACGAGGAGATTCGTGGTGGTCGTGGTGGAATAGTCCGTTTTCAGCACCCCCGGCAGATCTTTCACATGCGTATAATCAAAGGCCAGCTGAATGGCCAGGACCAACGAGAAGTAAACACAAGATGGCTGCCTCAGCCCTGGACCTATTGGTGTAAGCGGCCGAGGAAAACTGCATATTATTCAGCACCAGCATTGCAATCTCTAAATACTGTACTCTTTTACGGAGAGTAAACTGCGTCTAAACCGAGATGGAAATCCACCGGGTCGGTTCTACCCTGGGGATCGTGATACACTATTGAAGAGTGTTCCACCTTGCAGCAACTATCGAGTAGCCGAGGCTGTACTAGGCGGACAAGGGACAATGGACTAGGGCTGCACTATAGACGATAAGGGGTGCATAACTTTTTAGTCTGGAGAGATTATCTCCACGGGTAAATCCAAGACTGGCTTTTCTTGGTTGGATATCGATCTATAGAAAGCCCATTCACCCCCGTACTGTACATCACTGCCTCGGGCTGTCAGGGTACCCTTCGAAGGACAGACTCGTACAACCATGCGGTACAACGGTTACCAATGACTATCTGAATACCTAGACAAACCTTCACACCCTGAATCTACGGGCATGAATCTTTTGTAACTGTGCTTCGTCGGACAACCTTCGAACTTGCATTGATCGGAACTTCCGCAAGTATTGTGACCGAATCCATGTCTGTGAAGGACATTGGATCAGAAACTGGCAAAGTCAAACACTTTTGAGCTGTGCCTTGATGTTATACTCTAGATCATGTTAAGGTTAGGAGCGTTTCCAGATGTACTCGGTGCTATGTTGCCGCATTTCCTGGATACATATCTACGCCCAAGCCCACGGTGACAGGTTCCGAGTATATTGCCAAAACCGGAAACACTAGGGTACCCTATACATATATAGGGTGCTGTCATAAAACCCAGATAATTCATAGCAATAAGAACAGAATTTGACCACCTGTTCCTATCATCGCCTCTATATACCGTACTGAAATACACTGCTACTTCATGGAACTTCATCATTAATGACACCCACTCTCGGGATGACGGGACCATCCAACCAATCACAAGGTCCACAATCCAAACCACCTCCATGACTAATATCTTTCTTCCTTCTGCCTCAGGCCACCAACACCACACCACCCGCAAAATCCAGCCGGGCTAACACGACTCTCCTCGTTCCTCCTCCCTTCCCCGTCTCCATCCACTCTCTCCTCAACCACCGTCCATTGACTCGGTCCAGCACCTCCGCTCCGAAATGTCCTCCCTGTCCATCTTCCGCATCGCGACGCGCGCCGTCCGCCCTGCCAGCTTCGTCCGAGCTCCGATCGTCCGTTCTCGGGTGCAGACCCCAGTCACTCTGGCTGCTGCCCGCACCGCCAACTTCGGTACCACCCGTATGCTCCGCTCTGGCCACGAGGATGAGACCTACGAGGAGTTCTCTGCCCGGTACGATTGAAATTGCGACCCATTGGCTTCGCCGGAATCCCCGGGGGATGATGGAGGAGACAAATGAAGGACGGGGGGAACTCTGCGCTGTCTAGGCGCAGGGTTCAGTCCTGCATTTTCTGCTTCCAGAGGTCTTTAGGGAATTGGGTATACTGACTGTCCGTGTGTCAATTGCAGTTTCGAGAAGGAATTCGACGGTGTCCAGGATGTTTTCGAGCTCCAGGTAAGATCCACCTGCTTTTGGGCCCCAAGTCCCGGGAGATGACGGAGGACCCCCCTCATGCGATATCAACTATCATTCGACTCTCATCTCGACTTCACATTCACATATTTCAATTGAAACACTGCTGACTCGTCAATTCCTGTGCAGCGCAACCTGAACAACTGCTTCGCCTACGATCTCGTCCCCTCCGTTGAGGTCCTCAGCGCTGCCCTGAAGGCTGCCCGCCGTGTCAACGACTTCCCCACTGCCGTCCGAGTCTTCGAGGGTATGCGCAAGCCATCTGATGCCAACATTTCAATTGAGGCCAATTACTAATCCATCTCGTATAGGCATCAAGGCCAAGGTCGAGAGCCCCGACCAGTACAAGCAATACCTCGAGCAGCTCGAGGGTCTGCGCCAGGAGCTGGGCGTTGCTCTCCGGGAAGAGCTGTACCCCCAGGAGGAGTAAATTAGCGTCGCTCATGTTGTTCTACCCCCCCCCCTCATTTCCACCTCACGTCAATTTTCTCTCTCTCCTTCAGTTGTTTACCCACCACCCAATTCTCATGTCAGAGACCGATCGGTCCATCGCACAGTTTCCTGCTTTGGCCAGGGTGCTCGGATCGGGTAGAAGAGAAAGCTGTATACATATTTTAGAGATCTCCTGTGTTGTTAGTGTTGCTGTTGTTTGGAAAAGGTTCTGCGGTGCCTTGACTGGTGCTTAATCTATCTTCCATCTCCGGTTCACGGCTGCTTACGCGGCAAGTACAGTATGGCGTATTTCCACATAACGACTCATCTTGGACATGCAGTCTCTTCACCCAGTCTTCTTTTTAAGGGTTGCGGTGAATAGATAAAGAAAGTATGTCTTTTCAATATCCGTTCTGTATTTTCTATGTTTGAGCGAATAGCTGTCTTCATAAGATATCATATAAGAGAAACCCGCAGGTTCTAGCGAGAACAAGACAGAGAAAAGATCGAAAGGTTGAAATAAGACGTTTAAAACAAACCAACAATTTTGGCCATGTGCAATGAAATATAAGTACAGAGAAGACCAGATCCGCCAAAGCTCATTCCACCGGAGACAAACCTCCGCGGCCAAGAACGTATTTTGTCAAAATCGGAGTGAGAAGGAAGAAAAAACAAAAGGAGACCAGAGGAATATCATCAATAGGTATGAGTCCGCTCAAACGCCAGGTACCAAGTCACATCGAAGGGTTCGGGAATATACTCATCGGGTATGCAGAAAAGGTGATGCAAAATATGGGTCGAGGTTTTTCATGAAATGGCAGCTCCCTTGGGGAAATAGATACGCTGCCACGGGTCTATCCATTTAGTGCGTGCCGACGTACTTGAAGTACGTCGGGCGACAGTCCTCCTTGGCGAGGAAGTCTGCGCCAGAGTAGAATTGACCGGGCGTGCAGCCGGAACACTTGGGCGAGTTGGGGCAGTTATAGTAAGGGATGTGGTTGTATCCGATGTCGCGGAACCTAGATGAGAAATGTTAGTAGGGAAAGCTAATAGGCTCGGGAGAAAGGAGAAAGAACTTACCAGTGCACGTTCGAGGCGTCGGCAAACAGACCGACACCCAACGAGTGAACCGGCGCATCGCCCCAGCGCTCGTAGAAGAAACCACCGGCACGATCCAGGTGCTGGAAGTAGGACTCGTACTTGTCACCACGGAAGAAGTCCAGGTCACCAATCTCAAAGTTGGACCAGAAGTGGCAGGTGGAGTAGCCATTTGCACCCTGGGTATGCTCGGGACGGGCCTGGTCGTCCGTAATCCACTCCCACATGTTGTTCTCACTCAGATACGAAGGGTTCGCTGCCAGGAACTTGCGAGTCTCGGGCCAGAGGGTCTTGATGGTCTGCGGGGCATCGTACAGATTGATGGTAAAACCGTAGGTCTTGTTGTTGTCCTCCATGTAGCGGAAGACGTCATAGTCGACGTTGCAGAAGAATTGGACCTTGGGCTCGATGCGCCAGTAGTAGCGGTACTTCTCGAGGGCCGGGTGCTTGTAGAACATGCCGCTGTTCCAGCGGCACATCTGGTGGTAAGAAAGCTTGGAGGCGTACTGGATGTTCTCCTCCTCTAGGATCTTGGCGGATTCGCGGAAGAGATCCTCGCTGATCCAGCTGGGCATATCCCAGTGTTCCTTGGGAACCAACTCTGTGGTGCGCGCGCAATTGTTAGCGATTTACATTCTTTTCCCTTGCTCCCCCTGAGTGTAGAATGGCCAAGCGTGATCAAGCGCTTCGGGCAGGCGTACCATATTGAATCTTGGCCTTGGTGACGGCCTGGGTCTTTTGCTTGAACTCTTCAGAGAAGGGCTTGTCGTTGAAGAAGATATACGGATAGTTGAACTTGCTGTTCCATGTGCGCTCAAGATCACGCATAGTGTTGATCAGCTCGTAGAGTTCCTCGTTCCGGACGAGGGAGATGAGGGCGGCATTGGTGCGGGCGGGCTTCTCGCTATCGGGGGAGTAATCGTGATCTTCGGCGCGCCATAATTCACCGGCTGGTTCTCCGGTGGCTGTTGAGGGTATCAGTATCTTGCGCCATCATCGGGTGGTTTGATCTGTGAATCTTGAAGAATTCCGGGAGTGGGCAACGCACGATCTAGAAGGGGATCCCGGGTCATGCCGTGGACCAATTTGGAGGAAGACTTGTCGGAGCTCTGGTTGAGCTGGAAGACCAGGAACAGAGTAAGTAGAATACATGCTGCACCCAGCATGCGAATCGGACGTGCAATCGCCATGGTGTGTGATGTTGCGCGAGAGTCTGAAAGTGAAAGGGGGCAAGTTGGTCAAAAAGGGCCAGAAGCGCCTTCACTTCAGCCCGCGCCCGCCTTTGCCCCTTCAGGCTTAGCGCCCGCACCACCGCGCGTCCAGTTGGCCTCCGTCTCCATCTTTTTCCACCTTTGGTTCTTTTGGTTATTATTAGAGAGTCTGCGTCGATCATATTTGATCACATACAACGACTCGGCCATTGACCATCACCATGGCACTGGCGGCCTTGGGCTCGCTGACAGACGAGCTCATCACTGCCGTGGCCAAAATTGCCCCCGAGCAAAAGGTATCTAGATACAACCCCATCACATGTTTGGGTACATTGAACCTGTATTGATCGCGCGTTCTAGGAATCACCGCGCGTCCAAAGTATCAAGCGCCGTGTAGAAGCTGCACTACGCCCTGGTACCCATGGACGAATTAACCAATTCGAAGTGGCCCGCCAGTTAGAGGGCCTCCAGGAGAAGTTCCAGGTCTTGAATCGAGACGAGCTGGCAGCAGCTCTGCGTAGTCGCCTTGCCGAATTACAGGATTACCCAAATGCATGGCATCCCGAAATTCTGAGCTTGCTGGTGCAACTATCAGATCGTCCAGCCCAATTAAGCAATATCGATCGATTGGCCACGCCGCTCGTCGCGAATCAAGCTCCTGAGCAGCCGCTGTCTTGGGCGGACCTCGATGCCCACGGTGCTGCATATAGCGACGAAGAAATCTGGGAAGAGGTCGACTTTGGCCCTAGCTCCTCAGACGATGAACTTACTTCTGTTACTAGTGAGATCTCTCTCACCCGGCGACGACCTCGAACACCATCTGTACCAGAAAAGGACTATGTGATCCCCGACGAGGTATTCGTGTCAGGTGAAGATGAAGATCTTATCATTGCGATGGAGAAGGCCCAGTTCTGGAAACCCGAGAACAAACCTTCTATTCCCCGACGAAAGGAAGAGGCGTCTTGTCCCGTCACCGAACTTCAGTTAGCCAGAGAAACGATCTTCATGCTTCAAGGCTTACCAACTTCGATCTTCTGGCGTCTCGAGAATCAGATCGAAGTCGATCGCAGCTATGCACTCGCACACTCGTCCCAGACGGCTCTATTATCGCTGCTCAAGTTCTTCACCGAGACTGGCTCAAAGATCGATGCACTACGGCGATTTACCGAAGCACCGCAGTCTATCGCCTATATGCAGACTTTTTGCCGAGGCATTGAAGACCGTCTGCGCGAGTTTGATGGGCTTCTCTCTAAGATTCAATGCACTTATCTATCTGCGGGCTCTGTAGTCAGTCTTCTTCAATTGAACGACGATGTTCGCCAATGGTCGCATCAATTGCTGCTCTTATCCGATTTGGTTTCCAAAGTGGACCAGAATTCGGCAAATCAACCAATGCGTTGTCTGGACCTATTATACAATCTGGTTTACATGACGGAAGCTCTCGGTGACGAAGAAACCTCAAGAGCACTAGCCATCTTGTTCTTTTCATGCTTCAAAACCTATACACGCTCCATCGAACTCTGGATGGAATCTGGACAAGTCGATCCCCTTGACGCTGCCTTTTTCGTCAAGCGGAAGAGCGAGAATGGTGATTTGCGGACCTTGTGGCATGACTGGTACGAGATTGACGAAGGCTACCAAACACAAAATATTCCCCAATTTTTGGAACCTAGCCTGCTCAAGGTCTTCACTACTGGCAAGAGTATGGTCTTCTTGCGCCACCTGAATGCCCTTCCAGACCGTTCAGAGTCAGCCACAAGGGCGGACACGATATTCGACAATGTCTATTCCGAGTCGACATGTACGGCTCTTCCATTTTCTGCGCTAGTCGAGTCAGCGTTTGACCGGTTGGTAGATCTCAACCATTCGGCCAGCGCGGGCTTGCTACGAACCGAACTGGACGAACAGTGTGGACTTTGGGTGTCTTTTGATGCCCTTCAACATGTCTACCTTGGCCAAGACCTCAGCATTCTTGGCATGATCGATGCTAAAATTTTCGAGCTGATGGACCGTGGCCGGTCCTGGGATGATAAATTCCTCCTTACCGAGGTAACCAGGTCCGCATTTAGTGCAATGCCTAGTATGGACGTGTCAAGACTGGTCGTGCGATCAGATGGCTCTTCCTCCCGTGACTCTCTCAGCCTTGCCAGAACCGTCAAGATCCTCGAAACCATATCGATTGACTACGTCCTTCCATGGCCTGTCGCAAACATCGTCACACAAGACGCAATTCAAATCTACCAACGAGTCTCGACGTTCCTCATGCAGATACGCCGGGCAAAATATGCCCTTGTCAAGCAGCGCTTGCGAGACGGACGCGCCGCTTCAGACGACCGAGAGGGAGCCCTCGTGCACAGTCTCCATCATAATTTGCTCTGGTTTCTTGATACCCTCTACGCGCATCTTACCTACCTAGTTATATCTACCGCAAACCAATCTCTACACCAAGCGCTTTCCATTGCCGAAGACGTGGACGCAATGATCACTGCACACAGCTCATACGTCTCTTCCTTGGAGAAGCAGTGCCTCATATCCGAAAACCTCTCTCCAATTCACGACGCTATCATCAATCTCCTGGATCTGTCCATCCACTTCGCGGATCTACAGACCGTCCACGCAGCCGAGGAAGGAATGTTCGATCAAGGTGATGCTAGCATGTTGGATACACTACGACGAAAGAAAAATGTCGACCGTGATTCGGACTCGGACTCGGATTCGGACAATGACTTTGAGCACGAGCAAACATTAACCATCTCTTTCCGTGATTCGCCATATGATCTCCAGATGCGAAATGTGAAGCGTCATTTTGACCATTTGATTAGCTTTGTGGCGGATGGGCTGAAAGGTGTTGCTCGTGCTGATGGTTTGCCTAGCTGGAATATATTGGCGGAGCGCCTGGAATGGAGAAATGGTTGACTGATAGCTTGACCCTAAGGAAGTCCCCGGAGCGGGTTACAAATTAATGAATTAACGATCCACTTTATACCTTTTTCTACTCGTTTTATAAGCATCCTTCTGATATACTAGTATCGAGGGTAAATCCATTATTACTAAAGATCTTCCTTTCTTTTGACGCCTCTTTTGAAACATCTTACCAATTGATTTGTGTTTGTGTAAGGATGATACCTAGAAAGAAGAAATCGGCTCACGCTTACGCCTCAATCATAATTCTCAGCAAAGCCTACCTTCCATAGATGAAGACAAACGCTCTTGATGATTTCTGGATACCCCTACTGTCTATCAACCATGACTGAAATTTTTAAAAACACCATCTTCTGAATGAACTTGAATATTTACTTTGATTTTGGTATATCTAATATCTCATATAGAAGCACTGGCAATGGCTTCGACGCCATGACATTCTTTCAGTTTCGTAAATGCTTTTCACCGCACTGGTTTTAGCTTCAACCTTACCACTCCATAAGAACCGGACCAAAAAATAGGAACTATAGACAAAAAATAGGACAACAGGCCTCAAAGAGGATCGGGCTACTCGTCAAGCCCTTAACCGACCCAGCGTCGGGCGCTGAAGAAGATACGACCCCAAGGACCAATCTCGCCCCACTCCTCGGCGTTGGCAGGCAGGTAGCTGGCAATGCCGTTCATGACGGTACGCTCAGGGTGAGGCATGATGGCCAGAACACGTCCGTCAGGACTGCGCACACCGGCGATACCCTCGGGACTACCGTTGGGGTTGAAGGGGTAGCGCATGGTCGGCTTGAGGGTAGCGTTGTCAACGTAGCGGACCGGAGCGAGATCTTCGCGGACAAAGTCGGCAGCAGTCTGGCCGGGGGTACCGGCGAACGAGGCGCGACCTTCGCCGTGGGCAACAGCGATGGGGAAAGAAGAGCCATCCATGCCGTGGAAGAAGACACTGGGGCGCGAAGGATCGGGGTCCGAGATGCGGACCATGGCGACACGGCCCTCGTACTGCTCGCTGGTGTTGCGCTCGAAGCTGGGCCAGTTGCGGGCACCGGGGATGAGCTCCTTGACACGCGACAAGAACTGACAACCATTGCAGACACCCAGGGCGAAGGTGTCGGGACGCTCGAAGAAGGCCTGGAACTCCTTGCGAGTGTTCTCGTGCAGCAGGACGGATTTGGCCCAGCCTTGGCCGGCACCGAGCACGTCACCGTAGGAGAAGCCACCGCAGGCGGCGAGACCGGCGAAGCTGGCCAGCGAGACGCGACCGGAGATGATGTCGGTCATGTGGACATCGACAGCGGCGAAGCCGGCAGTGTTGAAGGCGAAGGCCATCTCAGCCTGGCTGTTCACACCCTGCTCACGCAGGATGGCAACGCGAGGCTTGTTGGTGAAGGGAGAGTACTGAGATAGGCTGGTCATGATAGGCAAGCCACGGTCCTTGGGGTCGAAAGTAGGGTTCCACGAGAGACCGGGGTTAGCATCATCGAGGATGTTCTCCCACTCCTGGTCAGCACACTCGGGGTTATCACGCATCTTCTGCATGTGGTAGGAGGTCTTGGACCAGATCTGCTGGAGCTTGGAGCGAGGCTCGCGGTAGACCAAGGAGGCCTTGTGGTAAATGGTCAGGTTCTGCTTCTGCTTCTCCGAGACACGACCAATCTTGTGGATCAGGCCTGGAGGAGGACCGCAAGTGGCAAAGCAAGAGCGGAATTGAATTTCGTGCTCCTTGCGGACCTGGAAGACAGCACCCAGCTCCTCGTTGAAGAGGGTCTCAACAATGTCCTGGGTCTGGAAAGAAGAACAAATATTGTCAAGCATGATCTCCACACCGCAGCGACCGGCGAACATCATCTCGGCGAGAGTGGTCAGAAGACCGCCGTCGGAACGGTCGTGGTAGGCCAGAACGATGCCAGCCTCCTGCAACTGCTGAGTAGCATCGAAGAAGTCACGGAAGAGTTCGACGTCACGAACATCGGGACATTCGGTGCCGACCTCGTTGAAGACTTGAGCAAGGGCGGAGCCACCAAGGGTCTTACGACCGAAGGACAAGTCGACAAACATGAGAACAGTCTCACCAACATCCTCCAGGCTGCGGAGAGCGGGGGTCCAAGTCTTGCGGTAGTCACCAACTGGGGCGAAGGCAGAGATGACGCATGACATGGGCGCGGTGACCTCCTTAGGCTCGTTGGTGGCCTCGTCCTTCCACTTCATCTTCATGGACATGGAGTCCTTGCCTACGGGAATGCTGATGCCGAGCTTGGGGCACAAATCAAGACCGATAGCCTCAACAGCCTCATAGATTGCAGCACCCTCACCAGGGTGGCTGCTGGCAGACATCCAGTTAGCAGACAGCTTGACGCGACTAAGGCGGTCGACAAGGTCAGAAGCGGCAATGTTCATGAGAGATTCCGCGACGGCCATACGAGCCGAAGCACCGGGAGAGATCAAAGCCAGAAGAGGCTTCTCACCCATGGCCATGGCCTCACCAGTCTTGACTCCTTGAAGCAGAGAAGTGGCAGTCACCGAGACATCCGATACGGGGGTCTGCCACTTTCCGACCATCTGGTCACGAGCAGTAAGACCACCAACGGTACGATCGCCAATGGTGATCAAGAAAGACTTCGAGCCAACGGCAGGAAGAGACAGGACGCGGTTGACAGCCTCGCTGAGCAGCTCCGCCTTGGACGAAAGCGAAGGGAGATACTTGGTGAGGCTGGAGTCGACAGCAGGCAGCGTCAGCTTGCGCGAGTCGACAGTGCGGGTCATGCGTGGCGGCTTGCCGAACAGGACAGAGAGGGGAAGATCAATAGGCGAAGGATAGTCCTTGGACTCGCGGTCGAGAAGAATGAGTCGCTTCTCCTCCTCGGAGGTACCGCCACCTCGGCCGACGACCGAGAAGCCACATCGCTCACGCTGAGCAATGGCAGTGAACTTGTTGATGCTGTCCTCGCCAACAGCCAGGACATATCGCTCCTGGGCCTCACAGCACCAGATCTGCATGGGGCTCATGCTGCGGTCGGCGCTATCCACCTCACGCAGCTCGAATTTGGCTCCCAGACCGGAGTCGTGGATCAGCTCAGGAAGGGCGTTAGAGAGACCACCGGCACCCACGTCGTGAATGAACTTGATAGGGTTGTCATTGCCCATGGCAACACAGGCGTTGATAACTTCTTGGGCTCTGCGCTGAACCTCGGCATTTCCTCTCTGGACACTAGCAAAATCGAGATCGGCAGATCCCTCGCCAGAGGTGATACTGGACGCGGCACCACCACCAAGACCGATCAGCATAGCTGGGCCACCAAGAACGACGAGGTAAGAGCCAGGCTTGACAACGTCGGGGTTCTTCAGAGCGTGCTGAGGGCGAACAGTGCCGACACCACCAGCAATCATGATGGGCTTGTGATATCCACGGACCTCCTTCTGGCCGTTACCAACATCAATCTCGGTGAGAAGTGTGCGGAAGTAACCACCGGTGCAAGGACGACCGAATTCGTTATTATAAGCAGCGCTACCAATAGGAGCTTCCAGCATGATGTCCAAACTGCTAGCGATGTGGTTCGGCCTGCCCACCTCGAGCTCCCAGGGCTGACGCAGTCCAGGGATCAAGAGATCAGAGACACAGTAGCCAGAAAGACCGGCCTTGGGGCGGGAACCACGACCAACGGCACCCTCATCACGGATCTCACCACCGGATCCGGTGGCAGCACCGGGGTAAGGGGAGACAGCAGTGGGATGATTGTGAGTCTCGACCTTGGCCAGGAAGTGCACGACTTCCTTGGTGTGGGTCCACTCCCCGGTAGTAGGATCGGGGGCCCAGAATGCGGCGGGGCCACCTTCCAGAACAGCAGCGTTGTCACTGTAAGCACTGACGGTGTATTCGGGGTTCTTCTTGTGCGTGTTGCGGATCATGGCAAAAAGACTGTTCGGCATGGGCTTGCCGTCAATCACCCATGAAGCATTGAATTGCTTGTGACGGCAGTGCTCCGAGTTCACCTGAGCGAACATGAAAAGCTCGACATCGGTGGGGTCGCGAGCAATGGCGCCGTTCGGGCCATAAGCCTCAGCCAAGTAATCGATCTCGGACTCGTCCAATGCAAGACCCAGTTCCTTGTTTGCCTCCTGAAGAATTTGTTTGGGGGACTTGTCACCTCCTTGAAGAGAGATTGTCTTAAGAGGAAGTGGCTCATGCTCAGAGAACATGAGCTTCAGATCAGGCTCGTCCTTGCCAATAATCTGAGTCATTCGATCATGAAGGAGATCCAAGTACGCATCCTTGTACTCCTCTCCTTCCTTGCGAAGGCATGAAACCTTCATACCGCGCTCAATGCGCTTGACAGACTGACGAAGGCCGCAGACCTGGGCAATACCGGTAGCCTGAGAGCTCCATGGCGAGATAGTTCCGGTTCGAGGGAAGACGTAGAAGGTATCGAATTGACCGTCATCGGAAGTGAAGGAAGGGGGGATGTCGGTGATGTCGCCATACGTGAGCAATTGCTCGAGAACCGCACGCTGAGATTGGTCCAAAGGCTGGGAAGTGTGCACGTAGTGAATCCATTGAGCGCGGACATCTTGAACACCCAGGCTCTCCGCAATGGCATGTCCCCGCGAACGAGAGAACGCCACCGAGCCCGGGATGGCAAGATAAGAGTCGGTGGAAGCCATCGTTAAGAAGACCGATGGATTGAGGTGAAGTCGATCAGGACCAAGCCTCCCTTGGAATAAGGAGGAGGAAGGGCTGTGATGCCACTCAAGTATGACTTGAGCAAAGGATTCCCCGCTATGACTCTCAACTTTTTCTCTGAAAAAATGAGTGGCCCCGCCCTAGGCCGATTGCGGCGGGCTTATCGAAGAATCACGTGGTGATTACGGAACCAATGTCCCGTGATTTTCGTCTACCTACAATGAGGTCACGTGCCCATAGATTCGAAGGGCTCAGGAGATTGACAAAAGCTTCCAACCGAGCATGCAGTAACCTACAGCGTGTTCACACAAAAGCTTAGCATTTCAGAAATCTCATATCCAACAATCCAAAACTTATTACGGGCTTAATGTAACCTTTATTATACAGCGATTATATAAAAGTTATCTACTACTGTCTTCTTGTCAACAATTAAGGAAGCAAAATCGAAGATCATAGATAGGTTATATCTGTATATCTGAGTGGAATATTGTGACTTTGACTAACAAAGAAAGCATTTGAAACATATAAAAAGACAGGCTTTCCTACTTGTCGAAATCGGGATAGTAACTAATCTAGATACTGTCACTTTAGAAGCATGTTTAATGAACCGAAACACCAATTAGAAGCAAAACAATGATTTAGCGGTGCCATAAGTTTGAAAACCCCAGCCAAACTTCCAATCCATCTCATCAGTCATGCTTCAAAGGGTTAAATCGAGAGATGTTGCCTGGGCTCTATGGAGAGGCAATGGAAAAGATAGTCAGACAGATCGAGAGGAGTAGAGAAGGCGAATCAATATCTGGCTAGGCCAGCTTTTCTTCCATCTCTTGTTTCAATCTTGTGAAGTGCCACTGCAAAACTTATGAAAAGCCACAGGTCGTAAATCTGCGCTCTTGATCGATAATTTCTGAGTGTGTCGGCTATCTCGATCGCTCGACTCGGCTCTGAGCTAGTAAACCATATAAGGTTAAAAAAACTCGCTAACTCGATTGTTTCATGATGTGATGAATAATGAAATGGAAACATTGAATGCTGTATAAAGAAGAAAGTTAGGCTTCGCCCTAGCCCGCAGATGGATTTCTTTCTATCCGCTAAACAGATGAACCTTGTGAGCGTCGGGAGGAGTTATTAAGATAAGGTAACACCGAGCAAGATCCTTCGAGTGGTAATCTGAGAGACCATTTGAGCGGTCCAATGTAAATACATATTTAAAATTGTGTTGAACGGGTAAACTGTAGACGGAATCGTTGGTATTGGAACACGTCTGAGGACCACTGAGATAGGAAAGGACACAGTAATGACTTGATTGGACAAGAGACTGATCGCTGTAGAGAGACTGTAGTTGACAAGAAAGAGAAGTGCAACAGCCATCGAAACAGAAACTAAATTCATGGCCCGACAGGACAACTCGTCCCATCGGTACATACATACGGCGGGCCGGACCGAGCCCCCCACAAGCCCCACCGCGGTATCCGCTCCCTTGTCTCGCCCTACTATCCGTGCCTTTTTGCCCACCCAATCCTCTACCGGCTATGGATGGGCAGAAAGGCACGGATATTTGGACCTTTGTTCAGCCCCATAGTTCTGTTCACAATGCTACTTTTGACCGAGACCTGGCACACTTAGCCCCTTATCATTGTTTAGATTTTCGATCATCACCCAAATCTAGTGTTTTCAATGTCAGCACATATTATTTTCTAGGCCTATCAAGCATCTCTGGTGATCAACTTCCATTGCTTTCGCCCTAAGTCCAAGCACCAGTTCGAATATTCTGTAAGCCTCAAGCAGAGGTCGACTTTACTTAGCCTCTTGCTATCTATCTACTGCCAACTAATTCACTTTCATTCATGACTAAAACTTGGATGGGGAACAATACACATAAATGACTCCCTCGAATAAAGATATCGCGGCATAAGAGGCCATCACCGGAAAGGAGCAGGCCAATAAGCCATTCATAACGAAGTTTTTTATACTCGGAAGGAGATCTTTCAGATGCAGGGATCGGTACAGGACCTAGCTGATGCATTCCGGTACGCGACAGTGAACCCTGTTGATCATGTCGTCTAGGGAGACGAGAGCCAAAGGAGATCCTTGCGGAATACCTTGAGTAACGACGTAGAAAGTGAGTATGGGAGAAACCAAGACAGAATCCAGGAAGTCACAGTTGATGAAAAAAACCATCTACAAAAGGTTTCAGCAGATAGAATTGTTGAAATTGCTCAAAGATGAACCAACTCCCGATCTTCTTGATTTCCCGGAGACCTGAAACCTGCGTGAATGTGCGATATTAGCACGATGTGGTATACAGTTTATGAAATGCAACCCCTCAATGTATTCCGCTACATTGTCCGAGTTCACGAAGGAGACACTCAAGGACGGTAAACAAAGATCAAAACATACGACGCTGTTCATACTATTGCTGTAATTCTGCTATACCACAAGCATAGGACAGGCAGGGCGAGCGATTCTGACAAGATCATCACCAAACACAAACTCCTAATTGTCTGACCACCAATACCTCCAAAGTGCAATCTCTCTGGATTCAGCGGCATACCTAGAGGAGGATACAAGAAAGTTGTGAACAGCTGCACGCAGATGCAGTAGCCAGGCCGTTATAATTTTGGGCTCCGCGGGAGCCTCAGAAGGCCTGTCTTGCGAGCGGTTGATGATGTGACGGAAACGAAGACACACTTACAGCCTTGACAACTCTCCGCCATTACCTGATTAATGCGCCAGTTAGTGAGCCCCCTTAATAAGGCCATTCTCTCCTGGATTTTTTGACCTAGCGCATGATACGGTGGATTAAAAGTGTCGGGGAGCTAGTTCCGTATCAGCCCACTCTCGTTTTGTTCCCGCTTACGACCTCCTTCAATGGGTGCACTAGTACCGCGGACTAAGAATATAGGCTTCTAAGCTAGTACTGGGCCCCATGCGTACATATATGCACAAGAGAGGAGACTCCGAAATTGCAGCATTATCCAGTAAAGTCTGATAAATCTCACTTCTTCCATAACGGATCCCCTGGACGGTTTGAAAAGAAATCTTTTCCTCTTGCTTTGTTGGCACAATTCGTGTGGGCTGAGTGGTCGTCTCGAACACCAGGGTTAGCTCTTTCCGCCTATGTAGGCTTGGCACTACTCTAGATTTCCTGATTTAGACAAAAAACGGCTTTCCCAAAGCGGCAGTATGCTCCGAGAGTGCAAAGAGCACATCGCTTGACGAATGACGTTAGTGGAATGAACTTTTAATTAGGCTTTCATAGCCGAGACGGGAAATCTCCACCAAGGCAAAAGTCCAAGCTTCTCCTGATTCAGAAATCCTGAATCATGAGCCGAAATCACCATGTGGCTCGCTACTGATCGCATAGTCCCACGGAAACTTGAGCTGATACACACGCCTCCCCCTCAGAAGTTCACAATAAATAAAGTACCGGAAAATTCAGGCGAGTATTGCAAAATTTGACATCTGAAACCTAGAATTCACCTCGAAGGACCATAGCTACATCAACATAAGTATCGGCCAAGCTGCACTTCAAAAAGATGACCAGAGCACTCCATAGATATTGATTGATTCATCAAATCAGGATAGAAGTCCTATCATTATCTATCATGGATATAACGCTTCGAACTTTACCACATCCAATTCCACAGGATTTTCTTTCTGATAGAGAACTGATCTATAGAATGATTAGAGTCCACACGCGCGGTGGTACGAACCCTATCCATGCAATAAGGTCCAGAAGTGTAATGCGACAGAGAAAAAGAGATCAACGTGCAGACATCCTATCTTATACAAAACAGAATCCTACAATCATCGCAGATCTCACCAGAGACCATTACCATCGAGAGCTGATCATGAAGTTAAGCAGTGTCAGAGTTGTGGGTCCAATTCCTTGCGAAGCATATTCCCTAATATGGCTAGCGCCAGGATTCCCGTTCGGGCAATATAGCACCCGTGTGGCAAAGTACCCCGATATCAACGAGGGCCCATGTATAGGCCAGGCCACTCGGAAGCTCTCCCCTGTTACATCATGCCGTATACCCCTTCCCGGAAGATCAAATTTTCCAAATTTTGATGTGGCTGAGACCGTGAAAATGTAGTATAAATATGTGGCATAACTCCCTCAGGGAGCGGTCTTCCTCAGTCAAGAGTTATCAAATCTCCAATCAGCTCTCCTGTCTGGCCACATCGGCAAAGCATCCCCTCTTTACTGACAGGATCGATACATCAATCAATATGGAGACCCCCTACTCCACACGGACCAACACGGCTGCCACTAGCCGGACAGTATCTGTGGGATCTGGCTCCGGACAAGCTGATTACCTCGACCTCCCCGTTCGTGCACTGAATGATGATGCCGATCTTCGCGAATATACGACTGAGACACGGACCGGCGAAATTATCAAGCCAGTCAAGTCAAAGGTCGATGGTCAACTGGAAGACTGGAAACTGGTCACCTTCACTCTCAATGATCCCGAGAACCCAAAGAACTGGTCGAAGGCCTACAAATGGTACTGCACCATGGTCGTCGCCTTCACCTGCTTCGTCGTCGCATTCTGTAGTAGTGTCATTACAGCTGATTTAGAAGGACCAATGAAGGACTTCCATGTGGCTCGTGAAGTCAGTCTGCTCGTTGTCACTGTATTCGTCATTGGATTTGGTGTTGGTACGTCATACTGAACGCCTTTTGAGTTGATTGCCACATTACTAACTCTTCCTAGGACCTATGGTCTTTGCTCCACTATCAGAGATGGTTGGACGACGACCAGTATATGCTGTTACACTTCTCATTGCCTTCGTCTTCGTCATCCCGTGTGCTGTCTCTAAGAACATTGGTACATTGATTGTTTGCCGCCTGATTGATGGCATTGCATTCAGTGCGCCGATGACCCTCGTCGGAGGTACTCTCGCAGATCTTTGGAGAAATGAAGAGCGAGGTGTCCCAATGGCTGCATTCAGTGCTGCGCCTTTCATTGGTCCTGCAATTGGCCCTCTGGCTGGTGGTTTCCTTGGTGACAACTGCGGTTGGCGCTGGCTGTACTGGCTCCAGCTGATTTTGTCCTTCGTTGCCTGGGTTTTGATCACCTTCACCGTCCCCGAGACCTATGCACCAATCTTGCTGAAGAAGCGAGCTGCGAAATTGCGCAAGACCGAGAACGATCCTAAGTATACTACCGAAACCGAGCTCGATCCTCGTCCACTGGGTCAGAAGCTTCGGATCTTCCTCTTCCGACCTTTCCAGCTGCTCTTCTTGGAGCCCATTGTCTTGTTCATTTCTCTGTACATGTCAGTACTGTACGGCCTGCTCTACATGTTCTTTGTTGCCTATCCCATCGTATACCAAGGTGGTAAGGGCTGGTCCGCCTCAATGACCGGTCTCATGTTCATTCCTTTGGCTCTTGGTGTGCTCATGAGCGCTGCTTGTGCTCCCTTTGTCAACAAACACTACCTCAAAATTTCCGCGGAATACGGTGGAAAGCCTCCAGCTGAGAAGCGTCTGATTCCCATGATGTTTTCTTGCTGGCTCATTCCTATTGGCCTATTCATCTTTGCCTGGACCTCGTACCCTCATGTCCATTGGATCGGTCCCGCAATCGGCGGATGGCCTGTCGGGTTTGGCTTCATCTTCTTGTACAACTCTGCCAATAATTATCTTGGTAAGCCAAATATCCCCAGATTGAAAACTTGAATATTTTACTGACTGCGGTTGCAGTTGACACTTATCAACACCAAGCCGCTTCCGCTCTGGCAGCCAAGACCTTCATTCGCTCCATGTGGGGTGCGTCTACCGTCCTGTTCACTGAGCAGATGTATAGTCGCCTTGGCTACCAGTGGGCCAGTTCTCTTCTCGCTTTCCTTGCCCTGGCATGCTGCGCGATTCCTTATGTGTTCTACTTCAAGGGCGCATCCATTCGGCGTTTCTCCAAATTTGCCTTCAGCGATGATGAGGAGCAGCAAGGCGAGAAGGCTTAATTTCAATGACAGCCTGCCCAGAAACATTTATGATTTGAGAATTCAACGATGTGTCATCGATGTTTCCAAAACAAAACGCCGTCGAGGTACTACCATTGGCAATATTTGCCATTTCTTTTTCTTCCCGCCGCTTATTTTTCTCGTCGAGCGGACAACATGTTGAAGCGGTTCTTTATGGCGTTGATGGTTTTATCATGACATGGAAATGCTTACATATAAAAATTTAGACATAGACTCATATTCTTATAGTGATTAAAATATAATGTATTCAAAATCAAAAATTTGTCCATACCGCGCAATTTTTATGACGTAGAGTCGACCTTCCGCATTTAACACCCCACATCACGTGTGTCGGCAGATAAGGAACCGCGAGCGATGATGCTTTGCGGCTTGTCTCCAATTCGACTGGATTTCCTTACACACCATGCGATTTTAAGCGTATTCATGGAATGACGCACCTAGCAGGATTATTCATCTGGGGCACAGCTTATTCTTAGCCTTCACTCCTCCCGTGTCGAATTTATTCTTCCGCTCCGAGCCGGTTACGGTCGCAATAGACACTGACATCGACGGGCGCACGGTAATCCCAAAAAAAAGTCTTTTCGGGTGTGGAGGGAGAATCGGAACACCATGACATCGCCATATCCCCAATCGAATCTGTTCTCGCCCTCAGACGTGGCTGCAGCACCAAACAGGTCTGTTTCTGACTTGCCGCAAGCTCAGGTGGACGCCATCATCCGCACGAAACGCAAGGCTCGTGAGCCCAAAGCCTGTTACCCATGCCATGCGCGCAAAGTGAAATGCGATCGGAATCTTCCTTGTGATGGATGTGTCAAGCGTGACCATGCGGATCTTTGTTCCTACGAACGCCCCTCCAAGAAGCGCTCCCAGGCGTTCCATGAAAGCCCCATCGGTGGCGCTTCAGCAGGGGTCTCGGCAGAGCAGCATGCCTCATACGGGTATGACGATAGCGAGGTTCAGATTAAGCCTGATCCTGTCCAGAATTTTCCGACTCGAATCAACGGTGCCCAAACAGGCGGGCGTGTGTCAATTGCCAGGGAGGAATGGGATAACGTGCGCAACCGACTGCGAGAAATGGAGTCCACCATCTCCTCACTGCGCGTGGGCCTCGAACGTGCTGAAGAAGGTCCGTCTGTGACCGGGAGCGTGCAGAGTGGCGATGCAAGCTCCGGTGCTAAAGGTGCATCGCCGGAACGCGAGGGAATACATACCACCAATACCCTGGGCCAAGGCACCGTCCATCTGGGCTCGCGCTCGGTCCTGGCTTATATCTTGAACAATAAGTCGGGGTCCGACCAGCTGCAAACCCTATTGGAGGACGGAATACTGCCCAAGCTTGGGCTTGACAACGAGTCGGCAACCTACCCGTTTGTGGATTTGTGGTCCTCGGACATGTCGACCTTTGACATCAGCGCCGTCTGTAGCGCACTCCCAACTGATCAACAATGCAGAGAGTAAGTTCAAATTCTCTTTGAATATTACTCGGACATGCGTATCTAATCGTGGCCATCTTTACAGATTTTTCTATTACTATAAGGATATTGCGGGCGCGATTTACCCTGTCCTTGAAGATGTCCAGCAGTTCCAAAGCACCCTTGAGCTCCTTATGCAGAACAGAACAGCCTCAGGTGGTGTTTATAGAGAGGACGTTGACGAAGCGCAGAGTCCTTTTGGCGTGAGCATTGCCTACCTAGGCTTATTATTTGCTGTCCTCGCCTCCGGCTGCCAGTCGTCTGACCTTGGAAGCAAGGAGAGGGAATTGACTTCACAAGTTTATGGTATGTTTAGCAGAAATTCGTTCGTAAGCGCCGTTGATTGACGCCAGGTACAGTATGCTGCTCTTATCAATGCCTTCGCATGACCAATTTCCTGTCTCAACCAACCATTGAAGCAATCCAGACACTTCTGGTCATTGGAAATGTTTTGTCTTACAACATGAACCCCGGAATTTCTTACGTCCTGCTGGGCATGACGCTTCGCATGGGCTTGGCTCTTGGCTTGCATGTCGAGTCGAGCAGGTTCTCGTCACTCGAACGATATCGGCGTCGACATGTGTGGTAAGTTTCCTGCAAATGAGCTTCGTTGTTACTGAAGTCAACATCATCTAACCAGATTTATAGGTGGTCCATGGCATGGCAAGATAGTCATTTCTCTCTCTCCTACGATCGACCTTCGACAACTGCAGTCAGCCAGCCCGACATTGCTTATCGCGAAGGCTCAAAACCGGGTGATTTGTCGTACTTTGAGACTCTCTCTCGAGTGATATCTTTGGTCTTGGAAGTTGTTCGCACTCGGATGTTAAGCCCACATACCCAGATAAGTTTTGAAAGCATCCAGGGCTACAAGGAAAGAATTCAGAAAATCATGGTTGAAGCAAAGCCGCATTTGCGAGATGCGCAATGGTGTACGACTTCACCCGAGCATTTGGAACGAGTTGTGCTGAAATTACACTCCTCATACTTCTCTTCCGAGCTTTGTCGACCATCACTGAAACCGAGGGTCGATGCCAACAACGCGGATACTGCGAGTATGCGACGAGACTGTATCAGCAATCTCATGACGACCGTGGAGGCATATATCGAAATGTACAACATCAGCTCCCACGCAGCCCGATCCTGGATTGCGCTGCAGCGAGCAATCAGTTCCGCATTTCTCCTTGCTGTTATCGAGGAAGCCAAGCAAGAGCCGCAGGTCTGGAGCCTTCTACGCCAGTTGGAGTCTATCATAGCCCAGCGTGCCAATAACGAACGTGCCTATGATACCGCTGATGTCGCTGGTACCGCTAGCAGCATCACCTCGCCCCAGGGCATGCCCTCCTACGACCCCATCATGGGGGCAACTAATCCACCGGGTTCTGCTCAACCCATTCTAGATCCCACTTCACCCGCTGCAATCAACCCCGACAATCAAACACAATGGGCGAAGTCGCTGGCAAAAACGCATCGTGCTCTGCAGAAGCTTCTCACGGCATTCGGAAACCAGCACACCCGCAGCGCGACTGGGCGTAGCCCCGTATTCCCTCAATCAAATCTCAACCCGACCGCTGCCTCGGCCTCGATGGGCAACTTCGTTCCTCCTGTGTCAGCAAGCATGACCCCTAGCGTGGGATCTCTTCCACCTCCGACCCCAGAGAGCTCCGGGAGCGGTGAATGGACCATTCCCAATATCCTGGACCGCGCGTCAGAGTATATTCATCCGCCGCTTTGGAGTTAGACTGAGGATGAATTTGGGCTTTGATGTTTGACGTTCTATTTTATTTAAGCGTGGTCCGGGAGCATACATGGCGTTTGTGTGGTATACTAATCCGAGTGGCGTTACCCGGTTCTTGAACATGTTTGTCGGGATTGCTTCAAATTCTCTAAAATTCTCCGTTCATAATTTGTTGACGATACATTACTTTTGACTGTTTGGGGCGTGATGAACGGCGTGTCAATGTACCATGACATTTCAAATACTTCCAACCGGCTTGTCTATAAATTTCCGCAAAACTATTACAATGGTCATGCCACCCTTCTGGCTGACAAAAACGAGGCCTGTTATGCTAGAACTTCACCGCAGGCTGCAGCTCACCAATGCACTCACCAAACCCGACGCCAGAAGCAGCTCCACCGGCCGTAGCGGTCATGCGAACTACATCACCATCCAACAAGAAGTGCCTCTTGGAACCATCCGCAAGAGTGATCGGCTCCTTACCGGCTTTGGTACTTTCAAGCAGACAGCCGTAGCTACCATCGACCGGGCCGCTGACCGTTCCCGTGCCAATGATATCTCCAGTCTGAAGGTCGGCCCCCGTGCTGGCAAGATGGGCGGCCATTTGACGTCCGCTCCAATGCAAGTCCTGTGCCTTGGACTCGGTGACAGTCGTTGCCTGGGTCCCGACAAGAATTTCCACTTTCAAATCAATAGCATAGCTCGAGGCGGCAATATCTTCCAGATGGCTTGTCAAGGCAACCTCGGGCTTGGGGCCCGGAACCTTGAATGGCTCGAGGGCATCCAATGTTACAATCCAGGGTGAAATGCTCGTTCCAAATGACTTGCCATTCAGCGGTCCCAGTGGAACCATCTCGCATCCCTGGATGTCGCGTGCTAATGACAAGATTCGGTCAGCATCAAGTTCATGTCACCTTCCTTTTACGAGCTGGGAATACTAACCGCTCCAATCATTCAGAATAACGAAGCCAAAGATGTGATCATCAGCATCTTTCGCGTTCAATCCCTGTAAACGTGAAACGCCCTTGCCAACGATGACGCCAATCTCCAGTTCGTAGTCTAGTGCTTGCGAGGGGCCATATACAATGGGCTTCTTCTCTGTCGCCGCAGAACGGTCAAAGAAATGGCCCTGTGGCCGGATCACCGGGGTACCCGAGACAAAAATGGTACTTGCGCGGCCGTTGTATCCGATTGGGAAGTTGAAGAAGCCGGGAGGAGGAGTCTCGTCGTTGAGAATCGCTCGGCCTGCGTTCCGAACGTGGTGCAGGCTGCACGAGAAGTCTAATGCAAGTTAGACCGCGTTGCCCATCAGATTTCAATGGCAGACCGCCAACATACCTGTAAAGCCGCCTACAGATACAGGCATATGAAGAGTCACCGCGCTGATGTCTTCGGTGAAACCCGTCGGCAGGGGTTTGGCCAGTGCCTCTTGTAACACCTTGCGCACATCGCGCTGAGTGCTCTTTGGCAACGCCGCGTATTCATTGAGGCTCGGTTGGTCGAAGATACCCTCTGGCAAGCTCGAAATCGAAGCAAAGACACCCGCGCGTTGTAACTCCGCAAGAAATATGACGCTATTCTCCAATCGAGTTACACCTTGGGGCTTCGGGTGTGTGTTGGACGAAGCTACTCCGAACGGAATGTTCGCGATAGAGAAGTGACTTTTATAATCGACGGAAGTCATGATGAAGTCTTTAAAACTGGATTCTTATGAAAAAAAAATACTTCAACCATAGATTTATTCATAAATGCGCCTGGCTACAGTCTTATTGTCTGGGGCCTCTGCATCCCCCACCATCCGAGGAAGGCACTGCGGGGAGCGCTAAGTCCACATCCCGACCGACTATGGAGCATTCTCTCGGACTGCTTCAAAAGCCCCCACACATCGATAATTTGCCTCGGTCGCTTTGACAAACATCGTACAATTGACTGGTTCACTTGGTTATACCACATTTCGTATAATCCTGGCCACGAGGCGAAGATCCAAGGTCCAGGAAAGCTTGCATGGACCGCGATCGACAGCCTGCACCGCTACTAATCCTCTTTCTTCTCAATAGGCATTCCATGAACGATGACTGGACTCGAGATAATGCAGTTTCAGTTACGTGCGCAAATCGGCGCCTTCGGAGAAGGCATGGTCACACAGCGTCGGTCCATTATCTCCTAGAGCGGGAATCGGTCCTAATATCCACCGTCGAGGTAAGATTTACACCTTACGTTCGCGCTTAACCCAGCGACGAGGGTTGAGTATGAACCTGGGATTCATTGCACCTTGGATCATCTTGACCTCGTGAAAATCAGACCCTCCGGCACCCTTTGACGACCATAAGCTTGCTGCTATTCCGGCACCCAGGGAAGTCGCGTCACCTCTCTTGAGACTCGGGCACAACTCACTCGTTAGGCTGGTGACAACATGTCTGCTACGGCTAAGAAGCAATACTATAATGCCGGGGTCCTGCTCTTTCCGGGCGCGGATATCCTGGACTTCACAGGTCCAATGGAGGTCTTATCCCATGTCTTGCATAACCGAAATCCAGATGACCCCGATCGAATGTTCACCATCCGGAGTATTGCACAAAGCACTACTATTCGCGCTGCGAATGCATTGATCGTGCAGGTCGACACGACTCTCGACCATGCGCTGGAAAATATCTCCGAGTACGACATTCTGGTCGTGCCAGGAGGGCCGCCCTCTGTGCTACAACCCATGGTTGATGCCAATGTGCCCGAGGTGGAGCTCATCCGCAACTTTGCGCGTCTACCCCGGACTTCCTCACAGCGGCCGCGTCTGTTATTCTCGGTTTGCACCGGCGCTTTTTTGCTGGGTGCTGCGGGTATTTTGTCGGGTCTGACTGTCACTACTCACCATCGAGCCATTGATACTCTCCGGGATATATGCCTTCGTTTCGGGGACAGAAGTGAGCCGCCAACGAACGTGGTACATAAGCGCTATATTGATGGGGGATACCTTAAAGGGAATGCTGTGCAAGTATTCACAGCTGGGGGTGTCAGCTCGGGCCTTGATGCTAGCTTCTATATCGTCCGCCAACTAACGACACCGGAGATGGCCACTTTCGTGTCTCGGCTGATGGAGTACGATTGGACTGAATTGGACGAGTGATCATAAGTATAGACACGTATACTGGTCAATTCATGGACATGTTGTTCTGTCTGACGTAAACCATAACACCGAATAATGTGCCGAAAATAAACTCATTGAGGGGTACTGCGTCATGAGTAACATCGGTTTATCGCACAGCAAGATGCTTTCTCGTATATGATGTTTGCCATTTTCCTGGTCAGCCAGACCCAATCCACCATATGCCTAGCTGCAAATTTCCCCTCAAACTCTGCGAACCATGGCCTGACCACATGTAGATCGGATGAAAGTAGCTAAATACTGCGAAAGCCAATACGCAACAACTGTGATCCAATTTATATGCACCGACCCTCGGGAGCATATGCTGAGTGACAATGTCCTACCTGGTCAGAACTGGTGTATCTGTGATTTGCCAAAATATCTCCTTACTTCAACATCAAATGACTGCTCTCCAGGATATATGCTAGCTCTCATCAAATCAAGACAAATGGCCCCGGGGCGCCTGGCCCGAAGTAGTATGCCAATTGCTGCACCCCTGTCAATCAACGGTGGCACGTAACTGCAAGTCACGTCACCAGCAGGTAGAGCTATATGTTTAGAACTATGTTAAGGACGTCTTTTATCCTCCGTCGCCACCTGACCGTATACGAGGGTTGCTGACACCGTTCAGACCGTATCGCAGCCATTCCAGGTTCCTTATTTGTTCGCCGTCATTGACATACTCAACAGCACATGGTCGATTGACCCTTACCCCAGTCAGAGATCTCTACGAATTACTTTTCTCAGAGCATCTCGTATATTAGACTTTCCACAGAGACATACAGTGAAAGTCTACACCGCAAAATCTGTTGTACAGGCCTAGGAGACTGGCGGTCTATGGTCTTCTGCACTCGGCTTCAAACCCCGGATCCGAGTACGCAATAGCAGGAGGAGTCATACGGCTGAGATCTCTTGAGTAGTGTTGTCAGTGCTCGAGAGATCTTACCTCGATCTTACATTGACCCAGGCCGGGTATATAGCAGCAACTCGGTCTACAGCGACACGGAATCGTTTCGCCTAGTCATCTGGAGTTGACAGTTCGAAGCAGGCAACTTGAATATTTTCTACTGCATTTTGAAGATCCCAAAACACTTTGTCATTTTGCTTTTGTTTCAAGGTCACGATACTCCGGGGTGACACCGTTCAACTTGCACCACCATGATTGCCCCAGCACCCGTTGCGGACATGGTCACAGCCCTGAATCCGCAGATTCCCACCAAGAATGGCAATTTTCATCTTGGAGAGAGCAATGCTACCGATCACATTCCGATCGAACTATCCACTCACGACGTGGCACCCCCTTCCGAATCTGACAGTGCCGATCCCGATCTAATTACCGCAAACGGCAATGTCTTGACAAACCACGCGAAGAATACCCTCAACGGCCAGACTCCACCTGATTCTCTCTCTGATGCTCTTACCGACGATCACAAAATGGCAGTTGATATCTTGAAGGTGATTGAGAGTTACGGCGTTGACTACGAGAAGAATGGCGGTTCCTGGAAGGGGTTGGAGTCGTTCGTTCCTACTGTGGTCGAACAGGTGAAGCGCCAGGAACCAATTCGGATGATTCTCCCCGCATTTCCTTTCAAGTCGCCAAATGTGCGAGACAAAGTCCTGGGCACGATGCCGGACTTTGGCGAAGAATTGGCGCTTTGCCATCTGAACGGACTGTGCGAGAACATCGCCCAAGTATACGAACCCGGGGCCAATGTATATATCAGCTCAGACGGCCTCGTGTACAACGGTAAGTTGCCTAATGCCCCAAATGCTGGCTTTTGCTAAATTGGAATCATCAGATATTCTGGGGGTTCCCGATGAGACTGTCTGGGAGTATGGCGAGACACTGCGAAAGATGGCCATGGAGAAAGACCTCCGCCATGTGAAGTTTATTCGCTTGTTCGAGCTTCTTGAGCATCCCTGGTTCCAGAGCAATAATCCAGAAACTGCAAAGGCCTTCTACCTAGCGCATGCTAGCTGCCTACGTCGCGAGCTGATGTTCGTCTTCGGTGACCCCACGTTCAACGCCGATGAAGCTATCAAGACCGACAATGATACTTGTCTGACGTACCGCGGGTACATCAAATTTCTCACTAAAGATCTGGCGCATCAAGAAGAGATCCAGACCCAATCCAAGCGGGCGAGACAGACTCAGATCTCCCAGATCGCACGCCAGATGATCATCCGCGGGAAGATGTTTGCTGCCGCGATCAAAGCCAACCGAGGCGACTACGTTCGATTGTCTATCCATGAGTCTGCTGGTGAAAAGAAGTTGTCCGTTTCTCTCATTCCCCAGATAAGAGGAGCTCTTGGTTTCACGCCATGGCACGCGTCCGTGGCCATCGGCCTGGACGGCTCATACCGGACGGTCCACGCTGAAGATGTGCGTGAGACGCACGACCTGATTTATAAGAACGGCCAGCCATACTTTTTCCGAGAGAAATCCGAGATCTTTGATTGGTCCAAGGATGGGCTCTCCGTGAAATTCGAGCATCTATATCCCTGTGGAGTGATTATTCGCCCGGCCGACATTGATAATCTGAACCCGCGACCGTCGATCAGCGCTATTCCCATGCATAAGGTCAGGAAGATCTCTAATAATATGTCCCCCGTGATTCTACGTGGCTTTGCCGAGACACTCGAAGAAGATCTATACGTCAAAGCCGGATCCAAACTGGGCACTATCCTTCCGTGGAGCTTCGGTATCATTCAAAAAGTGCGCGATGCGGGTCGGTCGGATAAGTTGGGCAACAATGTGACCTCGAACGAGGCCATGCCGATGCATTTCGATGGCATGTTCAAACTCGAAGAAATCACCGATCCAGTCACGGGCGAAACCAAGAAAGTCCAGCGCCCACCGGGCTACCAGTTCTTCACCTGTCCAGCGACCGCCCCGAAAGGCAGCGGGTACACGTTGTTTGCTAGCTCGCGGCTGTTCTTTAGGTATCTTCCACAACCCTGGAATGCAGATCGGCTGCAAAATGTCACCTGGGCCATGGATAATGATGGCTTCTGGGATGCGAAAATGAAGAATCTCCCACTGCTGGTGAAACACCCAGTCTCGGGGTTGCCTTGCCTGAGATGGCATCAGCCCTGGGACTCCACAAAGACCAAGTTCTCCACTTGTGATGTGAAAATCGAAAATGAAGACCCAAGTCTCGCTCAGATTATTGATCGCGTCACGTATGACCGCAGAGTCTGTCTTCGCTTTGAGTGGGAAAAGGGCGATCTCCTCATCAGTGATAACACTGCTATGCTCCACACTCGCACGGGGTATATAAGTGATTGTGATCGTGAGTTGTGGCGCATTCATTTTGATTAAAGAGATGGACAGTGTTGGTAGGGAATGGCGTGCGGTTTTATGTTGGCATTTGCTGTTGCTGTTATAGTTCAAGTCGCTCGCTTCTTTTCTGCTGCCAGAATGGGCTCAATGTGTGGATAAATATGTCGTGACAACATGTCAGACCTTGTTTAGATAGGTCTCAAGCTAAACAAGGTCAATTCTTTCCAAAAGTCTACAAGCAAAAGCCAGAGAGCCCATATGGTCTATTCCACGTGCCGAAGGATATCACATGCCGCCGTGAGAATCGCAAATACAGGGCCGTAGTGAAAAAACGATAGAAAGATGGGGACCAAGAAGATCGGGCTTTGGTAGAGCGTTTTGGATTCGAGATTTTCTGATTGCTTAGTTGTGTTTTTGGAGCCTGTCAGGTTGAGAAGGTGACGTTTATCATATAGAAAGCTTGGGGATGGTGGGTCGAGGTGTACTTTCCACCGGATAAGAGACTCAAAACAACGATTCCCTTTGGGCAGTTCCCTTAACATCTAATGTCGTTAGAAGTACGAGCTTATGATTTTCCAGGGTATCAACAGGGAGATGTACCACGAAAACATGCCGTACACGTCTTCTGTCATGTCCAATAATCGCGTTGACTTCATTAAATGATAGAACTATATGTCACGTGAAGCTCGAATAGCACCGACCCTTCTCGCTATCTGAATGGTAGTATTCAGAGTGTCCTTTTCAGCAGTAGTGAGGTTCAAGAAATGATTTGAAGTAAGGCAAAGAACATTGTCTTCCTTCATTTCCCAAGGACCAGGATCCTTGATAGTACTTGGCTCGATGATGAACGATTCAAAATTGACCGGTTGCAGACTTGGGTCGTTGGAGAACTTGTTCGGGAGGACCCAGCCATTGAACCAAAGTGGTCGGCCTGCCCCGTCCAGATGTACCAGCTGTGGTGCACAGATGGAGAAGGCTCCCTCGTGTTGTTCAAGCTCGGTGTCTCGTAGCTCGTGGCTATTTTTCTCGGGGTCGTCCGATGGCTGTTGCACTTCCGCTACTCCCATTACAGCAACCTTGCCATCATGGAAAGCATAACTGGTGTCACCAACAAGCTCATGGCCCAGCCAAAATGTCTCTTTATCACCTGTAGAGAATTATGATATGTTCAAACACACGAGATATATCAATCAGGGGCCTCACCAAAGACCATATCATAGACGCCAACTCTTCCTTCTTGTTCATTTCCATCACGATCTGGACCGTTCATGCGAGTGATGACTAGCAGGGCTACGAAGTGCTTCCACTTATCAATCACCACGACGCCCGACTCTTGCATATGACTACTCTCGCCCGTCCAGAAACGGTTCTGTCGGATCTTGCTAGATACCGGCGCTGGCAGGATCTTCTTCAGCCACGATCGTTTCGAGGATGGCTGAATGACTCGATCTTTGAAGAACAGTGCCCCCGTCTCCTTGTAATCGGGATCTTGGAACAGAATTGCTGGGTCACGGAGGAAGAGGGAGTCCGCATCGATGAAAATGGCTTCGCGGAAGCTCGAGAGCAGGATCGCAAATGGCTTGAGAGCCCATCCGGCGAGCTTCCACCCTTTGTCGTTGACCATCGGGCTCAGGTCGCGAGTGATTACTCCGTCGATTGCTTCCAGCTTGCGTCTGTTGGCTGGTCCTAGGTCCTCATCCCCGAGATACATTATCTCGACAGGTAAGTCGCAGCCAATGGTTCGGAAGGATTGAACAGAAGTCAACAGATAGGCAGCCTGACGGTCTCCGCCCGTCAAGACGATGCCCCGACCCCCACTCCAAAGTTGCGCGTGAAGACTAGTCAGGTCTGGAAAGTAGGGGACCGTCCAAGAAAAAAGGAGCGTCGACAATCGCGTAAGAAAGGAGTGAAAGTCCTCATACCGATGAAGGATACTCGCGTGATCCAGTTGCAGGCGAGACACTAGACTGGGACTTCGTTTGAGATACTGCAAAGTGTCCTGACGCACGAACATCCGACCTCGAATGGGAAAAAGATGAAGAGCCTCCCAGGCTTCGAAGGCTTGTTTGAAAATTCGCGCTCGAGCGCCAACTTCTCTAACCTTTTCCTCGCCCGTTCCTTCGATGGGCGCGACCGCGTCTTTGAGATCAAGCTCGTCCGGTAACATAGAAAACATATCCTCCAGTGCTTGAACGAAGTGATCATTATGGTCTCGGCCAAAGTCGTAATCGACTGGCTTTTCCCAGCCCACATACGAGGCTGCTTCTGATGATGTATGCTGTGGCCTCTCTTGCTCCCCAGAGGATGTTTTGGAATGTGAGCTGCAGTCTCCCGCATAGTAGTCTTCAAGCGAGTATAGAGTCGTCTTGCAGAAGTAACCGAAGATGAACACAATAATGAGGACTTGGAATGAGATTCTCCCACGCCTGGGGTAGGAACCGCGCCTGGTATAGCCAGACTGATGCGGTGGATCGAGCATTTTGGCCCTGGGAATAATTTACAGAAGACTAAAATATTGGGAAAAGTTGCTCAAGCAAAATTCCGAAGAAACCACTTCAAGGAAGGGGTTCTTGTGATATACACCGCATCTTAATTCGTGGCTGGATCCGGGTTTACCAATGTCCAGATTGGAGCTTCATAAAGTGGCAATTCATCAAGTCAAGACCCATGAATGAGGTGCTAGGGCGGGCCCTCCTGACTCTGCATGTTTATCCGAGCAACGGACCAATCCTGATGTCGTGTTGAGGCCAGCAAGAACATTATGATCATAAAAGGGTTTGTTGCCAAGGACTAGCGACATGGGCACGGCCTTCTCGGATTCGGAGCGGAGTCCAGAGCCCGCATTCTGCAGGGGAAGATCGCGGGGCGAGTGGGGTAGATGGATCTTTTGGTAACTAAGGATCCTGCAGAAACAGTATCTATGCACAACATTGATAAAGTGGGTAGAGTTCTTGGTGAGCTTAGAAGCTTTAATTCAAGAGACCAACAAGTTGCGAGTCTAGTAATGCGTGCTGTAGTGGGCCAAAAGATGTCTACTGCGCGAAGGACATTCATCTGAGAAAGTCTCCTTATAGGGTTCTCACAATGCAACTCTAGCTACGCCAAGCGCTCTCGCTTGCCGCGGCTTACTATGGCTGCATAAAATCGTCTCATGTTGTCACCCACGCTTGCTTGTCTGGCCTAACGTACAGAAGGTAGACTGGCTCTGCCGGACATTTACCGGGATTCCATAGTTGGAAGAGCGTCTTGTCGCTCGAAGCCAATCTTCCTGATGAGTACAAATACATTGGTAGAGCGGCACGATTTTGATAATAATGATCCATTGATATTCTTGCATTTGAATGCAAATTGATGAAATACGTGCTAACTACGTATATCATGCAGTGGTTGATCCATCGGTCTTGGCCATACATCATCACTCAACTCATCACTCATAGCCGTTCATACTGGGTTTCTTTCCAGTCATGTGCCCATACTCCTATGCTGCCGCTGAAGCCTTGATGAAGATACGTTCCCTCTGTAATGAAGTCAGCCAACCGAGTAGTATAAGGACAAAAAATATCCGCGGCAACTCACCTTCATCGTCAGCGATCCGAGAATCGCCATCGCTCCGGCCGTCACCACCAGAAAATACGTGCGCGACATGGCCCACACGATTGCCTGGAGCACTCTGGCCCGGGTATCGTCATTCAGTCGCCTGAAAATCTCGCTGTCATTTCCGGAGATGACGGCCTTTAGCTCGTTCCGGGAGAGATTTGGCAAAACATGCTTCAGCTTGTCGATGCAGTTGTTTTGGAACACTGCTCCTGATATGGCGAGTGAAATCATAATACCCATGTTTTGTCCCCAGGACATGAAGGATGTTGCATCTGTCTCACGGGATGTAGAGACCTTGGCTTGGGCGACGGAAAATCCCGCTTGGATGAACATGCCGGCCCCGATGCCGATGAAGGATGTGTATCCATAAATTCTGGCATTTGAGGAAGTCTCGTTCACGGTGCCTAGATTTTCCAGTGTTAGTTTTGATCTTGGATGACAGATTTGATCTCCTTCGTGTTCGTACTCATCAAGGCACCCCCGATTGTCGTCAAAACACCCCCGCCCAAGTACCAGGGCATATAGTATCCCAGCTTAGACATCAAAGCTCCATTCAGGAAGCCAAATGCCACCATCAGAACAATGAATGGTAGCAGTCGCACGGCAGCAGTCAAGGCAGAGTCCCCTCGGACGAACTGGAAGTGCAACGGGATGTAATAAGTAGGGACCTGAAACGGGTTATTCAAAGCTTCGTCAACAGAACAGAAGGATGAAAGCAGATCGACTCACAAAGACGCAGGTAGAAGCAGCAGCCATCAGAGTGAACAGTAGCAACATGAGACGCTGGCCAATGAACTGGCACTGGACAATTCGCTCGGACGGAGTTGTACCGATACAGAACAACTGCTGCGTTATGAATAAACCACACGACAAAGCAGTGATAATCCAGGGGACATATGCTAGTCCTTCCTTCCAGTCATATGTGGTACTACCAAAGATAATGCCCATATTCAAGGCTGTCAACATGCCGGCGATCAGGATGATGCCCAGATAGTCGATTTGCATCAATTTCTGCTTTTTCGACACCCCGGGTTGAGGATCACATCTCGGTAAGTGGCAAACATAGACTGGTAAGAAAGCAGCTCCTATGCAGAGGTTGATGTAAAAGGCCCATCGCCATGTGGCGGCATGGTTCTGCGTGAAAGCGCCCCCAACCCTAACCAATCGGTATCAGATCCAGTCAAACAACGGTTCATGGTGGGTTGATACTTACACAGGCCCCAGAACGGTTCCCGAGCCCCATGCTGATGGAAAGTTAGCATAAAATAGCATGAAATTCCGTGCAGGATAGGACGACCTTGGTTACGTACTGATCCCAGTCAATGCAATATATTGCGGTCGTTGACGAATTGACGTGGTGAGCGACAACAAATTCAAGCACCCGAGGTACATGCCGGAACCCTAGTTGATGACCCCGTGGTTCAGCAAAAATTGACGAGGTGAATGGCTTTTTAACTAACCCCCAGTCCAGCGACAGCACGGCCGACAATCAGCATGTTCATATTCAAAGCCGCGCCACAAATAGCACTCCCGATCTCGAAGAGAAGTAAGGAAGAGAGATAGAGCCATTTCACACTGAAAATGCCATAGAGTTTACCCCTGCAGTCGAGATCATTGATCAATCCACGAGTCACAACCAATCAACGGCTCTCATCCCAGACGTACCAGGTCAAAATAGTGGCCGAGCCTGACAGCACAAAGGCTACCCCCAACCAACTCAGTTTGTCGACTTCTCCAAAGGTTTTCACGATGGGGGACTGCACGTCGGCAACGATGGTATTGTCAAGGGCAAAGAGGAACGTGGATGAGAGAATGGTAAAGACAATGAGGATCCACTATCATGGGGAGAGGTAGTGAAGTCATGGTCAGTGATGAACTTCGAGGAGACGCATTGGGGTCTTGGTCTTGAACACGAAGATGGTTACTTACCAGTGGCTTGGATACCTTGGACTGAATGTCTTCCCGAACGTAGTCAACATCTTCGCCGATGGTTTCCTCTGCACTGTGCTTGCTTCGATCATCAGTGGCGGTGAAGTCTTGCATGGGGATAGACTGTAACTTGGGTTCCTCTTCCATGGCTGAGATGGGAGGTGAATGAAGATCAAGATTAGGAGAAGATCAACGTTAAAGGACGGTGTTTTGCAACCGGCAGAATGAGAGGTGACAATGAGAACGGGGCTGTAGGCAAGAGAAGGATGGTGGAAGAGTGCCGGGAGGAGTGCGTGGGTTCTGCTCAGAATGGAGTGCGTGGTATTTGTGCAATTTGTGCAACACGATTGTATCTCGGGGAAGGAGTGACCGCGTGGAACCCAGGCTTGGAATCATGTAGCCGTCCTCGATCGGGATATTTGGGGTACAAGAAACGTAATAGCCATCCAATTACCGGCCAAGAGATGCGAGGGTATCACAAAGGTACTCGCTATTTCAAATATAGTAATCCCTACAAGCCATGTGGGCTTCATACGTTGCAGCCGTTGGTCTCGTGGTCTAAAGTAGAATTTTTTCCTTATCCTCCGGTCCCTAGGCGAATATCTTCGAGCACGCAATGACTAGCTGGTTGAACGCCGGTGATGGAGATTGAAGTCGTCCGATTGGAAATCATAAACACGGCTTGAGAGGATTTCAAAGGTCCCATTTGAGATGGAAAATGGAGCTCTTCGGGTTGAGGGTTGATCTACAGTCACAAAAACAGTAAGGGAGGTATTTTAGGGAGCAAATGACGGAACTGACATTGTTGCCTATGGTGTATTTTGAGCATCTTTGGTCTAGCGCTCGAAGGCTATTGCTTCCAAAGATCTTGATAGATTGTATCCTGATCGAGAATCAGGATATCTACTACCTGCAGACAGATCATCAACAGTGACAGAGCATGAAGAGTAGTTTGCATGGAATCAGCATATAAGACTTCCTCCATTCGTTTCTTCCCTCGTGATAATGGTTCAAATTAGCGTTGAATAGGCCGATGGGAGTGCAAGTCGCTTCGGAGGACTTCAAAAGACACCTTGTAATTAATCCATTCAGCCGAGAAGAACGTCTCGAAGATAAAACTAAGCCAAGGCCTAATTGAGTTTGCGCCGACTGTCGATGGTACCTTGCATCTGACAAGGCCATTGTCTGCAGCACCAGTCACAAGGTATGCAGCGACGATACGTCAGCACATCATGGAGAATCCCATCATCTATATACATACGACGCAATAGGCCAGGGCGGCGGTAGCCTTCTTAACAAGGATACCCTCCGAAGGCTGGAACCTTGGCCAAATATACAAATTACGTATTGATTCGTAAGGCAGGAGATTCTCATCTCGTTACTACGAATCGTCTTAACAGACAGCCTACCTCATCACTCAAAGAGATCTAGAAAAGCTTCGCCAAACAAGGTCTGAGTTCCTCTAAATTCTAGGGTCTAATATGAATCATGTAAGGTGGGGAGGTCGCTCTGCCCAGGTCTATGTAAATACACAGAAGTCCCTCCCAAGTAACAATAAGAAACAAAAATGAAAAAGCATCGACGCTGTCGTGGTATCACAAATCGAACTGCAAAACGCCACTTCGTTGTTCACATCGCTGGAATCCCATCCCCTCGAGTCTCATCGAGCAAAAAATGCAAGAGATTCAAAGGGCAAAAGAGGATAGGACAAACGACATCCAAACATTGGTTGAGTATCACCAATTGTGCAGTATGTGAGAACAGATAAAAGGGGGTATGTCTAAAAGGTAAACGCGCGAAATCAAGTCGTGGCGCTCTATGGTATAAAACTGTTTGGAAACGAAAAATATGAAAAGGGGGGTCGATCGCATCAAGCGTATCCGGACACGGCCGCGTCCGCGGTGAACTCAAACATCTTTGGGCTTTCTAGCAGGATGAACGACTCGTAGCGCAGTCCGCGCTCCTTGCCTGTGCGGTCAGACCAGGGGTTCACGCTGCTATTCCAGACACTGCCGTAGCCGTCAAACAGGGCGCGCCAATAGCATGCCTCTGCGGCTGCGGTCAGGTACCGCTCACGGAAGGTCTTAACGCTATTGCTGGCGATGCGGTGCGCAAGTTCGGTATCTGCGACTAAGGGCTCTATCTTCTCAGCGAGATTGCTAAAGTCACGTTCCACTTCGACGTAGTTCTGGTTGGGTCCACCGGCCACGAGGAGGTAGTGGTGGTGTTGGATGTATTGGAGTTTGTGGGCGACGATGACAGATTTGCAAGCTTGGCGGTATTTGAGAGATGCAGAGTAGGACCGACCTGAGAAGAGAATGTAGTTAGTAATGGAGTACACGATTAAAGCTAAACTCTAGTAGAAGGACCCGGGTATGGATCAAAACTCACCTTCAACGTGGGCAATAAACATATACCGGCAGTGATCTTCCATGCGGAGCACGTTAGACCCCGTATCCCAATCGACCTGCTTGACATCACCCCAAGGTTTATCGCGAGCCGCTTCAATCAATGCGCGGCGCAGCTTCGGAGCAAAACTTGGCTTGCCGCGCCAGACAAGTTGCGGCGCCTTGTCATCCCAGGGTAGATCCACACGCTTGATACGATCCACCACCTGGTCAAAGGGACCAATATAGTTCTGCGGGTTATCCCAGGCCCAAAAGCTAAAGTCCGGCATGAGCCAGACTCCTTCTTCCGTCGAGGTACGCGCGAATACCCAAACCGGGTGATTGGCAGTCGTCACGTCTTCCACCTTGTCCTCGACGGAAAACACGAATTCAATATCGCGTCTCGATGTGCGATCTCGATCTGCGGCCAGCGCACGGTGGATTGAACTCAAGACACCCAGAATTTTGCGACGGTGGTCCTCTCCTTTGGCGCGTGCGGTAACCACATGCAAGTGACCCTGGGAGATGAATGCGCGCACCATGCCCGGTTGAATGGTGATATCGTCAAGGTCATCGGTAACGAGGCCGCCATCGTGAGCGCGCCAATAGCGCTCACCCCGCGCAATGTCTTCGAACAGACCCTGAAAGGCGGCCTGGCATTGTGTCTGGTCGAGGGCCTCGTTACGGGCGTCGCGAGGGTATTGGAATTTCCAGCTGGGGGAGGCGGATAGCTGGAGAGTCGAGGACTCGGAACAAGAGACACAGGTGGAGCATTGAAAGGAGGTGGAGGTTTGACAGGCACAATGGCCGGCGGGGAGGAGTTGGGTGAGGAATGGGTGAATATAGTCGCGGTCAGAGTTCATGCCATACCAGATGGCGAGAATGGCGAGGCATAAGAGGGTGGCAACGATGCAGAGGAAGGACAGGCCACGGCGCCGTGGGCGCATCCAGGGGTATGTTGCGCTCATGACTGAGGGAAGAAGGTGGAAAGCATTTCTGGAGAAGCTGGAGAAAGTTGGAGAAGGGCGGAGGAGGAGGGGACGCTGATGTGGAGGGGGAGGGGCAGAGCAATATGGGAGAATGAAAGAAGATATGCGACAAGAATAAAAAGGAGACCCTAAGACGGTGGGATGAGGAAGCAGGACAAGTTCGGGGCGGGGCGTCAGGGCGTCTGTGCCTGGGTGGTGCCTGGACGGTTTGGAACATGAAGGCTATGATTTGGTCACTGCCCATCAAAAAACGGATACTAAAGGGGGGGGCAGCTTGAAACGCCCCCAAATTGGCAGTCGATTGACGCAAGATCGCCGTCTTGAAGGAAGTTTCCATTGGTTCTCCCAGGAGCCGCAGCGCGGCTGTGGGGCCATTTAGCGTCATTCTTCATCGGGGGGCTGATTGTGGCTTGGCCGTTGGCCCCTGGCTGAATACCTTATTATTGTACTTCGAGATAATTGAAACAGGAACCTAGGGTCAGATTTCATGGTCATGGAGACGTATGTTAAGTTAGAAATCCTCATTTCTCTTCCAAAAGCTACACTGATAGTACCACAGGGAATCCACCTATATATTGCCATTTAAAGCTTCAAAGCACCCTTGACAGTCCTACTGGACGCAGGTACGCCGAAGTACGTATGCCCCCATACGTACCAAGACCCACTTTGCGTCGCATCATTGGTCTCTAGACATCTCCCCATTCAACATATTTACTTTATATCGACTAGTACTTCAGTTTCAATTGTAGAGAGTAACACGACTGGACACAATAATGTTCCTAGGCCATAGATAGGTCACCTTTTCAACGAACAATAGTTAAACAATAATAGATGTCAGCATCATCCCACGTCATCTCTCTCCACAATTTAGGGTCCAGCATGAGACGATCCACTCCCAGGAATTGCTCCAAAGGGTTTAGTCGATAGTCTCCGGCCCCATCGCCAACTCAAAATGCCTAATACCTGGGCAAATGGTCCGCACGGCCGGGGCTTTGTCGTGTTGGATTCAACCTTGTTGGCAGATGCGAACTGGTCAGCGGGACAAGAATAGAACTAATCACCAACGATGACAACAGTCTTTTGGCACAGCCTTTATTATGCCATCATCTGCATAATGGCAGATTCATCTAGGGCTATTGTATTTGATCTCTTGTGTTGGGCCGGAGAATAGAGTGTGGTTTGTTAAATCAAGGATAATTGGCGAGCATGATGCGGGAGTACAGTATCTAAGAGACTCCGGTCCCGGGTATGTCCAACACCATGATACAGTACCATTCGGACCCTATTAGTTCCTCGGACTGACTGGAAGCCCGACGCCCGGAAATTTCGCGTCAGAGTTCTTTAGAGACAAATAAAGCCGTTGGTCAGCCTTGTCCGCCCCCAAACCCCCAAAGAGAACTCCATAAGGGTCCAAGCTATTCCCCACCGAGCCCTGACTGCTTGTTTCACATTCCTGACAACACGCCGACCTACAAGGCCAAAGAGCCCCAGAGGCCCCATACTGAACGGATATTTCAATTGGCCCCCTCGTATTAAGCAGGCTCAGGAGACCCTGAATAAATTAACAAATGACGCACAGCCGATGAAAACTAAAATAAGTGATGCTCTATATTTTGTATCAAACGCTGGATAATGCAGCCTAATCTCCATGGATGCCGTATCACTAGGTACTTGTAGCAAATTCAAAAGGACCAACTGGTTCCTCCAGGCGTCCAGACCAAAACGCCCATTGCAATGCATTCAAGATTGAAAGACAACGCCTTCTAAACACCCTCGCCCATACCTCATTGCCGGGATTGACTTCGTTGAGCTCTCTCTCGGCGAGTGCTGCGGGCGGGTGTCTCGCCCTCGATCAACGGACTGGCCGGCCGCGGCGTGCGACGCTGTCGGCCCCCAGGGCGAACCCGACCCAACGCACGCCCAAGAATACTGTCCGCCTTGTCATCGAGCTGCATCTCAATCCGTTCTTCCATAGTCTCCGCAGCTTCAGCCGTGCCGGAATGCGTCACTTCATCCGTCCATTCTTCCGCATACCCTGCGTGCCGGATTCGACGACGGTTACTCTCGTTCGTCCCAGTCCGCTCACGACCTTTACGGTTCGTCGAACGACTGTTAGACGACCGGGCACCCTCTTCCACTCCTTGCTGAAGATCTCGCTCGCGACCTTCCAAGGACCAGAGCTCGAGGGCGCGATTCAGTAATGTCCCAGCAACGCCTGCGCCACCGGCAGCATCGCCGCCGCCAGCACCACTCGCTCCCAAGACGCGAACGGCTTCGTGCAGCGCTGTCACGGCCTCACCTATCCGACCAAGTTCGAGCAGCAAGATACCACGAGAGGTATGCAAGGATCCAACCAACCCACGATCCTCATATCCTCCAACTCCGGAGGCGGTTGCCAGGGCTGCGGAGCCCCCAGCTCCTCCGCCCAAAAATGGAGAATATCCCAGGCTGGTTCCTCCTGCACCGACCCGGAGACACTCCTCAAATTCCCGTAGTGCCTCGGGTAGACGGCCAAGGCGACGAAGGGCATGACCCATGTTGGCACGAGTCGCAACCCACGCACCAGGTTCGCTGTGGAGCGAGGCGGCCAGCATCAAGGCTTGCCGGAACATCTCCACCGCAGCAGGAAGATTGTTCTGATGATAAAAGACCACACCAAGCTCATTGAGTACCAGAGGGTCGCCTCCAAGGGGTACCTCGGAAGAGGCGGGGGGAAGGCTGAGGGTCGAGCCTGGCGCCGCCCCAGTTGACATGGCATATGCTGCACACAAATACTCGTGTGCGAGTGCCATATTGTTTAAGGCGAGGTGTTGCATGCCTAGGAAGAGCTGTGGCAGATGACTGCCCTGGAAAAGCCGCGCGGCAGTGCTGTACGCGGCGATGGCTTGATCATGTTCTCCCTCAGCCGCAAAGGTATGCGCGAATCCGATCCAAGCCGGCGCCGAATGGGGATCCAGGAGAGACGCTTTGGAGAAAAATCGACGAGCCTCGGCAACCTTGGACACTGCCAAGTAGTAGATGCCGATGGCGAGATACGTGTAGGGCTCCTCAGGGGCGTGGTCAGCCAGCGTGTGGGAGAGCAAAAACAGAGCATTCGTAGCTCCTGTTTCGTAGAGACACGCCAGATGAAGGGGATAGACTGCAGGCGTGTGGCCCACATGGCTGTGTGCAAGACTGCTTGCGCCAGTGGGTGATGTCAAATCGTTCATTTGTGGTGTAGAAAGGATGGAGGATGTCAGCTCCAAGGCTTCAGCGAAACGACATTGAGTGTAAAGTGCCTCTGCACGCGAGAGCAAGATGTCAGGGTTACCCGCGAGGTTGTAATGTGTGGAAAGGGTTTCGGTTGCGTCTGACAAAACACTCGGTGCCGAGTACTTGGACAGGCGTGTGGTATAGAGCATCTTGGTGAAGTGGGCCGCTTCTTGGGCGAGGGCGGGGTCGGGAGATGATACCGAATCGAAGTCCAGCGATTCAAGGAATTCCAGTTCTTCGGTGGGCGACATCAGGGAGTTCTTCATGAGCTGGTCGTAGGCCTCGAAGCACTGCACGTCAATCCGAACAGCATCCTTGTAGCAGTCGCGGGCTCGGTCAAACGCATTCTGCTTGGCAAAGCAGAGGCCCCTCAAATAGCACATGGAGGCCTCAAACCTCACGCTACCATCGTCATCCCTCTCTCGGTCCTCGCCCCGTTCAGCGTGTGCGACTGTGTGCTTTCCGTTCCGAAGTGTGACATGGCTCTGGCCGTTGAGGTGTTGAATCTTGCGACGACTGTTATTGCTCCGGACCAGATCGGTAGGGTTTTGTTCGCCAAGAATTGAGAGAGCTTGGTCGAACTGGTTCTCTTTAATATAGCAATAGGCGGCAAGGTAGCGACAGGAGCTATTTTTTGCGATAAGATCTCCGCGGGATAACAGGGCCAGGGCGCGCGTAAAGTTGTTGTTGTTAAAGTGAGCTTGGGCTAGCCAAAAAGCATCCGAATCGCTATCTATTCATTTTCTCAGTCATTAGCCACCTCCCAAAACCACGGGGGGACGAACGGGGCATGGCAACGCGGGGCCCTACCCGTGAGCGCAAGAACCTTGTCGCCAATGTAGACGGCGGCGTCGTACTGGCCGCGATTCAGCGCACCCTGCCGCCAGGTGCGCAGATACTTCTCCATCGCAGAACTGACGCGTCTGGCCCAGGAAGAATGGGATTCAGTAGATCAGTAAGCATAGGACCGAACAATTGCGTTCGGAGAATTTGGTCATCGAGCGCCGCGGTGCTGCTCGCATGAGCGGGTCGCGGAGGGTCAACAAACAGTGGCCCGTGCGTAACTGCCTCAGGTGTTGAAATTTTGAGGGAAAAAGATCAGTCACGGAGGGGAGAACCAGAATGGGATATGAACAACTTGGAGAATCGGTGCTAGAAACCGTGATACATTCAGCAATCACAGCATCTTAGTGCCAGTGGACTCATTCTAGGATGACGGAGCTCTCCAAGATTCCTATATCACGTGAATATGTCGCTATCACGTGCCGTTATCTCGATAAGTCCGCAAAGTCCAGCGCCACTTCATCAAACACCCTCAACTTTCCCCGATCCCCTTCACCCCTCACTGAACCACCGCCAACATGTCCGAGCGAAAGGTCTTGACCAAGTACTACCCTCCTGACTTTGACCCGTCAGCGATCGGGCGCACCCCGAAGCATCTGCGCCAAAAGGGTCCCAAAGTTATCACGGTCCGACTAATGGCCCCGTTTCCCATGAAATGCACCAACTGCGGCGAATACATCTATCGCGGGCGCAAGTTTAATGCCCGCAAGCAGACACTTGAAGAGAAATATCTCAATATTCCAATCTATCGATTCTTCATTCGATGCACGAGATGCAGCGGTGAGATTACTTTCCGTACAGATCCAAAAAGTAAGTGCCGGATACTCCCACGTTTTACAGGTGCAAAGTCACTAAACATGAAATAGACATGGACTATGAGTGTGAGAAAGGTGCCAAGCGAAACTTTGAGCCTTGGCGAGATTCCAAGTCTGGGAAATACAACGAAACCGAAGAGGAAACGCTCGATCGACTCGAGCGCGAGGAAAATGAACAGGAGGAGCAGCTGGAACGTGACAAGATGGCTGAGCTGGAGGAGAAGATGCAAGATTCCAAGCGAGAGATGGCCATCGCAGATGCGCTCGATGAAATTCGGACGAGGAACGCGCGCATTGCACGAAACGAGGGTTTAGAGGATGAGGTTGCTTTAGATCTTATCCACAACGAGGTGGACGAGGCGAAGTTGCGGGAAGAGCAGGAGATTGAGGAGGCCGCGAAGAGGGCTTTCATGACTGCTTCTGGCGAGAGAATCAAGCGTGTTGTGGACGAGGAGCTTCCTGTACCGGGCCCTTCACAGACAAAGACTGCCCAGGCTCAGATGCCGCCACCGTCGACGTCTTTTGCCCGAGTCAAAAAGCCGAAAAAGGGCGGTGTTACCAGTTTGGGTATCAAGAAGAAGCCGTCCTTGGTTTAATGTGCTTTGTTTCGTCTGCTTTCTTTTCAGCATCGCAAGCGCTGGCGTTCTCATGAGATAGTAACAGGATTATACCATATTTTACAAGTCAATTTCACACCTCCGTATTACCACTACATACAGATGACCTTTCTTACATGAAGCATAGTAGATTAGGAACTATTCGTAGAGGATAATAAAAATATGAAAAAAAGTAAGATTCATACAGGAAAAAAGGTATCAAATATCATAAAGCCGGTAAAAAAAAAGGAGAGAACAGTCATTCTCACCCACCAAAGCGCCACGCTCAAAAACACACCGAGGGAAGCAATCCACCCAATATACCCTTTTAGCTATGCAAATCAAAATGCAGTCTGGTCGAGACGAGGGGAGAGAGGAAAAGAGTCAAAGCAGAAACGTTGCCGCTTAGAGATACGGCATCCACAACGCGTCGCACGAGGCCAAGTGCTGCGGGTTGACCGCCCGAGAAACCAAGTCAATTGTAGTCTGGTTGGCGGGCAGGTTACCCTCGGGTGGACTGGCGAGACTAACGGCGCGGTTGACGATGATTTCGCTGTTGTTGTAGACCAGTTCACGCAGTTGTGGCACAGCCAGGTTGCCACGGTGCTGGGCAGTGGCCCAGAACATCATCTCGTCACGCACAAAGACGCTCAGCTGCTGCTCCAGCTCGTGTCGAGGCTCCGTCAAGCAGCGGGCAATCGCCATCATAGCACAGGCAAACAGACCCTCGGTAGCAATGGGTCCCAGCAGAGTCTGGATGTTCGGAGTGAAACGGAATGGCACCTGCTCAGGGTTGTAGAAGATTGCCTTGGCAGGGTTGATGGTCGGGATCAACTCTGCACCCCAGATATCGCCTGTCGAGCGCGACACAAGGATCTTGTTCGGGTACCGGTTGCCAATGTGCATAATGTAGGTCATGAAGGCCACCGCAGCATACTGGTAGGCAAATTGGCGACGGAACAGCCAGAAGTCCGCAAAGTTGGGGTACGTGTTTTGGAAGTACTCCAAGACCACCGTGCTGGGGACCCATTTGTCTTGAATTGCGGTCAAGATCTCGGTACGAAGAACCTGCTGTTGATCGGCCGTGCGCTTCGGGGAGTCAGCAATGTTTCTAGAGTGGAAAATGAATGGAAAACTTACGTTCTGCTTTGTCTCCGCCAGAGAGCGCATACGATCCATAGTGAAAAGAACAGGCTCATCCTTGTTCATACCGACTCGTCGGCAGTAATCCTCATAGATGCCCTGCATAGAGATATACGAGGAGTCATCCCGAACCAGACGGATGTGTGGTGCCAGAGGTACCATCAAAGGAAGATGGAAGTACAAATTGCGGCGCCGGCTTTCCTTGCGCTTGGCAAGCAGCCCGTTGAAGATGCGGAACAGCTGAAGAATGCGCTCCTCGCGACGGCAGTGGCGCGCAGCAGGGTGCTGCACGGCAAAGGCTTGGATGCTACCGTCATGACCACGGATCTTAAGACGGCGGTGACAGACACCAATACCCCGTACCAGATCGACATCAGGCAGGAAACGATCGATGCGAACAAAGTCCTGGTTCTTGTCTTTGTGCAGGAGGTATTGTCCGGGAACTTCAACTTCATCAAATTTGAGGAAACGGAACTCGCTGAGATGCGGCGAGTAACTCTCGAGGAAGCCTGACTGAGGTCGACGGTCGAGCTTCTCCTCAAACTTGTCACGCCAGCGGCGCAGCTTTTGGATGTACTCGTGCATCGTTGGCTTCTTAACCACAAAGTCGGCCTCGAAGGACTTTCTGATATGCGCTGGGAGGATAGTCTCTGCGAACCTGGTAATGTTGGCCTCGGTCGCAGGAGGAAGCTTGAAGTCCTGCGCATACGATCCGGGCATACGTCCCACGTAGGCCAATCCATCGTTCAGGAGCGCAACGATGAGACGATAAGCATCCTCATCAGGCGGGCACTTGAAGTTTTTGTGGATCTGATCGACCATTGTTTCCATGGAGAGAGCAAGTAGTGGGAATGCAGTCTTTAAACCAGACATGATCTCATCAGAGTACTCCCAAGGCTTTCTGAGTGGCTCCTTCTCGGTCGAGTCCGCAGGAGCGGCACCTTGGTTCGGCGGGACAGGTCCAGTCTGGCCCGGTACTTGGAGATGGCCTTGCGGCTGGCCTTGAGGCTGACCTGGGTTGGGACTTTGACCCTGTCCCTGGCGGGGCGAGGCCTGGACCGGTGGGTTCGCCGGCTGAGCAGGAGACTGGCTTTGCGTCGGTTGAGCCGGGGACTGAGCTGTGGGCAGATTGGCAGCCTGGCCAGCGGGGGAGGCGCTCGGACCTGGGACAGCACCTGGTACCTTCGGGGCAGGGGAGGATGTGTCACCAGTAGTGGGTGGCTTGGTGTTGGGTGAAGATCCCTGCTGCTGCTGGGCTTGTCTGACCTTATTTAACTTTTCTTGCTTCTGGTCATGCTGCTTCTTGATGCTCAGCATGTCCTCCCGGTTCGTACGTAGGAGGAAGAACAGAGCCTGAGGGTAGAGCTTGGCAATCTTCACCAGCACAGCCTTGCATAAACGAGCTTCACGATGTGACAGACTAGTGAGAAGTTGAGGGATAAAGGTAATCCAGTACCAAACAGGAGTGTCGCCCTTGAAGTTCTCAAAGGCGGCAGCGATCTGTCCTTCATCATTGTCCAAGCTGAGAAGCCAGAGGATACGACTGAGCAGCTTCCGTGATTTAGCACTCTTGTAGAGACCGGCTGCTTCCAGATAACAGCTGACGGCATTGCTGGCCAGCTCATAATCTGACGGATCAGACTTGAATCGTTGATCGCTGTATTGCCCCCATTCGGACCAGGCCTTGGCGAGTCGGAGGTCGTAGTAGAGAGCAACTCCGAAAGCCTCGTTGGCCTCATTGACGTGGTCGAGCTTTGCAAGGAACATGCCCTTTAGAGTGTAGAACTCGGCCTTTTGCTGGGGTCCGAAATAATTCAGGTTGGTGTTGTTGATCACATCCAGTCCACTGTTGAGTTCCTTGGGGTTTTGGTAATGGCACTTAGCCTGCTCCCGAAGCTTAAGGAATGCCTCCTGGATCTCGATGTTGGGCAGGGTGTAGATACGGCTGAGCTGGTTAATGCAGACCTCGGGCATCTGGTGCTTCCGAGCAACGTGGGCAAAGCGGTTGATGATCCACGCCGTCTCGTGGTATCCACGATAGGCGTAAGAGTTGCTAGCCACGTTATTAGTCTGGGGCGGAAGTAAACTGAGATACGTCTGGTTGATAAGCTGGAAGATGTGCTGTCGCCAGGTGACAAGGTCCTGCCAAGTGTTGATATCATCCCACAGATTCGGCAATCGGTCCCGCCAGGTTCCAAGAAGAAGCTTCAACTCTGCAGACTTGGTGTCCAGATTCCGCTCGTTCGTCTGAGCCAAGCTACCGCAAATGTGGCTGGCATCGTGCAGCTCGACCAGCAGTTGGAAGTGCTGCAAGATGGGAATATGGGCATTGGTGATGCGCTTGGGTAGTTGAAGCCATTTACGAATAGAGAGTTGAATGGACTCGTCGCAGACACTATTGAAGTCTTGCATGTTCTCTTTCTTCATGTGGTATTGAAGAAGCGCCATGAAAGCTTGGAAGAAGGTGCGTCTTGGAGTGGGGGCGTCGGAAACAGACTTGATCAAGGACTCAAGTTGCTCGCGAGTACCTTCGCTCTGCCAGTTCTCAATGTTTCTCCAAGCAGCCTCCAGCAGAAGATCATTCAAGTTCTCGTGCTTAGCGAAATCACTCAAAATCTCCCACTGCTGTAGCTTCTGAGCGCAGATCAACCAATGATCTTCCCACACAAAGTATTCACCCTGCGAGAAAGGCATCGCACCAGAGCGTGCCTTAATTTGTGCATTCTCATAGAGCTGCTGAGACTTGTCCCACATGCCCTGTTGCTCGTAAGAGAGAGCTGCATTGGTTTCGACAAACTTGCAACGACGGCGCCATGTGCCATAGAAGAAGTCATCTTCCTGGAGGCCAGCATAGACTTCAACCAACGCGTCCAGGTTGCTCTCCCGAACGGTAGGGGTGTCAATGATTGGCTTGATAGCGCTTTCCTCCAGGTACGTTGCAGCTGTGTACCAGGCATCGTAGGTCCGGCTGAGGTACTTCATGACATGGGGAGGAACCTTAAATCGAGGGCTGGCACGCACAACACCTTCGAGAAGAGCTTGAACAACGTTCGGCCGCTTGTCCAATTGCCGCTGGTGATATTCTCTGGTCAACAAGGTGACCATACCCTTCTCAAGGTCAATGCGATCATCCTTGGTCAAGGTTGACCAATAAATAGGGAACAACGTAGTCCACAGCTTGTACGCCACCTGCGAGTCGGTATGCTGGAGCTGGGAAAGCGGTTCAATCAAGTCACGAACACGGACGTCGCCGATGTCAGACATGAACCGTCTCCGTTCGGCGACAAAGTTCTCCAGCTGACTGTCCACTATGATGTCGGCCTTCCTCGGGTCCTTTTCGCCGCCAGCGAAAAGGAAAGACAAGGGGAAGACTGTGAAGTCATCTTGATGAAGTCGAGCGGTGGTGTTCATGTCAACACAGCCAAGAATCAGGTGAGAGGCTTGGGCCAGCCAGAATGAATCAGCAAGAGTATCCCAATTCTGGCAAGTCAGCACATAGCTCAATCGGGAGCTTGCGAGGCGAGTCAGACTCTTATCAAAGATGCTCATGAATCGGTTCCGCATTTCCACGTCTTGAGCTCGAGTGCCAATCAAGAAAGCATGCTCCAACCTGACGGTCAGCTCGGTACGAGTAATCTTGGAGTCCTCGTAGATACGAATGACGAGATCAAGGAACTTCTTGAGCATAGTCTGATCAGGGCGAGACTCAAAGAGCAACATCTTGTGCAACACCGCGGTTTTCTCCTTGAGGGTTGGCCATGACTCTGTTGAATGGAAAATCCACTCCTCGGCCATGCCCAATACTTTGCTGCACAACTTGGGGTCCTGCGATCGCTCAACGATTGAAGCCAGCACGCTGAGGAACGGCCGACGCTGGTCACCAAGATGAGACATCCGAACCGAGATGAGTTCGATGGTCTTGAAGATGAGGTCGACGCCCAACTGGAGTTCTTGTTCATCAGGGACTCCTTCGGCGGGCTTCTGACCCTGCGGGGTCTGCTGACCATTGTTATTGGTCGAGGCCGCGACATGTTCCTTGGCAAGCTTCTGGGAGAAAGCCTTCATGACAGCAGGAATATGCGTGTCGATTTCGGCAGGCTTCAGCTTAGACAAAGTCCACAGGGTATTCAAGGCAGCTGTGTAGTTGCTAGCCGATAGCGTCTCGGTGGCGATGGCGGACAGGTATGTGGCAAACTCTGACGGCGTGCTTTCCGTATCCATAGCATCCTCATCGTCAGGTTGGTCATCTGGAATAGCCTCAAGCACACGACGAACCGGGGGCGGCAGTTTAGGTGAGATATCCATATCGTCTTCCAGGCCATGCAAACAATCCTGAATCTCTGGGTTGTCGGACTTGAGAGGCTTCTCAAGGAGTTTCTGGATGGTTGCCAGGCGAGCCGTAATCCACTCATCGGGCTTGGACGCAATGAGAACGCGTAAGACCTGCAGGGCGTTGACCATGGGAGTGATCTGTTTCTCATCTGGTTTGTCGGCCTTCTCACCAGCCAGAATAGGCTCGGTCACCTTTTGATAAAGGTCGATATCCAGATCTCCCCAGTATTCTTTCGAAAGCAAATTCCGAAGAAGACTGACAGCCTTGTTGACCATTTCGCCAGTGGGCACTGGTGGTGGAGGCGGCTGTTTAGTGGTGGGCAGTGCGCGAAGTCGGGCAGCTGGGACCACAAAGCGCTCAGCAATGGTGGTGATAAAGGTGATGAGGTACTTGATCAGAGCACCACGAAGTTCGGGAGGTACCGTGTACTCTGATCGTTCTCGACTGGGAGGTGGTCCGAGGGAGGGAGATGCAGAGGCCGTCTCCCGGGTATCTTCGAGCTTGCGCTTCTTCGCATTGGGGGACTCAAGAGCTCCATTGGGCACGGTAGGGCTCGTTTCTGACGCATGCACGCGTTTCTCCTCCCAGTGCCAGATCAAGCCGATCAGATTGAGAGCCAGCTTCTTGCTGTCATTGGAGGTGTTGGGTGGACCGGCAATCTTGATTAAGGAAGGGACGATGAGAGGCACAAAGTGTTCCCGTGATTCGTAGAAAAGGTCGGGCTGTCGTACCAAGAACTGGAAAATGCTCATCACTTGCTGCAAGTTGGCAGTCTCCTCGGCCAGGATACGCCGCGGCCACTTAGCCCAAAGCGGGTATCGTGCCTCGGCACCTTGACTTCCCGCAGTCCGCGTCGGTAGGACCGGGGCCAGCACATCAAGAGCTTGTGTGACAAGAGCTCGGCCTTCGTTCTGGTGCGCTCTCAACAAGGCAACATAAACTTGGATCACAATCTTAAAAGGCGTCTCGTAATGGGCAATGAAGTAACTGATCAACACATAGGCACCATACTTGTTGATGATGTCCTCGAGACGGATGTAGTTCCAGGCAAACTTGATGATGTCCTTGCGGGAGTCCTGCACAGTTTGGTGGTGATACTTGATCAATAGAGCGGACAACTGCAGCAGCTCCATGCGGGAATGATCGACTCCAGCTTGGCTCGACTCCTCGCTCAAGTCGGCCAGCTGGGGCTTCCATAGGCGACTCTGGATAGACTCGGTCATGCTCTTGTCCATCAACTTCGGAGTGTTGGCGGGGCTGTTCCACGTAGTCTGAACATCCATAGCAAAGATCGGGTTGACCAGGTGTCGGAAAGCATAGGTCTTGGTCTTTTGGGAGCATGCACGCTGGCCATACAGGTCGAGACAGCGCATGATTACAGACCGACGGTAGTCAATGGATTCGTTAACGATGATGTGGTGGTAAATAAACTTGGGGAGAGCAAGTGTTCGTTTGAACTCATCGGCAGACAAGCCATCAATGACCTCGAAGAGGAAGTCCAAGTCATGCGAAGCTTCCGCCAAGTATGTGGTAAAGATATCCATCAACTGGTCTTCGGCCTGCTCGACACGAAGGCGCTCATCAGGTGGCAAGCTATCGCCTCGCAACTTGCGCTCCAGCTCTCGGCCGGAGCTCAGGAGCTTACTCCGTAAATCCGCGTGGGAAACCAGCCAGCGCTTAGTGGAGCTATATGAGCAGGTGGAGTGGACAATGTAAATACCATTGATCGCAGCAGTGTTCCTCTTCTCATCCGTAGCGTCTAGCCCAAAGGCGGTTGAGGTAAAGTTCTCTGTATCAGCCACCACGGCATTCCGAAGAGCGTCACTCTCGGGATCGGCCAAAATCTGTCCAAAGAAGCGTCCATAGCTCTCTTCTTTGAAGCGGGCAAGGAAGAACGCCAAGCTTTCCTTGGGATAGCGGTTGAGATACTTGACAAGAGGTTTGCGGAATGGACTATGGGATGTCCTCCGCAACTTCTTCTCAAGATCAAGAACCTTGTCGATGAGATTCTCCATAAACGATGTGGCAGCGGAGGGAAGGAGGTGGAAAATATTAAAGATCGCGGCCACAATCTTCATGGCAGGATTCTGCTCGACCAGGCTAAAGGACACCTTTTGCAAGGTCATGTCGTCGGCAATGACCTTCATGTGATCTAAAAGGCGGGCACCAATCTCGACCTTGAAATAGTTGGTCAAGAGCGTCAAGAGGCGAGCCAGACCATCCAGGCCAGCAACGCTTAGACGCTTGGGATCCTGCAGATTCATCAGGATCGGGCGCAGACCGTTCTGGAGCAAGTCCTTCGGAAGCTTGTTCGTCTGGGTCAACACATCCTTCAAACCAGCATTCGCAGCCTCAATGACTTCGGGGGCTCGCGAGTAGAGAGACTTGAAGAAGACCGAGATGATTCGCGCGCGGCTAGTGTTCTGTGGAGTATTGGCAAAATCAGGGAAGTTCATAGCCATAGACAGGAGACGCAAGCAAGCGACGCGCAGGTTCACAATCATGTCGGCGTTCTTGAACTCGTTCGGCTTGGAGGCAAGCGAGTCATCATCAGCATCGGCGAGAGCGAGGGACTCCAGCATCAGACGATTAAGGGGCTCGTTGAAGGTAACAATCTCATTCTGCAGGCTCAGGCAGTAGGTGATAGCATCAATGAAACCAATCTGCGTGGCAAAAGGCAAAGCGCGCAGAGGTTTGTTGAAGATTGACTGAAGAAGGCGATCCCGAACAGGATGGATGAGCTCGTGCACCTCGCAACCCAATTCATCCTTTAGAGTGGCGAAGCAAAGCTTTGACGTCTCGCGGACATGCTTGTTCATGTGGCCAAGCTCGTACACGAAGAGACCACACAGCGAAAACAAACGGCTCTTCTCATTCTTGAGATCGTCCTTAGGAATCAATTTGCCGCAGCGCTGAAGGATCAATGTCATGGTCTCCTGCGCCTGGACCCGCGTAGAGGCAGGAAGGTCTGCAGGGGTGTCTTTGATGACGTAGAGGAGGGAACGAGAAAATTCAACATGCCGCTCATACAACCATGCGACTCCGAGGTCCATTTTTGTAGCTAAGAGCCTGATACCCAAGCTTCCACCGGCTTTAGTGAACCACTCTTCGCTGTGGCAGCTGTGACAGAAGACACGGCCCAAATGTTGGAAGAATGGAAGTTTAGATGCCTTCTCCGGGGCACCAAACATGACTCCAGCGGCTTCTTTGACAACCAACATTGCCTGCTCTGCGGCCTCGCGAACTTGAGCGCTATCAGAGGAGAGACACTCGACGATCGCTTCAGCCAAAACTCGAGAGTCGAGGTAAACGGGACCTTCTCCGTTTGCGACATCGAACGGCTTACGGTTGTGGCGAGCTTGGGCAAGAGCTCGGCCGACCTCAACGATGGCAAAGTGCTTGCAGACATCGGCGACGAAAGCAGAGGCAGCTGGCTCAAGTTCAGAAACAGTGGTGGCAAAGATACAAGCCTTCAAGAGCTTTTTTACGGTGGCTTCCTGCGCCACCTTCTTCGGAATCGATGCCGATCTCTCAGACTTCTCCAGAATGTCAACCATGGCACCGGCTTTGCCCTCGAACAGATCGTTGGCATGAAGACGGATCAGGGAGGCCAGATCATCGGGAAGATTCTCAAATCCAATCTGAAGCTTGAGGTGCGAGCTCAGCATACGATATGCCTGCTGCTTGTAGTAGATATCTGAAGCCTGGTTCGTGGGAGTTTTGGGTACTTCCATGAGCTTACCAATGGCCAGGTCAATGCCAATTTCGACGGGGAACGGCCGCTTCTCGCTTGGGCCAATGAGTCGAATGTCAAAGCTCGGGTTATCATCGGAGTACTGCTGGAAGGACAGCTCGGGTGGGTGGTTCAAGAACTTGCGATTGCGTCCACCCAGCTTGCCCAGGATGCGCATGGTAGTATGGGCATGGAAGTGGTTGTAAGGATGAGGTCGAAGATGATCCCAAAGCGCAGTCATCAGCTCGTCCATGATGGGAGCCATGATCGGGTCGAGATAGTCAGCCGTCAGGTTATCCACGCAGAGTTCGAGTGTGCGAAGACCTTGCCCAACGAGATCGGAATCAGCACGCAAGGCCACCACAATCGGCCGCATGAGGTAACTCAGATGAGGCAAAAGGTGACTCAATCGTGCGGGGACCGTCAAGGTCAACTCGACATAGAGGTCCCGCTCCTGGGGTTTGCGGGCAGCGAGGAGCAGATTATTGAACGTTTCCAGGAGCATTTCCAGGAGGGGAAGAATCTCCTTGTACAGAAGCTCAAAGCGTCCACCGCCAATACTACGGAACAGTGAACGCAGGAGGAGGAAATAGTTCATCGGCTCCTCGGCCGTGACTGACAGCTCGATGCACTTGGTGACAATCTTCGTCACATGAGGGTGAAGCACCTGCTCATTCTGCACAGAGAACAGGGTTACCGCCATGAACGACAGCTTGAACATCCTGAGTAGGATCTTCGCCTTCGTCATGTCTGAGGTTCCAACCTCGTGAATCCGCTCCATGAGGTATTGCAACACCATTCCCGAGAATGCAGGAGAGGTTGCTTCACTGGCGAGGAAAAATTGTGGGAGGTGAAGCAGCGCCCCGTGCTCAAACATAAGCTCATGCAGGTAAGGAATTTCGGAATGGAAGACCTCGTGGAATGTCGCAGTATCAATGCAGTGGAAGACAGTACCAAAGCTCTCCAGGAGCTCTTTCTCTTCTCGTGACATAGGTGCGGTGTATTGACTCGCAAGAAAATCGAAAGGAGAGGAGTAGTTCATCTCAGGGGGAGACTGGTCTACGCCATAGTAACGGAACACACGAGCACCCTCGTGGAAGAGCTTCTTGATCACCCGAACCTCTTCCGCATTGTAACCATAGGAGACCTCCGACCAGTTGATCGGCACACTACTCGCATCAATCTGGATATCATCGGGATTGCAATTCTTCAACTGATGGAAAATGTTCTTCAAACCGTTGATCAGATTCCTGAAAAGGAAGATATTGTCCGAGACGGGGTCACCGCCACGATCGCGAGGGCTGGTAGTCTTGATCGGCGAGGCAGAGAAGATATCAATTTCGTCCCAGTCAGGCGGCTGGTCCTTCTCCGCGAGGTAGTTCTCTGTAGAAGGTTCCGTGTCTTTTCTGGAATCCTTATAGGCCTTGGAAACCTTCACTGCATTGTTAAACTGGTGGTTCATCGAGGCGAACTTGTCGCCAATCGCGTCCAGAATCATGATCAAGAAATAGCGTGCTTCTCGCTTGTCCTCCAGCCTGGAGATCTTCTCCGCCATATTCAAGAGCAGTTTGGCACTCATGGTTTGGAAACTTGTGCCGGGGAAGTCATCATGGAGATTTTTGGTATATACTTCAACCGTGCGACGGATTTGATCACGGCTGAGATACTCCCGAACATGGTGGATGAGATCGGCAAGCATGCTATACGCCAAGGGACGCATTGTCTCGTAGACCGTAAGCCCATCACCAATAAGAGTCCGCTCATCGAGGAGTTCATCAATCTTTTCCAAAAATATCTTCCGATAATTGAAGTTGATAATGTGTCGAATGGCAACAAGCAGCTCTTTTCTTGCACCAGACTTCTCTCGGGGGCAATCTTGGAGAAGACGAACAACAACCGACGGCAGTGTGGGAAGGAAGTCTTGGAGTTGGTGGGCGTAAAGGCGAAGCAAATAAGCCAGGAAGCTCATTGTCTTCACTTGGGCGGTAATGAATTCGCCGAATGCTGCGCGATTCTTAATCTCTTTGCAGACTCCGGTGAATATCGTGCCTTGGCTGGCGGCTTCTGCGTGTGCCTTCTCTTGTGGCTTGGCCTGCAGTAGCAAGATTGACTTGATAAGCGGGACAAAAAGTTTCACGTTCTGGGCGACCGAGTTCCGATGGGTCTGGAAGATTGAAACCACGATAATAGGACATTCGGCCAGAACCTTGAATGATTGCATTCCCTTCAAGATGACATTGCTTGCCTGCTGGTCAGGTCCGAGATCTGATACAGAGGTGGCAGGGGAACTTGGTCGAGGAGATTGAAAGTTTTGTGCGCTCGTGTTGGGTGTTGAAGGCATGCCTGATGGCGTAGCTTGGTTAACGGTGTCAAAGGTATCCCGAACTACCTGATCCATGGTCTGGAACATCTCCTGGATGAGCTCCAAAAAAGGCTGCACCCGTGCCGCGGTAGCCTTTGCCTGATTGCGCTCCAGGTCCATAATGGTCTTCATGCAGAGAACGGCGTTTTCCTCGTTCTCAATGCGTGCAAGCTCCATCAACACATCCACCATGTCCGCAGCGTATGGTTCGACATCTGGAGAGGCGGTCGGTAATCGATGAAGCGTCTCAAGTATGCAGTTTCGCAGTTTCTAGATCGCGAGAATGTTAATCAATGTCCCTACATAGATTCGAGCATGGACAACAATTGCGCCCTCGAGCAGCTCGGCTAGATTATCTCACCTGCTCATAAGACATGCTCAAGAAGACCGGCTCCCCTTTCAGTATGGTCTTGAAGACAGGCCATAGCTTCGCCAGGAACACGGGGTAGCTTGCACCCTGGCAAAGTGGCTCAATGCTGTCTCTTAACTCGGTTGCGACATTGGCTCGGACTTTGATGTCTGCGGAGACGTGAGGCTGGTTAATATTGTCGCAAACTGAGAGACACCCCGAGGTTCAAGCTAGCCCATTGTAACATACCCAGCTTCTCATCGCCCAACTTGGTAGCGTAAATATCGATATTGCGCTCCATGGCGGCGTTCAAGCCCCCTCAGAAGGGGCAGTCAAGGTATGAGGACTGTAATCACGGCCAGGCCCAGTGGCCGGCTGATATATTTTCAGCCCGCGCAGTGATCTCGAATCAGAATGAGTAGGTCATAAGCGAGGAACGCAGTCGAATCGAAGCTCGACGAGTGTCGTGCAATACGCCCGAAAAGATCGATTGAAAGGATAGATGAGCGAGGCTGGAGATTCGTCAAGTCATTTAATTTCGGGGGGAGGCTTGCCTAATCCTTTGTGAAAGAGTGACAGGATGGCAAAGCTCGAAAATGTGAGGAACCCCGTGGGGGAAGGTGTGGGAGAGCTTGAAGTGAATGAGGAGGGTTAGAGATTAAAGCGCGCGACCTGGCCCCGAACGGAAAGCGCAGAAGGGACGCGGGCTATCGCAGAGACCCCGAACGAAACACTAGTCCGCTTTAGGCAGTTCGGCAGGTGTTGTTCCGCTCCGACGTACTCGCGCTTCGCAAGCGATTAGACGCGCGGGTACCCCGGGGCGTTCGAGGCTATCCGCCACCAGGAGGGAAGTCAAGCGAAACCAGTAGACAGCTCCAATTGCGCTGCTATATCAAGAGGCTAGACTGATGCTTGATCTTGAAACACAACTAGATCGTTCTAGCTCACTGCTCAACCTCAGGTGCAGTGCCGTGTTGGAAATCATCCTGGCATTAATATCGCTCTACAGTCTTGGTTGTATATCTGCGACCCAAGACACATCTCGGCCATGGAGACTTTCACTGGTTGTCCACTACCCTTTAATGCAATTCTTTGGTCCCTTGAAAAATAATGAATTTGCCCAAGGCGATATCATGTTTCAGTACTGTCTAAACGAAAAAAGAAGAAACTGGCAAGACATAGAAAGAAGCCGCCAACATGCGGCATTCGGTAGATAGAAACGCCATTTGCACCCATTTTCCATAACCCGAACACGGTTCTAAGACAGAATCCAGCTCAGAGGTCCGCTCAGTGATCAAGGCCCACGGAAACGAGGAGCCGATCACAGAATGGGAAGTATCAGAGAAACCATGTACACAGATAAAGTAGAGGATTTGGAGAGAAGAAAGATGGAAAAAGAAAATGGATGCGGCACAAAGAAAGGGCAGAGCCGAATGGTCGTCAATCCGGCGAAGATACCGGTAATCAAGACACAAAGAAAAGAAAAGAAAAACATTCGTCGCAACCCGTGTTCGCTATGTCATGGGTAGGTTTTGCAGAAAATCAAGGGAAGAGACATGTTCACGAGCACAGGCCCCATCACTGTTCGAGGCATTATTTGGTCGAATTGCTGCGATGCAAGATCTGTACATTAGTGGCACTGGTACCACTACCAACCGACCGTCGTCGCGGGCGAATCTCGCTACCGCTACCACTCCGTCGTCTCCGGGAACTGCTGCCACCACGAACGGATCCACGGCGTCGTGTCTGGAGCAAAACGGACGTTTCCACGTTAGAATCACGCAGGCTGTAAACGGGTGGAGATGGCCTCTTAGCAAAAAGACAAATACAAGGGAGGAGCGCGCCAAAAAGAACGAGAATTAAAAAAAGCAAATTGCCGGGTGTGGGGATGCACGCATCTGAAACAGGTATCGCAGCGAGGTCGATCAGAGATGCTCGGGACTCACCGAGTTTGGGGTTCCTTCGCGAGCAGGCCGCTCCTTGGGCGCCTCGGGTTCTTCCTCGATCTTGAGGGTGTTCAACCGCTTTTGGCTTTCATTAGTCATGGCCTCGACCTCGTCAATAGGCTCGGGGACGTTGAGAGCAGGCGCGGGTGGGGGAGGAGCGCCATTCTTCCTCATGGTCGCTTGTTGTTCGATCATGTCCCACCGATCTTGACGAGTCTTTTCCCGTTGATCGGCGCTGTTCTGGTGTTCGGTGTATTCATGAGAGCACTCATCGAAGAGCTGAGGGTTAATCTCCATGAACATCTTCATGGCATTGTACACCATGCTGTGGATAGTGCTGTGATTCAAACGACGGTCAGATAAGTTGTTGAATGGGACGAAAACAAGTCAAGGGTTACTTACCGGTTCCAATGGCCCTTCGAGTTCTCGTAAAGAGGAGCGAACATGATCGGGAGGATGGTTTCTACATTATCGCTGACGAGGTTGCAGAAGTATTCGTTGTTCCAGAAATAGAGAGCGCGCTCAGCAACCTAGTATCGAACGAGGATCAAGAGATTAGGACGTAAAATTTGAAGTGAAAGCCGTTGAACATTGTGCATACCTGGAAATGCGGGCTGGCAACAGACTTGGCCAGCTGGTGGAAGAGGGGTTCCTGAACTTTGGCAAATTCTCCGGGGTCCATAACCTCGAAGATATCCTCGACTTCGTTGAGGTACATGACCTCCTTGGTGCTGTTGGTCTTTGGCCAGTAACGCAGCAAACCAAGAACGACCTTGAAAAGCGACAAATTAGCAAATCATCAACACGATATGAGGCAATAGCGAGGGTGCAAAGCTTACGTCTTCAGTCAGGCTTGAGTCCTTCTCCAAGAATTGAACAATACAGTATGCCAGTTGAGGGTGATACATGCTCAGGCTCTTAACCTTGTGCATCGGCAACAAGACCCGAGTCAAGAACAGCTTGTGCTCCTCCTTGAGAGGCAGTGCAAATCCGTTGATGATGGAACCCAGAATTTCAAGCAGCTCGGCGATACCATTATGTCTCTCCGTCTCATACATGAACTGGAAGAAGACATTGTTGATAGATCGACGAATGTATGACCGCAGGTTCAAAAACTTGCCGTAAATCCGGTGCAGAGTGGTCTTCAGGAAATCCCGCTCGCGGGGGTCTTCTGAGTCAAATAGATCCAGCAACTATAGCGATGTTAGTAACGATAACTATTAATCAGATCGTGCGGATCCATACCTGAAGCACAAATTGATGGTCAATGTATGCCTTGGCAATGTTTGTGTTAAAGTCCTGGCTCTCAATGAATCGCAAAAAGAACTCGTAGACAACTTGGATATGCGGCCAGGCGACTTCGAGGACCGGCTCATCTTCCTCCGGGTCAAATGCCTCACCTTGAGGAGTCATAGGTGGAGGAATCGGGCGGAACAGGTTCTTGGCGAACATCTCCACGACGCGAGGGTACATAGGCTCCGTAATAACGGACCTGTTGTTGGCGACATAGTCCAAGAGCTCATGGAGAGCCAGTCTCTTGATCTCTTTAGACTTCATGTCGGCAGTGGGATCGTTGAAATCGAAAATGATGTTGCACTGATCAATTTTCTGCATGAAGAGGTCCTGGCGCCGGTTGGGGGCCACCTCATGGAAACCGGGTAGCTTCTCCAGCTCTCGCTGACGCTGGTCAGAGATATCAAATCGTGAGGAGTGCTGGCGCTTGGGGGTCCGAATTCCCTCCGACATGTCTTTCGGGGTCGTCTGAAGGCGATCGAAGACGTGCGATTTTCTCGGCGGCGCCAGGTCTCCGGGCATGGTTTCGGCAGCACCCGGGGGAGCCTAAACATGCGCAAAAGCAAATTAGCGTCAAGTCCAAATAATAATCTCGACAAGTATTATGCACTTACCGGTCCACTAGGGCTGATGATCACACTAGGCGCAACTGGCTGACCCTGCCTTGTTGGAGTACCCGGGCCATTGATGATGGGCTGGCCAGCGATGCCGGCTCCTGGAGGTATATAGTGCTGGGCCGGCGTGGCGCCCGCGGACGGGGTACCAGCCGGGGAAGCATTATCCGGCGACTTGCCTCGCGCATCATTCAAGGAGGTTGTGGAGGATGTCGGGGTGCCTTGGCCTGGGGATGCCGACTGCTGTGCTTGGGAAATGCCGAGGGAAGCTGGGCTCTGAGATGAAGAGTTGGAGGAGTCCTTCTTTTTCGAAGATTTGTTGGCGTCCTTTGCCCGCGACAACTGCTCATGCTATATAAGAAGAAACACAAAAAATGTCAGCTTCGGTACGAGTCGAGCAAGGGGGCTCACGATGGTGGNGGGGGATGACAGGCGGAAAGGTGATCGTGCGGTGTAGCAAGAACACCAGGGACCAGGATGACGACTTACCACTCTCTGTCTGAAGCCCTTCATTTTCACGCCGGTGTGGACAGCCACATGTACTCCACTGGTATTCTCGGTGCTAGTGCAGGCGGGCGCTGCACTCTAGCCAGGGTTACTTGGACGGCAGGCGAATGGGCGAGGGGGCGGGAGGAATTGTTTGGAAGGACCTAGGAGCAGGTGAAGCGTCAGTACTTCGTATCGAGATAGCACATAAAAGCCTGGAAGATTCTGTGAATCCTTCTTCAAAGATCTCAATCAAATCATCCACCGGGGAGCTGGCTGAATCCCAATGCCCGTCGTTTCAGAGCGGGTGATGTAGCAGCATGCGCACGGGGCAAGGCGCTTCGATGTTGAGGATCAAGGACCGAGGGAGGCGAAACGGTGACGGAGAGCGGGCAGTACGTACCTCTTTGACCTGGGAAAGGACAATTGGTGTCTGAAGTGCAAAGAAGACCGGACTGAACGGCGTGGAGGCTCGGTATAGGGCGAGCGTAGTTGGTCCGCTCTAAAGGATCTCCGTGTCGCTTAGTGGCAGGCTGGGGCGGGGGATTCGAAAGCGCCAGAGCCACCCGATTGCACTCCGCGACCTGAGGCAAATCAACAGATTTCAGAGGAAGCTCGCAAAGGCCAGGTGACGCAAATGTTCGGATTCAGGGATGTTGGCGGGTGGGTGGAGAGGGAGGAGGAGGTAAAGGAGGGCGTTGTTGAGGTAAAGGGAAAGGCGGGTTCTCCTGGCTGTGATGGTGATGGGGGGAGGGGGCCTTCGACTCCCCAAGTTCGGTGCACCCAGCGGGGTTGGATAGGGCTCATTTACAGGCGCACATACTTTGCAGTATTTTATTTACTCATTCAAATCTATTTTACTTGACTTGGACTTTACTTTCACCACAAGCTTTTGCATCGGACTTGTGTCCAGCTATTTTGTATGCGTTTTCCCGCTTCTTCGCGGCTTATGTCACGGGTCACGTGGACAGCTCTAGGGGGAGATTCGAAGTCTGATAAGTACAGGTCTAGGTGCTTCGAGGTAATTTTGGGAGATTATACAATCGTGTCAGGATGACATACAAAAATGGTATTGTCTACGGATCTCTGTGATCAATTTCGCAGGAATTACCTTCGATGTATGCAATGTGTTGAAGTGTCGTAGTTGGCAACTGAAGATATATTCCGAAGTGCGTGATTGATCGAACTACCAAATCTCCCAGGGTTCAAGTATATGTCGCTGCGATCAGACTCTGTCCAGGATTAAAGACTGATAGTCGCATGAAATGAGATCGTAACAAGTTTACACTAATTTTATATCGTCATGCCACATTAATCCTCAAACCAATTGAACCATGGTCGCGCTGCCCCAACTTTCCATTAACAGCCCGGCGACATCAAAGCTTAGTCATCCGCCTACAGCCCTGAAGGTTCCGCTGAGTCTCGGAGGAAAGAAGACTTGGAGCATACACCAGTAATGTGAGAAAAGCACCGTCCTTATCAAGGTTTACTTTTTCATCTAAAGCTGCCGAGTGGATTGTGATTTACTGGCCGTGACAAGTCGCTGTAGCCTTGACCTCGACTCGACATCACGCCAGTTATATCTCCATTATCAGAGCTCCACTGCCTTATACTGATAGCACGGCTCGCAGCCCTGAGGAGCATCCAGAAATCTCATACTTCTTGATAGCCCCGCCGCACTTTGACCAATATCATCATGGAGACACATCGCGAGTCGAGAACTGCCTCCTTCTACAACATTCCGCCCCTGCACCTGGTCAGCGTGGAACACCCTGCAGTGATTCGCAACCTTGATAAAGCCGTCGCCACGCTGCAGGGCAACACGGGCATCCAGAAAGTGAGTCGAGCTTGATCATTCTGTTCTAAGCTCGGGAAGAATTATTTGTCCTAATTAGATTCCAGATCCTGAACCCTCCCAGGGCTGATGCACCAATCAATTTGATGCTGAGGCCGGAAGATGCCATGTCGCGACCCATTCAGTCAACAAGCTGTCCTTCAAATAATGTCCTACTTAAAGTCACCGTGCCTAAGCGAACGGGACGAAAGCGCAAGAGAGGCACAGATGATCCCTTCGTTGATGCTACGCTAGAGAATGGAGAGCCCGTGCGGCGTCGCCCAGCAAAGGATATCATTCGCAGTCTAAGCGACAATCCCTCAAAGTACAGAGTTGAGGCAATGGGAAAGATTGAGCGGACTCATGTGTTTCGAGGTTTGTGGCCATGTTCAGTCATGTTAGTCTCATTAAACTCATATATCGTTTTTCCAGGGATGCCCGACTTTGTCTACTCGACTACGAACAGCGCCTTTTCCAACAAGTTTCGAGAACAAATTCTCCCATACGAGTGTTAGTTACTATCTCCATCGAAACCCGGAAGAATCAAACGTCAATTAACAAGCAAGCAGTGGAGAAGATCAAACAGTTTGATATCGAAATGACCAAAGGCGCAACTCTAGGCGTGGACCTCATCCCCCCTCCTTCCTTTAGCCAAGGGGAGGTGCCTTTCCAGTATATGTACGTTCGGCGACATCTTGGATCATTCAACCCATACATCAATCCATGAAATGCTGACACCTACCTCCCAGATATCGCCAAAATCCCATGGTGAAAAAGGCCGTTGATCAATCCGGTGAAGTCACAACTGTCAACACACAACAAGCAGCCCGAGTGCGCACTCACCTAGTCCCATACGACATTTCCCAAGTGCCAAATCAACCCCAAGAAGGTCTTGCTCCCATCGAGGACCTCGAAAAGGGCCTACGCGCAACCATCCAATTCCTCGAAGAACTCTTCTCAAAGCGACCCGCATGGACTCGTCGTGCAATCCGCAATTTCCTCACCACCGACGAACAGCGCAATTTCCTCCGCCACGCCGTGCCTTACGTCGGCTACATCTTCCGCTCCGGACCCTGGCGCGATGCCATCGTCAAACTGGGCCACGACCCGCGCACTTCCCCAGCGTACCGCGACTACCAGACCTTCATGTTCCGCATTCTACCGCGCGAAGCAGAGCTTGCCCGCGACGGCGGCACAGGCCGTCGCCACAACATCCCCCGTATAACCGGTGACGAGACGAATCAGACTTCCGAGCTGAAAAACACGCACCTCTTCACGGGTAAGCTTCCTCTACCACGCGATGGTCGGATCTGGATGGCCTGCGACATTACCGACCCCGTCCTCAAAAACATCCTTTACCCACCGAATCCACCTGAGAACTTCCTTCGACCGAGCTGCGAGATTATCACAGACGGATGGTTCGGCAACGGCACACTGGCCAAAGTGAAAACGATCATGCGGTGGAAGATCCAGACGCTTATCGAAGATCGACCACCGCGCGACGCGGACTTTTGGCGTGTTATCGCATTCCCGGATCATGCGTACACGGAGGCTGATTTGGGACTTTTTACGGTTCCATTAGAAGGGACGACTAGTCGGGAGGTTAGTATGGCTACAGAGACGCGGGCTTCGATTAAAGGGGCGCCGTTGTGGAGGAAGATGCATGATCGGGGACGGGGGGATTTGGATGGAGAGAAGATGGGGGTCCTGAAGAGAGCGAGGGGGAAGGGGAAGAAAGGGAAGGCTGTGGCGTTCGAGGCTGAGAGTGAAGAGGAGGCGGATGAAGGTGGTAATGGGGATGAGAGTGAGGGAGAGGAAGAGGAGATGGAGAGAGTGGAGATGTGGGAAGAGCAGGCTGCAGCTGCGGTGAAGGCACGAGAGGATGCATTGGCTGAGGAGGATGGGAATGGGAATGAGAATGAGAATGAAGAGGAGGACGAGGACGAAGAGGATGAATTGGATGATGAGTAAATTTGAGTGGTGATGCAATTTGATGCTTAGTGCGGATTCCACAAGATACAGCTTCAGCCAAGCTACTGATGATGTGTGGTATCTACGATTAACGGCCAACGAGGTTCATTGTAACTCATTTCAATTATAGCTCATTCATATTCGCTGGATACATCAAACACAAACCAGACAAGTTATTAATTAAAACGAAGCAAAAGCATATGTAATTCGGAAGAAACCAACAAATCCACGAACATTGAATTCCGATAGAAAAACAAATAGACAAGGGTATTCCAAGCAACAGATAGAATCATCATCCAGACATCAAGACATCAAATTAACTCCGTCAAACCAAGATCATCATAACTCCATGCACCCCCCAGAAAGCAAAGAAAATCCAGACCAAGACCAAGACCAAGACCGGGCCAGAACAGACGCCGAGACCAGATGCAAATGCAAATTTCATGAAACTTTCGAAACCCATGGCAAACGAATGTCTACTCCTTGGCAGCACCAGACTCATTGCTAGCATCCGTAGACTTGACGGCCTGTTCATCCGGAACAACCGTCTCCAAAACCGAGGCAATGGAAGTAGTGATGACGGGCGTCACGAAAGTAGACTGCGAAGGAAGAGTCTTCTTCGAAACAATCCCATTCTCTCTCTCCCCATCCTCATCATCATCATAGACGACGGCAAACGAAAACGCATTACAATCCTCCGGATAATAATCCGCGGCATTCAACTCCCCCAGCGGCGAACGGTCTTCGTCCATCTTATTCGCCTTGCGAGTCGCCGCGGCTGTAATGAGGGCAGTGACCTCCGCAGAACGGGGCAGATCAATGCCCAGTTCCGCGGGGGCAACGTTTTCTTTACCGCGGTCGTCGCCGGTGGAAGTCTTGGACTCGTCATCGCTGATGTCGAGGACGCCGGTGGAGTGTTGCATTAGGTTGGTCATTTCTTCTTGCTCGGAGTCGACGTGGATATCGAAGAACCATGATGCCGGGCCTTTGGGCTTAGAGGGGGTTGTGGTCTTGTTCTTGCCGTGGGAGAGGGCCGTGGCTAGGGAGAATGGCCGGGCGACACCGCCGCGTTTGCTGGGTTCGGGACGGGCCTTGGTGATGGTTGATCGGCGTGATGCAGACAAGGATTTGGGTGGGGGTGAGCGGCCGGCCGGTTTGAGGATGGGTGCGGATTTGGGTGTTGACAGGGAGAGTTTGGATGGCGTTGAGAGTCGTGGGGAGAAGTTCATGTCACGAATTGATAGGGCCATGCGGGAGGTCTTGAGGGGCTTTGGTGAGCCCTTGGAGATATCATCGTCATCTTCGAGGGAGCGCTTGCGCTTGCCGGAGAGATTGAGAGTGTTTGGATCGATGTTCTCGGCATTATCGATGAATATGGAGCTTTTGGCTGAGAACGTCGCGCCTGGATGGAGGTTGTGTTGTTAGAAACCATGCCTAGGGGAAGTAACTATGAAGGTCCATGTCGGGCTCACCATTTAGCTGGTTCTGACGGTTCAATTTGGACCGCACGAAGGGACGCATTCTGGGACTGTCCAGGCTCGCAAAGGGTTGGCGGGTGGGAGGTGTCATGGTGAGAGCGGCCATGACGAAGGATCCGAGGCTGAAGTGTCTGTGCTCGTGCTGGTGGTTTGTTTTGGGTGTCGCGGCGCTAAGTGGGGAGCGGGCGGTCTACGCTAAGAGAGTCGATCGCGAGATCGAGTCGTAGGGTGGTAATATCGAGTAGATAATAGGATGGAAGGAGTTTGGATGATTTCGTCTTAATCTGAGTGATTGAGCCGGTCGGAAAGTTGGATAGTGGAGGTCGTGGTAAGGAAGGGATGGGTTAGGGCAGACCAACGAGTCCACTACTAGCACCGGTAACGAAGGAGAGGAATAGAAGTGCGGGGAGAAAGTACTTCGTAAGATACTGGAAGGATATGAGACTTGACGGTAAGAAGGGAGGTGGCAAGCGGATATATAGCTTATATTGGTACGGAATACTGGCTAGTGGACTCTCAAGCCTCGAGTGAGCTGGGGGAGTAAGGAGGTTTTTCACTGGGGATGAGGGAGGAGGGCAAGACGTGCTGGACTATTTCAAGGCCCATCGCGGGCGCGTCGTGCTCGCGTTCGGATGCAAGGCGCCCTCAGCTTGGGGCGATTGGACCATACCAGCCCGGCGGTGGCGTTCATGCAGGCGGGCACAATCGGAATCTCCAATAAGACTTGATTGTCCGGCCTCTCGTGGGAGGAACTCGACGGGGTATGTACAGTATGTCTGGCATGGCCCGTGGAATGTAGATCGCGACGGGCATACGGGACTACGGCATCCAAGAGGATAGATCTCGTAGTTCGCTATGATTCCTATGAAGAGACCAGCATATTCTAGCCATACTAAAGATCTCAAAGATGGGAATGTTCAAAAATCATCTCCTTATCGAATCATCCAAACTAAAGACGAACTAATGCCGACGGGATCACAGTCGCGTGTATCCCTACGACGCGTCCGAGTCGCGGGTACGCAGTACTGACTCCCATGAAACGACCCGGGTTCACTCAATACATCATTCAAACTCCGGAGTACATTAAGCGAGGACAATAAACTATGCATTGTCTACCCAAATTATTCATAACCGGCCTGATAATTCCCCAATAAATCCCCAATGAAACCCACCGCCACCCCGCCCAGTGCCCGCCCCCCAATGTATCAAACCCCGTCACTCCTTGGTACGCAGTACTTTAAACTTCGTTCATACTTCCCGAACGCGCGACACGCCTCGCGTCCAGAAAACCCCTCCCTTACACCGCGGCCCCCATCTAAGCCGCCGATTCTAATCTTGTTGAACGGACTGTGCTGCACTGCATCGTCACGGCTCATGACGGTCTCTCCAATAGGCCCGTCCCTCGTCCCTAAACTCTGTCGGGGTATTGTACATCGCGAATGCTGCCAACTCATCCCGTCTTCGCGCCATTGAAACCCGGTCTCACCTCGAGACGGTGTGGTTCATGAAACCATGCATCATGCATTGATGAAGCAGCCGTGAAGATACGAGGGCGCTGCTGAGACCGAGTACTGGCGCGTCCACCATAGGAAACCCAAAGACACGTCCCGTGGTGAGTGGGAATGCAGGACTAGAGGGGAGATGGTCCTACAAATAGCTCGTCGTGACTACCGTCCTGAGAGCCCCTAAATATCCAGGCGCTGTAAGAAAGTAAGACGTGGAGAATTTGCCACGGACCGCGTGAGCCTGTCATCCTTTATACTTCCTTCGTTCTCGAGTTCCATCTCCTTGATTCCGGACACCCTTCCACGCTTCTCGTGGCCTGGTTTAGGCGCCATCCCCGTCATTGCACATCTGACTCGCCGCAGTCCGTGACCAGATCAGTCATTGCTCCTCCCATAGATTATCTCCGAGGGGTAAGTCAATGGCAATAAAATTATGTCCCAGAGTAGAGATTAAAAGATATATACCACTCGCTCGACTCCAATCCCTATCGATGATGTAATGATAATATACATGATTGTCACACTTTAGACTCTTCTTCTGTCCCGGGACTTTTTAAGTAGACCCAGCTTAAAGTTCACTCTCAAATGGAATACTGTCCATCGCTCCCTGCCGCTCCACGGCGCGAGCGGACGCACGCGCTGCCAATCGCATCCCCTCGTCCATCACCGTCTGGTACCGATACGGCTTCTCAGCATCAACCAGGTCCAGCCCGGCCTTACCCCCCACGCGACGCTGCTCACGCCATCGCGCAACCTTGACTGCATAGGCACCCACGAACGTATCGCCCGCCGCCGTCGTGTCAAGCACCCGAGACACTGGCGCGGCGGGAATCTCATTTGTAAAGCGCCGCACTCCATCACTGGGACCAGTAGTGCCCCCGTCCGTAGCACTGTACCAGACTCCCTTGGCTCCGAGCGTAATCAGCACATAACTCACCCCCAGCTTATGGAAATACCGCGCGACTTTCTCATTGCCTTCTAGCCCTGCTGCATCCGGGACCACGCGGAGCAATTGCTCTTCTGGAGGGCTCATCAGCTCGGCCTCCGTCTCGTTCAGGATCAAGTGGTCAACAGCCGCGTAGACATCCTCGGGTAAACCGCCCGGTGGCGCCGGAGCTGGGTTCAGCATGACATCCGGCCCGCACTCGATACCCCTCTTGCCCGCAGCACGATTCTTCGCCTTGAATGCAGCGATCTCACGCAGAATCGCAACAACCGTGTCCACGGGGATCTCACCCTGCATCACGACCACGTCCGGCACTGGCGCGGCCAGCGCGGAACCTAGCACGTCGGGTATGGGTTGCATGCCAGTGTAGTTAGCACCGGGTGAGAACAGGATACGATTCTCGCCTCCAGCAGACGAGTCCACGATAATGACTGCCACGCCGGTATATGCATCCTCAATGACCCGCACGCGCGATGTGTCCACGCCCGATTTTTCGAGCGTGGGGCGAAGCAGTGCGGAGAAGTGGCCGTCCAATGCGCCCACGGCGCCGACCATCTCGACCGTCACGTCACTCTGCGTGTTGAGGCCGTCGGTTGTAGGTTGTGGCCGAGATAGTCGGCCACAGGCAACGGCTTGGTTGGCGCCTTTGCCGCCGGCGCTGGTGAAGTAGGAGGAGGAGGTGATGGTCTCGCCCGGGTCTGGGAAGCGTGAGGTCACGGAGACCATGTCGGCATTGAGGGAGCCGATGACACGAATGAGAGGGGCCATGGTTGTATCTGAGTGTAAGGTATAATTCCCAGTATATTTTTCGTGTTCTTGAGAGAGGGACGTAGGCGGCAAAGAGCTCGAGAGTCAACGAGTTGGAGAGGTGGGTAAGCTCTGGAGACTCAATTGAGCAATGGAGAATGTGAAGAGCTTTTTCAGGATGAGGCTGTGTCGAGTAAACGAGAGTAGCAGTTCTTGCTACCTGTTGTGTGTAGCTGGCAATGTCGATGTGGCGTGGAGGGGAGTGCGGGGAGTTGTAGATGTCTGGGGAGGTGACGTGAGGTGGGGGAATTAAGGTTGTCGGAGGTGGTCCGCGCTTAGCGGGACAGAATGTAATACGAGCCATGCAATTTTATATCTTAAAATCCAGTTATTTGGTGGCGTATTTTGTATGGATAATCTGTTTACTTCCCTGATTATACTTCTCTCTTTTTGAACATAGTGCTATTGTGGAAACTCCCTAGTGAGGAGTTTCATTGAAGTATAATATTATTGTGAGTAGGCGCATAGCTTTGTAGAAAACCAGATGGATGTGTAATTTCTTACAACTATGGTCAAGTTCCTATGCCAGCAAAAGTATGTTATGTCTTGAACTGTCCAAATACGTTCGTACTTCCTACTCGACTCCAAGATCCATCCTATCTTAAGCTCGGACCTTACTATATGTACGGAATGTAGTGCAGGATTATAGCCTACAATTGTATGTAACGACCTTGATTATATGACATGGAATATTCAGAAATTGTTTGATCGGTTCTCTAGGGGACGAAACGTGATCTATTTCCACACACACCGGGGTTCTTCGTTCTGACGCACATTCCTGAAATGAACATCCACATCGTGCTTACTGTTTTGCACCTTTCGTGAAATTTCCGTCACTTTAGAACCCACAACATTAAAACAAATACTTTTCGCTTCTCTTCTTTTTATCTTGGACCGTGTTCCTCCATCTCCGTCTCTCCCCACTCCGTCCTTCCACCTCGCTGATTCCCTTCCTAGACGCATTCATCTCCCACCCCGACCCCAAAGCTGACCCGTTACCTCCCCGTCGACCTGCAATATGCCTGATGAACTCGACAAAGCGGCGGCAGGACTGCCCACACATCTGCTGGTTGATGCAGATGACGTGTCCACAAAGGAGCCCCCTGCTAGTCTTGAAGACCCCCAGAGATCCGCTTCTCCCTCATCCAAGGAGCTGGTCTCTCCTCCCAGTCATCACGTACCCTCAGACGCATCGGCATATCCCGTGGTTCCACCCTTCACGCTCGCTTCTGAGCGCCCAAAAAACCAGAAGGGCCAGATCGAAGTCAAGAAAAACGTGTTTCTCAAGCGAAAGAGATCACTTGAGCCACCTCCAGCTGCCTCCTCGAAGCCCATAAATCCTGGGCCTGCAAAGACTTGCAGGTTCCAGGGTATTATTGAGCACAGGAGGCAGCAGGAGGCCATGTATTTTGCTATGAAAATGGAGGCTTGTGTGCTCAAGACTGACAGAATCCATCGACACATCTTTTGGACTGATGGATCGATTGTCTACGGTGCCTGTGCAGCAGCAGCGGTGGCTTGGAAACAGCTACCGTCGTTGAAATGGATGACGGAAGGCTTTCCATACCCCTATTGTATCCAGAGCACCGACGTCGTGGAGATGTTTGCCATCGCTCATGCTTTAAGGCGTGCAGTCGATGAGGTTCGACAGGCAAGAAATCGAGTCATGGCAGGTTCTCACTTACCAGTCACCCACGAAGTGTTTGTTTTTACAGATTCGATTGGTGCACTCAACAACGTTAAAGATGATGCTTGGGGATATCATATTCCAGAGAAATGTAGACAGGCCCACACCATCATCGACTACAGCATTGAGCTCCGTAATCTTGGAGCTAGACTGGAGCTACATCTGGTGCCGGGACATAGCGGCGTGCCGGGCAACACGGAGGCACATCGAGCTGCCTATATAGCCGCTCATCGCACCGCAGCTGAAGCCGGAATAACGTCAACAGAGGAGGGAATTGCTTTGCACCAGAAAAAAGGTCACGATACAATCATTTCTCCGACGACACCGCTTTTGGTTCCAGCCTCCCCAGTCCCCGTTCGCTGCTCCAGGGGTCCTCAAGCCCGCCTTGCTCGCAAGGATCGTCCTTTACTCTCACAACCAATTAGAGATACAACTCCCTCCAGGGTTGTTTCAACATTGAGTTCAGGAGATGTTAAATCCGGAGAGCCATCGAAAACGGACGATGAGTTATCCCTTTCTGGGCCTGCCCCAGGCCCATGTTTTCCTCCTCTCAACGCCGGTTCGACCTTGTCGACAGGAAACCCAGCTGAGGTATCAACAGCTTTGGTCACAGCGTCAGCCCTGAACTCCTTCCACTGGTTCATACCAGTCAACACCAGACCGACCCTCGGGGCAGCCGATCAATTCCAGTCCCAATCTGGTGGCAAACAGGAGCCCGGGTCCAAGAAACAGAGAACCGGGACTGCTGCTAATGAGTCTCACTCATTCCCTGCCCCTCAGCCTTTCAGTTCAGGGCTAACTGTCTCCAATCCAAATTCGGAGCTCCCAAGTAATGACAACGCAGGAAATTGTTTCAAAAATGGGGAATTCTCATTCTCTCCTGCGAAAGATATGCCAGTAGCTGTGTTGAAATCCAGCGCGGCGAGCCAGTCCTCTGTAGAGCCCTCTAACCTGGTAAAAACTCCAGGTTTCGTGGCCTCACCAAGCCCATTTCATTGGTTTCAATCAAAGGACAAAGGACCTTTTATTTTTGGAAGATCTGTGTTGTCTGAATTCATCCCTCAACATGCTGAGCCAGCCGCAAAGGGCGGTACTCTGGCAGTGGAGTCACCTTGTTTTGGCTCCTCAACAGTAGCTACTGACGCCGCAGCGACAGAACCGAACTCCCTTCCAGCTCCTAAATTCGTGACGAACACGTTCCACCCTCTACCCCCTCGACCTCCCGACAAGCCTTTGCTGATGCAGGCTACTCTGCCTCCACCACTTTCTGCGATGCCTACAAGCTTCAAGACCTCTCCTCCAATTGTGACAACGTCAAAGATTCTTTCTTTTGCATCTCCAGCGGAGCCTAGAGCAGGTTTGAGCTTGGCATCAATCTCATCATTTGGTGAGGTGAAGCCAGATGCCCGTGGAAATGTGACTGTTTCCTCGTGTCCACTATGATCTCCAAAACGCGTCCAACATCTGGTTTGATGTCCATGGCTCTGCAGATTAGTTCCCTTGATTCTCCTGAAAAGTCTAGAGGTGGGATCCAATTTACAACAAACTCATCATTCCATGAGGGAAAGATGAAACAGAGTGGATATCCTTCAGTTGGTCCGTCAATCCGCGAAGTGCCAAAAACCCCTGCTTTCTTCATTACGACGTCGAAGTTGAGATCGTTCGCTTCTCCCAGGGAACCTCAAGACGGGCCGACCCTAGCACCAATCTTACCACCCTCTGATGGTGAACGGCAGCGATGTGGAAAGGAAGAGAGCTCCGAGGATGATGGTCGACCAGAAGATCCGGCTCCGAAGCAATGAGAGCATTGACTTGAATTGTTTGTTGGAATAAGTTGTTTATTCGGTGTGAAATTGCTATCCATTCAAAGCGAGTTCGATTACCTGTCTTCCCGTTGTAGATTAAATCTTCTTTCAAAGCTCCTTCATGAAAACATACGACAGTCTTGGACCTATAGATAACTTCAGGTCCGTAGAAGTTATTTGTTGAGTTAGGAGCCAATAGAGCTTTGTGTATGATTGATCCATTATTTAGGGAGATCAAGCGAATGTGTATATTCTTGCTCATTCCCTGAGTTGAACGCGCCACCTCTCGTTACCTATATACTTCATGACGATGCCCTAGCCTCATTCCGTGATGTTAGATACTTCACTCGATACCCACCAGCGTCCGCTCGTGCTCCACAAAAGCTTTGTAGCAACGTTGCAGACAGCGGACCGCCGTGAGCGGTAGGTTCAGCAACCTTGGGATAGGCTACTAGAGTCCCAAGAGGCTCGATTGCTGATTTCAACTAGACTAACACCTCGTGCAAAGCTAGCTCAGCTATTTACTCGGATTCTGATCTTAAGATATAGCGATATCAAGGCGGAGAATTGATTGATGTATTTGACCTGATTCATAGAAGGTCCCATAGCCACATGTAGAACAGAACAAAAACTAGATAAACACCAAATGACCGTCCTCGTTCGCAATCCGCTCCGCCAAATTAATGTCTGCAGACACGTTCTCCCCCTCAAGGTTACCTAATTGGGCCCGAAGCACGGGGATGGCCTCGCCGTCGTCTCGCTCATCGCGAGAAAATTCGATGTCCTCAGCACTGTCCTGGAAATTCTCGCCTTCCCATTGGAATGACCCTGCAAGATACATTAGTACTTCTCGGGGAGTCAAGATTGAAGAGTGAACCAACCGTCGTTGTTACCGATAATCTTGTTCAGATCCAGCTCCGAATCGACCTCTTCGCCCTCACTGTTTCTGAGAGTGGCTTTGAGGATGTGGCCGTCTTCCAGTTCGATTTTGGTAGCGGAGGCGTGGAAACTCATTGTGAAAATATTGGAGTAAAGCAAGGGATAATTGGAAGTAATGGTTGATTGATTGTGTTGGATAGTCGTGAAGGAAGACGAAGTATGGCCGTATTTATACCCATTTCAGAGACCCTTACATTCCCTTATACAGTCATCCAGCTTCTTCCTGATAGGATACCCTGCACCAGCCCGATTTCTTGTCCGACACATGTCCCCGACTCATTTGCCATCCATCCGGATGTGGGCTGACTAGTTGCAGATGCCACCAGCGGGGTTGATCTCAAACGACATAGTCATGAGAAAGGTAGTGGAGCCTTGTCTGCTATGTCAATGAGTCGAGGACTACCCACTACGAACTCAATTGACCCAATCCACCTCAATGCCCAGATAGTTACTCGCACGTGGCGGTCAAATAAAAGGTCTGTATATCCAGCCGCCAACGGTGACAACTTCTACTCCCAGCTATTCCATGACACATGAATGCTCAAAAGCACGACATGGCACACCAAGACCGTCATTCTTCCGTATGCGATATTATCGTGGCGCATGATGCAGCCCTACATTTCAGCCACAGACATCCTTCGAGGATGACGGCTGCTGATGTTGCACCGAGCCTGCAAGCCAAGACCCTTTTTTCCCTGCCCCATGGTTGACTCTGGGACGAGATGCTTCGTGGAGAAATACTGGTGCCTAGAAGTGTATTGCTTGGCTGTGTGGAGATTGAAGGGTATCTCCACTTGGTGTAATATGCAGCCTCATCCTTGGAGTCTTGGCGGTTGAGTTCACGAATGAGAGAATTTTGGGGACCAGTGACTGAATGTCGGGCAGAACATAAACCGTTTAAATTATTGATTGATTGATGTCAGTCCACCAGTGTATCTCCCTCCATGCCTAGTCTTTGTATGTCACTGGCAGCCATTGTCCTTGCGGCACAAAATTTGGAAGTCCTCTGGTCGTCTGGTCAAAGGTGTTGATTGCACATGCGACTTGAGTGGCACCAGTGTCACCTGGAATTCTTCCTGGCTTGGCGTATGATGGCAATAATTGCAGGCCCCAGGCTGCACCATCCGTGGGGCCTGACAGAGAGGGGAGGGAAAGGGTGAGGTTTCGTTTATGGCTATAACTCCTTTGAAGCTATATAGTACCAAAATTGTATTGGGGCGGGTATATCAATGGGAAATTGGCTACTCGGAGGTTTCGTCCTTCTTTTCGCCGTATGGGGGTCCTAAGGGTTCACACTCTTCGTAGGATTCACAGATCTCAGCATTCTCCCAGCATGCATGCATGGTCTTTGAGGAGATAACGGAAACAGCCAGACTCTACAACTGCCTTGTCGAGGTTCTGGCGATAACAACCGATTCCTCGACCACATTTGTCGTAACATACCGCGAGGATCTTCCCAGCGTTGCGGCGTTTGGAGGCCAGAGTCTTTGCGTCGGCGATATAGATACGCCCAGCAGCTAACCGCCAGAGGTATTCTGAGTAGTAGGTCATCCACGGCATTGCGTCCTCCGAATCATATTGCTCTTCATCGAAGTTCTCTGCCTCAATTCCCTCTTGTAAGGCCTCAGCCACATACTCTTCGTGTTTTTCGGCCAAGCAAGTATTATAGAGTAATTGTGGGGTATGAAGAAAAATCTTCTCCCAGTTGTCGCCGAAGTTATACAAGGTCGGGTCATTATAAATCGGGGGTGGGGTACCGAAGAACAATTCAAGTTCATTTTCAATCTTAGTCCAAGCTTCCTCAGATTCAGGCTCATAACAGGTGCGAAGCCAATAAGGTTCAAGATCAGTGGCCGGTCTGCGCTCAGCCGGTAGGCGAATACGGTTTAGTAGCTCTTTACTATGTGTCGGAAGATCCCTGAGTCTCGAATGCTGTTGCTGATATGGCTATTGGGACAGGTCAGTTTTCCTGATAGAGAAACCGGGGCATGGGGACGTATTTCCAAGTACCTCGCGATCACGGACTCCGAGGGCCACCCATTTAGCGAAGATCTGTTCTCGTTGGGCATCAATGGATAGCGGCGAGTCTTCTTGCCAGTGTTTCTTGGGACTCTGTTAAAAATGCACATACAAACTGGTCGAGGGGGCCTACCAAGAGAAACAAATCTGTCTGCGATATGAAAAACTCCGCCATCTTGCAAAATAGCCTCAGGCTCTCGAAGGATGATGGCGGGACAAAGGGTGAAATGATTCGAGAAGAGAAGATCTCGGTACTTACGATCAGATACCCTGTGATTTCTTGGCAGGAGCTTATCGGGGGCCACTGCTCTAGTTGGAGGCTAGTTCCCGGGAACCTAGAAGCATGTTTATCTAGTGGGATGAATTTATTAGCTCGAGAACCCCGTACATGAGATGACAGCCTGACGTATTCCTGGGAGTACCACGACGCTCCCAGGAACTATTGAGTGGGTGTATTCGGTTAGCAGTTTTCTAGACGGTTTCCTGGACGGTTTCCTGGACGGATTCCTGGACGGTTTCCTGGACGGTTTCCTGGACGGTTTCCTGGACGGTTTCCTGGACGGTTTCCTAGATAGTTTCTTAGTTAATCTCCTGGTGATGTAGTAAGCATGAAATGTACTTAGGGCGGAAGAAAGTGGTGAATAGTCTTGAAGAAATTCAGGGTTATGGCCTTCTCCCCCCTATAGTCCGCCGTACACATCATCATCTTTACCTCCGTAGTTCTACCAAATCTGGCGAGTATATTAGGGCAAGGTTAAACGGAGAATGCTCCTAAGAGCGTCTAATGCAAGATAAGCGCCAAGAGTTGCCGGACAAATTCCGGTGTATATGTGTTTTCGACAGCGGGATCTTGCAGGTCCTTTTTGTTGACTCTCACCTAACTCAAAATTAGCGCCGAGGCAAGGAAATAATCACTCACAAAGGCTGAGACGGTGAGCGACGCCACAGTGTGACGTACGAGTCATCTCCATGGAACATATGAAAAGCTGGCTTGAAGTCAGAAATTTTAATCCGGATACACCCGTGTTGCACCTCGTGTGAGCCTGAGAGGTGAGCATTCGAATGGGTGATAGAGTAGCATTAGTGCAGAAGATGCCTTCCAAATAAGAATTGCCACCAGGTAATCCAGCTCGGATACCCTGCCCAAGTATTAATACTGGTGAATTCCCTGTGAATCACAAACCACTATATTCATCTTCGTCCTGGTGCTCAAACACGCCAGCAGCCTACTCACTCCAAACCTCAACGTCAATATGTCGCTGATCCCACACTTCCACCGTGGTGGGCTTTCGGCTGTTAGCCGCCTTCTCGATAACTATGAAAATATGTTCTCCAATCTCGGCCAACTTCAAACCTACGCACCGTCCTTTGATGTTCGCGAGACAGACAAAGCCTACCACCTCGATGGTGACCTTCCTGGTGTTCAGGAAAAAGACCTGGAAATTGAGTTTGAGGATGAACATTGCTTGAAAATCAAAGCGCATAGCGAGCGCGAGTCTACAACTGAGAAAGATTCGTGGCTAGCATCCGAATCTTTCTCAGTTGTAGACTCGCGCTCGCTATGCGCTTTGATATTGGCAGAATGGCAGATTCATATAGTGTGTAACAAGTGTGGTCGAGCTCGCCCACATTATTCAGACTATGGATGTCAGGGAGGTGGTTGCGTAGACATCTTTGAAACTCGATAGCACTATGGTGTGGTCGCAACGCAAACCTTCTTAACTATGAGTTTCCACAAGTACATGTCAATCTTTAATGATGTTCAACTCACGTAGTCGACCATAAGATCCAAAAGTCTGTGCCAAAAAAATCCTTGCCAAAATAATCTTAGATGCGATGTCTTCCCAGCATGTTCTCACTTTCTAGCAAAACCTTCATTAATTACAGCCTATTATACGGACCAATAGAGAGGTTACGAGCATTGGAACTCTCTATCTTTCCTCCTCTATTTCTTACGAATCGCGTATTCGCAGTACGTACAGGTCGAGGAGTTTCGCTCGATTCTTCACACCTAATCCAGTCTAAAAGCGACGTCCTTAATCCCCTAGTAGTTAGAATAAGCGAGAGCAAGTTTTCAACGCATTTATCATGGAAGTACGGAAGACTTCTAGGATTGATGATGAAACCTATATTCTCGTCACCAGAGCTAGTTATACCGCCCCCTATCTGCTCATGCCGATTAAGTATGTGTATATGCGATCCTAGTACATGTGCATTATTGATAAGATGTACTACCGCGGCGAGTGACGTAATGCCATTTCCAATAAGCCACGCATTTGTATTGCGTAGGTCATGAGCGTGACTAATTGAAGATTTGTCGGTTATTCTTAAGGATGGTTTTTTTCTGACTGCTTGATAGCAATGTCTTTGTCAGAGAAGGGTGGGAAGGCCTGATCACTCAGTAATTTATACCCCGCGTTGTATAATCGGAATTGACCTAGAACATGGGATCCCATACGTAGATAGAGATACGCCTCGTAGGAGTCTATAGATAACCTATTAAAAGACGGCGAATAATCATGCTGAATTGAAGATAAAATAGGGACATGCAATACTACGTGAGGCTACGTAAGGAACGATTAGTGAGCTCGAGAGATGTTCGAGGGTTATAGACTAGATCTACGCCGTTGCCACATATCATATGATCTATAACATAACCGTTAACGTACTAGTGAATTAGGAGTGTCACTAACACTGTTCTTAATAATATGACCACGATTGTTCTGGACCCGCCTATGTTCATGCTTCCCGCTATCATATGAAATTTTGATAAGCTGACCATCTAATCTCCGCTTTCGCCTCCCGGTTAATATACCAAATATACTGACGCGGACTTAAGACTTTTTGTTGAGACGGCGCTCCCACGAATTAATGCCTTATGAAGTGGCACTATAAGTTTAAACCTTAAGCGGTAGGCGGATGCTTACGGAGATATTATGTCGAGACCGAATTGAGGATACGGTCCACTCGCATTAGGTGGTAGGTATGATTAAGGAAACGATCTTAGCTAGTGTTCTTACGTCATTTAGCATATCGTCACGCTATAAAGTCTTAATATGAAAAATTATGCTGTCCTACTGACTTCTTACTTTCCTTTTCACTAGTAATATCCGATAATGTCTTCTCACGAATTCACTATGACTCCCGAGGAGAGAATAAACGCAGCCCGCGATTATAAAGCGGATATTCCCCTTACTAACTGACCTATTCCTTGGGGAGCTAATAGATAAATTTAGTGCATTAGATAAAGAGCACGTCTCGATCGAGGCAAAGGAATATGTGGGACAGATGTTACAATATTTAAATGAAGAAGAGGCTCACCACGAGATCCTTGAAGGTGGCGAGCATATCCCATATCACCGTCGTTAGCGGGGATCGCCTATTGAGAAGAGGGCTCCCTCCCTCTAGGAGAGGATTACCGCAGCTCGTGGCTACAAAGCGTATGTCTTGTTTCCTAATAATCATTAAACGACTAGGGAATCATTAGAATAGGGGAATGTTTGCTAATAAGCGTATAGGGCTCTTCATAACCCACTTATCTCAGAAGAGAAAAAAGAGAATGCTCGTTAGATGTTAAAACTGATGGACGAAGAGGAAACCCGACGCGAGTTAAATGATCTAGAGGAGAGTGCTAAAGACCCGAATAGGGTCATTGCTGGCTAAAAGCGTAAGATTTTCATCCTTGCTTTTTGGCTTTTTTAATAATGGCTATCTAGTGCGCAACATAACCCTCTGGTCACAGAGGAGGGTCGCCGTAGAGCTGCAAAGAAGCTACATAATATCGAAAGTGGCAAACCTGAAGAGTAGCTCAAGTTGGAACTGAAGTTGGGCCGTATATATTTGATTATGTCGTGGGTATTGTTCTATGGCTTTGATACTGTGCTTATCTTAAACTTGTTGGTCTGACAGTAGTTTCTATGGGGGTGTGCTTGTACTCCGTGCTCCTGGGTTCTACACTCCAATCTGTAATCATATTTATAGAATCTAGGGGCGCCTGCCAGGAATTAGTCTTCCTGATAGTTTTGTGGGAGCTCATGGAAGGAAAATTCCTTAGCAGAATTATTAGTTTGATTCGCCACAGAATTGGAATAGTGCCTCCGTACGATATTCGAATTGGAAAAGAGGTGTGAGTGAGGCGATAGTTCCGTGGAGTTAATGCAACTCTTAGAGCAATTTCCCAATGAAGGCCCGTCACCACACATCCCACTTCCTCGGGATGTGCAATATTGCAAGGACATCAGAGCAGCCTTGGTTGGCCGAAGGCCATTGATAACTTCCCCACCCTAAGTATAGCGTGTAGGTGGTAATTTCCAGATGGGCATATCGTAAGTGGCCAAGTTTTATAATCTTGTGTAAAATTCTTCCTCGCAATCTTATCTCGAATTTCTCAGGACGGATCCATGTGTAGCATTTAATACTCTGGGTTTGGCCGGCTCTATCGTAGTGTTCAGCGGGAGTTGATTTTCTGCTGCTCTGACCTTTAACCATAGCAAAATGCTATGGATAAGTTGGAGCGATAAGATTATTGCAGAAGCAGCGGTTTTAATACCACCACTCGTACCTTGAACAAATACAAGCGAACAATTTCAGCTTGGAGGACACAAATATAAGGGCCCCTGAATAAATGGAGAGTATGCGGTGGAGACTCTATCCAACTTTATCACCGAGTATGAAGAAGATGGGCGTGAAATATGGGAAACGATTGATTATGGGAGAGAAGAGGCGGTCCGGCAGCTTTTGAAAAAGCAAGATATTGATATCAATATTGCAAATAATGATGGGCAATACCTACTGCATATGACTTTTGCGGAGACACATTTCATGTATGTCATGAACAAGCAGATTTCAGTAAACAACAGCATAATTTTAATCAACATGAGGATTTGAAGATCTCCAAATCTCCAAAGATGTAAATGTAACAGAAAGTATTAAGTCCATCAATCCGCGCTAAGAAGCTCAGCATACTTTGTAAAGTCTTTATCAGCCTGGAGCATCTCCAGTTCCTCGGGGTGTGTACCAAAGACAAGCTCAACTCCCCCGTCCTTTCGTATGGGAAGAATGACCAGGAATTGGAAACGTCCATTTCCACGCTCAAGCTGTGGTCTCAAAGACTCGGGAGATCCCCCATTTAAAAAGAAGGTATTGCCAAAGCAAACCTCATTGGTGGGGAAAAGCATCATATTTGAAATCATAGCATTCATATGCTCAAGGCCCATGTTTGCAGTCGAAAATCTTTCGTGATTTGGCAAGGATTGAAGAAGCGAAAAGGCATCATGAACGACCGAGGGTGTGATACGTGCGGCAGACTCGCGAAGGACGTGTGCGACACGGCCAATGGTGGTTTGATCCGAGCACAGTGTCTCGATGGGCATTGTCGTTCGATTGAGAATGAGCAGACTACCCATGTAAGTATCGGGCAAGAGTTGAGAGAAGTAAGGACGGCCGTCGGTAGGCAGCTCAAGTATCGAAATTTCATTAGGCTTGAACGTCTGCTTCCTTATCTTGGTGGCAATTTTTCGTCGCATCCGAATCGCAGAGCGCCATAGGAAGGCCTGTACAATATCACTGATCGAAGTGATAACTCCCTTCGCCGCGGGATCAGACAACACCTCTTGCTTCATTTTCGCCAAGCTTTGGGGTTTTATAAAGAACATGGTAGTTTTAGGGCGCCGTTCAGCTCGCGGTAGCGGCCAAATATTGTGTAACTTGAAGTCTGGTGCAGGGGGCAAATTCCAATTTCCAGGATTATTGGAAGAAGCTTGAAGCATCCTTTTTTGATCCTCATCACGTGGGAAAAAAGGCAAGTACCCCCATGTGCCGGGGTCAATATCATCTACTGGGCGAGCCCAGCCTTCCTTTTCGTGGATAATTTCTGGCAGAGCGTGGTTAAAGCTCTCCGGATGATACCACTCACAAGTCGCTGCTTGGTCGCCCTGGAGATATCTACAATTTTCAGCCCAGGCCTTGAGAACAACCATGGCTCCAAGACCATCAAGACAACAGTGATTCAAGTCTACTGCAATAATACAGCCCCCCGAAATGAAGTTTACTTGGCCTGAGAAAATGTCGGCGGGGAACTTGGGAAACGGATCATCTCGCAGGACGACATCATCGGGGACAGCAGAAGGCGGGAAGCCGGCATCTTTCAATCGCTCAAATGATGGGAGAACGTCTGAGAGGTCCTTATAGATTAGTCGGTTCTTAGCAGTGTTTGCCATTGAAAGAGGCGGAATTGTCACACAAAGGTCTCCTCTTTGATATCCAATCTCCTGCTCGGAACAATCCATCATTTTGCCACTGAGAGCAGGTATCATGTCAAATGTGCGATTGAGTCCTTCTTGAAGATTGGAAAATACTTGTTCGTTCGAGATTTCGTCGTGGATCGAAAAGTAGAGCATGATGCCCATGCCGTGGTTTGGGTTCACGTAATCAAATGCGTTCAGGCGGAAGGACTGTCGTGCTTTATGCTCAGCAATCATATCGATCATGCGAGAGGCATCTTCAGCATGATCAATTTCGTTCATGATCCCAGATTCTGCACTCTTTGATTCCTCAATCAGTGTAGAAACTGTGGTAGCAAGATCCTTAATAGTCGGATTGGCGTACACGTGGCGAGGTGATATCTTATCTCCCAGGCCTGTTGCTGCCCGGATTGTTTTGACAGCTGCGAAGACGCCGAGTGAATCAAGTTCCGCAGCAAACAGATCTGTGTCTGAAAACACGCTTTGAACATCCGGAAGAGAGCTGGTAAGAATCTCTCGTATGGAACCCTCAGTTGCCTCAGGCGAGCTCAGGTCAAGTCTCACAGATTGATCGATATCATCGTTGCGTGAGCCATAGAATCGCTCAATGTATTCGGAGTAGAGCGCCAATGAAGCTGCTCGTTTGATCGTTCTCTTATCCGTTCGTAAAAAAGGCATTTCAGGTAGTGCGAAAATGACGAAACTCTTGAGCAGTTGGTTCTTGTGCTGAGACAGTGCATTGGCTGTCTGAACCTTGGCCCAAATGCTGTCGAGTAACTCGGGTGTCTTTTGACAAGAATCAATTAACTCAATGAGAAGGCCAGCTTGTGGCTTTCCAGTTCCAAAAATCAAACAGCCGCTGATTTCTGGATGAGTGGTTATAAATGCCTCTGTTTCAAGAGGCGAGATCTTGTATCCATTCGACAAAACCACAAGATCGTCGCTTCTTCCCCTGAAGACCCATAGATTTGGCTTGGTAGGATGTCGCATGTAAAGATCTTTGAAATTAATCGAGTCTTGATCTGGAAAGGTGTAGAAGATCCCTTGGAAAAGTGGCCAATGCTCGTTGCGATGTACCCAGTGCTCATAAACATCTGTTTCAAGCTCTTTGAACTCAAAGCCAGAGTAAGGATGGAAACAGAACCAAAACCAATCTTCTCTATCGGGCTTTAAATTCCCAATGAAGAGGCCTTCGGTGGTACCGGTCAAGTTGAGAACTCGTACAACCTGGTTAACCTTCCCAGCGCTAATGGGACTGACCGGGCCTCCCGATGCGCAAATAAATTTGCTCGGACGTAGTTGTTCCGATATATCCGGAGTCTCACCCAGTTCATCGACGAGTGAAGGAACCATGCTCCAGATATCGATCTTGACATCAACGGCTAGCCTTTCAACTAGGTTCAGGTTTGGTAGTACACCAACTGGCCCCAAAACGCAGTGGAGGTTGAAAAGTGCAGGCATCAAAATGTCCATAATGATTCCAGCGCCCTATCAATAATCTGGTTAGCTAAATACTCCTTCCAAGCCACCCGAAGCATTCCGAAACTTCGATTAAGGGTGAAGTGACTTACATGACTGATAGGAAAAGACGAATATATCTTGTCTCCTTTATTCCAGTCTGAAGTCCAAGGAGTTAAATCAGCAGTTTCCCCCACCGATGGTAGGAGTCGGACTGCATCCATAGTCCCAATGAGCCCATGAGACCAAGGAATGGGCTTGGGCAATCCTGTAGTTCCAGAAGTATGCAAATAACAGAATGGGTCGTCAATGGCTTCTTCAAAAGTCTTCGTGTACGGAAAAGTTTCAGTAGACTCGGCATCAAGAAGCTCGTCGAGCGTAGGAAGCTGCAGACATTTCATAGGCCGCCTCTGGAGAACATCCTTAACGACGGTGATTGGTGAAGCATCAATTGCATTGACCCAAATATCGCAGTTCAAATTATCAAGAACCGCAAGAATTGCGTCTGCATTATTTTTTGGCGATAAGAAGAGAGCCTATACCGCGCAAGATAGTTAAAAATCGGTACATTGATACTCAGGTGACTATATTCCGATGGTTGGAAACATACCGAGTAGCCCGCTTTGACACAAGCATATGTCAGAAGAACATGTCTGAGGTCGTCTATGTGAAAAAAAAAGGATGTCAGAGGCTAAGATCCGAAGATTGTGGGGGGGTGTGCCAGCTCTGACATACGTGGGCCAATATACGCCATGGGGCGAACGAATTCCGGGGTACCAATTTGATCCCGCACCCACCAAGCAGTCTTATCCACTGCTCTGGTAAACTGAAAAGCAGAAACTGGGTTCAGATTGAGAGCGCCATCCGAGAGAAAGGGGGAGAGAGAAGACGGTGGTCTCTGGCCTGGAAGCCGCAAGATCATCCATTATCTGGGGAATCAGCCTTCGACCGTATTGCGTCGAAACCTCGCTCCTCGTCTCCTCTTTTGCCTGGATATGAATTCCAAGACCACATGGGGAGGGAGAGGAATTGTAAGCTGTCGATATGTTCGGGCTTGTCAAACAACTGTCGGTGTACTTGCCCTCAGAGGAAGAGATGGAAACGTCGCTAGAATATGGAGACCTTGATGGGGCTGTCAATGTACTACTCATATATGCAGTGGCATTGATAGACTTCGGTGACTGGAGATAGGTTGCCGTCAACTCAGTGATGGCAGAATGCGTACCATCAGGCATTTTCTCCTGATAATGGCTGGGAGCCCCATCTACATGAATCAACTCCAACCGACTGTCCTGGTTGAATTCGCCCATCGGAGCACTTATCCACTCCCCATTGGCAAGATGGGCCACGGAACAGTGCCATGGGGTGGTAAAGCCTGTTTTGGTATTCAGTAGATTGATGGGTATTTTGTCTTCACTAATAGACTCGTGGATTGATAGCCGTAGGTGATATGGAAAGGCGGCTTTGACGGCTCTGGCAAAGGACTATTCCTTGGAAATCAGTATAGAGATCGTTTTTGTAAATCAGAGTTGAGCTATGACGATGGTCATCATGATATAACGTACATATCTTCTTGCGAGCATCTGCTTGGCCAGATATTTGCAGTCCCGCTTGTAACTGTGGGCGGAGCGATGCTCCCCTCGGGGAAAGATATGCTGTAAATCTGATTCCAGGAACCGCTTGTAGCCAAGATACGTCAATTTCGTATCTGCATTTTCGGCGATTTCCTTGTCGATGTCGAGATCCACCGCCCCATACTGATTCATGAGTAAGCGACGGAAGTTTGTACAGTTGGCAACATATACAATTTCGGTCAGCTTATCGGGAAGTGAAATATCGAGAAGATCTCGGATCCGCGAGAACAGGATGTTCTGAAAGCCTTTCTCGACAGCTATGCGTCGCAGAGCTTCTCCATATCGCCAAGTCTCTTGGTCCGAAATGCACAGCAAATCTGTCATCGACCAGGCACATGTCAGCGGTGGAAATCCCTCTAGAAACTACCTACTCACCATTGTAGGTGATTCCGTCTGAGATAATCACAATCTCGGCACCCGGAGCATAGAATTGCTGGATAGAATCGCAAAGGGTGTTCAACCGGTCTAGTGCTAATTCCTCTGCTTTATCTGGCAAGCTGCCAAGTACCTTGTACACCTTATTGGCAGACTTGAACGGAAAAGCAGGAAGACAAGCCTGCACACGAGCTCCCTGGGCGACAAATCGGCCTATCAAAGAAAGGAAACCCTCTCCCTTCCCTTGCAGATGGCCCGGTGCATATTCAAATTTGTTGAGTGCATATTGCAGGAAGACATCCAAGATCCGTCTGGATGTCTGATCCACGTAGCTTGAATATAGTTCATCGTCAATTGTAGGAACAACCACTTGTTCCGTGGATAGGAAAGAAGTCATGCTGTCTCGATGTATCCAGCGTGTGTGGATGCCCAAAAAAATGTCAGAGTGATAAAGAAGGGAGAGAAAGATGCGCTGAGAAACAACAGACCAGTGCAAGTCAGGTGGAGCTTTTCGGAGATTTATTTACAGCGCAGTCAGGGTCTAATTTAGCTGCATGGCCCGTATCTCAAATCGGAAAGCCAGGTGCTGGATGGAGACCCACGTCAAGATTTTGTATGCCCACTTGACCCTTCGCTAATGCTGTAGTCATCCTCTGATTCAAAGTCAAACTCATAAGAAGTCCAAGTATTCTCACGCTTTTTAGCTGAGCACAATTGAGCCGATTAATTGTGGGCTAGAAAGGACGTGCCCATCCCCTTCAGGGCACTAACTTTTGAGCAATTGTCCAGACCCGCTATATAGAGCTAGGATCAGCAAACCATTCGATGTAGTCAGAAAGGTCCGTGTTAATAGTCATGCGTAGAAGACAAGTACTAGTATTCTGACGGATTCTGGCCAGCCTAGGGATTCGATTACTCCCGGGGGAGCGCGTAACTGACCACAATTTCCCTGCATGCTCCACCGGGACACTAGCACCAAAAGGAAGAAACTTGTCATGCTAGTTCTCACCTGCAGAGCTCAAAAACGTAAAGGGAAGGTGAACAGCTTTCTGCAAAAATCTATGGAAGATTCGAGAGCCTAGAACTAAGGGCGTTTAGTTTGTCATATTTGCCTAAGAGCGCAAATTTGAGGTAATTCCCGCCTGTGATGTTGCGCTCTTCAGATTGTACACTCCGAGCACCACCATGATAACAGAGTAGTGGATACCATCAGAGTTGTAGGATGGATGGAATGGGAATTTACTAGGTCCGTGCTGCGAAATAGAGCTAGCTTGGTGAAGAATATTATATGCTTTCCAGTTCATCGGCTTTCGATGGATTCTCGAAGTTCTCATCAAAAAAGATTTGACTCGTGTGCGGTGCCTCTTGATTTTTTTGGTTCGAGGAACAATCACCAGTTCAACTCTACTTTCCCCTACTGCCCATAATACGTCATGGGAAAAGCTCCTGCTCTTGAAGATCTCACAGCCACCGGAGACAAATCTGCTCCAAAGGTAGATGCCGACGTTGGCAGTATTGAAGCTCCAAACTCCAACAAAGAGTCTCAGTTTCCTCCTCTGCGTCAGGCCATTATAATCGTTCTGGCGATCTACCTAGCCGCCTTCCTGGTTGCTCTGGATCAAACCATCATCGGGGTAGCGATTCCAAAGATCACAGATCAATTCAAGAGTATTCCAGATATCGCCTGGTATGGCAGTGCCTATTTCTTGACATCGACTGCTCTGCAGCCGTCATATGGCAGGATTTATAAGATTCTCAATGTCAGTAACCCTGCTGTAAATTCAGCCTGGCGGTTATTGGAATTCCTACCTTGCTTCTAAATACGAGAACATTCTTCTGACCTGTCTTAGGTGAAATGGTCTTTCTTAGCTGCAGTGGGCATATTCGAGATCGGATCTTTGATCTGCGGTGTTGCACCTTCCAGCATTGTCTTGATCGTCGGTCGTGCCATCGCAGGAATCGGGGTTGCTGGTATCTTTTCTGGCGCCTTGGTCATAATCTCCATGACGGTGCCTCTTCCTAAAAGACCCCTTGTCTTTGGTATCTACGGTGTTGTATGGGGTGTTTCCTCCATTATCGGACCTCTACTTGGTGGCGCATTCACAGATGGTTCGTCGTGGAGGTGGTGCTTCTATATTAACCTCCCGGTAGGCGGCATTTCAATGGTGGTCGTCCTAATTTTCCTTCGCTTGCCGAGCAACAATCAAGTAACAACTTTGGCCCGCATTGCTCAAGAATTGGATTTGATCGGTGCAAGCTTAATCATTCCGGCAGTCATATGCTTTATTCTTGCATTACAATGGGGCGGAAATTCCTACGCTTGGGGGAGCTCTCAGATTATCGGCCTTTTCGTCGGATTCAGCCTCTTGATTCTGCTTTTTACGGCCTCCCAGGTCTGGATCACTCGAAAAGATGAGAAAAATGGAAAAAGTGCAGGCGCAACATTACCACCTTCAATCCTTAGGAAGCGTACCATTTGGTCTGCTGGAATATTTGCGTTCTTCTTTAGCGGCGGGTTTTTCCTTCTGCTCTACTATCTTCCTATCTATTTCCAGAGTGTCAGGGGATCATCAGCAATGACCGCTGGCCTTCAGCTTCTTCCATTCATGCTTATGACCGTGCTTTCATCCATCATGGTAGGGGCGATGGTGACAGCAGTCGGTTATTATACCCCTTTCTTGATTGGCAGTACAGCTATTTGTGCAATCGGAACGGGCCTGATCACCCTTTACGATATCGATATGTCTACGGCCAAGTGGATTGGCTACCCGATTGTTGTCGGGGCCGGTATTGGTGCGGGTCTTCAGATCCCAATGACTGCCGTGCAGACGGTATTGAGCCCTGAGGATATCCCGGTGGGAACTGCGAGTGTCATGTTCCTTCAAACGTTGGGGGGTGCTATCTTCATCGCAGTGGGACAAGCAGTATTTCAGAATGGCTTACAAGCTGGTATCCGCGCATACTCCCCCAAGGTCGATCCAAGCGCCATTCTCAATGCGGGAGCTACCGAGATGAGGCACGTGTTGGCAACTTTGGGCCAACTCGATCAGCTGGACGGGGTGATCAAAGCTTACATGAACGGATTACGGGATACTTTCCGCGTCAGCCTGGCTTTAGTACTTGCTGCCTTTGTGACTAGCTTCTTTTTGGAGTGGAAAAGTGTGAAGAAAAGCGACGCGACTTCAAACCACGATACCGCCGTCGTGTCTGCCTGAACAGGGCGTGAACTATACATATCATAGGTAATCATTGTATTTTGATAGTGGATACTTCACTAATGATATGCAAAATATTCCTCTCGCGAAATTACCTCGTTGAGAGAGAAACACTTCAAGGCATGAGGAACTAGATAATCGAGGATACCTGGCTGAATACTTCAAAGAAAGGAAAATAAAGAAGAAGAAAAAAAATTGATCAATATTCTTGATTCAACCCATTGTTAGGATCCCTTTCCTAGCTTTCTCTGTAGTACTTTTCTTGTTCTGGAAACGATGTGAGTGAGATTGAGCAAATATCTGCAGGCAAGTGGGGCCAATCTCAGGGACGAGGAGAGAAAAGAGTTTACACGAGGCACTACATAGCAAATTTCGGCCCCTAGATTTATCACTCATTTGAACAGCAACACTTCGACTGGATAACAAGTCTCAGGTAAAATAGTATGCGCATTTGTGGTTGTGCGAGACTGCCAAGTAGATAGCTGTTTTGGGCTAACTAGGAAATCGCGCACAAAACTGACAATTACCCAGGTGGGTAGTTAGCTAATTACTTTATTAAATCAGTTGTATTTTTATCACTCGCAGTGTTACAGTTACTACATACACGCATCAACATAGCTTATGGATGATTCCTCCTCAGTAAAAATTTTGGTAGGATCTTGATGCCTGGTGTGCTGCAATAAACCCGGCACCCTCAGTTTTCTTTGAAGGCGTAGTCATCTACTAGGAAAAAGCATAACTACATGTAGTTTTGATTGACACTATTTCTCACAATCTATGCATACAAGTTCTTGAATGCCATCATCAAGTTTTCGCAATGTCTACTTTCTCCTATCCCGACTATACAGACTTCTAACCACGTTACAATGATAAAGGTCTTTGTTTAGATGACGGTGCCTTTCACTTGCTTTCTGTCGACATTATAATTCTTCCAGATCGCAATTGCCGGGAAAGCAAGAACCACGAGACATGCGGCCGTGATGCACTCGTACTTTTGGCTGTAAGCCCAGGCGTAATTAATCGCATTTCGCGTCTCGCTGCCAGGGGGATACATCAGCTGGGCTGCTGATCCACCATCGTAAATACTAGCGTATTCCGCTTTGGCCGACTCTGGAAGGGCTCTGAGTAAAGCTTGAGGGAAGGTATTGGCATATATCGCACTTGCAACGGCATATCCGATGGCACCGCCAACACTTGAAGACAGGCTGATAAGTGCAATCATCAATGGGACGCCGTCGCGGTCAGCAGCTGCCATGACAGCCATCTCGTCTCCGATCACGAGGGTCCCACCCCCAACAGCAATGAAAATTTGACACATGACCAGGTAACCAATGTCACTCTGCGAGCCTCGGAAATGAACCATGAGAGCTGCGCCAAGCAGGAGGAGTGGTGCACCGAAGTAGAGGCAGACATTCTTAAAGTATTTGGATTTGCGAATCCAAATTCCGAACAGCACCGCCCAGATAGTCGATCCAACGCCGTATATCTGCGTCATGTATCCTGTCTTGGAGGTATCGAGGTCGTACACTACCTGAACGTAGTAGTAAAAATATTGATCCCACGTGTAGTAGTTGAAGAAGATGATGGCTGACAGGATACAAGCTCCCAGAATTGTGCGCTTTTTGAATAACTCCCATTTGATGAATGGAAATTTGGCAATGTAGCACTCCCAGACAGCAAACACTGGGAAGAGCAGTAGCCCGATAACGACCATGGCGATAAAGGTTGCTGAAGAATACCCGGTAAGTCCATAAGTCTTAAGACTGAAGGGCAGGAGGAACAGGATGAACGCTGCCATAAGAATAAGAGCCCCGACAATGTCGAACTCGTGAACATAGTGAATGATCGACTGAATCTTGGACCGGTCGGTTTTCACGCGCTGGAAGAGTCCCAGCTTCTCGGCCTTGCGTTGATAGAATTTGAACACCACAGCCAGAGGAATGAAAACAATAAAGGTGATAATGGCGAAACAACCATATGCCCAGCGCCATGTCGAGTGAGCGACGAATGCCTGGGCAGCGAGAGGCCCAACAAAGGCGGTGCAGATAGTTGGCGTACCAATGAAGGCATAGACAAAAGCACGATTCCTCAACCCGGACGCATCAGCGACAAAAACGGAGAGAATGAAATTCAGAGCCGAATAGCCGATCCAGTACAGAGTGTAGCCAGCGGCAAAGCCATTGGGACCGTTGCAGGAGGCGATCACGATCAGACCAAGGATGAACACCGCCAAGAATGTCAGAAAGCCCTCTGTCCGGCCCCAGATATTGAGAGTCTTTGCAATGGGAAGTTGAAGAACTCCACCCACGATTGTCGACACAATGTACGCTTGGGAGATCTGAGGAGCGGAGGCAAAGTTTGCGTATGCGTAGTAGATCATGTTACTGCTGATGGAAGATTGCATAGACAGAACGAAGTAGCACAGCCAGATCCTGCAGATTGCGATTTGGTGTTAAATCATGGACTATGATAGTACTTTGGAAGAACTTACCAGGCATATGTGCTATAAAGACCCTTCTTAGACCACACTAAGGCCGTGGCTTCGGCTTTCTGAACTCCAGCTTGAGCATCATGGGTAATCTGGTCAGGATGCTCGAGCACTTCTCTTTCGTCCCTCTCTTCTAAACTCTGAGTATCGGCATAAGCTCTTGCCTCCGCGGTCGCCGTGTGTATGTTGACATCGTCCTTCGCCTTGTCTGAATTGCGAAACACCATTATGTTGGGCTGGACGCGGCAGCCGTGAGACGGGGTAGGCTGGAGGTTGTGTTGACAGAAAGAAAGTTAATAATGAGCAAGTGATAACTAATGAACCCTTGACTCGCCGTTAAAAAAGCGCACGGATGGAAAGTGGTCCAGATTAGACCCTAATATAACCATAGAACCCAGGATTGCAGGACCGGACTCAACAGGTCGTTAAATGGGGGCAGTGTGGATTGTTACTTCCTAAGTCCATGCAACTCGTCACAGGTCTGATCCTCCAAGTTTCTAGCGCAAGAGTGCAATGCACTCAAATTCGCGCAGACACTAGCCTTGTTCGGATAGGCTTAAGTGACTACCCCTAGAAAGTGACATCCTTTCCTAGGCTTGTTCTTTTATAACGTGTTCTGTTTGTCTTTTTGGAGAAACGTGGTTCGGATCCGTGTAAAACCTCCGTACGTAAGAGTTGCTGATTCTCATTCGCGTCGAAAATGGCTGTCCAATGGTCCATGCCATTTCGGCTCTGTGAAAGTTGAGATTCGCGGGTATATCCGTACACTGACAGGGGTAAATACATAGTGGTCATCAGCCTTGAGTTCATTTGAGATGCTATCATGTCGTGATTTATCGCTCTAGAGGAAAACTGCCAGGGGTATAGCAGGAATATTTGGTCACTTCGTGGATGCGATCATAGCGGGTCGATATTCATATTGCAAAATCACGGAGCCAGTGAAAAAAAGTATTCACTTGGCCATCCTTGATTTGTTAGTCGTAGCTGGTAGTGATAGATGAAGTTGTGTGTCTCTCTCGTGCACCGTGACTTTATTTTCGATCGGAGCACAATGTCGTGAATTCTTTTGATTTGGTATGACCTGCATTCTGCAGCTTCGATAAGTACGAGAGCCCTGGTGGTTGTAGTTAAAAATGTGACAAAAGAACCCGTATTATGCCTTGTGCCTTTTCCGGAGTAGCTTAAGGTATCGACGCATTATCGCAGTCACAAACATGGTCCCACCAACCGAACGCCCCCGCAAGAGGTCCTGGGGCTCGGGCCGTTGAAGTCACTCGATTGGCCCCGCTCCGCTCTTTGCCACATGGTATTGAATCATTGATGGCACCATGTACGAGGCTTGGCTGAACCTCTTGGGAAAATTTTTACTCGACTTCGCAGTCAACCCTAAAAGTTCGTATTTGACCTCGTTAACGTTAAGCCTCGGCGAGTAAGCGAGAACGTTTGCAATCGCTGCAACTCTCTGGCTTAGTAAGGCGTTAACTTGATTGGTTGCCACACATCAATTACGTGAGAAGCTACAAAGGCCCTTCCATAACTATCTCCCCTATCTAGTCAAACCCATGGCGAAAATATGAGTTCTCAGCCAAAATAGAACGTACTGGTACAACACCCATTATTCATATTAATGACCCTTGCTCACGCCATCTCAAATATGACACAATGTAGAGTGGAATAGCTGAAAGAGCGTGTACCAGCAGGTTCTAGTTCTGCTGATTAATCATATTCTCGACATGAAGTTGACTAGATGTGACAAACGTTTTTGAAGCAGTTCCGATAGTCTGTGATGTGTTTGTTATAATTCGTCTTTACCCGGTTTGATGATTTGTTGCTGATACCTGGCGTTGGCATTAAAGTTCACGCCATTAAATCCCACCACGGTCGGAAAGGTAGTCTTGGAAGTTTGACTTCGTAGAAATTATCATCGGCTTAGCTTAGGGGAAAGAGAGGCAACCATATATTATTAACATAAATGTAATTAGAAATTTAAAACGTGGAATTGCTGGTTACCGTAGGCTACTTATGAACCCGCCCATCATGTTTTCCATCCAGGAATTCGAGTCAAATTGAGCCAATTCGCACTGCCCCAACCTTACCTAGGTAGTCTTGAACCCCTTGCGTGGGTTCTATTCTTACGCACGGCATACTGTAGCTCTGCGGATCCGTTTGCAGAGTGTATTATTATACGTAGGTCGACGTATCCTTTTCCTCTACGCGGTCTGCGAGTATGTCCACATGCTCCATCTTATACTGAAGAGCAGTCATTGAATCAGCTTTCACAACACAGCAAGCATAGAGAACGATATCGTCTCTCATTCACACGCCTTTTGTAACTGGTATAGTTATATGCCTCGTTGGGTCGAGATAACGGTATTTTCCTAGTACATCTAGGTTTGAAATTGAACTACCCTCTGGAGCCACCGTTACGCTCTCCTGGGGATCATCGCTTTTAATACTCCATCCGTCGCTCCCATTTCGCTCGATTTCGATCTCACCCTCATCAATTTCTCCTGCGTAAATGCCATATCGTTATTCATAAAGTTATCTGGCGCCCTGGGTCGGGCCTTCCTGGGTTTCTTCGTCTCCAAATCTCACCCTTGCGCCTAGAAACTCCAGCCACTAGTCTATCCAGGCCGATGGAATGATTCAAAATTTGGAGGCCTGCGACTGCAAAATCCTGCACACAAAATTTCAGTAATCATGTATATAGAGATTATGAGGAATGTGCTTTGGGACTTCATGCCTGTAATATGGTGAAAAAGATGTTGCCAGTTGACATAAAGCTCGTCTTGAACAACGCAGAGGTACCGGGTTTCCATGGAAGCTCAAGAGAAAGCTTTTTTTCAAGACAGTGACCGTCATTTTGAGACGACGAAATGGAATTCCAGACTCTTTCTTGGCAATCTTTATGTAAGGTTGTGTCAACCTGTCAGCTTCAGAACGGAAGGTTTCGTATTATTGATCTGTGATGTGTATCGTAAGTGTAATATACCTTCCACACTGTGTCTTCGCAAATTTGATAAGCCTGGGCTCTGTTGAGGAAGTTTGCTGTTTCTCCTTAAGTAAAAGTGGAGGATTTCATCGGAAATTTCTTATGGTGTTTTATACCTTCCAAAGCGAATCGAGAATGCACTCACGGAAATGTATTAATGATGAATTAGATCCAGGGGGGTAATTTGATAAATTCCACGGCCAAAGTTGCTCAATTTTGCTCACTTCCAATTGCCTCGGCATGGCCATCTTCCAAAACCGGACGTTCACAGTGGGTCAAGATACTACTCCAATTTTGGGGGGTTCGCAATCCACAAACTATTCGAGTCCAAGATACAGGATTATTTACAAGCCGGTAGAAGAAAAGTATGCTCGTGTTACAACCATGATTATGATTTTCACTTCTGGGCATTGCTTGAAATAGCCTAGAAGATAAAGGAATTTCGTTTATGCAAATTCTAAATCTAGGGATTTCATCGTTAGGCACTATCTTGTTACGCTGGAATTCTTTTCATCCACCGGGTTACCATATTTGGCCCTTAAATTATGAGGTCACTATCTCCGCCTTCACCCAACTATCTAGGGGCAGGGAACAGCGTGCTTTATATCATAACGTAGAAGAACTGAATTGAAGTTAGGTATGAGCAAGAAACTTCTATCCTGAGACGGGATAAGCTTACAATTCTGTAATTTGGGGTTAGGGTTCTAGGAATCGATCCTATAGGTCAGCCCCAGTAAGCTTCTATATCTAGCGGGATATGCACTAGCAGAGAGGAAAATTTTGAATCATTAAATAAAATGGGTTGGAAATAGCTTAGCCTAGTGATAAAAAGACACAATCCTTGGCTACGAGTCATGCTGTCTTAACTAATCCATGAATTAGGACAATTCGAAACAACCAAAGCATCAATTCCGAGAATGACGTTGGGTCAAATGGTACCCAGGGCAGGTATCTCTTAATGAGGGAAGACCGGCCTTAAAGGACCTTGCTACCTTATTTAAATCATGCACTGGTCATGGTAAACCTATACACTCATCACACGCAAACGGATACCCTACCTCGCCAGTCGTTGCATTCTATCTGCGTCTTAGACAAGTACCCACTCAAGTCAACGGGATCTACATACAAACATGCTCCTACTAGAGCGTGATGGAGCTCATGACGTCTTCCCTCGTTTCCCTTCCTTCGAGTAATTTGATACTCAGACCAAGAGCACTTCTGTTCCCCCTCATTCTCCAATGCCTACCCAATCAAGCCATAGCGGGGTAAAGTCTGGGGGTATTTTAAGGCTTTAAAGAACGGCCATTGTATAGGCTTTGTAGAACAGAAACTCACGAGGCCTGTCACTCTTCTACACCCTATTATCGTTTATCTAACTGGACCCGGTGTCTTTGTCTCCAATTTGAAATGTACCGCACGGCTAAATGGGGTGTATTGGCTCACTTTAGCCTGGGCCAATTATTTTATTCAAATGGCACTGTGCTTGAATCACCGAAAAGAAAAGGCCACTTATTTTCTCACCAGAGATATTACACTTGGCCGTCGAACCCCCAACCCACGCCATACGAGGTCATGGGAATCCAGAAATATTCAAAGTACGCCAAATCCAGGTACTTCGACCTTGTCAAAATTTATCATCCGGACAGCAAAGCGAGCCCTTTAGCTGAAAGGCTGCCAACAGAAGAACGCCTAGCGCGATATCACCTCGTTGTCGATGCACACGCAATTCTCTCCAATGACCAAAAACGATCGGCGTATGATATATATGGCCTTGGCTGGACTCTATCGTCGAAAAACCGTGATCTTTGCGGACGGAGCTGTTCAAACACGAGATGTCATGGATGGAACAACGATAGGACCAATCATAAAGCGGAGCAAAAATTCTTTAAGCATTTATCTAGTAACAGAAAGTTTATCTGTTTCATTTTAGTGATTGTGACATTTGCACAGACATGTGTGCTTTTGAGCTCCATGGCCAAGTCGGAGCTACAGATGAGGCGAACAGATGAACAGTCCCGAGAGCTCATGGTTCGCCACAGGGAGCGAGCTCTCAATTTGAGGACGCTCGTTGCGCAGATGGAATGCCTCTTGTTAAAAAGAGACCCTTCTGGTGCTGGGCTTCTTCCGACCGAGGAGACATTTTATCGCGAAATGCTTCCTCTCTGTATGTACGACTCCTGATTAAATAAAATGCTTCCGGGTTTAGTGTAATGAGATTTAAGTCCTGTCTCAATAATAGAATCTCTGCTTCCCTCCACTTCTAGAGAGCTAGTGTCAAACAGCCAAAAATTTCACTTCCACAACTTTGCAGCACCTTCGCCAGTGGAGGTCTACTTCGATGGTGGTCCACATTCGGACTCTCAAACAACTGGATGAAAAACTCCGCTAATATCTACCTAGGCGCATTTGAATCCGAGAAAATGCTGCGGTCGAAAGACTTGTCAATCTCTGAGAGCTTTAATTCCGGTAACTTAAAGCCTGCTGTTATTGATGCGCGATACCCCCAGCTGCCCATTCCCGAAATCCAGATTGAAGACACTCTAGGCAATAAATTATCCAACCAGATATCCTGCACGATCATACCAGCTATTAAATAAGTGCTCCAGCTCATCTGCTTACGCCATTCGATCTGTAATTGTGACTCGCTAATCGTCCCACAAGGAAAAGCAGATCGAACACCACCTGCTTCCATGAGAACGTTCGGCGGGTTTACGAGAAAAAAAAGGGGTCCGGGCGCAGAAAAAGACGCACGGGATGCGGGATGCAAAATCACCTCCAGAGGAAAGCGATCAACTGGTCAGACAATGAGCAGATTTGAGGTTTTTTTATCTCATTTCTTAAATTTTGATTGATAAAAACGACATAAAAACATGGGCAAGAACCAGAAAGTGGATTCTTTGCAGGCGTGCCTGGGGCCTATCAAAACCTCGCCTCCGGCCAGCCAGAAATTGGAGCGCCGCTGGTTTCACGATAGCGCAAATACGTAGAGTGGATGATGGAATCCACTTGCATAACGCTAATATTGCGTTACTGGGAACATGGGTGGTTCCTCAGATCCTGACAAGCTCTTCCTTGGACGTATTCATCTTTACCATCCAAAGGATTCAGTATGGAGAGAGATAATATCCGCGGCCCCCCTTAGTACTTTTGTCTGAGCGGCGGCAGTTGCATCGCCAAGATCTAGTAGTAGACCCTCTGGTCCACAGCCTGGCTCTCAGTATCAGTATAGCTTGCAATAAACATCCAATAGAATTCGACGTACCGAAAATAAAGGTCCGACGCGATTGCAGGAGAGAGGGGAGCACCCCAGGCAGGTACGGCCGCCCGTAATGCACTATTCTCATGGCAGGCTCTGGCTATTCCTCACGAGTGGTCTCGATATTGGTTTTCTCTGCATATGGAGTAGCTTTCTTGCCTACAATAGAGCAAATGCTATTGTAGACGCCAGGTGTGCCATTGAATGGTTGGGGATTACCTGTGATGTAGAAATCTACGCGGAGAAACCCTGATTTCACGGACCCGGAAATTTCCTCAGGCTTCTCCGAGATCCATGTAGTGTGATCAATGGATCGAATCATCCATATCAGGTGAACGCACTCTACCATACCAGAGCCCTGTCGGCTAGCATCTGCAGCATGTAGAATAAGGGGCATACACGCAGAGATACCGCCACCCCCGTAAACAAAAAGCAGAGATGTATACTGAGAAGTGGCATCTGTAACCAGTCCCCCGTAAGGCCCATCAATGTGGATGGATAAAGAGCGGTCGTCGTCGCTCACCACGGAGGCAAAGAGGTCACGAGTCAGCCCAGAATATGCTTTGATACAGAATTGCATATCATGTAAGACCACCCCTTGTGGATCCAAGATAGATTATTTTGATTTAGCTATCGAGGTGTAATATTACGACGCTTGTTACGACATCAGCCTGGGTCACCTGATATCGAACGTAGGCCAAAAAGACCACTATATCCGCGTTCAGCGGATATAACCCAGGACCCGATATATATAGTATCGCAAACTTGTTCCATCTCATAACAACGCTACTAGAAGTAAGTATTTAGTTATACGAATAGCGGGTCTTCCTTTAGTTTATTACTAAATAGCGAGAATATTATAGCATCAAAGCCATAAAAGGCCTTTAGCTAAGTACTATAGTAGGTGTTTATAGAGGGGTATATGATTATTAGAAAGGTTCCAATCAAAATTAAAGAAAATCCAAAATTGCCTCTATAGTTCCCTAAATATAGCTAAGTATTACACGAAGAATGCTCCTAAGAGCAATAGATATACAATAATTATAACTAGCTAATTAAACAATTTTCACTAATTATTCGCCAAATACATCCTATTTTACACTAGCAAGGATCGCCGACTAAGCAGCTCCGGGTGATCAGGGGCGTGCTCAGTTCTACTCAGTGAGCAAAAGCGGCGAAGGGGTGAGCACTAGAACGGAAGGAGAGCGCCAAGCGTTGCCAGACCTTTTCCGGTATATATGCATATATGCATTTGTCTCGGTAGAAACAACTAAGCTAAAGTATATTCCCAAAAACCCTATGTCGGACAAGCTCCAAACTCCCATCCCTCGCGAGCCGAATTGATGCACAAACCGAAGAAACGACCGTCACCCATTGCACGTACACGGTATAGAACAACAAACAAGAAATAACAAACACGTCAGAATCGTGATACGGCCGGTTCTGGAACTTAGGGCCTGTTGCGGTAGATTTGCGAGCCACCGGACCGGATCTGCACGGTCTCCCGCCGCTGCAGGACGACCAGCGCCCGGTTGAGCGCTTGCTCGGTGTACCCCTTACCGTCGACGAACTCGCGGCGGAGAGTCGCCAGGCTGGTGCTCCAGCCCAATGGCAGGCGACGTTTGAGCTCATCCTCGATCTTGGTGGCTTCCTCCATAAGTTCCTTGCTACCCTGACCCTCGCCTTGGGTGACGGCGTCCATGGTGGATGCCAGGAAAAGGCGGATCGCCTCGTCGACATGGGCTTCTGTGGCGATGGGAGAGAGATTCAATTTGGCAAGAGACTCGGTGATACGGACGATAGCCTCAAGCTGACGGACCGTGATGGGGATGGAGGACCGGGTGTTGGACTCAAGCTCAGCACGGTGCACTTGCTTGCGGATGGACACGAAGTGGGATGAGAGCTTCTCAGCAGCTTCTGGTGAGAGACGAGGGGCACAGCGGCTAGATAGAGAATGTTAGCATCAATGTTAAAAAACGAAGCCAGTGGCTTGCAAAAACGTACCTGCGACAGTAGCTGATATAACGCTTCATCTGCTCGACGGGAATCTCTGCCTCGACCTGCTCCTCGATACCGCGGCCGCCCATATGCACACCCATAACGTGACGAGCAATTCTCTCATCTCGGCCACGCTCGTGATCGTCACGAACAATGAAGATCATATCGAATCGAGACAGAATGGTCGTCTGGAAGTCGATATTCTCACCGGGGGTCTTGAGATCATCGTAGCGACCAAAGATTGGATTGGCCGCAGCAAGAACTGAAGTACGAGAGTTCAGAATCGTCGTGATACCGGCCTTGGCAATAGAAATAGTCTGTTGCTCCATGGCTTCGTGAATAGCGACTCGGTCCTCGTCACGCATCTTGTCAAACTCGTCAATACACACCACACCGCCATCGGCAAGAACCATCGCACCACCTTCGAGGTAGAATTCGCGGGTGGTGTGGTCACGCTGAACCGAGGCCGTCAAACCAGCTGCCGAGGAACCCTTTCCGGAGGTGTAGATGGCGATGGGCGCGGCCTTTTCAACAAACTTCAACAGCTGGGACTTGGCAGTACCGGGATCACCAAGCATGAGCACGTTAATGTCACCACGGAGCTTCATTCCATCGGGAAGAATTTTCTTAGAACCACCCATCAGCAAGCAAACGATGGCCTTTTTGATATCGGCATTGCCGTAGATCGATGGGGCGATACTGCGGGCAAGAGCATCGTACAGATCCGGCCGGCGGCTGAGCTCCAAAAACTCTTGCTCTTCCTCTTCGCTGAAGACAGAATTGCCCTTGGCAGTCTGATCCACGTCGGTTTTGATACCCACAGCCCGCACGTAAGGGTTGCGAATAGCCACTGCAGCCTCCTTCTTACCACCCTTGGCCTGGTAGATGGAGAAAATTCCCATCACAGTGCACCGAGAACCAGGAACAACGCGGTTGGCCAGGTATCGGTCGGCAGAGATCAGGACATGACGGGGCAGTTCACCAACCGGCACCTGGTCGGGAGCTTCCTGCAACTTGAGAACCTGCTGGTCCACAAATTGGCACTTCTCGTGGTGAACGACGTACGGATCGAGCGGACATTTCTCATCTGGTTGGTCGCCCGGCACCTTTGCGCGACCGCACTGTCGAGGAAGGGACAGGCCAGAGAAACCACCATCAACGATGATATTTTCACTATGGTCGCAGTTCTTGCAGCGAATGTGCACTGTCGTCGCCTTTGATGAGATAGTGGAGGCACCGATCACGATACCGGGGATTCGGACGAGGTGAGAAACATTGGTAGCATTGAGGTCACGGATAGAAATGTGGGTTGCGGAAGAGTGAAGAAGCAGTTGGTGAGAGGGGAGAGTGATGTCCTGTTGGCCAGGGAAGACGATTCGCTTGGTACATTCCTGGAGTGCGGCCTCGAACTACTCAAGCATTAGCTAGGGCTGCAATGAGTCGAACAGTCAGTTTTGGCGCTGCCTTGCACCTACCAGAGGAATGATATCCGCAGGCTCAGATGTAAGCTTGTGCGCCAAATCTTCGTTGTAGGAAATGAGATGGGCAATATCGATGTCGCAGTAGTAGTTCTTTCCTAGTACATTGTGCCGTAATTGATCGCTGGTGTCATGTTTGAGTCAGTCTGAGGGATGGCCAAAAAAAACAGACTTCGGAGAGAATGATGAATGTGAGCTGCGTACCGGTAAATGAATGCATTATCGAGCTGGAATTGCAACACGAAATCGCGCAAACGAGCTTGAGTGAAGGAGCGCGAGTCCTCAGCACCATTGGTGCTGGATTCGAGAACACTCAGGGTATAGGGGGTGCGTCTATCCATGGTGCTTGTGTACGGTGGTGGTGGAGAGGGACAGGAAGGGAGAACTTTTGGATTTGGGCGGGAACACCAACGCGTCGCGTCGAGGGAAATTTGGACGCGTTAAGTGGTTCTGCCTGAGTCGTAAGGCTCTCTATCGAGACCGGGGGGCGGACGGAGAAAGGGTAACTCCGGACTCCCGACAGACAGATCAGCGCCTTTCCCGATCGGGCCGACATGCACATGGCAACTGGGAAACAAAGCCACCTCGACAACTCCGCTTGGCACTTACTTCTGGCCTTGTGAAGTCGAGCTACTATTATCAAGTTATAGCTTGGACCCGAGCCCTTGACTAGAAAGTATCCGCAGCGGTACTGGCCCCGACTGGCGTTTTCCAGCGGCCTATCTGTCATGATCAGGTAACTCCGAGCTTCCCCAACGATCGACCCCCGGGTGGTTGTCGCATCCGCCTGGCGGACGTGGATATGATGGCGCCATCCAGTCCACGCAAGTCAATTGATAGCCTGGCATCGGGCGCATCGACGCCATCGCTATCGCATTATTCTACTTCCCAACTAGAGTCTCCGCGGGTTCCCCCTCAGCGGTACCCCCTGAGGAGGGGGTCCACGGCGAGCTCGATTGTGAGCATTGGAGGCATTCTGGACACTTCCCAGCACCATGGCTCCATTGCCGAGTCTGGACAAAATGGTTCGTGTATCCAGATTCAATCTCCAAACGATCCCGGTAGCTAAACAATTAACCGCTCCACAGCTATATCTACACTCCTTCAACCCCCGATCGTCCGCACAGGATTGACGCCGCATACCTCCGTTTCTTCCACTGGATATAAGCCCCCCTCTTCCCGTGATATTCCGCCAGTGACCTTGACGAACATCGCCCATGTAGATGCTAAAGTGTTCCAACCATACCTTTCGCAAGTGGGCTCCTTGTACGATGTTTTTCAACAGTCAAAAGAAGGCAACGGGGAGGACGCCCAGACGTCATCAGGCTTCAAATCTCCGAAACCGGAGGATATGGAATCCTTGATGCCATGGAGTCCGGAGCGGAGATCTTCGGTCATGTCGACCAGCTCACGACCAACCTCTCCCTACGATCCTCGCCGCCGACGTACATCAGGAGGCCGTGGCCGTGGGCCTGCTGTGACCCCCTTGTCTACAATCCCGCCAGTCTACTTCGAGGAGGATTTCCACTTGGAAAATCCGCGCACGTTCGATGTCATCTCAGAGAAGTCCGAGGTCGTTAAACCACCCCGACCGCCAAACAAGGATGATAAGCACGCCAATGGAGGAGCTACGGAACCGGTTCACACCGGCAGGAAAGCACTAGCGACCAATGCGATCCTCCAAGAAAAGCTCTCATGGTATATGGACACTGTGGAAATTCACCTCATTTCCTCGATTTCCACGGCATCCAAGTCATTTTTCACAGCTTTGGGTTCACTCCGAGAACTGCATGCTGAAGCGGCAGACTCTGTAAAGCGGATTCAGATTCTGCGCAAGGATCTACAGAAGATCGATAAGGAAATGGCCTTGGGTGGCTTGAAGATTGTGAATCTGCGGCGACGGAGAGAAAACGTGCGGATGCTAGCGGCCGCTGTGGCTCAATTACACGACGTTGTAGGGTCGGTATCACGTTGCGAGGAGCTGGTCGATCAAGGAGACATTGAAGATGCTGCTGAAGAATTGGAAGAGGTAGAAAAGCTCATGGCTGGCGAAAGGGCGTCCGATCGTCCAGTTGGGGACGAGATGGATCCCCCACGCAAGCCCATTGACCTGCGGGGACTCAAGGCTCTAGACGGAGCCTCCGAGGATCTCGCTATGTTGCGGCAGCGCATTGGCATGGGATATGAAACTCGTTTCTTGAATGACCTATTAGGTGATTTGCGATCTCATGTTGAGAATGTGTCATCTGCTGTGACATTACAGCGATGGGGTGCGTCCTTCTTGCGACAACGTGGGGGTCAGCGTCCCGTATCGACAGTTTCACCTGCTTACATGACCTTTGACAATGAGCTCCGATCCCGACTAAACACCCAGCTCACAGGACTTGCTCGAGCCTATTATACAACTGCCGCGGCCACATCGTTCAAGACCGCGGTCCTACGAGAGATGAAGGGTCTAATTCGACAACACCTCCCCAGTTCGAGTGACGATGACAATGAATCGATGATTTCAGTGTCTACCCATAGTGACCGGCAACGGAGTCAGCAGGAGAAATCTTCTATTCTGGCGCGGAATCTGCGTGCCCTTGACCCTGACGACGCTTACGGGATGCTCGTGGCAATATATGCCGGTATCAGTGAATGCTTGCGTCGACTGAGCACCCAAGTGAAGATTCTTTTGGATATTGCCAGTGGTTTGGGAAATTCTCCCGCGGCGGGTATCAAGTCCCCCACTCGAAGTCCCAACCCACAGAGTCCCGACCGGAGCATGAGGTCCCCTGATCATGGATCTTCAGCTTCGGCTATGGCTCAGGATGAGATCTTGCAGGTCCTGGACATGTCAAGCCTCCTTGGTCAAGCAGTAGACATTGCCCAGTCTCAAATTACCAAGGTTCTTAAGGTTAGGTTAGAGCAAACGTCTCAGCTCTCGAAGGAAGAATTCTTAAAGTACTTCACTCTCAATCGTCTCTTTGCTGATGAGTGTGAAGCGATCTCGGGACGTGGTGGCACTGCATTGAAGACCCTCGTTGGCAACCAGATCCGTGAATTTATCACCCGATTCGGAGAATCACAACGCCACCGCATCGTCAAGGTCATGGACTCTGATCGGTGGGACGCCCGGGACTTTGGTGAATCCGAAGTCAATGTACTCACTCGTATTCTCGATGCTAGCACCAAGGACATCGAGGCTTGGATGGATGTTTCAAAGATCTGGATTCCAAGCAGTGGAAGCGAACAGAAAAATGCATCCGAAGCAGGTGCAGGTGCCAATGGGTCGGCGAAGGAGAAAGTTCGCAGTGCAGTGGTCGATGAACAGAAGTACATTCTGCCTGATTCGGCAGTGGCAATCATGCGCAGCATCGAGGAGTTCGAGTTCCTCATGGCGAATATCCCAAGCATGATTCAGGACATTGCCCCGCAACTACTTGAGATACTGAAGCTCTTCAACTCACGTTCGTCGCAATTGATTCTCGGCGCGGGTGCCACGAGGAGTGCAGGCCTGAAGAACATTACGACTAAGCACCTTGCCCTTTCGTCGCAAGCTCTGAGCTTTGTCATCGCTTTAGTGCCGTATGTGCGAGAATTTGTACGACGTCATGGACAGACAAACCAGGTCATGGCGGAGTTTGACAAGGTCAAAAGACTGTGTCAAGAGCATCAGACTGGTATTCATGAGAAACTGGTTGATATTATGAGCTCACGATCTTCCGTCCATGTCAGCGCAATGAAAAAGATTGACTGGGACAACGATTCCTCGACCGGTGTCCATCCTTATATGGAAACGTTGGCTAAGGAGACCGGGACTTTACATCGGGTTCTAAGCAAGCATCTCCCCGACATGACTGTCGACATGATCATGATCCCCGTTTTCAACAATTACCGTGAGCAGTGGACCAAGGCCTTTGAAGAAGCAAACCTTGAAACAGAGGCCGGCAAGAAGAGGTGAGATTCATATGCATAGAGATTACTACCCTATTGAAGGGAGAACTAATAGTATATGTAGGATGCAAGCTGATATTGCACACCTCCAGTCTAAGCTGGCCAAAATTGAGGGTGCCAGTAACTTGGGTGACAAGTTGCTCGAACTCGTCAATGCAAAGCATATTGCCGAAGCTACGACCAAACTCAAGACTCCAGAGAAGACCGAGTCTGGCAGTGAGAAGCAAGACTCTGATAAGGGGGCCGAATCCTCCAGCTCTTAATGATCCTCCGTTAATAATTCCTTACAACCCCCCCTGCATTCAAGGCCGGTTATGTCTAGTCATCATATACTATAGTTCTCGTGGCCATAAACTACTCTTTAGATACTGTACATATGTGATTATGTCGTTTCTCAATTGTTTTACGATTAGACGTTCTTTTTGTCATATACCTGTCGAATCTCATTCAATTTAGGAAGTCATCAGGTCTCGGTTGGCCTTACATTTCAATTCTTCGATGGCATTTCTTTTCAAGCTATCGAAGAACAATTGACATGTCCAGTTTTACCGTATTGATGTAGAAATGGTGCTTGCATTTGAGATATGCTGAGAGATAAAAATTCGAACAGATTAGGATGCCATTACGGGTTGGAGGTGGTAAATTTGTGAAAATGATATAGCCCTTCAGTGTACTCTGTCCGTCGAAGTCTGACTACGGCCTAGTACAAGAACGTATTCTACACAAAACATACATGATTTAAACATGATTTAGGTCATTGATATTCATACACGTTATGCTCTCCAGTGTGTTACACCAATAAAACTCCACTTCCCATCGCGCACGCCACCGTAAAACAATGGGATGCGCCTCTCGAGCTCAGGATAGATCTGAAGTATCCTCTTCTCAATCGAGATAGAAATATCTATGAATTAAAGGTTCAAAGAATGGAAACCCAACTAAGGTAGCCAGCACCTTAGTTCACACCCTGGGCGCCAAGACCCTTGTGCTGGCCGAGGCTCTTGGGCTCATGGCCACCCTTTCCGCTGCTGTGGCCAGGAGCGCCGGTGCCGCTGTGTACATCACGCTGAGAGCCAGTCTCTTCGGGCATGGGGGCGACCTTGCTGACGCGGTCGATGGGGGCGTCCTGAATGAAAATGGCATTAGTATCTTCGATCATTGATATAATAGAGATGGCATTATGAAACGTACAGTTGCGCCAGTGCCGTGTGCCTTGGTAGCGCCCGCCTCAATGGCGTTGTCGCTCTGGGGAATTCCGTTGTCGTAATCGGCGCCGCGAACCATTTTGAATGATGTGTGTGGGGGGTTGAGGATGATAGAGTAAGAAGGTTGATCTATATCAATGTTCTGATTAGATGATTTTTTCTAGACTTTTGAAAGTTCTTGGATGGATTTACCTTGATAATTTGAAGAACTTTGATTTGGAAGTAATTGTCGAATTGAATGTTCCTACAGGGCCTTCTTGAATCCAACTATATATACCCTCTACTGTAGACTCTGGATGGATGACACCATGGTGAAGTCATTTCCCCACAATGACTTCACTGGCGACTTGGCGGCAAGGCAGGGATTGGTATCCAAACTTGATGAACGGTCCAGGTTCCGACACTATTATCACGGATAGGCAGGGAATTGACCTCAATCAGGGAGTTTCCAGAGAATTCCACCTCTAATTCCCATTTTTGTAAGTTGTCACGAGTTTTGGGTTGATCATGATAGAAGGTCACGTGGGTGGACAAGACTGCCCGGACGGGAAAGACTTAGGGCTAGTTTGTGAGGTAGTGAAGCAATGACTAGAACAGATTATTATGATTGGACTGAGAGTATTTAGTTAGTTATCGGAAAATGAAAAATCATGCTACTAATGTAGTCCAACATTCTTCTCATACCAGGGTGGTCATTATGTGGAAGACAAACTAACAACAGAGAAAGAACCGTCTGGATGAGCGTATCGCAAAATAAACACAGAACCCGAAGACGCTATCGACCATCATTCACTTAAATTACCCATCCTGATCCCATGGGAAATTTCCATCGGCAAAGGGTGAACCAGCCCGGAAATATAGAGACGGAATTCGAGGAGGAACACTGAATCTCTGAGTTGTGGAAGGCCCCAGACTTTGAATAGGCGGAACGACACTCATAGGAGGGGAATCATCTTTGATCGATTGCAGATTCACATGCCACGAGGGAGGGAGCCAAGTAGATGACGTGAAGGTATGGTCTTGACTAGAAGACGGGGAGGAAAAGACCAAAGGACTTCCTGGTGTCTCTGCCGGGACTGTAGTAAACCAAAGTTCGTCTATGTGCCGCAGTCTCTGAGCATTCATGCCCTGCGTAGAAATAGGTAGCTCGAGACAGTCTGTTCCAGAAGGATTGAGCTGCTTTATGGGCGCTTTGGTGATATTCTCAAGGGGGCTCCTTGGCCGACCATGGCGAAGGACACGATTAGTTCTCTTAAGGCGATTAGGCCAAGGAGCCATTGTGAACGAGTTGGAAGGAAGTAGATGGCCTCCGGAATTTGGGATGGATATGTTAGGTCGTGTAGACCAACCATCGTTCATAGCGGGAGACATTGGTGGATCAGGATTGGTCACATGGAGTTTTGGCAAAGGATTAATCTGTGGCATACTCTCATAGGACTTGTTGACTTGTGGACCGCGGTAGATATTGGGAACATATGGTGCTGACGTTCCCCGGCCTGGAACCTGGGGGAAATTGGAATCACGTAGTTTTGGCGATGGTGTTCCGTGCCTCTGGTGCCACGGAGGGAGTTGCACGAATGATGGGGGCTTATCTTTTCTACGTGCCAGACGACCTCGAAACTTAGACTTGGTCTTCTTGAGAAGTCCAGACAGACATTCTGTCAATCCTATCCCGACTTGTTGGAGGATATCGGACAAGGGGTTGGCATAGACGTGCTTATCTGGGTGCGGTCGGGTGAACACCATCAGAAGGGACCAGAGATAGGAGAATGGAGTTCGAGAGACACGTATCATGAGGCAATATCTTCTCAGTACTTATAGTTCTTTTTTTCATTTTGTTAACGGTAAGTTCATTCTAAAACGCTAGTATTATCCTTTCAGATCATAAAAGTCCTTGCGAGTTGACAGGGACTTGCCGCTTCGAATTCGTAGGTCTCGCAGAAATAGGCTGTTGGGACTATAACGGTAATTTGAGTTTCAAGAACAATGAGATTGAAAGAGGTGCAGAAGATGTTTGATCCGATAGCCCCTTTCTCCGTTGAGTCAGAGCAACGAGGCCGTACTCTTTGTTGATTATGTGTTTAGTTGGCAGCCAGGTCGTCGTTTCCGGTAGTAGAGCTGGTGGTGTTTACCTATAGTCATGACCCTCGTGTAATGGACGATAAATTTGGCTCGATGAAGCGTAGAGAGGCTTTTCACTCGTCTAGTCAAGTAAAAGGAGTGACATGTGCGGACTATTATGTACATCTGAATTGGCCGTATACGGAGGGATATATATCGCAGAAGGTCAAGATGTTCGCATGCCAATATTCACGCACGGATCTTGCCCGTGGAGTCGAGAAGGGTAATTTAAGCTAAGGTAGTGGTTGGAATGTATATAGTTCGTAACTTCTGAAATCAATGGATCTTATGTCGTGCAGACTAAAAGTATATCGTTTAGTTCACTAGTTAACTAACTTAAGATATACAGTGCTGACTACTGGTACCTGGACTGGACCGGGGTCTAGGTGGGATTACATAATACGCTGGATCCGCAGGCGGGACGGGTGGATCGTGCCAATGACATCATCGATGCCAGCTTTCCCCAGACGAGCTTTTTCGGTCACTTGGACAACTCGCACGAAGATCGGATTCAATTGGTGGCGTATCAAGCCCGAACGGCCATTGACCGGAGAAATTGACGATCGCCGGTCATCCGATTCGCCTCGTAACTCATCTGATGAACGGAGAAGCGCTCCTTTGGTTTTTAATGCAGCTATCGTTGGGGTGGTTGGGCAAGGTCGTATTCCTGGGAGGCGAAAAAAGAGGACCCGACTAGCGCGTCCGTAGGAACTGCCATTCGCAACATGGCGAGCTACTTGACCGGTAGCTGTTTTAGGTCATTGACAGCTTCAGATGTTGCATGAGCTTGGAGCTTTTAGCCAAAATGATAATAATGGAATTTTTTCGTGTCTTCTTCCAAGGGGAAGGGGGGAATCGTTAGAGCTCGAAGGCCCAAGAGCCCAAGAGCCCAGGAGCCCAGCCCCAAGAGGCACAGACCTCCCGACGTTCCGTGTTGAGTTTTTCCCCATCGCGGCCAACTGCCACAAGTCTCTGCCAGGGCAGAAAGTTGGTCGACCCGGATCTTGCTGGATATTATTTTCCTCTGCCCCTGTTCTCTAGTCGAGGGGGGGGCAATTCTTCTTTTTTTTTTTTCTTTTCTTCTCTCCTCATCGCATACCAGATCGACCTTCACCGGCCTCTCGCGTCTCTTCTTTCTCCGCTCGCCCCCCAGCCTCTCCCATGGGGTAAAAGTGTAAAACTAAAACCAGCCCAGTCCAGCTTGTCGCAAGAGATCCCGAACCCCGCACAGACCGAAGCCGGAGGCCCATCCCCCGTACACCCAAACCCGAAAAGCTACTGGCCGCTGGACCTGCTGCTAACCTGTCTGGCTGCTCTTGCTTTCCCCTCATCGCTTTCGAGCTTTTCCTCCCTCCTCCCCTTCTTCTTCTTCTTCTTCTTCTTGCGCGCTCCAACTTTTCAGACTTATACCCCCCTCTCTGAAAAACGCCTTTGACGGCTACCTCTTCCCTCGCCATGGCCGACGAAAACGGCACTGAGCCTATCAAGCGCGATGTCCGTAACCATATGCTCTTCGAGATCGCCACCGAGGTGGCCAACCGGGTCGGCGGTATCTACTCGGTGCTCAAGTCCAAAGCGCCCGTGACCACCGCCGAGTATGGCGAGCGCTACACTCTGATCGGACCTTTGAACAAGGCCTCGGCCGCCGTCGAGGTCGAGGAGCTCACTCCCTCCAGCCCGGCGATGCGCGACACCATCGCCTCCATGCAGGAGCGTGGAGTTGAGATTGTCTACGGTCGCTGGTTGATCGAGGGTGCTCCCCGCGTGCTCCTCATCAATACCGGCACGGGTTATCGCTGGCTCGACGAGTGGAAGGGCGATCTATGGAATACCTCCGGCATCCCGTCCCCCTCGGCCGATCATGAGACCAACGAGGCCATTGTCTTTGGATACATGGTCGCCTGGTTCTTGGGCGAGGTATGTCCGATGGACCATTCATCCTCGCGAAATGTTTCAATGCTAACATACCTTCTCTTTGTTATAGTACATCGCCCACGAGCGTCACCGCGCCGTGGTCGCCCACTTCCATGAATGGCTGGCCGGTGTCGCTTTGCCCTTGACCAAGAAGCGACACATGGACTTGACCACCATCTTCACCACCCACGCCACTCTCCTGGGTCGTTATCTCTGCGCCGGCTCGGTGGACTTCTACAATAACCTCCAGTTCTTTGACGTGGACGCCGAGGCCGGGAAGCGTGGTATCTACCACCGGTACTGTATCGAGCGTGCCGCCGCCCATAGCGCCGACGTCTTCACCACCGTCTCCCATATCACCGCCTTTGAGAGTGAGCACTTGCTGAAGCGCAAGCCCGACGGTGTCCTGCCCAATGGTCTCAATGTCAAAAAGTTCTCCGCCATGCACGAGTTCCAGAACCTGCACTCGCAGTCCAAGGAGAAGATCAATGACTTTGTTCGTGGCCATTTCTACGGTCACAATGACTTTGACCTGGATAACACGCTCTATCTCTTTACCGCTGGTCGGTATGAGTACCGTAATAAGGGTGTCGACATGTTCATCGAGGGACTGGCCCGTCTCAACCACCGTCTCAAGTCGAGCGGGTCGAATACCACCGTGGTGGCGTTTATCATCATGCCCGCACAGACATCCTCTCTCACGGTCGAGACTTTGAAGGGGCAGGCCGTCGTCAAATCTCTGCGGGATACGATTGAGAACATCGAAAAGGGAATCGGAAAGCGCATGTACGAGCGCTGTCTCGAGTGGAAGGAAGGCGAAAACATGCCGGATGAAAAGGACCTCATCACTAGCCAAGACCGGGTCCTTCTGCGCCGTCGTCTCTTCGCGATGAAGCGACACGGTCTCCCGCCCATTGTCACCCACAACATGGTCAACGACCACGAGGACCCAATCCTGAACCAACTGCGCCGCGTGGAGCTCTTCAACAACTCGTCCGATCGCGTGAAAATCGTCTTCCATCCCGAGTTCCTCAACTCGTCCAACCCCGTGCTGCCCCTGGACTATGACGATTTCGTTCGCGGCACTCACTTGGGAGTGTTCCCGTCCTACTACGAGCCCTGGGGCTACACCCCGGCCGAGTGCACGGTCATGGGCGTGCCCAGTATCACCACCAATTTGTCCGGATTCGGTTGCTATATGGAGGAGCTCATTGAGAATTCTTCCGACTACGGCATTTATATTGTGGATCGTCGTGCCAAGGGCGTGGATGACTCGGTGAACCAGTTGACTGATTTCATGTTTAACTTTACCCTGAAGAGTCGGCGTCAGCGGATTAACCAGCGTAATCGTACTGAGCGGTTGAGTGATCTATTGGACTGGAAGCGGATGGGCTTGGAATATGTCAAGGCTCGTCAGCTTGCTCTGCGGAGAGGTACGTAAGATTTCTCATGGTTTTGGATCATTGTTACTAACCTTGGCTTCTAGCTTATCCTTCTTCTTTCGAAGGTGCGGAGGACTACTTCGACATCATCGGTGGCACTGACCAGAAGGTCTCTCGCCCGTTGTCCGTTCCCGGCTCCCCGCGGGATCGCTCCGGTATGATGACCCCGGGTGACTTTGCGTCGCTGCAGGAAGGCCGTGAGGGCCTCAGCACGGAAGATTACATTGCGTGGAAGCTCCCGTAAGTCAACAAACCCCACCCCGCAGATTGTGGACCAGAGAGTGCAAGAACTAATTCTACCGTTTGCATAGTGAGGAGGAAGAACCCGATGACCACTTCTATCCGCTCACGCTCCGCACGCGCAAGACCAACGACGTTCCCCAGTCCCCGTTGGACAGCATCTCCATTAATGGAGGCGGTGCTCCCTTGGGCAGTCCGAAGCAAGCCTAAACACCGAGCGCACGCTATAGCTGGTGTCTAGTTTTGCTCTGACGACACGGATCTGGGTTGAATTCTCTTGATAGGCTCACGATTGGGGCCTTGTCCTTTTAGTTTCTTCATGTTCTTCATCTTCTCCATGTTCTTGATGCTCTTCGTGTTCTGATCTTTCTTCTGCATTTGGTGTCATGCTTCGTTTCCTTGTTACCGGAGTGGATACTCCCACGTCTCTCGATCTCTCCAACCCCTCCTACTGTAGCCTGACGTCAGTCACCCTTGTAATTTTGTCACTCTTGTCTTCTCCCGCTGCATCGTTGCATTTGAAGCCTTGTTTCTTTTTTAACCGAATTTGAACTCACCACCTGAATGCATTGACTACGAGTATATTCTCTGTTTCTTCCACCAACACGTAGCTTTGACTCATAGCTCTATGTAACTAGTGACTGGCGCTCTTGGCTCATGCTCACACGGTTGGGATCGGAAGCACCAAGGTGGACTCGAGTGGGATAAACTTTCGCACGAAACCCAATCAGAGGTGTAGATCATTTTCGTGTCCGGTGAACCTTTTGCGTGGCCTGGTCATCGTGAGCAAAACAGCTTGTTCAGCCATTGGAGAGAGTGGAAACAAAGGGTCCAGGATTGCACCGACACGGGGCTCCCCACTCCGATGAAGGAGGGTCCTTCAGAAAATGGCACGCAGTATTTACTATTTAGGTTCTCCCCGTCCATGAAAACGGTTTCTTCTTCTTCTTCTTCCCCTTCTCATCTTATTTTCTCTTTCCAATTCAACTCACGGTTTCGACCTCCCAACTCGCCTTCTTCGTCTACCATCGGTACGACTCCCATGGAGTCGCGCACGTCCTAACGTTCGCCGTGGCGTCTTTCGTCCCCGCTGTGGCTGCAGCGGGGAGGAAAGAAAGACCCCGAGCCGAATCTGATGGGACATGGTCCTGGCTAGGCATTGTTCATTATGGGTCGAGGTATTGTACTTGGTATAACGGTCACTGCACACGCATGACAGGTGTTCGACCCAGTCTGTCTCTTTTGATTTTGTATTGTGATGCCACATACTATGGGCATGATGATAGAAATGAAAAAGGGGATGGGCTGGGTCGTTCTGAGATTATACTGTCAAAACTTGATCTAGATAATACTAGCGAAAGGACATGCGTGACTTTTGATTGTTTCCCCCATTTGCTTTGGTATTCTCTGGACATTGCCATCTTGAGTCGGCGGATTTTTATCAATTCAATTGATGGTCTGTTGATTGAAGTATGCAATGGAAGCAGAATACCCTGGTCATTGGCATACTGACTCTTGTTCCTGTCCCCAAAGTACTCGATAGCTGAACTTGCACCTCGCCCAAAATGGCTACGGACAAGATTACTTTCCTGACCAACTGGTATGGCTGACACGTATAGTTTCATCTTGTTACTATTTGCATCCTTTGCATCTGCATTTACGAATCAAGGCTAAGTCTTCTCAAGGCACGCCACCCCGTACCACGCTCCTCTGTACCTCGCCCAGGCCCGCGGCTACTTCAAGGATGAGGGTCTCAAGGTCGCTCTCCTGGAGCCCAATGACCCCTCCGACGTGACCGAGATCATCGGCAGCGGCAAGGTCGACATGGGCTTCAAGGCTATGATTCACACATTGGCCGTACGTATCCCCCCCCTTAGAATGGATAGGACCTACTCGACAAAGGCCCTGGCTAACCTCCAACCAGGCCAAAGCCCGCAACTTCCCTGTGACATCCATCGGCTCCCTCCTCGACGAGCCCTTCACCGGCGTGGTCTACCTCAAGTCCTCCGGCATTACCACGGACTTCCGCTCCCTGAAGGGCAAGCGTATCGGCTACGTCGGCGAATTCGGCAAAATCCAAATCGACGAGTTGACCAAGTACTACGGCATGACGGCCGACGACTACACCGCGGTCCGCTGCGGCATGAACGTGACCAAGGCGATCATCAACGGCTCCATCGATGCGGGGATCGGTCTCGAGAACGTGCAGATGGTCGAATTGGAGGAGTGGCTCGCCGACCAGGGCCGCCCGCGCGACGACGTCCAGATGCTCCGTATCGATCAACTCGCCGAGCTAGGCTGCTGCTGCTTCTGCTCGATCTTGTACATCGCCAATGATTCCTTCCTCGCCGCGAACAAGGAGAAGGTCGGCAAGTTCATGCGTGCCGTTAAGCGTGCTACCGATGCGGTTATCGCTGATCCGGCTGGTACCTATGAGGAATACGTTGATATGAAGCCTATCATGGCTACGCCTGTCAACCGGAAGATCTTTGAGCGCTCGTATGCGTATTTCAGCCGTGACTTGAAGAATGTCTCCCGTGATTGGGAGAAGGTTACTCGTTACGGGAAGCGTCTGGGTATCCTCGAGGAGGACTTTGAGTCGAACTACACCAATGAGTTCCTCTCGTGGGGACTCGATGCCGACTCGACTGATCCTACTGGGGACCAGAAGCGTATGGCCGAGCTGCAAAAGGAGGTTGCTGCCAAGGGTGGCTTCAAGCGTCTAGAGGTTTCGGCTTCTGCTTAAGCTAAGCTGGCAGGAGCTGACTGAAACTGGTCCCCTGGGTACTGGTTCCCTCTTACTTGGCTCTCGGCCCTAGGCCCTAGCCTCTGTTGCTATCTTTGAGATATTTTGCTGGTCATCCGGGTTTCACTCTTTGACCTGGTGATACTATTATCAAATGGAATATGGGCTTTTCGCTCGATTTGTGGAATGTATAGTTGTAAATCTCGAGGGGTAAAAAGTAACCGCTAAAGGCATCCAAACGCCTCGTAGTAATCATACAATTGAGGACGCGGCCGAATCGACCGATCCCGTCCCTTATTCTTCCCGTTGCTTCAGTAAAGAGTCACTCGCATGATCCCCAGACTCGATATCACCGAACCCGTCTAGTTCTTCCAATTCTTCCCCTGTAGACACCCTCTGCCAAGCTTGTTCGTCTTTGTCACGGGTAAACAGGCCCTTCAAAGAGAGACCGTATGCAATCTTGCACACGAGCCACACGCAAAACCCGAGTATGCACACGGTGATCAATCCAATTCCAATGGCCCAGGGGGATATTGCGTCTGGTGCTGCTCCCGTCTTCCCATCATCATGCGGTTCCTGGCCACTATATACGGCGACCTGAGTGTTCATCTCTTCTGGCTCCCAGTCCAAGGCCTTCGTGGCACCCAGCGAGATACCCTTTTTGTCAAGGGCGATGATCCGCAATTTGCCATACACCGTATCGGCCGGCAAGGGGATGATGGTCTCGAATCCACTTTTCGGAATAGCAGTAATGAATTCGAATTCGAGGTCATGTTCCTCGTCATTCTGTCGAATAGCCACCGCGCTGTCATTCCCATTCACCCTCACCCCGGGTGAAGCACCCTGTAAAACCCACGTCACAACTTCAGTAGCTCCATTCCAGCTGACGGCCGCTTGCGTCCCGGATAGCGCGACAGAGGGACTGGTCAACGGTAGACCGACCCATTCCTGCTTGAAAACACGATACGAAACAATCTGGCCACCATGGAATTCAATCCGTGGACCGAAATGGACTTCGCAGAGCGGTTCTCCGTCCGCGGTGAATTGCGTCCATGCAGCGCTGTACCCGTATCCCAAGACGACGTCCCCATTATCGAGGACTTGCATCGATCCCTGGGATTGACTGCTGATCGGTGTTGGATTCCAGTACTCTTGTACCACGGCAGCCGTCATGGTTTCCTCGTTGATTTCAATGGTCAACCCACGACTCGTGTGTTCGGGCGCGCCTTCGCCGCGAGAAGCATTGTCAAAGAGGGATATCATTCGGGTTGCGTTCGTGTCGGTTCGCACTTGGAATCTGGCATGGTGTTGCCAGCTGATATTCGTTGCTGCACCGTGACTCAGATCCGTGAAGGAATTCTGCTTCCCACCTAGTTTCCAAATGAAATCGCCCGTTCGGCCGTCGATGTAGGCTAGTGAATTCGTGTACCGTGCTGAGATAAGATAATTCCCCCGCCAGTCCTTGTCGATACTATTGATATGGAAGAAGTCCCATGGATTGTCTTCGGTCTCGCCGTCGGTTTCGCGATCGCGCTCGGCTTCTTGGAGTGACAAGTGCTCCGATGCTCGCCATTGGAAGAGTAGTTCGTTGGTTTCCACATCGACTTCTTGGAATAAGCCGTCATAGATCCAGCCCTTTTCCGGTCCATTGACTTCGCGGAGGTCTGTCTGGAGTATTTCGTAAACGGCGAAAAGCGCAGTATCATCGCGCGTAATTTGGAATTCGTGGAAATCTCCAGACAAGCCGTTTGCACCTTGGATTTTGTATACCTCTTCATAGTGAGAGTTGAGCTGCGCATTGTTAGACTTTTGATTTTTCTTTGACCTTTGTCTTCGACGGTCAATCGCAGAATGCGCGAAAAAAGCGAAAACCTCTGGAGAGTATGCATATCCAACGCACCATATAATACGAGCCTGCTCCATGCCCTCGAATGGAATCATCACCCGCCCAAAAAGTCAGATACCGCTCTCCCTTGTACTGATGCGCATTCGCATTATACGTGGTCTGGTACTTTTTAAACCACACCAAATGTCCCTGCTGATCCACGATCATCGGGCCCGATTGCCGCACCGAATCACCCCGCGGCGCCAGGATGGTATACAATCCATCCTCACAGGCTACACTGCGGTGCCAATAGTTTAAAATCGGGCCTGATACATCCGCGGAGCGATAACGTTGTAGTGGGTATGGACCTTCGAAGCCCTTGGCATATTTTTCGGAGCGGAATCGGGGTTCTTGATCGGGGGATGCAATCGCCGAGGTGCATAGCAGGAACAGCGGGTAGATGAGAATGTAAAGTAGCGGCAGAGTAGCCATTATGCGACGGCGCAGGAAAAGCGCATAGTCAAGACATGATCGCGAAAGAAAGAAAATGACGATAGAACAGAGCTCGACACAGTGGGGTTCAGCTGGTTCTTAGCCTCCGGCAGCTTCGGGGTAGCGTAATTCGGTTTATCGAAATTGAAAATCTGTCTACGCGGCCAGAGGCAATGGTCTGGGCTTTGCGTTTGCCCGTTCCAATTAGACATCGGTTTCTCGCCTGCTGATTTGACCGGTTGAGTGGCTAGTCGATCTCGGGTGCGCCACAAAAGGGGTAATGTGGAGCCTGCCACGACGACTTTGGAATCGGCACTTGAGATAAAGATAGAATTGAGAGGGGACAGTTGGTATTCATCGAACCTGAATGGTCATACAACGTCAATATTTACTCTCGATGGCAACAAACATAATGGGGTCATGTCACGGGCCTGCTTCAAATCTATCCAGGATGTGCTTAAGCCATTCATCTTGGCTGTGTTTTTCCAGCATGTCTTATCTTCCACGTTCTCCATTCAGTGTCCTTGTCGACGCCAAATGCAGCCCAGACGCCCCGGACTAATAGCAGTGTCTCTTCCCAAGGGAGACCAACGTCAAGACCAAGGAAAAATCTTCGTAGTCTTTCGTTTGTGCTCATGAGATCAGCCAAACCAGCAGCCCCCTTAGCTTTCAGGACACGAGCTAATGCGAAATCATGAACAGTCAAGGACGACATGCCATTATAAATGCCGGCCATTTCTGCTGTTACCAAAGACGGCTCAAATGCTTCATCAGCTGGGACGACTCGAGCCATTTGCTAATCTACGATTCCAATAATATTCAACTCGTCGTCAACCATCAAGTGATCCGCCTTATCGTCCACGTGCTTGAGGTAGAATTGCTCTGTAGCTTGCACTGGATTGTGTTTCGGCTTCGCTGCCAGGTTGTGGAGCTGAGATTTCAAGTATGCAAATACTAAATAGGCATTTGCAGGAAAAACGGCGAAAATTTGGCCGTCGGAGATCCGGGCCATGTTTTGCTTCACGAATGAAGTGTAATAGTCCATGGATGTGTTAAACGGCCCCGAAGGACTCAGAACAAGAAATCGCTCACTCGCAATAGCAGAGACTATTGGCTCAGAAGGCGAATGGCCCGGGAGGAGAGACCCAGCCGCGGGAAATAGATGACGGTTGAGCTCAATCAGAATATCTGCTAAACCGTTCCAAATTCTTTCTTTATCTTTTTCATCTGCAAAGCGCTTCCCACGTGGGCCTTGTTGGTTCCAAGTTTTGCCAGGCATTTCTTCCATGAGTATATAACTCACGCCTACTTGGTTTTGGTTGTCGCCAACGATTCCATAATCGAAGGCCCGAGGAGCAGGTACTTTGGTTGTTTCGAGACATTTGAGGAGAGTTGCGTACTCGCTACGAATTAGGTAGTTGACGAGTGCTTCCGGGATACTGCTATTCATTCGAGGCACTCGAATAAGCCAAACAGAACTGTTATCGGTGAAGCGAATCCGAGCATGATAGTTAGCACAGCCCATGAGGGATCCGCGCCCCCAGGCTGGTGGGTGCTCAATCTTGCATGGGACACCGCCATTTAGTTCCGATGCACGCTCGCAAACAGCCTTGTCATTGATTTCTGCGCGAAGAGTCTCTACTTCAGCATGCACCCTGGCTTCGAATAAATCATCTGGCAGCGGCTAGGCTTTATCAGACCCAATCCAAGCATCTGATTATTGATGGGACATACTGTGTCATCGCACGTATGGAATGGCGGGCAGTGATGGTTGAGGCAGAAATGACTGCATCGCCCACAGGGACCAAGCCCCCGGATACTTGGTAGCACACAGCCCGCAAATTCACAAGTAAAAAATCTATCATACATCGAGGCCATACGGAGTGGTGTGGGTGAATCGTACAGTGCGGGGGACTAGCTTTAAATGAAGGGTAACATTAACGACACGACAGACAAGTTCATGGCACGACGAGGCTAGTCCTAATGAGGATCCCCCTTTCAACACATTCGAAGTTCCCAAAATACCTGCCGAGTCCTGATGTATAATTCACATTGAGACTTCTCGTTGATATCTTTAGCGACTCCGTACGCGACCTCTATCTATTTGTTCCTATAATACACTAGGTTGTTATTCTACTGCCCCTCCTACTATCACCTTTTCTTATGGTCTTTTCTATGGTCTTTTCTATGGTCTTTTCTATGGTCTTTCCTATGGTCTTTTCTAAGATATAGGCTTATATATACATAAGGACTCTACGAGTATTTTGTGAATCCCGAATGTAGCATTCTGTATTGAAGCGAGGGCGGTCCTCATTAGGACTAACCTTGTCATGCCATGTACCTTTCTGTTGTGTCGTTAATGTCATCCTAAATAATTGAGTGAGTGGGTTATGGGCTGCTAGAACTTGAACAGCTGTCATCGCCCATGACCAGTTGGTGCACACAATGCGGGATTTGATCTAAATGTCTAGAAGTTGTGTATAGGGAAAAAGGAGGGTATGGACATGGACTCTGTGCGAATACCTTTGCATAATATCCATGCCGTCGATCAATCTTCACAAATTCCCGTGGCGATATCCGTAGCTTCCTTAGGGAAAAAAGGCTGGGTTTATAACGTAAGGTAAATAGTCAAAGATCACAAACAAAAATAATCAAAATCCGGAGTAGTAGAGGGGAAATACGAGAATGGCGTATCTCTAGCTAAGTGAATGATTCGGTGTAAGATCGTTGAAAATCAATCTGATGTAATAAGAAAGCGGTACACATGAAGCTTCTTCCCCGAGGATGACTTTAGTTCAAGGGAGAAATGGTCTATGTCTTCAGGCAAACACAATCAGCAAGGGGAGTTCCGTACACATGGTTGACATGTATAAAGCAGGTCATGTCGGGTCAAGTGTGATCCTCGGTCCATTCAGACAAATATAGCGGAAATCTCGTCTTTGTATAATGCGAGAGTCTGCATTCTCACCACGCCTCCTTTGACATTTCGAACAAAGGGTTTCTCGTGCTGCGCCAGAATCAAACGATCCAGGGAAAGCTTCACGCAATCATGACACCGAACATTAGCATTGTCAATGAATGGCTGTAGCGAAGCAGTAAATCTACTCTTCTCATTGTCTGCCACGGCATTGGGAACTAACTCCACAAGCAGGACTGGTGCAGGTCTACCATTCTCGCCAATGAGAGCAGCTTTCACGGCAGGATGGTTCTCAATCTCGGCTTCAATCAACGAGGCATGCATCCCATCCCCGTGGGAGAAGTTAACATAGTCATCTCCGCGACCAATAAACTTCCACAGACCCTTATGGACAGGGTGCTCAACCAGCATGTCATTGGTTTCGAAGCGCTCGAGGTCCGGTTTTACTTGGAAAACCAGAGGGACTAGACAGCCCGGCCGGCGCACAAAGACCAACTCGTGCAGCTTGTCAAAGCGGGGTACAAGCTCAGCACTTGCGTGTGCCTGGAAACTGATGTAGTCCCATGCATCCTTCTTGTCATGGAGCTTGGTCAAAAACAGCCCACCTTCTGTGCTGCCAGCCATAGGAGCAATGTGAACATGTGACACTAACTTCTCGCCAGCTTTCGTGTTCAAAGGTGCGCCAGTGTAGAGGAGGCATTTGAGGCTCCGTAGAGATTGAAGGCCAGTGTCTGTCAGACAGAGCTCCTCGATGAGACTAGGTATCATAAGGGCGCCGTCTACTCGTCCGTACTGTAAAATGTCCACAACGAGATTTGCCGACGGTTGTACCGCAGGTCCGATTACAATGGTTGACTCTAGGAACGAAGTCATTGCAAGTACCATCACGGTTCCCACTAGCTAGAACAGAATCAGTAGGTAATATCAAAATGTCAAAGAAGCATTTCTTACATGCAGGGAAGGGAGTGGCGTATACCATCTGTCCTGGGCGAATTTGTGTAACACAGAAAGCTCCAGGTCTGGCAAGGATGTCATTATATCTGGCACAGCCATCATTCCGTGCGACCACGTCAGAGGTTTTGGATTACCTTTTGGCAATCAGCATATAGAAACCGTTTATGTATAGTTCGAGGACAAACCAGTTGTGCCTGATGTGTGAAACACAAGCCAGGGGTCATCTTTGCCCTCTTCCCATGACTTCGGATAGGTAAAGACGGGGGCCTCTTCTTCCTTCATGATTTCCTCGATCTCAGGAACCGTAATGACCTGAAAACCATGTGTCTCTTTGAGTATCTCTGCGACTTTATCTGCCATAGAAGCCGGTCGCAAGTAGATTTTGCAGTTCTTGACACTAAGGATGCGATTCTGAGCCTCGGGAGTGATGAGTGGAGAGGGCATTACCATCTGATCAATGGTAGGAATTAGCGAACAGCCATTCATTATTCTTCGTGTGTTCACCTACCACTTTCTGCAGCTTTGCTGCGGCAACTGCAAGTATGGAGTATCGCAAATCCTTGGGACCTGCATATGCAAAGCACTGGAATGTCTCGAGTGTTTGGGGCAGATTCTCTCTCAGCCAGTTTGCAGCATGATTTGCGTAGTTATTTAACTGCCAGAAACTAACATCCTTGTATCCTTGCGAAAGATCCTGCTCATTGACCGGCAGAGAAACCCAAGGCTTGCTAGAAACATTGCGAGCTCGGGATTCAATAACCGAGACAAGAATGCGCTTTCCGTGCTCCACGCCTGCCAAAGGTAAAGTTGAATCTGTCATTTTCAAAGAATTAATCCTCGGATGGGAAATGTGAAGTTGAGAGAACATAGGGTGCCTCGCAGGCTCTTAAAGTATTTTCGCTAGGGCTGTATGGTTCGTTGCCGTATTCTCTTTCCAGAAATGGGATATGGATGGAAGTAAGCCCGGTGAGATTGTACTTGCTGCGGATCGGAATCACCGGAGCATCCTATAGTCGAAAGCGGTCGCTTACGGTTAAGCATAGGGGCTGAGAGGGGCTTAGAGGGGCTTAGAGGGGCCGAGAAGTATAGTCAGTGCAACATGGGCTATCTCATGATATAAGTGAGCTATACATTTGGACCATTATCGAAAAAGAACGGCCACGTCTTGACCTTCGCTAATCCTCAGCAGGATCATTTCATGACTCGATAACCACCTCGCTGCCTTTACTGTAGTGAAAGGACCAGATTATTCAATGTACTTCCTTGGAATGAGAATGGCAATGGTGATCGTCCATACTATTCTCGTTGCAGATGCGGGGAATTGTCCAGTTTTGGAGACATGCATGGCGTACTGGCGGGAAACCCCCACGTGCGACTGGGACGATGGAATACGATCCAGCAGGCGTGTCATATCGGGTTTGGAAGGTGGAAGATTGCGAATCCCGCGATCAATTTTATATCGTAGACCAAAACGCTTGACTTGAACATTGCATCGCAATTAAACTGGCAGCATCTCGACTACTCATATTATCGTTCATGAACACAAGGCGTTGAGCTTACTGTGATCCAAGTCGACGGATGATTCGTGTTTCAGGATTTACAGGTACATCGTGGGCAATGATGGTGCTCTGAGCTAAACACATGGGAAACAAGCATCGAGAATCTATTATGTTCAATTATTCGAAATTGCTGGGAACGCCCTGCATCTCATATAGTCAAGAATCCAAAACAATCGCTAAATTGCTTTTGGTATCGCAAACGCCCGAAAGGTATCTAGTTCATCTATTTGGTACGCTTGTAGATCTTGGCCAGGAATGACTCAAAGACCTCCTTCTTCAGGCCAGTGGTCTCGTCCACGGCGGCAATCTTGGCGCGCAGCTCACCAACAACCTTCTCCTCGTACTCTTTGTACACCTTCTCCAACTCGAGCTCGTCGAAGATCTTCTTGACCTTGGCCTCTTGCACCTTGTCCTTGCGGCCGTAGGCGGAGTCCAGCACCGCACGCTGCTCAGGGGTGGCCCGAGCAATGGCCTGGTTGACCAACCAGGAGCACTTGTTGTCCTGAATGTCGGTGCCGATCTTGCCAATGACAGAGGGGTCACCGAAGTTGTCCAGGTAGTCGTCCTGAATCTGGAAGTACTGACCCAGAGGGATCAGGATGTCGTGGGCCTGCTTCAGGGTCTCAGGGGTAGCGACCTGCAGGTAGAGCAGGGCCAGAGCAACGGGCAGGTAGAAGCTGTAGTAGGCAGTCTTGTAGGTGACAATGAACATGTACTTCTCCATGGAGAAGTTGTCGAGGTTGACATTGTCCTCGGGGGCGGTGATCAGATCGCAAAGCTGACCGAGCTCGGTCTGCCAGGTGGTCTCGTGGAAGAGCTCGACGAGGTCGATATAGGAGGGGTGGGACTTGAAGCGCTGCTTCAGGATGAGGTAGATGGCGGACTCCAACATGAAGGCGTCGTTGATGGCGATGAGGCCAACACCCTCGTGGCGGTACCAGCACGGCTGGCCACGGCGGGTGATGGAGCTGTCCATAATATCATCGCTGACCAGGAAGAAAGCCTGGAGCAGCTCGGTGAGCCAGCCCAGAATGCTCAGGTGCTCGAATTGCTCATCGGTCAGGGGCTTCTGGAGGAGGGCGAGACCGGTGTCGGGGACGGAGAGGCCACGGTTAAGCTTGCCACCGGGAGTGTTGACAAACAGCGACTATTGGATTCATTAGTTTTGATTGTCTCTTCCTATTGAGCGATATCTCTCCAAGGGCATTTGAATGTAGGACGGGGTAATGTCTCACCTTCTCGAACCACTCGAGGGCGTTGGCGGGGAGGTTGTACCGCTTCGCATGCTCAAGGATATCCTTGGCCAGGCCGGGGAAGACCGCCTCAAAGTCGGCACGCTTGGTAGTAGAAGCCATGATGAGAATTGGGCAATAAAGGAGTCGGCGAGAAGTGCAATCTTGGGCGAGCAAACAATCCACAATGGGCTTGCCCCCCCGCGGAGAGGGGCCTGTTTGCTATGTTTGGCAAGTTTGCGCTGTTTGGTACTCTCAGGTGCAGCTGCTGCGCGCAACGAGAGCAGTTCGGCTTGTTGTTGGATCAGTGATATTTCGCGACGATATTAACGTGATATTTTATGAAGGAATCGATCCCCTGCCCATTGAATTTCTCCACGAGCTCACTTGCCGCCGTCTTGCGCTGAAGCTCGCCTTCCGACCGCGTAAACGACGCGCCAAGCTGCCGATACTTATTTGTTGCGCCAGGTCTGGAATTGAACCACCATTGCGATTGCCCCACGACTGGCTCGAGATTGAAGAGGAGACGAGATTGTTGAGCTGATGCCCTCTGTGAAGCAACCTTTGAAGACTTGCTCTCCGGTTGCTCATGAACCAGTGACTGCGGAATAACATTGCTTATTTGCGCCTTCCAGGCCCAGTGAAGAGCCACCATGGAGTTCACCGAGGATGATTTACAAGAGCTGAAGTACCGCTTCGAAGATGCTACAATTAAGTGCTCGGAACGATGCTTATATCAATCAGCAAAATGGTAAATCTCGCTCTGAAATCAATTCCTTGATCTCAAAGGTTAATTTGATTCCCAACAGGGCAGCAGAAATGCTCGATTCGATCGTACCAATCGATCAGACAGACACCGATCATGAGTCTTCGATGGACATCACCGAGCCGATCATTCCACCGATCAGTCCATATTCGCGTACGCAAGACCCGACAGAAGCTGCGCTGGAGGCCCAGGAAGCACACAAATACCTCCTTGCCAAATCCTACTTCGATACTCGAGAGTACGATCGCTGCGCTGCCGTATTTTTGCCTCCAAAGACACCTCCAGTTCCTCTATCCGTGACCTCGCCCAATACGAAACCCAAACAAACGCGAAGCACCCCTCTCAAGGGCAAAGACAAAGCCTCGCCTTTCCAAACCTCCAGGACCGTCGGCCAAACGCCGAGGAACCCATACCCTAAGCTCAGTCAAAAGTCTCTCTTTCTTGCTTTATATGCAAGATATCTCGCGGGAGAGAAGCGGAAAGACGAAGAAACGGAGATGGTATTGGGCCCAGCAGATGTTGGCACGGCTGTCAATCGCGAATTGCCAGACCTCGCTCGAGGGTTGGAAGGCTGGCTAGGAGAGCGAAGCGCAAATGGGTTGGACGAGCAGGGACAAGGTTGGCTAGAATATCTCTACGCCGTAATTCTGCTGAAGGGACGAAATGAGGAGCTGGCCAAGACTTGGCTCATCCGCAGTGTACACCAAAACCCATTTCATTGGGGTGCATGGCAGGAGCTAAATGACTTGCTAGGAAGCATTGAAGATGTGAGGTTCAAGGCCATCGACCTAGAGTCCTACCCTGTGGCACGAATACTAACATGGCTGGCAGTTGAAACAAATCAAGGACCTTCTACCCGAAAACATCATGACGCTCATATTCTATGTCTACTGCAGTCAAGAGCTTTACCAGGCTACAGATGACACGTACTCAACATTAGCTGATTTGCAAGCCATCTTTCCTACTAGCGCGTTTCTGCAGACCCAGCATGCCCTGCTTTTCTACCACAATAAAGGTGAGTCCGCACAAAGATCTCTCATTCCAGCATGATGCTAACAACCCGCAGACTTCGAGCGAGCGTCAAAGATCTTCAACGAGATTCTGGCCACATCGCCGCATCGCCTCGACAGCCTCGATCACTATTCCAATATCTTGTATGTCATGAACGAGCGTCCTCGACTCGCCTTTGTGGCTCAAATCGCCACTGCCACTGACAAATTCCGACCCGAAACCTGCTGTGTTGTTGGCAACTACTACTCCTTGAAATCAGAGCATGAAAAAGCCGTCATGTATTTCCGCCGTGCCTTGACACTTGACCGGAATTTCCTGTCTGCATGGACTCTCATGGGTCACGAATACATCGAAATGAAGAACACACACACGGCCATTGAGTCATATCGTCGGGCAGTTGATGTCAACCGCAAAGATTATCGTGCTTGGTATGGTCTCGGACAGGCTTACGAGGTCCTGGATATGTCCTTTTACGCACTATTCTACTACCAACGTGCGGCAGCCCTCCGTCCTTATGATCCGAAGATGTGGCAAGCTGTCGGATCATGCTATGCGAAGATGGGCCGCGTCGAGCAAAGTATCCAAGCCTTGAAACGTGCGTTGGTAGCTGGCTCTTATTACGCAGACGACAACCCTGGCGCTGGTGCACGGAAGGTGCTCGACCCTGAAACACTGCACCAGATTGCAACCCTTTACGAGCGTCTTGGCGATGAAGAAGAGGCAGCATCATATATGGAGCTCACTCTGCAACAAGAATCTGGTGGGGCACCTGTGGGCGAGCAAAATGGGTCTGACGAGGAAGAAGAGTCGTCTGCCTCGGAGCATGCTGGTCATAGTGATGGCGAGGGCGAGAATTCTGGTGACGATGAAGACGGTCGACACACGCGTTCTCGCCGTCATCGCCGCAAGCCCCGTCCCAGAACCTCATCGTTTGGCGTGCAGGATGACTCTACGACTGGGGAGACGTGGCACCACCCGACGGTCACGACGTCCAAGGCACGTCTCTGGCTTGCGCAGCATGCATTGCGCAACGGAGATCTTGACAGGGCAGATCTATTAGCCAGCGAGCTGTGTCAAGACGGAATGGAAGTTGAAGAGGCAAAAGCTTTGATGAGAGATGTTCGTGCAAGACGGGAGGATGTAGGCTAGGTCTTTGGCTCACGCATTGCCCTGCTATCTGGGTTTATTTGCTTTCTCAATTACACAGTAGCGCGGCGTTGGTTCCATGGTTGATAGTATTTATCAACGCTGCATTATGATGAGAGCAATATCTGCTGCTATTGCATTGATGAATTACTTGATAATTAAGCTATTGTACATCACCGGGTCGTGGGATCGGCCAGTTCGTCCAGAGAAGTGTACTCGCCCAATGCGAGAATTTCATCTTCATCAAAGCTAACAAAAAGCGAGAGTTCATCACTGACGTCTTGGCCATTGCCACCTTGCTGTGCAGGTCGGGGCTCTGGTCCAGCGTTTCCGTGATCACGGCTCTTGTTGTTTTTCCAATGGAGACAAGCGTAGTAGTACTTCATACCAAGAGCCCTCCAGGTCTGACGCAGGCAGGACTCAAAACCTTCGGGCTTGATATTCTCTCTCAAGATGACAGCATCCAAGAAGTAAATTCGCCCGTTGGCAGGTAGAGTTGACTTGCGATCCTGGAGAGATCGAGACAGTCCTTTTGCAATCTTGTGAATCAGTTGTCCGAGAGGTAATTCGCCGGGGTTAACAAGAGCTATGCCAAAAACAGCACCCTGGCTAGCGGCTCGAGGGTTCGAGCATTTGAAGAGTGATTTTGTCTTATCGCAGCCTAAAGCTTGCAAGAATAGGGAGAGGGAGGAGGAATCTTGCGGCTCCGAAGATATATCACCCTCCAATGGACTTCCAGACATGTAAACGGGGATTGTTGTGAGTGGGGATATCGGGTCACTGATTTGTTGATGGAGCCTTTCCACACTAGAGGGACTTTTCGTTTGGAGAAGATTGACTGATTTATCGTTTGATTGCGTATCATCTCGGTGCACAGCTTGGGGACCGGAGAAGCTTGCAGGAGACGTATTCCCCTGTGGAATCTGGATAGATTCTTTTGAAATGTGGCCATTGTTTTGATCGTTGATACTGGGATCTTTATGCCTGAACCTCCTGCGATTGGACGAGTTTTGAGTCTCCGCCAGAACCTGGCTGTCGTAGGGCATATCACAGGTCCTTGGAGACAATCGTGATTCGTCGACAAAGACCGCAGGAGTGACCTCAATGCCACCAAGAATCTGTTGAGGATTCGCATTTGACAATGAATTTTCCGCTGGCTTTTCCATGGCCATTGACTGCAGACCCTCTTTGTGATCGCCCATCGAAGTATCAGAGCCACCAGGGGAATCGGAACCGGTGCTTGAATGACTCTCTGTCGATAGGCTTCGCGATCTCTGAACGATGTACCCTTTCGGCCCATTTCCAACCTTCAACCGCTTGCGCCACTGCTCTTCTTCCTGCGAGAGCTCGCCAATAGGCACGGACCGAGCGTCTTCCGCTAGAAGCTGTAGTTCCCTAAAAGATGCAGCATCCTCAGGGCTCCGCTCGGTGTGAATCTTCAGAATGCGTGGAAATCGAAGAGTGTAATATCGGGCACCTGACGGCTTCTCGAATCCACTACCCATCATTTCCACAACAAAAGGCTTTTTGAAAATGACAGTCGCTGTTGGTAGGCCCGCTTGTCCATATTCAACTTCGAATCCCTCGAATCCTTCCGGTTCGCTTGAATGGAATTCACCAAGCTGATTAAGAAGTTCCAAAAGCTTCCAGTGCATGCAGTGTCGATTAACCACATCAACTGCGCGGTAATGGGGCCTGGCCTCGCATTTCAACATGGCATCTTTGTTCAGAAGACAACCGACTAGGAAGTGTGTCCATCGCAGATGTTTAAGAGACGTCAAAGCAGTACCATCTTGGGCATTGTAGCAAGCGCCAATTAATACCAGGTCAACGGTGTCCCCGAGACCAGGGATATAGTCTTTCTTGAGCTTGATCCACCGTCCAAAAGAGTTGTTCACCCCCGCTGCATAGATTGGAAAATAGGGCTCATCGGAAGCCTTCAGCACGTATCCTTCCCACCTGTGTGCGATGGCTTTGGCAAAACTAACTTCGAGCCGATATTGGCTATCTGGCCGGCCAAAGTCGACTATCTCTTGCTCGGCAATGTCGGCACGCCCTGAGATTCTCTGCACTACCTCTTGCAGAAGTAGTCGTCTCTGACGATGGGGGGCTCTAAGACAAATATCATCATCCAATAGAAGAATGTCAAAGAACACGATCATTAAGTGCTCATATGGCTGCGGCCTGTTCCTATTAGAATTGACCCTCTCCATGAGGAAAAAGGTATACTTACGGCGAATCATGTTCAACCCCAATGAAAGTACCTGCACGAGGAAGAAATTTTCGAAGCTTGTGGAAATCTGCTATTCCGCCAAGCTTATCACTCCACACAAGCAGCTCTCCTTCCAAAATACAATGCTTCGTAAACCTACATCCTTCTGTTCCAATTCGGAGACTTTCTTTCAAGACTGGAATGACGGCAGATCTGCCCGCTGTAGATTCTTTGCCACTCTTGGAGAAAATCCGGATTGGGGTTTGTTTGTCCGTGAGGTCCACATGCATCTGACAATACTCCCCATCGTATTTCCGCTCTATGCTCATACGACGGCCTTTGGCCATCTGGTGACAATGCTTGATGCTTCTAGCCTTCAAGTACTCCGGCCGGCCAATCTTGATCCCCGTTCGTGGTCGCAAATAGGCAAGGGCGATTGAACATAGGTTGGCGCTCAATTTGGGATCAGGCCGAGGAGGGAATTTATCCATAGGTTCAGAAGAGAGCATCTCCAAGGCGCTCTCAAAAGTATTCTGGAATTGAAGCAAGTGTGGGAGTAAGAAGTGGAATCGGCTTAATGTGTATTTTTCCGGAATTGTCACGGGAGAGTAGCTCTTGAGAATCATTCGGGTAAACCATTTGGCATCACGACTGCTCAGCCTGCGGTACAGAGGTGCAAGGGCACTTTCCACGTCGACGGCGGTTTGCTGACGGCGCACTCTGGGACCCGAGAAGCGGCATCTAGATGCAATCATATCCAGTGCTTGGTCAATTTCTTCCACTGAGACCTCTCGATCAGCACAAATCTGATTTTCAGCTTGACACATCACATTCTCCACGCATTGGCCAAGGTCCGGACCGCCGGGTTGGCGCCATCGGTTCATGTCTGATAATCTGGAAGATCCCAAGCCCAAACAACGGCCAATCACCCGTGCCAACGAGGTGGCTTGTAGCCAGTACACCCGATCTGGGCGCTTCTCTGGAAACATGCATGATAGTAGGGCCAGCCTATCTGTTTCTGGGTGATGGATGTGCCTCTCATGGCGACTAAACCATTGACCAATTGAGCGAATATCTGGGGCGTCTTTGTCCGCTGCTGTGACCTTAGCTATTCGGTTCGCCTCGAGACTTGACAGCAAGTCACAGAGGAAGGAGAATTTGAACCCCATGGGATACTGAGGGATGTGTCATGTCAACAGGGCCACATCAGACAGTACACAATTTCCCACTTGCTTCATTGTCATCATCATGAGGAAGGAGACTCGAGTGGGACGCGAAAATTCGCGGCGGGTCTCACCCATGGAACGCGAAAGCACGTGACTACAAACTGTACAAAGTGCCTCGAAGGAGATTACAAAGCGACAGACATCGAGAAATGATAATGGGTATTGTTCTTGAAGTTAATCGGCTCGTCAGACACCTTATGAAACACTGGAAGCCATCCATGATATTCGCCAAACTCCAAGCCCCTTTTGTCGATGATAGAACAGAAACCCCATGGGGCTATGACACATTGAAGCATGAGATGATATACCTGATCGTTGTTTAGAGAATACCCTGCTTTTGAAGACTGTAAAAAGAATTGGTTAGCGAATTTTCAACAGTAGATCCAAAGTGGTGGCAACTTACTCAAGGTAAATCCTCTCCGGCATGACATTGCCTTCGGCATCCTCCATCTGCACGACGTTATCGCGAGAGTCGCGCTCCTTCTTGCGGTCTTGCTCGAGCTTCTCCCAAAGTCGCACGGCGTCATCAATGCGCGTAATTTCTCGGAATAAGTTGGTATTAGACGTGACACCCAAGCACTTCAACCCATAGATGTGCAGCGCTTCGGAGAAGTGCTTATCGAAAGCCCGACGACCCATGTAGACGAAATTACCGCAAATTTCGCATGGGTATTCAGTACCGAGGCCATGCAACTTGTAAAGCCAATATGGAATAGGCTTGCCATCCCAGGCCAGAGGTAGCTTCAAGGGGTTGTAAAGTTTATCTGCGTCTTCATCATCCGACTGGTCTCGGTCGCCACCCTGCATATAATCCTCCGGATCAGCCATCATCGCTTCGTTATCAGCTTGGCGCTCTCGTTCAGTCATAGCCTGTCTGCGCTCGACGTTGTCCCTCGTTGCTTTTCGGTTTGACTCGAGCTCCTTCGACAAGCATCGAATCCGGTGCTCGCGCTCGGCTACTGCTCGCTCCTTAAAGTTGAAGGAAGATGTCCCCTGGCTCACGGGTGCTGCGGACTGCTCGCCTGACGAGCCAGCTGCCTTCTTTGCCTCGGCAGCTCGAATGTGCTTCTTGCCAGTCAAGTGATTCCGGTACACATTTTCGTTGCTGAACTCCTTCTCACAGTCAGCGCACCAGATGCCGGCTCCCGTCCCCTGTGTTTGAGGGCCGGAGGCACCGTTCTCTGCCTTCTCGTCCGTCCATCCAGGGACCTCCTTCGCCGACCATTGCTTATCAAACTCTTCATCGAACAACCCGAATAGCTTGTCGAGATCTTGCAAAGGGCGAATCCTTTTAATGAATCCTTCAAGGTAGCTAGCGAGTTCACTGACGTAGCGGAAGTACTTGTCGGAAACCTTATCTTTTCGCTTGATATTCATGGTGGGTGGCGTAAAGGAGTCAAAAACTCCTAGATATTGGGTATACGCCAGCCGTTTGACACCCGGTAGGTTCAGGTATTGTTCGTGATTCATAGTCAGATCCAGGAATTGGCCGAATGCTTCTTCGCCGGTGAACATGTGATCCACATCGACGCGGGGCGTTTCGCCGTCGCCAGGTTGACGCCGCTTGTATGCGCGCTCGAGATTCTCAACTGGCTCGTTTGGGTATCGTTTGTGGAAGTCTTTAATTCCATCCAACTGCTTGTAGAACTCCTCGAATTGATCTCCGGTTGAGATTACCTGCGCTTCCTTTTCGAGGAGCTTGTCTGCATCGCTGTAAATCTCCAAAAGGCGCTGTGACTGCTCCTCAATTCTCGCTAGGAACTTGGCAACTTCATGATCACGAGAGAGACGTTGTCGGATCTAGAAAAGGAGGAGACATGTTAGTACAAAAAGTCAAGATTGGCTCAGAGAACGAACGTCACTCACGTTGGAGGGATTCTCAGCCACACGATCGGCGACAGCCTGTTCTAGCCTCTCCAGGTCCTCATGAATGAATCGCAAATCTTCGAATAGCATCTTGAGAAGTGGCCGTGGCACTATCTCTTCTTTTTGCCGAGGCGCAAGAAGTTTTGTTGAAATCTGCGGCGATGGTTGGAGAAGAAGCGGCGGGCTTAAAGCTGGAGCTTTGCGGTTGGTCACGTGAGAGGCCACATTCATCGCAAAAAGTCATTCTGGACTGTCGCCGCGGACAGCAATCTCTCTGATTTTCCTCAAGAGTACCCATACATAATTTGTTTAGCCATTTGAACTCTTCATCAACTTCGATATGGCGGAGGGAATCGACAGACGTGCCGATGGTATGTATCTTCCATGACTTGGTTGAGATTCAGCATCCCTAACGACTTACCCCAGAGCGGATGGAGTTCAGCACCTCCAAGGAGGTCACGGTGGCCCCGACCTTCGAGGACATGCACCTCAAGGAGAGTCTACTTCGTGGTATCTATGCCTATGGTTACGAATCCCCATCTGCAGTCCAGTCTCGCGCCATCGTCCAGATCTGCAAAGGTCGCGACACCATTGCGCAGGCCCAGTCTGGTACTGGTAAGACAGCGACTTTCTCGATCAGTACTCTGCAGGTCATCGATACTGTTGTGCGCGAAACTCAAGGTATGTATAGTGTGCGCTTTCTGACTCCGAGGGTCGCTTGCTAACCTGTTGTTTGATTATCGCGACAGCTCTTGTTCTCTCTCCGACTCGCGAACTTGCGACCCAGATTCAGTCCGTCATTATGGCCCTCGGTGATTATATGAACGTTCAATGTCACGCATGCATTGGGGGCACCAATATCGGCGAGGATATCCGAAAGCTGGACTATGGTCAACACGTCGTTTCTGGAACCCCCGGCCGTGTCGCTGATATGATCCGCCGCCGGCACTTGCGTACGCGCCACATTAAGATGCTCATTCTCGACGAAGCAGACGAGCTTTTGAACCGCGGTTTCCGTGAACAGATCTACGACGTCTACCGTTATCTTCCTCCGGCGACACAGGTGGTCGTTGTCTCAGCTACTTTGCCCTACGATGTCCTGGACATGACCACCAAGTTCATGACGGATCCCGTTCGTGTCCTCGTCAAGCGTGATGAGCTGACCCTGGAAGGAATCAAGCAATACTTCATTGCGGTTGAGAAGGAGGAGTGGAAGTTCGACACTCTGTGCGATCTGTACGACACTTTGACGATTACACAGGCTGTTATCTTCTGCAACACCCGCCGCAAGGTCGATTGGTTGACCGATAAGATGCGCGAGGCCAATTTCACCGTGTCCAGTATGCACGGTGAGATGCCTCAAAAGGAGCGTGACAGCATTATGCAGGACTTCCGCCAGGGCAATTCCCGTGTTCTGATCTCCACTGACGTCTGGGCCCGTGGTATCGATGTTCAACAGGTGTCACTTGTGATCAACTACGATCTGCCCACCAACCGTGAGAACTACATTCACCGTATTGGTCGCAGTGGTCGTTTCGGTCGCAAGGGTGTGGCTATCAACTTTGTCACCAGCGACGACGTCCGTATCCTTCGGGATATTGAGTTGTACTACTCGACTCAAATTGATGAAATGCCCATGAATGGTAAGTCATCATATGTGATCGATGCTTTGGATCATACCGAGGTACTAATCTCTATACTCTGCAGTCGCGGATTTGCTCTCATAAACACCATGAAATCTCATTCATGAAAGGAGCCGAAAAACAAGAAAACTCATAACCGCCGTTCTTGAAGCCCTTGTGTTGAAGAATTTCTCGCCAAATGTACATACTGGCGTCTATTAGGGAATCAATGCGTGCCCGGTTCTCGCGTGGAGGAAAGGGAAAACAAAACGTTTCGGTGAGATGACGCTGTCGGCAATTGATTCAAGCCCTTCACGCTAACATTTTTGGCACTCCCAGTATCAGAATGTTCAAGGTGTACGCCCGTCGTTGGAACCCCAATGATCATTTCTCATCAAAGCTGAGGTTTTGAGACGAAATCTGCTTTTATCATTTGTGCTTTTTACCTAGTTCACCCAGGATGGTTCGTTCAGGAGTTACGAGTGATGGATTTGAATGCATTATCTTTTATTTCTTTTTGGCTTCTTCCAGGTTTTCCCCAGTCTTTGCTTCAGACTAGCAACTCTGTCATTGGAAAGACGGGAATGAAAAGAGCCCCCAAGCTCAAAGGCTCATTTGGTAACACAAAATATACTCGATCCTCCGAGCAGCGGGCCAGGACCTCCAATATACCGTATTCCTCTACACTTTCATTACTTTGCCGTTTCCTAGCTATCATAGGATTCTTCACTGCATTTAGCAACACCGACAATCCTTCCAAGCACGGTTCTCAGGCAAGACATATGCAGCGCATAAACGGAGTGATTCCCTCGTACAAGTTACTCTTCACCGCCCCTCTTTACCCAAGGCATAGATGCATTCACTGACGTCTTGCCCAGGAATAGAATGTCTTGGCCAAGTTGTGCATCCGAATCGGGTTACACCCAGCGCTCACATTTGGGGGCCAAAAAGGTTCGCCACCAAGCTTGAGACCCTTTCCTGCGAGCTACAACTGTAGAGCAAGCACATGGGTGAGGCTGAGGGGAGTCCCTAGGTTCCATGCGCGATCATCATCCGAGTGCGTAGGTATACGGCGCTCCGATCAACCACATTTGGTTGGTTCGAAGGCTTGGCTTACGTCTCGGATCGTTGTATAGACCACCAGCTCATCGATTCTAAGAATCACAGCCACGAAGGCTTAGTATATAAGATCCAGAGACAGACCATGGACCTGATTGTACATCTGAAATTTCAATCGGACACTATTCAACAAGCAAGTTCCGTTATATCTGCTTTCTAATCAATCTATCAGTTGAATCATTGCCATGCTCTTGGACAAAGTACTCATTACGTCCCTATTGGGACTTGCAGCAAGCTCAGCAGCTACCATTGTAGCCACCGATGAAGTCCCTCTGATCGGCCCAGTCTTTATTTCCAATTTCGATCCATCAAATTCGACCGCTATACATAATGCAAGAACGAAGTTACCTCGCCTTATGGAAAGCCTCTTCTCCGAGGGAACCCTCAATCGCACAGACCTCGCCTTTTCTATCGACGTGTTTTCGGCAGCAACAAACAAATCTATCTATAGTTATTCACACATTGGAAAGGATGCGAATCGGACGTTGACTGCTGGAGTTCTCAACGATAAGACGATAGCGCGGATCGGAAGTGTCACCAAGCTATTCACAGCTTATGCCATCATCGCCAAGGGTGGCATGGAAGTCTTCGCCCAGCCGGTGACACATTTCCTTCCGGAACTTGCTGGCAATTCCTCCGATGATCCATTGCTGAGGCTCGATTGGAAAGATATCACTGTGGGGGCTTTGTTGTCTCAGCAGGCTGGCACTGGAGGACCTGCCGGTTAGTAGCCAACCTGACTTCCCATGAGTCGAGGCTGATATCTCTGTCAGATTTTCTAATGAAATATTTCGACCCCGCTGGCCAATTAAACTTTACAATTACAGGTAAGGGACTGCCTCATACTCTGATTGTTACCCAAAGACAGTGCTTAACCTTTTCCCGATCTTCAGATTTCCTGAATTTCATGCGCGACGATAAACGACCTGTGATCTCCCCATACCGTAATGCCGTCTACTCTGATGCTGGGTTTGCGATTCTGGGTCAAGTTCTCGCTCGCCTGGCTGGTAAGAAGACATACAGTGAAGCAATTCGTGAGACTATTTTCAAGCCATTGGGGCTAGATAGCACGTCGACATCGGCCCCGAAAGGTACCGGGCTGAATGCGATCAATCGAAAGCTAATAGACACAAATTCATCATGGGGTCTTGATTTGGAAGTTGTGGCATCGTATGTGTTCTCGATGACTTTCTATTTTATCTACTCAACATGGAAAAGAAATCTGACCACTATCCAGATCCGGCGGTATCTACGCGAATGGTGCAGACCTTCGGACGGCAGGTCTATCCATTCTCAACTCCGAGCTCCTCTCCCCCACCAATACCTCCGAGTGGATGAAACCTCGTAGTGGCACGGGCTCTCTAGTTGAACTTGTCGGTGCACCTTGGGAGATATCTCGCCTAGAGATCCCCGTTTCCCCAGGCTCGAACCGCACCCGAATCTCAGATCTATATACCAAGGCTGGTGGTAACGGAGACTATACCACCATCTTCGCCCTATCCCCAGACCACGGGATTGGCTATTCAATTCTCATCGCTGGGCTTACGGCCTCGGTTGCCCGCTGGCCTCTTCGTGATACCGTTGGCGAAACATTCATCCCCGCTGCCGAACACGCAACCTGGGAGAATGCCCGGCGCAACCTTGCGGGCACCTTTGTTGATAAGTCCGCGCCTGGTACCAACCTGACCTTGACCGTCGACAAGGGCCGGCCAGGTCTTGGACTAGGAGCTTTCTGGATCAAGGGAGTGAACGGCCGTGACAACGATCATTGGCGTATCTACCCCACTGGTCTTAACTCCATCTCGCGATCTTTGTCATCTCTCTACTTGAGCAAGGGTAAGATGCGTGTGGCACACCGTATGGTAGAGCCGGCACCTCCAATGCAGCCCCGTGCTGCTGTGGAAGGAGGCAAGGGAGGATTATTCGATAACTCGTTCACGTGGATGGACATCGATTTCCAGGGTCCTGTTGATGAGCTTATTTTTGATCTTGTTGACGGACGACTGGTTAGTGTAGAACTTCCGGCGGCTGGTTTGGTCCTTGATCGGCTTAAATAGGCGCATACTCTCTGGTTCGCATTGGAATTTGTGGTTTCAAGATGGGATTTACTCGGGCACTTTTGATGTTACGCAATAGAAACAAGATTTTCAGAAATTATCAGTTTATCGTGTATATTGACATGAGTGAGGATGCTTCCAGTATCACTGTAATCTGTGCCGCAGCAGGTTACCATGGACGTTGGCTCTGCAAGACAGCCTGAATTCCATTCGCAAAAAGCGCTCTAGCATAAAGAGCATGAAACCACTTCCCTATCTCGGATACGGGCAATTCATTTGTCTGCGGATTACAAGTGAATCCTTCCAGACTAATTCGAATTTGAGGCTTTGACGGCTCGGTCTCGGATTGTGAATCTGATGCGATCCGGTGTCTCGTAATGCTGAAGCGGTGGCATCCCGCGAAAGAATACTTGTCCGAGCCGAATCCAAAGTCGACATAGCTCAATTGGGAATCCGTGGATTCAGATATGTGCTTGTCAAGAAGTTGAAAAGTGCCGAATAATCGTGTACCCACATCGCAAAGCTGATCTTCAGGGACTTCCGAGCTCTTCCAGATCTCAAATGTTGGATGGCTCTGCGAGAAGTCTAGAATAATCGTCAACCCATGCGCATCGAACCATGTAGGCACATAAGAGAATAGAAAATCTTACTTGTGAAATTCACAGGAAGCAATCTCCAAGCACCGGCATTCAACAAAAGACCCTCAGTGCCAAAGATAAATCCCCCGAAGAATCCCGATGTAAAGGACGATAGGATCTTCGAGTCATTCATACCCGCGAACGTCTCCGCATCGAAATCTTGCCAGACGGAATCTGAGATCACCATATGGTGGCGTGGGTTGACGAGCGCAGCGGAGTGAGATGTCAAAAATCCATCTCTAGCGAAGTTGAGGGAATTGGAAATACAGAGAGAGTCGAAGAATGACCTCTTCGGGATCATTCGTGACCAGGTCCTAGCTGACATTGAACGGACGTAAAATACCGTTCGGTTTGGTGTTCATGATTGAAAAGGGTACTTGCATTTGTAGAAGTAGAGATATTTATACGGATCTGCAGGCTCTCTGACGAGGTGATTCGGGAGGACTCGGGTTATTTGGACTGAGTCATTTGGCAGCGTGTTCCTTCACATAAGCAAGCCTTACGGGCCTCGTGATCACGGGTCTCCAATATTACTCATTTTCAATACGGACACCATGATACAGTATGTCGAACATGTTATACTCACATAGCAGTTACTCGGAGAATGGGCTTGTGATCCTTCTCTAAGGTGGCACACGCCTAGACATATAACACAAGCACCAAGAACGCGACTACCAGAACCGCTAGATCAAATAGACGCCGTACGCTCGATTGAAAGATGTGATTTTCCCATTGAAATGCTAGCGCGGTCCCTGTATTGACTGAGATAGATGCGTGCAAAAAAATCTGCTAACTTGAGGAAAGAGGGATGGGTGTAGCAGCAATTAGTGAAAGTTGTCCTGTGAATGCAACGGAGCCAGGGGAAGGTAGCTGAGGAGGGTATTGGGGTTTAGGATCATGGGTTGAAGACCTCAGCCGGTGCAAGTGTAAAAAGATGGGAAAGCTGCACAAAGTTGCAAGCAGAGCGAGGAATGCGGAGGATAGGGAAATTCGAAAAGCACGGTTTATCGTCTTTGAATCCAGATGCTCCAGATATGATTGCCCTGGCCGTGGTGAAAGATGTGCCGATCAAATCGTTGACAAGTCAAGGAAAAACGCCCTTGCGGGATGGTAGTCATGGAAACGTTCTTTGGTTGTGTGATGAGAGAAGGTATCAAAATGCCGAAGTAGTTCGTAATGCGCTTGTCCGTGGGAACCCAGTTGATGATATGCCTCGTTGTTGACTCGATCCACCGATTGAGCGATGTAGCTCCGGGTCTTTAGACCAGCTATAGCAACTTGTTAGACCTGTGAGTAGCATGAAGCGCGAGATCGGGAGTGTTTCAGCTTACATGCGCACAGCTTTGTCGTCACCGGCTGAGACAAACATGCCTGGATTTGTCGGACTCCATGATATTGAGTTTACACAACCCTTGGTATGAGCCTCCAGGGTCTCCACGAGGGTACCATTCTCCTTGTGCCAGATGTAGATTCGGGAATCTACAAATGGTTAGCATGATGAAATACTCTATCGAGTCCATATGGAGAAAGGGAAGAAATCTCACCTTCACTACCACTGACGACAAAGTTCTCCGCCGCTCCACCAAAGGTGCTCCGGATCACATAACTGCCCTGCTTGTATCCCCGGAACCGCCGAACGACAGCGGTGGTCTCTATATTGATCAATTGGATTTCGCCCTCTGCCAAATTTACCAGCATGTGCTTTGAGTCCCGGCTGATCGCAACGGAGGTCGGCTTGCTCGGAAGGGAGAGGCAGTAGACTTCTTCATAGGTGTGGAAATCAAATACGTGAAGCTTGGAATCCGTGTCTGCTGCAACAAGCCGTCGGCCATCGGGGCTAATCGCGCAATCTTGGGTACGGAATCCGCCCTTCCACGTATGCAGTGGCGATCCCCTCATGCTCCAATGGCAAAGCCCCGAGTTCGCATCAAATGATGACGTTACGAACGATTCACTATCGGGAGCCCAGCCTGCAGCGGTCACTGGATGACAGTGATGATCGATCGTCAGAAGACAGCGACCAGTCTAAAATATTATCACTTCGAGTCAGTATAATTTCAATAACGTCTTCGAGAAGTCAAAAGTATTTACCTCTGCGTTCCAGACACGGGCCGTCCTATCTTGTGAGCAAGTGATCAGCTTAGAGTCATCGGGACTCCAGCTGGCAAATGCAACTCCATCCAAGTGTCCATTAAGCCTGTGGAGCACCGTGAAAGTACTCGTATCATAGATCAGCACCGTGCGATCTTGGCCTGCAGTAACCAACTTGGTTCCATCATGAGAAAATCCGCAGTGCCAAACCTCATCAATGTGCTGATTGAGGTTGGCGGTGACGTCCAAGGGGAAATCGCTTCGGTCGCACATGTGATCGGAATAGAGTGATGGCGCCTCGGCGGTATTATGATAGAGACAGTTGCTGATCTGACCCTGTTTCACGTAGTCCAATAGAATTGCAAGGCGATGCTGGGGGATCATAACGGAGGGGGAGATGGATTCTGGAATCAGTCAGAGACGAATCGTGGTGTGTGGTCTACTTTTGAGCGTTTCTTACTTGATAGGTCAGCCAGAAGCCGTTCTCGGGACGAGCTGACTGGGCCATCCCAGCCAGCCTGCTCGTGAAGCAGTTCCGTCGGGCACATCAGGAGACTGCAGAATGAATCATGTTAGTGGTTGAGTATTACAGGTCAGAGAGGATTCAAAAAGAACCAACCTTGAAAGCGCATGGAGCCGGTCCACATCGTAGTTCAAAGGCGTGAGTTCTTGCCGAAGCACCTGTAGCGCTGAGCCCAACTCGCGAGCTTCAAGGAGCTCCAAAAACTTCTGCTGGCGAAGATAGAACAGCATTTCACTTCTGTTCGCATCCTCTGCCAGTACCAGCATTTCTTCGGAATCGCCACTTTGGCCATTCTTCGGTGCCAAGTTCCGGAAAGACTGAACAAGGATTCTTTCAGCCTCGGACCACCGTCCATCCAGTACCGCGCTCCGGAATGTTGCAACACCGGGTGTCTCCAGCTGATAGCCGCTCTCAGAGCTCAACGTCGATGCTGCAGCACCGTACCCCAGCTCATACAGGCTCTGGATCAAGATTCGCGTTACTTCCTCCCGGTTGTGGCCAAAGTAGGAGCTCGTCAAGGGTTTCACGGCGCCATTTGAATGCGAATCTCCATTCGCTGACGTTGATTGTTGGCCATTCAGACTGGCTTTCCTCGAGGTCGACCCGTGGGTGGCCTGTGAAAAGCCATTCGTGCTTGATAGGCCGTCGGGCCGCATGGTTGCGAGGCGCCTGCGCTTGCGGGATGGAGACCGGCCGTCAGCTCGGCCGGGCGTGAGAGTTGGATCGTCCTGGGACACAGCTTCACGTGCCCCGGTGTCGTCTGCGTGAATGTCCGTGCCCGCCGTCCTCGTAACTAGAGACTCCTCGGAGCTGTTGCTCGATCGGAGACGACGGCGTCGGGAGTTGAGCAGTTGAGGGGTTCGACCAGCGGTGGAGGACGGTTGCAAAGTGGATGTAGCACCTCGATACGGCGAAGAGGGTGGGCGATGTCCAAGACCGGCGGCGTCGGCGGAGGAAGCGGAGATGGCGGGAGGATTGGGGGGAAGAGGAAGCGCGGGGTGGTCGGAGGCGGAGGGAAGGTAAGAAGGATTGTCGGCCAGGTCGACAAATGATCAGGATCTGCCCGGTTCCCTGGCTCTTGGAGAAGAACCAGGTGAGCAGACCTACAGGTTGGTGGTGGCGGGTGGATCAGTCCTCGCCGGGGGGAGTAGGAAGCTCCGACTGGGGATTTCGAGAGGAGCTCGTGGTGCTTGCAGGAGTCACAAGGATTCAAGGCTAGAACATCAATAGTACTTGAAAAGAGGAGTGCACAGATAGCAAAGATAAAGGTAAAGAAGTGATAGGTATCGTAGGGACTTGTATTCCCCTTGGTGAGTGGTGATGGTGACGATGGTGGGTTGGGGTTAAGTCGGGCGGAGAAGTTGCTTATCGGCGGAGAAGGACTTTTGGGAATAGACGAGTTAACTCACGACTTTCGCAGTGAGTTTAGTGAGTTTAATTAGTTTCCACCCGCCGGCCAATTAGTCAAGAAGCTGCTAAGAAGGCGATTGGAGGAAGTGGGACCTCAAGAAGTCACAAGTCTACTTTGGCCCGTCACAAGATGATGACGATTTAAGGCGATCAGGTCTCGACAGCGTATGAGTCGTGTGTTCTGGAGTTTCACCAGTTCCCGTACCCGATTTCTCAGCTGATACAACAAAGCAGGCTTTTCTTTTTCTTTCAAAAATAGGCCAAGAAGACACTGTAGTTGATTGAGCGGTACCGAAAGGTCAACGATCGATGCTAGTGCGCTGCTGCTTGCCGATCACCGGGCGCCTACAGGCACAAGTTAGCTATGCTAGCAGAACAGAAATGCCTGGCAAATATAGGAGAATAAAGATAGAATAGACTATTCCTTGCGAGTAGCATTGAATTATAGCATTCTGCTACGAATCAAAAACTTGGAGGCTAAATAGGAGCTCAGGTACCTAGTGGCTGCTCTAATGGCCCAGACCTTTTGCTGGTTTATCCACATCCAAACTACAACTATTGAACTCCACAGCCGACCTCTATCTGGCCTTTCCCTGACCCAGAGATCAAAACTCTTCTCATCACATAGGAGCCCTGAATAGATACTTATCGGGCGCATTCCATTTGGTTCCCTCACCTCTGACGACATCATGATGCTGATGGTCCTTTCTTCCGCGGATCACCTTTCCGCCTATATGTAAGGATGCCAACCACCATTTTTCTGATCAAAGATTTATTCGTCTCCAACTAAGCTACTGATCATCTTCCACCAACTCCTACAACTTTCTCACTCTACTATATTCATCATGGGTTGTGACTGCGGATCAACTTGCAACTGTACCGGTGCCCAAGGCTGCAGCTGTGATAACACTTGTGTCTGCAAGGGATGCGGAGTATGTGAGCCATGTTGTTGGCGCCCCCCGCCTGAAAGAAGTTTGATATGAGCTATAATGAGATATTGAGATCGAGGCTGACCTTGCACATCGTGCTTTTGTAGAAATAAGAGGCTTCCCTACTGCGATCGGGATGGCACTTACTCGCTATCCGCGCTTGCCCTGCCACAAGAAGAGCTACGATTTTCGTTTCTGGGAGTTTATCTTGATGTGACATTACTATGAATTTGCTCTTTGCTACTAGAATGAAATGATTCCCGGAATTTTTTTCCCATATTTCCATATATCTATTAGCTGTGAGGTGATCATCCTCGTGACACCCGATATGTAGACGTCATCAAGGTCGTTCTTTGAACACCGCCTCGGAGGCCTTGAGCGCACCCGTAATCGTAAAGCATATAAAAGGCGAGAGCGCATACATTACCTAATCCCATTAGCAAGTATACAATGTCTCAACCGGAATGAATCATACCGTCAATGTTTTCGCAATAGCCATTTTCTCCGTCTCTGATGCCTGCGCTACTTCTGCCAGTCCCGAAATCATCAACGCGGGAGGCCCGGCCGGCATCAGCATCATGCTGAACCACAGAATAGGATCATCGCCCATAAGCTTCGTATGCTTTGCCAGTCCATATATCAACGAGATACTTACTGCCGGCCAGGCCACCAACCGTACTAAAAAGATAATCGTGATGGCCCGGACGGGAATGCGACTCGAGTCACCACCGGCCTCGCTCCCGGCTACCATCCGCTCAAAGGCTACTCCAAGTTTACACCCAACGAGGAAGATCTGAAGAGTTGTAAAGAGCCGTCCAATATTGCGCACGCTAGTCGTCAACCACGCTTGGAGGTAGCCGCCTTCCTCATCGCGGAAGAAAAACACCTTATGCAGCGCGGGGACGAGACCCAACAACGCGCCGACGAGGGTACAACATATCGCTACTCCGGCGAACGGATCTCCAAAAGGCGCCATAAGCTCTTCCCTAATCCGGGATGGAAAGAACGAGACAAGCCACCTGCTGCAGGACCGAACGCGCACTCCGACGGCTGCCTTGGCGGTTTGTGCGCGCTGTGGGAGCAGGGAGGTAGTTTCGGTCAAGCGCTCATCCTCGCAGTCAGATAGATGTTGATGTTCCTCAGCGCTACTCGGATGATCCTCGGTGTTTGTGCCGTCGTGGAGCATCCGCGGACCGACAACGTAGGCGATGATTTTGCTGACGACTGCACAAACGAGGAAGTAGCTTTGTCCTCGCTCGATTGCGTCGGCTGTGCTTTCATCGCCGCGGAGGATGAGTCGTAGGGAACCTACACTGCCGAGGGATTGGAGGAGCAGTAAAGGGAGGGATGAGGTGTTGTTGAATGTGGATGCTGGGGCAACCCATTGGGGTAGTCGAAATAGTCTTGCTAACACATAAGACAGCCCGATAGATGCGATGGTGTAGATGAATGACCAAGCTGGATCATTGGTGATGAGAATCTCTAACCGGTGCTCAGATAGATAGGCAACACTCACCTAGAACTGGAATATAATTCAACGCCGTCCCAAGGTGGAGCTCCTGGCCCAAATTCACGACAATGAGAGCTGGCAAAAAGAGCTTCACGCACAATGCAGACATGTCATTGATGGTGCCATCGTGGATTAGACTCAGTCGTCGCGCGGCAACTCCGTAGCACATGGTTAGGAGTACCGAGACGCAGGCCTGAAGAGCCCCCAAAAACGGCGGTAGCAAGCCATCAAGGTGCATAATGGCGATCCTTGTGATTAGAGAGGAATATTGTGTTTATGGGAATGTTTGGAATTTTTCATTGGAACGTATAGATTATTTGATGGCGTCATTGTGACCAAAGTTAAGATTCGTTTATATTTTTCCGAAAAAGGGATCGCAGTATGAACCGATAGCAATGTACACCTTGAACATGCGACGGTAATATTAGGCTTAAACACGCATGGCATGCAAGAGCTGGTCCGAAGGGATCAGCCTTGCGGCAAAGGCCAAAGCGATACCTAGAGTAACGACCGTGCCGAAAGCGGCCATGAGCCCCAGGTGTCCCAGACTCTCGAGACCGGGCCTTTCGAATTTGGTCGTGCGTCGTTGACCTAGGCGTGTTGTGCGCGTAAGTGTGGGCATGTATTTGAACTCGAAGCGGCTTTCGCCTCCAAGGCCAAGTTTTTCATCCATGAGCATCTTGTAGAAGTATTTGCGGCGCATCTAGAGAATTGAAGACGATTAGTTCCATGAAGTGAATAGGGCTCAGATAGAGGCTCAGATAGAAGCGAAATACGTACGTTGATCATGAACCGATCCATAAAGTAGATTCTGGGGATGATTGTTGATACAAGACTCACCCAGAAACAGTAACCCCACAAGATAACCCGGTAATACAGACTGGAACGTGGGATATCAAGTTCATCAGCAAGCTGATCACCATTGAGAAGACGACTCATCGCCTCGAGGAACTCCTTTGATGCAAAGGACGGCGCGGTATTTTCCAACCCGATGATGATGTTTTTGGCCAGAACTTTCCCGATCTCGGTGGGATCGATTTCCGAGATCAAAAGCGACTCCATCATCGCACGGGCTTTGGCTGTGTTCTCAAATGGCTCCGTTGGAGTTCCCATGTAGTAAGCAACGAGACGCCAGAGGGCGATGTAGTCTTCGATCTCCTGCTGGTTGAGGTATATACCCTGACGAGGTAACCCAAGCCAGACGACCGAGCTGCAGAAAGTATTGATGGTGCCGATGCAGTCAAGATCGTTGACGGGTGTGCCGTACTTGGCAACATCATAGTAATCTGGCTTTTGTTCCACCAGGCTCAAGATTCTCATCCGGACGGAGGCGTGAAGGAGTCGTACACGAACAGAGGAGACGTTGCCTTCGCCACCGGGTTTTATGCCCTCTACCGAGCTGTTGACTTGGAGGACGTGTTGGAGTGTTTCGAGGAGTCGTCGTCGAACCACTTTGGCGCCGAAACCACCTGTTCGGGCAAGCGTTTCTACGACTCGCATGGCGCCCCTATGGGGTGATTAGTTCAACTTGTAAAGAAGAGCACGGGAGATGAATGGCTCATACATTCCACCAAGGAGACTCTCAAACCCCAGCTGATACGAATAGTCAACAACGGAAATTTGGATGGAAGGTCGAGAGGTATAAGACTTACCACGTTCAAGATGGGGAGACCATATCGAAAGAACACATCCTGTCCTCTTTGAATCTGCTCCCAATCCACCCATTCAGGGATAGTATTGACCTCATCCCATAGCTGCTTAAGCTTGGGATCTTCGTTGGCATGTTCCTTCAACAAACCATACAAGTCTTTCTTCAGCGGCTTATCCGAATATTCGCCAGTGGGAATCTTGTTCAGGATCTGCACACATTCATCTGCCAGGGTGTCATATGTTTGAATCATAGGATGCAACTCCGCTGCCGTTCGATGAAGGTCAGTCCAGTGAAAAGAGTAGCCCCAGTAGTGGCACTCGGTGGAATTTCCTCGTCTGGGGCTCTTCAACGCCATCGGGAGTCGTTGGGAAGAGTTAAATGCAGCTGCAATAAGAAAAATCGTCTATTCGTACGAGATACCCAACACCATAAGACTCACCTTCTTATATATGTATATATGTACAGATGATCAGATGTTGAGGTTAGGTTCCCCTCTCCTTCCAGTACCAGTGTGGCTCTTCCCCATTGTACCGTGGTCCGTGGTCCGGGGTCCGGGGGGAAGAAGCGTGAGGGGTGTGGGGGATGCTTTGCATGTGAACCCACCCATTTGCCGCTGATGATCGACACTCGCTTGAGCATGTTAGCCTTATTTGGGGAAGCGTAGCTCGTTTTCATTATTTGTGTCAATTTTATACATTGATGGCGTCCGTGTGACTGGTTCGAGGGCACCTGTCAGGAGCCGAACGTCTTGCATACTCGTTTTGAGGCATCAGGAAGACCATGGAAGATCCATTTCACATGTAAGTTTCTTGGAGAGACTAATCCGTCCTGGCCGTATAAATCTGACATTAGATTGACCACAATGTGGTCGTGACTAATTGCACTCTTTGCATGTGAAGTTTAGGTATACTTTAGGCACGTGTTTGTTTGGGGGTAGGGATGCCGAAGTGTATCACCAGACATCTATAGAGCGTAGGCGACAACAACATTCAAATGTTGCGACTATTGATAAACGGTGTTAATTGCTAACAGTTCCTCCAAGGTGTTCCAGCGGTAATATAAGGACCTCACACGACAATAGTCACTCAGGCATACATAGTAGGCGTCAGGGTGTAGAGCACGAAGGGAAAGCTAGCAACTCTAGACACAAGGGCAACTTGGCGCTATGTGCAGGATGCAGTGCACGATTTCCACTTGGAGATCAGTGATAAGCACAGTCCCAAGATGGCAACCTTCGTTCTCAGATTATCAGCGACCGGGCGCCAATCCCTGGGCGGGCAGAGCGAGACCTGGATTGGATGACAGCTTAGGGGGGACTCCACGATGCGAGCACCCTAGTCCATTGCCCGCCACCTCGACTGCGCATCAATAATACCTGACTCTCTGCCCATCTCAGCAGAGCGAATGTTAGGATTGGGAAGGCCTCGACTCAAAGCACGACCGTCACTGCTGGATCTGATTAGCAGACGCGAGGAGCAATTGACCACTATTGCAACTCCGAGCGTTACCCAGTCGTCACCACCGTCACCGCCCGAGCTGCCACCGCTTCCAGACTCGCCCACCTCAACCAGCTCGACTACCTCCACCACCTTCCCCGTGTCTACCCCGTCCACTCAAACCTCCTCCACGATGGCTCCGGCACAGGATGACAGCCATACTCATGGCTCGGTCTTCTCAGTCTCCGGCCCTGTCGTTGTTGCCGAGCACATGATTGGTTGTGCCATGTACGAGCTGGTAAGTTCCCCCCAGCATTCCTCCCCGGGAAGCTCATCTCAGCTTCACTCCCGAGAGGTGTCGCTCGTACTGATAGCACTTTCCCTTTCAGTGCCATGTTGGTAAGGATTTGCTTGTTGGTGAAGTCATTCGACTCGACGGCGACAAAGCCACTATTCAGGTCTACGAAGAAACCGGTACGCCTGCTCCCTCTCCCAGCCACGTATGCTCCGCATCGTGGCCGCCTCCCCACACCTTCGACATTGACTAATTGTTACACCTGTACGATGAAATCCAGATGGTCTGACTATCGGCGATCCCGTTGCGCGGACCGGCAAGCCTCTGTCCGTCGAGCTGGGCCCCGGTCTGATGGAGACGATCTACGACGGTATCCAGCGACCCCTCCGTGCGATCTCCGACAAGTCCAAGGGTATCTACATCCCCCGCGGTATTCGCGTGAATGCCCTGGACCGTGAAAAGAAGTGGGATTTCAAGCCGGTCAACTTCAAGGTTGGAGACCACATTACCGGTGGTGATATCTGGGGTACTGTGTTCGAGAACAGCTTGGTCAACGACCACAAGATCCTTCTGCCCCCCCGTGCCCGCGGTACCATCACCCGCATCTCCCCCGCCGGTAGCTACACTGTGGAGGAGAAGCTTCTGGAGATTGAGTTCGAAGGCAAGAAGTCCGAGTTCGGCATGATGCAGACCTGGCCCGTCCGTGTGCCCCGCCCCGTCAGCGACAGAAAGTCCGCCGATTCGCCCTTCATTGTCGGCCAGAGAGTGCTGGATGCTCTCTTCCCCAGTGTGCAGGGTGGAACTGTGTGCATCCCCGGTGCCTTCGGATGCGGCAAGACCGTCATCTCCCAGTCTGTGTCCAAATTCTCCAACAGTGATATCATTGTCTACGTCGGCTGTGGTGAGCGCGGTAACGAGATGGCTGAGGTGTTGATGGATTTCCCCGAGGTAACTAAATTCCAGCCGTGAATCCCGTAGACAGATCATTCCTTGCTAACACTCATTCTTCTTGTAGCTCTCTATCGACGTCGGTGGCCGTAAGGAACCTATCATGAAGCGTACCTGCTTGATTGCCAACACCTCGAACATGCCCGTCGCTGCCCGTGAGGCCTCTATCTACACCGGTATTACAATCGCCGAGTACTGGCGTGACCAGGGAAAGGACGTGGCCATGATGGCTGACTCGAGTTCTCGCTGGGCCGAGGCTCTGCGTGAGCTTTCGGGTCGTCTGGGTGAGATGCCTGCCGATCAGGGTTTCCCTGCCTACCTGGGTGCGAAGCTCGCCTCGTTCTATGAGCGTGCCGGCAAGAGCAGTGCTCTCGGTAGCCCCGAGCGCATCGGCAGTGTCAGCATTGTCGGTGCCGTCAGCCCACCCGGTGGTGATTTCTCCGACCCCGTTACTTCCAGTACCCTGGGTATCGTGCAGGTCTTCTGGGGTCTTGATAAGAAGCTGGCTCAGCGCAAGCACTTCCCGTCCGTCAACACCTCCATGTCTTACAGTAAATACACCACGATCTTGGACAAGTACTACGAGAAGCACAACCCGGACTTCCCTCGCCTGCGTGACCAGGTCCGTGAGCTCCTGTCCAAGTCCGAGGATCTAGACCAGGTCGTGCAGCTGGTTGGTAAGGCGTCGCTGGGTGATTCGGATAAGATCACTTTGGACGTGGCTGCCATGGTCAAGGATGACTTCCTCCAGCAGAACGGCTACAGTGACTATGATCAGTTCTGCCCCCTGTGGAAGACCGAGTATATGATGAAGGCCTTCATGGGCTTCCACGATGAGGCCCAAAAGGCGATCGCCCAGGGCCAGAACTGGAACAAGGTCCGTGATGCCACTGCTGATCTCCAGACTTCTCTGCGCAGCATGAAGTTCGAGATCCCTGATAACCAGGAGGAGGTGACGGCCAAGTACGAGAAGCTCCTCCAGTCCATGACTGAGCGGTTCGCTTCCGTTTCGGATGAATAGATGTAGATTGGGCTTGGTGGGTGTGTCTTTGTTTCTTTTTTGCTTTGCCCCCTTTGCATCATCTCTCTTTTTTCTTGCGGATGTTATATCTGTCTAGCACAAATTACCCTGTAGTTATTCTTGAACCAATTTTCCTCTTTGGGGCAGATATTTGTTCACGAACAGTATAATACTTGACCTAGAACGTATACGATAGACCTCAGATCAGGCGACAATGAAAAGGACTGGACCAGAAAGAACAGCTGACCCATGGCTCATACGGACTTATGCGTATAGTATAATGGATGCCTGCTGTCAGGTACTCACCGCAGCCCGAAGCCCGGGTACCAAAAGTTAACGGAGTGGACCAACTGGCTAATCAGAATGGGCCTGGAAGAACTCCCGTGCACGGCCAGTCGCTGGGCTGGACCGCCACCACCTTCATCACCGCCTTCGTAGGCCCCGACCAACAAACAATCTATCATTCTGCTTCTCTTTACTCGATCAACTCCTCCTTCTGCTCTCTCCCCCTTTAACTCCCTCTTACCTTCGTGTCCGAATCCTCTTAGTTTCCGAAGGCAGACTCTCTCAAACCTCGCCAGCCATGGCAAACCCAACCACTGGCTACTCGTGCGTAACCCCCCCCCCCCTGCACCCCCCTCCACTCCGATGCGGCCTCGAGCTAACTTGTGCGCAGCATAAATGTCAACGATCCCAGCTTGATCTCTCTGGTCAACAAGCTGCAAGATGTCTTTTCAACTGTGGGCGTATGTGAAATCAAAGATTTGCACCCGTGGCAACCTTAGTCTTGACCATTCGCACTGACACAGCCGCTCTGTTTTAGGTACACAACCCTATCGACTTGCCCCAGATTGTCGTCGTCGGATCGCAGTCCAGTGGAAAGAGTTCAGTGCTAGAGAACATCGTTGGCCGTGATTTGTATGTAATTCCCCGGCCCCATCGTGCCGTTTCTTTGCCCCCCCCCGAGCCTCCTGCGCAACCCACGTGGTGGCGGGGGAGACCTCCCGGCGGTGTCGTCGTTAGCCCGTTGCTGACCACTCTCTGTCTGTATTATTTAGCCTGCCTCGTGGTTCCGGAATTGTCACTCGGAGACCTCTTATCCTGCAACTGATCAACAAGACCCCTGCGCCGCAAACGAACGGAGATAACAAGATCCAGACGACAGACGCCGAGTCGAATGTCGATGAGTATGGCGAGTTCCTGCATATCCCTGGCCAGAAGTTCTTCGACTTCAACAAGATTCGTGAGGAGATTGTCCGGGAGACGGAGACCAAGGTCGGCCGCAATGCCGGTATCTCGCCTGTCCCGATCAACCTGCGCATCTATTCGCCTAACGTCCTCACCCTGACCCTGGTCGATCTGCCTGGTCTGACCAAGGTGCCCGTCGGAGATCAGCCCAAGGATATTGAGCGCCAGATTAGGGATATGGTTCTCAAGTACATCAGCAAGCCCAACGCCATCATTTTGGCCGTCACCTCGGCCAACCAGGATCTGGCCAACTCCGATGGTCTGAAGCTGGCGCGTGAGGTGGACCCCGAGGGTCAGCGCACTATTGGTGTGTTGAGTAAGGTTGATCTGATGGACGAGGGCACTGATGTTGTGGATATTCTCGCTGGACGAATTATTCCTCTGCGCCTGGGTTACGTTCCCGTTGTCAACCGCGGTCAGCGTGATATTGAGAACAAGCGGCCCATCGCCTATGCTCTGGAGAACGAGAAAAACTTCTTCGAGAACCACAAGGCATACCGGAATAAGGCATCGTACTGCGGTACTCCCTACTTGGCCCGCAAGTTGAACCTGGTAAGTGATTGGTCCAGTTATGGGGGTGCTATGAGTCGTGGCAAAGCGAGTACTAACATGATCCGCCACTCTTCTGTAGATCCTCATGATGCACATCAAGCAAACTCTCCCCGATATTAAGGGCCGCATTTCCTCCTCCCTTCAGAAGTACACTACGGAGCTGGCGCAACTCGGCGATTCCATGCTCGGCAACAGCGCCAACATTATTCTCAACATCATCACCGAGTTCAGCAACGAGTACCGCACGGTTTTGGAGGGTAATAACCAGGAGCTGTCCAGCATTGAGCTGTCAGGTGGTGCTCGTATCAGTTTCGTGTTCCACGAGCTCTACTCCAACGGTGTCAAGGCCGTGGATCCCTTCGACCAGGTCAAGGACATTGATATTCGCACTATTCTCTACAACTCCTCCGGTTCTTCCCCGGCCCTTTTCGTTGGAACCACTGCTTTCGAGTTGATCGTCAAGCAGCAGATCAAGCGCCTGGAAGACCCCAGCAACAAGTGTATCTCTCTGGTTTACGATGAGTTGGTCCGCATCCTCGGCCAGCTGCTGAACAAGCAGCTGTTCCGCCGCTACCCCCAGCTGAAGGAAAAGTTCCACGCCGTTGTCATTGCCTTCTTCAAGAAGTGTATGGACCCCACTAGCAAGCTGGTGAAGGATCTAATCGCCATGGAGGCCACCTACATCAACACTGGCCACCCTGACTTCCTCAACGGACACCGCGTATGTCTTGACTTCTCGATATAGTGAAACCAAAACAGTGCTGACTCCAACCAGGCTATGGCTATTGTCAACGAGCGCGCAGCGGCTGCCAAGCCCACGCAGGTTGACCCCAAGACCGGCAAGCCCCTTCCCGCTCGTGCCCAGAGCCCGTCTCTTGACACCACCGGTGAGGTTCAGAATGGCAGCGGTTTCTTCGGCAGCTTCTGGGCTACAAAGAACAAGAAGAAAATGGCGGCCATGGAGGCTCCTCCTCCAACCCTCAAAGCTTCCGCCAGTCTGTCTGAGCGTGAGACCTCCGAGGTCGAGGTTATCAGTAAGTTTTTTCCTCCTGCAGTACTTCCTTGGGTGTTTCCCCGTATACTAATCATCATTATCTTTCAGAGTTGTTGATCACCTCATACTTCAACATCGTTAAGCGAACGATGATTGACATGGTTCCCAAGGCTATCATGTACACCCTGGTGCAGTACGTATCTCCGTGGCTCTTGATTTTGCCATCCTCAGATGCTAACTACCCAATTAGGTTCACCAAAGATGAGATGCAACGCGAGCTTTTGGAGAACATGTACCGCAACAACGAGCTGGACGACCTGCTCAAGGAGAGCGACTACACCATCCGCCGGCGGAAGGAATGCCAGCAGATGGTCGAGAGTCTGGGCCGTGCCAGCGAGATCGTCAGCCAAGTTCAGTAAACAGCTAGTGCCAGAAGCATGGCAGCTTCTCATCATGGTTCGTTAGGGGACGATCAAGTCGTCGAAGCCGACTGCATGATTGAAATGATTTCGAGCCGACGGGAGCTGGAAACACCTTTCACATCTCTCATCTTCCTTTGTGATTTTTGCACCGGGCTCGAAATCTTGACTATACTCGTATTTTTCACCGTCGCTCGTGCCCATTTTCTGTTGAACGAGCTGTTCCCCACATACAGCGATGCGGTTCCTCTCGCTCTCGAACTATTGACTCTTCTTCTTGGTTTGGGTGTTGCGGCCGTGTCTTGAGGAAAAAAAGCGGAGTTGGTTTCGCCGGGAATCGTCCTCTGGTACTTCTCAACTTCGCCCTTTTTTTCCGTCTTGTTTGTTTTGCCCCGAATTTGAAAGCCTTATACCGTTTCCCTTTGTTTCTCTTTCTCTTTGTTGGTCCGTTGTCTGCTATCTGCTTGTTTTGAGACCCATGAGCCTTCTTCCAGATGATGACTGTATCAACTAATGATTTCTCGCTTTCTGTTCTATGACTTCGCTTTAGAATTTTGATCTATCCACTTTTATGCTTTGGCCGTGGTAGAATATGCTAGAAACAGATTATTCTTTTCATAAGCCTAGGTGAATCTGCCTGAACTCCATGTATCTTCATGTTCAGTCAGGGGTAGATCATGCTGCACATCACGTGAGGGTACACAACCCTAGTAGCGCAAGTAAGCTTAAATGGGTAGTATTTCTTTGGAATCTCGGCTGAGATGCTGTGACTTACCATTATAAAGTACATGCTCCGTACTGAAAGGCATGCTGAAAAGCTCGTAAACATTATGATCCCCTCGAGTGGTAGCGATAGTGGATTTTGAAGGCATAAGGAGGTTGACTTGAACGCCCGATGGCTTCTTGAAGAGTCTCTTGTCCTTGTTTGTTTCAGTGTCACCTTTAAACCCATAGTCCTGCTAGAACTTAGGCTTCTGAAGTTACTCTGCTCTCAAGGACTATGCTTCGAAGACAGGTCCAGTTTCTTCTTTATTGTCAATACTTGAGCTCTATTGGCATATCTTTCACCAAACCAACAACCGGAAGCTTGGAGCTTATTGTCCAGCCTAGACGTTGATGAATTCATACCGGCATACTCTTTGAAATCTAGCCGGTAGCTTCTAGCTCCATATCTTGCAATTTCCTTTTCTGTTTCATGAGGGGATGTACCGGGCAATCATGCGAGTCTCGAGGTGAGGACGGCACCTTCCTTTTTGATTCCTTATAAGCCTCTCTCTCGCCATTTTCTCCCCCTTCATCTTCCCCCAACCATCATTCTTCTGCCACGCTTCACTGACATTTTGATCCAGACCAATCCCTCTCTAAACACAGTTCCCATCCATCTAGCCATGCCGCGCGGCATCAACCACCAGGAGTTGCGAGCTCAGTTCCGCCTGGCGGTCTGCCGCCTGATGAACCAGCTGCGTACCTTCTCCCGCTACATCCTCAAGGTCGATGAGCTCCAGTCGGTTGGAGTCTATGTTTCCGAGTTTGATCCCTTCGACCTCAATGAGGCCATCATCTTCCAACCCTTTCCGGAACAAGAGCTCCTGGAATACCATATCGACGAGGTACTCTTGCAGGATGAGTGGGTCTTAAAGAGACTCGAACTTCCGGATTGGACTCCCCTCGAGAGTTCGAACGGTGTTATCTCCCGTCGTGAGGAAGAACTTGATGCCAAGAAGTCTAGTGAGCGCATCTTTGAACACCTGGAGGCTATGTATTCCTGTTTGTCGAAGACCTATGAACCCAACAACCCTCTCTCCATGGCTCGCAACTGGACTGACATTCCGTGAGTGATGTCTGCAAGACTCTTACTGTTGGCGGCTGGGATCATACTGATCAAGAACATACTAGTATCCCGCATCCTGAATACACTTGGCCCCCCGAACTTGACATCAACAGCTGGCCCCGCGAGCCAGGCCTTTTGAATCACGGGCCAACCGCAGAGCATGTCGGATGGTGCTGCCAACAGGCAGCTGAATGGAAGGAACACGTGCGACGAGGAGAACCCAGGATACAACCACATGTACGACTTGTCGTCGTCCATGGCGCAACCGGTACCCCAAATGGAGTCCTTCTTGGCGAGCTGGGCACTATTGCACAGGTTATCTACAACCGTCTTAACCAGCCACGCTTTGAGAACGATTCTTACTTTCCGGTATGTTTGTACTTTGCAATTATGGGAAGGTATGAAGCTCATGAGAACAGGTACTGGTGATTTCGCTTTTCGGACCTCGCCATGGACGTATTCTGCAGGCTGTGTACAGACGTTCTGGACACATGGAACTTCGTATCACTCAGATTTACGACTTCACTAAGACTGATGACGCTCCGTTTGACCTCTTTCTGCGGTATCTCGCAAGTAACCCCCGGCGTGATGAGTACTGAGAGGAGCAGGTCGCAAGACTGTTTCCTTTGGTAGGCAAGACTGCTTTTCTTTTGAGATACGGGTACGCCTGATGGATATGACTAGCTAGCATTGCGAATACATTTTTAGTCCCATCTATTGAGTTATTCTTTGCTTTAACATGAAAAACAAACGCCTACAGCGGCTCAAAATATGTTACTCAAGTATAAGTTCTATCTACCTCGCTGGTCCGAGGGAGGGTGTCACGCTCATTTTCCACTTTTTCTTGGGAAGGAAAACGGTCATCCTGTACGCCGGAGCGGCTGACTATTCCATGCTCTTCGCGAGTAATGGTCGGCTTCACTGTAGCAATGTAAACAACAGCAGACCTTGTAGTCTTCTCGTGATAAAGTGATTTCTTACTGCCTCCAAGCCCCTGAATAACATCTCTGCCAGTCTCTTCCTTTCTTGCGCGGATACAAGGTCAAATTTGGGAAGGGAACCTTGACCATCATACTATTTTCTTTTTTAAGATTATTTGAAAAGCCGATGGACTGTAGGTAAAAATTCTCTTAGATTAAAACAGAAGAATTCAAGGAATGACCTCCGGAGGTGGTTCTTTGACATCTTATTGGTTCAATCTACCCCACTTCATGTAATAGACATCTTGTACTGGATGTGCCATAAATCATCTTCAGGCCGAGATTCATTTCACCATAAGCTTTAATGACAAAGATAGAGCTGAAGATATAGTGACTCAATTTGATTTTCGGTAATGGGTATTGCCCGGAGCAAAAACCAGTCTACATCTGTCCCGATACAGACTGCTCCTTTTCGGCGATACTCTTGCTCGGACAAGTGTATCGCCCAAAACAGGAAGAGTATTTGAAACCCTTCGACTCTGTTCTGTGTTCATACTCTAGCACTAGCACGAAATAAAGGATGAGCAAATATTGCTGAGAACGTAGGTGAGGAGAGGAATTTTCCGGGGGGATGCAGTGTATCACCAGAGTTGTGAGTTGCTTTCTGGACCTACACACGAAGGAATATTGTCAGTGAAAGAGCATGTCATATCTGTCTAGACTGGAATTAAATAAAGTAAGCCACACATAGTATACTGACAACCATCAAGGGTAGGCGATTTCATGTGTAATAAAAATGTTGAAGAGGACGAGAGACCAGTATATGACAAGAGGTCTAAATCGGGGAGAAGGCTTGTTTTGATACCTTATCCGTCGGCGTCGAATGTCGAATATGCCCACTTAGAAAAATACCGTATACGCACTAGTATGTCTGCCTTGGCAAGCTTAATTACTAGGTAGTGCCACTGAGATGTAGCTATACTGTCTAGTGCGATAAATGAGCTTACAACCACTTGCGAGCCCGGAGAATAGCATTTCCGCGCCGAAGTATACAGATCTGGACTTGTCATGCTTCTGACAACCAAGACATTATCTCGCTATTGTGTGCGTTTCTGTTTACTGAAGGATGTTTATCAGGTCTTGGGTATACGTGAAATATACACACCTTTTATAGAGATAAACCTCAATACCTCCAGGATCAAAAGGAACTCTCGAAACATGACCGCGCACAATTGTATATGGCGAAAGTGATTGGCTGTTTAGGAGTCAAAGTAGAAATGATGCATCACGGAGAATTATAGCTTAGTCGTTGTCTTATCTAGGTCCTTTGAGATGTGAGCCTCCCATCAGGTTCTTCTCCTCATCCTTTTAATCCTCGTCTTTCTTTCTCGCCCTCTTCCCTCCCCAACCACCATCACAACATCACTTCCTCCCACCACTTCTACACACAAAGCCACCGCCATGTGCTTTACTGAACACTATGCAGTGATTCCAGAGGGGTGCTTGGCCTCAAACAAGCACACCTGCTTGATCGAAGAGAGCACCCCATGCACCGCCACCATTTTCCTCGCCATGGTCCGCAACGCGGAGGCCGGGGGTGACCTAGACACACTAAAATTCACCCTTTGTGACAAGGCCGATTGGGTGAAGGTCGACTGCTTCCACCGCAAGTTAGAGACCCGGGCCCTACAGGCCGAGACCCCCTACTGCCCGGTCTGCACGGGTGAGAAGACCCTCGCTCAAGCCTTGACTGCAACGGTAAGTTGAGAGTATCTTGGTGATTGAAAACGGTGGTGAACCAGCATCAAACAGTTCAGTTCTAACGATGGTATCCTTTACTCGAACGCAGGATGACGAGAGCACCGATTATGCCATCCTGCCAAATGGCACTATTCTCTACAACACCGACAACACCACCCTCCTATCTTCCTACCTCGCAGACCGATTTCCCCGCGCGAAGAAGAAGCTCTTTGATTCTCTCCGTCCCAAGAAGACAGAGGTTGGCGGGTTGCGCTACATCCCAGCGCGTGACTTTGACCAGACCAGCACTTGGGGCGCTCGGAATGATGATAGAAAGCTCAAGACTTATCTCAGAATCTTCTTGACAGTTTGTCATTTGAAGGATGAGGAGCTCGAAGGGTCTGCGCATCTTCTTGACTGGCTGGAATCTACTTGGAGCAAACATGGATTTGTGGTCTGAGAGTACATTCTTCATGTTTCGTCTTATTTGCTTAAGGGCGGAGGAGCCGTTTCGTCCCATTTGCTGGTTCTACGCTTTATGTTCCTACTTGTCTACGACAACCTTGCCTTTAGATGCGGACTCGGTTGCCTGGGCAGTCTGTTTTCTTGGTTTTGCAAATTCAGTGGATGGATGGTTGGTTCTTGCGTTCTGTTTCTTCTCCAGTTTATTCTCCTTCTGACCTTCATAACATGCTTTCGGTTGTCTAAGTCTTTGTTGATGGTATTGTAGACGGCAGTAGAACTAGACTAATGTTGATCCCTGTAACCGTGCTGACCAAGTCCTAGAGAATTGAACCTCACAGTTCAAACCACTCTTATTCCCGCACCAACGAATGCCTATAAGAGTAATGCCAATCCTCCTTCCCAAGATCCTGCCTTACCTTATAATTCCTCTCCGCAATATCCAGCAGTCCCAGATCCATATTCACAACACGCACACCCTCCTCCGTACCCATCTTTGACACCGGCCCCACAATGGGAAGAGTAACCTGCGACATACCGAGGAAGTGCTCCTTCGGACCAGCTGCGTTGACGAAGATAATGCCACAGGTATTCTCGAAGCAGCGGGATGTAATTGTGGAGGAGAGGAATAGGGCTTCTGAGTCGGGATTGTGCTGGAGGGATTCCACGGAGGCATCGGCAGGTGTCCCTAACCAGTTAGCTTGAATTTGTAAAAGGGGAGGATAAGGCAAGGCGTACAAAAGGTAGGAATGATCACGATATCCGCTCCATCGGCGATTAATTCGCGGAACGCCTCTGGGAATGCTAGATCCCAGCAGATCAGCATTCCAACCCGACCAATCGGTGTGTCGATTGCCTCGTGGCGCTCCTGAGCAGAGGAACTCAAATGTGGTCTCTCGGGATGCCAGATATTCTTCTTGCGATAGGAGCCCAGGATGCTACCATCGTTGGAGATAAAGTATGCCGTGTTGTAGAATAGACTGGTCTCGTTGGGGCCAGCCTGTTTCTCAATGATGGTCCCAGGAACGACGCAGATCTTCAGCTCTTTGGCTAGAGCTTGGTAGTTGGCGAGGTATTTGGCGGCCTCGCCGGCTTGCTCGGCCCACTGGGGGTCATTGGGGGCCCAGCCGCTCAAGTGGTATCTAGAAGGGAGGTGTGAGCTTTGAGATCCGTACATTTTCTGGATTTACATACTCTGGTAGAACGGCAAGTTCTGCGCCATCAGCGCCAGCTTGGCGGATATACTTGCATGCCGTCTCGTGGTTCTTCTCGATGGCCAGTTCCTGCAAGACGACTTATCAGCTTCCAATTGCTACTTGCGTCATTGATAAGGTCGGGATTGGAGATAGGCAAGATCGGACCTTGATATGCCACTGAATGGTGGCAACACGACGTATAGGGGCCATATCTTATCGTTAGAAGAAAGAGCCAAATTCGAGATGTACAAGGAGCGAGAGATTATAATCAAAAGATCAATTTATTAAAGATGTCGAACACAACCCGAGTACTACCCCAATTACCCCAAACAGGTTGGAGACGGTGGACCACGGACGCATCCGCGAATCAAAACGATCCGAATGATCAACCCCGCGCCGAGCGTCTATTGCCATTTGCCATTACGCGCGATATGCCACAAAGGGGTATTCGTTATAGTTCATCACTTGCGAAATTGACACTGTACATGACTGGGAAACGCGTACAAAAATGGAAAATAGTGGCATGGGAACATTAAGGTTGAGACATATATCATGCAGGAATCGTGCAGGAAATGGAAAAAGGCATCAAACAAACCCCTCTAAACGCCGCAGGAGACGAACCCAAGAGAACCTTCCTTCTATGCAGAGGGCCGTTTATGCAAGGCCCGCTGCATCTAGTTTGAAGGTCGGCTTCTTACTGACGCGGTAGACCAGTCGGTCTGTCCAGAAGTGCGCAAACACGGCATGCAGGGTCGGCACGGCGCCGAAGACGGTACCCGCGACGGGGAAGCATACTCGGTCCAGCAGGTACTTTGGTTGGTACCAGATACGCTGGGAGCAGCCGGTGTCGGGGAGATTAGCCTCACGCATATCCTGCATCCGATTGTTGAGGCATAGTGTATGCCAGCGCTCGTACAGACTCAGACAGATGTTCATTCCAATGAAAGACAGTGCGCGAAGCAGGTCCGTGAAGGAGAACGCCCAGGCCAGCGAGGGGTGCAGTTGTGATACTGGCACCCAATTGGAGTATATAACGGAGAATAGCATGATTATGGTGAGATGGCAGGGCATAAAGTGGGCTTCCCAGAGGAGCTCGAGGAGAGCAAAATGGCGTGGGCGAAGGAAGAGGCACCGCTGGTTGAACCGGAGGTAGCTCATCGTGCGACGCGCTGCGAATCCCGAGTCCAGAGCTCCCCACATGTGTCGCAGGGCCTGGCGGTACCGGGCGAAGAGGGTGTCGATTGTACGGCGCCAGCCACGACCACCGTCCGCGGAGACATTGCACTGGCTGGCAGGCACGTGGATAACGCGCGAGATGACATTGCCGGCCGTCTCAAAGTAGCACTTGAGTAGCATGTGCATGTCCTCGCCGATGGCAGTAGGATCAGCGTCCCATCCACCGACCTTCTCGGCCATGGAGAGTGGGAGAGAGTAGACGGACGTTGGGATGGAGATCCAGGTACCCGGGTACATGGTTGACAAACCGGCGAAGCCCCAGAGCAGATCGGCACATCGGACGAGAGCAGGGCTTTCGTGGGAGTTGCGGTCAAAAATAATGGGGCAGCAGTAAAGGGATCGGTCCGCTTCGGTGATGTGCGAGTAGTGTAGACGGCGGATTTCGGTAAAGTAGTCGCGTGAGAGGTGAGTGTCCGCTAAAAATAGTTGAGTGAGAACTATGTCCGCTTATGAAGGTGATGCGCTAATTTACCATCCATGACTGTGACCACGACATTGCAACAATCCATCTTCAGCTCAGGCCGATGGATCTCGATAATCGAGCGCGCAGCGCAGGCTACATTGGAACTCTTGCCAGCGATTTCGCCCGGGATACCAGTGGGATGGAAAGTAGATCGAATGTGCAGGAAAGACTTTTCGAACATAGAAACCAAATGGGACGCTTTGTCGGTGGCTGTGGCTTCCTTCTGCTCCATGGCCAGATAGATCTACTCCCGGTTAAGGTTTATGTTCACACATTGTTCGTGTCTTCCCAAATGATCCCCTCAGTATTGAGAACTTACCTCATAATGTCTTTGAGCTCGAGGATGGCTAGCCAAGACCTTGAGGGTGGTCTCCAGAGTGTGCAGGTCCTCGCAATAGTTGGGAATGATAATCGCATGAATCAACTCCTCCTCTTGAAGCTCGTTCACGGCAACATTGGCATCGTCAAACTTCTTGGAAATCGACGAGTCGGAAGCCAGCGAGATCGGAGACAGTGGCTGTTCAGTCAGCTCCTCGCCGGTCATCTGAGGTGACTGGATAGGACTGCGCCAGATGCGTCGGTTGAAGGCCTGCTTGGTGCGAGTAGTAGCGCTGAAGATGGACCACCCCAGGCGCAGCGTGAAGCCGAGCATGTGGCAGTGGATAAGCACTGCATAGACGATGAAAATAGCTTGGGCCAAATTGAGCCCGCTCCAGAATCCATCCTGCGGCGAGGGCTTGCTGGGGTGAACGGGTTTTGAAGGGAAGAAGCTCTTCCACAGTGCGGACTTGCAGATGTCGGAGAAGGCACACAGCAACAAGATTGCCAGGCCGATGATGCTGAACCCCGGCAGGCAGCGCGTCAGCCATGCCAACATTGTAACTTGAAGACGAGGATTTGGAAAACAAGGAAACAGCTAGACAGCCACCGCAAAGGATCACGATCAAGAGGTAGAAACAAAAGAGGACCAAGAGAACAGAGAAAAAAAAAAAAAAAGGAGAGCTCCAATATTGTCGGAACCCTGGAAGAAAAGGTTATCGTGAGGGGCCCCTGAGAAAGGATGGGTCACCAGGTAGCTTACCAAGTAAACGCCTCTTCCTCTAACTGGGCTTGCGCCTCAAATCGTCCACCTGCTCAACTTCGAGACCGCGACAATGGAGCATTGTAAGATGGGATGATCGACTTGCGATCAGCCGTGTAGATGGGGGCTCTGGGAGCTGCATGTGAGCAGGCTCGACGAATGAGAGTGACGAACGAGGGAGTATGGGAGCGGGTGCATCAGGGACTCGCTGTCGACCCAAACGGGTAAGTATGAGCATCGTCAATAAAAAAGGGAAACCGGGATAATTTGCAGAATCCGCAATCCGTCCGTATCGGTGGATACAAACTGTGAAGAGTGACGGTACCTCGTACTTGCCAGTGCTCAGTGGAAATTACTGGACCCTGGGTAGTCGCTGGGTAATCTCTGAGAAGTCCCTGAGAAGTCCCTGAGAAGAGCCCTCAGGGACCTGCCGTGCCCTCAGCTTCGATAGACGGTGCTTTTTCCGCCCTAATCAACTATAAAAAAAGCCCAATTCACCGCAATCAACGGCCAAGACCCTTTTCGAAGTGGGTCTGATCCCCCAAAGCTGCAAAGCTTGGCCCATCGTGGGGATATGATTGGTGGAGGGCCTGCTGAGGTAAGTAGTTCCGTGCACGTTCCTCCCGGGGTGTTGATTAGCGAGGACCAATCAGAAACAGTCAACCTGAGGCGTGCTACTCTCAAAACAGCCCAGTTGGACTCGCAAAAGTTTGGGAGTACAAGACTATGGAAAAGTCGTCAAAAGTTAGAATATCAGTACTTTCCATTCTTTGATTGCCTGCTGCCTGCTGCCCGCTCGTCCGTCTCTTATTCGATCTCCTCTCGTCTCCCGAGGCAGGCCAAATCTGTCAGCCGGTAGTCTCTCCGGACACTGGCCCAATCCCATTCATCCCCAACCAGCCCATAACTCTCCCACTCCCTCGTGGCCTTGCGTGCATTCAGGGCCCAATACCCCCAGCTGGCATCCATCACCTCCAGATATCGCATCAGGTGACGCCAGTAGTTCTGGTCGCCTTCGCTGGGCGTTTCCGGTGTGCCAAACTCCCCCACCCACACGGGGGCGATCTCCTCTGTCAACAAATACCCCCAGTTCTTCCACATCGTCGTTGCAAAGTCCTCGTACGTTCGTGATGCAAAGGGTCGCAGACTGCCCCAGCCAGACCACTTGTATACGTGTGCCGAGTATACCACCCGGCCCGGAATGCTAAGCTGCACGGGACGAGTTCTCGCCCCGGACAGATCGTTCGCCGAGGAGATTCCCTCCACGAACATGAGCCAGTCCGGATTCATCGCTAACAGTCTTTCGGAGGCCCTTTCGGCTGCATCTGCCCATTCACCCCAATGCATCGTCCCCCAAAGCCCACGTACCTCGTTGCGAAGATCCGCCCCGAGAACCAGTGGATTCGACACCAGCGGTGCCATCACGGTCTCCCAGTTGCGAATCCAGCGCGCTTCTGTCTGCGATACCGTGCAGAGAGCGTCTGCACCAAACCAGTCGTTCTTCCAGCTCAGATCGCAGGGATTCATCCCACAGCACCAGGTCGCTTGCGTGATGTGATTGTTGACAATGACCAATAGACCCGCGGCAGTCAGACTCTCGACCACGGCATGGAACACATCGAGTGCACGCAGCGGTTCATCGTTCCCACTCTTGTTACTGAAGAGATCTAGATTTGCGGCGATGACACTCGGCCCGATAATCGGGTTCTTAATAACGATCTCATCCGCGTACGGAAGGCGAACACTGTTAAACCCGAGATCCCGAATCAACGCCGCGATCGTATCACGATGTTGCACCTCCAATCCACCCGGGACATAATCGGTATCACTGGCTCCGTACCAGTTGAGGCTGGCGAGTTTAAGTGGGATGCCTTTCGCATCGAGAATATGCCGGCCTTCGGTGTGGAAGGGCGGAGTAAAGTTGAGGGTTGCGGGAGTCGAATGGATCACCGTTGTTGCCGTGATAGGCGGCATGGTATCCATCTCGTCTCCATCCCATTTCCACAGTTCTGTGTGGAGTAGGATCACGATCGTGGTGACCAGCACCAAGGAGGCCCGACGATTCCGTCGGATCCAGTGGATGAGTGCGTGCATTATAGGATCGTGGTACTCATTAGGGTACCGCGGCAACAGTAGTAAACAGCCTGGCAAGTTTGTAGATGACTTAAACTTGTTTTTGGGGGATCGTAGATGAGATTGATTGAGGTATTGAGCCTAATGGCGATGGATTTGTCGGGATGTCTCGATCTGCGAGGCGACATCCGGCTGGTCCGCGCTGACTTTCTGGCCTTGTGCGATTCCCCTTCGGGCATTCGGCCAATGATGCAGCCGAAGCGCTCGGCGGAGATGATTGATCCCGATTTTCTATCGTGAGGGCGACGTGTCTTGTTAATAGAAGACACTTGGCTAGACTAGTGTGTAAATGGGGATGCTTAGTGACTATTTTGCGGGTACTGGAAATCTGGGTGCCTTTGGGACTATAGATTAAGGTTTTGCTCGATCGAGGTGCCATCAGGCTGTTCCATCAATGTCAGGTTGTTATTGCGTGTGCCTGTCAATATTACATCAAAATACTCTCTTGCCTAAATTACGGATTATCTCCTCGCTACTTCATGGCCGCCTGGATACATTGGTAGTCGAATTGATGGCTTCACCAAATGGCTAGTCTTGTTATACGAGCTTTCGACACGCGTCTTGCCCCGAGGCGGGCTCTAACAGTACACCATCAGTAACATGTACGAACACCGAGCCTTGGCTGCAAAGGTTATTCAAATATCTGCCCTTCATTGTTTGCGGTCCGCTCTCCTCTAGTCCCTGCATAAGAAGGGTGATGCAAATCCAAACTAGAATATGCCCAATTGAAGCTCGTGTCTAACTGAATCAAATATATGGAACATCGATCTTCTCATTGGTGTCTCACTAATGAGTGGCAAAGGCCACTTCAATTGCGCCAAGCTCAGCGTACAAGAGACTCGTGTTGTGGCATAATAGAATTCGAAGCAGCCTGGGTAACTACAAGCCCAAAGATAGAGTGCTACTCTCACGGAATCACCGCAGCAAACCGTACTTTAACGGGTGTACTTTAGGGCATTAAGCCTGCTTACACCTCCCCTCGTCCATGAATCTGAGTAGATGAAGAAATGGACATCAAGAGTTCATGTTTACTGAAGGTCCGTAAACCATAAATCAGGTGGTCTTGAAATGTCTAAATGTCTATAAGGAGTGCATACAAAGTCCGGTCCTACCCCGATTCCAATGCGGTTCAAATCGGGCGTCGGAGCACCTACTAGCCCTAATTCGATTGGACATGCCGATTCATGATATCAGTATCGCGTTTCTCATGGAAAAGGGTTTCTTGATCAACCTTCCATTTCTATCAGTGGACTCTCATTTCCATGTTTCAGCTTCTCTACTCTTCCGAAATTCTCAGATCCCGACCATCTAGCCTCACTCGAGGGCTCTGCAATCTAAGCTAAGTTTTAAAAAGTCTAAAAGGATCTACTCAAATCTATTTCGTTTGTGATATATTCCACTATCGCAATGAAGCAGCGACTTTCACCGCGCAGCTGGTCTCTTCGCAAGAAGGCCATTGCGTCCCCCGATCTAGTAATCGGCACGGCCATTCTAGCGGTCCTCTTCAACTTTATCCAAGGCGCAAAAGCACAAGACTACCCAGACTATTCCCCCCTGAGATATCAGCTACTCCACACCTACGAAGGCCCCTCCTTCTTTGACAATTTCAACTACTATTCCGACAGTGATCCAACGGATGGCTTCGTGACGTATAAAGACCCTCTCTTCCAGTATACAAAAACCAACTAACCACTGCAACCAGATACGTGACCAAAAACATCTCTGAAGCTCTCAATCTCACCCACGCCACTGACACAACAGCCACTCTCCGCGTAGACGCATCCACCCCCAATCCAGCCGACGGCCGTAACTCCGTCCGCGTCGAGTCCAAGGCTACATACGACTCGGGTCTTTTCGTCTTCGACATTATCCACACCCCCTACGGATGCGGTACATGGCCAGCGCTGTGGTTAACGGACGGTGCTAATTGGCCCACAAATGGTGAGATTGATATTCTCGAGTCGCATAATCATGGTGCACATGGGAATGAAATGTCCCTGCATACCACTGCGGGCTGTGATATGAACGTTGAGCGTCGACAGGCTGGGACGTCGATGGATGGGAACTGTGATATTGGGGCTGCTGGGAATGCCGGCTGTGCTGTGATAGGTGATCCGTCGACTTACGGGGTCGAATTCAATACTGAGGGTGGTGGGGTGAGTTCTTTCCCCCTCCATGATAATGATAATGATTTGAGGATGCACTATCATGGTCCAATACTGATTGAACTGTAGGTTTACGCGTTGGAACTTCGCACTGCAGGAATTCGGATATGGAATTTCCCTCGCTCCTCGATTCCATCCGATATTCACGGCGGATCTCCAGATCCTTCGACCTGGGGAACGCCGTTGGCTGATTTCCCCAGTACAAACTGTGACGTTGCGTCGCACTTTCGTCATTTGAATATCGTGGCTAACATCGATCTTTGTGGGCAATTGGCGGGGATGTCGTCGCATTATACTCAAATGTATGGATGTCCGGGATCGTGCGCTGATTTTGTGGCGAGTAAACCCTCTCAATTTGAGGATGCGTACTGGGAGTTTGGTGGGATTTGGGTTTACAATGCTTTTTGATAGATCGGGCTAGCTCTATCTTTTATGCTCGATGATGGGGGAGCGTAGTTGCTTGTTGATGCACTTCCGTGGGCTTGCAGATTTTGCTATATTACCCAGTCTTCTTTCGGATCTCATTGTTCGAAGAGAGGTAATGCGCTTATTAATTGAATGAATTCTCAATAGTCAATGGGTATCTTTACATGTCACCATACTTTCCAAGAACGATAGACAGCCTCGGAAGTTCTCATATCCCAGAGGAGCTGGCCGTGAATCCTTGTAGATTTCCTCCCACTGGGTTCCTATTCTTACCACCGAAACACCTAGAGAGCCTCCAAACGAAATCATGCCATCATCAAGGATCATTTACTCACAGCTTTCGCAGCAGACTGCCTTCCGCAAAGGGATTCTCGCTCGACATATCGATCAGCGGACGGGTTGCGTTGCGATCCCCTGTTGCAACGCCATGTCCCCCAGGCGCTCTGCTCGGCATCGGATGAGTACCCATGGTGCGGCTCGATGCCGCGAGCAGGCTGTTCGCCATGAATGGGTTGTCTGGCGATGTCGGGCTAGCTCCGGCCGAGCTGGCGCCCGGGTATTGAACCGGTGCCGAGGCCTGGCGTCCGCTCCGCATCGTATTGGAGCGGTACCGAGTCTGCGAAGAGACTTCGGCAGCAGCGGGTCGTCGCCAGGCCGTGGCCGGGGGAACGTTCACCGTACCAGGAGCCAGTTCGGGTCCAGTAGCTGCATCGATCAGCTGCCGGCCAGGTTCGACGGCCACACCACGCCCTTTGCGAGAGTGCTGCGGTGGCTCCACAAAGACCGGCGTCAAGTCCACCAACGGCTTCTGCGCCTGTTTAAGGGACATTGTACGGCCCAGGTGGGCGGCCGCATCTGCGTGGGTGAGGGTATTGGTGCGGCTGCTCTGCTGTGCAATTTGAGAGTACACGGGGCTTCCTGAAACCAGACCATGGGCTGTAAAGGGATCCTGCTTCGCTCGCTTGTCTCTCTCTTCCCGCTCATGCATCGCCTGCTGACGCTGGGTGTACGTCCTACCCAAAAGGCCTGATGACATGAAAACAGAGTCCGAGGTGTCCTCGGTGGGAGACAAATCATTAGGTGTACGTGTCTGATGATGACTCGTGTTGGTGTCGATAGCAAGGGTCTTTGGAAACGAGCTTGGGGGAGGTCTGTGCTCGCGGGTGGTCTTTCTGCGAGGAACGGATGCTTCCTTTCTGGCACGCTCGACAGAGCGGCGCGTAGGCTCTGGCTCACTGTTTTGACGATCCAAGCGAGGTATGTCGGATGATACGCCTTGCGGTTGTGGAATTGCCCTCGTCGCGGATTGCACCAGAGAAGCCTTGCGGTCCGTCTCATCGACACCTTTCACTGGATTCGCAACACCCACTTTGTTCACCAGATACCAGCTTCGCCAGCCTTGGACAGCTTTGTACCATTTGTCCGCAACGGCGCGGTCATTAGTGCTGAAGAAGTGCACAAAGTTGTCAGTCGAGAGGAATATGGAGGATTTCTGCTGACTCTTGATTGCAAGGCAGATTTTCTTAGGGGGTTTGATCTCCTTTGCAGAAGATCGAGCGCTCGGGGAGTAGATGTCAAAATCCGATAGATGGCAGATGTTGGTGGCATCTTTGGAGTGCTCTTTCTTGGAAATTGTCACTTGTCCATCAGTTCGGAGAGTCACGTATCGTTTATCCCACTTGCGAGGTCGATGAGAGTAGTAGCAGTAGATTGTAGTCTCCGTAGGCTGTTCAGCAGAAACGCTTTGCGCCTCGAGCTCAGTGATAGCCTCCATGCTCGAAGGCGGCACGATGATGAGGCTCCCGTCAGTATCTAGCGCCCAGGAGTTCATGACATCTCGGATACGTTCATACTGGCGCAAGCGCCGTTCCAGGCCAATCTGTTGAAAAGACTCGATCACGATGGAGGTGTCAGGATCAATGTCACGAGAAACTTTTCGAGCGGCAGACTGCAGCAGATCTTGCACCTGGGTGAGAGGAGTCACGGGCAACTGTGCACTGGCATCACCAAATTTGACAAGCACCAAACGCTCACCCGCATTGACAGCGGAGACTGGCGCATCAGTGCCAGGGACAATACCGCCCCCTCCAACTCCAATGTAGTTGGGCTTCGACGAGGCGGAGCTGGAAGAACCTTTGACGTGGTCTTGGGAAAGCTTTGACTTGGACAGCCCGACCTTTTGTAGAAGGGACTTACGGTTGCTATCACTGGAGGAGGGTGGGGTATCCGCTTTGTGTCGGCCTGACTGGGCAGGTCGCGATGATGTTGTCGCATATTGATCTTTCTGAAGCGCCTTCTCTGACTTGACTGCTCTCCCTGCCTTTGCAGGTCGTGATGGAAGTGCTTGAGAAGAAACAGCTGCTCCTGTCAACTGCGCCATCGCATTTTGCCTGTGTTGTTCTCGTGCCCGTTCTTCCTCCGGAACCACTACCGCCTTCGCAGTGCTGGGCAAGGCAGTCTCACACTGAGCTTTAACGCGGTCAGGCAGCGCAGGCGTGGGAGGTGTCGCTGAAGCTGCAGCAGGTCGGTTGCGCCGGTATCGAGACATGCTCCTGGCGATCGAGGGGTTCTGCTGATTTGTGGCATTTGCCCCTGCAGTGGCCGAGCGCACATTTGTGTCGATTTTGTCTCCGTTGTCGCGCTGTCTGTCCTCCATGGTTTGATTTTGTGACGAATGATAAGGAGGGCTCTTCGACGACACCTGCTGGCCAGGCGCATCTTCCGTGTACTTTAACATCACTGTGTAGAAGAGGCAGGGAAAGAAACCGTGCGTCGCATACACTCCAGGAGTTGGTTGATTCGCAAAAGTTTAGCGGTCGAGTCCAAATCCTTATCGCTTTGCGCTTTGTGATCGCAAGTTACATTCTGGGGTAAGCTGGAGACCACCGGAGTCAGTGCGCATTTCAACAAGATGCGACAATCAACACCCACATGCGTGCAGGTCAGAAATGAAGGTCAGAGGAAAGGGTGACAGGACGGAGGTCTTTGTGCGAAAAAGGGTAGACAAAAAGAACAACAAAAAAAAGCAAAAGCAAAAGCAGACAGTGGGTATGTGCAAGGGCACCACCGTATGAGGCTAGAGTCGAATGCGACAGCTTCGACCACAGACCCTCGGGCCAACACAACAGCTGGGGTCTCAATGGATCTGTTATTTCCTGTTGGAGGAAAAGTGCGCGTGACGATCATCAAGCAGACTGGGATTGGGCTGGGGTGGTGAATGGATGCGTGGGCGCGTCTGTGGCGTGAGATGCTACCAATCGTACTTACCAAAGTACAAGCTGGAGTGGCGTGGATGTGGAAATTGAGAGTGCGCAAGCCGAACGTGGGTGTTGGCACCAGATTTAAGAAGCAGAGGAAATGAGCAGGTCGCGTGGCTGGCCAAAGAAGACATTTCACTTCCCGACATTCTCTAGTAGAAACACGGTTGATCGGCGGAGACTATTGGCAATATTCACTTTGCCCAGCTCGCATTTCTGAAACTCTCCTCCGACAATTGTGATCTTGGTCCCCTGGACCTAGTGACCGAGGAGGACTAGTGTTGTCGCACAAAGCCTTGGTTTTTGACGATACTGGAAGATAATTTGGGACGGGAGGATCTAGATTCTGGTACCCTTCCCCCCAAGCGCTCCACTAAAGTTGACTGGTCGCCCTGCAGCCCGAGGTCCACTCTCTAGGGTGGACTCAAGAATCAGGGATACGCAAATGAGCCTATCCTGATCACTGGCCCGTCACGAAGATCCTGTATGCTCTGTCCAGCAGGTGGGCCCGAATTGAGACGATCTTTGAGCTCTGATTCTGCGAGAATCATCCGATGGTAGCTTCGTGCAGAAAGCCAAATACTCCGTACTCTACTGAGTGCCGTTGTTGAGCAGCCGATTTCTCCTACAACTCACCGTACAGCAGCCAAACCTCTATTGTCTTCTATCGGGCGTGTCGACCGACGAGCACAGAGCTCCTTTGTGGGCAGTATAACTCACAACTAATACCGTGATGGTGATCAGCTGCATGTTGTTGCACGCGTTTTACCAGGAGCTCGAAGGTCCTCAAGTCGTACCCCTACGGTACGAGGCCCCCATTGCTTCTGCGTGAAGGAGCCCCGATGCTGCAGATACGAGTCATTCATGTGTTGCTCAATTTACATCTGGACGTTCACAGCCATCCTAGATGGGCGGGATTCATTTTTTTTCGTTTCTATCTGGTTTGGGTGGGAAGATGGCCCAGAATTAGCGGCATCACCTGCAGCGGAGAAGCTTGTATATCGCTATTGTTTTCTTCGCCGGATCAAACGTTCTCTTCAGTGTCGGACCGCGCCCAACTCCCTCCGCCTGAAAGAAGCCAAAAGAATTAGCATGGGCCCCAAGGATCAAAATGTATCCCAACGAAATGGATCCACTCACCACCAAGCGATAAAGTCCATTGTTCGCACGTCAATACCCAAATCCACCAACGCCTTGGTAGACAGATGCGTATCGTAGGGACGCTGCACACCTCCTGGCTCATTGCCCTGCTTGTTGCGGATCATCCCAGGCAAGGACCAGCCTTGTACCTCGGCCAGCTTCTCGCAAATTTCATACTTGGTCATGCGATCCTCGGAGCTGAACTGTAGGATGTGCGGCATTTCCTGGATTTGATCCTTCTGCTTCAGGTACTTAATGACGATATCGCGGACGACGCGGGCCACATCTTCAGTGTTGGTGGGATAACGCTGGGCCCAATCGTCCATCTTCACGCCAGCGTTCTCATCCTGCGCCTTCTTGACGGCATCGAAGAGGACGTTGACCGCACTCTCCGAGTTTGATTTCGCAGAACCGTACAACACTGGCACGCGCAGCACAACGCCGAGTCCAGACTCCTTAGTAGCTTCGAGGACGGCCACTTCGCCATCACGCTTCAATTGGCCGTAGATGTTGGGGGGCTCGGTTTTAGCATCCGCTTCATAGGGAGCTTCGCCCTCCTTGCCGGAGAAAACGTAGTCGGTCGAAATGTAGACGAGAAATGCCCCGCGAGCCTGGCAGTCTTCAGCTAGGGCACGAGTGGCGTCGACATTGACCTTGCGTGCTTGCTCGGGATTTTTCTCGCACAGGTCTGGGGATCGGTTTGCTGCACCTGAGTGTCACTCGTGTTAGTCTAAGCCCGGCAGGCAATCGCGTGTTTTCGAGAAATTTAACAGGTAACATACTATGGATTACAATCTGAGGCCTACCGCAAGCAATTCGCGATTAGCAATTGGAAAACCTAGCAACGGCTCGATCGCATCGATCTACTTACTTGACCTCGTTCAGCAGAGCCTTGATATCCTCTGCCTTTTCCAGGTCCGCCTTGAGGATGGTTGGAGGGGCAGCACGCGTGAAACCCTGTCCGACCACCAAGACTCCCGAGTGTTGGAAAGTCGTAAACAGCTGGCGTCCAAGAAGGCCAGTGGCTCCTGTAACGAGAACCGTGGAAGTCATTTTTTTCAGGATTGCGAGAGAAGGGGGTGAAAGCTCTCTGGTGAGAATTCGAAGCTCCCCGCTTGTAGGAGAGGGCCAGTGGGGCACTGAGATGACGTAGCTGACTCTCGCATGGTCAGTTTTCCCGGCTCAGTCACCGGATTTTTTGTTTACAGATATTACCAGCTATCTGAATAGATTGTTTAAACTTCATGATACAGTGATGCAGGCAACCTAATGTCTCCAATCCTTGCATCATACTCTGCATGATGTTTGAAGCCCGGGGATGTGGCGTCGCCATCGGTATATATATTTTGAGATGGACACGCGATGAATTAGCTTAATTTAAGGTTGCTCGCTACCCTGCCAAGAGACGAATCGTATCGAATATTCTCACAGCTGTTAGTCCTACCAAAGACAAGTTCCATGGGTTATCAAACCAATAGTGCCCTTTACTAAAAACACCAACATTAGGTCCGGGCACAATCCCTATTCGGTTGTCTCGCCTGATGACGGCGGCAAAAGACTTGATGGAGATCCGTCTGGGGCACACATTCCCTGGATTTTACCCTTCAGAAGATTCCACGACCGCTCATGAATTGAAAAGTATCCTAGTTTGTTAGATACTAAAGTCTTGCAAAGTGTTGGTCAAATTGGCTGCCAAAAGGCTACCGCCGAGAATCACCGAGAGCATTGACATCGGAGAAAATCCCGAGCGGTCGCTATGGCGCGATGGTCGGGGGGAGATCGGAGCGGGATCTCCACTCTTCAATTGACCGGTTCAATTCACCCCAAAATTTATCTTATGTGCTCATTTTTGCTCTTTTGACACCTCATCTCTCTCCATCGTCCCTCTCCACGCCATGTCTGGTGCTCGGAATCTCTCAAACGCCCTGCGGCGGGCACGAGTGCCTCGTCCTCGCATCGTCGTCCGACCCGCCTTGCTTCAATCACCGGCCACGACTGCTATCCGCACCTTCAGCGTGAGCTCCACTACTCGCGCCGACAAGCAGATCAAGTACACTAGCGACGCATACCCCAATGTTAAGCGTGACCCCAACTTTGGCGAGCTTACTGCCGACGATGTGGCTTTCTTCAAGGAGCTTCTGGGCTCCCAGTCCGCCGTGGTGGACGGCGTGACCACCGATGCGACGGACGACATTGAGCCCTTTAACAGCGACTGGATGCGCAAGTACCGCGGCCACACACGCCTGGTTCTGAAGCCCCAGAGCACGGAGGAGGTTAGCAAGGTGCTAAAATACTGCAATGAGCGGAAGTTGGCGGTGGTGCCCCAGGGTGGAAACACTGGCTTGGTCGGTGGTTCGGTCCCCGTCTTTGACGAGATTGTGATCAACACCTCGCGGATGAACCAAATTCGTTCGTTCGATGAGGCTTCCGGTGTACTGGTTGCCGATGCTGGTGTCATTCTCGAGGTGGCAGACCAGTACCTTGCTGAGCGTAACCACCTGTTCCCTCTGGACTTGGGCGCCAAGGGATCTTGCCACATTGGAGGTAACGTTGCGACCAACGCTGGTGGTCTGCGACTGCTGCGGTATGGTTCTCTTCATGGAACCGTGCTAGGTCTTGAAGCAGTCCTGCCGGACGGGACTATCGTTGAGTCGCTCTCTACACTGCGCAAGAATAACACCGGATACGATCTCAAGCAGCTTTTCATCGGTGCCGAAGGAACAATTGGCCTGATCACCAAGGTTGCTATCATTTGCCCCCCGCGACCCAAGGCTGTGAACGTTGCCTACTTTGGATTGGAGAGCTTCGAGCAGGTGCAGCGTGCCTACCGGGAGGCCAAGGGCCAACTTTCGGAGATCCTATCTGCATTTGAATTGATGGACGGCCGCAGCCAGCGCTTGGTGCACGAGTCCACCGGCAACAAGTACCCCTTGGAGGGTGAATACCCCTTCTACTGTCTCGTTGAGACTAGCGGTTCTAATTCCGAGCACGATATGGAAAAGCTCGAGTCGTTCCTCGAGCACGTTATGGGTGAGGGCATCGTCGCCGACGGTGTCTTGGCTCAGGATGAGACGCAGTTCCAGGCTATCTGGCGCTGGCGTGAGGGTATCACCGAGGCTCTGAGCCATCTGGGTGGTACCTACAAGTACGATGTGTCGATCCCGCTGCCTGAGCTGTACCAGCTTGTGGAGGACTGCAAGCAGCGGCTTACCGAGAAGGGATTCGTTGGCGACGACGACTCCTTCCCCGTTCGGGCCGTTGTCGGCTATGGCCACATGGGTGACTCCAACCTGCACCTGAATGTGTCTGTTCGCCAGTACAACAAAGAGGTTGAAAAGGCTATTGAGCCTTGGGTTTACGAGTGGATTCAGAAGCGCCAGGGCAGTATCAGTGCTGAGCACGGTCTGGGTATTGCCAAGCGGGAGTTCATTGGATACAGCCAGAACGACACTATGGTGAAGCTGATGAAGCAGCTGAAGGCACTTTACGACCCGGTGAGTGTTATACATCCCTTGTGCTCGCTTATTCTCTTGGAGTGTCCCCAACTAATATCTCTCTTTAGAACGGCATTATGAACCCGTACAAGTACATCTAGGAATGACCCGATAGAGTTGCATGGGGTGTGTAGTCGTGTGTATAAAAAATATATCCTTTTCTTTTTGCTTCACTCGATAATCTATCAAAGTTTTGAGTATCATTTAGATTGTTTAATTTCTTTTTGCATAGAGTTTGGACTCTCGTCCTTTGCCACGGAAATGCGGGCGCACATGACGCAGGGCCATCCCGTGACTGGGGTTCCTTGCATTGAGATTAGTCCCGATCAAGGTTAGCTCCATCCCCACTCCGTGGCCTCAGGCACTGTCGTTGCCATGCGAAACGAGGCTGTTGTTTGGACGATTATCGTTAGCTCAATTCGATGCTCCACCCCTTTAGCTGCCCGACTCTTCCTCTCTTTTTGAACTCTCGTTGTTGCCGCGAAACTTAGAGCTCTTCCAAACGGCTTACGGCTGACCCCAAAGCTTGCCAATTTTCACCTCCCCTGGATGAGAATCGTCCGATTCGTCGCAGGCCTGTCAGACCGGAGTCGTTAGTTGGGTCCGATCATTTGCGCAACCATGGCGGACGATATGGCGAACCGTTATCAGGTGATGGAGGAATTGGGAAGTGAGTTGAAATTCTGGCCCTGGACACCCTGCAGAGGAGGCGCTGACTGATTTATCCTTTCTTTGTCTTTTAGGTGGGAGTTTCGGAACCGTTTACAAGGCCATTGACAAGCATACTGGCGAGATTGTTGCTGTCAAACATGTACGCTCCCGATTAACCCCAGGTCGCCAATTGGGCCTCCCTCGATTGACACATATCTACCTCTACAGATCGATCTCGAGTCCAGTGAAGATGATATCCAGGAAATCCAGCAAGAGATCTCCGTCCTGGCCACTTGCGCTAGTGCGTTTGTTACACAATACAAAGCTAGTTTCTTGAAGGGGCATAAGCTTTGGATTGTTATGGAATACCTGGGCGGTGGATCATGCTTGGACCTGGTGCGTGGGAAATTCCTGCTACGTAGTCGTTCGAGTCTCAATCGCTAATACGGTCGCAGTTGAAACCAGGTGTATTCAACGAAGCGCATGTCGCAATCGTCTGCCAGCAACTACTACAGGGCCTCGAGTACCTACACGCCGAAGGAAAAATTCACCGTGACGTCAAGGCTGCCAACGTCTTACTCTCAAATACAGGAAAGGTGAAGCTGGCAGACTTTGGCGTGGCTGCGCAGTTGGTCAACATCAAGTCTCAGCGTAACACGTTCGTGGGGACTCCGTTTTGGATGGCGCCGGAGGTAATTCAGCAGGCTGGTTACGACTTCAAGGCAGACATCTGGTCTCTAGGTATTACTGCGATCGAAATGATCAATGGCGAGCCGCCGCATGCGAGCACACATCCGATGAAGGTCTTGTTCCTTATTCCGAAGCAGCCTGCGCCTCGTCTCGAGGGTAATGATTACAGCAACACCTTCAAAGACTTTGTTGCGCAGTGCTTGACTAAAGACCCGGACCGCCGACCCAGCGCAAAGGAGTTGCTGCGACACAAATTCATTCGAAATGCCGGAAAGACGGAGGCACTGCAGGAGTTGATCCAGCGCAAGCAGGAATGGGACGCTGGTCGAGGAGGCTCCAAGGACGTGAAGTACTACGCCGAGTCTCTGTAAGAACACTAGCCCTGGCCCACCTTGAGAAATGACTAACATTGATCCCTAGCAACACGCTCACGAGGCCACCTCCTCCCGAAGACGACGAGGACTGGGTCTTTGATACCGTGAAAGCACCAACGATGTGGGTGCCCAAGGGCAAGGACTGGTCTACCCTTGATGAAGAGGATGACGATTGCGACCCAGCCGAGCTGTTGCAAGATATGCACATTTCTCAACCACCCCCAGCACCTCCGAAGCACCAGGTCAATCCGGCCGTCCAAGCTAACTCGACCGTCCGACGTACCCCGACCGTCGAGCGATCAGCTGAACGATCCCCTTCTATCCGGCGTGCTAACACCAAACGCCGATCTAGTGGTGTCAAGCAGCCGTTGGGCCTGGATTTGAGCTTTGGCAACAGCCCATCCACTGTTCGCCAATTCCGTCGTGTTTCGGATAAGGTCCCGAGCGAGTCTACGACCCCCAAGGTTCCACCCGGGTTCGACGAGAATACCAGCCCCAAGCAATTCTCCTCTTCTGAATCGACTAGCAAAGAGGCTCAACTGGGACATCGTGCCTACAGTAGGGCCGTCGGTATATCCTGCCAGGAGGTCCTGGCCAATACCGGAGACGGCGAGAAACGAGAAGCCATCTCCCGACTGGCGGAGGCCTGGAGTGATCTGGAGATGGTCGATCCGGAGGGTCTCTACCACATTATCCGAACCATGAATGAGCGACTCCAAGCCGACCCCCGCCTCGCCTCCTTGATCCCCGCAGCCCCCGCTCAACCTGACTCTCCCTCCCGCCCTCGTTTAGTGCTGGCACAAAATAACCCGCACCTCAAGAGCCACCGCCGCCGACAATCAACGCATGTGGTTGACCCGATGCCCCAGTCTCCACCTCGCTCAAGCATGCCCGGTCAAAATGTGCCTGGCATGGAACACACCAAACAACTTTCCGATGTACTCTACCAGCGTTGGGCAGAGGGACTCCGCAACCGATGGGGAATCTAGGTAAACGCTAGCTTCCTTACATCACGCAGTCTCTTCCCTGCCGTGTCTTTCATCTCTCGCGTGCTCCGATGGAGTATTGTTCACATTCGTTGTATAGACCATTTTGGCGTTTTTGATCCGTTTCTATAACCCCCCTTGCGATCGTTCATCTACCGTTCCGAGCTTGCCGCCGGCTTTGCATTCTTGGTGTCCATTCATTTCCCTTCTTTTTGATTATTTTCCCGCTTCTTGGTCCCTCAGCGGGATAGGGCCTGGAGTTTTCTGTATGACCATGATGTGGTGTAGTATTGTCTTGAGTTTGATTTGTCTTCATGTTCGGTTGTTCCATTGTTTACTTTTTACCACTTTGCACCCCCCAACAGAAATGTGTGCAGGGCCTAGTGTCTTACTCGGACCCTTTGTGTTTATTCTGCTCTTCTTCATACATAGATGGCTGTTTTGATGTCTGCCCGTTGTGATTTATGTGTGTTGTTCTCGTTGGTGTTTTGCGAACCCCCCCTGCTTCCGCTGTATTGTGTATTGTGTGGGGAAAGTAAGGGGTTCCCCAAACGAGCAAATCTATCTTTGAAATCTCTGTGAGAAATTGAGAAGTTGCTATATATGATCTGATTGGACTATTCTCGCTGTTTTGTTGACCTGGGGATTTCAATTGCATCTCTGGATAGAGTTTCCCCACCTTGATGCCTAAACTCACACGTCGTTTAGTCAGTGCTGTATAGGTGGTTGATTCGAGTCTGAACTCTAGCAGACGTCTCCCAGGTAAGGACGTAAATTGTTTCAGTCTGGTATTCTACACTTTCCCCCAGATGATAGATTGGCCGAAGACGTGTTTACATTTGCTTGTTTACCATGAATCGTTCTACCGAAGCTCAACCCCCTTCTCAAGTTGAACCACGAGCTTTCCCCCTGGAGGACATTGGCAAGTATAGTTAAACAAGGCACTCTTGTTCTCATGTCAGGGATTATGCACGGGATGATAGATCCTCAGATCATTTTTTTGGCTGTCGGTCCCGATCACGAAGGTATGATTCCATTATACCGAATGCGAACAGTGAATGTGGAGGTGGGCAGCAGCGAAGCAGTACTAATACCTCGTGCAGCGCGCCATCAAGGCCCTCTGGATACGAGCAATAGAAATGCTTCTTCCGAGAGACCTCAACGAGTGTTTTCATTTGAAGAGATGGCCAGAATATCTGATTCTGCCGGAATTCTCCCTCATATTTGCAGAAGTCTAGAATGCAGGTGTCTTGTTTGGCGGGTCAAGCTTATTTTCCATATTATATTCTCATCTTAGTACTTCTTAGCTCCAGCGACCTCGGGATTTCACATTTGGGCTTTCTTGAGACTCGGGCAGGTCGTTTTGCGAATCTCATGATATGCGAGAAGGTTCAGTTGGAGAGAATCTTTCGGCGTGACAAAATGTTCAAGAATCCACTCTTTGAATATTCCATTCTCGACCGAAGACCTAACAATACACCTATCACGGTAGCCTCCACTGTGGTACAGCTTGAAATGGGTTCTTCATGGAAATTCCGATCAGTCAATAGTGAATGTCTCTACTAACAGACTTATGGTGTCTCTACTCTGGGATACAACGGATAATAAGTTTATTATGACTGGCTATTTGCTGGGCTACCCGTCAAAGTGGATCTCCTACTTTGGCGTCGAGTCCAGGCTTCTTCCGCCGGTGATGATTAGTTGCCCACAGGAGCATGACCCACGCGGCGGGTGGAGGAAGAGGACCACGACACGAGTACAGTCCATTGGAAAGGAGCATTGATGTTGATGTCGATGTTGATGTTTATAAAATCAACTGAAGAATATTATCTTCTTAGCCAAGGTGTATTTCGAGCCTCTTTGCCCGGCATGGTCGGAGATTAATCGGCTGGGATGTGATTCGCAGTGGGCTCCAGATAGTTTTGGCGCAGGGACGGCCAGACGCCGATCGCTGCCCTCGCAAAGGACGACGCTCCAGCTTAAGGAGAAGGATAAGACTTCGTCAGACGAAGTAGAAATGACCAAGTACTGCGGACGGAGTATACCTCGTAGACTGGAAGGTATTCTTAGCCATGGTAAATGAGAATGGAGCCTCGGAGATTGACTGATGGTGGGAATAATGTATAATCACAATAAGCACCGAGTGGAACGAATACCTCGGGGCCCCTGAAACACTCGTGGCAGCGATGTGCGGACGTGGAGATCCACTTTGCCTGGCCCAGTCTCTCTCTCAGGAGAAAATGGAACCCTCTTCAGACCTCCTCCGCGCTGGTCAACCTCGCGTTTTTCTTTTCTTTCACCCCCCATCTGCAATTCCTCTTCGGTCTTGTAAATATCAGCTATTTTTTTTCTTTTCCATGTTCAATCTTCCTTAGACTTTGTGAATACTTCCGTCCCTTCCACTCGCTCTCTCCTCGTTGGCTGGTCCACCATGGAGCTCTCCCCGGGAACGGGTGACGCCCTCATCCACGGTCCTCATCCGAATGCGTCCCCGACTTCGATGGCCGCACCCACCACCACGGCCGAGGCCGTAGACTCTTCCACACAGCCAACGACTGCCTCCGAGAAGCCACCCCAGTCACTCTCCCGATCCGCCTCTCTTTTGCAACAGAAGCGGTCTTCACTGCCCCCTCGCGCTCACGCCGGAGCTCGCCACGCTAAACGCTTAACCCTCAACTTCCCTATCAACGTTCCGCTGGACCTACCTCCACCTGCTGCCGCCGACCCGAGTGTCTCATCCCCAGGATCCATGACCCCCGTGACTCAATCATCGACTCGTCCGTCCCCGGCGCTCCCCGCGGGGACTCCCATGCCGTTCGATGTCGAGGACGACGGCTACGATTTCCTACGCGCCATCGCCTCGCAAGAACGAAAGGTACTGGAGCTTCGAGAGGAGCTGCACCGGGCCGAGGCGGAGCTGTCGACTTTGAAGAAACAGTGGGCACAATCAGAGAAGACGAGGAAACGGACCGAAATCAACCTGCATGCGGAGCCGTTGCTGCCGCTTCGGTCTCCCGATCTCAACGCACCCGAGCCATCAAATTCACATCGTCGGGAGCAGAGCTTGAGCTCGGTGGCAAGCTCATCGGTATCACAAGAGCGGGTCAGTCGGGAGCTCGAGAGACGTTCCAGTGTTCGTGTGGCTCCTGTGGCACCTCCCAAGGGAACGACGATCTCGGCCAACGGTCGGCGGGTGTTTCAGGGGTCTCACGCCCGGACACTCTCTCTGCTATCCCCGGTGACAGCGAGCAGCCCGTCAGCTGCGGGTGCGATGCCATCTGATAGTGACCGTGTAGGCCGGACTCCACGATCCGCGACTCTGCCCTCGGTCGAGCGTGAGAATGTGTCTAGTATTGGAGGTCCGATGGATGAGAGCCAGGTTCCAGAGCATGTGCTGGCTCAGTGGCGAAAGAATATGCCTCCTCCTTCGAGAGAGGCTCTGGTGCGAACGGGCAAGCAGATGGCTTCGGATCTACGCGAAGGCTTGTGGACGTTCTTCGAAGATATTCGACAGGCTACTGTTGGCGAGGAAGGTATCAACGCAACGGAATCACGCACCATGTCTCCACCCAACGGGTCACTAGCACCATCTACCGCGCGCAAGCGAGACTCTTTGGCGAAATCACGGAGTCGAGATCGACTGTCCGCTACGGGAACTGTCTCACGATCGTCGTCTTCGTCGTCATCACGGGGCAGGGGGACGGCGGCCGAGAAAACATCTGGTAAAGACACCAAACCGGACATCTCTACGTCTTTCTGGCATGAATTCGGGGTTGATTCACCAGCGCAGACGTCCCCCCGCCCCGGCGCTCATCGCAGCTCCTCCGACAACACCATCGCCGCCCCGGCCCAACGGGACAAGACCGAATCCGGGCCTCCCCATCACCACTCCAGCAGTCAACCCGAAACGGATGATGATACAGCCGATAACTGGGATATGTGGGATACGCCGTTGCCTGCGTCCAAGATCACCCATACACCCTCGTCGAGCCGGTCGACGGTGGACTCATCGAAACAAGATCAATCCCCCAATACCCAAGGCAGCAGCCCCCGGACGAGTGCTAGGTACCATTCGACCTTTTCTGATTTCATCTATGACAACCTCGTTATGCGCTGACGCCCGCTCCCCTAGCTTTAGCGAGTGGAACCCAAGTTCCGCCGCGCCCGATCCCAGCGTCACCGAAGGCATCCCTTGGCCGACCATCACGAAGCTGGCCCCCTCGAAACTCCAGCGTACCGCCTCGAACCTCATGGCCGAGTGGGAGCGTAGTCTTTCGCCATCCCCGTCTCCCGAGCGGAAGGGCTCTCCCGGTCTCAATCGTGGCAAAAACGACAAGAAGGACTAGGCCATGATCCTGGTTCCTGATATTTTTATCTTCTATGTACATTCTTCACCCTCCCATTTTCCTTCTTCGACCCCAGATTTGAGGGTCTCCGTTGGACGAATTGGCACGACACATTCCCCCCCCATCCACGGACTTATGCTGAGCTACGACTTATTTAACGCACGAGAGCGTTGTTTCTTCCTTCTCTTCCTTATATTTGGGATATCTGGCAGTGTTTCAAATCTGGTTTGGGAAATTGGTCGATACTGGTATCTAGAATTTCCCATAAACGTTACCGGAAATAAGACCAAGTTACTCAAAATGCTGTTCCCGAAAACTCTGCATTCTAGAATCAATGAAATATTGTAGTTTAATAGTCTCCAATACACCAAGACGTTTCTGATCACCTCGGAAGGGTATTGAAACAGTGTCACGTGATAGAATGCGTAGTTGGTCTCTCTGGGACACCGGAAAATAAATTTGCGCCGAATTGCCGCCTCCGCAAGATCTCCGCGCCTCTCGGACCAGACTTTTGTTCCAGTCGCATCCACGCAGGGGAACGCATACCCACTTCTATCTCTCTACATTTTTGTCGATCAACCCTCCATTCTCATTCTTTATCTCTACTTCGCTCCCGTTTAATCTTCACCTCGAGTCAATATGAGTGGCATGCAACACGGTCTTGGGGGCCTGGGCAACAACCAGGCCGGCATGAGCGAGCAAGAACAGGCTATGGTTAAGATGGTATGCTCTTCGACTATCTATTGCTCCAACGAGTCTTTAACTAACAAGCATTTCTTATAAGATGCAAGCCGGTATGGAGTCGTGCCCCGTCAAGACCGTCATCTCCGGTACAATGGGTTTCGCACTTGGTGGTGCCTTCGGTCTCTTCATGGCCAGTGTAAGTCCATCCACCGTTCCCTCCGTCAACAAAACACCAGCTCATCAGTCTTGTAATCGCACAGATGTCCTACGACTCTCCCCTCACCCCTCAAGGCCGCGAAATTGCCGACCTCCCCTGGCGCGAACAAGTCCGCCGCGGCTTCAAAGACATGGGCAAACGCTCCTTCTCCTCCGCAAAGAACTTTGGTATCGTCGGTGCCCTCTACTCCGGAACCGAGTGCTGTATCGAAGGCCTCCGCGCCAAGAATGATTTGACCAACAGCGTTGCGGCGGGCTGTATGACTGGTGGTATCTTGGGCGCGAAGGCCGGTCCGCAGGCCGCAGCTTTTGGTTGTGTGGGCTTTGCGGCGTTTAGTGCTGCTATTGATGCTTATATGCGTATGCCCTCGGAAGAGTAAAGTGGGGGTGATCTTGCTTCGTGGCGATACCCCTGTGACTTTACGCTGCGTTGTGTGTTGCGTTTCTTTGACTTTGTATACTATCATGGCGCTTGGCGAATTTGGGATAGACTGGAGCATAGAGGGCGTTTTGTTATATTTTGTTTTCTTTTCTCTTCCTGTCTCATTTTTTTGGTGCAGGTGATTGCAGGTGATCGTTGATCGGGCTTTCTTGTGCCTTGGCTGTTTGTCTATCTTCAATCAGGAGCTTTTCTATGCGCGGAAAATCTGCAGCATCTCCCTTCTTTTACTTGACTTTGCCATTTTTCTGGTCGTTATGGGTAGAATGTCTTCCTGCTTGGTTGTATTATATTGACGTGGGGTATATGGATGAGAGCTCTGAATAGACATTGATAATCACTCTTCTCACTCATTGGTTTCTCCGTTTCCTTCTACCTCAAATTAGGAGAGTCAGCCGATTTCGAAGCGCAGAAGGTGGTTAACTTTCCACTCGCTGTAGTTGACTCTCATATACTGTCTTCGGGGAAGAATATACAGTGGTTTGACGGGCTAGGAGAAAAGCAAAGTATGGAAGAGAAAGAGAAGATATCTAGGGTTTCGAGTCAGTCACGAGAAAGAGGAAAAAGCCGATGAAATTGAATGGTCAAATTTACTTCGGGATATGTTGAAATCATTTCAGTATTGAGATGTAGCCATTCCTATGCTTTCCCATCATGATGAAACAAAAGAAAGCCAAGATTTGCTTAACCAGAAGGCGACGCTTGAGAAAGAAGTGTCAAGTCAAACGAAAGTCTTCAAATTATCCACATTGTGATCTCATCGCTCCATCCTCCCCAGCCTTGCAATGTCCGCTCCTACAAGTAGTAGCGCCACTGCAGTCTGTGAGAAGGCCGTACTCATTGTTAGCAGCGATCCACCAACGATCCTTAATCGTCTAACACTCACTGTATTTTCGAAGCGAGAACGCCCATGCCAAGGGGATCGTGATCATAAATGGAGCATTGTGAATTGAGCTGTCCCTTGTAATTGACTATCTTCTACTATTTGATTCTACACCAGATGGCCAAGGAAGATAGTGCACGGTCTGATTGGCGTATTTTCAGAATTCTCTTTCATAACAAAAGATAATGTTATTAGGTTGCTATCGCATTCATACTTACTTTCAGATAATATTACATCTCATGGAGTGGCACTCGTAGTATTCTTGTGGTGTAGATGTGTTGATGTTGTTGTGGCGGGGTCCACAGATACGACCAGACAGCAATCACATGACCGCTTATCGCGGTTCCCCGTTTGGGCTGTTTGTTTACCGCCCGCCACTCCTCCGTGCCTTCATCTGTGGATGCGCGACTGCCATGCTTTTCGCCTTTCACTAATTGCCTTTCAACAACCCCACGCCCACCATGCCCGGCAGAGTCGCCGCCCGTTCGACCTCCGCTGCGACCCGTAGGTCATCAGCACAACCGTCTACTGGACGCGCCCCCTCGGTGACCCCGTCCTTTGCGATTCCCGAAGAGCCCGCACTCCCCTCATCATCGCCTAACCTCCGCCGAGATGTGTGCGCCATATTTGCAGATGCTCAACGATCAACCACCGGCCACCGCAAGCTCATGGTACGCCTACGCAAGCTACAGGAAATCTGCTGTGGGATCTACCAGAAGAACAAAAAGGGGACGGATCGAGAGCAGGAGGAGATTGTGATACCCGAGGAAGCAACCGTCGCAGAGAAAGAGTTCAATGTCGAAATTGGCCGCTGCGTGCTGCGCATTCTTCCTATCAAAAAGTCCGAACCTGTCGGCGACCGGATTCTGCGGTTTCTGGACACTTTCATCGCCCATGCCTATGAGAAGGATAATGAGCTTTTCGCATCCAAGGAGGACGACGAGGACGATGGAATGCAATCTGCGCCCGAAACTCCGACTTCTCGTCTTACCTCGAGTCTTGTGGACTTGATTACCCCCGTGCTCGCCGCAAAGGACAAAGTGGTTCGATTCCGCGCGGCGCAGATTATTGCACACATCGTCAACACGCTCGAGTCAATCGACGATGAATTATATCACACCATCCGACAAGGGATGCTGAAGCGAATCCGTGATAAGGAACCTTCAGTGCGCGTACAGGCTGTCATTGGCCTGGCACGACTGACCGGCAACGAGGATGATGAGGATGGTCCCGACGACAACTCCACTGCGCTTCTAGAGAAATTGATCGAGATTATGCAAAATGACACGAGTGCAGACGTCCGCAAAAGTCTTCTTTCAAACCTTCCGCTCTCTCAAGTTACCCTTCCCTACCTCCTGGAACGAGCCCGCGACCTAGACGCGGCAACACGACGAACATTATATTCCCGCCTTTTGCCAACACTGGGCGATTTCCGTCACCTGTCGCTGGGAATGAGAGAGAAGCTGCTGCGATGGGGTCTGCGCGACCGTGACGAAAGTGTTCGCAAAGCAACTGGCAAGCTGTTCTACGACCGCTGGGTCGAAGACTGTGCTGGTACCAACCAGGGCGAAAACGTCGGACAGCGGTCTCCGCCCAATCAAAGCGCTCTTCTCGAGCTGCTGGAGAGAATCGATGTCGTCAGCTCCGGTGTTGAGAGTGGTATTGCCCATGAAGCGATGCGCAGCTTCTGGGAGGGTCGTCCTGACTACCGCGAAGCGGTTCTCTTTGATGAACCTTTCTGGGAATCCTTGACCGGAGAGTCGGCATTCATGCTTCGCACATTCAACGAGTTCTGCCGTGTCTCGAACGAAGGAAAGTACGATGATCTCGCAGATGAGAAGATGCCCACAGTTACCGCATTGGCCTACTTCCTCTCCAAGTACACCACGGATTTGTTGCGGCGGAAGAAGCTCGGCAAGGTTTCTGGTGATGCCAACGACGAAGATGCGACTGAGAATGAATTTATTGTGGAACAGCTGTTGCATATTGCAATCACTCTAGACTATAGTGATGAAGTAGGCCGGCGAAAGATGTTCTCCCTCCTGCGAGAGTCACTCGCTGTCCCAGAACTACCGGAAGAATGCACGAAGCTTACAATTGAGGCTCTCCGATGTGTGTGCGGACCAGATATTGCCGGCGAGAGCGAATTCTGCAGTGTGGTTCTCGAAGCTATTGCTGAGGTGCATGACACTATCAGCACCGAGGACAGTTTCGTCTCGGCCAAGTCCGAAATCAGCGATGATGCTAGCAGCCGCGCTCGCTCGGAGACGCCAGCCACCGAGGACGAAAGACCGTTCAACAAAGAAGAGGCCAAGGCCAAGATTCTCCGTGAAATTGTGGTTAACATGAAGTGTCTTCACATTGCACAGTGTATGCTTCAAAATGTTGAGGGCAACCTGCAACAAAACATGAACCTCCGTACCATGTTGAACAGCCTTGTGGTTCCTGCCGTGCGAAGCCATGAGGCTCCTATCCGTGAGCGAGGTCTTTACTGCTTGGGTCTTTGCTGTCTTCTTGACAAGGTTCGTCTAAGCGACCCCTCTTTCTTCGTAAAGTATTTGCCTGCTAATACGTCTTATCCTTTAGAATGTCGCCGAGGACAACATGACCCTGTTCATCCATTGCTACAGCAAGGGCCACGAGGGTCTCCAGGTGACCGCCATCCAGACCATCTGTGACATGATCACAACACACCCCTCCCTCCTCGCCCCAGTCCCGGAATCTGATGGCGAGACGGTGACCGCGCCCGCCATCCAGAAGCCTATCTTGAAGGTGTTCTCGCGGGCCCTAAGAGCCACTTCCCCCGCTGCTGTACAATCAGCCGCTGCCACCGCACTTTCAAAGCTACTGCTCACTAACACCTTCACCCCATCCGGACCGAACGTGCCGCCTGCTATTCAAGAGTTCAATGAAAACGCTGTAGAAACACTCCTGCAGAGCCTGGTCATTGCTTTCTTCCACCCCCGCACTCGTGATAACCCCGCGCTTCGCCAGTCGTTGGCATACTTTTTCCCGGTCTACTGTCATTCGCGTCTGGAGAACACCCAGCACATGCGACGTGTTGCTGTACCAGTGGTCCGAGCAGTCATCAACGCCGCCGAGGAGTACTACTCGCTCGAGGCTGAAGAGGACAGCGACGGTGAGATTGACGAAAGTGTTGGCGAGCGTGAAGTCAAGGCCCTTATGACCGGTGTCATTGGTATGCTTGCTGAATGGACTGATGAGCGCCGTGTTGTCGGACTGGGTGGTGAGCGTGTGCTGGCTGGTGGTGCAGCCAGCTCTACCGCTTGTGGCTGGGTACACCTGGCGCTGGTCAAGGACATTCTCGAACGAGTGCTAGGCGTGAGTGCCGGCACCAACCGCTGCTCTCGGGAGGAGCGCAAGCTCTTGTTCTCTCTGCTCAGCAAACTCTACATCTCGGCCCCTACGCTCCCCTCCCGTGCTAGCTCGCGTGCTCCCGAAGGCGAAGATCAATTCCGCAGCAGCATTCGCAGCGGCACTAGTATTGAAATCGACCCCGATAATCTCCAACTGGCCCAGGAAGTCAAGGAACTATTAGACCAGACCATTGACGAGGGGCTGGCTGGGGAGGCTTCCAGTCGCAATGCCCTGGTAAAAACGAAGAACTCTATTCTCAAAATTATCGCCGTTGCTCAGGATGCTCGTGCCGCTAGCGTTCGTCCTCGTGCCGGTACCGAGGATCTGGAGAGTGATGCTGGGAGCGTTCGCTCCTATAGCGTCCGCCGCTCCGTCGAGCCGACCAGTCGCCGCCATGTGTCTGTGGAACCCAGCATCATGGAGGAAGACGAAGGCGACAGTGGGATCCGTACTGGAAGAGTCCGACCTTCCGTTGAGAGTGGGGTTGCCAACCGAAATATAGTCTCTATCGAGCCCAGCATCATGGAAGAAGATGAAGAAGATGATCATGATACTAGCAGGGCCACCGTAATCAAGGAAGAGGCCGTCGATGAATGATGATCTTTACATTTCTTTTTTTTTCCTTGATTTGGTGGACTGGCGTTGGTCGTGGTTGAGGGTTGGAACTTGGATATCGTGGCACCCTGGGACTATCTCGGCGCTTGTATAGGATATCACGTTGGCTTTTACATTGCGCTTATTTCAATATTATTTTTGAACATATCATGTGCAACCTATTTTGGAGGCCTTGAATCATTCGAGACACTCGTGTAACTTTGCACCCTCTTCATTATCCGCACAGAGGATGAGGGATTGGTGTCCCTTCTCAGGCGATGGGCTTCCATAAGGATATCCATCCATAGCGAGAATCACAGCCAACAATAAGATTACATCGGAGCTCAGTCATACCTTCATCCGTCTACAGCTTGATTAGAGAAACTTGCATCCAAAAACAACAGGTTTAGCGAGGAATAAGATACAGAGCAATATTTCGGCAAAGGCTACGCAGAAGAACAACTGCTGTAGTGGGTTAACATGCAAGATCTGCATATGCAGCCAGTGTGACTATCGATGTGGAGACCGCGAAATGGCGAATAACTGGTGAGAAGCAACAAGGGGCAACTAGACCTATCAATGTGTGTAATTTTCATTGGAAAATACCATCGTCCACGAAATGGTAGAATTACCAAGAAGCCTTGGAAACTGTCCGTGGCAATGGCAATGTCAATTGATTCGGGTTTGCTAAAGTGAAAGCATCCGTAGGGACAACCAATACTTGTGCTATCCTCAATGATCATTGATGGTGTGGAAATCCCTCAGTATGAACCATGACAGTCCATATCAAGAAACACTAGTCTCAGTCCAGGTACTGCTAGAGTCCAGCGAAACAGAGTAGTTCCCCGAAGAATCCAACGGGTTGATAGCCCCCGTCCAAGTCGATCCAACCAGATAGACATACACCTCGCTATAGTCATCGACATAAATGTCACCTTCCACAGCGAGATCCTCTAGGTAGATGTAAGCAACTCCGCCATTGCTGCCACTAGTTCCCCAGTCACTGGTTGCAGTAATATTAGCCAGGATCCCGGATTTGATGGTCACATCAACATCGGTCAGATACACGTAGGCTTGGATATTGGCCACGAAAATCAAGCCGTACGTGCCATTAGTCTCTGCGACAGATCCACCAGTCACATAGGCGTAGGCGGTGTTATCGGTTTTACTAGACGATGCGGTGCTGACAATTTGGAAGACGCCGTTGTTCTGAGTACCAGATGTAATGGCCGGATCTATCAGTGTGAAAGAGTTGGATCCATCGATACAAGCTGCGGGTGAAATGTCCGCCGTGCCGGTAAGAGAAGTAACGGTGATATTTCCCGTGGAGTAGACGAGGGCCGACAGTGCACCGTACGTGTAGACAGAGGAGTCTTCGACTACGATGAGGCCGCCGCCTGAATCGGTGGCAATGGCACTTCCGTGGCCGCCGTAGGTATAAATCTCCAAGTTCTCGCCGTACATGGTGCCGCCTCCGGTGTAGATGCCGTGCGAGCCATCTCCCTCGGCGTGGATATAGACGTTGGTGAGGTGTACAGTGGATCCGTCTTCGTAGGTGTGCACCGCATTAGCACTTCCACCGCTGGTGGTGATGGTGCTATCGGTAATGTAGATAGTGCCCTTAGTCTCAACGCCAACAGCGGCATTGAGGTCAGTGAAAGAGCTTTCGCTGTCGTCGGTTGAGTCTCCAGCCTTGATGAGAGTACAGTCATTGACATAGGCAACTCCGGTCTCTTTGACGATGATGACACCTTCATTGGTTCCGGTTGCTGTCAGAGTCGTCGACGCAAAGGTGGTAGTAGTCCCGCTCACGTAGTAAGCTGCGGTGGTCGGCAATGCACTTGAGGCAGAAGCTGCCGGCACGGGAGATCCATTTGTGGAGACCAGGAAGCTCAAGATGCTTCCTATAGTAAAGATCGAAGATCTGGGGGAGAATTGGACAATTTCAGTCATGTTCGAGGTAGCCTCTATGGAAAGAAATGTATTGTCTTTTCCACTTGTGATATCTCTGGTACAATCACTTCCATTGCCGATATATCATCTCCATTTATATTCGTTACTCACCTATACCAAGTCGGATTGTGGCCCAAATTCCTCTTGGGCTCTTCTCTCCTCGAAAATTTTCATGGGTTACTGAGCTGGCCGGGGTGATGACGCCTACAGCTTGACCAGACATCAATCGGCCCCACACCTTTGTCCATTTTGAAGTATTAGAGTGAGAGAAATTCAAAGCTGACTTCTTCCATATAATATCATAATCTATAACGCTGGGGCTCAGGTTTCCTGTTGGTTCTGAAAGGTTAGAAAACGCCACAACGCCATGTTATAGCGACTGGAGAAACTGTAACGGCGAGTGAAGAAGTGCAAACGTATTGTTACATCCGGGGAGCTGGACATTTATTCATGCCGTAGTCACATTTCTTCGTAAGTCATTAGTAGACTATGTTGATAATACTGTTATATGTTTTGAATCTTGGGAGAAGATATGCGCAATAGATCCATAACGTATATGGGGCGAGTGGGCATTGAAAGATTTCCCGGGGATACGTCAGTCCAGTCTAACACATCAATTCCATCTGAGGTAGACTCCTTCTTTCCCCGCAATTTGGCTTGTGTGACGTTGCGTAGCTCTATCTATCATCACGAAGCTGCACTGAATCCAACTCGGCTCCACTGATGTTGCTGTATGACGACGCCTTCTTTCTGGGGTAAAGGGGTTCGGCTCCACAACTCTGCAGCATAACGGCTAAGTAGAATGTCAAGCTATGCTCAAATTACTCGGCAATCTCTAAATACACGACAGTATGAGCTTGCAGTTCGTTTCCCCGCGTCGATCTACACGCGGTATGTGGGGCAGGCTCGGATACTGTAAAAGTAGTCCGTTGATAGAATGGATTGAGCACACTCTCTGAAAAGCCTGAAAGATCTGCCGCAGTATAGCATATCATTTGGTAGGAATTGAATACTTTACTGGACATGGTCCATCTTGATCATCACCGGTATTCCGGTAGTGGTATAGGCATCGGTGCTTGTCGAGATCTGAGCAAGCGATGTAGGTAAGCCTGGCTTTCACGAACAAAAAGATCTTTTCGAGGTGGCTTAATGGCCTGGAAGTCATTCAGATTTGGCAAAGAATGCAAATCAGCCTGGTCTGTCCCGGCAGAGATCCAGAAGGGGGGGGGGGGTTTTTTCTCCAAACTAAAGACATGCTACACCTTCGGATGCAAGACTGAGCGGGATAGCGCAATATATATCCATTGAGAAGCATCATGTAGGTTGAAACCATCATGATCGACACAGTTCCAATTTGTAGCAGACAATATGGATATGATGCATTTCGCCGATGCCATTTCTAGTGGGGTGCTACAATAAAATTGACAAGATTGACAAAATTGACAAAATTGACAAAATATACCCTCCGAGGCGTCCTGGACGTTCGATTAATCAGCCATAGATGACACGTGACTGCCGGTGAACGTATCCCGGTTGACCAGTTGAACGCAATTCGAGTTTAGATCTTTGGGGCCACCGGGTTATTCTTTTGATCTTCGTATTCCAGCTCTCCTCACATTGGCCTTTGATCTGTCCCAATGGAATACATTCTTTCGGCCCTGATCGGTGCCTGGCCATTTGGTTTCTCTTGTATTATTGCCTTACCCCCCTCCTCTTGCTTCTAGGCAGCATGGGCCCATTCCCGCTTGAATCCTGACAGGGACCCACCCGCATGGTAGGTATGCTAACAGGTTTCTCCGAGGGTAATAGATCTGTCAGGTCGACATGAAGAATAAACTTGGCCGGTTGGAAATATCGCTGGCCATGTTTCCGGATTAATTACGGGGGGATGTGAGTGCTTTCAAGTAGTGAGACCGCCGCAGGGATCTGGTCCGGTTGGGGTTGCACGGCGGAAGCCGTGGGAGACGACGAAACGAAGTTCCTCAGGGGAAATAGGATCAGGAAATACTGAGGAATGGGCATTGCCAGTAAATGAATATGTTTGATTCTACTATAATTGATTATAGTTTTTATACTCTCAATGCTATCATAACTGTCAACACGCTGCACCTCCCCCCGGTCTGGCCAAGTCACATACTGTCCAGTAATACTCTTCTCCCGTCAACCCGAAACTTTTCTTTTCTCGCAACTCCACACCTTTTCGCGCCAGTTGGGCTTCTTTTCTTCTCCTCTTTCCTTCTTCCTCTTCCCCCCCCCCTTTCTCTCTTCTCCCCCCGGGCTTCTTCTTTCCTTTCGTTTCTCCACGACATCACCGATCTCCCCCCTCGGTCTGTCGTGTTGAATTGTCTCCTGCATTTTCCGGCAGAGACATTCCCCCCTCCCCCCTTACCCCCCCTCTTCCCCCGGGCTTCTCCCCTGCCGCATTGGCAGTCGACAAGTCAGCGATGGCGGCCGTATCAGCACCCACTCCTAAGCTGGATCGCTACATCGTTATCCACGTTGCGACCACCTGCGACGAACATGGCGTCTATGTCACCAAGGATTCCGCCGAGGTCATCGAATTGGGCTGGATCCTGTTGGATTCCAAGACCTGCGAGGAGGTAGGTACACACAATCTCCGAAACCCGCCCCCCCCAACGGTTTTCCTTCGGCCGTTCTGTCCACCAAAACGCCAGGATTCGCCGGCTTGCCCATTTACAAAATTCAGAACGAAATGATCACTCTGGCTAACAAGTACTCGTTCAATCTGTATAGCTCCACCGTGAGAGCGTCCTCGTCAAGCCTGTCAACACTCCCATCACGCCGCTGTGCAGTAAGCTTGCCTCTTTCCCCTCTCCCCGGGACCGACGACCGAATTTACATAATTTATATCTACCCAAAAAAAACAAATTAATAGCTTACTGATATGTGATAATTTCAGCGAGCTTGACCACCCTGACGTGGGAGCACGTCCGCTCGGCTGGCACTTTCCGTGATGCCATCTCCCGATTCGATGCCTTCGCCCAGGAGCACCTCACCAGCAAACAACTCGAGTTTGCTTTTGTGACCTTGGATTCATGGGATTTGCGCGTGCAGCTGCCCCGCGAGGCTCGTGATAAGGCCGTGGTGCTGCCCGCCTATCTGCAGCACTCCCGCACCTTTGACCTGCGTACCGAATATCAACGCTGGCAAACCCACCACCCCGAGTCGCTTCCCTTCGGACCCAGCTCCCTCTCCAACATTTGCGCTGCTCTCGAGGTTGAGCCCGTTCAGTCCTCGGCTCCCATCAAGCACAACCTGCCCTTCCACCTGCAAGCATTGGCTCCCGCTTCGCCGCGCCGTGCTATGGAAGAGTCCATCACTCTGGCCCGCGTCCTTCGGGGTCTGATTCGCAAGTCCCAGCCCCCACACGAGCATCCCGAGATCCTCACTCGCCCAATGGATGCTCACGCCGATGTTCGTGCTTTCTTGGCCGAGCGCAGCAAGGTCCTGCACCTGAGCGGTCTCCCCCACGACACCACGCAATCGGAGTTGGAGAGTTGGTTCACCCAATTTGGTGGCCGGCCAATTGCCTTTTGGACTCTGCGGACTCCGGACCAGCACAAGCCTACTGGCACTGGGTTCGCGGTGTTCTCGTCTCACGAGGAGGTATGATTTACTCTCTGAAGAATTATCGATTGAATCTCTATTCTTCAGTGCCAGTCCCGTCTGTCAATTATCTTTTTTTTTTTTTTTTAGCTAACTTGAATCCAGGCCGCCGAAAGCTTGTGCATGAATGGCCGCGCCCTCAACGAAAAGGCCATTGAGGTCTCCCCCTCCTCCAGCCGTGTTCTCGACCGGGCTGCCGAGATTCTCACCCCCTTCCCGCCCTCCAAGAACCGCCCGCGTCCCGGCGACTGGACTTGCCCGTCTTGCGGTTTCTCCAACTTCCAGCGCCGTACGGCCTGCTTCCGCTGCTCTTTCCCTGCCATGGCGGCAGCACCGGACCCGATGGGCTACGGCTACGGCTACGGCCCGCCAAACATGATGCCTCCTCACATGGGCCACGGCCACGGAATGGGTGGTCACGGACGTGGTATGGGCGGAAATGGTGGTGTGGTTCCTTTCCGCGCTGGTGACTGGAAGTGCGGCTCCGAGGGCTGCGGCTACCACAACTTTGCAAAGAACATCAACTGTCTTCGCTGCGGTGCTCCCCGCTCGGGCGCCGCGGTTGTGGCCGACTCGGCCTTCCCCTCGCCCATGGACCCCCCATCGCAATTCGGCATGGGTCCTAACTCGATGGCCAGCACCCCCGCCCCCGGTCCCTTTGCCTCCACTGCCGGTGGCTTTGGTGGATTTGGCCAGCAGTTCGGTGGCCCGCCTAACAATTACGCTCTCCCCTCCGGCGGTCTGAGCAACACCCCCGGTGCCTACCCGCCTATGGGCCAGGTGAACTCGGGATATGGCTCGTCGAACACTTCTCACTCCGCTGCTTCCTTCGCCAACCCGGCCACCCAGGCGGCTTTCAGCGGTGCTGACCACGGCGTCCCGTCCACCAGCGCCTCTAACGGTGCCTTCTACGGCGGCTCCGAGGGCTCTAGCGACCCCTTTGCCTTCCTGTCCTCCGGCCTCGGTGGTCTGACGGTCTCGGATGATCCTCACTCGCGCCGCAACGGCGCCGGTGCTAACAAGTCGCCCGCCTAAACGAGCGGTATGACTGTACCTATTTCTTTTCCAAAATGCCCGAACGAATCGGGCGGTCACACTTACGTTGTCCATATTGCAGACCTGCGTTGTGGCAGGTATATGCGCTGGTTGATACTCGTTGATACGCATTTGTATAAGGGATTCTGCGGTTCCGGTGCATCGGGTTGGAAGGAGCAGGCAGGTAGCGTGTTGATGATTCCAAATTTCTTCTTCTCACCTTTTCGCCTTCCTGTGATTTGTGGGATGTTTCTTTATTTTTTTTTTTTCGTATCTGTTTCTCGATTTACTCTCTGCTTTTTTTTTTATTTCTGTCCTCATCTCTTTGGTTGTTGAGCGGCTCCGGTCCCCCTTGATTCCATCTCGAGCTATCTATGGTTTTGGTCTGCTTTTTTTTGTTACAAAGGATGGCGGCGACTGGAACCATGACCGGGGCGTGGGTTTTGTTTTGATATCAAACCGCCGTCTTGAGTCGGTTTCGGCCGCGAACGCATTGTGAGCCTGGGTTGCGCACTCGACCTGCTTTGCATTTTAGATCTTTGGTCGTCCCTTTTCTGCGTTGGGTCATGGCAAGCGTCGGAGAATTCACGGTATTGATCTCACGGGTGGGATATACAATGGCTCGGACTCCGTTGGGGGTGTTGGGGGATTTCCTTTTCGCGAACTTGCGCTGGTGATGACGGATGGGAGGGCTCTATTTCCTTTCTCTCTCTCTCCGTTTTTCGACTTTTGCCAGGGCATGGTGAATGCAACAAAAAAGATTGTCTTGTCTATATTTCTCTTCCTGATTCTCTGTGTATTGCGTCTATTGTCTCTTCGTTGTATGTGTTTCTAGGGCGGCTCCGCATGGTCTGGTCGTGGGGCTTGATCACTTGTATAGGGTTATGAAGGGTGCTTGTATTGCACCCTCGGTACATGCGTTGGGCTATAATTGATCCCTTTCATTTTAGTGGTAGAAGATGTTTCTCCTATCGAGTAGCGCTCTGGTTGACGTACCAAGCTCCCTTATACATGCAGGATTTCTATAGAGTCATGGTCAGGCTTCGGCAGACAGCTTAATGCTCTATCAAGGAACATGTTTGTGGATCCTCTGTCTGACAGTGAGACATATTTGGAATAATCAAACCGAGACAAGTACTTATTCTGAGATCGCTATGCCCTTTTAACTGGCTATTCGAACTCAAAAAGTTTCCATGTTGAGTTTACCCGCGCGGCTGCGCCAAGGCAACCGTACGCTGTCGCGTCCACCGCCCGCTGGAACCCCGTCATGGCTGCTGCCGAACACCATCACCATCCTTTACCCAGCGTCCTTCTCCTCTAGCCTCTTTCCCCCTCATTGATCCTTCTGGAAGTTTTTCTTTCACTGCTGTTCCACACCTAATTCATCCCGTTACTCCTGTGTCACCATGTCCGGCTACGACCGAGCTCTTTCAGGTAGGCCAGCTAGCTCCCCGAATGACCAGCTCCCTTGGCCCTCCTCTTTAACTTGAGACAAACGATGCTAACTTATCATAGTATTCAGGTATGGATCCATATTCTAGCGCTTCAGCTTCTTCGATATACTGACCTCCCTCTCAGCCCTGATGGGCACGTCTTCCAGGTCGAATATGCCATGGAGGCCGTGAAGCGAGGTAAGGCTACTCCCCTTCGTCCAGCATACCGCTTTTGATATGTTGAATGTTTTGCTCATCGCTGCCTCGCGACAGGAACTTGCGCCGTCGGTGTCAAAGGCAAGGACATCGTCGTCCTCGGCTGCGAGAAGCGCTCCGCCCTCAAGCTCCAAGATACCCGTATCACGCCCTCCAAGATCGCCAACGTTGATGAACACGTCTGCCTCGCCTTCGCTGGACTGAACGCCGATGCCCGCATCCTGATTGACAAGGCCCGGTTAGAGGCCCAGTCACACCGTCTGACGGTCGAGGACCCCGTCACCATCGAATATATCACCAAATACGTTGCCGGTGTACAACAGCGTTATACACAGAGTGGTGGTGTCCGTCCGTTCGGTATTAGTACGCTCGTCGTTGGCTTTGACAAGAATGACTCTACACCCCGCCTCTACCAGACCGAGCCCTCTGGTATCTACTCTGCATGGTTAGTATTTATCGATCTTGACCCCGAGGCCTTTGAAGTATGACTCGCTAACCACTACTTTCTACGTGTAGGAAAGCCAATGCCATTGGCCGATCCAGCAAGACCGTGCGCGAGTTCCTCGAGCGTAACCACCAGGACGACATGGATCGTGAACAGACGATTCAGCTGACTATCAAGTCATTGCTCGAGGTGGTGCAGACCGGTGCGAAGAACATCGAGGTGGCCATTATGGCTCCCGGCAAGCGCGTGGAAATGCTGCCCGACGACCAAATCGAATCGTATGTTAAGAGCATCGAGACCGAGAAGCAAGAGGAGGCTGCCAAGAAGAAGACCAGCCGGGCCGGTGCTGCCACGGCTGCTATTCTGACCCGGCCTGGTGGTGGCGAGACGGCCGAATAAGAAGGATAGAGGAGGCATCTGATTACCGATAGGGTGATTGGATCTGTGATCTGTGCCTATTTACGGTAGCGCTGGTCTCTTTACTGGATGAGAACTCAAAACCACGAAATTCCTACACATCTGACACGGACATTTTTGGAAATATTAATCCCAGTAGTGTATATTGGAACAGAGGTGGGTATTGATGCCATGCAAGAAAATGCAAGCTTTTTTGTCTATGGCCCTGAGGGATATGATAGCTGAAAATAACCGGTAGAACCGGAGAGGTGTAGGAAGTGTAGTAAAGTCGTCAATTTCATGAAAATGAGAGCCACGAACGATCTCTCTCTACCCCATTCGGTCGGACACATCACGGATATTGAACAAAGAACGTTCTTGGTCACCACGTACCCGGTCATCCTTGAGCATCCTACACAATTGTTAGCGTTCGCAACAAATCTGGAATCTTTGTAGCCCTCCGCGTACCGGTTATCCATGCGCGCATCGTCACCTTCCACTTGAAGCGTCGCCTTGGGGGTCACGGCCTCGAGAACGAAATGGTTATCACAGTGTGGACAGTATTCGTCACTAGAAACAGATTATACACATTAGTCCCCAATGCCATTCCTTGTCTGGACGCGGGGTATCTATACCTCTCTTCAAATTCGGCGGCATCCTTGCGGAAGCACTTCTTGCACTTTTTGCATGCAAAGATCTATTTCCAGACACGAAGAGTGTTAGTCCAGACCTCACAGGACCATTCCAGGCTGGGACTAGAACAGCGTACCATCTCTTGAGCTTTCGTCAGCGTATGCGACTCCTGCTCCTGGTGGCATTCGGCGCAGTCAAACCATTTCCGGCCTTGTCGAGGGTCAGTCAATTGCTCGCATGGTTCATAGACTTCGGATTGGGCGAACAGCAAGGGGAGCGAATAGACACTTGTGCGTTAAGAATGTGTTTACTGCGGACGTATGATCATTAGCTTGTGGTTGCCCTTAAGCCACCCGAAACCCCGGACATCAAGCTGCAACAGAGCAGACTGGAGCAGACGAAGACTTACCACATGGCTGCGAATAGTACCTCGTCACTGGCAGTGGTTTTGGTTGGCAGACGATATTGACAACACCCCGCGGCGGTATTCAAGAAAGGAAAACGTTGCGCAGGAACCGGTTGATCTGCCACTCCCGTGATCGTCCTCCACTTTCCTCCCCGCCACTCCATTTCACCCATTCCACGTCTTCTGTCTTCTTTCTCTCTCTCCACCTCCTATTCCCCTGATTCTCGCTCTCTCGATTGTTTTTTGGTTTTTACATGCTCGTCGCGCCGCTTACGTTCCGCAGTGTCGCCGCGCTCCTCCCGCTTTTCTTTCGGCATCCCTGTTGCCTTGGGGCATTTACCCCCACCTAAGCTCTACAACAGTTCCCTACGCCCGTCACACCAAATCACTTTTCTCCCAGGGACCGACAAATCAAGCTTATGATCGAAGCTGCCGGCTGGTTCTGGCGAAGTGTTCGTGGTTATGGCCATGGAGGGAAACGGCAGGGAACAGGAGGACACTGACGACGCTCCCATTGTATGCTTGCGCAGCTGATCTAAAAATATGGCACGCGGATAACACTAACATCCGCCCCAACAGAGACCCGTCTCCTCTTTGCTCTCGCACTTTGAGAATCTCTCCCATAATCAGCCGCGTGCGCCAACCGTTTTTGCTACTAGCCCACGCGACTCCTCTAGTCGCTTCCTGAAGACCCCCGACCCTATCGACGAACCCCGATCTAGTCGCACCTCATTGGATTTACCTCGACCACGTTCTCCATGGACTACGACGGGTGATGAGAGGCCATCGCGCGAGAATGGACAGAACAATGGCGATCAGGTGAGGGCACGTGGATCCCCCGGAGGGAGATATGGCCGGCCCATCTCAATGAGCATTCACCATTCCTCGCCACAGCTTCCGCCTACCCTGACCGTTCATTCTCCCAAATCGCCACCGCGGAACTTGGGACGCGAGCGTCGCTCGCCTCCTCAGGATGACCGTCGTATATCGCGAAGCTCAGTCTTTTTCCCTCGAGAGTCGGTGTCTGCAGGAGTCTCGCCTGCGCCTCATGCTCGTCCGGTGACGCCGCAGTTCGGATCGTCGGTGCCTGCGGCGGAGACAACGGAGCGGCTCTCGCCGGGTATCCCCTCAGCGAATGGGCGTAGTAGCCCCGCAGACCGGAAGCTGAAGAGTACATCATTGCCCCCTCCAGCAAATCGTGCTGAGAAGCCGAAGATCCCCGCCAAGCCGGCGATGTTCTCGCATCCTGATACTGGCTCCCTGGCTCCCCGGCAGGACCGACCATCAGCGGATGACCATGTCTCGCCCTTCAGCACTCCCCCGAGTAGTCCAGAGAAGGCGCCGCTCAAGCCGGTGTCGACGGGGAAACTTCCGCCGAAACCACCTGGACGGCCTACTACTGAACCTCCTAGTCGGCGCTCTTTCGATGAACGGTCACCAGTGCTATCAGCTCCCGTAAGAAACGATCCTAGGGATCTAGGCTTCTTCAGGACTAGATCAGCTCTCGAGCCATCTCGAGCTACCAAACCGCTCAGCGTGCAAATCCCGCCTCCCTCTCCTGGTTTCGTCGATCCTGCATCGACAGCTCCACCGCTATCCGCTCAGAGGCTCATAGCCAGTGACAATCCTTATGACCGCCCAGGGCTCCCTCCAAGGTCGGCTTCTACAGCAGTGCGTCGACGAGGACCTTCGCCCGCCGGAGACTCTCCGCAGACGACAGGTAGTCCGGCTCAAATGACGCCTATCGCCCGATCTAGGCCGTCTTACCCGCCTATCAGCAAAGAAACTCAAGCTCCACGACCAGTTGCGCGACAGGAATCATTGTCGCGCGAGTCGCCTATGCCCTCGTACCCGGAGCGGCGTGTGGTTCGAACGGATACGGAAGAGGAGGAGCCAATGGCCGATGAGGGTCCAGTCTCCAGGACGGATTATCCAGATGCCTCGCAAGCCAATAGACGCCCTCCTCTTTTTAAGACAGGACCCAGAGAGATTCACACTAGGTACGACACCCGACTGCTCGCTGTGTGTGGTAAGTATGTCTGTACAACGGGGTATTTGACTCGAGTTTGGGATCTCACTACTGGCGAACAAGTGATGAGCCTGAGCCACGGGGAGACAGTGAAAAGCTTGTCTCTAGCCTTCAAGCCAGGCACCGCGCTTGAGGATGAAGGACAACGCATCTGGCTTGGGACCAGTGCGGGAGAACTACATGAAGTTGATATTCCAACCAACGCTATTGTGGCTACTCGATCGTATCCGTCCCGTCGCGAAGTCATCCAGATATTGCGACACAAGAAAGAAATGTGGACAATGGACGATGAAGGGCGGCTGCTGGTATGGCCGCCAGATGAGTCTGGCACGCCTAATCTGCAATATAGCTATCACAGCCCTCATGAACGTGTTGCACGCGGCCACACGTTTTCATTGGTTGTGGATGACAAGTTGTGGTTGGCCTCTGGTAAAGACGTTTATATATATCGTCCAAACGCACGGGAAGACTCTGCTTTCAAAGTTCTCAAGCGACCCCTGGGTCAACAACATTCTGGAGACGTGACCTCCGGCACCTATACCACTCAGGACGGCGGACGTGTATACCTGGGACACGCGGATGGCAAGGTCACCGTATATTCCTCGACAGATTACTCCTGCTTGGCGGTTGTGAATGTTAGTGTTTACAAGATCAACTGCCTCGGCATGGTAGGAGACTACCTTTGGGCGGCGTATAAAACGGGTATGATTTACGTTTACGACGTCAAAACCAATCCTTGGATGGTGAAGAAGGATTGGCGTGCCCATGACAGCCCCGTCTGCGGCTTCGTGCTGGACACAAGTAGCGTGTGGACGATGAATCGTCTTCAGGTGACGTCCCTAGGAACGGATAACACTATCCGGCTTTGGGATGGTATGCTGGAGGATGACTGGCTTGGTGAGTTTTCCATCTTGGAATTTCAGTCTAGTTACCGTGTCTAACTTGAAACAGAGAACCGCATGCAAACTAGAGATATCGAATTCTGCAAGTTCCGCGAAATTCGGACGGTTGTCATTACTTGGAATGCGGGGGCTTCGACGCCTGGTAGTGTCCGCACGTCAGATTTTATTCGAGATGCTGTCCACCCGGAGGATCCGCCTGATATTATTGTTTTTGGTTTTCAAGAGTTGGTTGACCTCGAGAATAAGAAGATCACAGCCAGTAAGTGCTATGTGTAATATTGGAGTTGTGTATACGTTTACTAATCCCACGATCAGAGAGCTTGTTGCTTGGAAGCAAGAAGAAGGAAAATGGTGAGAAAGAACATATGAGTCGGCAGTATCGGGTTTGGATTGATCATCTCACTCGAACTCTGCACGAATGCATGCCTCTTGAGGAATCTTACGTCCTTCTTCATACTTCAAACATGGTTGGCCTGTTCACCTGTGTCTTTGTCAAGCACAATGAACGTCATAACATTCGCAATATCAGCGCATCAGAGATCAAACGGGGAATGGGAGGATTGCATGGAAATAAGGTTTGTCACAGGCTGTCCCCGTCTTGCGCGGGTCTGTCTAATGAGGGTGTTATAGGGTGCTTTGATTTTCCGTTTTGTCCTCGACGATAGCTCGCTGTGTTTCGTCAATTGCCATCTTGCGGCCGGCCAGACTCAAACTGCCCATCGCAATACTGACATTGCGGCCATTCTCGAAGCCGAGACTCTACCACCTGAGAACAGTCTCACAACTCGCACCGATCAGTTCGCTAGTGGCGGCGACGGTTCGATGATCATGGATCATGAGATCTGTATCTTGAACGGGGACTTGAACTATCGTATCGATGCTATGCCACGTAATGTCATAATTGACGCCGTCCGGCAGAACAACCTAGCCAAACTTCTCGAAAGAGATCAACTCTTGGCTTCTCGACGAAAGAACCCGGGTTTCCGACTCCGCAGTTTCACCGAGGCACCCATCACCTTTGCACCAACGTATAAATATGATGTCGGCTCTGATCAGTACGATTCGAGTGAGAAGAAGCGCTCCCCCGCCTGGTGCGACCGCGTTCTTTACCGTGGCTTAGGCCGAGTCAAACAGCTCGAGTACCGTCGGCATGAAGTTCGCGCCTCTGACCATCGGCCCGTCAGCGCGACCTTTATTGTACGTGTTAAGACAGTGATGCCGCAGGAACGCGCTGTGGCATGGGAAGCGTGCCAGCAGGATTTCCAAAATGAGAAGCGACGACTGGCTTCTGAGGCTAGGTAAGCCGACTTTACTCCATTTGCTTTACTTGTCGCAGTTTTACTAATGTTGATTTCTAGCATCGAGTATCTCATTACGGTCCTAGGCACCGATCCCCGCCAGGCTCGTGGGTTGATCCTTGGTAAGGGTCAATAGCCTAGCTCTGGCTATTTTCGCATCCTCAAAACTATCGCGACGGCGCGGAATCCTCTTCCTTTTTTTCCTGTGGACATGAGAAGCACGGACGTATATTGTACGAGTAATGAATTCACGATAGACATGTATCATGACGGAGCTAGACCTGCCTTACTTACTACTGTAGTACCTGGTTACATTGCGTTTAGTTTGTACTGTCGTATTTTCCTCTGTCGATCCGAACTAAACCTCACTAGTACCCGTTCTATGATCTATCGGCTTATTCTGTGGACGCCACAGTGGAGAAGATCCTTCGGCGAAATGTACGGGGCAGTCTGGGGTATACGACCAGGCAAGTCCCTAATCATGCCTCCAGTATTCCGTACCCCATTAGGCAAATTAAAATTCGATCTCCCGTTTCGTGACTTGACTGCCTCTCTAATATTACCCCGGTCCCTGTCCGAATTGGGTTCCTGTCAATAATGTGTGATGCAACCCCCGCGCGCACCGCGAGGGATCTGCATCTTGTTTGTCTTGCTATGGACAGGAATGCCGCGACAAATTGATCCGGGGTCTTTGATTTTGAGATCTTCCCCGCACTACTTGGGTGACGATGGGAAAGTATAAAAAAGGGTGGTGCCTCTGAACTGGTCTGGTATTCCACAATCAAGCATACTTCGGGCACCTGGGTTGAAGAGTTTGAAGTATACATTATGTTGACAACGTTGTCTTTGACCGCACTGGCATTCTTGCCTTCGGTGAATGCGCTTGTGAGGAAGGATGGCGTGGTATGTCGGATTTCTGCTTTATTAAATGACTGTGACCAAGCTGATGTGGTCAACAGGGTCGATTGCCGGCACTGGGATGGAATAGTTGGAATGCCTTTGGTTGTGATATCGATTCTACAAAGCTCATGACTGCCGCCAACGAGATTGTCAATCTCGGTCTGAAAGATCTTGGATATGAATACGTCAATAGTGAGGCTGCACTTATTCCAATGATGGTTTGTTTTCTAATTCTTTGTTATAGTTGATGATTGTTGGTCTGTCAAGAATACGCGCAATTCGACGACTCAGCGTATCATTCCCGACGCACAGAAATTTCCGGATGGAATCTCTGGGGTCGCTGATCATGTGCATCAGTTGGGGTTGAAGATTGGCATTTACAGTAGTGAGTAACTCTACTCATACCCGAATGTACCACGTTCATAACATTTCTCAGGTGCTGGTGAGACTACTTGTGCGGGGTACCCTGCTAGTCTGGGACACGAGCAGGTTGATGCAGAGGCTTTTGCCGAATGGGGAATTGACTGTGAGTGACTTATCGCACCGAAATACTTTGATGAACTCTACTAATACCTTTTCCAGACTTGAAGTATGATAACTGTGGTGTGCCAAGTAACTGGACAGACCAATATTCCGCCTGCGTCCCCGATGGTACCAACGAACTGGCTAATGGAACTTGTCCTGACCTTTCTAACCCGGCACCCGCTGGTTATGACTGGACTCAGTCGAAGACCTACACTCGGTATACTAGAATGCGGGATGCCCTTTTGGCGCAAAGTCGAACTATCTTATACTCCCTTTGTGAATGGGGCCAGGCTGACGTGAATACCTGGGGCAACGAGACTGGTAACTCGTGGCGCATGTCGGGCGATATTACAGGTGAGGTCCTACGAATTAGGTTAGTGAAGACTATTAAAAGCTGACCGAAGATGAATAGCAAATTGGGCTCGTATCGCTCAAATCGCCAATGAAAACACTTTCAAGATGAACTATGTTGGATTTTGGGGCCATCCGGATCCTGACATGCTTGAAGTTGGAAACGGAGACCTTACAGTGGAGGAGAATCGTGCTCACTTTGCCTTGTGGGCCATCATGAAGTCTCCCCTGATTATCGGTACTGCAGTAAGTCGCAACGCGAGCAAGCCAGGGACCAAAAGTCATGCTAAAAACCATCTAGCTTGACAGCATCAGTGACACCAACCTAGCCATTCTGAAGAACAAGTACCTGATCGATTTCAACCAAGATCCTATCGTGGGCCGCTCAGCCCACCCCTACAAGTGGGGATATAATCCCGATTGGACATTTGACCCAGGTCACCCCGCCGAATACTGGTCCGGTCCTTCCTCGACGTTGAAGGGTACTTTGGTGCTGATGTTGAATTCGGAGAACACCACTTCTACTCGTACCGCGGTGTGGAAAGAGGTCCCCGAATTGAAACATCATAATGCGTACCGCGTTATTGATGCCTGGAGTGGAAAGGATCTTGGCTGTGTGAGGAATCATTATGGTGCTTCGTTGGCGAGTCATGACGTTGCTGTGCTTGTGGTCAAGGGGGTCTGTTAAGAGGGGCTGAACGGCTTTCAGCAAAATGAGCTCATGATGCTTCCAGACCTGTGACTGCTTACCCACTTGAGGTGGTGAGTTGCTTCTTTGAAGAAAGTCACGGAGGTCTCCACCCAGGTAAAGATATCACGGGTTGATTGGACGTGCTGCTATTGCTGAAGCGTACTTGGGTGGACGTAAAAAGCAGTGAAAACCCTCTACATTACTTGCCATCTTCACTCCCTTGACAGCTGGAAATATTATCAATCAATATAGCAGATGATGGATATTATTGGAACGTGCTACTTCCGAATGACTGCATTATTGTTTGTACAACTCCTTATTTGAGGTTCTTCCGTCTCCACAGGGAATCATGGATACCGTCCTTTCAGGCCCTATAAAAGCTACTCGGGGCCTCCTAGGGGAAATCGACAACACGGCTCTATGAACACCAAGCTCCGCCAAGTTGAGCATGGAGCAATGAGCGAGCTATTGGCCAATTAGGATAGGATAAGAGTATACCTTCTCATCTCTGCAAACTCTGGTAGCTTTTCATAAGCTCCTCGAGAAAGTTCACAATCCCAAAGCCCTCTTTGCAAGCTGTAGTGCCTCGCGCAAAACGTTCCAACGGATTGCGTTATGGGCTCGCCACTTAAAGACCTGAAGCGGAACGGTTGGTCCGACATATACTTGATATGGATGGTACATTGCCAGTGGCCACATGTCTTCCAACAGAGCGGATTGAGCCTCCAGGAACGCATACATCTCGCCCCATACCAGACATCCAACAATACGCATGTGCCCAATATAACCAGGTGACTCATCTGGTCGACCGGCACCCTGCTCCGGGCCAAAATGGGGGTCGATGGCGAGGACAAAGCCGGCAAAGTCACCTGGAAGGAACTCGGAGGCTGGCGCTCCATAAATATCGGTGGTGTAAGATGCGAAGGAGGCGGAGTCAACGGCAAGGAAGGCATTTGATTGTAGTTTCAAGGGTAATTTACGTTGGCTGTCGTTAATTCCACCTTCTTTATCGTTGTTCTTGTCGTCCATCAATTTGTTGAAATGTCTAGAAAAGCTGTTAGCTTGATCTCTCTCGCGGGGCAGTGACGGGGGTAAAACATACTCTCTAGCAGCTTGTATGTCATCTTCAGCAAGGCCGAGCTCCTTTCCATCTACCCAATGAAGTTTCAGATGAGGTTTGAGGAGATCACTGCCAGATTGGCCCGACCCCCAATCAGAGATGTGTGCCTCGAGTTTCTTGACGAATTCCGTCCACTCGGACTCGGATTGTTCATATGTGAGGCGATAAATCGCCAACCCACAATTTTTTAGCTCATTCTTCTTTTCCGCACGACGAACAACGCCCCAGGGGTAGGTCATCCAAGGCTCCTGCGATATGGAGTCATGAGAATCTCCACGGAGCTCTCGCCGCACCTGGTTCTGGGCTTGAAGCTGATCCATCGCCGACGCGTGATAGGATTCTCCGGAAGTTTCGCTACGTCTGCGTCCACTTGCAGCACCGCCCAGGATCCTTTGATACATTATCTGGTGACTGAGCGATTTCAAGCGACTGGAGTATACCTCGCCACGTTTGGTCAAGTCTGCAACGTACATCTCTGCTGGACCGCTACCATTCTTCGGAGCCGTATACCCTTTGTAGCCGTTCATAGGCATCATGATCCCGTAGTCTGCACGTACGGAAATCTCAAGCAGCATGTGCAGTCTATCCATGATGTCCCACTGGGTTTCATCGGCCACCCCATTTCCTTCAACCAGGGGCTGATGATTCAAAATGCCTTGCAATAATGGAGCTCGTAAAGCATCAATGTGCCTGGTGACCCAGCTATGCGCATTCTGGGTCATCACCTTGTAGGAGTTGGCGATGTATATGGTCCAGTTATTGGCTACACTGATCGGTTCCTCGCCCTTTTCCGCTCTCTTCCGGTTGACTAGGGTATCCAGCGTTTCCCAGTGCTCGTATATCAGATTAAAAGTCTGGCGGAGATTGTTTCGGACTTGATTGGTGTTGAGATATTCAAATACCGCCACAACCGCCGAAAGATGCTGACAGGCTACATGAAAGTTTTCTGAGAGATGCAGCCCATTCTCCTGCCATCTTTGATCGCTCAGTGGCGTGATGCCTTCCCATAGTCGGGACTTGAGGAACTGAATGTTCTTGCCGACCAGGCAGAGCCGGCTACCGTCTTCCAATGAGCCGATTCGGCTCATGACGCAGTTCATGATACTTTCACCATCAGGTCCAGAGGGCTGGCTTTGCTGGACAAAAGGAAGCTCATCTGGTGATAGAGTGCCAATGGAAGAGGGCCGGGTGCCATCGGGAAGTGGCTGCCCGAGCATGAATTCCATGAAATGAGGAATGGTTTGCGGCTCTAGGATTCGATCGACTGGGAGATAGAAAAGTTGGCTCCATTAGCTGACTGCTGAAAGGAGAATAGAAAATGCGAACGCACCGATGGACAAGTCTTCTTGGGCCTCGATGTGAACGCCAGTGACCGAGCTGCCGGTAGCTCGTAGGTGTGAGTACATTGCTACTGTGCTGTTGGTCGTTGAGATCTATGAAGAAGAGAAAATCGGCCTCTAGCTGAGAGCTGAGATGGAGATGATGTCTCTTTAAAAACTTGTCCTCGGCGCCAAGGCTTCCGCCTCCAGGGGCAACTCATTGAGAGCCGCATGAGACCCTGAATGGCTGGCGGTGATTTAGCGTTGAATGGGGATTCTAGATTGCCTTAAATGGGTTTGGCGTGGATCGCTGCCTGTCGCTTGGGCCTTGGTCGTAATTTATTGGGGGCGAGTTCAAGCGATCCACTCCGCGTCCGATCCAGGGAAGTAATACCCTGGCAGGCGTCGAACGGAAGGAAAGGGATACACTCTAACTTTGATTAGGCTCGGTCGAGGGGCATTACTATTGCCGAGACAGGTTTCCTGCTACATGTTTGACTGTGCTTCGGATAATTTGTTTCCCAAGAGTGCCAAGCCTTCGGCTGACAACTTTCGCAGTGTTTTGCTGCTCACTGATATTGGTACAATACTACCTAAAGACGGAAAAGTCTAGCAGGAACATCTCTAGGTGCCATCAGCTTGTTCAGTCTCTCCTCGGTGATCTGATAGAGAGCCGGGAGGCGACCGTTGACATCTTCACCTGCAATCATGGCACCGAGTAGTTCCCCAACAAGCCAGCACTTATCCATGCCATAGCCATTGAACCCAACCGCGGCCCATTCTTTGTCACCCGGTCTTCCAGTTAGCCTCTGGCCTAGTCGGCCTACCATGGGCATTCCGTCTGGTGTAAAGCCCATGATACCAGACCAAATTCGGCGTGGGTTGGATTTTAATGGCTCTCCAGTTGCAGATTTGAACGTGCTAGCCATCAAAGAGGTCAAGTTTTGCGACGGCAAAGTAGGCACCACGGTGTCATCGCTGATAAGTATCTCTTCTAGTCGTTGCTTCTCACCACCAAAGAAGAAATCACCCGTCTTTGCATTCTGCGTCATATAGTAAAGCCCGAAAGTGAAGGTGCCCGTGGCTGGATCAAACTTGGGCTCGTGGTAGATGCTCCATGAATGGCGGGCGCCATGATTGGGGAGATTCGGAGCGATTGATTGGGTCGACATGGTGCCTCGGAACGGGAAGACCTTTCCTCGAAGCTGTGGAAGCAAGTGCGAAGTGTATGCATTCGTACAGTAGACAACTTGATCGGCGTAGACTACTCCGCGAGGTGTTTGCAGTTTATGGCGGTGGCTAGATTTCTCAGTGTCGTACGTGACGCTTGTCACAGGCGTATTGGTATCAATTGAGAATCGTGATGAGTTCTCTTTGAGTAGTTTGGCGAAAAGCCCAGTGATAATGCGATATGGCTATACTGCGCCCGCAGGTTGTTCACAAGCCCCGGCGGATTCATTGAATTTGTATTTCTGAGCCAATTAGGTTTTGGAGATCAATGTAGTTAGACGTGGAACTCACAGCTTTAGCTTCTTCGGCGGAAAGGATCTTGAATTGATCTGCTAGTTCAGGGCAAGCTACTGAGAACTGGCGGAGAGAATCCTTAAAGTGTTCAAAAGTTGCTGGTTCAAGGAAGTTCATGACTTTCTGGACTTTGCGAACTTCCGATGCATCTCGAAGGTCATCGTCTAGCGTAGACACAAATTCATGGAATCTCTCAAGATTGCGAAATGAGAATCTTGTTACCTCCGCAGCCTTCTCGGCTCCAAATAGACTCGCAACTGCTGCAAAGTCGACAGCTGCAGGAGAGACCAAGTGTCCACCATTACGACCGGTCGCGCCACTCGTCAACGCACGGGCCTCGAAGAGAGAAATTCGTTTCTTGTGAAGCTTGGGATTGCTCAGAAGAGTTCGTGAGACACTGCAGCCAGTGATTCCCGAGCCAATGATGGCGATGTCAACTTCTGTTGGAAGCTGTGGTGACTGGATGTTGGAAATAGCATGGGCGGGTTCTTGCCAGAATGCGACGGATGGTCCCTTGCGTGGCAACCCGGGGTCTTGGGTCACCAAAGACACAATCTGCTCGTGGACCGCGTTGCACTTGTTGTCGATAACCATGATGACGATGACGATCTATGAATAAAAGTAGCTTCCTCGTCAATAGATGCTGGGTAGTGAATCTCGAGGAACTTTGTGTCATCAATGGGCATTGGGAGTCGAGCTGATACTTATAGGCTTGAGATGGCATACTACCACAAGTAGTCGCTATGTGCGTGAACCAATAAACATCAGTTTCTCCAAGCCTTTATCTCTTTGATTTCCCCGGGTTCGCGTAGATAGGCCTCGAATAGGTATATCTATCGCAGCCCCGCACATTCCCCCATGCTCTGCCAAAAGCTGTAACCCTTGCACCGAGGCTGCCTATTTGGGCATGTCCACCCGAGTTAGCGCAGGCATTCTGGGATCCTATCATTGAGTGCCCCTCGTTTCGTAGTATCATTGCTGATGAATCATGTCAAGTAGGAATCCTTATCAAATTAGTGACCGGGCGGAGCAAGCTAAATCGATGTTCTCGTACAACCATGAAATATGTCCGTGATAACATGCTCTTTTCTTCTCGTGTGCGCATCTACCTTCTCTTTTCAAACAATCTACACCCGAATGGTAGAAACAGTTAATCATTGGGTGAAACCCTACCCACTTCCGGGTGGTGCTTTCCGAAGAGAGATCCCTGCGTTGATCAAGCACAAGAATAGTCAACCTAGAGGTATACCTTCATGGCACGTCGGAGTAGAGTGTCAGTGTCGAGATTATGCTGTTGATCAACCAACACGAATGACCCACTCCAATCGCGGGCGCAGCCAAACCCTGGCCCAGCCACGATCTTGGCACGAGATCTTCCAACCACGACCCGATTCTCCAATTCCTTTACAGAGTCTATTTTTCCTTGTGAGAGATGATAGTCATGCAGGCCAATCTCAATAGTTTCATGCCTTGAAGATCATGAGTGAGCCCGAGGCTCTTACCGTGTCCACCCAGCAATGGCAGCTTAGAGGAACATGATTAGTACAGCCCTTCAAAGTCTTGTTCTTTCTTTGTAAGTAGACATCTCTGGCACCATACCTTACTGATGGTCTTATCAGGCTCTGGACGCTCCTTCTACTGCGAAATGATAAGAGTTGACCCGAATTGAGGAGGCAGAGTTGGTATAAGGCTGGCAGGGTCTTGATTCATCATTCATGAGATTCCAGAGATGTCTTAGCCTTCCAAAGGGACAAAGCTTAGCCGGCCGCCTCTATCAAGTTTGCCCAATACATTGAAGTATGATGGCTACAGGGGCATGTGCCGTTGCACTGCATGCCCGCTGTTGAGAGACAGAGATACTATGGCCCCCACCCCTAGCTCCCGTCCGCTCGCTAACTAACTGCTGTACAATTCATGAGTCATGTTTTGCTGTATAACTTGTGAGTTAATTCTACAACTAACTGTCAACTAAGTAGTACAGACTATTGCATCGTCTTGCATGGCCTTTAATAGGATCAGGCTAATCATTGCACTCGACAACCAATTCCCTGGGGACCACACCGGCACGCCCGATGGACATTAGACTTATGCCCATCACAGCCTTGCGACCATCGCGATTCATAGGGGTACATGTATGACCCACAGTAGCCCCTTTCCTTGATTCATCACTTACTCCGTGACTCATTACAAGATGATATAAATCCGGCCAAATACCCTCGCCTAAAAGGATAAGGCTACAATTACCATCTCCGCACTCTCGAACCAGCGGAAGTCAACATCATGGCATCAAAATGGCAAGCCATCCGTCTCCTCCACGGTGTCCGAGCCATAGTTGGCGGCCAAGGCCCTCCTGTGATTCTCGTTCCAGGCTGGCCCCAAACAGCGGAGGCGTTTAGCGATATCTTCGAGTCCCTTTCAAAACACTATCAGTTCTTCGCTCTCGACCCCCCAGGCTTGGGCGATTCACCTGCTCCCCTCAACGGCTATGATACCGCGAATGTGAGCAAAGTCATGGCAGAAGCTGTCCACGATCACTTGAAAGACAAACCGTACCATCTTGTGGGACACGATGTGGGTGGATGGATTGCTTATCCCTGGGCGGCTCAATTCCAATCGAAAATCAAGTCGCTCAGTATACTGGACGCGTCGGTGCCGGGATTCTTGCCCCAGTTTCAGTTTCCGCTGTCTCGCCAAACCAACTTGCGTCTTTGGCAATTCTCATTCAATGCGCTTCCTGAAATACCTGAAATTTTGACGACTGGTCGGGAAAGGGAGCTATTGACCTGGTTCTTCAATTTGAAGACCGTGCATCCGGATGGGTTACCCAAAGATCAATTCGAACGCTATATCCAAGCGTATTCAAGGCCGGGTGCGATGAGTCGGGGGTTCGAGTATTATCGAGCTTTTGAAACAAGCGCAAACCAGAATTTGGAATTCGCAAAGACACCACTCGAGATCCCCGTCTTGGCTTTAGGTGGTGCTAGCTCGGTCGGTTCGGGAATGATTCAGTTGGTCCAGAACTTCGCGACTAAAGTCTCCGGGGGAGCTATTGAAGATTGTGGACATTTCCTCCCTGAAGAGCAGCCATCTGCCGTCGCGCAGAGGTTGCTGGAGTTTTTGGAGGCAAACGGAACGGAGTGAAATTCCTAGGGAGGCATGTGCCAACGAGTATTTAGATACGGAAGTAGCCATACCAGGATGAGCGTGTCATGTGACCGGATGTTAAACGAGTGCCTCTATGTTCCTCGATATGGGAGGCAATAATGGCTAGTAGTGTATCAAATGAAGAAGTGAACAATAATGGCTGGCAGTGGATTGAGTCAAGTAGTGAGGAAAATGTAGAAAAACGAAAAGGAAAACAAGCTATTAAGGACGGCGCTTAGCTGATTCTTTTCGGTACTTCTCAGTTGCCTTTAAATCGCAGCCAACTACGGCGTACTGGAGGAGATAATTTACACAACCAAGAACGAAACGTATTAGAGTGGAATAAAATCTCGCCAAATTTTCCCTCTTTTATTCGAATCGTGAAGCACCGGCGACCAGGGCTGAGTTTCCCCGATCGACGCTTCTTCGCGTTGGCCCCGTTTTCGGTCGATGCGGTCGGTCGGTTTGAGTTAGCGCCACATTTGATGGCCGCGCAATCCGATGACTATGACGGCGGGAAGACACAGACTCAGTAAAAAGCTTAACACTCGGGATACAAATTGATGTACGTATTGTGGTTGAATCGGAAAGTCCGATGAGCCAGTGTGATCCGGCAATTAAACCAGATACCGTAGCACGACAAAGGGATTGTCCTATAGCACAGACTTTCTTTCCGCTGATATCGCGTGATTCTTAACCAGTTACTCTACCAGCGCGGGCGTCCAGTTGTCAACCAGTTTGATATCCACCCGCTTTCATTCCCCCCCCCAATGACGTGGTTTATCCTAGACTCGTGCAGCCGTTTTCGTCGCAATACTCCACCGGACCATGGGGTCCCAGGGGCTCCAGACATCGTCTAGCCCCTCCGATCGCAGTCCAAGCTCTGTACGGCATTATCTGAACCCGGCAGATGCATATGATTGGGTCTAATTCCCATCGTTCTCGGACTAGAAAGGCCTGCTTGGTCCCATGGCCCCATATAGCTATGCTTTCTCCTGCTATTCGGGGGCTCCGACCAAAAATCTTGTTGGCCGTTCCATGGAAAGACTGGGGACTCATTTACGTCAATTTTGACCTCCTGCCCGACTTGACGATTCAACACATATCTCAGTCTCAATTTTCGAGTGAAACGATCTCGAAAGACCATTTCAGGTCGCTATCTAATCATCTCTTTGTTTCCACCATGAGTGCTCCGCGATGAACTGGCATCCTCGCTTCGCAGTTCCAGGTCACGGCTCCCGGGAGGCAGGTCGCGGGCGGCTATTCGTGTATTTGGCTTTGACGGCAATCGCGTTGTTACTTTCTTATCAGCTGGTTCTGAATCGCGAGTCGTTCAGTTCTGTGTCGAGATGGGCTACCGGTAAAGGCCTGACATCTGCCTTCAATCATGCAGAGTCCAACTCGCAGACGCAGTCTGGAAATCAGACAGCGGAGGTGAAAACCGAAGAGCAACCGGTGGCGCAGCAACCTCGTGAAAAGGAGCTCGTGCTGGCTGCGATGAGTTACAGCAATATGTCCTGGGTGCAAGAGAATGTGCCAAATTGGTATACTAATATCTACCGCGCTGATGTGCCTCCTGGTGAGGCTGCTTTGACCGTGCCCGTAAACAAAGGCAACGAGGCAATGGTTTTCTTGACGTATGTCCACCTTATCTCGATGTGATCTGATGGAGGAAAGCTGACATTTCTTTCAGTTATATCATCGATCGCTATGACAGCCTCCCCGATGTATCGGTTTTCATGCACGCAGATCGATACCAGTGGCACAACGATAATCCACTATACGGTGTGTGCCTCTATCTTTGGTTTCCGTCGAATGCCCTCACCAAATTGGAACAAAAGACTCTAACAACTTCCAGACTCTGTCATCTCAATCAACGACCTCCAACTCGACTACGTCCGCGAAAGTGGCTACGTCAACCTCCGCTGCTCCTGGGTCGTCGGGTGCCCCTTCGAACTCGAACCAGCGCGATATCTTCGCGAAAACCCCGAGGATGATGGCCACCCCACTGCCGTCGAATACCCGAAGGGTTTCTTGGAATTACTACCCGGCGAGGAACTACCCGAACTCGTGGGTACGGCGTGCTGCAGCCAATTTGCAGTGTCCCGGGAGAGAATTCATGAGCGTGGTATCGAGGTTTACCACAGGGCTCGTCAGTTTTTGATTGAGACCCAATTGGGGTCGGAGATTAGCGGGCGGGTCTTTGAATATATCTGGCACAGTATGAACGCTCCCTTTCTTCATAATGCTTGTTCTCAACTTTGAACGGTTCAAGGGTGCTTTGGGTGCGAGTGCTGACTTGATTCGTGTGCAGTTATATTTGGGAAACCAGCGCTCAATTGCCCGGATGCTCGAGAGTGTTACTGCCGAACGTATGGATATTGCAACAAGACCGACGAGGAACTGCAGAGACAGTGGGTGTGGCGGGGCTTGACTCTACCTGAAGGGTGGCCCGATGTCGACCCGAATGCAGGACTGCAAAAAAGAGACGAGATGCCCTCGATGGGATACTGGAGGAAATAATGTAGAGGCAACACTGGATGGGGCCGGGATGTTTGAAGATACCCAAATTTATAATGGTGGACATTTGGCTACATAGTCCGATTATAGAATCTGCTGGATCACAGATTCAGGAGCTAGATTGCTAATCAACATCACTTTTTCGCTTATAATCTTCTTCCATGAGCAAAAGTAACGAGGCCAGATATATCAAAAGACAGCAAGAGCTATGCTCGATATCTACTGCATCCTCCATTTGAACTGATCTAGATACTTGGAACGTGCCCTCACCTCTGTAGTTTTGATTGTGCTCACCAATGAGCCTTCTCGAGTCAATGGTGAAGCACGACGGCACCCGAAATCTTATAATTAAGCTCGCTCAAGAACTTACTCAATTCCACTCCTACTCAGCAAAACAAAAGGGGCGATACAAGAAGTACTACTGTATCCAGTATAGATGCATGATTACACATTGTTTCGTTATATCATATAGCACATCGCTCATGCAGCTCGAATAGATGCAGCTAAAGTTGGTGCCCAACCACTGACGCTCGCAACCATAGGAAATATGTGATGAAGTAAAATTTACCGCCACAAATCTTGTCGGCTCGATCGTTTGTTTCCACTGCTGCTCTGTGGGCGTTCCGCGTCTTCTGCAGGCACGGCGAGGAACCCGCCAAAGCCATTGCCCACCAGTACACTTTTTCGAGCATCACCGCCCCATGATCGACTGAGCTGCGCTTCGTGGAAGCTGACGGGCCGGGTCTTCGTGCTACTGCCGCCGAGCGTGGGATCGGGGTCGTAGGGTGAAAAGTTCCACTCTAACTCGTCGAGCCCTTTACTGTAGACGTTGAGTGGTTGCGTTAGACCACCGCCGGCACATTGGGGTCCGTCCTCACCACCACCGAATAGTCTGGGAGGTGGTGCGAGGAGCAGCGTATCTGGGAATTGTGCATCACGGACGTACAGATCCCGTAGAGCGGGAAGTCCACGGGACATCAGGGATGAAATGAGATAGGTGTAGTATGTTCCTGCGACTGGCGGAAGGCCGTTCGTTTCGGCCTCTGATGTAATCTCGTAGTGGAGTAGTCGGAGTGACTTAGACAGCAAGGGGGGAACCTGCTCGGCGGGGAATGAGCGAGTCACTTCCTGCACGATGGAGAGATTTGTAAGCTGCGGAGCCACTGGTAGAATTCGGTGTAGCGATGATGGAAGTACACCAGTGGAGGCGAGAGTCAATGACTGCAGGGCTTTCCGGTTCAGCGGGATTGAGAGTAACGCGGCAAGCCCGCTTGCCGTGACGTTTGGAGTATCCCGAAGAGTGAGCTCTTTCAGCGCGGGGAAAGGAGGGAAAGGTCCATTGACCGCGAATGCCGAGTCGTCAAGCCAAGGAAGGTCATCCAAAGTAAGATCGCTTAGATGGGGGAACGAGGCGAGACCGCTTCGCAGAGTTCCTGCCTCGATGTGCAACCCCGATAGCTCCAATTTCTCCAAGTTGATCCATAGCTGCGACCCCGGGAGGCGTGCAAAGCTCCCCTCGGCTCCGTGACGGTAACTCATGCGACGAAGATCGGGACAGCGGATCATGAGCTCCTGTTTCAGCGCCGCACATGCAGGTTCATCACTAAACAGACCGGATGGAAGGTCGACGAAGCGCAGGTGAGGGAGAACGGAGATGGTACGGGCGATGTTGGCCTTGTTGGCTTCGCGAGTCATGTAGGGCATGCGGAGCGAGAGGACCATATTGGCCAGTCCTTGCGATTCACGGACAGATCGCATGAAGAACTCAAGACGGACCTGGGGTGCGTCGATGGGGTCGCCATTGCGATCGAAGAAAGACCGGCGTTTGCGTTTCGCGGCGAGTTCGACCTCGAGTTCGCAGTAGTGGACGGGATCAATGCGGACATTTGTGTAGCTTTTGGAGAAGAGAGGCGAGACGAATGAGTCAGTAAGAGGCCACGAATTGGGATGAATGACAGGGGTATAAGGGTGTCGCGGTCGCATACAGGAGAGCGCGTGCCTCTAGGTACCAGCGCTTGCTGACCAGGGCGCAGTGCGCAAGATCGCGCATGTCACATAGCATGCAGCCATCGGTCATGGACTCCTCGGAGGTCTCATATGAATTGTCAACGGTGTGTGGGCAGACATAGGCAAAGATGTAGGCGAGCACGGGACGAGGCAGCTTCCTGGTATAGTCACGGCCTGTTGTTTTGGCCGAGCGGGGCGGCGTTTGGTGCTCGGTCGCAAGCCCCGCACTGCGCCGGGGCCGAGCCCGAAGCCGGTCCAAGAGGCCCATTCTGGGAGAGATCAGAAAGGGATCAGGACAAGTAGGTGAGAGTAGGGGTGCATATGGGAAAGGAGGGGGAGGGGGAGAGGAGGAAGAGGAAGAATGACAGATGAGCCGAAAAAAGAGGGTAGACAAAGGGCGCCGGGGGGTTCGCTGTAATTTGATCGCTTTGATGCAGGGCCCGCCCCCAAATACCCCAACCAACGGCGTCACAAGAAACTCAAAGCTGAAACGCCCAAGGGTATAAGCAGCCGTTAAAGTCGCTTGTTTCACTTGGTTCTAGTCGTTTCTCGTTTGGTGGACAACACTCCTGGTGCAATTAAAGTACTGCCAATCTGGCAAACGGTCATGGTCATCCCTGCCATTCATTGGGGATTTCCGACCGCTTCGTCATTGCGAGTAGGCAAAAGTGCAATTTTTTTTATACTGTGACGCTATTCTTAGTGATCAATCAGTAAATGCTCCAGTGATTTTGTAAGCTTACGAGGCTAGTGAATTAGCTAAGTAGCTCGTTAGCTGGCGAATTGGAATAAGCTTCCTCAGGGACCACCGATCTGAGCTCCTCCAGGAACATGCCCCCAGGAGATGGCGGCAAAGTAAGTTCCGACCGTCTGCTTTGGGTTAACCTATGGGACATGTGGTCTTAGGGCACTGAAAATAATTAGAGTTCCACAAAGCAGAGATCCCATCATGAGTCTAGGTACAAACTGGCATCGACTATCAGCATCATGACATCACTTTGGGGGATGCCACCCATGACAATGTGCAATAGGTCTTGACTAAACCACATTCAGATGCCAGCAGCTAGCAATGGCAGAGATCAGAAATTTCACACTAAGAAATGGAGGTTATGTGTCTCGGCACTTGCAAAAAGTCGAGGCTCGTCATGGTGGCGATGGTCAATCTCCAAGTCCAAAACCAAGTACACGAACACCCGATTAATGTGGGTCTGTTAACTGACATCATATCCTCGGGCCCAACATAAAAACCATCCTGACCTCTTTCAGTCTGCAGAATCATTGAATTAGCCCTTGTCTAGTGCAATATCCAAACTTTACTTCGTCGCCATGGCCGAAATGGGCGCCCTCAAGACGGAAAACCCCCTGCCTTCCCCGGCATTCACCAACAACAACCACGAGCACACCCTGAAAGATGAGGCTTGGAAACACCGCGCTCCATATCATATCCAGAGCCCAGAGGAATTCGGACCGATCAAGTGGCGTGCCAAGTGCCAGTGCGGGCAAATCTCATATACGGTGCGACGCGAGAAACCATTGAACGCCAAGTTCTGTCACTGTCGCGGATGTCAAGTAATGCACGGCGCGCCCTTCCAATGGGCTGCCATCTTCCACAAAGAAGACGTGAACTTTGCCAAGGGGTGCAGTGGCTTGTCATTTTATTCGTCTTCGCAGAAGTCGCAGACGTATCAGATGCCTACCAAGGTGTCCTGTTCTTTTTGTCATTCGCTTATCATGGACGAGGGACGCAATGTGTGCCTATTGTTTCCGCAATTAATTGAGTTTGAGGGCTCACAGGATGAGCAGAGGAAGCAGAGGGAAGCTTTTAAACCCACGTATGTATCATGTCGATTTCGGGAAGAAGTATTACCACTAATCAATGTCTTGGTACTGTAGATGCCACATCTTCTACGAACAGCGAATGATGGATATTCCAGATGGAACGCCTAAATGGTCAGGGATGGATCAGAGCAGCCAGCTGTTGAATGATGAAGGTGTTCCTATTGACGAGAAATGATTCAAGATGAGAGAATGTGTGACGATGATACGAGGTGCATATACAGCAAAGGGTGTTGAGAAGAAAATGCTTATTAAAGTCATGCGTGTTGGGTAGATTGGTTGCCCAACTATCAAATGGAAGAAATAGGATTAGCTTTCCAAGCCAGTGCGCGTGTATCAACATCAATGTTTCTGTGCCTCCGCCGTCATGAATAGCCCAGGACGGAAATGGCCGCAATCCATTCCCTTGAGGAGTAGGAGACTTGCAAAAGCAGCACGAGGATGAACTTCCTAGATCAATATATGGCAGGCTCGGTCACGATTTTAGGTTCAAATTCTCAAACAGATTGACCATGACTGTACTGTGCCTTGGATTAGGAAACTGTTGTCCCCAAGTCCATTTGCAAAAGCGTTATTGCAAAAGATAATCCAAAGCAAAAACAAAAACATACAACAGCCAGGATTCGCATGTGGTCACCCACCATACTACTAACTGGCCGGCGTGTGGCTAAAACATAGCAAGTAGTGCGGTGGGTGCCGCCCGGGTGAGAATAGGGTGAGCGCCGCTTTAGCGTCGCGCGACTCGGGTGATTAGGGTGAGTGTGCAATAGACAGGGTGAGAATAGGGTGACACCGGGTGAGAATCATACTTTTCATGCAAGGATCACGCTTTGACCATTCAGACTGAAGGAAAACATACATCATTGGCTGGTCTACCACTAACTACTGTATGCCGTGAGAAGTCTTCTTCTGACTCCTGCTGTTGTTAGTCATATACTACATATTTGCTTCATACCTCCTATCTTGTATATCACGTACGATTTTCGATTGGTACGCAGCAGAGTCTCATATTTAGGAATGTCTTTTGAAGAACTAATATCAAATGAAACGAATCATCAATACACAATTAAAATTGCCCATTTTCCCCTTTTCCAAAGCCAAACTATCCAATCTATCAACCCACTGATTCCCTGTCGTGATCAAACTCGAGGCTGTTTTCGATAAGCCAACAAAAATCTCTCAATGGCCACCTGACCGTTGCCTTGGGCAAATCTTGATGCGCGTTTTCTCCTGATATCAAATTCTTCCGTATTTGGGTGCTTGTCCAGCAACAATTGCAAAGTGTGGAGTCTGCCATTCTCCGCCGCACCCTCTATTGCACTTCTTCCTTGCTCAATGGCGGGTGCTCCGTTTATCTCTGCTCCGCACCGGAGCAAAATCTCCACAATGCGGATGTTTCCCTTAATGGCCGCCCCCTGCAGCGCTGAGACTCCCCTGTTGTGTGCTGCCGGTGCGTTGACGCTGGCTCCACAGGCTATGAGATATTCTGAGAGCTTAACAAGTCGGCCTTCCGCAGCAGCCTGAAGCGCCGTTCGGCCCCTGATGGGGCTAGGTAAGCCATTGACATCTGCGCCGTGTTGTATCAAGAGCACCACCATCTCAAAGTTATTTTTTGATACTGCTGTCTGTAAGGCGGTCATCCCACCAAGTTTATTTGCTGGGGCATTGGCATCAGCACCTTTCTCGAGGAGCGCTCGAACAACATCAATGTTATTGCGAGAAGCAGCAGCCTGGATAGCTGTCACATCACCAGGAGAATCGCGAATCCAGCGTTGATTTGGGTTAGCACATGCAGCCAATATGCATTGGAACACATCAAAACTGCAATATATTGCAGCCTGCATGATGGAGGTTTCCTTTGCGGAAACCTCATTATTTCCAGCGCATGCTCCTGCCTTGAGCAGAAGTTTTAAAAGAGACACATCAACCATTTTCCTTTCCAAAGCTAAAGCTAAGACTCGATGTCTTGCTTTTTGGTCAGAAACTATTGCGTCGGGACATTTCGTAAGAAGCATGCGAACGAGCTTCTCGTTTGAACTCACGACTGCCGCTTCAATAGCTGAAAGCCCCCTGTAAGAGGAAGCTTCGGACTTGATATCTGCTCCAGATTTCAAGAGGAGATCCACCACCGACTGCCTATTCTTCTCAGCTGCCGCCTGTAGGGCAGTGCGCCCCTTATATGGACCAGCGGGGGCATTGATATCAGCTCCATGCTTTATCAATAGCTCCACGAGACTTTCTTGGCCCAGTGCTGAAGCTTCTTGAAGAGGCGTGAGATATGATTCGGCAGAGTATCCCGGATTAGGGCTTACACCCTTTTCAAGAAATTTTCTTGTCGTTTCAAGGTCTCCGCACTCGACAAAGGAATGTAAAGGAGTATTGCGACTTTGGTTTGTGAGTACTTCGGTATCTACCCCTGCACGCATCAAAAGATGAAGTATTTCTTTCTTAACTGCTGGGTCTTGGAGACGAGCAGCTTCTTTGAGAGCGGTTACACCACCCGTGACAAATGGGTCGGTGTTCACAGCTGCCTGAGAATCCAAGAGAATTTCTACTCCCTCAATATTTCCAGCTGCTATTGCAAACTGCAAAGCTGTCTTTCCATTCCTCTCAGATGGAAGAGCATTGACATGAGCCCCATTTTCCAGTAAAATCCTCAGGATCTTGGTGTCAGAATGTTCTGCTGCAGCCTGTAGGGCAGTCTTTCCGTACAGTATGCCTGCAGGAGCATTAACCTCTGCCCCTTTTGCCAAGAGCAGTTCAACAAGTCTTTCGCTCATGACCATCACAGCTATTTGAAGCGCCGTGTGACCCTGATTTCCTTTCGGTCTTGCATCAATATGAGCACCGTGTGTTAAAATCATGCGAGTCATGGTGATGTTCTTTGCGAGGACAGCTGCCTGTAGCGGTGTAAAGACCGGGATCGTGTAAGATGACATTTCATCCTCCAACAATTCTGTATTGCATGTTCTCCAGCTAGGATTTACCTTGGCTCCTTCATCCAACAGAAACTGAACAACCTCCCAGTTCTCTCTAATGGCTGCGATAAGGATAGGGGGCATGAAAGAGAACGAGAGTCTTTCAGCCAGATATATTGCACCCTCGTCATTGCCAGAGTAATAAAAATCCAAATCAGATTCTGAATCCGAATCCGAATCCATCTCGCTATCCTCGGTGCCAACAGCATGTGCGTTACCCTTTTGGTAACCCGAGCGTGAATTGATATTTGCACCTTCTTCAAGTAGAAGCTCTGCCATGCCTGAATTTTCAGAAAACGCGCTTGCAAGTTGAAGGGGTGTCCCACTCTTCGGATTGGCAAAGAAATCAGGATCGGCCCCCTCTTTCAAGAGATACCGAGCTAATTCAGTATCCTCTGCTCGGATCGCCAACTGCAGGGGGGAAAGACGAGAGGACTTGAATGGCGGGTTCACAGCAGCTCCGAAGCTGCACAAAAGCCTCACTCGTTCAAGTGGGCTCGGATATCGATCGGAACATGCAACCTGAAGTGGGGACCGTTTGTCAACGGTCAGGTTTGGATCTGCACCTGCTGCCAGCAACAACGTCACACATTCATTCTGGGCATTTTCAAGAGCTCGGTGAAGAGCTGTTGTTGGCACGGTATCTCCAGTCAAGCAATCGAGATCCGCCCCAGCTTGGATCAAAATGTCGCAAATCTCAACTTCTCCTAATCCTGCTGCGCTTCTCAGAAGATTTCCCATGAAGATCTCAACTGCGGTGTCGTTTGATTGCAAAATTGTTCTCAGCAGAGGAAAGGCACGGTATTTTGCAATAAGGGATACCAACTTAGCAGTTGAATAGTCGCTAAGATGATTATTCGATGACAGGTAGATGCAGTAACTGAGATAGTCGAACAATTTATCTCGCATGGGGGATTGGACCGAAGCTGTGGCTTTTCCTGCACATCCGAGGTTGAAGTTTTCAGCTGTTATAGGCTCTAGTTTCGAAAAGAAACTTGGCCCGTCTGAACCATCAAACGATTTAAACTGTTGCGAGAGAATCATTCGAGTCCCCTCGGCCATGCTCTCGTTCTCGGTGATTGCTATGCAGTCCTGGGGTTGAACCCCCCAATCTGCGCTTTCTGATGTAAGAAAAGGAACAGAAACAGGCATATCACATTCAAGTATATTGCCAGTATGATTGAACGGATCTGTAGTAGGCTCTCTGTTCCTCTGCAAGATAAAATCTAAGGAACTCGGATCCGACAGCATGATCGGCGGTGGAGAGGCCGCACTACTGAGCTGCAACGCTTCTGGGATTACCCAGTTCGAAAAGTCAAGGCTCGGGGGATGCGACCAGTCATTCAAAAGGAGATTTGCTTGACTGTCGGGTTCAGTGTCAATATCAGGAGGTTGTGCTCCAGGTGTGCACACATGAATTCCTTCTGGTGTCTTGGGATCTGAAACGACAAATGAGCATTTGAATCTTGGCTTGAAATCTTCCAGGTCAAGACCACAACACAGTTGTAACGTACCAGACGTCTCTATCCCCGAATATTTTGAAGATAATGGAACATGGCGAGATATTTCTTTTCTGACTTTGGGGTCAGGGACGCGCTTTCCACGCATCCAAACCCACCCCGGGTCTTTCCCATCTCGCTTTCGTTTTTCCCGGCGAGATGAGACGAACTGCCAGTCTTCTCTGGTTACCTTTTTCTTGTATTCCCATTTATTGAATTGACGAGCAAACTGGCTTTCACTTGGGTGGAATTAGTCTTTTTGCTCATATAATAAGCAAGAGTCTCGCGATCTTTACGACTGACCTTCTGTAGAAGCCGTAGCTTTGGGACATGTATTCTTGAACTTGTTTGGTAGTCCAATTTCGGTCCAGCCACAGATGTTTGAGCTCCTCGCGGTGGGCCTCCCACTCGTCTTCGTGACTCTGTGCCATGAGTCTGCGTTTTTGGGTGAGATGGACTTTAAGCGCGTAGATTTGAGTGTGGTATACGATTATTATATGTGTGTGGGTGTTGAAGCCCTTTAGATTATATTCGTGGGAATGATTCTTAGCGTTCTATTGGGTATTGCCAGAATCCAAAAAACTCTTCAACCCTTGTCGGTTTTCTCAGCACAGGTCATAACGCTTGGGGCTGTTTCTGGCCGCGACGAATGAGACCATTGAGCATTGCGCCTCGATGGGTCGGCAAGGACCTTTGTGATTGGTGGCGGCCCAAATGTCGATTGGCGAGACGAAAAAAGCTGAGTTCTTAACCCCTCTCATTCTGGACCTTTTGCTTTTTATGCCTGGTCGCAAATCTGGAAACGGTGCTTACCCCTTTTCTCCTTCCCCTGTTTTTTTGTCTTAGTCTCTCAAGCTTCGATGGAGATACATATTTGCCATAATTCTCCCAATTGTTCAAACGCTCCAGGCTCAACGGAGTACAGTACGATCCATTTTTTGGTAACTTTTCGCATCAATCATAACGTATTTCACCAGCGAGCGAGCCACACGGCCGAGCGGGCCACCGCAAAACACTAAAAGACGAATTTCTAGGTCATTATATATGAACAACGATAAGTCATCCTTACTTGATTCTTAGTGGAGAATGTTTTCTGAGCATTAAAAATAGTCGAGCATAACTAACATATTCATAATGTAATTATGTTCACGTAATACAAAAATTACGCAATCACAGACCGATGTAGATATATATATCTCTATCGTTATACACCAGAATATTTCCCACATCAAGGAGAATACATATTGTGGTATATCAAATATCAAGATATATTAGGACAAGATAATCAACTTCGAGCGTTGAAATATTAAGTTATATAATATTACATTTAGTATGGTGTTTTGGGATGGCCCGCCCGCTGGTGAAATACGTTAACTAACTATCATATTTATGTGACATAGATGTTATGCTGTAATATGATTGGCTCATTCCTGATTTTCGTGTTCTGAATTGCAAATGAGTAAGCATGCGATATTTTGATAAGAACATTTAACGACTCTTTCTCCACGCTCCACTAAAAATTTTCGGCTTTGACGTGTCTAATACCGCCATTAATTATAAAGTTTGGCGGCTCTTTCAAGATTTTAACCCGATATTTTGATATGACGGTTATCCTGAGCCCCACGAAAGTGCAGAATTTGCAGATGATGTACATCATTTGTAACTTGTTAGTGCATCAGACCGCAACTCTTCATCATTATAAAATGATCAAGGTGATTTTCTTGAGTCGCATTAGATGCTGCACCTAATTTGCCTTGGGACCTAGTAAAGAATAAGGAGCAAGATCTTTTCAGCTATTATAGGCTCTGTCTGTTTGTGCTGGAGACGGGCATCGCCGGAGAAAGGGTATCCTAAAGAGACGTGATAAGTGCTTCGTCGATGATAGGTTTTAGAAATTCCGATATGAAGTAAATTGGCAACACTGGATCTGCTCTTCAGTCTAGCATTTCATCAGAGATATCACACTTGCCGAACGACGAAGCAAAATGCTGGAGAACACAATCGCGGGCTTAGAGTGCAGGCTAGCTGAAACAAAGAGCGATTCTTGACATTGGATAAAATGAAATAAAGATACTTGAATCCTTGGCCCTAGTTTCGTGTATTTTCTTCGTCCAAGTATACGTCAGATCTATAGGTGGATTTGAAGATCTAGACTTATTGCGCCCAAGCCATTGCGCCCAAGCAAACCTTAATCCAGTCAAGTAGTATGTGTAGCTCCAACATTTTGTTTCCATTCTTGTTGCAAAATCAAAGACACTTTCGTCGGTGTAATCACGAATGGAAAGGTCCACCTTCTGATTTTCAGTGAGTAATCATATGATATGTAAGTCTCCCGTCTGTGCGGCGTGAAAAACAGCTGTTCTACCGGTATCGTCCGGCAGATTAAGATCAATGTCTTCGATTTTCAATAATATATTCACGATTTGCCAATCATTTAGGGTAATGGCGTATATGAGAGGAGTTCTTTTTTGGGCGCCTTGTGAAATGACATTGACGCGCGAAGTGCGTAGAAGAAGTTCCACAAGCTGAGTAGTTCGATTCGCTGCGGCCCAGGCCAGAGGGCTTTTCCCCACAGTCCAAGCTAGAGAGCTTTTTACCATAGCCATTTCTTCTTGTTCTTTTTGAGTCATCATTAATCGCTCCTTGTTCGGTTGCTCCAGTAACATGAGCTGCATTTGATAGTCTTGGAGGGCATGGCTCCGCCGCGAACCAGGGACCACAGGCAAATCAGAAAAATCTTCCACCGGTCTAAACTGAACCTTTCTTTTCTCGCCGAATCAATTGCCTGGTAATAGAGGTGAGAGTTTATTAGCTTCTCTTGTGTATGTGCTTTCTCCGCGCGGAAATGGCTCGTCTGGGTCAATATGAGAGCATGAAAGGAGGCTTTCAAACGCTGGGCTTCCATATCCCGGATCGAACGGCGCTCCATAGCGCTGCGTTAGCAAAGCCATTATCTGCCCACTCCATTATGAGTGGTTGATCCATAGACGCCTGAGAAATTCTCGCCAATGTTTCTTTCGCCACTGCCCTCGGTGGGATCTCATTAAGAGGGTAGAAGAATTGCTTTACGAAACGAAAGTTGCATGAATTGAGGCACGCCAGTATTGTTCTGTCCCAGATCGCCTTTTCTATCATGAATTCTGTCACTCTAAATAAAATTTTTTGGACCTCCGAGCTTGAATTACGTTGGAAGAAATCACAAAGGAACACCCACAGAGTTGGCAGGGGCTTGGATGCGTGCGCTATGTCACTCACTATTCAAGATCCACCTCAGACCATAGGCCTCATTTACTCTGACCAATAGCGGAAGAATGGAAATTCCTGCAGCACCGAGGACAAGGTCGATCACTTGCTTCACGAGAATATCATCCCCAAGCCGATGGACATTTTTGAATACAGTTTCCAGACGAGTTCCCTTGCCATCAATCAAAAATGAATCAGAAAGGATCTCATTGGACAACATTCGTGCTTTAGCCCCGCCTTTTTTCAGAGGCGGCCGAACCAGCCGAACCAGACGCTTGAAATAGCGGAACTATACCAATAGCGAGCCATATATAAGCTTATCCGGACGTCCACAAATTGAAAGAGGTTTCCGAATGCAGTGGTCTAGCTGAAGCATGCTGCATGCACAAGCTCTTGATGGTGCGTTGATTGACTAACCACATGGTTGGTTTCTCAGGCTTTAATTTGATACTTGCTTCCCTCCACCTTGCGCAATACTGGTAATGGACTGCAGAATGATCTAGGCTCTCTGGTCGGGATTGTCTGGACATTTTGCATTGCAGTCGGATTTGCGCCACCAACTCGTGCATCAGAATCGCCATCAACACCTACCAAGCCAGCAGTATGTTCATTGATGTCCGCGCCATGTCAGGTGGCCTGATCTCGTCTACTTTCTGAATGGTTTATCCTATTTAGGACAAAAAAATATGTATAAGAAGGCTTCTTTCGAAAATTGCCAACGAATCCATCAAGGAGCATAGAAAGTAATTTAGTATTGATTTGGCGCTTATCAAGTTTCTTTTGGAAGTCCTTTAGCAGCATCTTCTCTCGAATGGCTAGTATTAGGAAAATAAGAACATCAGACATACACCCTGGGCCTCATATTCATGGCTCGGGCTTAAGTGAAAGTGGGAGACTGGGTGATCTGGGTGAGAGTTCTCGCCCTAGTCTCACCTCGTTCTCATCTCTATCACCCCAGTCTCTAAACTTCTCACCCATATCACCCACACTTACCCTAAGATCAAAATTGACGCTATTTTAGAGCTCAGGGCGAATTGAGAATTGGCCGCGTACTATAATGGGCTTAAGTACGGCTGAGCGGACGGGAAGCCCTGTTCTCCACACCCTATGGTCGTATGTGCTGGGATATTGATCTTTAAAGCTTATATAGGAGGTGAGTGTACTTGATCCATGCGATCTAGGGATAGTGTAGGATGTTCACTAACTAGAGTGAGCTTACTATACTAAGTAAGGTCTTAGACACAATAGACATAACCGTCATATCATATACGACAGCAATTAGGGAAGAAACACGGGATATGATAATACCTTCATATACGAGAAGTAAAAGGCCAAGATAGCCAAATTATTGCGTCAATTCTTGCGCTTCAAGGGTCAGCCACTGTGCGTACGGCATTCCCTAAGCCACTCCGATGAAAATCTCTCCTATCAAACCACAATACACTAATCTGTCCAGAATATAGTTGGCGATAAGTTTCATCATTACACCATAACGCCAGAAAGTGACAGTAAATTGAGCACTGTAAGCCATATGTCTGCATTATGTCAGACCGATCAGCCACCATGGATCGACAAGACAACAGAGATCACGTGTCAGAACCAGTGTGTACACTGATCAAAAACAGAATAAATAGTATCACTCCCTAATAGCTAAAGTTTAGCGAGATTACTATCTTTGCCAAGGGTTTCGCAGAGATATTCCGTGAGTCCTCGCCCACAGCCACAGGTACCTCTAAAGATATCAATACAGACTCAATCACTTCAGCAGTGAGCGCAAACTGGTCCCCACTCAAGACTTATCCAGCCTCGCAAAGTAGTCTGTATCTGTCACAAGGAAGACGATCGCCAAAGTTGCATCGATGACCGCCCATCTGACCCTGGATGTAGTTCGAGTCTTGACCACTCAAAAAAGGATCCTCAGCAACGAAAGCGCTTTTATGATGTGCGAGATACCAATTTGCATTCGTAGACAGTACATCTTCATATGTCGGGAATTGGAGAGCTGAGTGCAGATGGTCCGCAAAGGCTGAGTATGGCTGGCTGAAGCTATACTTTTGCTCCTACATGAATGGCGCGTGTAAGAACTTTGCCTTAAACAATTATGCTCAGCAATGGACAAGGATCCGAGTTCTCATTCGATGAGTAGTGAGAATCAGGCAAGCGGTCCAGTGTGGTAAATGCCTCCATTTCCGAGCTCGTTCTCATGCTCTGGATTGTGGACAACGCTGCAAGATTAGCCGATGCGATGTCAGCTTAAAGGTGTATCTCAGAAGTGATCCTATTCATGCACGAAGTGCAGAAAAGGATCAAGCCAGATGCTTTGATGAGATCAGATCCGAGATCATGGTTCACGGGATAAACGCCTCGTTCGTATTCAGCTCAAGCCCGTTGCGCGCCTAAGAACTCGTTCTTCCACATTTGAAGATGTGCTCTTGTCTTGCTGATACCTTTCATTAGCACCATTGACTGAATTCAGCAATAGTTCGTCGGCACCATAATCCCAGATTGTTTTAAAATACGATCGCCAGACTCCAGATCCTAGGCTGGTCAACACGCAGCGAACGAGCATGCTCCATAACTTGTAAGTTCCGCAGAATAAAAAACCCTATCGTCGTATGCTCGCTCGGTAATTGGTCAGCGATGGAAATAAACCTCGTAAGCGTTGTCGAGTGTCCCAAGCTGCATGCTGCAGCTACGTGTCACAGGTCGCTAGTGGTCCCGGCACTTTGGGTTGCCAACCTTACTCTCTAGGCGAGTCTCTATTCCCCAGTTTCACGAACAGGTCGCAGGCGCTGAGATCTCACAGTGAGATTGTGGATGATATTAATGCTGCTGCACGGTCCTGAAGTATCGTGGATGTGATTGATTGCTCGCTTGGCTTGACCTTCTTCGTCCCTTAGACTCTTCGTTTCGCGCGCCACACCCGATATGGCTGTGAGTAGAGCAATTGGCGTATCGTCGACTCCGTCCGAATCTACAGGCTTGACACGGTTCAGCAGCTTCAGCCAGCCACGGCGCAAATGAACAAATCAATTTGGACTACAATTTGTCTCTAGACAGATTTCGAGGCACGTTGAGGGTCCCAGCACAGTCTCTTCGATCGTCCCACTGATCATTGGTTCTCCATGATGGCCTTGAGGCGCAGAGTTTGCCTGGCGCCTCTCGTATCTTGCTCATGGCACAGAACTTCCCCGTCCAGCTCATCCAGTTCGCAATGTTGAGGGCCCATATCGAGTTCCATAGACGAAAAGGGTTTCCAGCTGTGTCGTGATTCGTGAGATTCTCGCAGTAGACATACGCCATGAGACCCTCACAGTCGCCTATTTAATCTCAGCAGCCCGCATGCTCGAGCAACTGCCAGTAGTAGATCGTTAAGTTTCCATAAACTTGACCCGCAGATTACCCAAGACCTATTGACAAACTTCCTCTTCATCTTCTTTTGTCGGACTTCGCATTGAACACTGTATCCAGTCGACAACGACCAAATCATTGCTGCTTTCACTTGGCTGGATATCCTCGCTTTTTCGCATCAAACAAGCATCTGAACAGACAGCCAGAATGACTTCATACAATCAATCGCAACTTTCCCAATACAGGTTCGACTTCGTCGTGGCTGTCACTCAGGCGAGCATCAATGCCACCATGAAGGCCTACTTGCGCACTTGCCCGGAGCCCGAGATCAAAGTCTGTTATGTCGTTGGTCACGATCCTGTCACGTCACAAGTTGTTCCCGAGGAGATTCCGTATGAAAAGCTCCTCGAATTGACCGACAATGTTGACCCGTTCACGGTAGACATCCCGTCGTCGAACCCAGAGACTTGTCCAAATTTCCAAAAGTTGCTCAAGGCCAAGTTCATGACGGGGTTCAAAGTCCGAATGGGCATTCCCGTCGGAGCCGATCTTGCCACAATCCCGGATATCGTGGGGCTTCGAGCTGATACAGCCACGGTGAAGTATAATTTGATCTGCAGCGAATTCATCGTTGCCGCTCTGCAGAATGAATGGGGAACCTACTCCTGGCTCCAGAAGGCGCAGGATCCCAAGAAACCATGGCTTTACTCCGCCACGGTCGACCTGCGCATGGGAGAAGTTCCCGATTCGGCCTACAGCAAACTTCCCCAGGTCGTTCAGGACCAAATCAAGAACCTTTCAGGCTCGGCCTTTAGCATTCAGCAGCTGCTGTTTGACCTCAGCAACGCGGGCTTGTCCAGCGCTCCCAGGATTGACGGCGTTGACCCGGGCTCGGCCCTTGAAACCATCCTGAATCGCTTCTTTGTGTCCAAATACGTTGCAAACCTGCGCAAAATGGGTGACCCAATGTTGGGTTGTGCCGTCGTGCCGAAGGAGACGGACAAGTCCACGCTCAGACTTACGGACCTAAATTTCTCTATCAATCCCTATATCGATCCCAAAACTGACGATGCAGTTCTTCCTCCTGGGACCCCGGAGCAGAACCTGGCTTGTCTCAACTATCTCTGCGCAGTCGACAACCATGTCCTTCCGCCTCCAACTCGGTTCCCTTGGAACTGGTTGCAAGGCAATGAAAATGCCGATCACGATGGAATTGTCTCCATCAATCGAAACAACCTGAGGGATTGGCTCGAGCCGTCCCTTCATAAAGTGGTGAAAAAGCACTGTCCAAAGCCAAAGGTCTATGCGAAACATCATGACGGCAACCTTCTGAAGTTGTACGTGGAGGTATATTTCGGACCCGACTTGGAAGACCCGGTCGTCGAACGAAAAGACAACGGACAGACAGTGATGACCATGTCGTACGAGGGATATTCTGAAGACGACGATCAGGCGGGATCGATCGAGCTCAAGTACAAATACACCGCGAACGTGGACTTTGTCGGCTCCAACATCATCATCACTCAGAATGTCTGGGTGTGGTATTACGCAAAAGCCATGTCAACGTCGAACCATGATGTTGTCGTCGACGACCTTCAAACGGACACTTATCCCATCACTGTTAGCAACGGCGAGCTCATTGTAGGAACTGCAGATTCCAAGTTCGAGAAACGGGCGGACCCTTCGGACAGAAACGGCTTTGTCGGTGCATTCTCGGGAATCAACAGAGTCACCGACAGCATTCAGGAGCAGTTGACGCAACTGCAATCGATCAAATTAGAGACCATCCCGGTTTCCGCCATGCAGGGATTTGTGTTCCCGGGAGGCAATACGTTCACTTTCAAGCATGCTGAGTTTTCTGAGCACCAGGACCTCGTTGCGTTCATCAAGTACACCTCTTGATCGGACAGTGAGGTGGGATCGTGTATCTTGGTTTCGACCATGCAGTGGGATCAGAGGAATCATTTCATACAGTCTGTCAGTTCTTCAAATACAGCATTCCGGTTTGTCAACTTCCTGTTCAGATATGTCGCAGTGGAGACTGCGGCTCATGTGGCGTATTCTCCGATGCACGTAAACCATTGACTTTGTAGGATTGGATGTAGAAAGTAAGAAGATTAGACATCTTAAGAACGAGAAATGATAATTACTGGAGGTACATTCTGCCCGAGAGTTTCCTACCCACAGTTGTCCCTGTCGTCAGTACAGGATTTGGGTGACCAGAAGGTGGAGGTGGCGTCTCCCCGCAGTTGAAATGACGATCAGTTCCTCAGACCAAGTATCGGAAACAGGCTCGCGGCAACAATGAGCATTATAGAATCTTTATCCTTGGGCCGCTCAGCGCTTATGTGTGCCGGCTAAAGCGAGACTGTGCGTTTGTACCTGGGTTGGGCCGACCGGATGTTATGCCGAGGGACAGCACTCGGCCGAGCCGCTCGCGGGTCACACATGATCAACAATCATAGTTGAACTTTGGAGAGGGACATCGAATTTCTTTTAAGCAAAATGCTTTTTGAACCTGCATCGTTGGAATCTGAACCTCAGAGTCACATATCGTCTCGCGGTTGAGCAACAGCAACATGAAGACACAGCAGCGGGCATCCCCCGCAGTACCCACGGCCGATATTTGGGAGTTCCTCTTTGAGCGGCCATCGCTCCCTTTTCCTCCAGATCATGGTTGGCTTCCCCCGCCTCTTGATTTGATTCCATTCACTTACACGGTCATCAGTGATCTTTCGTGCCGCCACCACCGACGACAAATGGACTTACAAGGGACTTCGAGATCGTGCCGAGCAATTCGGACGTGCACTACAATCCAGCTGGCGATGGAGCAAAGATGATGTCCTCATGGTGATCGGTCCGAACGACATCGATATCCCGCCTGTTATCTGGGGATGCCATTATGCGGGCGGCATCGTGGCCCCCGTTAATCCAGCTTTATCCGTTCAGGACCTTCACCGGCAGATCGAACGTAGCGAAGCGCGCGGACTCGTGGTTCATCCGGACTGTCTTCCTGTTGCCCTCAAGGCTGCCCGGATTGCGAATATTCCCAAAGACCGTATCTTGGCCCTCCGCTCTAACCGAGATCAAACGACCAGCGATGCTACATCCACTGTGGACCAATTCATCGCAAACGCCCAGGTGGCTTCGGATATGATAAGCTCACGTCCAAAAAATCGATTCGCAAAGGGACACTGCTTTCTTAGTCTACTCGTCTGGGACTACGGGGCATCCTAAAGGGGTGATGGTATCGCATCAGAATGTGGTCGCAGACGTCTTTTTGCAATCGGTCGTTGAAAGCGATCATATAGACTGGCGCAAAGACCGTACGTTGGCCGTGTTGCCCATCTATCATATATACGGTTAGTCTTGTATCCGAGTACATCGATAATCAAGCTAAGTAACAGGCCTGGTCTGTCTCGTCCACGCCCCTGTCTATCTCGGGACGACCACGATCTATATGCAACAATTCGAGCTTACCGCATTCTGCCGCTCTATTCAAGACTATCAAATTACTCACGTCTATGTTGCACCACCAATCGTGCTTCATTTAACAAAGAGTGATCAAGTGAAAGAATATAATTTACAATCACTTCGCATGATCACGTCTGGCGGCGCCCCTCTCCCTGCCAACCTGATCACCGAGCTATATGAGCGACGAAGACTCCCTGTTCGACAAGCCTACGGGCTTTCGGAAACCACCTCAATTACACACATTCAGGTATGACTTTGAGATTTGTCATCGATGGGAGTTGAAACTAATATTTTTTTCAGCGCTGGGATGCCTGGGAAAACGGCATTGGCTCTAATGGGCAATCCCTTCCCGGGGTGGAAGCAAAGTTTGTAATTAATGATACCAGAGCGGCTGCAATCGGAGAGGAAGGTGAGCTTTGGATACGGGGTCCTACTGTTTTCAATGGCTACCGAGGGGAGCCCGAATTGACTGCAGGATGCATGACCAAGGATGTATGGTTTAAAACGGGTGGGTTCTCTCTCTCATGCTCTATTTTACCCCAATCTCCCCGACTGCCCTGCCATGATCACCAACCAGTTACCTTTTCTGACTTTGGCTACTAGGTGACATCGGGCATGAGGATGAATTTGGCAACATGTTTATCACCGATCGTTCCAAGGACTTGATCAAGTTCAAGGGGTATCAAGTACCTCCCGCAGAGCTCGAAGACCTAATCATTAAACACGAGACAGTGGAAGACGTTGCTGTCATTGGAATTATGAACGATAGCCTCGCGAGCGAGGTCCCGTTGGCCTACATTGTGGTCAAGTCGGGCATCTTGGAAGACGAAGCCACGGCAAAGCTAATTCTCGACCACGTCAAGAATCAGACGGTGAACTACAAACATCTTCGTGGAGGCATAATATTCACCAAAGAGATCCCTAAAAGTGCATCTGGCAAGATTCTGAAGCGAGCACTTCGTCAGCAAGCGACAGCGGATGGGGTACGTCGAATCGGGGCAATCAATTATGAGAATTACCCAAGGGCAACGAAGTTGTAATCTTCAAAGATCTATGAAATCGTTCACATTGGGCGATTTCGCTCTTGTTAAAGAAAATTTCAACATACCTATCAGCTAGAGCAAGACTATCCATATCCATCCTTCCCCATCCTTTCTGCAACGTAGTCTTGATACTATGCAATGGAAATGCACTTTCCTTATTCTCACATTTGACCGGTCAGCCCTTTCCCTAAACAGGAAATTCCCGAAGGAGTCTTCACTTTCCTAATTTACGCAGCCCAATCATAATCCGATAGCCGCAGCGTGTCGAATTCACAGCGTCTCATCGCCGGTGGGCTGGGGCCAAAGTCAGCCAATGCGGGGCTGCAAGTGAAGAGCTCCCGCGACGATGTGACCCTTTGGCAACTCATTTCCTGAATGGGAAATACGTCGGCCACGACGTCTCAGTCAGCACTGCACGAGAGATACGTTCTTAAAAGAGTGTTATTTCTCTAGAAAGCCATTTGTTTGGTGTTCAAGCCTGCTGCAGTATGTACATGGACATTATGTCGCTCAAGTCGTTGGTGCGTCTCGCCCTTCTTGCCACTCTGGCCGGGCCGGCTGTCGCAGTCACACAAATCACCGACGATGAGATGACATCTCTCCTGAACGCCGGCGGGGTGGATTTGGCAAACCGGTATGCGCCTATATGGTTCTTCGGCCAAGCCCTGAACCAGCCCCCATGCTACCCGACATGGGCATACGGCGGATCGCCCACTACACCCGATATCTATGATGATGCCCACAAGACTCCTGCGGCACCGCAGTGTGGATATCCCAACGTTGGTTGTAACTGCCGGAATCCAGGGGTGGGTATTGGTAACCCTGGACCTGCATTTCCGGTGTACTATACCTATAAGCGCTGTAGTGATACTGAAGTTCGGGTTGTATATAACCTCTTCTATGAGAAAGATGGCGCGACCGTCGGTTCTATTCAAACCGGCCATAACTAGTAAGTCCACCTATGAATGGAAAAGATCGTGCCCACGCTGACATATTTCAAAGCGATTGGGAACGTGTAATCGTCATCCATTCTCGTGGTAGTAGCAGTATGTGGGCTCCATCGCGAGCTCTCCTCTCTGCTCACAGCGGGTACCACAACCTGGCCTGGGGAGATATTCAGAACACCCTCACGACGGACGAGATCAACGCCGGCGATGCAAAAGATCCCAATGGAGTGAAAAATAATGATCACCCCAAGGTGTACGTGTCTTGGTCGAAGCACGCAAACTTCGATACCCGCAATACTGGCTGGAATGACCCGGCAAGTCAATCGTTAGAAGATGCATTCCGCAGTCAAGATTGGTGGTATTTTGTTGACCCCCAGTATTATGTTCGTTGGCCCTGATTTTTCTTGTGCTGGGAGTCGCTTGGATACTGACATGATTTTTAGATCCGTGCGGACGATAGCACTGATGCTGGGAAGGCCATTGGCGCTGCGAACTGGGGAGATGCCTCGAGTAATCCGCCTTCGGTGCAAACGGGCGTTTGTAGTGCGTCGTAAATGGTGTAAGGTAATGCGGATTTGCGAAGCTTATAGGGAATATCCACACATTAACCTTTTTTTATATGATACACCTCGATTGATACATAATCTGTCTTGAAGCTTTGCGTGATACTTTCTGGGTTGTTAAATGCTACGCTGACTGTTCAATCGGTTGCTACTCCACCAACGAGCCCCGCTTTGCTTTGTTATCCTGGCTGTCCTCGAAACCTTCAACCAAGAATTTATACCCTATTGGACGTTATTTTTTCAAACAATATTCAAACAATATAGTCTCTCCCTGAACAGTACCAATTTCTATCATGGCTTCGTCGACTGAGACCCGAAAGCCTTTTCCCCAGCCAGCTGCGGGGTACACTCAATCCTTCTGGCGAACTGAACTGGATCCCCTAGATAACCACCGGAGTACACCAGATCTACCCACTGAAGCGGACATCTTGATTGTTGGCAGTGGTTATGCAGGGGCCTCGGCAGCTTATCATCTTTTTCTTGAGGACCAACAAGGGACTCCCCCGAAGGTAGTTCTCCTCGAGGCCCGTGAACTATGCTCCGGTGCTACGGGAAGAAACGGTCTGTACCTCTTGTAACTGAATTGAGAATTATTTTTTGAAACTAATCCACATCCATTCTGTCTGATTAGGTGGCCATCTCAGACCCGATCTGTACTCGGCCACGGAGAGATACACAAAGCGATATGGACTCGAAGCTGCTGTGGAAGTTGTTCGGTTTGAGATCGCCCATATGAAAACGTTTCAAGAGCTCGTGCGAAAGGAGAATATAGACTGCGATCTCACTTTCACTAGATCTATGGATATCTACCTTGATGCAGACCAGCTTGCGGCCACGAAAACCTTTTATGATTATCTGGTCGATCAAGGTTTGGACTTCATGGATGATGTCAAGTACCTTTCCCAAGAGGATGCTGTAAGAGTAAGTGGTCTAGCAGCAAGGACAAGGACTCGGTTGGTGACTAACATCACGCTCGATCAGGAAGCAAAGGTGCGAAATGCCCAAGGAGGCTTCAGCTTTTCTGCGGGTCACCTGTGGCCTTACAAATTGATATCTGGTCTCATTCGCATTGCTCTTTCTCGAGGACTTAATCTTCAGACGAACACAATGGTCACCGAGGTTGGCCAGGACCGCACCCCGGAGGGTCTTTGGCCCGTCATGACTGATCGTGGCGTTATCTATGCACGAAAGATCATTCTCGCCACAAACGCTTACACAAGTGCCCTTGCTCCGGAGTACTCCAAGGCCATTGTACCCTGTAAAGGGCTCTGCACTCATATTGAACCAGCACCTGGCGCATCCTACCAAGAACTACCGGAGACGTACGCCATTCGACATAGGCCTGGAGCATTCATTTACCAAATTTCGCGCAAGGATGGGTCAATCATCGTCGGTGGTGCGCAGTATAAATACAAAGATATACCCGAGCAGTGGCACAGTAACCCTGACGATGGTGCCTTGATTCAGGCCGTCGAGAATTACTTTGATGGGTACATGCAGCGCACATTTTATGGTTGGGAAAACAGCAAGGCGACCGTGAAACAGATTTGGACAGGTGGTAAGTATATTACTCCTGAACTCTGTTGTATGTGATCTACGGCGTGTGGCTTTGCTAATTCTTCGAGCTCTCCAACCACAGTGATGGGCTACAGTGCGGACTCGTTACCACATATCGGAGATATCCCGGGAAAGCCGGGGCAGTATATTGCCGCAGGATTCAATGGGCATGGAATGCCAGTAGTTTTCTTGTGTGGAAAAGCTATCGCACAAATGGTTCAGGAATCGGTTTCTTTCCAGGAGACTAGTCTACCCAAACTCTTTGAGACATCTGCCGCCCGGCTGGATCCAGTCTACAATGACACTATAGGCTGAGCGCAAATAAAACAGCGTGAAGGGTTGTCGGGGCTGGAAATGATCTCAATACTTGTGTTTGATTCAATGGTCTACCCTAGCTAAGAAGTCAGTGCTGGTACTCCGGATACGTATTTTGCTTCCCGGAAGGCTTGGAGAACAGAGTTGTTACATTTCCATTGGATCCCAAAATCCCAAGACTTCAACTTCAAGTACAGAAGTACGAGGGATGTATAACAATCACGTGGATTTCTTCTACGATACTAGGGGAAGAAATGTTGCAGTTCCATGGTTTAGCGGGCACCCGATTGGGTTCCACATGTGCTTGTTGCGTGAAGACGCTCAGAAATAAACTTCTGCCATGAAACCTTACAGCCAATCACCAGCTCGGAGTGACGCACCTGCATGTCACCAAACCCCCGAAGCATGAAATTGGCGCCTGAGCTTCTGTCGCGTCAAATTTATTTACTTCTCGAGGTTACCCAGCTCGTGTAACTGTCGCCTTTTGTCGTGTGCGTAAAAGGACCTTCAACATGTTGCTCCCGGCTCCCCTGTCGCGATATGTCGGGTCGTTTCGCTCCCTAGGACAAAAGTGGCGCAGCCACACCGAATCTCGACAATCAGATGGAGATGACGATTCCCTCGCGCATCGCCTATCCGACGTCTTTCTTCGTACCTGGGACTTGGGCTTCATTGCGTTCGGTGGCCCGCCTGTGCATTTCCAGATCTTGCATCGAAGGTTTGTGGAAGGAAAGGGCGGCAAAGAGAAATGGGTGGACGAACAGACTGTAAGACTCCCCTCAAAAGCCTGGTATCAGAGCTTGGCCTAATCAAATTAACTAGTATCAAGAGCTCTTCGCTATCTGCCAAGGTCTTCCTGGTCCAGGTAGTACGAAGATGCTGTTTTGTCTGGTCTTGCTGCACGCCGGCTTCATTCCGGCTATTATGGCATTTCTGATCTGGAGGTAAGCATCAAGAACACCTTGTTTGGGATAGTCATATTGAAACACTCTTCAGTATTCCTGGAGCAGCCGGCATGTATGCTCTCTCAGTTGGTATTCAGAATCTGAGCACAACTCTCCCTGGCCCAGTCTACGGTCTTTTGTCCGGACTCAATGCGGCGACCGTCGGTATTGTCGCAGTTTCCGCGGTACAGCTTGCAGAAAAGGCCATTCAGGACAAGATTTCACGCATACTCATCATTTTTGGAGCATGCGCGGGCCTCTGCTATAACGCTCTGTGGTACTTCCCTGTTTTAATGGTGATTGGTGGTGTCGCCATCGCTACTTGGGATGGATGGCTATATTCACAGGTGCAGAGAGCGAAGAGGGTCTGGAAGAATAGGCATCAACGCTCAGCAGACTCAGAGCAGGCAAATACAGCCAACTTGGAAATGGCGCCTACAACAAGACCAGCAGCGACCGAGCAAAACGAAGCCGTGCGATCAAGAAAATCAAACCAGAGTGGAGACTTACCACAGGCCTCTGGAGCCATTGCCGAATCAACACGGTCAACCGAGACTGAAACCAGCCAATCGCAGAAATATCGCGTTCGTGTCCGCACTGGACTTATCATCTTCGTTGCCTTCTTTGGTACGCCCCTTCCAGTAAAAGTCTTTCTATGACCAGAGCTAACGTTGAGTAGCCTCTTTCATTGCCATCCTTGTTGCAAGAGGCAATTTGACGCCCCCTCCACTTCCACTAGACTTGTTCGCGAGCATGTATCTCGCCGGAACTGTGATCTTCGGTGGAGGCCCAGTTGTCATTCCTCTCCTTCGCTCTTACGTCGTTAGTCCGGGTTGGGTCTCTAGTCGTGACTTCCTGATAGGCTTGGCCATCATCCAGGCGTTCCCGGGACCTAACTTCAACTTCGCAGTCTTCCTGGGAGCGCTAGCGCTGCAACATTCTCAGTATCCCACTGTGTTTGGCGCATTCCTTGGCTGGCTGGGCATCTTCGTCCCGGGAATCGCTCTTGCCGTCGCATTTCAGAGCTTCTGGAGTGTGTTGCGAACCAGAAGATCTGTCATTCGCTTCCTGCGTGGCGTGAATGCCACTGCGATTGGTCTCGTCTTCACTGCCGTGTACCGACTATGGGAGATTGGTTACTTGACGCCGGTCAATAGCGCTGGACAAAGTCTGGGGAATGACCCTTGGTGGTTAGTCGTCACGACTATCTCGTACGCAGGCAACGCATGGTTCCGCGTTCCTCCTGCCATGTCGATCGTTCTTGGAGCTATACTCGGGCTGTGCTGGTATGGAGCCGTTGGGAGGTAGTATTTGATTATCTCCAGCTGATTTGACCATTATCTCTACGGACTCAATGAGCAAAAGGCATATGGCAGCATCAGCGCCTTGATGTTGGCCCGCCAAAAGTCTGGCAAGATTGTAACTTTAGACTTTGTTTTAGATGATGAAATTAGATACCGTATATTACCAGGGTGTATGTTCATTGCATCTTATGATATGATCGACATCTGGTAGACTAATAGAGCGTCGGATGCAATTTCGCAATGGGTTCAGGTTGGTGAATGGTGCGGTGATCTCTGCCATGTGTTCGGATAGTCATATCATTCCAGGAGTAGCTTCCGTCCAATGCAGCTAATTAAAAATAGATATTCAGTAATCGAGTGTATTAGCCTTTGATTTTATATCTCATATCTTCCAGTGATTATTGTGAGGCCGCAATAGCAACATTGGAGAATGCGAGATATACCCTTGCTTTCGCATCTGGATCGTTGACGACCTCGACTGCTGTTATTCTTCACTCTCTCCCAATGGATTCTCACGTCGTCTCGGTGGCTGACTTGTACGGCTGGCAATATATCAGTGACTCTAAATGGCCAGTAGGTATGTCGCTAGGTTCTTATGACTCGCACGTGCGGTACTGGAGGATCGACCCACTTGGCGACGGGAAGAGCCGTAGCTACGTGCTAGCGTCAACCTTAATCCGCCGTGGTAGTGCCAGTGATAGTGCCTTGTCCGCAATTAGACTGCCCTATCGGCCCTCTACTTTGGATATCCCCTCTTGTTCAGCGTCCATCCTCCTTAGCCCATTTTCCTTCACCTTGGCCTAATACTCAGGATACTCCGTGTTTCTTTCTAGTTTATCATGTTCCTCAAACACATATCAGGTATTGAGGTGTACCATATACCGCCTCAGCAATCTCGACAGAGTAGACCCTCCTTGGCGGCCCCTATTGATACTTCAATGGGACGCTGTGCTCCAGGTACAGTCGGATTCGAAAACAGATTCCCCTTTGTGCACACACGAATGGTTTCTCGGACCCTACTTTGCAGCGCCCTAATCTATATTGGGCTTAGCGGCAGATCACCTGGTGCTATGAATAGAGACTGTTTTTTACAGGACGAAGGTACCGCGTAAAATACAGTATTCGACAATACACCTTTGCTTTCGACCTCGCTGCCCCTCCTACGCAGTTGTAGACCTTCCAGGTTCAATGCTTCTCTTCTCACCATTATTGAGAATCGCGAATAGTGCCCTCCCGATATGGCACCAAGACTTCCCATTTCAAAGTTACACTTTATTCATGATATGATACAGAGCCAGTCACTAACTACGTCCCAAATGGCCGATGTAGCTGAATGCAGCGACCGTACAATTAAAAATATTCGCAGGAACTTGCGGCTGTTTGGAAGCGTCCATACCCCCTCAAATCGAATTAGCCGTAGACGAAACATAATACCGCCGATGCTAGAATCACTCTGCGACTATCTACTCGAGAAGCCCGGTCTTTATCTCGATTAAATCGCCGTCTTTCTATAGGATGAGTTTTAGACGCTAGTAACTACTTCTAGAATCAGGAGGGCCCTCTCGTCTAAAGGTTAGTCTAGAAGACCGCTCGATAGAGGGCTAAAGAACAGAGTCCCGATTTACGAGAGATATATCTTCATAATTTGTCGGACTTTTAATCATATCACCTTATTTACGTTGATAAATCTAGATGTGATAAACGAATCGAGTTTAGACGGATAGGCTAGTCACCACTTAGCGTAGCCCCTATGTAAGTCTCACAACTTCACCGCGACGAGCGATATCAGATATTACCTACATATACCCAAGATAGTATTATTCTTTCTCGTGTCTTTCGTGGCACTACGGATGCCACTTTGTCCGAGGATTTTGTCGATGAACTTCTCTATCATTATAGAAGATGGCTAGAGCCGAAATCTATACTCGTTATAGACAATGCGTCGTTTCACCACACTAAGCGGATCGGGTAGTTATGTACAGCGGCGGGAGTAAAACTTGTTTATCTGCCACCCTATTCGCCTAACCTAAACCCCATTGAGGAGTTCTTCGCCGAACTCAAGGGCTTCATAAGACGTAACTAGAGCTACTTTAAAGAAGATCCCGATCGAGGATTTAGCTCTTTTCTCGAATAGTGTATTAATAAGGTTGGTGCAAAAGAAGTAAGTGCTAGAGGCCATTTTCGGCACGCGGGGGTAACGGTAGAAGAGGAGCGGTAAATTTTCTAGTCATTTTAGGGTTAAGTGACTTCACTAATTTAGTTATTTTATTTAATGTACGGGATTTACAGCATAAGTACTGAGATAGCCCTTAGCATATACAGATTTGGTGACGGGCAGATTAGATCAGTGTTCCACCGTCTTTCATAAATGCTACTGTAAGCTGCTTACTCCTAAACAATCATCTACCACAGTAATATCTAATTACTTAAACGTGACTCAGGCTAAAAGTAGAATACTTAGCGCCGAACAAGTCACCTAATGGTAGGGCTAAGAATAGTTCTCTACCTCCCTAGGCTCTCTCCGTTTCCCTACCAGAAGAGCCGAATATTCGTATATAAGGCATATTAACATAACTACTATAACATTCGGCGACACAAATTCGGGAATTCAGATCGGGATCAATTAAGGCTCAATCTATCTTCCCGGTACGTTCCGTTCCTTTCCTCAAGGCCCCTAAGTATAGATTCAGGAGAGCGAAATAACTAACAGCGGCTTACTAGAGCCACCGAAATCCCCCCAGAGGCCGCTATCGACCGTGCCGTTCCCACACAACCGTGACTTTATCAGTCGCGACCTAATTCTTGACCAACTTCACGAGAAAGTATCGATCCGGGGGTCTAGAGTAGTACTCATCGGTCTCGGCGGCGTTGGGTTAGGGTGATAGGGTCGAAGAGTCTTCAATTTAATGCTAAATATACGGTAGGAAAACACAAATTGCTATCGAATACTGCCACCGGGTTCAACAACGATATCCAGAGACGCTGGTTTTCTGGATCCATACGAGCAACGTGGGCCGTTTCGAGGGAAGTCTCCGTGACCTTACCGATCGAGCGGAGATACCCGGGCGCGAGGACCGTAACGTTAACGTCTTCTAACTTATTAGGAACTGGTTACGAGATGAAAAGATTGGAAAATGGATTCTCGTCCTAGATAATATAGATGATGATAAGCTCCTTCGCAAACCTTCCGTGATATGTACTGCTGCCTAAGCAGACAGTCAGAAAAACGCCTCGATATAGCCACCGCTAAGACACCTCCTCTAAAGCTCAAATAGCTCTATTATTGCCACCAGCCGGAGCAAAGGAGTAGCCCTAGACATCACCGATCACAAGAGTCTTATCGAAGTGAAACCAATAGAAATGACTAAAGCACTAGCTCTGCTACAGAACAAGCTAGATCTATATAGTGAGAGCGAAGGGATAATAGAGCTAGTAGAGGCACTCGAATTTATGCCACTCGCAATTATACAAGCTACTAGCTACATCACGCACCGTTCACCCCGTTACTCAGTATTACAATATCTAGAAAAGATTCAGAGGAGTGACCGCGACGCTGTACGGCTACTAAATTACGAGGCAAGCCTACTTTATCGGGACTGGGAGGCCAAGAACTCTATCCTACTCACATAGCAAATCTCCTTTAACTATATTCAAAGGGTGAGATCGTCCGCAGTAGGCTTGCTTTCTCTCATAAGCTTTTTCGATCGACAAGGAATCCCAGAGAGTATTCTCCGAGCACAGCAGGAGCAGCAAAATAAAGAGTGTTTATACCAGGACATAACTAAGGATAGTTCTAGTGAAGAGGATGTAGATTGCGTGTCTAACTCTGACGCGGATCATTATTTTAAGGACGATATTATAACACTTTTCGACTATTCGTTTATTTCAATAGGAGAACATATCATAGTACTCACTATACATCGACTAGTGCAGTTAACTGTTCGTGTATAGCTGAAAACGTATAGCCAGCTTAATCACTAGAAGGAAATATTTATCAGCAAATTACGCTAAGCGTTCCCAATCTCGAAGTACGAAAACTAGGAGACTTACCGATCCCTCTTTCCATATATTCGATCAGCATATTCCCATCGCCCAAAATCACGTGAGTCTCGTGAGAAATAGGCTACGCTCCTTTACAGAGGTGCCTTATATACATCCGAAAGCGGAAATACAGCAGAGGCCACAGAAATGGCACTGAAATCAAGAGATAAAAGATTAAGACTATTTAGCGCGGGGAATAAAGAAACACTCCGTAGCACAGAGCTACTAGCAGGAGTATACCAGAACCGGGGACTATAGGGGAAGGCCGAGCAGCTCCAGGTGTAGGTGATAGAGACTTACGAGACCAAACTCGGCGGGGACCATCTAGATACGCTAACAGGCATAGCAAACTTAGCGGTAACTTATAGTTACTAGGGCCTATAGGACAAGGCTAAGAACCTCGAGGTACGGGTGGTCGAGACTCGCAAGGCCAAACTAGGCTAGGATTATCCAGAGACGCTAGCGGGTATAGCCAACCTAGCGGCGACTTATAGAACCTAGGGCCGGTGGGACGAGGCCGAGAAGCTCGATTTAAAGATGATAGAGGGCTATAAGACCAAGCTTAGCGATGTCCATCCGTACACGCTAATAGGTATAGGCAACCTACTAGCGGCCTACTAGCGCAAGGGCCGGTGGGACGAAGCAGAGCACATCCAGGTACAGGTAATAGAGACTTTCAAGACCAAGTTCGGCGATAACCACCCACACACGGTAATGACCCTAGCCTATCTAGCGGTGGTCTACAGAGACTAAGGCCGGTGGGACGAAGCAGAGCAGATCCAGGTACAGGTAATAGAGACTTTCAAGACCAAGCTCGGCGAAGACCATCCCTACACGCTATCGAGCATAGAAAACCTAGCGGCGACTTATAGGACCTAGGGCCGGTGGAATAAGGCTGAGAGCCTCGAGATACGGGCAATAGAGACTCGTGTGATCAAACTCGGTGGAGACCATCCAGACACACTAAGGAGTATGTCCAGCCTAGCGGTATTATATAGGAGCTAGGGCCGGGAGGAGGAGGCCGAGCAACTCGAGGTAAAAGCGATAGAAGGGTATAAGACCAGACTCGGCGAGAACCATCCTAACACGCTAATAAGTATAGCGAATCTTGCATTTACCTGGAAATCTTCTAGGAAAATTGCCGACGCCATTAATTTGCTAAAAGTTTGCTCAAATAAGCAGAGGTAGACCATCGGTCCTAGTTATCCTCGTGCTATATTAAATTCTAAAACCTTGCTGAGATGGGAAACCGAGAAGCTAAATATTGACGTATAATCTCTTAAGTGTCTTTACATCACACCCGTTACTGAATATTGCGCTACCAGATTTAAAAGTTTAGCTATAGATTTTCTTCAGCGCTTAGGAAATAATACTTCAAACCTATCTCAGCGAAAGAAAGGAAGGCTGGAGACAATCGACCTTCGAAGCTAAAAACAAACGGTAACGTATCGAGGTATCTTAGGCTGGCTACTAGACCTCGCTTTGGGTCGGGTTTGGGTCCAACTTCAGGACCCGTACCCGCGGGTCGGGTTCATACCCAATACCCAAAACCCATACCCGTAGACCCGTGGGTTCTTGGCGGGTAGCCCGCGGTTACCCGCCAAGAACCCGTTTCAGCATAAATATCCTAATTAGTTCATGCCAAGGCGCACAAAACTGCTGATTAACCTCAATAAAAATACTGTTATTTACATCTGTTCCAGTCACCTCTGTGGTTCTAACTAACAAAACCCTCTTTTCTCTATGAAAGATTGAGAAATTAGCTGGTTTTCTTCTTAATCAATAGTATTAATATTACATATTTTGCTTTGACGACTGTATAATATTATTGTGGTTTTAAAAACTAATATAGAGCAAAACTCTGTCGTCAGAAGTGCGGAAATATATTATAAACTGTAGAGTGAAGTACGTATATTTTTGCAAGGACAATATAGAATTCTAATGTCTCTTTAATCCTACGACTTACGAGGGATTATTCGGTCTCAAAACAATCAGCGTATGTTTATTAATCTATACGTCAACCAATCGAGTGCTCTTTTATCTTATTTAGGTTATTAATTACGAAAAAGTGGATGGATTTTACCTTGATTAAAGACTTAGAACGAAATTGTTTAAGGAAAACGGGTTACCTACGGGTTACCCACGGGTTTATGGGTTCTTGGCGGGTAACCCGCGGGTTACCTATCCTATATGTAGGCTATAAGCCAATAATAATAGCTTTTATCTACCTATGTGGGCCTTTGTTGATACATCATCTTTCTCACTTCAGAAGAACAGGGTATTGCGAGGCCCCAGAATCTACGTCTACGCGTTGAGATTTTTTTGTAAGTCTTCTGAGTCTCTGACTATCCTCAGCTAAGTGCTCGTCAATTAGCATATTACTAGATGTCTTAATTCACTAATGCCTCCGCATCATCTTCGTATGATGTAGACCTTCCAGATAACTTTTAACTCCTCCGATCGGACGATCTGACCCCTGATCTATCGATTAGCTAACGAAACTTCCCTTTTATCGCGAGCTCTGTGGGCGATTCTGGTTTTATTCGATTAGGATCACCTTCGCCCCCGGTGCCTAGTTCCCTCGAGAGCGTTCGACCTAATCGTATCACTGTATATGTGGTCTACTCTAAAATAATGAGCGACGACTATGTGTAATGGTGGCTACAAACGGACTTCGGAAGGAAGAAGCGTATGCGCTAGGACTCGCGACACTCTTCCGACGTTTGGGACCACTTTGATCAGGTGGCTAGGGCTAGTGATGGCGCGCCAAAGGTTATGTGTAAGCATTGCAAGGCTATCCTTGATCACCTAGGGCTTGGAAATAGAACTTTAACGATGAAGAAACATACTACTAGCTATAGTAGGAAGCTAAAATACCAAAATATTAGGCAATTTATGCAAGCGGTAAGCTAGCCCGTCAGTCTATAGGCTATAGGATATACACTGATTTCGACTACTTCTATAGGCGCGGAGCCCTTTGGTCGATACTCCATTCAGCCAGGAAAAATGGGAATTAAGTCTTCTTCGATTTATTACTAAATCGAGGCTACTATTCTAGCTTCTAGAGTATCTAGGGTTCCGTGATATGATATCTATAGCCCAAAATGCCCCAAGGCAGCTTAATATTCCATCTACAAAGGTAGTACGGAGCCGGCTACAAAGTACGGTGCTCGAACGCCATCAGAATATACTACAGAAGCTCCCTAAGGATGGAAAAATTTCAATTGCCCTCGACTGTTAGACATCTCCTTTCCAGCAGGCATTTATGGCAGTTACGGGCTACTTCCTTGATAAAGACTGGAATTATCGGGAGCTACTTCTTGGATTTAAGCCTCTTCATGGAACACACTTAGGTATTAACCTTAGCGCTATTCTGTTCTAGCTACTATAGAAGTATAATTTAACCGATCGAGTACTTACATTCACTACCGACAATACATCGAATAATAACACTTTATTAGCGAGCATCTAAGAGACTATCTAGTCCCTTAACCTTAGCGATAATACAGAGATTATTCGCGTTTCATGCATTGCCCATATTATTTAACTAAGCTTGAAGTAACTCCTAGGTCAGATAAAGGCAAATCCAATGAACGACACTACTTAAATGCAATGGACTGAATCCCAGGACCAATTAATTCGGTCTAGGCATCAGAAACGGGAGGTCATTAACACTTTAAATAAGGTTCGTCACTATTAGACTTATTAAAACTTACTTCTAATCTATTTTTATAGCTTCGAAGCTTAGCTATCTTTATTAACGCAAGCCTATAGCGCCGTGAAGCTTTCTGCCGCCTCCAGACAGATTCTATAGCTCTTGTTCCGATATAGGATATTCGTACGCGGTGGAATTCGACATTTCTAATGCTTCGCCGTGCTAAACGACTACAATCCGTCTTAGATGAGTTTTGCTCGAAGTACGGCCATCCGCATCTTAAGCTTAACCAGGAGCAATAGCGTCAGATTGACTATTTGCTTTAGATCACGCGGCCGTTCTTCCAGTTCACTACTACGCTATCGAAAACCAAAGATGTTACCGTCTATCTTGTCTTTGCTATCTATAATAAGCTCTTCGATCATCTTAAGAAGTCGATTAAGCAGCTTATAAGCAAGAAGGTAGGCTAGAAGAAGCTTATGCTTACCGCTCTTCGTGCGGCGGAGGAAAAGCTTAGGCAGTACTATAGTAAGACGGATGAAATTCCTGGTGATGTCTTTGCTATTAGTACAATGCTCGCACCACAACACAAGCTTCAGTTCTTCCGGAGTAAAGATTAGGGCCCTAAGTGGCTCACTAGATATCGACAAAGCTTTATGGACTACTTTGAACTATATAAGTAACGTCTGTCAGAAGAACAAACAGGGAACGGTGAAAGATCTGCTACGCAGAGTGTAGGTATAGATCTTAATCGGATGATTGGCCTAGATCAGATTATCCAAGCTAGCCAGCAGGACGAGCTTACAAGATATCTCGATGGTAGTAAGTATCCTTATTCTGTCAATCACCGGACCTATGCTAATAAATAAATCTTAGCCACCGTTTCTAGTATTCCAATACGGGCGTTCTGGAAGGAGAACCAGACCACATTCCCTGCGCTTGCAAAGCTCGCACGCGATATGCTCTCGATTCCTGCAACTAGCGCCGGCGTTGAGCGGCTATTCAACACTGCTCGGGATGTCTGTCACTATCGTCGAGGCTCACTAAATGCTACAACAATTCAGGAGCTTATGTTATATAGGTGTACGACGCAATTTGAAGTCGAAGAGGATGGAATTGCTTTTCGGAAGGAGTATCTTTCTGAAGGGGAGATAGAAGCGGATCATGAAGAGAAAGATGCCCAACAACTCGAGGGTACTGTCGACCCGATTAGTGATGATGAGGAGAGTGATGAGGACGATGCACAGGAGGGTTTGGTCCTTATTCAAGCGCAATCAGCAACGCAAGGTCCCTCGAAACGTGCTCTTGGAAAGAGAAGAAAGAGTGTTGCATCTGAACGAGACACTGAAGGCCATAGAGATAGTAACGAGGAGGAAGATGTTCCTCTACCGGAGACACAACAGCGTGTCTCAGGAAGATCTAGGAAGCGTTCGCGGCATAATGATGATCAGTTCATAGTTTATTAGTTTAGTTCTAGAATTAAAGACATTCATAGTTATCCTCGACCTTATTTCTGCAAGAATCCACTGCCTGTAAGCCAGATACCTATAAATACAGCCCAGAAATGCATAATATATGCATATCACGAGGTTCTTCATGTTTGCATTGTTTATCAACCCGTGGGTAACCCCCGGGTAACCCGCGGATTCAATATCTCAACCCGTACCCGACCTTCGGGTCTATACCCTCGACCCAAAACCCGCCAAGAAACGGGTACGGGTCGGGTCCAACCCGTCTACCCGCGGGTTTGGGCGAGGTCTACTGGCTACTTCGTAGCGAAGAAGCTAAAAGATGATATGTCACCTTCGTTAGCTACTACAGTCACGACGCTAAATAGATTCAAAAAACTGTTAATACTTGTTACTTATCAAAAATATATCTAACTTATACAAGTCAAACATCGCCAGAGCCATTCCCAATAGTAACACAATTTGTTCTATATCACTTCAATAACACGAGCCGTTTTCTTCACATTCTCAACCCAGTCACGAATATTCTCTACGAAACTTCGGGCAATTCCGGGTTTAATCCTCTTGCTAACAAGAAATTCTAGGTTTTGGTCCTTGTAGATGTGCTTAAGGTCGAAGCTATCTAATAGCGTTACGACATAAGCTTGTCGAAATGCTGCCTTGAGGGTGTCATCCTCGACACTCGAGGTAAGCCACTCACTGTATTCTTTAATAGCTATATCCTTGAAACTAGGAATATTTAACGGACCTATATCCTTTAATCCTACGGAGTTAACAGCCGTCCTAGAACCCGTAATATCCAATCCAGAGGAAGGAGGCTACGACGGGAGAACATTAATATTAATAGGAGGATAGGGGACCCTAGTCGCAAGGATATCTTCGCCCTTACGCTTTCCTTTCTCCAGTCTCTATTGCTCCTCTATATATAACTCTTCCCTAATATCATCGGGAATATCTTTATATGTCTCTAGGACACCACCTTTTTCGGCGTAGGTAACTAAACGTCGGAGATAATACGTGCGGAGTTAATAATGCTTTTTTCCTATTAGTTCCAACCAGCAATATAGGCCGAGGTAGCAGGAAGCTATAGCGCACTTCATTAAAGTATACACACGGCGCTAAATTGCTTGCTATCTATAAGCATTCTCTTTATAACGGAAGATTTACCCCTCTTCTCCCCACGACGTCCGGTACGATCCTCTATATAGTTAAAAGAGATACTTAACCTAAGCTTTTTGCCTCGATAGAACAAACTCGACTATATCTAGAGCTTTTTCTCGATAGTATCCTAACAAACGTCGACCTTATCGAATCGCTTTATTAGGTTACGCTAGGAGCGATCGTTTACGGACGCAACAATCACAGTGTTATTAGCCCTCACTCTTCGTTTGCTAGAGATCTTCCCTCGGAGGACTTTCTCTAGTTTTTTTTTCTAATATCATCACCCAGAAGGCGTTTAGAGCCAGAACGATATCTTCTTTAGTATCTTTTACTACGACCTTATTGTTAACTATAACTCGCCACTCTATTAAGTAGTGGATATAAGTTAGTAGGTCCTCGTCGTAATCTCTTCCCTCTTCCTAATCGCACAGCTAAAGTAGTTTCAGGGTATGTATCCGTGACTAGCTTACTAGCTCGAATCCGGTCTTATATATACTTAACCGGTCGGGGCTATACGTAGATCGAGTATCGTAGGGGCTACGAGAGTATCCTAGGGTAGGGGCATACTACCAGTTCTGTTCCTATTATTCGAGTTCGTCAGGCTAAGAGACGTTATCGTTACGGTACAGACTTCTAGTTATATCTAATCTTAATCAAACTCGGGACGGTCCGTTAGTATATATAGGGTTGTTAGCTTTCCACGAACGCTAGTGAATAAATAAAAGTTATAGGAGAGCAGCCATCGGAATAAACAAGACGTATATTCTCCTACCAGAGTTCGCCCTCTTCAGCAGTATAATAAATAATAGTAAATAAGTGACAGCAAACGAGTGGACGAGGGCTTTGGGCGGGCTAAAGGAGGAACGAGAAACCGACGAACTTCTCACGTTCTCCAGATTTTCCACCACAGGGGGTACTTTTGCTGGGAACATTCTCCACGATTCCATAGAGAATTACAGTATCTTACACCGACTCATTCAGCGAAACAACTTAATACGAAACAACTAAGCAGGGATTATTTCTAGAGTAACCTAATACAGACTAGGGCGATTTAAGATAGGGTCTAGGAAACAATTCGTGTGTGCACAAAGGGGAATCTGTTTTCGACTCCTACTGTACCCAACTTGTCTACCCCCACTGTTTTATTTTTTCCGAAAATTCGCTCGATAATCATCCGGTTACTGCCATCTGATTCAATCTCCCCTTTCACCACCCTTGCTGGAAGGCAATGACCAAAGTTTTCCACTCAAAAGCCCTCCCTGGAAGCGTCGCCTCCAAATTCTTTACAGAATAGACTTTTTGACAGCCTACAAGCTTGGTTTCATACATCTCCGGTCTTTCATGAAAAATTTTGATACTCTAACCTCGGTTTCTAGAGCAAAGGTTGCGCAGCCCTATCTTTGCAAGGAATCAGTCTAGCCAGGTCTTACAGCTTGTCAGGTTCCGCGTAGTATAACCTGCTGTATTCAATTTTAACTCAGGTTTCGATACTGGTCTTCTTGCTTTATTTCTTGTCACACGATGAATAGCTAGTATAACCGACGTAAATTCTGCGTTTGATTTAGTAAGGGTTTTACTCATTCGACATCAAGAGATGGTAATGCGTACCGACAATCAGATTGTAATTCAACTTTGGCTGTTCCACTTATTATGACTCGCTCTCAAGCCGAAATTATTTTATATCTTTCACAGTATATGTTTATCTAGCCGTTGAGTACAATTTTCGGTGTGATGCTGCACGTTGGTGGAGTGTGACCGAGTCATCCCCTCGTAGGGCTCGTGAGCGACGTTTACCGCCAACTTTGTTTCAATATCAAGGTGCTTGTGGGCCCCTTCCTGACTCTTCATCATTTCTTTCTCCTTCATCTGCTTCTTTCCTTTTCTCCTAATTTTCCATCATCTTTCCTCTGAGATCCGTGCCTTCGGAAGACACTGAATGACTTCATCTCTTGACTAGCCATGCGGCTCACTTCCTCGCTCAGCCGCGATCCCCAGAAAATCCTAAAGTTTTCCACCTTTAGCATTTTGTACTTTGCTTGACTTTCTTTTCTTCAGCTTCTGTCACAGCATAGACTTTATCATCAAGCGCTTTGAAGATCTCCAGCCGTGCATATCCTGGGGTTTCGTCTACTCTCCCGAACGTGGTCCTCGGTAAACAGAAATGCCTGGTCGACACGGTCGGCGAAAACATCCTCAATGATGGGGGCACGACTGATGTTTCAGTCGAGGTACCAGCTGAATATCAACTTGAAAACTCGCCCGGAACCTTCCCAAGAAACCCCGATGCCTAGCCAACGAGTCTCATCATACTGCTTTGGAGGACAATCTACCGTGCAATTTACCGGGATCAAATCTGCGCCGACCTATTTGGCTATTGACCAGGACTTGAAGCGAGGGCCTTTCACCTCGGCCTGAATTGGACAGTCTTTACATCGTGATAATCACTCCGGGGAAATTACAAGCCTTGGGAAATTGGAGATCTCACCTGTATCACTCTTTTCTTCAAGTCTAAGTGCAGAGAGGGCTTTGAGCGTGTTTACTCTGATTCTGATGATTCCCCATCGGCCACAGATGTTGTACTTGACTTCGACGAAGACGATTCATATGACTCGCTTTTCTAAAGTTATCTCGCTGAATTAAAGATTGATTTAAAGAGTACACGGCTCGATTTCTGTCCCATTGGTTAGAACTCTTGGACACTTTCGTGGGGACCACGAAAGTCGGAAGGTTATGAAGGAAAAATTGGTTTACCGAATGGAGGGCTCCTTTCTAGTAGACACCAGATTGGATGCCTTTGGATTGGATACTCTTGACTACACGCGTACTTCAACCAAAGTCGGCGCGACCCATTGCCATTTCAAGGAGACTAGACAATGGATCGGAAGGGCGTGTATCCACCTCTGGCATGGATCTATGGTCAAAAACTTACAACAGTTGAACTAGGATATTGATTGATTGTAACATCCAGCTCTGGGGTTATATTTCCTGAGACTCCAGTTGAACCAGGTACCTGGGTGTGAGCAAGGTGATCGAGAGTTATTGGCCGCGGCTGAAATGGAACCAAAATGATCCGAGACGCATTTGGATTTGCAACCTTAGAATGCGTGGCTCCTAGAAGTGATGACGACCTGTATGCACATGGGATAATTCTTCTTGTCAATCTCAAGGCCCGTTCATTAGCATGAGAGCCCGGCCCATCCTTGTTGATATTCAATTTCATTCGTTATTTGGTCGAATATATTTCACCTTTGGACATAGCCTTGATCGGAGTGTTGGGTTATGTTTTCCTCATTTCATACGCAACCTACTCCCTCCATTCTCTCGGCTATCAGCCTATTCATCTGTCCTCGAATTGTACAATTCTCCTTATTGCACTTCCCGTAGAGAAGTATACGCAGCGCGCGGACCCCAAATGACATCAGCCCGCTTCCCCCACCCAATGGCCTCTCCCACTCAAATCCATCGAAATAAACTCCCCGCTTCATCTCTTCCTACCCAACCCCTACAAACACACCTATTTCTCTCAACACCACAATCTTTCGAATCTAACACGACTCCGCCCACCATGTCCTGGTTCCAAAAGAACTTCACCCTCCCCTCCCGCAGCCGCGGCTCCTACCTCATCACCGACACCGTTCTCGCCGAGCTCCCCGAGATCCGCGACTACAAGGTCGGCATGTTGAACCTCTTCGTGCAGCACACGAGTTGTGCGCTGTCGCTCAATGAAAATTGGGATGATGATGTCCGGGCCGATATGAGCGATGCGCTGGATCGTATTGCGCCGTACGATCGGAAGGGAAATTTGTATCGTCATTCTGCGGAGGGAGAGGATGATATGCCGGTGGGTTTGAATTCTAGCTCATTGCTGTTGCTATCTACAAGTGGATTTTTGGTGATAGGCGAGCATTGGAACCTCTTTGTACGCGATGCTAATACCTGGTCATGGGCTAGGCTCATATCAAGTCTGCGCTCATCGGTGCTTCGGTGAATATTCCCATTTCCAATGGTCGTCTGGCGACCGGGACCTGGCAGGGTATCTGGTACCTCGAGTTCCGTACCAGTCGGCACACGCGCAAGGTGGTTGCGACCATCCAGGGTGAGAAGGCGTGACTCGGTGATGGAGCAAACGAGCATTTATAACGGGGGGGAGGGGCCTGGGTTGAAGGTACATTTCATTTCTTGTTTACGGATATAAAACGGCCAATTGGTTTTATATATGGCGGCGCTGGTAAGAACACAGCAAACCCGTATCATTGCCAACTACACTGGCAGCACCACGGCGGACTTTGACTCGGGGAGACGGTTCAGGTAGATAGTTAGAGCCTCTTCCACAATCTCGGAACACGACGACTTAAAACACTTCACTTCGCCACGCAGCGGACGAACGGCAGATCCATTGATCGATATTTCTGTACACGGCCTCGGGCCCAAAAAACCAATATAAAATACGCAAGGGAAGAAACAACGCCGACATAAGGAATCTGATGCTAGTCGTCTACCGCTGCTCGAGGCTACCCTCCGTGACGCGCTGGCTCTCGTTCACCTCGGCGGGGTCGTTGGTAGGCTCAAGGGGATAGCTGGTAGCGGGGAGGGACTCGAGGTAGGTGCGGTGTTGCTCGTGAGCCTGTAGATATAATAATTAGTCAATTGCTTGGGGATACCATATCGTGTGGGGTAGGGGACATACGAAGGGGACACCGCAGTATCCGCAGGTCGCGATGTCGGGCTTGTCGGTGTTGATGAAGACCTTGGGGTGGCCGAGAGGACCACCGCCACCGTCGCAGCTGACGACTCGGGACTTTGTCCAGCGAACGGGCTGCTTGTGAATGAGCTCAATGGCGGCCATTGGGCGGGGCTAGATAGTCAATTGATTAGCTTCTGTTATTCCCTGCAGCTTGGACAAATTGCCCCTAGCTCGGCAATTGGAACAAGGAAACCCACCTGAGTCTCCATGATGGTCTGCTCAAAACGAGGGCCAACCATGGCCTGCTCGCGCGGTTGCTGGCTAGCAGCCCAGGTGGTGGCACGGTTAGGCGCCTGGAGGCTGCGGATGCGCTCCGCCTTGACGGGATCCTCCTCCATCAAGCCATCCCAGACGACATGGCGATCGGTCAGTCCGACATTGGTCTCGGAGACATTGGGCTTGACCGCGGGCGGGTTCGGGTCATTGGCCGGCATGCGGTTCTCGGAGAGCCGGGGCACCGTGGAGGAGTAGGCGCGGACGGCGAGCGGGCGGAACGACGCCAGGGTCGTGAGGCGACGACTGCAGGACATCATACTGGGCGAATTGAGTCCTGTCGAGGAAGCGGGGTGGGGGAGGACAGACGTGGATTTCGGCGAGGGCGAAGGTCGAGAGGTCCAGGAACTGAATAATCCGCGAGGTGTGGTTTGGTGGTTGTTCACCGCCTCCCGTGTGCAGGTTGGGCCCGCGCAGCTGGTCGGTTTTTCTGCCGCCGGATTTGCTGGACTCTGCACTTTTTTGCGACTTTGCGCTCACTTTAAAGAGCATTAAGATATTCATACGCCCATCATGTCGGAGCCCCCGAGTACCCCTGCAAAGGCGGAGAACAAGACCATGTCTTCCCGTCTGTTGACCATGAAGGTCTGCTCTGACGAATATGTCATGATTGCGACACCAAGCTAACTTAGCTACAGTTCATGCAGCGCGCAGCTGCTTCTGCAGCAACGAAAGAACCACAGAGCCCAGCTGCTTCGGACGGCAAGCACACACCGAAACGACCCAGGCTATCCACTGAACCTGACAGTCCCTCGACTCCCCAATCTGATCTGGAGGCTATTGCCGCAGCACTTGCAGCCGAAGAAGAGAAGCGACGGGAGGCCATGGCGCGGCAAGCAGCAGAGGCGGGCGAGTCAGAATGGGTGCTGGACGTCCCTGCTGCGAGCTACACTCCGCAGCCAATTGTTCTCTCGGCGGACTCGCTGGATGCGGAGGATGATAGACCGCAGGGTGGTCGTCGCGGATATGGAAACTTCATGCGCAAGAAGTCTGCAGTGAGTTTCTCTCTCAAAGCTACATTACGAACATTTCTAACTTTTTAATTTTCAACAGGTACCCGTTGTTGAAACCAAACCAGAGTTGCAGGCCGGGGAAGCCGGGGTGAAAGCCGGTGACAAGAGACTCTCTGGTATAACGAGCATTTCGGGCGGGGGCGGGCGCATGGGTTCATCCCCGAGAATGGGAGCTCCTTCGTCAAAAAAGAATAAGCGTAAGCACTAAGCAATCACCTAGCTTGGTAAAGTCGTTTTTTGTTTGAAGACTACGGATATACTGGGTGGTCTAGTCATGTCATAATCGGCGTTTAATATGGAGCATTGATTGGCGTTGGGGTACATTGACAGCGCAGCTCAAAGCTATCGAGCATATTCGAGTACAAAATTATATTTCTATTTCTGATCAAGCGTGCAAAATTAAACTATAACAATTGTATGATCTATCAAAGAAGCTCGACTCTAGACAACTTATACAACACATATTAAGGACAACCCATAATTTGACTATAACTTCGCCTTCTCCTCCCTCTTCCTCTTCTCCCAACCTTTCTGCGTCGCGAAATTCACCACCAAATTCCACGCTGCAACCCCCATGCCCACCGGCGGCGCAATCAACAACGCCCACGCCCACCACCTGGGACTCGACGCCGCAATACTCGACATCGCCCCCTTGACAGCACCCTCCAATTCCACCTTATCCGCATCGTTCCAAACTACCACGCCCCTCGCATTCGCCGTGCCACGGAACTCAGCCTGCGCCGCCTTCGTTCGCACATCGCCTTGGCTACGCACGCGGTTCTCCGCATCTTCAGCGGTAAGATGTGCGTCTCGCGCGCGGAGACGGGCCATTTGAACGGCCGGATCGCGTACGCCGACGACTATCACCGTGCCGCAGATGAGATCCATGCCGCTCTCGAAGAGGAGCGGTACATCCAGGACGATCGCCCATTGTCCGCGGAGGTAGTGGTAGATGAGTGACTTGTAGACTTCCCATCGTACGGCGGGGTGAATAATTCTGTTAAGCACTTGACGATCGCGTTTGCGTTCTTCCGTGTCGCCGAAGACACGCCGGCCCAGGGCCGGTCGGTTTAGGGGTTTGCCGTGTGGAGAGAGATTGGGGACATCGTCCAGCAGGAGATCCGGCGTGCTGGGGCCGAAGTAGTTCACTATAGCTTTGTACCCGGCCGTGCCTGGTTCGACGACTTTGCGGGCGAGGATGTCGGCGTCGATGATGGGGAGGGAGTAGGGTGGAGAGGAGAGGATGGAGGAGACGGTGGATTTGCCGGTGGCTATGGAGCCGGTAAGGCCGATGATGAGCATCTCTGCGTGTGAGAGGTATAGCTTGGGGAGGTGGATTTCTCGCTGGAGAGTGGAAGAGTAAGAAAGGCAGTTTTGGCGATGACGCTGGTGAAATTGCGGGGAGATCGATCCACTCGAACTACCTCGGCCCGCATTGGGGAAGGACCACCGTAGCTATCAGGTTTTGATCTCTTCGTTACGGAGAATATCAAAGCTTATTTTCCAATGTTGACATTAGGCATTTCAAAGTTTGGCTATATATGCTACTAATACAGGCAGATCGAATTCAAGTCTGCGAGATGCTTGCCTGATTTGGCTGATCTGGATTGGTGCTACTTTCCGGTCTCGGCCGGGGGTGGAAGATCCTCCAAGCTGAGAATTGCAAGTCAGTCGCAAGTGCACACTGAACCTTGCCAAGCAGTGGCGTATTGCGCCATAGCTGTGCGATCAGAAGTGCAGGTTATGAGGGCCCAGGCTTGGCCAGGGCTCTGGTTCTGATTATAAGTGCTGGCGCGTTCACCCTCTAAAACGAGGATCATTGAGCAGTTCCGATAGTGTGAGGATCTACACTCTCAAGATTCAGGAAGTCCATGTGCCGGGTCCTGCTCTTGGCCGTTCCACCCAAGATACGGCCAGCCCTGGGGAAGTGCCGAGTAGGGAGGCAGAACATATCGATCATCGCATGCATTCGGTTCCGGGCAATTCAAATTGCACAGCCCAAAGACATTGCAATAGCATTCTTTGGCATCCGGACAGTGAACAGGCTCCTTGCCAAAGATCACTAAAAACGAAAAAATTAGCAGGTAAGCCGAGGGAGATGGAGAAACAACTAGATGCACATACTGTGCCACGAATACTCCATGATCCGTCCACTTAGCTCGTCCTTCAGTTCCGTTTCCGTAAGCCACTTGCGATAGAACTCATAGTCGCTCTTAGGGCGCGTCAATACTCGTTCCCGGGTCACACCGAACTGAGCGCAACATGATACGCCGACTTCTTCGGGCACTGGTGTGTTGGGGAATAATTCCATGAAGGCATTTTTGAAGTACTCGCCCGCGTGTACGTCTTCACGGTGAATATCACTGAGGGGGTGAATCTCTACGGGGCAGCCTAGAGTCCAGACACAGCGTAGATTCACGTATCCTTCTTTTTGGAGGTAGGAGGTTTGGAAGTTGCGCAGCATGGGGACGCCGTCGTAGTAAGGGTCGTCGTTGTGCCATTGATAGCGCCGAGAGTGGATGAAGAGCATTATATCGGGAAGGTTTTCGTAGTTGTCGATAATATATCTGTAAGTGGAGAGAGGTTTCGTGTCAGCGACCCCAGTCATTGAATCACACGAGGAAGATCGAGTCGAATTTGGAGCTCGAAACTCACGTCAAATACACCATCGACTCGCGCCCTTTGTTGCGCGCAACGGTCAACGGGGCATTCTTATCGTCGACCACGTAGATACTCCGCGACCAATCTTGAAAGTACTCGGCCAGCCACGAGGTATCATCACTCTTCATGCTGGCCACGACCATATCCTTGTGTCGTCGGGTCACGGGACGAGCCAGCTCGTCCGCAGCCTTGGGTGTCGTGATGGGTTCAGGTTTATGCGCATATTTGTCGGGTTGATCATGATAGGTGGAATGGGGAGATTCGTTACCGGCGAAGAAGAGGAAATAAATTGCGAGGACGATGCCGATGGTAATCAAGATAGCTTTCATGCGATTACGACGACGGGGACTCTGCGGTCCGCTCGGGGCGAACAACATGGTGAAATTGGTGGGGAGTGACAGGTGATGAGCCGTCACCGGGGATCAGACATCGGATAGAGCTTGAGAGAGGGTTTAAAGTCGCATCATGTCAATCCGGCGGATTGTGTTGGAGAAGAAGAGCAGAGATCGAATTAAAAGCGCGGGGAGTTCAGCTTGGTCGCACCAGCTGGAGACTGCAGCGTGGCGCTTGGACGACTGATCCTGAGGAAGGAGGAGAAACGGAGACAAGGTAATTTAGAGTAGATAGCACAATTGACCATGCAACAGATTATTACACAGATAATCTTGGGGATATTCAGGAGACCGTCGCGGTGCACGATAAAGTTGAGATCCAGGTGAAGTGGCCAGCTCGTCGAGTCCGCTTCGGGAAATCTTCGGGCGATCGGTGGGTCCGACACCAAACACACTAAAACACTTTCTTGACTCGACACACTTCATACTACTTCTTGTCGTTCTTATCCACAATTGATATTCATTCCATATTGACATCCATATTCATGATCATAATTTCCATACTTAAAACATGACGATGACATTATTCCTCATGCACAGCCATCAATCTCCACAATATACCAGTTATGCGCGGACACACTGTCCCCGCTGGTCCCAGCATTACCAGCACTCGAGCCTACCCCGGTGACTTCGGTGATATCGCTGGTCGTGACGGTCACACCATCACCGCTGGTAATCCAATACTCGGGACTGGCATGGGTAAATCCCCACGAAGCTGGGGGCAACTTGGGCACGATGTCATCCGTATGGGTGACACGCCAGAGGGACCCTTGATTCGTCATGTAGGTGGCCAATGCGGTGTTACCAACGCGGGGTTGACCATAGGTAAACTGCCAGTTAGGCGTCAGGATCAACTCTAACACCATCTGAATAGAATATTCCTTTGGGAAAGGCACTCACGAGTTCCAGAGTATATCCCGCATTACGGAGAGCAGTGCCACCCAGAGCAGCCAAGGCACCGCCGAGGCTGTGGCCGGTCAGGACCAGTGTATAACTGGGATAAGCCGACACGGCACTCGCAATTTGTGCGGTCAGGGCAGCAGAGACGGCTTTCCAGGAAAGGAAGAATCCGGAGTGAGCCTTGCAGCCAGTGCAGAGGCTACTGGCATCGGTGAGGCCAAAGTCTAGGTTGGCAATCCAATTGCTAAGGGTCCGACTGCCTCGGAAGGACACCACGAGCAATTTGTTGGTGGGATCAACGGCAAGGAAGCCTGCCACGTCGCCAAAGTCGGTGGAGCTGATAATAAGAGGTTAGTTCGGGACCAGTATATAGTGCTTGAGATTCTTCTTGACATACTCTTCAAATTCGTATAGGGTCGTCGCTCCAGCGGACTGGACCTGTGGGCAGTACCCTCCCGAGCAGGACACTGCGTTGCCCGTGGAACCGACATTGTTCGTGCAATACGAGGCTGCCGCATACTGAGAGAATAGAGTCAACTCGCTCAGTGTAGCGGAGGAGACAGCTGCCCATCAGATTAGCTCCGGGTCAGGCCTATCACCAACGGATCTCTTTTCTCCTTCTCATACCTCGAGGCACTGGTTGTGCCGGTGCAGCAACCGCCAGGGCTGCCATAGCCACCAGCATTCCAAATTGACCCATGAATACCATCTTCACTTCTATACTCTGTACAGAAACTCGGAAATTCGACCAGACTATATGAATGCTATGCACCAGAGCAACCGCAAGTCAACCAGGACTTAAGCGGACTTTTTTGCTTTTGTCTTCTCCTCCTAGGTGGCCTACCTCGCCAACATCAGGATTTGAACCGATGCTTTATACCCCCCTTCTATCACTTTACCACTATTCGAATATCACAAGCAAATTTTCTTCAATCGAAAATACACGCGTCAACACGAGCGGGGTATCCAAAGACCGGGTCTCCTAAATGCCAGCACGAAACACCTCGCATATCTCCGAATCCGCACGAGCCAGGCTGCTCTCGCTCCAAAACGGCTCGTCGTCCGTTCCTGACCAGAGTCGGGCACCTGACTGGTGGGGTTTCGTGGAAAGATCGGCATTCTTGCAGCTGGAATTCTTCACGCGGATGTAACCAGTCAGACCTTGGCTGGAGTGGGGAGTGGGGAAGGGGGAGGAAGCCAGGGAGAAGGTTTGGAAGAGTTGGACCACGAGGACGACCGGAGCTGGTACGAATTTTAGTTCGTCCAAATGAATTTAGTCTTCTTCTATGATTTTCTTTCCCCGAATCCCGGGTCGATTGAGGGGGGACGGACCGGTGGGAAGGTACGAGTTGGGTGTATATTCCGTGATGTGATCCACGCTAATAGAAACTCTTTTTTTCGTTCAGGATGAGAAGAGAGACTGACTCGCTGGGTAATCATGGTATACTTCGCCCTCGGTACTTTCCCGACCAAGTGGACTCGGGAGAACCTCGGCCACGCAGTACATCCCAGTCAAAAGTCGGTATACACATCGTAGTAGGGTGGATGTGATTACTCCGGGGTACATTAGGCCAGCGCAAGAACTAATCCGTTTTGGATCCGAACTAAACTCGATCCGCTCTATCCACGCGATACTTTTGCGGGTTCCTCCGTACCTACTTACACTGGATGTAGTAGTGGCTTGACTAGTAACTGCCGTTGTGAGCAGACGTAAGCGCCCATCCCGCATTCTTCAGTGTAGTCGAGGCGGGGCCGTGTTGACAAGATCATCGGTCAACGAATAACGCTAAAGCACGTCTGACCCAAAGAATGCCTGAGCTTAGCCCGAGTCACGGAGTACGGGAATTGCGCGATATTCGATTTGCCTTAAGGCATTCTGAATGGTCTCTACATTGTCTTGGGGGTTTAGGACCAAGGTTTATTCATCCTATGAGGAGGGATGGCAAAGCACACCGACTCGTGGAGATAATTCGGAGAAATGCAGCCTCATCCTAACTTGGTTTAGGGTATCGGGAAATGCAGGAGTTTACAGAGTTCAGGTTGTATTATTTTGGCAGCCGTGCAGGACTAGCCGTTGGAATCATGTTTCGTGAAGGGGAAGAACGATGGGATTGACTCTGTGTCTCGCTCGGTTCTTCCCCGCGCCCTCTTGTGGGGTTCTCCGACTATTCTCCGGCAATTCACTTCTCTCCTTCGCCGATATCGATCATCCCCGTATCCTCTTCGTCATTACCACCCGCCAGCACCTTGGTACGCGGGACCTGGTCCGCTGACAACGGAGTGCCCGGGGTGACGGCGACAACGTTGTCGTTCTCGTCCACGAACTCGAAATTGTACCGCGACAGCAGATGCGGGATCGCGGAGAGCTGGGGGCCGTATCGCGCCGAGTTGTCGTACAGCTCGAAGAGAGGGACCGCCAGCAACTTCATGTTCTTGGGGACGGAGAGGACCTCTGTAAGTAGACGGGCGTTAGTAGAGAAACGAGACAACGAAAGAATCCGTCCCGAGTATCGTATCAAAGACGAAAGTAATGAACTGCAGACTTACTTTTCTTCGGCAGGGTGATAAAGTACAACTTCTTGCACTCCTTCGGCCGGGTGATGTGTGCTGGCAGGAACGGGTACATGAAGGTCTCGAAATTGGGGCGCCACCACTGCGCAAGCGTATCACCAATTTCCCAGTCTTCGTTGACTCCCTCCCCGGAGAACTGCGATCCCACGGGGGCCAGGCGCTCGTTCAGGCGCTTCTTGAAGCCCTCGATCTCCTCTTCGTCGTGGGGGAGGTAGTCACCAGGTCTGTGAGGTGAGGCCATTAGCGGTGTGTCTCATATCTAGTTGCTCAAGAGAGAGAGTTTCCATACAATTTGAAGAATGCATTCGCTATCTGCAGCATCAAAACGTGAGGGTGGTTGTGTTCGTGGCAAACGAGAACACCCTCGCAGGTACGGCGCATACCGTGGAGGTCATAATGCTCCTCCAGCCGCTTCAGGCGAGCTGGCACGGAGGGATCTTCCTCGGGCTGAGTCTCCTTGGTACCAAAAGTGTAGTTGCTCAAGGGGTAAAGCCGAATTGTCTTGGGTTGCTGTGCGGAGAAATCCATAGGGATGATTGGACTGCGCGAATTGGCTCATGTCAGTACCGACTCTGCTTCCTTGAATATCCAATTGAGAAGCTGTCAACTTACGGGTGGCTGCTCTGGATCGCCGTTGCCGTCGTGGTCGCCATCTTGTCTGTGAGGAATCGCAATAGGGACGAATTACACGGCGTACACGAGGAACGGCGGGGAGAGAACGAGGAGGAGGGACGAGAAGAGGAACAGAAAGACCGCAGCTTCGCCGATGGTGATGCATCTCGTTATCGTTATCGCTGCGACCGCCTGCCCGAATGTAATTGTGGACAAAACAAAGAAGACTGCAGGCAATAAGAAAAGCGGTGAGTGAAGAGGCGGTAGCGGTCAGAAGAGCAAAAGGCGAGTAGGCGCAACAGGTGCATGAGTGGCTTATGCACACTGGCATGCTTAGCCCATACGAACAGTAGACTTGAGGTTCCTGAGTTTGCTCATCACTTTTCTTACGGTATTATGTGAATGGTATATTTCGAATATAATCTCTATGACTCTTCTCGCTTGGGCACTATCGACATTTGTTGGTCAAAACATCAGGCGATGAGATTGACAAAGTACGAGTCATCTAGTATTAATTGATCCGAAGTTGGTAAATCTGTATACATTGTAGGTAGATGTGATTGATTATAGCGTATACCCCCAATGCCAAAGCAGAAGCTTTCCACACTCGACTCCACAACTCTCATACCATGCTCCCCAGATCCGAGCTCCGACCTCCAAACATCCAAACAACACCCACAACTCGTTTTGGATAAGAGACAAACGCGTTCAAATGATTCACAACTTGGCATCAAAGTCTTCAAATTCAGTGAGGTCAGACACGGGCACGGGTCCAGTGCTGACGGGCAGACGAGCCTTGAAGGTTGGCACGTCCGTGATGGTGACAGATTCCTGCGGGCTGGTGGTCGGGGTACCGTTAGTCCCATTGGTGTGCTCCTTAATCTCAGGCTCCAGTCCAAGCTGTTTCAGCTGAACACCAAGGTTTTCCTCGAACTTTTCGGTCACTATCGCGATCTGCTCCTCTGACAAGGTCAGCTCCGTGGCGAGGAATGTCCTGACGAGGAACACAATCTGAGAGCGGTCAACAATTGCCATATCCAGCTCTTCAAACGCCGCAGTCAAAGTGTCGGCATGCGCGGCAAAGCCAGCAGCGTCAAGCTGTTTCTTGACCAACTCGATCAAGCGAGACCGCTTCTGGGAGGCATCGGCATTAGCATCGGCATCGGTCTTGGGAGCGATGGCACCGGACTGCGCGTTCAAGTGAATGGCCAGCTTGGCGCGGGTCGAGGACGACGGATCGATGTACTGCTTGTAAAAGGCAATCAGGTCCGCTTTGCTCAGCAGGCGCACATTGGCAGCGTCGGTCTCGTGTTGCAAGAAGTCGAAGTACTCCGATCCAACGTGCGACCAGTAACGGCTAGTCTCGGATCCCAGGTTCTTGAGCTTCTCCAGACGCTTGTTGATCACACTGCGCTTGTGGCCCTCAAATTCATCTTCGGGCATGCTTTCCAGAGTCTTTCCAAACTCGCCGAGGAAGGCCTCGATGCGGGACTCTAGATACTGAGCAGTCCGCTCACTCTGAATGATCACGCGGTAGCCCATGGTGGTTGCATTGTAGCGGGATCCACTCCACACGACGTAACCGAGCTGCTCCTTGCTACGCAGCTGGTCGAATGCAGGCTCGTCCGTGAGCTGAGAGAAGAGCTGCAATTTGGCGCGCAGAGCATCGTCGGAGAAGAAGCCAATGTATAGATAGTACTCGATACAGTGGTTGACATTGGCCGGGTCCTTCAGGGTTCGTGGGTAAACGTAGTTGCTGCCCGAGGGGATAACCATGTTGCGGCGCAGATACCACTGCGAAGGGGGCAGTGCACGACCCCCGAGGGTCTTCTCAATCATGTCCGTCATGCGCAGGGCATCTTCCTTGTAGAGGTTGCCATGAGCCAGGACTTCGATGTGAGTCTGCTCCAGCAGTTGGGGGAAGAAGTTGATCACATCTTCGGCTTGGATGTGCTCCAATTCCTCAATATATTGCTCGTTGACCCAGCTGCGCTCAGACAGCAGGTAACGAGTGTAATCACCAACTTGGTAGAAGGGCTGCTGGTACTCGGCATTGCGGAACGCCCGGGTCAGGCGCTCCTTGATGATGTTGAAACGATCCTGGTTGACCACCAGGCCGCGCATAGTGTTCAACACCTTATCCAACAGCACGGACATCTTATCATTGTAGCCACCAACGGAGATATCCAGACCAAGAATGTTGGCCGCAAGGTGGTAGTCCAGCCCAGCAAGCTCGGCGTCGTACGAGTACTCGTCCAAGCTGTCCCGGACCAACTCGCAGTAGAGCTTCGTCTTGATCAGGTTGGCGGGTGTTGCCCACACGAGAGGGTTACGCAGAGTCACATGGACGGTGCCCTTGGGCACCCAGAACCGATCATCCTTCTTGAACCACAGACGAACACGCTCGTCGTGGCGGATCAGCTTCGGGGTCTTTGCGGGCTCCGCAACCTCCTTGGTCTCCACCGACAATCGAGTCGGCACAAATTCGTTCTTGTGGGGCATGTGCAAGCTGGATGTGCGAGTAGCCTCCGTGGACTGAAGAGCCTTCTGGATGCCACTCAAGAAGTCCTGGGGAATCTTCTCGACCTTGTACTCGGTACCATACCATTTCTCCTTCTGGTCCCACTGGCCGGGGTAGTCCTGAGACACGATAATGAGACGGAAGTTGTCAGCACGCAGGTAGGACATGGCCTTCTTGATTACCTCCGCGTCGAATCGCCGCAGCAGAGCTCCGCTAAGCAACCACTCGCGAGGCATAGGCTTCTGCATAACGCTGCTCAGGCGGCTGGTAAACCGACTAGCAGGAGTCTTCTGCTTGAACCGGAAATCCACCTCGGCCAGGTTCTTCATCTCGTCAAAGATCCACTGCTCTGGCTCGCGCTCCTTGATCATCGAAATGTACTCAAAGATCACCTTGGCAACTTCCTGGTGCTGCTTGAGACCCTCCGGAGTCAGGCGCACGGAAATAGTGAAGAATGCCGATCCAGGGCAAATGGGCATAGCGCCTGCGGACAGCCCGTTGGCCCAGCCCTTCGCCTTAAGGTGGGAGAGAACACTACCCGGGCCTTCATGGCCGATCAAATGGCTGATATACCGGCTGGGCTGAGTGTCATTGAGATTTTCCTCATCCAAGAAGGGGAAATACATATCCATCGAGCGCGAATCCATGACCGGCTTAGCAAACACCTGGGTGCACATATCTTCCTCGGAGAAAGGCTGAACGTCGTCCCAACGGTTCTGGGGAAGGTTCTTGTTCTCAACATCTGCGAACAATTCCCAAACCCACTGCTCCAGCACGTCCAGGGTCTCCCGTCCCAGAACCACCAGCTTGGCCCGGTTGGCCGAGTAGTGCTTCTCATAGAACCGAATAAACTCGCTGCGAACCTCGAGACCGCGTTTCTGCGGGTCTTCCTTCAAGGTCTGCAAGTTACCGGTCGAAAAGTGATGGTATGGATGCTTAGGATTGGAGAGTGACTTGTTCAATTGCATCAAGCGCCACAAATCGCTCTGCAGGTTCTTCTTGTTCTCAGAGTCTACAGCCCGCAACTCACGATCTAATGTTGACTCTAGGAAAAGCGGAGACACGAAGAATTGAGCAAATCGATCGAGGGCCCCATACAGGGGTGATTTGGCATCTGAATCTCCAGTGATAGTAGATGAGGTCTCGCTAACAATCCCATTGGTGCCATTCGTAGATTCGGTTGGGGTGTTCTGCCCGGTAGACTTTGGGGGGCTGGAGTCACCGGTGGCCGATACTTCAAAGAAATAATTCGTTTCGGTAGCGGCAGTGTATGCATTGGACGAACCAGAGTGAGCGGCTAGATACTGATTGTAGGCATTCTCCTTGGGGTACTATTGATGGTTCCAGATAACGCAAGTCAGTATTGCTACTCGTCCGCTTGGCTCATTTCTATAGGGGCTCTGTCCAAGAAGATCATAACCGACGTACCTTTTTTGTTCCCATAAACAATAGATGCTCAACTGCATGGGCCATGCCAGGCATATCATCTGAGTCGGAAAAGTTGCCCACATTAACGTTTACCGCGGCACTGGCCTTGTCGGTGTCTGGATCATGCACTAGAAGAGCCTCGAGCTGATTCGGCAGGCGAATGACACGGTACGACCGGTCATCCAACTCAGGCTTCTCCAGGTTCTCCGTAATGCGTTGGATTTGCGTCATGGTGGGAGGGTTGGCGGAAAGGATCAGGGAGGAGTGGGAGAACGAGCGAGCCCAGCGGTGGTTGGAAGGAATAAGCGGGGCGATTAAGGAGATGGAGCGAGGCACGGAGGAGAGGTGTATTGGCGAATATGGACGTGCGGTTGGATTGCAACTCAGGCGTCTGTACCACAACGCAGTAGAGGGGGACCTTGGGAGCATCAAGGTATGACCAGAGGACCCAGACAATGGGGGGGAAGTATCGGGGGGAGCTGGTGGCGGCTCCGTGACCAACGAGATGCCAATTCACAAGAGAATAAGTCAGGGGGGTATATGCACACGACAAATAGTTGGAATGAAGAATGTGATGACGAGCGAAGAGACTCTGATTTGCAAGTAGCCGAGGGGCTCGGCGATAGTGTTTAGGGGCGGTGAGTGAGCCTTAAGGAAAGATCTGCCGTTATCGAGGGGGGGCGGTGGCGTTGAGG